AAAAAAAAATTTTTTTTGGCATCCCCACCACTTACCAAACATCTTCCCCATATGCAGCTAGTACTTCACCAACCCGGGCATTGTTTTCTTCCTGAGCTTCCCACGACCACCCGTCATGCTGCTCTACCCCTTCAGCTAGTACGGCACTAAGGTAATGATTATGCTCATCTTCATCCATCAAATCCCAGGGCCAACTCTCAACGTCGACGCCGTGCTCATTCAAAAGCGCCATCATTGACTCCGATCCTTGCGCCTTTTCCATACAAGCGTCACTGGTCGTCTGTTCTCTGTAACCGCCTCCGTCCCTCCTTAAAGGCCGCCGTAGATCAGCCCCTCGTTCAATCAGGAGGCGGAACATAGCCTCGTGCTCCAGCTTAACAGCGTGATAGAGTGGATTTAGGAAGGCATTGTGGACGTCGATGCCGCGATCGAGCAGCATCCGCACCATGCACAGGGAGCCGCTGCTGACGGCTGAGCTCATTATGTCTTCGCTGTTCGCTCCATAGTCTATGAGGTTCTTGACAATTGCTGAATGGCCGTTCTCCGCGGCTGTGTACATAGCGCCCATGACTCTGTGCGTTTTCGCACCGTGATCGAGACCCAGCAGCTTGGCAGTATGTAGGGTGTGCAGAGAAGTGCTTGGGGGTTCAACTTTGTACGACGGAAGGAAACAAGTGCGGGAGTCGGTTCATGTGAACAAGACCATGAGGAGCAGATTGCAACCCGGAACCCTTTCCAAACATATAGCTCGGGCTTCCCATCCATATTTTTGCATAGAGTCCTTAAACCCTCTAGGCTTATCCCACCCTCAATGTCCTTCTCGCCCCTAGGAACTTTCTGTCGTCAGTTCTCGTCCAACGGATGTGAGAACTTAGGAAGGCTTACATCACATAACGTCCGGCGCTTGAGCTGTCCTATAATAAGCTCTGCCATCATAATTGGTACAGGCTGTACGGTCAATGAAATAGGGTGGCCGCAGTTCTCGACAAAGTTCGCTCCTTCACTGATATGCAGCGCGGGAAAAGCGACTCCCGCGGGTCGCATCCGTCAACGCTGTCGGAAACATGTCTCAGGTAAGCCAACCCGGTCTCTCGATAATGAGGCCCTACTAAACGCAACGTAGGTCTGGACGTCGTATCTCTCCTCGGATGGAGGCAAGTCGCGCTGCATTCTTGCCATAAGCGTCAGCCCGGCCTTCCACTCGCTGCGATGCTGATATAGCTCTTCGTGCGATTTATACTGCAGCGTGAAAACAAGAAGCTCAAGCGGGAGAGGCTCAAACCAAAGTGGCGGGTCTAACGCCAGAAGAGCAACTTGCGTGGAAGCAGCCTTTCCAATACACCGCCTAATGATGTTGTAGCAGCGGAGAATGCGCGCCTGTCCAGGACGAGGCGCGTATACGAAGAGAGCGAGGGACGTCGTGTCTTGACAGTCAACCAAGAGAAAGGCCGTTATGTGAGCCTTAATAGCTAAGCGGACCTTTTCAATTTCGTTCAAAGACAGCCGTGACGTTTCTTCCCCCAGCAGCTGTGCTCCTTCAGCGGTCGTGAGATGGTTCGAAGAAGGAATGAAGACAATAATAATACAGCACAGCTCGGACACCATAACAACAGTACGAATTCCAGCACCACAGCCTAATAATCACACGACACCACCCTCCACTCCGGGCTTTTATAAAAGTCCGAAAGTCCTCTGCTTCTGCTTCCTTACATCAACGTCTTTCCACAGCGCGACGCTCACCAGCGTAATGCTGTAAATGCACGTCGCTGCGATGAGCATATACCGCTGCGTCTGCGCATAGCTCAGATTGATAGCATCTCGAGTCGGACTGCCCCAAGGATAGCTGCTCTGCGTGGTCAGCTGCCCGTAGATCAAGGCGAAGTTGTCCATCGCGCTTGCTGGGAGATTCGCCTTGAGTCGCGCAGGGAACACACCCGTCCAAATAGCGCCTGCTATCGTAGAGCCTACGGCGCTTCCGATTGCAATGACCATTGACTCGCAGGCGAGTAGGGCTGGGAAATCTTGTTGCTTGGAGACAGCCATGAGTGTCGTCTGCTCCGAAGTAACAAGAACACCGCCACCTAGCGCGATAAAGAGCTGGCACATGACAATGTATCCAATGTCGACGTCAGGTTGCCGGAACTTGATCATAAGCCCAACGCCGAGGATGGTGAGTGGGACGCCCCAGAACAGCGAGTACCATTTCAGCCGACCATAATAGCGGAGAGCGACCCCATAGACCAGGCAGATGAAACAGCTACCCATGGTATAGATGTTGGAAATGTATGTCGCATGTACCACGCTCTGGTTGAAGAGGACAATGAGCAAGGAGTAGAAGTAGCTATCCCAGATGTACCAGCCGGTATATAGGGAGGCAGCCATGGTATAGGTGAAGATGACGGTACGGTTCTTGAGGAGATGCCAGGGCACGAAGGTGACGGGCGCCAGGTACTTCTCCCAGAGACCGAAGGCAACAATGAGAAGGCCGCCGAAGATGATGAAACAGATGATAAGTGGCGACCTCCATTCGTTGGCTTGGTAGGAGTAGATGTTGAAGCTCAACAGGAATAATGCGAGGCCGGTAGCAAGGACAAGAAGGCCAACGGCATCGAACTCCTTCGCATAATAGAGAGCCTTCTGAGACAAAGTGCCGCTGTCAGGCTGAGGTTCGATAAGACCTTGCTTCCGCGCCTTCGCCTCGTTGAGGAAGAACAGCGCGATGAGCGGTGCGCACACAATAGGGACGACAATGGTGAACACGCCGAAGCCCCATCTGAAGCCCATCCCGTCTGGGGCTACGATGCTGTCAACGGCGTAGCCGTATACCCAGGTTGTGATGAGCCATGGCGAAGCGGCGTAGCCGATGAAGAAGCCCCGGTTCTTCAGCTTGGAAGTATCGGCGATGAAGACTGTTATGGAGAAGTCGATACTGTTGTAGCCGAGATAGTAGAAGACTTGCGCAGCGCAGTAGGTCTTCACATTATTGCAGCCAGCCATCATGATGAGACCAAGGGTTGTTGCAGCGACGCCAATGCAAAGGGCCTGTGGCCTGCCCCAGATGTTCATGATCTTTGCGTACGGCAGCTTCCAGATGCCGGCAATGATGGAGGAGATGACGCCGGTCAGAGCAGTGAGCGAGTGTTCTTGGAAGGCGCTGGTGACGTATGGCGTCAGGGTATTCACACAGCCAGATGCGAACGCCAGGACGAAAGCAATCAGCCACATCCTGTACATGGTTAATTCAGTGTCCGCACAGTATTCGCACCGGCATAAGTACTCACGCGATATAGGCCAAGATTAGGTCTTTCCGCGACCAGACATAGGTCATGGCCTGCACATTCTGGACGCCCTTCTCGGCAGTGGTGTCAATCTTGGTCAACTCTTCGTCCGAGTCTGTGGTCGCAGGGTTTCTGGGTGCGCCGAGCTTCTCGTCGCGTCGGGACATATCGAGGCTGGTATGCTCTGCAACGGAAGCAGGGACATGGGAAACATGTTCCGTGGCAGCGTCTGCGGCGGCAGAATTATTCGCGACGAGCGCCGAAGAGGTCAGCCCTCGGAAACTGAGACCCATGATGACACTACGCGGCGCGGAACACGGCGTAAAACGACGCAGTAGGGGAAGGGGTAGGCGTTGAGCTTCGCAACGACTGATGAGATTGATAAGAGCAAAGACCGAGCGATGTCCTGGCTTCATATAGCCCTAGGGAAAGAGAGGCGTGCGCGAGCCCGGTTGTCGGCGCCAGCGGTGCATCGTTCCTTGCGGAGCAAGACTGATGGCCGTCATGCTTCTCGCGCTATTGCTTTCCGTCGGACCAGGGCCGTGTGACGACGCGGACATGTCCTGCCGGTGGAGTTTATAGCAGAGATCCCGCGCCCGCTACATAAGCGACGACGGTTTTGCTCGATCAAGCTCGCTAAGCTCGGCCCAGAACGCTTGAATTGTCTTAGCCCGAAAAACTCAGTCTTAGCCCGGAAAACTCCGCGACCCCTGGTGTGGGCGGCGTCCAATGAGGACTGCTGGCGTGACCTGGCCGTTATCTTTTGATCTAATCATTATCTGATGGAAATGCTAGGGTCGCCTGAGTCGCCCTCCTGTAATTGAGGGTGCGCTCGGGCATTTGGCCTCGCGGCAAACCCCAAGGCCCCGATGTCGGACGTGTAACCTTAAAATAGGAGGCGCGCGAACCGTAGTATATAGACAATGCACTTATTGCGAGGGAATCTAGATGCCCTACTAATAAGTACCAGTGCAACGAGCACGAGAGTACTTGTAGATCATGCCTTCTGCGCACTAGGGCGATCGGCTAATGTGTATTCAAGTGCCACTCCCTTTGTAGAGGACGGACCGGGAATACTGTACTGGGATCTTGTAGCAGTAAGCATCCCACAGCGCCATTTTACGATCAATCAATGAAAGTTTGCGGGGTATAGGTATCAGTAGAAGCCAGCAAAGTTCCACTTAAACCAGCTCACGCCCCGGCCCCAGATATATAAGCATGTCTGCTACTGATCTATCAATACTAAGCTAATACAGAACTCGGATGGCTAGCATTTGGTCTATGCCCTGTTATCGAGGTGTTGTATTCGGCTGTTCAGAACCAAGGTAAAGCATCTACTTGTGTTGGTGTCCACGCTCAAGCCATGAAGGAAAAGGATCTGATCCCAATTCGTAACGGTATCATTCCTCCCGGGTGCTAGAGTACGAACAAGTAAGGTCTCTCCCCCTTCCTCCCCCCCTTCCCCCAGTACCATTTCCACCCCAGTCATTCCCTGGATGGCACAGTCCTTGCATCTGACTCACGCTTCCCGAGGTACTATTCTTTCCCTCTCCAAAGATCAATCACTCCTCTTCAACCACTGCAAATTCACCGGCGTAATCGCCTCCCCACCTCCCAAAAAACTGATCAGGTTCTCCATCCCTAGCCTCTCAAAACCCACATGACTCTCTACGCTGGCGCCCGCCGTATGGCTCAGCACCATAACATTATTCTTGCTCGCCAGCTTTTCGTTCACATGGGGTTCGTTCGCATGCACATCTAGGCCCGCTGCTGATACAATACCATCATCTAGCGCATTTACTAAGGCTTCTTCGTCGATGAGTTTGCCGCGAGCGATGTTGACGAGGCGTGATCCGCGTTTAAACTGGGCGAACTGAGGGGTGGAAAGGAGGACGGAGCCGGAGAAGGGAGTGGCGAGGATGACGCAGTCAGAGTTTTGGAGGAGCTCTTCGAGGGTAGGACACCAGCGGGCGTTTAGAGCCTTCTCTCTGTCTTCAAATCTGACAACATCATGGTACCAGATCTTCATCTCAAACGCAGTGCTCGCCTTCTGGGCAAGCCGATAGCCGATCTTGCCTAGACCGATAATGCCTAGAATGCTGCCGTTGGGATTATGTGTTACCGCTCCGGTGTTCTGGTTGGCGTCGCTGAATTGAGTGGGATCGCATGAGCGGGCGGCAAGGAAGGACCAGACGAAGGAACGGTAGGTGGAAAGGATAAGGAAGATAGCTGCATCGGCGACGGACTCTGTGCAGGCGGATGCGGAGTTACAATACACAATCCCTGCTGACGGGTTAGTGAATGTAATGAGGAAGGCGTAGGGAGTGGCTCTACCGTGCTCGGCCATAGTTTTGGTGTCGACCCAGTCGAAGCCTGCACCAGCACTGGCGTATATTCGGCAGGATTTAGGGAGGAGAGCTCTAAGAAGCGTTAGTGTATATGCTCCCACTAGAAAAACTGCTTAGTGAAGTCAACAGCAGGCGTAAGATCCTTTCCCACCAAAAGTCCGTTGCTTGCTCTGCGTTTCCCTTGCTGTTCCTTTTGCAGTCCCTAGGGCTTCCCCGTCTCCCGAGTGTAGCTTGAACTCCAGGGCTGCATGCGAGAGCATGATCACGTGTATAGGGCAGATACGAGAACGTCCGCTTACATCAACTCTCTATCCCAATTCCCCATCTCACCCCCGGTATTCCAGAAGGGCCTATACATGCCCACAAAATCGCCCCATTTTCTCCCCTTCAACGCCTGCTTAAAGTCTTCCCTCCCCATCGAGTAACTCCTCTCGATGCTGAACCTCTTGCCCAACTCCACATACAGCTCATGATTCCATCGAATGTCGGCTCCGAGGTGGAGGATGGTTGGTTTGGTATCGCTAGGGGTCGTTGGCGTAGCAGTCTTCGAGGAGTACGCACCGGATGAGGGAGCGGGACCGGGGGGTGCCGAGGGAACTGGTGGGGCAGGAAGCCCAGCATCTTGCGGTGTGGGCGTAGCGGCGGACATTTTGCTCTTGGACTCACAGACCGCCTCGTTTTAACGTCCTACTCCTCGGTGATATCGATGTATAGGGATGAGAAGAGGAATGCAAAGTCTAGTGCCTGCGCAAATGCGGCACGGATCCAAGTTCGAGATGTCACTTTAGGAGACCTCTCTCTCGGAGGAAAATCGTCTTGTCGAAATTTCGGTGTAATAGTGGTGCGCCATCTACACGTGTCCATGCGGCAGCTTTAAGCGTAGCGTAGAAATCGAAAATTTTCTCCGTCAGCGGGCGAGCCTGTCAGAGACGCAGGAGAACGTGGAGTGCAGGGTGTCAGGGCAGAAGGAGAAAAAGAAACGAAAAAGCAAGCTGCTTTGAGGAACCTGGGATGCGAGGAAGAAACCCTCAATTGGCTGAGACGACAGACGGAACGGAGCTATGTGTGTCGCTGGTAATAGCAGGCATTGAGAGACAGATGAGATGAGCCCGGTTGTTCGAGCAGACCCTTGGAGAAGAACGCGTCCAGAATGTCTTGTCGTCGAACGTTGGAAGGTGGGACAAGGAGGCGGTGACGATAAGGTTATCAGCACCGGCACTTAGCGCCTCCCACGTGCTCGCGTCCTTCCCGGTCTCCGGATTGCCCCTTCGAGCTAGACGTGCATGCCGGCCGCAGGGGCCGACTTTAGCCCGGCTGTATTCCTGGTGCCCACCCATTTTCAACCAGGACCCCCAAAAGAGCCGCATATTGAAACAGAGGCATTGGGCAAGGGATCATCCACGGTGCTCATGCTGAAGGAAATAGAGCGTACACCGCCCTCAAATATCATATCGCAAGGCCTGGATGCCTGAGCGCTGATGCAAGACGGAGATATTTTTTTTTCAGTCTACAAGTACATCACATCATCTCATACCCCCCGACCTTTTCCAACAAGACGCAATCCATCCTGCGCCACGGGTATATCATATGCCCCAAAAGGCATACTAAAGTGGGGGTATCCCATAACGCCGTCATCGTAAGCCCTTACCCCATCAACCCCGTGTGCCCATATCTTACACCTCCAGACAAGCTAGGAGCGACGATCCGTCTTGGGGGGCTATTCCTCCTTGCTCTCACCAGGATCCAAGTATTCGTCAGAGACGCCCCTCTTAAAACCAATGCACCATTCCCAAGTGCCCCGCCCCGTTCGCCGTCGGCACCTGCTGCGGCCCTTCCATCCCATATTGGCTCACCAAATCATCCCAACCCGTCCAGTCCATATTCTCCCCGTCCAGTACGGGCGAGTTCGAGCTCTGGCCACTGCTACCCATACCCGCCGGACTGTTGTTGAAAGAGTCGCTGTTCGTGAATGCGTTCGGCTCTTGCGTGAAGGCGCCTTGGGTTAGCGCCAAAGTGCCGTTGGTGATTCTATTGATGCTGCGAGGGTTGGGTGGGGCACCGGCATATGCATGTCCTTCGTCATGAGCGTCGTGAATAGATGACCCGTCAAATGCAACGTCGCCCATGACGTCGCGAATCAGGTAGTCGAGGCCGTGCTCGCTGAGGCTCTGAAAGTTCTGCACAGCGTTTGGATCTTTGGCACTATTCGTCCCTGGGAGTGGACTATGACCATGGTCGTTTTCAGTGATCACAGGTACCGTGCTGACGCCGCTAGGCAGTGAGAAGTCTATGTTACCCAGCGCAGGGCTTCCAGCCCAACTGGGAGGCTTCGCAATAGGCATCTCGCCCAGCCTGGGCGCTGATGGGCGCAGCATCTTGTCCAGGTTCTCCGGACTCGGTTGGTTCGCTGGGGGCGGATCTGTCGGTAGTTGATCCATCATGTGGGGGAAATCGGAGTAGTAAATGCCCTTATTCTTGATGGCCTGGCTTGCGCGTTCGAGGGCTAGCTCCCGTTCTCGCGCGGCCCTGGCCTTGGCCATCAGCTTTCGGAGGGGCTTCCAGAGGCAGCCTGCCTTGCCCTTGCGATAAGGTGAGGATTCGCCGAGTGGAAACCACCATCGACCGGCAGTGGCTTCGAGTGCCCGCCATGCCCGGTCGACGGCTTCGCCTTTGGTTCGTACACAAAGTTCAGAGAGCAGGAAGGCGATGGCGTGCCATTGGACGTAAGTGCGGAAGAGCCAGCCCCATTTCTGGGTGCGGGCCTCCGTTTCCAATAGAATGGAGTACTCGATATTTTCGAGAGACGTAATGAAAAGTTTATCCTTCGTTTCTTGCGGAAGCGACGCGCCTGTGAAGTCATCAGCATATGCGGAGGCTCAACCGAAACAACTACTTACCGCCATCCTTGCGCTGATGTGGATGATACACAACCAACCACATCTTGCTCATGACCAAGCGCGATATTGTCGCCGTCACCCAGTACAGCGGCACTGACATGTCGCAGTTCTTTAGGTACTTGTCCTCCAGGCGCTGATGACACTCGCTGATCCATTTCTCCTTTTCGGGAATGGTAAGCGCGGCAAAGAATTCACTGCACCGGCTCGGCCCCGGCGGGATGTACAGGATGCGGCGGAAGATGTTGGTTACTTCGAATCGAATGAGGCAAAATGTCATGTCGGTGAAGCCTTGGCGTTCTTCGGGGAACTCTGTCATGTTGGGGTCAAGGTCGGTATCATAGACGTTCAGGGGCTAAAGAAGAGTCAGCTGGAACAGATAGTGATGTAGGGTGAGGGTACCATTTTAGTGTCGAACTGGGCCTCGACGATAGTGGGATCACAGCCATGATCCTCAGACGCCCTTGCGTCTAAGATGCAGACCTGCCACCATAGCCGCCTGCGCATCTCGATCTCAAAAGGCGAAAGGTTGAAATGGCTGCCGTCCCTGTGTATGCCCAGCGTCTGCGCAATCCGCACAGCGAGGCCGGTGAGCGTCCAGATCTTCCTCGCGTCATCGTTCCGTCGCAGCAAAATGAGGAAGACGACAAAAGCCTGCAGAATGACCATTTCGTCGCAGAAGAGGAAGTTGGCTCTTGCAAGCCCTTGCTCCAGCCCAAAGCGATACTTGTGCAGCAGCGCGGCTCGCTCCTCGCCCCACTTATCTACGCACTCTTGGGGCATTATGCTCGTTACGGCCCCGTAATATATGGCGAAGATGAGCGGCTCGAGGGATTTGGCCACCTTGTCGGGATGTGATACGGCGTTGAGGAATATGGGTTCGAAGGACGGAATATGCAGCACCTTGACGAGCGGATCCACATTCTCCTTGTATATTTCCCAAAACTGGCGGCCGTGCTCGGGCGTGGGATGCAGAGACAGCATGTCAACATTGGTGGAGCTGTAGCCGAACAGGAAGCCCTGGTGCTGCGAGGAATAGCTCGAATCGGGTGAGGCGTGGGAGTCGCCTTCGTCGTCGGAGGGCTCGATGAGGATGGCTTTGAGGTCTTCGACCTGCGCACTGTCAGCACCAGCCTGCCCCGCATAGCGCACCAGCATGCAGCGAAGGAGCGCACCTCGTTGTTCAAGCTCGCCCAGAAGCTGTTGTTGATATAGCGGCTGCGGCCCTGGTCGACCACCAGCCGGCCAAACCGATTCTCGAGCCCCTCCACGCTGGTGTCGACGGCCACGCTGGGCTCCTTGCTGTACGGGCAGTCGCTCGCAGCGCCACTCTCCTGCCGACTCGCATTCCGGTCGGCAGCCTCCTGCTCGTGTTCCTCGACCTGCGCATTCAGGCTCTGCACCACGCCCTCCAGCCGCCGCAACCTGTCCATGAGCTCTCCATCCGGCGGCTTCCTGCTCTTCCGCGGCGCGCGCCCGGGCCCGGGGAACACGCACTCGATCTTAGCGCGCGCGCAATTCGAGCATGGCTGCTTCTTGTCGCATTTGACCTTCCTCCGGCGGCACGTCACGCAGGAGCGCGGGTTCGGCGTTGGCGCGCCAGAAGCCCCGCTGATGCTGCCGTTCGGCTTCTGGACGCGGTCGCTGGCGGCCGCCGTGTGCAGGATCTCGTCAGACATGGCGACGTGGGAATTGAGGCATTGGGGGAGGGAGGGAGTGTCCGGCAGGGAGGGGCGCGCGGATTTAGGCCTTTCTTTGCGGCGCTGGTGGGCGCGAGGTTGGAGGATGCGCCTGATCCCTGTCGAGATCGGCCGCCGTCGGTGTTTGCACAAAGAATAAGTGCCGATCTTCCCAGCTGGACGGCGCTCGCTGACAGGTGGCGGCGGGGGGATTCGGATTAGAAATGACGCGGATGAGTCAACAGCTGTGTGCCCTCGACGCGGAAGACAGATTATAGAGTGAAGCAGGTTTCGGGCCCGAGAGCGGTTTGTGGGAACGGCCAACTTCAACTGCGCTGGTGGGCCTGGGGGGGAACGCTATATAGCATCATCATCCATGTCACGTACACGGACGAAGCTCCCGGCCATCTGAGAGACCTGGGCGATCGCCTTGAACCTCTTGTAAGGCAGAAGAGCGCTTACAAAGCCAACCCGCCGTCCGGTGTCGTCTTTCAAGGCATGATTGGCTACCTAGGTAATAGCTGAATTCACCCCTCTTATCAGATGATGCCCTCTTCACCGCGAACATGCCGACTTGACCGAAGGAAGCCACTCCGGTCCGCAGCCTATACTTGAAGTTTTTCCTCGAGCCTCCATGCCGTCTCCGATGCAGAGAACGGCTTTGCCTTGGGCTCGTCAGTCACCCGGGACCATGATCGAATCGGACTAACAATCGCACACACATGCCGGCTGAAATCAAACACCAGGCAGCAACTTCGAGCCATTCTGGACATACATGTACGACCTCTTGTACACGCTCGTACTCGACATCTCCGACGCGATATGTCCGCTCCGACCGATCGACAGAGGCCCGAGCGTGCAATTCCGAAAAGCATTCCGAGCAGGGACCGGGACGCCTTACGAGCATCCCCGCTTCCGGCCGCAGACCCCCATCTCGAACACCATGCTTACTAACTATCTATGGGCAGCTGCGCTGTGCCACCAGTTCCTAGCTTGCGCCGTCAGGCGGGGAACGAGGAGTGCGAGACAACGCTTTGCCCTATGTCTAGCCCTATGTCTAGCCCTATGTCTAGCCCTATGCCACGCCATGTCTCAGTGGTCAGGAACCATAGATGACGTCGCGATAAATACCGACAATGGTACAATAGGAGCTCGGGCTGTATCTAGCTACCCTGCCATACCAGCAAAGGATGGGTATCTCCAGGAGACGCCATATCCAAAACCAATCCGGGTCTGAACTGAACGAACAATGCGCCGAAAATATGCCACCCTTATCTCAGTCCTCGCTCACCTCTGCCGCCAGTATTCCTCTCCCTCCTGCGTCGAGTGTTCTCAACACTCAGCAGCGTCTCCCTCTCCTGCTCCCCCTCCTCGAGCTCTCGATCAATTGCCTCGCGTATGCGCATGAGCTGCTCCTCTGTGATTCCCCTCGTGTTAACTACGACACTAGGTGCCCCCTCCATGTACCGCAAGTTCTCCATGGCTTGCTCCACCAGCTTCTGCAGCTTCTGTGGCGTATTAAGGTTTTCATGGCGCTTCGTGTTGTGCAGGTCAGGGTACAGGATACCGCCACCATTCTCCTCGCCTTGGAAGGCTTGGATGTAGGGAATGTGGGCCGGTAGCTTGCTATGTAGTTCCGCGCCAACGCAAACCGACGTTTCATGGCACCAGGTGCGCGCGACGTTGCGCGGGGTGTAGCCGCCTCCGCCAATAAGGAGAAGCGGCCGCCCGTAGCTCTTGACCGTCTCGACGCAGAAACCGTGCGCCTTGATGTTGAGGTTGAACCTACCAAGCCTATCTCCGCCAAGCGAATCGGCCCCAGATTGCATAACGATAGCCGTTGGGTTATACTTGTTGATTACAGCGCCGGTGATAGTTTTAAAGAGCCACTTGTACTGGTCGTCGTCGATGCCGTCGTCAATCGGGATGTTGAGGCTGTGACCTTTGCCACGATTCGTCGGATCCGTTGGCCCCATCTCATTGATATTACCCGTGCCAGGAAAGAAGGGGTAACCGTTTCTATCGATACCGAACTTATGGTACGAAAGAGTGAAGACGCGGTCTGTGGACTCGAAGGCGGCCTCGACGCCGTCGCCGTGGTGGACGTCGATGTCGATGTATAGCACGCGTTGGTTTTGCGTAAGTAGAAGCTGGATGGCGAGGACGATGTCATTGATGTAGCAGAAGCCCGATGCAACGTTCTTCTTCGCGTGATGCAGGCCGCCGGACCAGTTGATGGCGATGTCGGATTGCTTGTTCAGCAAGTTCCAGGCTGCATTCATAGAAGCGCCACTGTAGATTGAAACATAGTTCCACAGGCCGTCAAAGACAGGGCAGTCGTTGGATTCGCCACCAAAGCCGAAAGAGAGGTATGCAGGGTCATCCGGTTTCGCATTCTGAGGCGTGACGCTGGCAACGAGGTTAGCAAGAATAGCTATGGTTCGTGCGCGAGAACCTACTTGCTGAGGAATGAAAGGTACTCGCGGTCATGGAAAATGGCCAGCTCGTCGAAGGTTGCTGGCCTTGGTTCGTACAACTCCATGCAGTACTCTAGCCCATAGGCCAGGACGAGCTGCTTGGTGAGAGTCAAGCGCCACGGCTTCATGGGATGACTACTCCCGAAGTGGTGGTATTCAACATGCGGGTTGTAGTGAAAGGAGACGCTGTAGCCTTTGGGTTTCTCCATCCCGTACTCCTCGGCCTCGCGCGCGATTATCTGCCGCTTCTCGTTATCGCTAAGGATCTTGAACGACTGGAAATCTGCGGCGAAGACTTGATCATCTGGCGACATGTAATGCTCGACAATGGGGCCCGAGTGTCCATTGGATGGCGTGCCGTAGCCGGGGACTCGCATGGCAGACTTCCCCACAACAGGGTCGAGCTTGGGTACCTGGGTGAATCTCTTTGGGTACGGGAGTCTTTGGGGTGTCCCGTCAGCTACCCACCGTTGCACGTCGTCGTTGGTTGGGATAAAAGGGTTAGTGAATGAATGAGGCTTGAGTTCTTCGAAGCGGCGCCTTTCCCAGCGAGCCCGAATAATAGGGTCGAAAGCGTCCGGGGTAGACGACGCTCTAGCACGCGACCTCTGCGCGTTTTTGGTCTTCTTCTCCGACAGTCAGCCGAGGCGCACACGATGCAGAACTGAAAAGACATACCTTGGGCCTCGCAGGTGGGGTGGGTCGGACGGGGATATCCTTAATAACCCACTTGTTCTTGCGCGCCGATGAACGAGTGCCGGTGTTCGTAAATGCAGCCTTCTCCGGCTTCTGTTGTGCCTGCTCGTACTCTTCTCTTAGGTTGTCATCTGTGTATTCGCCGCCGCTGCTCTCGTTGTCGGCGTAGGAAGAGTCGCTGGACTCGGTGGCCACGCCCTCGTCGCCATCTGAATCGTAATTGGCCATGCTGGCGAGAAATGCACGTGAGGGGCGCCTAGTGGCGGGCGATCTGGCTGCTTTGTTAAGCCCGGACCTGCATGGGGAGACCAACGTCGGCCTACGACGCGTCCAAAGGATATTTAAAAGTGTTCGAAACAAAAGAGTCGTATTGACGATATCTCGGGTAGTGATTGCAGAGTGAAAGAGTTGGAAGGCAGCCAAAAGTCCGAGTCTGTTCTTCTGCCGCTGGGGCTGCTTCCTTCACTCGGGCGCCATTTCGCACACCTTCGCACCACCACTTCCATCAAACCTTGATCGAAATCCATCAAACGCTCGTCGAATTCGGACTCTAGTTGAGCTTCTATACCTATACCAACCAATACCTGGTTACCCCAAGCCTCCTTTAGGGCTAACTCGCCCATCATGGCAATCGCAGAGGATGCCGCCACGGTGCTGGAGCAGTTCATTCACGACGGTATGGGACATTCACGAATATCTACGTGACGAGCTAATTGCCTTGCAGTCGCAAATCTTCCTGCCGAGATAACACATCTCTACGAAGAAGTGCAGGCGAAAGACCAGCAGATTCAAGAGAGCAGGAGCATAATTGCGATGCGCGACAGCAGCCTGCAAAAGTTCATCAAACTGAACGGCAGCCTTGTGCAGAACCCCAAAGAAGAGCCGTATTCAAAGATCATCTTGCAGCACTATGAGCGAGCGCAGATTCTGCAGGAAGAGAAGATTGGGCTGGTGGAAAAGGCGGCAGCTCTCGTACGTATTCAGATGGCCATTTAGTTTATCACCTACTCACGTATGGGCAGATGGACCGGCAGGTCAAGCGACTAGACATTAAATTGCGGGACCTGCAAAACGACGGATCCATTCCCACGGATTTTCAGATGCCCTCGCTGTTGCGGGACTCCCCTAACAACAGGGTGCCGCCATCCTCGCTGACCAACACCGGGGCGAACACACCGCTCCAGACTGTGTCGGGCAACCAAGGACCTGGCGGCCCCAATCTTGCTCATGCTGCCATCGCGCGGATCACGAATGTGGCGAACATGAACGCAAGGAATCACCCGAACCTACAAAACATGACAGCACAGGCCCTGATGAACCAGCAACGGCTCGCCAGCCAACAAAACGCGGCGCAGGCGAATGCGCGACAAGAACGCGAGATGTCAGCCAGCAGCGACAGCAAGCGTCGGCGCCCAAACCTCAACACGGGCCCGCTGCCTGGACCGCCGTCTTCGTTAGTCCGGCAATCCTCGATTGGCCCAGGAACGCCCAAGCCGTCGACGCCGGGATCGCGTGCGGGCAGCGTGGGACCCAAGGCGCCGCAGAAGCACGCCCTTACGGTGAAGAAGGCGAAACCTCAGCAACCGCTGCGCAAGGCGGCCCTTACTGCGAAGTCGCGGGACAAGAAGCGTCGCAAGGGCGGATCCAGGGCGTCGCCGTCGACGACGGCTGACGACGAGAGCGTGGCCAGTGAGGCAGGCACGGAGGACGAGGAGATGTCTGGGGCCGGCGGCGGGGAGAACGAGGAGGAGGAGTCGGACGACACCAAGTACTGCTTCTGCCAGCGGGTCAGCTTCGGCGACATGGTGGCATGCGACAACGACAACTGCGAGTACCAGTGGTTCCACTGGGACTGCGTGGGCATCAAGGAGGAGCCGGTGGGCGACTGGCTGTGTCCGGAGTGCAGGAAGCAGCCGGCGACCAAGATCAAGCGGGCGCGCTAGGTCTTGACGTGTTGGAGTCAGCAGATTGTATGCACGGGATTCTGGCTTGCGGGGAGTCGAGGGCGCATAATCGATAGGGAAATTATCAGCGTGGGCGGGCGTGGCGTTGGACTTGAGAAGTGCGCCGGGACCGGCGGCGGAAGGGGCGTTATGTCACTACTCTTGTCAGTCTCCTGAGAAGGAGAGGGTATGTAGAGTCTCGGCGAAATGAATGGCGAGTGTCCACCCTTGTGGCCGGTGATCGCGTGCGCGTCGGGATGGGCTCGACTCTCGACTCGCGCCGTGCGCGCAGGGGCCGCAATTTCCAAGATTGCGGTGTTGACAGGCGCGCGAACACCCGCCGCCGTCTTGTCGCGCGCCGTTGGTATGTACTGTGACTCTCAGACATGCACACTGCGTTCCCGCGCTGCAGCCACTCTTTCTCCAGCTTCCGCGCTGTGGCTCTGCGATACTAGATGCCTGATGCTGCAGACAGCAGTGCCACAGCAGTGGTACATACTGTGGTAGACAGCCCGGCGGTTCGCTGCCCACGGCCCCTGCCATTATTCGTTCGGCCGGGCCTCTGCCTCTTAGCGCGCGATCCCTCCAGCGCGCCGCCCGGCCAAGACGCAGCGAAAGGGGCCCCATCACCGACATTTTCAAGGTCCACGCTCCCCTTAAGAGTCGCCCTTTGTCCTCGCGCGCATCCGCTCCCTCCCTCGCTCCCTCGCCGCCCGCGCTCCCTCGCTGCTGCTCCGCGGGCTCTTTGACTAGACGCTGCCGCTGTCCCGACGCTCCCTCCGACTGTGTTTCTGCGCTCTTTGTTGTGTCGCCGCCGTCATTTCCACATCCGCTCGTGAGCTGCGTTTCGGAGCTGAGCCGAGAGAGCCCACGCCCGACTCCTCCTACCACGTCCCGGGTTTCACCTGTGCCCTGCCAGCAGCCACGGCGACGCCTGCATGGGCAACCACCACTGACGCCTGCCTACGCACTCCGACCCGCACTACACGCACCGCCCAAGAAGCTAGCAGCAACCGCGGCCGCCCCGTGAAACACCACCATGAACGGCCGCAATGGCACCCTCTCGCCCGTCTCGACCGACAGCCAGGACTGGTCTCCCATCACCCGCTACCAGAACATCACCGGCGACAACCCGTACTCGCCCACGCTGCCGCCCAGCAACCGCGGCATCACCCCGCCCACCTCCGTCCACAGCAGCACCAACACCACCGATGGCGGCATGCCCAATGGCATGCCCATGTCGCGCTCCAACGGCAATCCCTCGCCGCCCAGCTCCGTGGGGCGCTCCAGCGACGGCACCGGCCTGTACGCCCAGAGCGTCAGCGACGCAAACATGAGCAGCCGCAAGATGATGGTGCTGGAGGAGACGCTCGCCGAGCACTTCCGCGTCTTGAAGGCCTATCTGGGGCCCTATCTCAACGACGAGAAGGGGAATCCGCGCCCGAGCAGGGCCAAGGACAAGCTCACGCGCTTGTCGGCCGTGCAGTTCCAGGAGCTGAGCACTGACGTGTACGACGAGTCGCTGCGGCGGGAGCAGGACCGCAAGCGCGGCGGGCCAGGCGCTCCAGGAAACGACACCCCCAAGTTCCTCCTGCCCAAGAACAACTTCCACCCGAAGCGCAACCAGGCGCGGCAGAAGCTGTCGACGCTGCCCCTCGAGCGGTTCCGCCAGCTCGCGACCGATGTCTTTTACGAGCTGGAACGGCGCTTCCCGCGCTTTACAGGCGCGGATATCCCGCGAACAGGCAGTCCCGCGGGCAGCATCATGAGCCAGACCAGCAGAGGGCCGCCGAGTCGGGTGGGCACGCCGAACAGCATGCGCGGGGGCCGCCCGCCGCCGGGAGGATTCCGCAATGGACCGCCGCCGCCTGGACCGCCAGCCCCGCCCGGTGCTCTCAGGCCCGGCTCGCAGACGAACGAATTCGGGCGCCCGCTCCCTAAGACATTCCAGCAGAACACGATTGTGCCGAACAAAGGGACCATGGTGGAGGACGACGACGATGACAGCGCAGCGGACGATGACGACGCTTTTAATCTCGAGGGTGCGGCGGCTCGGCGCCAGACGAACAAGAGTGCAAAGAGCGTGAGCCTGGCGCAGGAGAAGATGGTTACAGACCTACAAAACCACGTGTCAGAGCTGCAGGGCAAAGTCGGCTCATTAGAAGGGACCCTGCGAGACAAAGACGAGGAGCTGCAAAGGCTGAAGGATGCGGATAGAATGCGGGATAGCAATTCCGCCACCCAGCGCGCTGAATGGGACGACCTCCGCTATTCCCTCGAGGAAAAGGTTGAGAAGGCCGAGACTCTCAACTCGTCCCTCCGCTCCGAGATCGACAGGCTACGCACCGAAAATGCCGACGTTGAGCGCAACCTGCGGGCTCAGATAGCCGATCTTGAAGCAACTCCTCGCCAGCAAGCATACGATAGCGGAGACGGTGAATGGAGGCATCGGTGCGAGGAGCTGGAGCGGGAGTTGAATGAACAGCAGCAGATCACGGAGGAGGTCCGCAGAGATGCGAAGACGTTCTTGCAGGAGATGAGGGAGCTGTCGTCCCGCAGCGACGCTGCTCTGGAAAAGGAGGAAAGGCTTGCCCACCAGGTATCGTCGCTAGAGGCAGAGCTCAAGGACTGGAAATCTCGGTATGCTCGCGCCAAGACGCAGCTCCGCAACCTGAAGGCCTCCTCCATCGGTCTGTCTTCGCTCGCGTCACCCGATATCAGCAACTATACTCGCGACGCTAGCTTTACCACCCCAGACGGAGCAGTGAAAGATGTGCATGTCACGAAATTCCAGCTCAGCATCGACGAGCTACTCCAGGTGGCGCGGAGATCCGACCCCGAACAAATCCTCGAAAGCATGAGGCACGTGGTCAAATGTGTCCGCGCAATCACCGGAGACATCGACAATACGCCTCTTTCGCAGCTCCAATCACCAAGCAGCAGCGTCAACGGTGATGTGGCAAGCCCCGAGAAACAGCAAGCGAAGCTCAAGTCTCGGGTCAGCGCAACCGCCAACAATCTCATCACCGCCAGCAAGAACCACGCATCTTCTGGCGGACTCTCTCCTGTCAGCCTCCTGGACGCCGCCACCAGCCATCTTTCTACCGCAGTTGTGGAGCTCGTCAAGCATGTCAAGGTGCGGCCCACTCCGGAGGACGAGCTCGAGCGCGACGAGGACGATGACAGGCCAATGCCCTTGAAGCCGAATCCCTATTCCGCCTACAGCCCGTACACCCCCAACAGTATCAATGGCAATGGCAACGGTGTCGGTCTGGGCCTTGGTCACCAGCGCCATCGCAGCAAAGGGGGCAGCAGTGCTTCCACAACCTATAGCAGCTACAGCTCTCCGTACAGCGGCTATGACCGCCAGAGCTCTGGGATGAATGGCATGGGCTTCGAGAAGGACACTGGCATGACTGAGTTCAAGGTATACTAACCCGCTCTTACTAATCGGACTGGCGTTCTCACACGCTTGTAGAATTACCTCGAGGACCAGACGGCTCTCCTCGTTCAGAGCATCCAGCCCCTTGTCAACATGATCCGTTCTTCGCCAATTTCTACCCCCGCGGACGAGCAGCAGATCTCCGACTATATTCAAGACATTTCGCGTGCTGTGCAGGACACCGGAACCCGGACCTACGATGCCGTCAAAGAGCTTTCAAACCCGGCGCTCAAGAAGCACGCGATTCCTGTCGTAGAAGTCCTTGAAGACTGCAGGCAAAACATGCTAGCGGTGGATGTGAGAGACGGTGGACGAGAGAGAATACCACCGTTAGCTTTCAAGACTGCAAGAGCTCTAAAGGTAAGTAAGAGGCACAACCGTTTTGAGCATCTCCATGCTGATCCGTTCCAGGAACTCGTCCTCCGCGTCGATCGCATCGAGACTGGCGAGCTCACCGTCGACCAGATGCTCAAGAACGACTTTTAAGTGCACCGCTATTCCCTTCGGCCGTTCTGGATACACCCTTCTTGTTTCACTTATCGAGCAACGCTTTTCCCTTTGTTTGGTACATCACTCGGGTTTGGCGTGATGTTGGGGCGTCGATTCTTGTGTCCTGCCGAAAATTTCCCTTCAACGCTTCTATTGGACACCTAGTCAGTTTAACTTGACGTCGCGACGCTCATTGCTTTGGAACGATGCGAAGTATTCAGTATATCCGAAATTATTTTTAGTGTCTGTATGGAGACGACCGTGGATGTTTCTCTTTGCCTGTATGCGTCTTATACCATATATCTCGTTTAGATAGTGGGCATTATAGTACTAAGGCGTATCTTGTGTGGACGGTGAACCCACCTTGATAATTGGAAGCTGGGTGTGAATGCGGCTTGTATGGATTTAAAAAGACTAGCGAGAAGAATAGAACCACGTGGAATGCGAGTGACGGCCCTGATTATCTAGTACTGCTTTTTTCCCTTCACATTGCGCTTGAAGCAATAGGTTCGCTGGGAGCGGAACAGTTTACACAGCCTGTGGAGATGCAGGTAATGTATCGGGAGCGCCCGAGATATTCGTCACAGATCTTTCGGGCGCGATCTTGGTTGATTGCGATCTTCAACGGATAGATGGCGGGATTGCCTTGCTCTATTCAGTCGGTATTACCCGCCTGCTGCCGTAGTCGAGGTTTTCGAAACAGAAGCAGTAGAGAGTTTCATTCCGTTTACCCGGCACATCGTTCTGCCGCGTAATGCCTTGACGCCGTAGAAACCCGCGATGTGTGGCGTGTGGTTTCACCGCGCCACACCTTCAAGCTTTCCGCCTGACAACGCCCTGCGTCCCCCAACCGGCTGTCTCTCAGTACCCACGCGGGCAATACCGCATGACCTCTCGCAGCCGTGAAGCATTGCCGTACAGAAGCTTCTGCTGCAGCACCAACACTCTCGGCGTTTCGTGATGACGTCACGCGGATTCGTCACGAGTAACTAACCTTGCGCCACACTCGGGCTCCGACTAATGCTTGCTCCAACGCTAATCACCTCGTGGCTCTCGTTCTCATATATTCTCCCTCTACTGCTTCTTCAACTTCTCTCCTTTGCCAATCAACGACTACTTCGGAATCAGGATTCGGAGGGAAGCCGGTCGTGTCTGCATCATGGCGTTCCCCGGTTCTGCGAATCACACGCATATGCAGCTCCCGCCGTATAATGACCATATTCTTACCATCACAGAGAGGTCATGTGCGGATCCATATGTGCTTTGGGACAAGGGGACTTATTATATGGTATGGCGCCTGCATGCCTTCTTCACTTTTGGGAAGGGAGCAGGATGGGGTGAGAGGTGGTGGAATTGACTGACATATGCATTAGACCTTCACGTGCGGCGACCGCATCGAGATATGGTCGGCGGATAGTCTCTTCGACTTTGAGAAGCGGTGTCGTAAGGATGTGATATGGTAAGAGTGTGCAATCAATCCATCTCTGCGTATCAACAGTCATCTTTCTACGCTCCGCGCCTCTCTTGATCTCGTCGTCATCGGTTCATTCTGCTTTCCTTACATTCGAAATAGACCCGCGAATGAGCCCTACTCTAACTTGAATAGGCGCCCTCCACCAAACACACCCTATTCCGGCGACCTTTGGGCACCCGAAATCCACTCCCTTTACGGTCGCTGGTATCTCTACTTCGCCGCCGACGACCCCGCCCAAGGCAACCGCTCCCACCGCATGTACGTCCTTTCCGGCCCGCCATCCGATCACTCACCACTCGACTCCTCCGCTTGGTCCTTCCACGGCCGTCTTGAAGGCATGCCCCAAGATCAATGGGCCATCGATGGCACCGTAATCTCTCTCCACGGTGGCCTCCTCTTCGTGTACTCAGGCTGGCCGCTCGCCACCAGGTCCGACGAATCGAAGCAGGAGATTTACATCATCGAGATGGCGTCCCCGACACAGTGTACTGGCCATCCTATACGCATAAGTACGCCGGATAATCCATGGGAGTACTCCGGCAAGAGCGGGATCAATGAGGGACCGCAGTTCTTATGCTCTCCGGATGGAAGATGGGCGGGAATCGTGTATTCTTGTGCGGGGAGTTGGACACATGAGTACAAGATGAATGTGCTGTACTACACCGGTGGGCATCCGCTAAGTCCGACGAGCTGGGCCAAGTCGAACCGGCCACTACTGCAGGCAAGCCGCGATGACACGCCACCGTATGGGCCAGGTCATGGGAATTTCGTCGCAGTCAATGGACCCGGAGGACAGGAAGTATGGGCCGTATTTCATGCGACGGATGCAAAGACGGGGTGGGAAGGCAGGAAGGCGCGAGTTATGCGTGTGGGGTGGGGACAGGGTGGCCCATTTATGGGGGATGGGTATTGTGGGCGGTGTTGCGGGGAGGTGAATCACTTCTTGTATGGATGTAATGCGGGAGGTTGCGGCGGCCAGGGGCACACTGGCGGCTATGGAGGGAACCAAGGGCACGGTGGAGGTGGAGGAGGTGGTGGGAGCGATGATCTGAAAAGAGAGGTCAAGGCGCTCGTGGGTGAGGGGAAAAAGTTGTTTGGCAAGTTCTTCAAGTAGTGGATACACTTCCCTCTGGGCTTTCCAGCCTGCATACTCCAGTTTCTAGACTCGGGCAGAGGTGGATGTGCCGCCCCGGCTTTTTCAAGCCTTCTATATCCATCAGCTTTCTCACAGTCGGGCAAACCTGCCAACTCATAGCCGACTATATTGTGTTCCTCTCCTGTTTCGCCTGGCTTTCGTTCTTTAGTCTCCGAGATCATGGGCACCGTATGGAGGCGGCGAAAAAAAAAGTAATTAGCGGGGTTGCGGGGCTTTCCTAAGGCTGAGGCTGCAGTTTGGTCCGTCGATGCCTAATCGGTTCCGAGGAAAGCGACTCCTCGTCAGTGAAGCTCGGCGCTTTCCATCTTTGAGATGCGCGGTAGACTGTAGAGGGAAGTATGAACGAGAGATGCGAGGGATGCGCGGACCGATGGTGCATGCCTCGATCCGCAAATGGTCTTAGACTAGGCAACACTTGGCTTTCTCGCAAGCCAAGGAGTGGAGATTATCGCCGTCTGAAAATATATACTCCTTGATGAGAGTTGCTCCTCACAGACAGTTCATCGATCCCAATTTTCTCCACTCGGAAGTGCTTTACTCCTCCCCGCACTTCGCAACGATGCGCCATCTCCGCTACAACGTCGCCACTACGCTGGATGGCTTCATCGCCTCCTCCTCCGGCTCTACGAGATGGATCATCGAAGACCCATCTATCGACTTCGAAAAGCTATATGCAGAGTTCGATAAGTTCGTCATGGGTCGCAAGACATACGAAACAATGCTTGCGTACGGAGACCAAAATCCGCTTAAGAGCAGAACGAAGGAGGAAGTCGTTGTTGTGAGTCGGACGATGAAGGAGGAGGACCACCCAGAACTTACTGTAGTGAGGGACGATGTTGTAGGTTTCGTGAGAGGGTTGAAGAAAGACGACGGAAAGGATATATGGCTGTTCGGAGGCGGGGAGTTGGCGAGGGCTTTGTTGGATGCAGGTCTGGTGGATATCGTTGAGGTGGCTGTAATGCCAGTGTTGATTGGAAGTGGCGTGAAGATGGTTGCGAGCGGGGATGGAGAAAGCCGAGCGTGGGGACTGAAAGTTGCAAAGGTTGAGAGATTGGCGAGTGGGATCTTGATGTGTAAGTATGACGTTGGTATAGTTGATCGATAATTGGATAAGGCATGATGGTAGTGACCTTTGGCAAAGGCCATAGGTTGAATGTTTTCAGGCTCCGCCCTCTTCCTGCGCTTGCAGCTCAGCAGTATCTTCAGCCTTCTTTTCCTCCAGACTTAGATCCCCCTGCACCAAACTCGCCAAGAAAGCGATAGTAGCGAACACGGCGAACGTAACCCATGTTGAAGTAGGCAATTGAGGAATACATCATGTGGGGTGAGGTGTATTGTATTAAGTGTATATAGCTCCGAGAAATCGAAGAAATCTCTGTGGCGCCAGTGGCGCTAGTGCCCGATTAGGAAGCTTGGCGATTGTACTCCAACAACCCACAGTATTTTCAGGCCCTTCGCCATAACCTCCCTATACACCTCCTGCAACGAGGTTGGAAGACTTTTGATGCGCCCACCGGAGCCCTCGGTAGCATGGCTTCTAATAAGGTACTGCTCGGGTAGGCTTCCAGCCTCAACAAACTGCTCCGTAAGCGTACTCCACCGATTTTGGAGGATGCTACCTCCTACACTGAAGCTGAAAGCGTCTCCGAAAGTGGCGAAGAAAGACACCATTGTGGTTGTGATAGAGACGTTGTTGAGCGCTTGCTCAACTTGAACAGCGAGAATGCGACCCAAGAAGATGAGGAGGCCCTCAGTAGCAAGAACAATCCGGTAGTAGTGTGTTTTGCTACATTTGCCTTCGGCTTTAGTAACGCGAGGAGGCCGGTTCCAATAGAGACGGAGACCCAAGCGAATACGTTCAGCCATTTGTACCGTGTGGAACGCAGAATGGAATTGTCGCAACCCCGGGAAGGATTCCCATAGCCGAATGAAGCAGACTGTAGCCACTAACAATGAGGAAGTAAAATATGAGGTGGTAAGCTAAAGCCCAGAGAACAATGCCATGAGCCCACGTGGAGCAGTACACCGATGCGGCTGTTCGAGTGCGAAAAACGGCGGACGGAATCATTGGATCAGAATCATTGGATGAGAAGCGAACCTCTATTCTTAGATTGAAGCGAAGACCAGGCCGAGAGAGCGAATAGTAACTGCGCTGATAATGCTCGCGTGGGACTAGTGGTACGACACGCCGCCGCCAGTTATACCATGGAGGAGGGACGGCAGGGATGCGGTGAGGCCGATGTAGTTAATCTTCAATAGCTGAGATCGACTGACTTTGAGGGTCGTGAGAGACGAAGACAGAATTTTAGCATGAATCCCGCGAGCACGCAGAATGGGAGGTTGGCGTAGAAGATCCTGTCATAGGATTAGGGTTTATCTCACCGTCTGAGTTACTGGGGGACTCACAGCCTCCAGGTAGGCCCTTTAGCAAACGCAGCACCGAGGGCCACATCAGGAACAGGTCTCACGGCTCCAGTCAGATTGCACAGGCCCGCGAAGGTGCCACGATCGTGAAGAGGGTCCCTATCCGAGACCGGGGCCTTCACCATGGCGTTGATACCACTACCGGCCAAACCTTGCACAGATTCTACACATCAGCAGCCGTAGGTGGTGTTGATTACGGAGAATAACCCACCACACGGCTAGGCACCAGTCAGATGATGTTCTGTGCTACTGCACAGAACACGCCACAACGAGAAACAATCCTAGCGCAAAGAGCATCGTTCGCTCGTGCCCCCAGATCTCTTGAACTGCCCCATAAATCGGCATTCACGGACTCTGCGGCTTTAGCAGTTCTGATGTTTATTGCAGTGTTACTTCCGGTATTGCGAGGCAGGCTTTCGTGCGGTCATGCAGGAGGATCATGCCATTTCTGCTGCGCGAAGGCGATGGCCGAATTGCAGCCGGATGTGCCTCTCCAGATTTTGAAGTGCGAATTGCGCGTATGATACTGAATGGATAAAGAAGCGACGAAAAGGGCCATCGAGTGAGAGTGTTCTAATGAAATGGTGACGGATTAGGTGAAGCATCGATGGGATTGTTGGCGGAAGGATGGGAAGGGTGGCCATAAAGAAAGATATGATCTTGCTTAGTAATTGTTGGAATTCACGATACCCTAAGCGATGAAGGGGGCCGCACGGAAAGCCATCTGAGAGATGATCTGGAGGCAAGTAGAGCCAATGCATGATTGCCTCTTTCCCATTGCTAATGTGAAAAGGACAAGGATTGTCGGTGCCACAGACTCAGCTTCATCTATCCCCTTCTAAACAGTCCGTGTGCTTCAAATGTCTCCGAAAGCTCCGTGCCATCCTACCCCTCATAAATGAGATTATTGAAAACAGAAGACATGTCTTTTCGCCGGCCGACAGCAAGGGCCTAGTCACCGGCCCATCACCCTGACCGCCTCATCACTCGGCCTTCCTCCCCGTCCCCACAATGGCCTCAAAATCCATAAAGAAATGCTTATCCTCACCACCTGCATGCTCAGCAGCAGTCTTCCTCAACTCTCCAGTAACATCCTTAACCAACTGATGCTTCTTACCCTCGTCCCATCCCGCCGCAAACAACTGCAACGGCATCCACATCGTATCCGTAAACTGCTGCGGCGTCCCGCAATCAATGCTTCTCCTCCCCTTCACCGTTTCCACATCCGTGAAGCCTGCATCTTTGAGTACTTGCTCGACGAACTCGGACGTGTTCCACGCGTGGCCTGCGTGGATCATGGAGTCGACTTCGGCTTCTGTGGGGATGGTGGGCGGGTTGGGGAGCTGTGAGGTGGCGTGCGAGATGAGAGGGTACCATGGGAAGTAGACCCAAGTGCTTATGGCGATGAAGCCGCCTGGTCGCAGGAGGGAGTGGCAGGCTGAGAGGGTGGAGGGAGGAAGGACAAAGATGCCAAAATTGATGAACAGATGCGTGAAGCTATTCTTCTCCAATTGTATGTTCTGCGGGCTTGCATTAGCTCGGCCTCTACATGTGAGCGTTCGAGAAGAGGCATCGTGTTAACGTACCGTTCCATCCACGATCTTCGTCTCCAACCCCTTCCAGCCCTCCTTCTTCCCTCTCGCCTTCAAATAATCCAACATCCCCTGACTGATATCACCACCGAGAACCTTCACACTGTCCCACTTTTGCTTCGGCAGCGCCTTGTAAATCGCCGCCGTAACGGCTCCAGAACCGCATGCGAGATCGAGAACGTTAGCTTCGCCCTCAAGCTTGTCGATGCCCGCTTTCTGGACCATGATTTCGGCGTAAGGTCTTGTGGCACTTTCAGCGCGAGAATATTTGGCTGCGATGTCAGACTCGTGCCAATGCTCTGATGCCTTCTCTAAGACCTCTGCCTGCTCGGCGGTCGTCATTGTGTTAGTATCGAGTTGTTTTGAGGAAGAGATTGTGGATTGCTGAAGTCGGAGAGCTCGCGTGGTAAGTGAAGGGGATCGCAGTATTCGTATCATGTATATTCCTAGTTTCCACTGGAGGCGTCCAGGTCTTTTATATACGCCCAAGTTTGGTTGTGTTGCGCTCCTACACAGAGGCTCCAATCAACTCGTGATCCGCTATACCTAAACCTCTACAGTGCGGATTAGCCTAGCCGAGTTTGGTCATAGGACCTTCTGTGCACCTTGTTGCGTTGGAGCATAGTCATCTTCTAAGCGGAGACTTTTCCATGTAGCCTTAACAAACGGTCCTAGCGTACACGAAAAGTCTCCGAGCTACCACCGCCACCCGCCAAATACATGTCGGCCTGCATTTGTGTTACTGGATTGCGGCCGGGAAACGAGCGTTTGGGGCGACTGCTGCGAGAAAAGAGGACTTTGTTAGTCTATTGGTTCTGGTTAAATTAATAGATTCGAAGTAATGGCAGTATGATGGTATATACCTCCCTTAGACTACAACCATAAATGCTTCTATATCCGAGAACGCCGTCGCTATGGTCTCGAAACACTTTTAGACTGCCTCCGACTCGGTAGCCAGCCAATCCCCGAAGTAGATACAGGTTCTCGCTGAGATGTCTCCTTCGTCGCCGCAAAGATCGAACACTGGACAATTGCCGCAAGGCGCATCGACGAAGCCGTTGAAAACCTTTGTGTCCGTGGCGCTCAGCACCGTCCGGTAGTTTGTGCCAGAGATCTTTTCCAGTCGTCCATCAAGAACCATCATCTCGAGGAGCTGGTCCATGTCCGCTTCGCGCACCACCTTGCCTTTGATCACCTCCTTAGCGTTGAGCCACTCAGCTACAGACGCAGCGGTGGGATAGTGTGGGTTGTTCTTGTGTACGACCTTCGTCTGGTGGGGATGCATTGGCGGCCGATATGGTCTCACGGGAGGTGCATCTTCAATGTCCCGCACACGTTGGACGTGCGCCTTCTTCTGCGCAACCGCAGCGATTCTGTGTGCAGGCGCATAGTCGTTCCAGTTGCCTGGGACTTTTGTGCAAGTCTCCTGCTCGATGAATTGCGCCACCACGCCAGATATGGCCTCAATGAGGGCGGTGTCGAAGTCGCCTTCGGATTGCCAGGGTCCACCCGCAATGTCTTCCGATGGACGAAGGTGTTTCAACAGGTACATCTTCCGATTCGGAAACTTGACACTCATGACGGACTGCACCAGATCCTTCGACTCCAAGCTCTTCAGGCATTTTGTCAAGACCTGCTGTGTAACGTTGGTCCGCATTCGCAGGGCCTTGGACCAGATGCCCTCGCTTTGGACCTGGTCGATGTGGTGGTAGAGGAGGCGCTCGTCGGGGGTCAGTCGAAGCAACCTATAAAGCGCGCGGTCAGTAAGGCGTAGCGGAAATAAATCGGTGGTCTCCGTACTTCTGGGCCTCTTCCTTTGAGCGCAATTTCCAGCATGGCTCGCCGTCAAACGTCATAAGCTTCATCAGATGGCGGTCGCATAGCTCCTGAAGCAGTGTTGTGAGCTCGCCCATGGTTTCGGCAACCTGCATGTTGGACAGGTCGCGCTGGAAGAATACAGTTCCCTGTGGTTTCTCGGCGCATTTCTCGTACAGCAGGTCCATGCGATTGACGGCTGGGGGCTCTGGCGGTGCGCCGTCTTCTTGCTTCGGCGCCGGTGAGGGCGCCGCCACGGATGCAGAGGCCATGGTGAGCGGAGAAGGCGGTGTGTTATCGATCGATCATGAGCGACGGAGGAACCGGCCTGTATCGCGATAAAAGAGCTGCCAGCGGCGTTGATTGTGCGCAGCAGCTGAATCATCACCAAAAGTTCGACGTGGGTGACCAAATTTGGTGGCTTGGCAGTCCGTGCGCAACTCCCAATCACGTGCGCAGACTTCATCTTAATCCACGGATATACCTCGAACTTCATCCATTTCATCAACCCTATCACGCAGCGCTTCGACACAAATAACGAGGATCTGACGAGCAGCTGGTATTCACATGGATGCGCATCATTTCGCTCGCATTTGTCTCCGTGACTAAGTGCCGCTGATGAAACACAGTCCAGCAAAGCTTACACTAGCTTTCCAACCGCAACCCACCACATCGCCGTTACTGGAGGATCCTGCTCTCCCTCCTCCATCTCTTCCATCTTCCAATCCTTCGGCCTCACCACTCCCGGCTCCACCACCTCCCACCCATCCATAATCAGCACAATCTCCTTTCGCGGTCGGAAGAGCACTGGCGTCGGCGTCCTGTTATACACGTCCTCCACCTTCTTATGAGCTTCTCTATCCCGGTCATCTGACGTGCAGTGCGTCATCACGAATGCGCTCTCTTTGACCAGCTTCTTCTTCCAGAAATCTAGCACGGGGACGTATTGCGGTTCGTGGAAGAAGTGAATCAGGGCGACGTGCATGAGCGCTACTGGTTTGCTGAAATCGATGATCCGCTTTGTTTCCGGGTGGTTGACAATGGACGTAGGGTCGAGAGCATTGCCCTGGATCATTCCAACTTGTTCCGACCATCCCGTCTTCTCAATGAACTCATTTCCTTCCTCGACTACCGTCTCTTCGATATCCACGTACAGGATCATCGCCTTCGGTGACACCTTCAGCACCGTCTCGTGTGTGTTCCCCGCCGTCGGCAGCCCAGAGCCTACGTCGATGAACTGGGTTACTCCGTTCTTCGCAAGCCATCGCACGGCTCGTCGGAGGAATGCGCGGTTTTCCTGGACGAGTGGCTTGATGTCTGGGATGGCTCTCTCGACCTCTTCGCCCGCTTGGCGATCGACAGCGTAAGAGTGGGTTCCGTTAAGATACCAATCATACATGCGCGCGACGACTGGCCGTGCGGGGGCGGCCTTGGACCTGTCGTGATACTCATCAAGACCATTTGGATGGACTTTGACTGCTGACATGGCTTATTTAGTTGGGAATGGTTTGGAAGCTTGGCTGGACGAGGAAAATGGGGTGGGTGGCTGCCTTCGCGACGAGCGGCTTCCCCGTCCTTATACCTAGCCTTTCCTTCATCCAGGCGTCCGCTGCCGTAAGAAAATAGCGAAGCTTGTTGATGACGCTATCCGACATAGGAAATCCATTTGAGTCATTTTGCGAGAAAGGCAGACAGAGGGAAAATTCTATTTCTATTACGCTAGCGCGACCTGGGGCTCCTATGTAGCGCGCCGACATCAGGCAATGTTATGCTCATTAAGCAAGGACAGCGTCGGTAGGATATCAAGCATCACCTACATGTTCCTGCAAGCTTGGTGTTTGAATTGCCGCTCGCTGTTCATAAGAGATCTGCAAGCTGAGCTCAGCGAACCAGGGTGGTTTATGCCGAATGGGCCAGAAAATGCGAATTTCTCACAATAGCCACGTTAGCCGACCATCTATCCCAGCTGTGTAGTGGAAAATATGTCTTTTCGATTCTGTAAACAAGCATACATAGTCAATGCGCAATGTTGACTGGATGAGTGGCTCCGATCCTCATCCTCTCATCGTTCCCCAAAGTCTCCACCCTGCAAGGCTTGACAGCCCCCCTCGCAGGCAATCGTCACTAATCACTTCTGGCCCTCGTCGCTTTTCTTTCATCCCTCGCCTCACTGCCACCCACCCATCATTCCGAAGCACAGTTTCTCTGCCTCCGCCTTCCGCGGCCTTCCATACAACTTGCACACCTAATATATGGCCCCAACCAACAGCACAACGGCCCAAAATAAGAGGCACATACAGCCTTCCGTTTTGTTACTCTCGTCCCTCCACATCAATCCTCATATAGTACAGCTCGAGCGCTCTGTTCAGCTGCCTTGTCTCCTGCTCCTCGTTTTGTGGTGCATTTGTGGCCGCGACTTCGGGTTCCGCAGTCTCGGGATAGGGGGGGGCCACAGGCTTGAGGGCTGCCACGGAGTGTGTTCCGTAGTAGTGCGGGAGCACATGGCGCTCGGGTTTTTAGGACGACATCGTTGGCCTCGCGAATGCGGTGGATGGTTCGTTAAAAGAAGAGGTGTCCATGCTCGGCTAAGGTGCTTGTCGAAAAATTCGTAAGTGTTTTGAAAGAGCGGTGTCGGGAGTTGTTTTGTTGATCGGGCATGAGAAAGGAGAGGGAAGGAGGCGTTGAAGTGTATCTGGCTGACGCATGCGGTGTCCGGCTGGCTGATGCCCTTGTCGTTTTGCTCTTTGCAGCTCAAAGGAGGCTTCTTCTTTGAGTGATATGATAGTTCTTGCTTGCGCCGTCATGTTTCGCAGCGGGAAGAGTTCGACCTAGCTAGCGATATATATAAGTTGGACTGGACGTGGAAGTCAGAAGACGATAGGTGAGGGAAACATGAACTCATATAGCTAGCCTTCGTAGCAATACGCACTCCTTTATCGAGGATGATACCCGCCCAAAACCAATAGTAGTGACCGTCACGGCCGTTCCATTCCATAGTTCCAAAGACAAATACCGTCCCCCGGCGCAATCGTCCCAGACAACGAAATAAATATGAACGGCAAAGAAACTTTTCTCATCAATCGCTTATCTACCCACTCAACATACTCCCAAATCCCATGCCAAAGCTCCCCTGCGGCGGAAACCCGTCCAGATCGCTCCCCAAGTTCGGCCGCCACTCACCTCCCCATTCGCCCCCTCCATCAGCTAAGCTCAGAAAGTCCAGGTGGTTCATATTATCTGCCTCACTGAGTGCTGGTATCTCGGGGAAGTGAACATTTGCCAGCTGCGAGATCGAATCTGACGTATCGAGCTCCGCGCCCATCCACGCGTTTCGAGGCCCTGAGGTTGAGAGAGTGGAGGTGGAAGGCGTCTGGAGTGTATGCTCCAAGCCAAGAGTCTCGGATAGTGGGTGCCAGGATGAGATTTCGGAGTGAGGCGTCACCATAATAAAACCATCACCCCTCTCATTCTCCGCATCGAATCGGGGCGGACACGGCACCGGCTTGATCGTCAAATCGATATTCGTCACGCTCGTGCTCATGCTCATACTGCGCTTCTTACTCACGCCGGTTCCCGCCCGCGGCCGACTTGTCTGCCGCTTCTTGAACAGCGGCGGGTCGTTGGCATCGTTCGTAGAGCCGCGGCGCGCAGGGACCAAGGAGGACTTGGGCTTGTATAGCTTCAAGCTGCTGATATCGGGGCCTTCGCCACGGAGCTCGACCATGACGGCGCGCAGGACGACGGACATGCGTTCTGCCGGCTGATACGTGTAGGCCATGTCGTGGAGGGCGGCGGAGAGACATTCCAGGTATTGCATGTTGTTGTTCCGATCGTTAGGGTCTTTGATGAACGCTAGAGCCGCGACGAGCGCGGTTGCGGCAGTGCCCTGGGGAGAAATTAGGGACTAATGCCCGACAGACAAGGGGGTATGCGAATAGAAGCCAGACTGAAAAGGGGCTTACTCACCGCATGCTGCAGTCCCGTGACGAATATCTGCTTAGTATCGAAGCGCTGACGGTGCTGCCAAAAGATTCTAGCCACGCGGATTGCATGCTTAGTGCACACAGTGCGGGATAGCGCGGAGAAGTGGTCGTCCGGCCCGTTCCCCTCGTAGCTCTGGTTGTTATGGTCTTCGTACATGGCGAACGGGCGATGAAGCAGAATAAGCGAACTATGATACTGCTGGTGCAGCAGGAAGAACGAGAACGGGGCGGTGGCGATGTTCGCTGGCGTCCACCGGAGCTGCTCTGGCAGTCGAGCATACCACGTGCTGAACTCGCGGTCCAGCGCTGCCATGCGGAGGTACTGGTTTCTGTCGATGATGGAATCGGGACTCTGCGATCGCGGATCCATGTTCTCGGTGATCTTGCCTGCGAGCTCCATGAGGTCGAGGAGGGCCTCGTAGATCTGTGTTTCCAAGCTCTTTTCGGGACCGGCGGGTCGGCATGTTCCTAGGCGTTCGAACTGCTTGGTTAGGCTATATATTTCGAGGTCGGCGCTCTTCATACTCGTGGGTCGCCCAAGGAACAGCGCCCAGTATCTGAAATGGTCAGCATCCGTTATCTGCTTTCGATAGTCAAGGGACTCACTTGTCGTAAATGACACAAGCCCAAAGCGTCATCTGCCGAATCTGGACCTCTCGTTCTGGGAGCCCGGAAAGCCGCGAGTCAAGGTGGAGACTGTCGAACCATTAGTCGATGGATCTTCCTTCATTTTGGTATTGCAACTCACCCAATGTCAAACGCGAGTCTGACTGCAAGGCCACCGTAAAGCCAGCCTATGTTGTCTCGGCCGACCCCGCATTCCAGGTCTCCCAAGAGGAGAAGTGCAACAACCGACGGAATCCCACCCGGCCTCTCCAATTCATGGTCTAGCATATACTTGGCCTCCCTATGTAGTGTGCTCTCCATCTGCGGACACGAAATCTTCTGCATATCACTTCTCTGCTTATCGGCAAACCGGTACCCCATCGCCAGCACACAAACATGCAAGAAGCCCGAGTAGAACTGGGTTCTCCCGGCTTCGCGATCCTCGTTGAAGGCTTCCTGGTGCAGCACGTGGATGACGGGGTTGTAGCACTGCCAGAAGAGATGCATAAGGTAGTCGTATGTCTCCATGGGGAGAGAGCGGATTATCTTCTCGGCGCGCCGTGCTTGCTCGGAGACTTGTTGTTCGGTGTCCATGGGGTTGCCGAGTTCGGAGTGCACGTGGCAGTTCGTTGTAGGGCCGAAGTATCGCAGCCGGCCGCTGAGTTGGTCGAAGCTGAGGTGTCCGCGGGTGGAGAGAAGTCTGCTTACCATGCCGTCCTTCTTCGGCGGAGGAAGCATGGACGGCGATCCCGTGCTATCTGTTTCGCCGTGGTGGCTACTGGTGTCGTGCTCGTGGTGGTCTGCGTCGGCAAAGTCGTCTTGTGGGCTCGGTTGGCTTCCGGGACTGGAGTGGTCATTATGGTGTTGCTGTGTTTCTGTGGCTTTGCGGCTGGGGGAGAGATCTTGGTCGCGCGGTGGGTGGCGGGTCTTGGGTGGGTGGTTTGCTGGAGGCGCATCTACGCCCTGCTCTTTAAGCATGTGTTCCAGCAAAGCTACTCGATCTGTGAGCGAGCACATGTATGCTCGAGAAATTGGTCTGTAAAGGGGTTAGCTGGAGAAGGGATTGGGAGCCTGGATGACGTGCCTCCGCCGCTCGTCGTCATTCTTGATTATGCATTCCACACCCGATCGCTTACACTGCGTGCAGTCTTTCTGTCCTGGAGGCACGACGCACTGCCAGGGCGTTAGCTGTGGCATGCACTGGGGCTCAAGCAGCAACATACGCGAATCCGGCGATCTCGGCACGAAGCACATGCGACTGAGGCTCTGTGTCGCGACTTCTGAGGTTTCTGGGGTGGTTGTGGTGCATTCTGGTTCTGTTCCTTGCCGTTCTCTGCCACGGGCTTCGCGTCACGGGCGTCGGTCTGCTCGGCCATGGCCGTGGTGTTCGGGGCTTCTTCGTGAATGGTCTCGGTGGCCATGTGTCCTGCTGATTTTGGCTATGTTGTGTCGAGGCTGATGGGAGCAATGCGATGAAGGGGGATGGACGAGGAAAAAGTGCGGGGAGATTGGGGACGAGGGCGCAAGCAGGCGAAAGGATGTCGATAAAAGCGCCGTCTGGTCGGGACGCTTGATCAGCCGGGCTTCAGCTACCCAGCTAGTTGGTGGTATGCAGCCTCATCCATGGACAACGCGGGGCCCCACCTCCACATGGACGATTGAGAGTCCGTCCGGCGCAGGCTTCCATGCCCAAGCCGACTCGCACAAAATCGTGCTCGGCTACCTGGGGTCGATACGCCGGAAGCGGAAAGCGTGGTGCGGGACGTAGGGCGTATAGGTGATAGGGACCTTTTCCATCGAGCCGAGCATGAGGGGAATCCCGGCAACGGAACCACTCGCTCATCGGCCTTCCATGCTTGTGCGGTCACAGGGAGACGTTGGGGTCACAGGGAGGGGTGGCGGCGAGGGAGCAGGCGTCGTCGAGTCCAATCACCGGGCCCTGGGCGGGCCGTGGCTTGCTGGCTTGCTCCCATGCCATGGGTCCGGATGCGCACGACTCATGCCGGCCTGGAGAAAGCGGCGCGACACAGTCATGCACGCGGCCATTTCCACCCTGACGTGCGCGCTGTGATCGCCGGTGATTGGCTATGCGGAGTCTCGGAGTTGAGTTTGCCAAGCGTGTGCGGTTAGTGAATCATCAGCGCCCGCATAATCGGCCAATCTCCGACCCTCCGTTGCTCGCGTTGGATGCATATCTCAAGTCACATAGTCACATTTCAAAGTGGCGCCTGTGTGGACTACCGGTATATGGCAATGAAAATGCTAGGAGCGGCCGTAAACCCAAAACGCACAAATGCAGACACTCGGCTCGGCCTGCCGACTAATCGATGCACCACTCGTGGTCAGAGCTTCTGATGTACGGGCTCAGCCCGAGCACGTCTCTCGACGCCGTCGCCTTCACATCGCCGTTGCCCAAGAACGCGAACCTGTTTTTGTACCTGTACGTGTACTCGTAGTCCTCCCAGCGCGGGTCCTTGATGCTCTTGAGGAAGTGGATCGTCTGCGACGCTGCAACGTTAGCACTGCTTGCCCCTCAGCGCGAAAGCGGGGTTCACCGCACGAATTCCTGAAAAGGGGCCCACTTACCGCGCCTGGCCACAGATAGATGCGGTTCTTGATCTTCCCGTCCTTGAACCAGCTGCGACACTCCTCTTGCCACACCGTGTTCTTGTGGAACTCGTCGAAGTGCGCGTAGATCTCGTCGAGCGCGTCCTGCTTGACCGCCATAGCCTTGATGCCCTCCGTCTGCATCTTCTTCATGCACTTGACGGAGTACTCGATCGTCGTCTCGATCGACGGGATCAGAGTGCCGTTGCTCCACGTAGCGCCTGGCCCGACGATGGTGTAGTAGTTGGGGAATCTAGGCGCTGACACGCCAAAGTAGAGGTTGGGGCCGTTGGTCCAGTCCTGCTTGATGGATTTGCCTTGGCCATTGATCACTGTGAAGGCGGGCTGGAAGGCGACCTGGAACCCGGTAGCGCACACTACAATGTCCATCTTGTGCACCTTGCCATCCACCGTCTCGATACCCTCGGGCACGATGCGCTTAATGTGGTCGAATACCGGAGTCACATTGTCCTGCACCAACGCCTCGAGATAGCCATCACCGGGTGAGATCCTTCGGCACCCTGGCGCCCACTTGGGAATGATGAACTCCTTCAGCTTCTCGTGGCCCGGGCCCATGCGGCGGTTCATCTCCTTGGTGATGACATCGCGGAACTGGTGTGACAACTCCGAGCCCTGCTTGTACATTCCGAAGAGGCTGTTGATCTCTGCTTCGATGCGCTTGCGGAAGTCGAGATGATATTCCGGATCTTCGCGGAACCTCTTGATGTCGGCCTCGGTGAAGTCGTACTGACGCTGTCCGGGATTGACATCCTGGCCCTTCTGCAGGTCATTGGTAAGTGCGCCGGCCCCAAAGGGTGGAGAGATCCATGTCGGGCTTCGCATGTATGCCTGCACCTCCTTGCAAATCTTCTGTAGAGCGGGAACGATCTGAACGCTGGTCGACCCATTGCCGATGACGCCGGCGACTTTGTCGTTGAAGTCGACGCTGTGGTCCCAGTGCGCCGAGTGCATGATGGGTCCCTTGAAGTCATGGAGACCTTCAATGTCAGGCCACTTCCAATTGTTGAGGATGCCTGTGGTGGAGCATCAGTGCCGGGAACTTCTTCAAGAAAAAGTGATGCGTACCTGTGCCGTTGACGACGACATGTGCCCAGTCCTTGGTCACCTCCTTTGTCTGCGGGTTCTCAATGGTAATGTTCCAGATGCCCTCTGCGTCGTCCCATCGTATCTCCACGATCTTGCTGTTCAACTTCATGTACTTCTTGCTACCTGTTCTTGTATCAGCATCATATCCACCCGCAGCTCCACAAAGCCGACATACCATGCCTCTCGGCAAAGTCCTCGAAGTACCTCTGAATCTCCGCGCCGGACGCAAAGAACTGCGTCCAATCCGGCTTCGGGTCCCATGTGAAGTTGTAGTCGTGCGACGGAATATCGCAAGCAACGCCCGGATACGTGTTCTCGTACCAAGTTCCGCCAAACATGGAGTTCTTCTCGAAGAGGGTCAATTCCCACGATCCAGGCGTCATCATCCTTTCCATCTTGTATGCCAAGCAGAGACCCGAAGCCCCAGCGCCGCAGCAGGCAACCCGCAGCTTGGTGGGCTTCGAGTGGTACTGATCCAGGACCTTGTACGGGCCCTCGACCCGAGCAGGCGGATACTCGTACATCTGCGCGATGCCGTTCACACCGTTGAGGGTGGTAGGCATCTCTGAGGGTGCCATTGGGGCGGTTGCCGTACGGGTGCTGGCAGCGCTTCTGTCTCGACGCGTACAGGAGGGGGGAGGGGGGAGGACGGAAGATAAGCAGACGAAGACAGCAAGGTGGTGAGGCTGCAGTGCGAAGACTATAAGGCTGCCGGTTCACTGGAGCTGTCAGACCACCAGCGCATGACGATCAGACTCTGCTCTGGAGTCTTTAACCGTTCCTCGGTGGCTGAGGAGTCTTGCCTGCACAGGACGAGGCGTGTCGGAAGGACTTCCAGCAGAGTCGGCTTAAGGTATCCCGCGCCGCGGGGACCAAGCCTTGGGCGCGACATGCTACGCTACTAGGCTCATTTGGTCTGGCCGAGAGCATATTCCTCTGATCGGCAGTATGTCGCGGGTTGATGCAGGGCCTGGGGTATTGTTTCGCTGGAGCGTCGTGGACACGGAAAAGTAAACGCGGGGTCGGAACGCGTTGAGCTGCAGGGCGGCTGCCATTCCGGGGCTTATGTAACCACGGATGGAGGCTTACCCGATTGGGTGATGCCGTTCACCATCCATGTCCAGTTTCCACGAAGACGTGTCTGTCTCAGTCGCAAGATATATGATCGTGGCGTGAGGTGTCGGGTGTGGAGAGGCAGCTCTTCGCCAGAGCGTTGGCCATCCATACCTGCCCCAAAGTGAGGAGAGATACGACAAAAGACATGGTGCCTGGGAAGCTCCGGGCAGCGAAGAAAGTAGCTAAGAAGCTTTACTCAAGGAAAGGTACCGCTGCGGCCCGTCGTGAGCCGGGAAGAACGACCAAGGGCTCAAGAGACGCACTAGCCTTGGACGCGGTTTCCCATGACCACGCGATCAAGCCACGAAGAACTCATGCAGTCCATGGATGAAAACAACGGGATGAATACAAGTCTTCTTTCATACTATCCTATAACTTCGCCTTTGCACCTCCCATCCTCTCCGCATCCTTCTTCGCCCACTCCTTCAGCACCTTCCTCATAATCTTCCCGGACTGCAGCTTTGGCACCTCCTCCACAAATACGATGCCGCCCACCAGCTGCTTGTGCTTCGCCACTTTTTCCTTCATGTGCGCGTGGATGTGGTCTTCCGTGACACGTCCCTTATGTTCGTCCTTCAGAGCCACATATGCACGAGGCCATTCCTGGCCGTCTAATGTGATGCCGACAGCTGCTGCGTCAGCGATGGGGTCGAATTCTAGGAGGACGGCTTCCAGTTCGGCCGGGGCTACCTGGAGGGCGTTGACTTTGATGAGCTCCTGTTATAAACGGTCAGTATGCGCTTACTCTTCATAGGGAACGTGGAACGAGCTAACGCACCTTTTTCCGGTCGACGATCCAGAACCAGTCATCCTTGCAGACAGCAACGTCTCCGGACCGCAGCCAGCCATCCGGGGAGAGAGTCTCCTTCGTTGCGTGCGGATTGCGCCAGTATCCGAGGCAAATTTGGGGGCCTCGGACGTAGAGCTCGCCGGGCTGGCCGTCGGCTACCTCGTTGCCATCGTCGTCAAGCAGCATGCATTCGCAGTTCGGGTCGAGCTGCCCTACGCTACCGGAGCTGTTCATCATCAGCACTGTAATCTTGGGAAGAATGAGACTTTTTGGCTTACTCGTCGATATGGCCGCCCGGCACATGGATCGCGCCGCAAGTGACTTCGGTCATCCCCCAGCCCTGCACAATCTCACATTCCAGCTTCTTACTGATCTCCCTCTGCAATTCCTTGCTCAGAGGCGCAGCGCCGCACAGAATATCCGTCACGCTGCTCAAATCATACTTGGCAGTTTCCGGCCTCTTGCTCAGCATGACCATGATTGGGGGCGCAACCTGCAGATGCGTGACCCTGTAGTCTTGGATCGCTCTCAAGAACTCCTCGTACTGGAACTGCTTCATGATGTAGACGGGAATCTGAAGCTTTTGAGCCATGGCGATGGTGTACAGTTGGCCGTATGCGTGGTATAGAGGTAAGAAGCCGAGCCAGACTTCGCGTGGCCGGTTCGTGTGGTCCCATGGCTTTTTGAGGTAGCGCATGTAGATGGTTTGGTCTAGGTTCGCGACAAGATTGTGATGGCTAACTTGGACACCCTTGGGCAACCCGGTTGTGCCGGAGGAGTAGTTGACCGTTGCTGTGGTACTTGTGGCGTCTTCGTCGGACATGTCAGGGAAGGTGTATGCATCCGCGTCAGCAGGCGACGGTAGGAAGTCTCTCCAGTCACGGCAACCTTCTATTGACGCATTGGGGACATCGGAAAAGAGGAAAACTCGGCCATGTTGCAAGCCGGCCTTCTGCGCTGCCGCCATAGCACTTTTTGCCAGCGATGGATGTGCGAGGATATACTGTGCTTGCGTATTTGAGATTTGGTGGGCCATTTCTGCACAATGTTAGCTCGTCTATATTGAGTACGTGAGCACGCGTGTAGCCGCAATACGGACCCGACACTGTGTATGCTGGATTCGCTCCGCTAAAGATCCTCTTGGACCCCACGATTCCCAGATAAGCCACAGGCACAAAGATGTGATTTGGTGTGTAAATCATGACCACCTCTCCCGGCTTGCTGCCTACGCGGTCCAAGCCCATGGCGAGCCGCTTCGTCCATTGCAGCAGGGTCCTGGGCGTGAGGTGGTGGCTCGTGTCTTTCGCATCAATCCAAATCGGCGTATCCGTTGGCGTCTCCCCGTTCGGAAACAGATATTCCAGCAGATTGCATTTCGCGATATCTAGAGGCGGGTGAGGCGAGGCGAACGGCATGGTGTCCAGGCGAGGGAGGAGACAAGCGGTGCGGGCTCAATTGGGTATGATTGATTGATATGGTTCTTCCCACCGAGACGCAAGTACAGCAATCCTCCGGCAGCAAGCACAAGCGCGCCCATGTTGTATGCAGCTTTATAGCAACTGATGCTGTTGGTGGTTTAGCCTCGCTGCAACAGCCATCCCACAGCCGGCCTCGTCGGCGCCGGCGGCCCTTTTGGCTGGGGCCGAGGAAATCGATCTCCACACACCGAGCTACCCCATCCTCTGCTATCTACCCCGGCCGGCCAGCCCACGATGCCGCATTGCTTGTGTGAGGACCAGTTCCTTCTCTTCTTGCACAGAGTGTTTGTGGGAGGGTGATTTGCCATGTCTGAGCTCAGGAATTTCGATCGCATGTTCCGCCTTGACGGCAAGGTGGCTTTGGTTACTGGAGGTGAGCGCTTCGTGCTGAGACGACTTGGGATGGCAGTGCTGATCGGAGGCGCGCAGGATCAAGAGGCCTCGGGCTCCATACCGCCACCGCCTTCCTGCTCGCCGGCGCAAAGAAGGTCTTCATCTCGGCGCGCAAGAACGAAGGCCTGCAGGGCATCGACCAAGCCGTCGAGAAGCTCAACAAGCTCCCCGTCTCAGGCACGGCAGTCGGCGTCGCCGCGAACGCTGCCGACACTGAGGACATCGCACGGCTGGTCAAGACGGTGCAGGAGACGGACGACGGGCTCGACATCCTGGTCTGCAATGCTGGCGCGACGTGGGGCGGGCCCTTCGACCCGACGCCGGACTGGTCGAGCAAGAAGGTGCTCGATCTGAACGTGCGCGGCGTCTTCAACTTGGCGCGATTGTACGGCCGCCCTCCACTCCGCGCGGGCTGGAGAGAGCTAACGGTTGCCAGGTTTGCGCCGCTCCTCGAGAGAGCAGGCACGCGAGACGACCCCTCCCGCATCATCATCGTCTCGTCCACCGCCGGCACCACCGTACCGCACGTTGGCGACCATGGCACCATCATGTACAGCGTCTCCAAGGCAGCAGCACACCACCTCGCGCGCCAGCTCGCTGTGGAGCTCGGCCCGCGAAACATTACTACCAACACCGTGGCCCCCGGCTTCTTCCCGTCCAAGCTGGCCAACGGCTTGATCGAGATTCTTGGTGGCGAGCAGGAGCTCAAGGACTGGAACCCGCGCAAGCGGCTAGGAGAGCCTGAGGATATTGCCGGTGTGATGGTCTATCTAGCCTCACCCGCGGCAGCGTACGTCAATGGCGAGGATATCGCGGTCGATGGAGGGGTGCGCTACGCCCAGGGACGGCAATCGAAGTTGTAGCCATGTATTCATTTATCATTTGGAGTCGGAGGCACAGCCTCCTGGATTTGCTCCGCTTGCTTTAGGCTTCAGAATAGACGGGCCGCTTCTCACCGTCCCTACCATTTTCTATTAAAGTCTGAAGCTTTCCATTCTACCCCCTGGATGCTATCTACGCGCCGTTCGTCTTCCCCTTTGACTTCTCAATCCGCGCCAGCTGGTTCTCCATACACGTATACTTCATCATTGCCTCCATATGCGGATCACAGAACGCTCCCGGCTCCCTATAATAAACGCTATCCCCGGTGACCTCGACCGTTAGCCCGTACGCTTCGTCCGCCTTGATCCTCCTCCCCTTGTCATCCTGCAAATCACCCCCATCCACAACCGCCGTCACAGCCCGCACCAGCGTTGACATGGGGGTGAAATACTCGTCGGGAAAGCTCTTCCACTCCTCGCCCGTCATCAGGTTGGTCTTGATGGTCCCCGGCGCCGTAGCATACGTCCGGATGCCGTCTAAATGGTAGCAATACGAGATTGCGCGGTTGAAGTGAATCACTCCCGCCTTCGCGGCCGAGTACATGGGGCAAAACTCAGACGGGTACAAGCCGCCGCAACTCGCTGTCATCACCAGCGCCGGACTGCTCCCATCCTTCGGACTCTTCCTAAAATAATGCAGCGCCGCATAACACGTACTGACCACGGCCTTCAAGTTGATATCAATGCTTAGCTGGTTCGGCTGCGGCGGCGGCTTGCTTAGATCATGTTTCTCGTAAAAGTTGTCGCGCTCGACGATGCCTGCGTTTGCGAAGACGAAGTCGAGACGTCCGGAGCTGGAGAAGGCGGACTCGAAGGCAGAGATTAGGGAGGAGTAGTCCGTCACATTGGTTTGGTGGAAGTGTGCGTTCTTGAGGGAGGAGGCGGCGCGTTTGCCCGCTTCGGCGTTCAGGTCGATTAGGTGCAGGTCCCAGTCTTCGTGCGTGCGCGAAGAGAGGGCTTCGGCGACGGCGAGGCCCATGCCGGAGGCGCCACCGGTAATGAAAGCCGCTTTCTTGACCATGACGATGTGCTCAGCGGGAACTTTGCAGTTGAGGGGCGATCAGCGAGGGAGGCGTTAGCATGTACATAACATGTGGATATCATGATTGTTATGGTGTGTGGTTGCGCTACTATACGTACGGAGAAATACGTGAACTCTTTCTCCGCAGCGGATGTGTGGTGGAGAGGAGAAAGGAAAGGCACTTCCGAGGGGGGAAGGACGAGGTTGGGTGGCATCGATAACGCCCCTACTGTGTCCTGTCGAGCCCCTCACTCACCTCCCGTGCCTTTTTTGATTCAGCTCCTCCATGGTCCACATTTGAGATTGCTGAGCATCCTCCCAGGCTGCCAGGGCTCGGAATGAGCAGCATTCTTCGGAACGCAGCGCTGCCAAAAGGCGGCCCGTCCATTGCCGAGGCCCCCTGCACATGACGTCGCGCAGTGCGGAGACACCAGAGCTACTGACTCGGGTCCGTCACAGCGCGGAAAACAAACCGCGAGCGTGTTCATCATCATTCGGCCAACACACACGGCCAACCGCCATGGCTTCTGCGAGTAGCCCGAACATATTCGGAGTTAAGACTGTCGCCATGGACAAGCGTACCAGATCAGCTTTGCAGCAGCGGCGCGGTACACAATTTCGAGACACCTATACCCCTCCTCTTCCCCGCCTTGTGCATCTTTAGACCCCCTGGACGTTCGGTCTTTTCTTCACCTCTCCGGCATCTCTCTGCATTCCTCCTTGATCACCGCAAACATGGCCTTCCCGTGGTCAGCGAAGAATCTCCCCAAGCAAATCTTCATCAACAATGAATACGTCGACTCCAAGAGCTCCAAGAAGCTCACCGTCCACAACCCCACGGATGGCTCGCTAGTCGCCGACGACATCCCCCTCTCCGGCGAGCAGGATGTGGACGCCGCTGTTGCCGCCGCCGAGAAGGCCTTCCCGGTGTGGAGGAAGATGGCTCCTAACGAGCGGCGCAACATCATGTTGAAGTTTGCTCAGTTAGTCGAGGATAATGCGATAGCGGTTGCTGAGCTTACGCGTGTCTCACTGGGAGCCCCGTACAAGGCTTTCGGCGCTTTTGAAATTGGCCTTTGCGCTGAGGTATGTTCCACGTGCGACTGGAACACGGAGCACATGCACTAGGACATGGCTGATAACTTCCACAGGCATTCCGATACAACGCCGGCTGGATCGACAAGTTCGGAGGCGAGTCCTGGCCACAGGAAGACGGCTTTCTTAAGATCGTGCGCAACGAGCCGCTCGGGGTGACTGCCGGTATCGTGCCCTGGAATGGCCCCGTTGGCACCATCGGTCTCAAGGCTGGTCCTGCGCTCGCCATGGGAAATTGCTTCATCCTCAAACCATCGGAAAAGACACCCCTTTCCTCCCTCGCCCTCGGTTCCCTCATCAAAGAGGCCGGTTTCCCTCCGGGTGTCTTCCAGATCCTCTCTGGTGATGGCAGCACCGGCGCCCTCATTGCGAGCCACATGCGCATCCGCAAGGTCTCATTCACTGGCTCCATCGCCACGGGAAAGAAGATCCAAGAGATGGCCGCGAAATCGAACCTCAAGCGTGTAACGCTCGAGCTCGGGGGCAAGTCTCCCGCCGTTGTATTCGATGACTGCGATCTCGAAAACGCTGTTACCTGGACCGCGAACGCCATCACTGCCAACACCGGCCAAGTCTGCTTCGCCGCCTCGCGCGTGTACGTGCAGGAGGGCATCTACGACAAATTCATCGAGAAGTACAAGGAGGCGATGAAAGCCAAATCCAAGGAAGTCGGCGACCCGGAAAAAGAGGGCACCAACATCGGCCCGCTAGTCGACGAAGCGCAGTTCAAGCGCGTATCCGGCTTCATCGAGCGGGGGCAGAAGGGCCAAGGCAAGCTGCTCGTCGGCGGCCAGCGGATCGGCGACAAGGGATACTACATTGAGCCCACCGTCTTCACCGACGTCGATCCTAATTCTGAGATCCACTGCCAGGAGATCTTTGGCCCTGTGTCCGTCGTGCGGTCTTTCAAGACAGAGGAGGAAATCATGAAGCTGTCGAACGATACGAACTTTGGCCTTATGGCAGGCGTGTTCACGCAGGATATCAATAAGGCGCTGCGAGTAGCGTCGGAATTCGAGTCAGGTATGGTGGGTATCAACTGCGTGAGCTTGATGTTCATGACATCGCCGTTTGGTGGATCGAAGGAGAGCGGGTTGGGGCGAGAGTGTGGTATTCATGCGCTGAGGGCGTTTACGGAACCGAAGACTATCATGGTCAATCTGACCTACTAGGAGGTAGCAGAGCGATGAGTGGCGTATGTACAGTACTATTACGGTATAGAATGATGACTGTGAATGCCAATGCTGATTCATATGTTACGTTTTGTGCATTCTTTGGCACTTGAACCTCTACATGTATCATATTACGCCCAATCAGAAAATACAGTTCGATGAGTTGCAATGAAATGCTGGGAAATAAGCTCTCACTTAGTGCAAAACTCCATCAGCTTACAAGCAGGATGCCATGTTCACCAGGACCACGAGATTCACTATTCGCTATCTACCTCCACCCTAGGGAATAATCTTCGCCTTCCTCATCCGATCAAACACTCCACCCCAAGCCTGCAGCGTATCTCTATCTTCGGTGAATCCTGTTTCATACGTCTTTGTCATATCATACTGTCTGTCGAAGTCGAACTGCGTCATGAGGAAGTACTCAAACCCTGGGAATGTCATTGGAGAGTCTGCGTGACCGGTTTGTAACCCCTTTTCCTTCTCCAGCTTGTGCCACACGTCTATGTGTTCTTTGATGAACTTGCGCACCTCGGGCGGATTGGGGGAGGGACCGGTGCCCTCGAGGTTGAAGTATGAGCAGAGGATCGGCCATTTCTTAGACCAGGAAGACGGAGTCTTGGAGTCTGCGACGTTGTATCCTGTCCCCTTCTCCACTTTATCCGGGTTCAGCGAGAGGTGCAAGGTCTGCCGTGCGATCATGTCCGAGGAGCTGTCGTTGCTGAGGGCTTTCCAGCTCTTCGCAGTGCCTGGGAAGGGGCATTCCGCACCCTCTCCGTTTACGTCTCTCCACAACGCTAGGTATATCCCTAAAACCGTACCCAAGCTGTAGAAGTTCTGGTTCGGCACGAACCCGATGATGATATCTGGTCGCGTATCGCACCAGCTCCACTTCTTGTCTTTCGCGTATTCGGCCACCCAGTCCAGTTGCGGATGGTAGAAAAGGAGGTCGTGGTATGGTTGCTTCAGGCGTGGTTGCGATTCTTTGTGGGGTACGTGGAGGTAATCGGTCGGGTAGTTTTCGAGGAGATGACAGCCATCTATATATCCCTCCCATTAGCTTTAATACTAAGAGTGCAAGAGAAGAGAAAAGAAGGCAAAACATACACATCTTCGCCCCCGTCTGCAGCACCACAAACTCCAAATTCGCACTCAAATGATCCATTGCCATCGTACTCCTCTTCCACATTGCCACCGCCTCCTCCAACTCCTTCTGCATATCCGTGCCCGCCTTATACGCCAAATAATACGCATGAGTGACCTCGCCCACATCCGGAATCTTCTCTTTAATCGTGGCTTCGAGCTCTTCTTGGCTGCCCTCCAGTAAATCGATGCCGGACACGATGTTGAGGCGCGAATCATTTGGCCATTGTGATTGCGAATGGGAGAGGGGACGGTTCGTGAGTGCGTGTACGCGCTTCCAGATCCCGGGTTTGGGGTAGTCGTGTAGGATTTCATTTATGAAGGACCAGCCTGTTACGCCGGAGGCGCCGAAGACGAGGGCGGTTTTGGACATGCTGGAGGAAGCGCGAATTGATGCGTTGGCACTGGGGAGAAAATTCTAAAAGCTCATGTAGAATGTGGCTGGAGGAAATGAAGCCGCGCAGAGAAAAGACCTGACGTCAATAGAGGGCTAGAATTTGGTTCTCTCTTCGTAACCATATGCCACCTCAGAAACTGACCATGGTTCGCGTACAGATATAACTCGAGCGAAGTCGGAAGTAAACACTCCAACCACCACCTGCCCCGCCTAGAGGAGCTTAAGCTTCTCCAGAGAATCTGTGCCCCGCGATCAGGAGGTTAGTGTTCCCCTCCTGGGTTGCTGGGCGGCACATGATCTAGCGGGGCCAACCGAGCACCTGCATATCGTCAACCGTGTGGCAGCAGGCCGACGCATCCGACAACTCGCGCATGGAGAAAGTTAGCCGACTGCTTTCCGAAAGCTCCGAATCAAGGAATCTGTACCCCGCAGCGATTATGATTCGAGCCTCGGATCTGGAGTGCGTGCGGAGTCGCCCTAGGGGAGTTAGAGATAGGCGAGTACGAGAATTTATGATTCAAGGAAGGCTAACAGCAATTCACGATCGGATCGCCGTGCGCTGGGAGCATGTCGCTTCAGAAAGGCCAAACGCGCACTCGGGCTGAGACGGGGGCGGTCTGTTGAGCGCACAGGTTGCGGAGCATGGAAGGAACTGTGGTGTGTCCGGAGTACTACGGTAATCTGAGAGACAATGGGAGGGAGCATGCTCTAATGTACGCTTGGGACAAAGGAGCGAGCACTACCATTTGCGACCGCAGCACTGCGAATGTGTAAGGAGAGGCGTATGGTTCCAAAGAAGCGCCCCTAAGATAAGGTGAAGGGAGGCACATGCTCGTACTATGTTTCAAAACGTTTCCTGAGTCTGCATACTAAACTGGTGCTCCTTGGCCATAAGACGAAGAATGGAGGGCCTTCCATCGATGCCCCTACCGGGCCGTTAATGGAACACGTTCTTCTCTGCATTAACATCATTCTCCAAGAATACCTCCGTCTTGTTCGTCATCTTCGGTCCTACATCCTCGCACCAGAACACGCAAATCAAGCCCACCAACCCAAAGCTCAAACTGCTCAGCGCAACGATCTTCAACGCATGCGCATAGCTCCACTGGAAAGCCAGCGCTGCAGCAGCCAAGGCTTCTGCTGTAGTCCCTGGCACAGCTGCTATCGCTGAAGCACCGAGAGGGAATGCTGCGAGCAGCTTTTGTGCGTTTTCGGGCGTCATGCCAGCCGCGACGGCTGCGGTGGGTAGCGTGGAAGCTACACGGCGGGTTTGCGTGTTGGTAAGGATGGTGGTGTAAATGGCTTGGGCGAGAGAACCGCCTGCGTAGCGCGCCATGCCTGCGAGACCGCCCGAGAACCCAAGGTCTTGTTGGGGGACGCCCAGTTGGGTGAATGCCACGGATTCGTATTGCGCCCAGCCGAAGAAGGCTGTTATTCATTAGCCTTTAGTCAATAGAATGGACGGAAATTGAACACTTACTGGCATTGATGCAGCAAAATGCGATCATGACGCCCTTATTGAAGGGAGTGCAGAGACCCATGAGCGCGCCGAAGAGCGTCATTCCAGTCCAGGAGACGATGAGCGTCCACTTCCAGTGGCCGACCAGGTTGCCGAACGCGATCAGCAGGAGGGCGCCGGCGACAAGCCCTACGTTGGGTGGGAGTGTAAGAAGGAGCTCGGTGCCGCGCGAGGTCGTTGCCGTAAGGTAGAATACGTTGACCATTGTTGGCCTGCTCTCCATTAACACTGGCCTAATAAAATCGGGCAGAGGAGCATTGAGCTTACCAAATGATGTTAACACTGTAGTAAAACATCGTGACGATAAAAGCAACAATAAATGGAGCCGTGAACTCCCTTCCGTTGTGGCTGCGAAAAAGATGAGGCGGACAGAGCTTGTACGGCGTATTTGACACGGTTTCCCAGACGCCGAAGATCGCAATGAGCACAAGTCCCACTACCAACGGCGCAACGACGGTGGCATCAGAACTGGGCTTATACGTCGTGTTGATGATGCCAACGAGCGTCAAGCAGATACCCGGGACTACCACAGCAGTGCCGACATAATCCAGGCCTCGCCAGGCTTCGTGCCAGGGGATACCCTTTGGGTGTTTGGGTGGCTTGTAGAAAGCCCAGATGGCGGCGAGCGAGATGAATTGCGCGATGAACCCGCCCCAGTAGATGTACTTATACCCGCCACTGTCGATAGCATACTACAATTCTTGGTTAGTGAAATCGTACCTCGAAAAGGGAGAAGGAAAAGCTTACTCGTCCAACGATAGGGCCGATGATAACGATCACGAAGACGAATCCATCAGAGATGCAGACACCAATGTGGCGGTATTTGTTTGGGAGCAATTCGGGAATTGAGCACATGGCCATTTGACAGAAACCTCCTCCGAACCCAGTAATCGCTAGACCCGCCGTAAACTGGCTCGCGCCCGTTGCCGTTGCGGTGATAATGAATCCTATGCAACAGCACGCATTTCCAAACAACAGGAATAGCCGTCTCCCAAACAGATCCGAGTTTGCGCCTGCGAGCAGGAAGCCGATCGAGTTGCCCGTTGTATAAGCAGGTACATACCAGGCCATGGACGTCGGGTTGTTGAATATGACGGAGAGCTTGGATTGCAGGGCCGCGGTTGTAGGAACGGGCCAAAAGGACAAACCGAAAGTGGAAGAAAGGATGAAAATGACGAACCACGTCTTCCAGGTGATATCGACTGATTCGCCATCGCTGTTTTGTGGGACGGTTGGTGGAGGGGAGCCAGGAATGACTTCGACCTTTTCGATGTCGGTTTTCTCCAGTGACATGGAGCGGGCGGTGCTATCGTGAGTGACTTCCTCGACAGCCATGATGCAGGAGCCCGGAAGGTACGCGTATCAAAGAGATAGGAAGAAGAGAAGCAGCGAACTTGAGAGAAAGTTCAGTAGATCGTCCTTTAAATGATTGACTTTTGGGGAGACTAAGTCACTTGGACCCAACTCCCCGCACTCCGGATACGACCCCAGACAAGGACATCCCACAGAGCATCATCCTTGTCCGCTCAGAAGCCTAGATCATGCCTGGCGCACGGAGGACGGTTCCGGGGTGGTCAACGTTGGGGATTCATCACTGAATCATCGAGCCTTACCGGAAAGGGCCATGTTCGGGAAACTGGATATCAACTTCCGGAGATCTGCATCAAGGATGCGGTCGTCTCCAAAAACCGGTGCAAATGAGTAGGCGAGATAAATGCATCAAGGGAGCTGAGCGATTGGCTGACAGACACGGAATCTAGACTCTCTCAGGTTGACATTTCGGATAACTGCGAAAAGGTGGCTGACCCACGTCCGCGTGCAGTGTAAAAGCTTTCGCCGCGTGGAGAAAGACGCAAGGATCGCCTATCTGCATATCGCCTCCGCATGGCTGGTAACTAAGAAGCCAGTGTCGTGGCCATGGGTCCAGACTATAGGCCCGCGGAGACGTGGCCCTTGTCGCGGGTGAGCCCATCCGTAGCATCGCAGTCTGGGATCGCCTTCCCAAACACGATGTTATCATACCTGGCGGTTAACATAAGCACCGCCCAATTCAGGCCCGTTCCTTCACTCGAGGTCTCTAGGGCCAGGGAACGACTTACCCTGCAAAGACCTTAATACCGCTCGTCTTGTAGTCCATGAAGTGGTCCGCATCAGGCATCAGAGCTGGGCAACCTGTCAGTCTGGAATTATCTTGCTGATCACTGATAGTGGCATACCGGCAGCATACTCTGGGCTCGACGAGAATTTCTCCCAATCCTCCCTAGGCGGCGATCAGCATTTGGTTACGCATGGAATTCAGGCAAACGCACCACGATTTGACCCAGATCTGACTACACGCATCGTAATCCAAAAGCTCCATGCCTAGTGATCTGATTTTCTCCTTCATAGCTGGGGTTTGATACGTCTTCTTGGATTAGGACCGACGCACTTCTGCCAGTGGGTCGCACTCGCCTGCACATATCGTTGAATTTTGACGACGTTGAACTCTTTCGAAGCCACAGTCAAGTCGGCATGCACGTGGTTGTAGTGCATCTGGAAGTGATCATCGTCCACGTACGGAAGCTTCTTGAAGAAGAAAGAGAGCTTGATGCATGCTAGAGTCCGTCAGCGTGGTCAACTGCGGGAGGATTCAGGGGTGCTTACGCTGGTAGTTCTCTTTGGCATCCCACTCAAGACGGGGGCTCGAGAACTTGTGCTAAGCTCCGTTAGTGAGGGTGGCTTGCGAACCGAGAATGAGCCGAACATCAGTCTTGTTGTGCACCATGGTGTAGTAGAAGGTAAAGGTCCCCTGCGCTAGGAAGGAATCTGTTGAGCACGAACGAGTGATGGCATGCCCTGTAGTAAACTCATGACACAAATATAGGATGGTATTGAGCACCCACGGGTACACGAGTCCGACTGTGCCGCATAATGGGCTTGCAGCCGGGCGGGGTTAACCTGTCCATGGCGATCCAAGGGTGGAACAGTACTAGTGCACTGTGACCTGCGGCATGTGTTGGGGACGCATTGCTACACGTGGTTCTGGCAGGAATTCCATGACCCGAAAAAGGCGGACACAGGATGAAAGTTTGCAGGTCATTGGATTCGACATGTGGACACTATGCGGTCCATCTAAAAGATGACTACTTGCCTCTTCTCGGCTTTCCCTGCGTGCATGTCTGCGACCATTCGCGGAAGGTCCTCAATCTTGTTGAAATCAACATCTGGCTGGATGCTGCGTGAACGTTAGACGGTGCATGGAGAAACAGGGGGCGGTGTCGACTCACCTATGTTTGGCTGTGAAATCAACAGCCTTCTTCATCCGCTGGGGAATGCTCGTACTATCCGCCTTAATGCGATACCTACCGGTCGTGAGGTCGAAAGTGGTGATGAAGTCAAGAGGCTTGGGTGCTATGCCGATGACCATCAATAAGCCTCCAGTTCGCAGGACGTCTGGTGCGCCAGCATAAGCGGCGTTTGAAGCACTGTACACAGCCGCAGCGTGGACGCCTTTCCCATCTGTGAGCTTCTTCACCTCCTCCGCGTAGTTCTTGTTCGACATTGAGTTGAAGATGGCGTCGGCGCCGACTTTTTTAGCCATCTCCAGTTGCGAATCGTTGATGTCAAGCCCAATGACCTTGTAGCCCATCTTGAAGACGTTAGCCTGAAACATTAAAAGATGGGGGCGATGAGTTACATACTGCTTTTGCGTACTGGATCGCATATTGCCCTAAGCCACCGCATCCAATCACGGCGAGCCACTGCCCTTCCTTCAACTCGCAGCTGTCGACGGAATGGAACGAGGTAATGCCAGCACAGAACAACGGTGCTGTCTTCGACATGTCCAGGTTACTTGGGAGAACGACGGCATTTTGCCAGTCTACCACAGCATACTCAGCGAAGAAACCATCGACCGCAAATCCCTGAAGTCTTTGGTTCCCCGTTTCGCATCGCAGATTGTGAATCATGCAACCCTCGCATTCGAAGCAGCACCCGATGAAGTAGTTAAAACCGATTGCATCCCCAACCTTGAAGCCTTTGCCCTCTGCCTGAGGACCGATGGCCTCTATATACCCAACACCTTCGTGGCCTAGGGTGACCGGGTAGTCTGGGCGCATATCCATTATCAGGTCGGAATGGCATAGTGACGCGGATTGGATCTTGACGAGGAATTGAGTAGGGCTAGGTGAGGGCTTTGGTATGTCGTTAACGACAACCTTCTGCTGCTTGCTAGGAGCTGTCAGTCGTGACTCCGAGTATTGCTTAGCGTCTGACTTACGGATCCCATTGGCCGGCTTTCATCTTGAAGAAGCGCTACGCTCGGAAGGAAATGTGAAAGAAGTCGCGGTTTTGAGTACTGTGATGGTGCCTGTGCCTATAAACTCCTCGGGCTGCTGAAATAATCGGATGGACCTTCGAGGAAAAGTGTACTCAGCGGGGTCCGTTTTCGATGCGTGGTCGTGATCTGGGCGCGGTGCTGCTGACCCTACTTTCGCGCCCGCATGGCGGAAAATGTGCCCCGACATTGGGAGCGGGCTGGGCACAGCAGGTCTGCTCCGTGGGTCGGTAACCTTGGGAGACGTCGTTTGGCGCGGGGATGGGGACGCAGAGGCGGGGTTGATGGTCTGCAGACCCCTTGCACGCCTTGCACGAGTCATCGAAAAGCACCTGCCATCGACACATGATTCGCGTTGAACTTTCTCGCTATCTAGAGTTCACGCTGGCCGCGTTGCAAATATACCGATGGGCATTAGACGAGGCTACTACGCGGCGGAACTGTACCTCACGTGACCGTCGTTTCGCGGGAGGCGAGGAATCGTTAAATGAAATGCTCCGTTCCAATCGCCTGGCGTACCCCCTCTGGAGACGAACTTGATTCAATAGTGAGCGGTTATGATATCACCCACTGAACCCCTTCCGCAACGTTCTCATTGTACTCCTTCCTAGGCTCATCGAGCTTGGCAGATGGCCAGGTCCAGTGGTAGTGGGGGTATCCCCCGTAGAAGTCAAGCTTATTCGGCACCCTACGTACCATTAGCACCTAGTACCTGGAAGAGGGCCAGCGAGCCTACTTGTTCGCGTCGAGCTTTTGTTTGAACAGAAGCCCATCGTCTCGGAGCGTGTCGTGCCCAGCCACGGTAAGGTATACCTTCTTCAAGTCGTTGATCTTGTGGTGTAGAAGCGGCGAGGCATACGAATCAGTAGGTGGTGCACCGAACGCCTCTGCTTTTCGTTAGCGCGTGCCCTTCTAGCTGCAATGGAGTACTGACCCCAAAAGGCATGCAATGCGTCGGCTGTGTCAATGGTGTGATCTTTATGCTCGTCCATTGAAGTGTACTTGGACTTCAGTTCCTCTGGAACACCTGCTGGGTGTACTGTGGCAGGAACTTGCGCTACCACTCCGACAATGCTGTCTCCCAAACCCTCATCGATCGCCTTTAGCGCCAGACCAAGCGCAAGTTGACCTCCGGCCGAAACACCAGCTGTAAAAATCTTGCCCTCGATACCGCCGAGCTCCTTCGCGTTCTTCAGCGTCCATTGCAGACCACTCCAGCAGTCGTTGATCAGACCAGGGTGCTTGTTCTGCAGCGCAAGCCCGTACTCGACCGAGACGAGCACAACACCGCCGCCTTTGGAGATGGACCGACAGAACGGGTCGTCGCCGTCGAGGTCGCCCATAGCCCATCCTCCACCATGGTAGTACACACCAACTGGCTTGCCTCCAGAATATCCCTCCGGCGTGTAGATGCGCACCTTCAATCCGCCATCGATTGTTCGATCTTCCGTCTTCACGGCCGGGTCGGGGGGCGGGAAGGTATATTTGGTGACCATCTTTGCCCCAAGCTTCGTGAAGCCATCGATGCAATTCGAAATCGGTCCATAGAGCAGCGGACGCTCGCCGAATTCCTCCTCAAACTAGACCTCGTCAGTTTGGTCTCGTCTCGGAATTGGGTCTTGCAACTCACCTCAACCCAAGGTTTCGCAAATCCTTCAGCAGCCATTGTCAGCCAGCAGTCGCGTGCAGAAGTGTCCGCCCCGCCATTGCGAAGAACACTTCTTCTACACCATTGGATCGCCCAATCACGACGCGTTCGCTCCAAGAGTGTCGTGGTGGAGACTGTGTTCCGAAAGCTAGCGTGGAAAGGCGTCAGGGTCCAGGCTCGTGCCTCACGCTTAAAGACATCCGATCTCCCCGCAAACTTCCTCGGCCTCCACACATTCACGCCTGCGCCTGAATCCGGTCTAGCCAACCATGGGTTCTTTAGATCATCATCTTTTTCGTGCATTGCGCGTCAACATCCTCTATTCGCCTCCATAACTCATTCCCAGCAAGAGACCCGCATAATGGCTTCGAACATCAAGATGGACGGCAGCCCAGCCTTTGCCCGCATCCCGCCGTGGGTGAAGGCCAAGCTACGGCCGATTGCCATTGAGAAGATTCAGCAGGTACATGACTGGGTCGAGCACGAGTGCATCCCCGCCGAGCGCATCTACAAAGCCCAATTGAAGGGCGACCGATGGAAGACGCCCGCCATCATCCACGAGCTAAGGAAGAAGGCAAAGTCCCAGGGACTGTTCAATCTGTTCCTGCCAAACCACTTCGAAGAGTCCCCTGGCTTGACGAACTTGGAGTACTCATGCTGTGCAGAGATTATGGGAAGGGTGTATTGGGCGGCACAGGTGAGCTCCTCCGAAGGCTATTGAGTAATAGAGAACATATTGATCTGACAACATACAGACGATGAATTGCCACGCACCTGAGACGGGCAATATTGAGCTCCTTGCTAAGTACTGCACATCGGAGCAGAAGCAGCGCTGGTTATATCCCCTCATGAACGGCGACATGTCCTCCGCTTACAGCATGACCGAGCCCGACGTTGCCTCTTCAGATGCCACACAGATCGGAATAAAGATGGAGATCACGGACAAGGAGGTCATAATAAATGGACGCAAGCTGTACGGGAACTGCCAATACAACGACGAGATGCAGCTGTTCATCCTCATGGGCTGCTCCGACCCCAAGAACCCGAACCCCTGGAACAGACACACAACCTTGGTTGTGCCGGCGAAGACGCCTGGTCTGAAGCAAGTTAGGAATTTGACCATCATGGGCTATGACTGGGCACCAGAAGGCCACGGCGAGTACATCTACGAGAACGTGCGGGTGCCACTCAAAAACATCATCCTCGGCCCCGGCCGCGCTTTCGAGATAGCTCAAGGCCGCCTTGGCCCTGGCCGCATTCACCATTGCATGCGGCTCATTGGCCAGGCCGAGCGAGCGTATGAGCTTGCTCTCGTCCGTTGCATCGAACCCCGTAAGAAGCCACGAGGCAGGTTTATAGGCGACTTTGACAGCAACATCGAACGGATCGCCGAGATGCGCATGACCATCGATGCTATGCGACTTGTGGTTCTCAACGCAGCGGATACTATGGATCTACAAGGCAACAAGGCTGGCCGATACGCCATCGCGCAGAGCAAGATCATGGTCCCCAACGCTCTGCTGAAGGTCATCGACGAGGCGATGCAAATGTACGGCGGACAAGGGCTTACACAGCATACGCCGCTACCCGAGTTGTGGACGTACGCCAGATTTGTGAGGGTCGCCGATGGGCCAGATTCAGCCCACAGGCATCAGGTGGGCAGAGACCAGATGAAGACAGCAAAGGTCTTCAGGGAGAGAGCCGAGAAGTACACGGAGCGGTACAAGGAGCTCTGCAAGAAGTGGAATCTGGAGCCTGAGGAGTTCTGGGGTATTGTCTAGGTGCAAGCTCTGTTAGATCAATTGTACCTGTATACAGCCTCGCGAAATTCTATCTTCGTGCGCTTTCTCCCGCTGTTCGCCTGGCAATGCTAGTCACAGCTGACTCGTCAAAATCCGAGAGAGATACTCATAATGACAACCCCGCGGTTATTGTGTCCCGAGATCGCCTTAGCGTCCTGCAGAGAGCTCATCCTAGCTCCATCTCCACCTCGGCTTCAGGTTGGCTCGCGGCAGCATCGCAAATCGTCGGCGTAGAGCTGTAGACCTTGGCTCCGGACATGAGCTAGTCCCAGGCTAAGTCACTTTCTTCAAAAAAGTTCACGACATCTCACTCCCCCTCCAATCTCTGACTTTGCTCTGTTGCAAAAGGCTGGTGTTCAGCATGGCAGGCCCCGTGAGACAGCCTATTAGTATCCCCTCTCTCTCAAAATACATTGAGAAGAATGTTCCCGCTATCAGCACGCCGATATCTCTCAAGCAGGTGAGAAATCCACAAAATTATCTCAAGATCACCATGCTCAAAGCTTCCCAGTTCGGCTTCGGCCAATCCAACCCCACATACCTCCTCACCGACTCCCAATCCGCCAAATTCGTCCTCCGTAAGAAACCCCCCGGTACCCTCGTCAGCAAAACAGCCCACAAGGTCGAGCGCGAATACCGCATTCTCGCCGCCCTCCAAAACACCGATGTCCCGGTCCCACGCGTTTACTGCCTCTGCGAAGACTCCACCATCGTCGGCTCGCCCTTCTACATTATGGAGTTCCTGGATGGGCGAATAGTCACGGAGCCGCATTTCCCCGGCGTGAGTCCGAAGGAGAGGAGCGAGATGTGGCATGATGCTATTCGGACGCTGGCGAAGCTGCATAGGCTGGATCCGAAGAGCATTGGACTGGAGAGCTATGGGAAGCCGACAGGGTTTTATGATCGACAGATTAAGACGTTTACGACGCTGGGGGAAGTGCAGGGGAAGGTTAGTGATGTAGAGAGTGGAAGAAAGGTTGGCGAGGTACCGCGGATGAAGGAACTTGTAAGGTTCTTTAGTGATAGGAGGAGTCAGCCAAGGGATCGTGGGGTGCCGATTCATGGGGATTATAAGATTGATAATCTGGTTTACCATAGGACGGAGCCGAGGGTCATTGGGATATTAGAGTGAGTCCGCGCTTCTGTGTTTGCGAGTGGGAGAAGGCTGACAAGTCGTGTAGCTGGGAGATGTCGACCATAGGCCACCCGCTCTCTGACCTCTCTAACCTCATCGTCCCTTGGACCATAACCGCCTTCTCCACTGAGAGACGTAATTCGCACACCGCCTTCGTACCAGGGGCCCGTACTCCCGGCCTACCCTCGCGAGAGCAAGCCGTGGCTTGGTACGCTGAAGTTGCCGGCTGGGATCCCGTGCCAGAGCTTAGCTGGAGCACTGCGTTCGCTATGTTCCGAGATAGCATCATTTTCCAAGGGATTGCGAGTCGGTATGCAGTGAGGCAAGCGAGTAGTCTAGAGGCGAAGAAGGTAGGCGAGGAGATGGTGCCCGCGGCGGAGATTTGCTGGGAATTGGTGCGGAGGGCAAAGGAGGATAGGGGTTCGAGGGCGAGTCTGTGAATGAAGATAGCAAGGCGTTTAAGGCTACGCGTTAGAAACTTCCACACGATGTGTAGTGAAGGCCAGGCGCGAGGATTGTGTATACATGCGGAATCAAGAAACTTCATCATTGATTTGATATGGAACCATTGACAGTCAAACACAAATTCGAGTGATACATGATGCTTTTCCTTACCGTGTGTATAGGCTACTCCAAAAACTCCGCCTTTCCATTCTTGTACGCATGAGACCGTTTGCGAAATGAGACGTGGACCTCGTTAACGAGCGTGAACATTCCGTGATTCACCGCCGTTGCGCCAGTATAAAGAAAAAGGAAATAGAGGGAGTCATCGCTGATTTGTAGCTGGCGTGACAGATGAGCGCACGTTCCGTCGAATCTACTCATCGTCAAAGTCCTTCAGATCCGCCCTGCGATGGAAATGGATGAGGACGTAGTGTTCTGATGACTGGTTAGTTAGAAGCTTTCCATGCGTTCAGTCTATACTTACCCTTCTCGCTGGGCTTGTGCTTCATAACCGCTTTGTACGTAGCCAAACTCTTCACTCCCTTGTAATACCTCTGAGTATTGCTAACAGGCCCAGGCGCGATAGCAGTAATGACTTCCTCTTTGTTGACTGGGATTGGTTTGCCGCCCGGAGGAGGCTGCAGGATTGGTGGTGTAGGCAGCTTCTTCTTGTTGACCTCGACAGTATGCTCTTTGATGTCATCCTCATAAACGCTCTCGTCCATCTTCGGAGTCGAAGCTACAACTTCCTCATCATCAAGCTCGATGTCGTGTGGATAAGGTGTAGGGACGTAATAGTGATCATCTTCTTCGGAAGTAGGTGTCAAAGGAGGCAAATCATCGACATCCGGAGGAGTCGCGGGCGGCGTGTTCGGCTTCGCAGAGGGGACACCGTACTGCCAGTCGATCCCCGAGAAGCGCTTCGGTGTACGCAAGAACTCTGTGGCGCTGAGCGGCGGTTCGGCATTCCGGGCGAAGTTTTGGCATGCTTCCCACCAAGCGCGACCTTCTGGTGGGACTAATCTGCTATTGCGTCTTGACGCATCTTTGTGACCCTCTAGTACCCGGAGTGCCGCGGATGGTGCGTCGTTGACACTGGCATTGGACTCGTGCTCAAGGTGCGAGACACGGTGTTGAATGTCGAGCATGATAGTGCGATGAGCTGCCAGTTCCACTTGGATATTCTGGAGCATCTCGATGAGGAGTTGGTTGGACTGGCGAAGAGCGGACTTGGTCGTCGATTGCGATGCTACGGAGACTCGCTTCGAGGATATCATTGAAGCGCATTTTGACGTCGCTGGACTAGCGTTGACTAGATGGATCTTGGGCTCCATGATGAGGTCTGCCATGGTAGCTCCGGAAAGATGTGTGATATCCATTTTTGAGGCGGCGTCGTGTACGGACGGATAGGCGTAGGCGGACATGGGAGAAACAGGAGCTTCAAGCACGCTCGTCATGTTGAAAACAAAAAGATGAAAGAATCTAGATGAAAGCGATAGCTAGAAGCTATCGATGAAGTGAGAAGGAAATTCGTTCTTCGACAGTCGAAATGTCGAACCTAATCATGCTCCTACCATCGGGCTTTTAAGGAACGTCTCCAGACCCCGCCATCTCGACAACCCATCAAAACGCCCGCCAAAACGCCAAGTAGTCTAGGCGCCGAAGCATCGCATCGCCTGGAGTTGCTTCGGCGGTCTTGACATGCAGCATATTGCCCGTTCGGGTCTCAAATTGAGGCATTTCGCCTCCTTGAAGCTCCGCCGAGAGCGGCCAAGAACGCGGAGAGGCCTATCTGAGGTATGCTCTCGGCGAGCCAAGAGTTCGTCCAGACGTTGGTGCTGTAGATGTCCTACCGTGGGATGTTTCAGTGAGGAGGGTTGGCGTTTCGCACGATAGCGATCAGAGAAGATCGGACTCGGCGCTTATCGATAAGTGCTTTGAACGGCAAGGTCTAGAGAGGGAAGAGCCATCCCCTGGGCACTGCGTTGTTCTTGCCATCTACTCTTCTAGACTTGAATATCCTCGAACAGCTTAGTCTGAGTGAGGAGGATTCGTGTATGCCATTACTACTCGGTTCGCTGCTGGCTAATCTTTCGCATTTTTCTGTGGGAGACCTCATCATCTTGCACTCCGCTTCGTCATTAGAGCCCTTTGCATCGCAGTCATCGCATTCATTAACGTCGCCCTCGCCAGCAAGGCGCTTCTTCCTCTTCTCGATTCTTTTCCTTCTCTTCCTGAGGGTTTTCGGCAGGCGAGAGCCAAATCTGATGGTGCAATGGAGGGCGAGCGGGCAGCCACAGAGAGCGCAGTAACATTAGAAAGAGCCCATGGCCTGGACTGGTGTCACCTGGCAGGTGATTGAGGTGACGGGGCTCAGAACAATGAGGAACGGCGGGCTGGAGGGAGGGAGCTTTATGCCTACGAATCCTTGGGGTAGATGAGGGTCTGTGCAGACGGTCCGTCCAGCTACTAGCTGGTCGTGCCGCCATCAATCTCTTCTCATAATAGTAATTAGTACTAGCAATTAGGCATCAAAGCGACTATAAGGTGCGCCCGACTTTTGGGCGAGACTTGCATCGGATTGCGCGAAAACAGCCCTGGAATTCTCTCGGAACAGGGGCGCTACCCATACTACTCTTGCACTAAGGACGCGGAGCCAACGCTAGGCTCAATCAAGCTTCGAATCCACTCTTAGGGTCGGACTGGGTTTTCCTCTATCTTTGAGAGTCGACGTCACCCATCTCCGCATGCATGAGAAGTAGGCGTGGTATACCTCAAAGCCCAATTTTGAAAATTGTTTGTAAGCAGGCCTGTCCTCGTATCATCACGCCTTGCTACGAGTTGAAATCGCGGCCTTCCCGGAAACTATATCTACAGAAAATGCTATCCACAAAGAAAGGAAAAACTGCGGAGAACGCTCACGTTTCGAACTTGCAACAGCTATGCAAGCTGAGCCAATAACTGCTACAAATGCACATCATACTGGTACCACACCCTCCGCATTCAGCTTACAGCTTCGCCTGCGCATTCTCCTCGACAGCGACCTGCTTGCCGGTAAAGCTGACACCAGCCGTGGCTTGCACAGTTCCGCTCTTGTTGATAAGCTGCAACTTGCGTTTCCTTGACAACGGCTCGTCGTCATCCTTTTCTCTAATATAATACGCCCAGTCAGCTGTAGGATCTAGCTCCGTCTGCGAGTATCCATTGCCCATCCAGGCAAACCGATTACCGTTGTACTTGACGTCCCAGTCATCAAACCGCACCTCCATCATAGCCTCAATGTAGTGCAGCGTAGAGCCCGGCCACAGCGCAGTAATGGGTCCATCCGGCCGTTGCTTGTACCATGAGCGGCAAGGGTCATGCCAGACAGTCTTCTGCATAAAGCGATCCTTGTGGGCGATGAAGTCCGCCACTGCTTCCTGCTTAGGTGCAAACGTAGCAATATTGTTCGTCTGGAAGCGGTCGATGAGCTTGCACATGTAGTCTGCCTGGCACTCAATGGCAGACAGTACGGGGCCGTTTCCGATTGGGCAGTTAGGACCGAGGAAGATGAGGTAGTTAGGGACGTCAGCGGCGGCGATGCCGAAGTATGACTGCGCTTCGTCTTTCCAGGCGTCCTGTAGGTTTGTGCCGGATGGGCCGACGACGGGGAACCGCGGCTTGAAAGAGGTGTTGAAGCCAGTGGCGCAGATGAGAACGTCGACAGGGTACTCCTGACCATTATCACAGAGGCAGCCGCGCTCGGTGATCTCGTTGATCTCGCCGTATACGACTTCGACGTTGTCCTTGCCAAGTGCTTCTAGGTAGCCGACGCCGGGGGTCAGACGACGGCAACCAACGTGCCAATTGGGGATCAGGCGCTCCTCGAGGTAGGGGTCATGCAGCTTGTCCTTCATCTGAGTCCTGAAATATGCTTCGGTATCGTCGTTGGTGTTGGTGCCCTTGAGGAAGATGCCGAATTGGCCGTTGAGTCCGCGCTCGACGTTCCGACGGTATTCATTCAGAACGCCGGGTTTGGTGGCGAAGTCGAGACGCTCTTGGTCAGAGAAGACGTGCTGCTCGAGACCTTGGACGGGCGATACCCAGGTGGGCTCGCGGATGAAGGTTGTGCATTTCTGGACGTACGGTTGGATGGTGGGGAGGACTTGGATGCCGGAGGATCTGCAATCGTGGTCAGCTTCCATTTCCGCAGGCCCGCAATTGAGCGTCGTCTTACCCATTACCGATCAGGCCGACATGGCGGCCATTGAGGTCGATCTTGTCGTCCCAATTCGCCGTGTGAAGCAGCACGCCCTTGTATTTGTCGAGGCCAGGGATGGCAGGCCACTGCCAGTTGTTCAGGATGCCAGAAGCATTCACGAGAATATCGCAGTGGTCGACAACCGTCTCGTTCTTCTCAAGGTCCTTGATGTGCACGTCATAGCCGCCCTTCTCCTTGTTCCAGTACGCGCCGGCGACCTGATGCCTCGTCTTGACAAACCTGTGCAGCGCATACTTCCTCGCAAAATCGTTGAAGTAGTTGAAAATCTCCCGCGAGCTGGCGTAGACGGCGGACCAGTCGAGCTTCGGCTCAAAGGACCAGGTGTAGTTGTGCGAGGGGACGTCGCACGCGCACCTGCCAAACTACGGCCTTAGCTTCTTTCCGTATCCGGCAGCCTGATGGCTGATGCGGGGAACGCCGACTTACCCCGGATACCGATTCTCCCACCACGTCCCCGAGACCTCTGGATTCTTCTCGTACACCGTGAGCGAGTAGTTGGAGAAGTGTCGCTGCAATTTGTAGGCCATCAACAGCCCGGAGGCGCCGGCTCCAATGCAGACAACCCGAACATGGCGCTGTGCGTGGATGGGACCATGGAGTCGGTGCTGGGCCTCGCTTTCTGGGGGATGGGTTGAGGGGACGAGGAAATCTGCCATTGCGGGTATAAAGCGCGAATACAAAGCACAGGGTGGAGCGAAGATAGAGATGAAGCAAACGAGGACGACGCAGGCCAGCGAGCCCCACGCTATGTTTTTATATTATCTGACCTACTTTCTACAACCGCTAGAGTCAGTCCTGGCCGCTAGTCTCCGCCTTGCCGAGTCATTCCATGGGATACCGAACCCGGGGTCTGGGGAAGCCGCGACGATTCGTGGGGATGCACCAATGAATTCGGTCTTACTCGTGTCGTTCGCCAAAAGATATCCGATGATCCGTCGCCAGCACACCCTCGCTAGTTAACTCTAAAACGAGGAATTAGCACGCGTTCTACCTTCGTGCCAAGGCTTCCTTGTACATCAGCACATTATCACGTCGCTGGGGCTTCGTGCGGGCGGTCGCCAGTGTCAGTCTAGACGTACGGAAGCGGATGCAACGTCTTCCAGAGAACACCGCCCGACACTCCGTCGGAACAGCACATTGCTGTGGGCCCTTGATCTGGCCCGTTCTGGCTTCACCTCGAAGCGGGACGGGGTCATCATCCATTCCAGAGAGAGGTAGCATGAACACTTCGCATTTCAGGAAACTACTACTGAATAGTAAAGCCACCATCAGCCACCATCGCTGCCCCGATCACGTAGCTGCTCGCCTCGGAATGCAAGAACGCAACACAATCACCAATCTCCTCCATCGTCGCCAACCGTTGGATGGGTACCTTCACCCTCTCATCGTCCATGACACTGCCCTTGTTCATGCTGCTCAGCACGAGCGGAGTCGCGACATAGCCAGGACAGAGCGCATTGATCTTAATGCCTCGGGGACCAAACGCAACAGCATCTGCCCTTGTCAAGCCGACCACGGCGTGCTTGCTTGTGGTATACGCGGTGGAGGGCACATTTAGTGAAGGACCAAGGATCCCGTACATTGACGCCGTGTTGACGATGGAGCCGCGGTATGATCGATACGAGTCCGTGAGCTTCTCCTGCTTCAGCATCTGGCGGATCTGCGCCCGCTGGCAGAGCCAGACGCCCGTTGTGTTGACAGATAGCACTCGCTCGAAGTCCTCTTTATCGATGTGATCGGTGGTTTTGAGAGCGCCTCCAATGCCTGCGTTGTTCAGCGCGTAGTCTATCCGGCCGAATTCTTTGACCGTCTGCTCAACACTGTCGTTGACGGCTTTCTCGTTCGCAACATCGAGTTCGATTTCTTTAATGGAGATACCGGGGTAGTTTTTCTTCAGCTCGGAGACTGTCTGGGTGACAGGGTTGCGGTCGAGCAGTGCGAAGGAACGCACGCCTTGTCGTGCGAGCGAATATGTAGCATACTGGCCAATGCCTGTGAAAAAGTCAGGAGGAGCTTTGGTGGAGCCTACTATAAGCTTCAGTGCATGCGAACTCACCAGACCCGGCGCCCGTGACATATGCAACACCCTTCAAAGCGAACGCCATTGTGTCTACTACGCTTGTTCCTGCCCACTCTGTTGTAGAAGTATGGGATGTTTTGTGAGCCTTACAGTCCCCAACAAAGTCTCAGCCCTTCGAGGCTCGTGATGCTAGCTCTCTCATATCAGGAAGCCTCGAGCCGGAGTCAACGCCGAGATTCAAGCTGCGGCTGGGATATGCGGAGAACCCACTCGCGCGCCTGTTCGGATCGCATTTCGAGGCGGCATTTCGAGCTTGGCATTTCGAGCTCGGGACGCGAAAAGCAAACGAGACGGTCTGGACTGGCTGAGCTTTCCCGAGGCACGGGGATGGTCGGCTTGCGAGAATGCGGGATGAGCACACGAGTCATGCATAGCCGCTGCTTCAGTAATGCACGAGTTGGAGGCTGCTCCGTCCAACTTTTGTTTCTAAGGTTAGCTTGTGATCTAAGTCTGATGCACGAGGATTTGCGTGTCATCGTGAACGTGTTGGTTTTACAGCATATCGGCATAGGCTTGATAGAATGGAAAATGTAACTGAGGCTAAAACTTGTACTCCAGATTGCTTGAGGAGCCCTTTACCCCATTCTTGGAAGGCTACCTAGGTATGTCTTTTATCTACAATGGTCACGTGCTCACGCGTTTCCCTCAATGCACGGACTGTAACGCCAAGATCACTCCCAATTTCCACAACATCAACCTCTGAGCGCACGTCATTGCCAGCCCACCTCACCCCGCCATGCTTGCATCATGGCCACCCGCCCAACTCGCATCGCACAAACCTCGACCGAAGTGAAGCGCCTACACAAAAAGAATGGACTCGGTCTCCCGGGGCGACAACAGCGCCAACTCGAGCGCGCGGCCGAACTAGAGCAACGCGCCATGCGAGCCCGAGAACAGGAGGAGCGCAGGAAGGCCGCGAAGAAGAAGCGCGAGGAGCGCGAGAGGAAAGAGCACGAGGCGAGGAAGGAAATGGGCGTCGGGGTGGCGACACAGTTGATTGGGTATAGTCATACGCAGGCACAATTGAAAAGCGGTATGGAGACCTTTCTGGGGTTGAAGAGGAGGCGAGAAGAGGAGATAAAGAGGGAGATGGAGGTTGCGAGGAATCTAGAAGCGATTGCGGAGGAAGTAGCGAGGGAGCCTTGGGATGATGATGGCGAGGAAGATACGCTGTTGGAACTGCCGGAGTTAGATCAGAAAGATTGGGACCAGTGGCTTGATGACGACCTGGACGATGACACGCTGCTCGAGGCACATGACTTGGTCATGTCGGATCCAGTGGAAGAATCGAGAGAGGAAGATGCGACGCAACCACCAACCGCACCCGCGCCCGTCGTCAAGGAACCGAAACCAGCGGCTCCAAAAGAGGATGCTGAATTTCTCCGGCTGCATGGGCCCACCAACAAAGCGATTGAAAGCATATTGGACAAGCTCCCTGAGCCCCTGATTGAGTTGCTCTCCCAGGACACATCGACCGACACCACGAACTGGGATCCGGCGCCGTCCCTCTTACACAAGCTGAACCCGATTGGACTACCGCCTCATCGCTTACGCATCAAGTTGGGCTGTGCAGTAACACTACTGCGGGACTTGGACACCAGCAGCCAGCTTTCCAAGAGCCAACATCTACAAATATTACGGGTAGGAAGGGAGAGGCTCGAGTGTCTTGTCCTGGATGGCCAGTTGGAAGGTACCAAGACGTTCCTCACCCGAGTTGCGTTCTCTGCAAAGCATCGAAACGATACCAATTTGTTGTTCCAGCGGATTCAATTTCCCATACAAATCTCACAGGACGTCACTTCGTCGAACGTCCCTCGGGAGCCTACACAGTCGACGTTCAAGCTACCTTCTATGTCCGGACAGTGTACGCGGTCAATCAGCGTCTTCAAGAGTCCCTCGCCTCCGACGCCTAAGTCGAAGCCACTGAAGCCGAGCTTCAAGCTCCCAGGTTTACCTGCGTCAAAATCGAAACCACCTTCGCCACCAAAGCCCGCAGTTGTCTCGACTCTCTCTTTGTTTGATGGCTGGGATGACTTCCTCGATAGCGGCACACAGATCGCTCGAGAACTATCTTCTGAGGAGAAACCAATTTGCAATCCTCCGATAGGTGCTCCTGTCGTAGCCTCGTCTAATGCTCTGCCCCCTCTCCTAACCCAAGATTTCGATTTCTCCCTTGAGGAGCTGGACGACCCACCGATGGATAAGCAAGAAGCCGCCAAACCGTCCAAGCTAGCACCGAATATGTCCGGCCCGATAAAGCCAGCGACACGTCCTTCTACCAGTAGGGGGTTACCGTCTCCCAGCAAACCGAAACCTCCTGCCAAACCCTCGATGGCCCCCCCGTCGTGCCATGGTCCTGGGCGACCGGGCCTCAAACGAAAATCGCTTCCTACTCCTACGAGTCGTACGCCACCTCATAAGCGCAAAGCAATTCCAGCCCAGTGGCCGACGACTGCGCCTAAGGTCGCTATTCTTACTGCACCCTTGACTTCATTTAGCCAGTTTGGGCTTTCGACGCAGGAAGCCGGTTCCTTCTTCGACGATGATGAGGATATGAACTTTGGGGTTTCGCCTCCTGTTGCTGTATAGTTGCCTCCACGGTCCCGTATTTGTTTGGATATACCTCTTGTTAGGTTTGGGTCGGCATAGACGCAGCGTGCCCGATGGATTGTTTGAGTCTTCCAAGTTCTTCTATTCTTTGCTCTGGGTATCTTCTCCATCAAATGACCATCTCCTCCCCATCCCCTTCCGCCCCGTTCTCCACCTCGTCTTCCTCCTCATCTAGGTCCTCCAGCGGAAACGTTAAAATAGCAGCTACATTTCCCAGCCCTTCTAATCTCTTCCCGCTCTCGTGCAAACTACTTAGGACGCGCACTTCACCACCTTCTACCTCTCTTACCCTATCTACCAGCGTCACCCAGCGTTTCCTTTCTGCAACGTTCTGTGCCCTGAATAATGCGTTCGAAATCATAAGCACGCCGCCCCCTCTCCCTACCGCGCCCTTTTCCACCGCTTTTTCTACTTCTTTAGGGCCGTACCACGCGCGCCCGTCGTCTTGTCGCATCAGCGTCATGAATTTATCCATCAGCGCTGTTTCGCGCGCGTATTTGGTGTCGGACAGTTTTGCGGTTATGGCGGGGGAGGCGAGGACTTCGGAGAGGGTGTGGACGTGTGGACCTGAGGAGTGGGCGACTAGGATTGAGGGTATGAGCGCGAGTAGGGGCTTGTTCGTCGCCCGTGTCGCTTCGTCCTTGATGTAGGCTAGGAAACTCTGCGCAACGAAGCCCGGGCTTGCGAGTAGCAGCGGGACCGTTTTATCCTGATTGATGCCCTTATTCGAGAGATCGAGATGCCGTAGTAGTGTGGATAGAGTGGTGGAGAAAAACTTCTCCATGCCCTTGTCGTGCCCATCAATGCCTCCTTTTCTTTTGCGCGGCACCGGTACCTCCACCCTCTGTCTCAAAATCGTCTGATGCTCGGTAATCAGACAAATATTCGCAATACCCTCGCCCATCACGACGGCCCACAGCTCCGCCCTTCTTTCCGTCTCGCACGCCTCCCGCAGCATCTCCAGTGCCACACTATCCCAACCATCGCCCTTCTCGAGTGTGAATTTGCGATTCAGTTCAAGGTCTAGCGTGTGGTGTGAGCCAAGCTTTACCCACTCATTTTCCGAGGCGACGCGGCCTGCGACGTGCAGCTGGCCGGAGCCGATGTCGAAGTCGGTGGATGTGACGGCGATGGTGAGGTCGAGGGCTATGCGTTGCGAGGCGACGGAGCCCGAGTCGGAGGTTTTGGAGACGCGGCGGATCGCGCGGGCGCGGAGGAGGTCGGTGGGCTGGATGAGGTTGTAGGCGTGCCACTAGAAAAGGGTTGAGTCCGATAGAAAGGGAATGGGAGCAGGGTAGCGGATACCATGTCTTCTGGCTCTTCTGGTAGTAATGTTGCGAAGCCTGAGCCATTCTTCTGGTCGATTTGAGACTTGAGGAGACGCATTTTGGCGCTGCTATGTGGGTGGTGTGTGCCAGTCGTCGGGAGTTGTCTGGGTTCTTCACATGGGAGACAATCTATTGGCGGTAGTGTTGGTGTCCTGAGCTTAGTGGTGATGCCTGAGGATTTTCGAGAGAGTTGAGTGGTGTTGTTGGAGGGGCCGGTGATGCACACGTGTGGTGGCGGACACCTACGGCGGGGTAGTGCTTGTCAAAATTAAGCTTAATCTTAACGATAAGATACCTCGACCCTTCCCTTCGGTTTTAGACTTTTCCACACCTATCTGCCTCCCGGACTATTACGCCTGTTACCCAGGTAATGGTCCTTCTTGCAATGCAAAAAGACTTGTCGATCTCTAGTGAAATCATATCTGAGTTGAGATAGCACAGAATGTACCCCACCAGTGGTAATACAAGGGTAGGAGGAAAGAAGGGGTGTGGATAGACACGAGGTAGAGACAGACACACACTGCCCTTGTCGTATCATGACCTCTATACTCGCCTTTTCGCTCCAGATTCGCCTGGAATGTCTTTCGGTTCGATCTCTGAGGTCAGCTCGAGGAATCATTGGGCTTCTGAATGCTGATGCAAAGCATCTGCCCAGAGTCCTAGCGACCACTTTGTCTCATCTCTCCTCTTTCTCACCACGGACACACGCGTACCGACAGCACAGCTCGCCTTCTTGTGCTTCTTCCTGGCGCTGGCCAGGCGTCACCTCTTCTCAGCAGATGCTCAATCACAACGACCTCCTCACCACGCCTCCACGAGAACCAAGAACCGCTCAGCTTCAGCTCTCGTCTACGAGACCCACGAGGAAGAGACATACGAGACGCCTTTGCTAGCTGAAGTACTCCCCGCCCATAGCGTCGCCGTTCGGAAAATATCGGTCCCTAAAGATCAATGACGTACACGACATACAAGACATGCCCGGCTCACAGCATCGCGCATATATGGCAACGCCTAGTGTTCTCGCCGGACGCGTAGCATCCTAAGGCATGTCCAAGGATTCACCCCTTCACACGCTCGTACGATACCTGCAATCCGACGCGTATACGTCTTCTTGTCGTATGTAGGTCAGCTTAAGCTTCTCACCTCAGAAGGGCACGATACGCGGACGGACGTCCGTTTCCTCGTCGCTCTGGTGTTGTCGTCAATGCGGGGAGCCGAACCCTCCTTGCGCGCACCGCACAGCCGCAGCCGCACGACCACGTACCGTACTGCCCCTAGGAAATCCCCACGAACATCACTCAAAGAGCGTGTTTCGGTATAGGTTCCATAGCGGAGATCCGAACGGGCCGGCGATCATAGTGCGCATCATACTTTAAACGTCGGAGAAGCCAAGATTGCGCACCACGCTCTTGGGAACCTTGGAACGCACATCGATACTGCGATACGCCATGGTTCCATGCGATTGGAAGGGGTGTTCGTATGGAATATAAACGTGGAGTGGAGTGACGGAAACAGCCGTGCACGAGTCGTTTCACTAATGCGCCGTTGATCACTTGCTTTTTCTAGGCCCAGCGGCGTTATTGATAGCTTCGTAAGGTTTCCGAGCTGTACTCGTTTGGATACAGGCTAGAGCTGCTGGAAACGATCGTCGTCATGAAGCAGGTGGGTGAGAAGCTTGGAATATGCTAGGTAAGCGCATAATGGCTTCAGGGCTATCGCTCCGAGTTTTCTATATATTCCTCTACGTCTTCACCTTCTCTACTTCATCACAGTTCATCACCCCTCCACCTTTCGCTTATTTTCATTCGACTCCTTGATATTCCAAACAAGTCACTAGCGTCCCTTATTATCATCACTTTCCGTCGTTACAAGGAATATCAAAATGTCTACCACCAACGTTGCAACACCTCTTCCCGCTGGCCTCAGCCAGACCACCGTCATCGCCGCTTTGCACAATCATGATCTTATGATCCGAACCCTGTGCCCGGCACTCATATCCTACGAGTTTGAATCTGGCGACATGTCCACACAAGCCATGTATATCGTAACGGACAAGAAGCCTATCGGCCAGGTACGTTTCCTTTATACCATCTTCCCACCCTCTTTGTTCAACCCAGGATGTTTAAACGAGGTGTTCCGTTGGGTCACCACCACGACTCCTATCGAACACTATGCTGACATTGACTCAGACGACATACAAACTCACCCTAACTAACGTCCCCGATGGCGTCGACAGCCTCGTCAACGCTAAGCCGCCCGTCGGTGTGCTCACCATCTCGGGCAAATGGCGCGTTCGGAACGGCCAGCTTGTCGAGGATGTAGAGATTGACGGCAACTTCATGATGAAGAAGATGGCGAAGGGGAATGTGGAGAAGACGCATCCGGAGCAGCATACCAGGTTGCTGGAGCAGATGAAGGCGTAGAAGATTTGGATAGCCGCATTGTGTTTGGAGTATGGGTTTCGGGAGCGATAGTCATGTGGCATTTCTTCTGGAGTTATAATTACTTAATGTATTTGTTTGCGAACTTTCAATATTGCTGATCTGACGATCAATCTGGCGAGGCGTGAGGCTGAAGAAGATTGGATAAGGCAGAAAAAAAAAACGCTTACTTTACCTTGATCGGGAGGTCGCAACCGCATTTTCGATGCGAATGTAAGCCTTCGTGGTGATCACCATAAGGCGGGCCACGTGGGTTCCCAAAGACGGAGCAGCGCTACACATGATCTGCTCGTGACTGCCACCAATATAGGTATGCACGATTTCGTCTTCATTTCCATGCTCCCCTAAGACTTTTTTTCTCCACAAAACTCTCCGTGCAGAAGTGACCTAGACCCGGTCGGGACGGCTGATCAACGCCCAAGAGCGCCCGTTTCAGCCAAGCCAAGCTCGAGGCACAGGTAGCGCACGCCGCATAACGTCATCGCACGGTAGGGTTAACCTGTATTGCGTGCCAAACACATGGAATTTTATACCACGATACCACGTATAATAGACCCAGCCTAGACAGACGCCGGAAAGTTTCCGCCGTAGAGTCTGTGAGTAGCAGCCATGGCTGACGATTATGGCGAGCTCGTGGTGAGTTGCGTGCCTGCTCTCTTCCTGTTCTGTCGCTGCTGACTGCGAGGTGTTTTGCGATATAGGAACTCGGATTTGAAGGTGTGGATAAGGTTGTGGACAAGTATCATGACGCTGTTTACGGGTTCGCGGATAAGCATTCACCAAAGATGGGACGAAGAAAGCGCGGCGGTGGTGCTCGGGCTGCTCACGGCCATGAACGTGCGCCTCCATCTCCCCCACCGGCAGATAGAGACAGAGATGTCGATTCCGACGAAGACGTGAGGAATAGGCATGCGGAGGATAGGGGCAGGGATCGCGACTGGAGCGAGGCTGGCGGAAGACATGGAAGACACGGGCAAGATGGTGACTGGAGGGACGCTGGCTCAAGACATGGCAAACGTGAGCAAGATGGCGACTGGAACGAGGCTGGATCAAAACACGGGAGATCTGAGCAAGACCGCGGGTATAATGCTGCGCCAGGCGCCGGTGCAGTCGTTGCGAGAGGCAGCGATCCATACGCATACCCAGGATACGGGCAACTTGGGGGAGGGGGATACCAAGGAGGATACGGCGTGAGTGCTGTGCTTGTTTGTAGCCTTCTGGCAAAGTACTGATCCGGTTAAAGTACCAACCTCAAGCCTCGTACCCTCCCTACGCGTACCCGCAGGCACAGCAATACGGAGGACAAGAGTATGGAGAGGATCGGGCTGAACGTGGACGGCCTATGCCGCCGCGACGACGCACTTCCTCTTGGTCACCACCCCGCCGCTCAGATCAACAGCGTCGCCGCGCATCCCCACCTCGCCGCCCTCACTCCAATTCGCCTTCCAAGGGTAGGATGGCGGCTACCGTTGTAGGGGGGTTGGTGGGAGGCTTCCTGGGCCATGCAGCCAAGAAGGACAACGCGCAGATGAACGCGGTGTCGACTGTTGTTGGCGCGGTAATCGGTGGCATTGGAGCGAGAGAGATATCGGAGGCGTACGACCGCAGAAAGGAGAAGAAGCTTGAGCAGGCGGAGAAGGAGCAGGAGCGGCGAGAGCGGCGGCGGAGGGAGCGGTGATGACGCTAGCTGGCCAGCGAGCTAGGCTCAACGGCAAAATGGGTGCAAGCGATGGCTCGGGTTGGTCATTATACAGCGTGGGGGAGGATGCGGTTGGATCTAACGACGGAACGAGGTATGAGATATGAGAGGCTCTGACGACTGCTGGCGACTGGGAGATAGATAGCTCGACACGGAGCGCCGCTGGAGGTGCAACGTGCAGAAACAATTGAAAAAGGTCGGAAACGATTGGGCAATGCGCGGGCCAGTGAGAGGCCAAATTCTCCGTGCGGCGGAAATAACAGTCTCGAGCGGGAGGGGACGGCTTGGACACGCGGCGCAGAGGACGAGGATGCCGCTGCAGGGGTGCGGGCCCTGAGAGCTTGACAGCAACAATAACAGCCGACGGCTGGTTGAACCGGGGCTGCAGCTCGCAAACAGAACATGGTGACGGAAGTGCGCAGCGGTGCAGCAGCCCGGAAGAGCAACTGGGCGCGTGGCTGTTATTGTGGTGGTGTTGGTAGTGGTGGAGCTGTCGCGATAGGGTTCGGCAGCTGAAGCACGCGCTGACGCCTGGCGAGCGCGTTGTTTCGGCGCCTTCCAGAGGTTTTCTGGAAGGAGGAAGGAGCGCCGGACCCACCTGCCTAACCACGAGCCACTAGCCACTCCTCACTAACCACTGGCTGCCCGGGCCCACCAGCACCCGCCATCATCATCGCTCAAGCACACCACGCCTCGCCCACATCCACGACCAGCTTGCGGGCATGCCCAAATCGCCTCTGCAGCCTTTGCACGCCCTCCAGACGTAGCACCCACCGCGGCCCGCACTGCATCCCACATTGCGCCACCAATGAGAGCTGACGCTTCCGCGCTGCCCACCCGCCGTCTCGCACCGTAGCCCTCACCGACACGACGCCCGGAATTCTGCCCGCGCACGTCCAGACCGCGCTGCATGTCCGCTGCAACACGCCAGAATCGCCGCACTGCCGCAGCTTTGAGGCTTGAGCCGTCGCCGACGCCCGCCTGACGTCGCTCCCTTCCTGCCCGCCCAGCAGTTTGATCCCCCAGCAACCCCGACATCGCCTCGCACGTCGCCGCGCCGTCGCCACAACCATGCGCAGATACAGGCCCGCGGGCACCGCTGCCCACGGCAGGGCCGGCGGCGGTGTCATGGTGCCTGACCCCTTCGCCATGATCCGCGCCTACGAATCCGATACAAACCCGACCAGGCCCATCCGCCCCTCTCCTCTGACCGCGTCCACCATCCAGGGCCTGCCGCTCGACCTTCTCGACAGACTGCGCAACTTTCCGCTGTTCCTCTCCGCCCCCGACTCCTTCCTTGCCGCCATAGGAAGGCACCTCAAGCCGCAGCTCTACCAGGCGCACGACACCATCCTCACCGAGGGCGAGCAGGGCAAGGCTATGTATTGGCTAGTGCGCGGCTCCGTGCGCGTCACGTCGCGAGATGGGGAGAGCACATATGCAGAGCTAAAGCCAGGAGCTTTCTTTGGCGAAATTGGGATACTGATGAACATCCCCCGCACCGCAAACATTATCGCCAACATGCGCTCGCTGGTGGTGCGGCTGAACAAGGAAGACTTGGGGAAGGAGCTGCCCAAGTTCCCCGAGGTGGAGCGCGCAATCATGGACGAGGCCAAGGAGCGCCTGTCCATCTTGGAGCGGAAGAAGAAGGAAGTGGGCAAGAAGCTGCCGCTCGTGACTCGCCAGAACAAGCGCCCGCACGACCGGGTCGAGGGGGATGTGATAATGACAGAAACGGGCCAGGTGCAAGGCGGGGAAGTCATAAGCCTATACAAGAAGAGGAAATCCCCGAGCCCCGGTCTCGCCGATGTTGCCGCCATGAGCGTTTTCGGCACCGGGAGCATAAATGTGAGACTCTTGCTGAAAGAACTCCCGCTGTTCTCGAGCCTGCCCCCCGACATCCTGCACTTTATTGGCCTGAACGCCCAGCCACGTTCCTTCCCTCCCTTCACCGACATCATTAAGCAGGGTACCCAGGGACGCGACGTTTACTTTATCGTCAAGGGCGAGGTCGAGGTCGTGAATACAAATCCACCAGTCGAGAACGGGCACGCCGCCGCATATCTGGGTCGAAGAAAATCAATCGCTGCCGGAGAGCACACGTTCCAGCAAGTCAAGGCACGGTTAAGACCAGGGCAGTACTTCGGGGAGGTCACAAGCCTATCGCTTGCTCCTCGTCGGACGGCTACTGTTCGCTCCATCTCATCGGTGGAGTGCCTGATGATCAGCGGTGACGTGCTCAACGAGCTCTGGGAGAGGTGCACACCGGATCTGCGCCGGCAGGTCGAGCAGGTCGCCAAGGAGCGGCTCCAGGCTGCCAAAGACAATGACACGCAAATGAGGGATACTGTAGACAATACTCCCAAGATTGACGAGCTCGCCATCGCCGATATCATCATCCCACGGACGCCGAGGAAGAAGAGCGTGCCGAGCGTCACCTTCAATGACACTCCAAGCACGATAGAATTGGAAAGCCCAATAACTCCTTCGCGGAGAGAGAAGATGATGGAGCCTTTCGATCCCGACCCTTTTCTCAACGTCGACCTGGATAACGTAAGGTCAAGATCTCGGAGGGGCTCGCTCGCTCCCCCCACACCCGATTCACCTACCAGTTCGTCGAATGGCATACCCAAATCGCCGTCACCTAATGGCACGCCCCTGCCTCCTTCACCATTATCGAAGCACGCTTCAACACCACCAGAACCAGCATTCGAGATCAAACGCCCAAGGATAATACGGCGGCCGAGCAGGTTCAGCAAGGGTATCTTCCCGGATCCTGTCTTGACCAGGATTTTCAAGCATCTTGATGTGTATGAGTTGATGCAATTACGTCTTGTATCGACGCATTGGAAGCACATCATCCATACCTCACCGGATATCCTTCACACCCTCGACCTTACAAAATATAACCGCAGGGTGACCGACCGTGCTTTGGCCGACATCATATGTCCATTTGCTGGCAGCCGACCCAACTTAGTCGACATCAGCAATTGCTTCCATGTGACAGACGAAGGCTTCGCAGCGCTAGCATCAGTCTGTGGACCAACGGTCAAGATATGGCGCATGAAGAGCGTATGGGACATTACGGGTCCGGCAGTTCTGGAGATGGTGCAGAAAGCGAAGGGCCTTGAGGAAGTGGACCTCAGCAATTGCCGCAAAGTGGGCGACAACCTGCTCGCTCGCGTGATAGGGTGGGTAGTGCCAGAGCTTCCTCCCGCCATGGCAATGGCACAAGCACAACAGGCGCAAATGAACGGACGACGCTCGTTCGGCCAGAAGATGGCTGGAGCGAATGGACAGCCTGCTCCCCAGCCGCTTCCTCCTGGGACAGTAGTCGGATGTCCGAAATTGCGGCGCTTGACGCTGAGCTACTGCAAGCATATCACGGACCGGTCAATGGCACATATCGCAGTGCACGCGGCGAACCGAATCGAGCAGATCGATCTTACTAGGTGTACGACTATCACGGATATCGGCTTCCAGCACTGGAGCGTGTATCCTTTCCCCCGGTTGACAAAGTTGTGTCTAGCGGACTGCACGTATCTAACTGATAATGCAATTGTGTATCTCACGAATGCGGCGAAGGGGTTGAAGGAGCTAGATCTGGTAAGTCGCCTGTTTTCCTTCTTGCTTGATGATGGTGATCACCATCACCGACCCTTAAATAAAACCACCACTCACATCCCATCTTACAGTCTTTCTGCTGCGCCCTCTCCGACACCGCTACCGAAGTTCTTGCCCTAGGCCTCCCCTCGCTCACGCATCTCAACCTCGCATTCTGCGGTTCCGCCGTCTCCGACACGTCCCTCCGCTGCATCAGTCTCCACCTTCTCGAACTCCGCAATCTGTCCGTCCGGGGTTGCGTACGTGTGACGGGTACTGGTGTAGAAGCCGTTGTTGAAGGGTGTAGGGATCTGGAAGTATTTGATGTCAGCCAATGTAAGAATTTGCAACGGTGGTTGGATGCGGGAGGTGTCGAGGGGGTTAGGTCAAGGGGACGGAGCGTAAAGTTTGAGACGGTAGCAGATGGGAAGTGGAGGACGGGGAGGCGGTGAGGCAAGGAGTGAGAAGAGGAAGACCTGGAAGGGAAGATTTGGAAAGGAAAAGTCGAAAACGAATTGTTGTATACAGGGAGAGGCGGTCCATTGGATACAACACGATTGATGCCTGCATAAGAGCGGCAAAACACTGTACAGGCTTTTTTAGAGGTTGAATATGAGCAATTTCGAGGCCTTGGAGTACAAGGGATGGGTGTCATCGAGGTTGGATGTGGATTTAGTGGGTCATTTGTCGGAGTTTTGTTGTGCGTTGTCAGTTATCTGGATAGATCACGAGGATTGGTTCGATACGTATGATACCAGCCTGCTTATTCGAGTCGCGCAATGTACAGAGCCTTTACGACGCATACAGAATATTGATTCGGTGGATCCTTGTCTCGCATCATTGGGTCTATTTAATCGGGGTATCTTCATGTGGTCTTGTGCCTCTTGCTTCCAACGCTGATAGCGTCACGCCACTGTCTCTCTCTCTCTCCTCTCTTGAGATCCTACCTTCAGAGGCGTAAACGGACTTGAGCGTCGCATGACGCGCTTCCGCTGTGTCCTTCGATATGGCCTTCCCAAGTGTTCTGCAGTGTCGCTCTCGTTGCTCTCTCATCTCTTCAGTTGGACCCTTCTCGCGTCAATCACTTAAGAAAACCTCTTCCCATATCCTTTCACAACGCCATCTAAAATCTCCCTCACCCTCTTACACCCCTCAATCCCCACAGCCAGCATCCCCTCCACTCTCTCCATCCTTACTCTACTCTCCATCATCAGCACGCTGACTCTCTCGCTCCTGCCCAACGTTCCCACAGTCAGGAACGGCAGTTCTTGCTCCTCCAGACTATTCAGGTCGAGTAATGGGTCGGAGGACTCGGATGACGAGTCGGAAGTGCTGGAGGACGCAGCTGTGCAGGCTACTAGGTAGTCTGTCATTGGCACGCCCGCGTCGATGAGCGCGAGGGTTGCAGCGTTGAGGCAGGCGGCGAGGAGAGACCCGTCTTGGGAGAGGATGTGGACGTTTAGGGTTATGGTGGAGTGCGGGTAGAGGTGGGTTAGGAGGAGGGAGGAGTAGGCGGTTTCAAGGCAGTGTTGCATTTCGCTCGTTCTCCTGCATCCGCATTAGCATCCTACCCATTCAATCGAAGCCCCCATTCTCCCCCAAACAACGTACTTGTCACTCTTCCGCCGTCTCCTCTCCACGCCACTGAAGCCCGCAAACCCGATCTCGACTTCTACTTTCGCCTCGCTGTCCTTCCCGCCGCGCTGGCCGGATTGCCGGCCCTCTGCAGGACCCGTGACGTTGCAGAGCACCTTCGTGTTGCCCATTTCGAGGTACGAGGAGCCGTCGGCGGCGGCTTGCGTGCTGATTTGTGCGTGCAGCCGACGGAGCTCGTTCCAGCGGCGGCCGTCGAGACGGAGGAGGGCGAGCGAGTAGGTGGATGTGTCGAGCGGCATTGTGCGGGGTGTGAAGGGTGTCGGTGGATGGAGTTAAGAGCCGCTCATATAAAGGGCATCCGGGCCGGGTGTAAGTAGTGCGCAAGCGGGCGGGGGATGGGGGCGCGAAATATGTTGAGTGCTCTGGCAATTGAAGCAACTTACAAAAGTGCTTTCAAGAGCTTGACGCCAAACTAATTTAGCTGCGGTCATTGCGGGATGCAAGGGCCGGCTTGGTGATCGCCGGCCCCGCTTTCGCACGTGATGGCGTGCTAGCGCGAACTGTTGAAGCGCGGCGTCCACCATTCCTCTGAAGGACTTGCCTTCCACCTCCATTTGGCTGGGCACTCGCGGAGAAAGATGGCTCCCTTTCGCAGCCATCACTGCTTTCACCTCATTTTCTTCCGCACTAGGATCTAAATCCGCACATCCACCAGACGCACGCCTGTTCGCCTTCAAATTACCATCCGACTCATTATCAACCTTCGCCATGTCGCGCTATCACGGCAAGGACAAGGAGCATGAGCGGGCATTACGCGCCTTTGCTGAGAGTCAACCTGACAGCGATAGCGAAGATGGCCTTGATATTGTCGAATCATCACGTAAAGGTCTGGATCTCTCGCAATACATTGACGGTCAGTTGATGTCCTCTACTTTGCTTAGTATGGCATGCTAACTCCTCATAGCTCTCACCCAGACTCAAACGCAATCCCAGGATGCGGATCTAGGGGAGCCAGCCGATGGAGTCACCGATGACGAAAGCCAGGAAGTTTTGGAAGCCTCCGCTTCTGCGGTCGAGCAGCGCTCAGGCGCCACACGCCACAAGGACAAAGTCTCCACGTCAGAAAAGACGCCGGATACCACCGCGGATGATTCGGTATCCGAATGGTCAGAAGAGGACCTCACAACATATCGCACTCCCAAAGAACGCAGGACACTGAAGCGAAAGCGGGTCGCCGCGGAAACCAACAGGATCCGGGCGTTGAAAAAGTCTCGCGCTGCGGCTACTACCAGCATCGTCGGTAGGAAGCCCAGGCCCAAAAAAACAGACCATGGCATAGCGGGCTTCAGCACTGACTCAGTTGGCGAGGATGGAGATGCTAAGGACACCTTCCTCGACGAGCCAACGCCGGAGTACATCGAAGCGCGGAAGCGGAAACTGAAGAAGCTTCACGAGGCTGGACTGCGGTATCCACCTAGCTATGCGGATATTGATTTTTCGGATTCGGAGTCGGAGGAGAAACCCGTACTTGACAGCGTGATCAAGACCCAGCGAGGGAAGAGGAGTATACGGTTGCGCGAATCTTGGGGTGTCATCCCAGCGTCGATTGCTCAATGGCTCCGAGATTATCAGATTGAGGGGGTGCAATTCCTTCACGAGCGCTTCGTCAAACAGACGGGTGCGCTGTTAGGCGACGACATGGGTTTAGGTAAAACTATCCAAGTCATCGCCTTCCTCACTGCGGCATTTGGAAAGACGGGGACGAAGCGCGACGCCAAATGCATGCGCAAGATCCGCCGATATGGAGACGGCTGCTGGTATCCTAAAGTCCTGATCGTTTGCCCCGGCGGCCTGATGCGCAACTGGGAGGACGAACTTGAGAAATGGGGTTGGTGGGAAGTGTACAAGTACCACGGCAATCCGGTCGACAGGAAAGGCGTCCTCGGAGCAGCCCGCAAGGGAATGCTGGAGATCATGATCACCACTTACGACACGTATCGCAACAATGAGGGCGAGATCAATACGATTGACTGGGACTGCGTCATAGCGGATGAATGCCACCAGATCAAGAACAAGAACGCGGAGATCACGAAGGCGATGAACAAGGTCAATGCGCTTTGTCGCATTGGTCTCACCGGAACGGCCATCCAGAACAAGTACGAAGAGCTCTGGAATCTTCTCAACTGGGCTCGGCCCGGTGCATACGGTTCAGCGCAAGAGTGGAAGCAGATGATCAGCATCCCGCTCAAGATGGGGCAGGCCCATGATGCCAGCTATGCTCAGCTAGCAGACGCGCGGAGCAAAGCCCAGGAACTGGTCAATGGTATCTTACCCAGTGTTTTCCTTCGCCGAATGAAGACCCTCATTGCCGATCAGCTGCCCAAGAAGAGCGACCGGGTCGTCTTCTGCCAGCTCACCGAATCCCAAGCGGACGCCTACCGCGCCTTCATCGAGAGTGACAAATGCGAGTTCATCCGCACTGCAAAGGAGCCTTGCGATTGTGGTTCCGGAAAGACACGCGGCTGGTGCTGCTATGTCGAGGTCCCGAACGAAGGCAAATGGTCCAAATTCATGTTCCCCTGCATGGTCGCCCTCCAGAAACTCTCCAACCATCTCGGACTCCTCTTACCCCGATCCAGCGACAACAATGAGAAGCAAGCTAAAGACCTCGAGAGCCTGCAGACCGCGTGTCCAGATACCTGGAGAGATCTCTACCGCATCCGCGACAGCATCCTACTCCAAGGAGGCCAGCGCGAACTGTGCGGGAAATGGAAAGTCCTCAAGCGGCTCCTCGACTTCTGGCACTCCAACGGTGACAAAGTGCTCGTCTTCTCGCATTCTGTCCGCTTGCTGCGCCTCTTGAAATCCCTTTTCGATATCGACGGCACCAAATACAACTTCTCCTACCTCGATGGTAGTATGAGCTATGAAGACCGCGCCAAAGCCGTCGCCGACTTCAACTCGGACCCTAATCAATTCGTCTTCTTGATCAGCACACGCGCTGGCGGCGTCGGACTTAACATAACCTCTGCGAATAAAGTCGTCGTCGTGGATCCGAATTGGAATCCTGCGTATGATTTACAGGCTCAGGACCGCGCATATCGTATCGGGCAGACACGTGATGTGGAAGTATTTCGTCTTATCTCCTCAGGCACAATTGAAGAGATCGTCTACGCAAGACAGATCTACAAGCAGCAGCAGGCAAACATTGGATACACGGCATCGGACGAGCGCCGCTACTTCAAGGGCGTGATGGATGAGTCCGGAAAGAAAGGCGAACTTTTCGGTCTAGAGAACCTTTTCACATTTCAAGAAAACAGCCTGCTCTTGCGCGACATCATGCACAAAACCAACGTCGCCGAGACCCGCGCGGGCGTCAACGCAATGTCGTTCGACGCTTCACAACTTGACTCCTCTGACGATGACGACGACGACTTCCTCTCCAACAAATCACTCGGCCTGCCCGACGACGATATCTCCATGACGAGCCAGATAAAGAAGCTAGCTGATTCGTTCACTTCTACTCCAACCCGGTCCTCTGGAAAGAAGAACCCTTCGAAGAAAGCAGGTCCGGATCCGATTAATGCGATCCTGGCAAAAGCAGGCGTGCAGTACACACACGAGAACAGCGAAGTCATAGGTCGCAGCGAAGTCGAAGCCCGCCTTAGCAAACAAGCCATGGAATTCAAAAACGACGTCGACTTAGGCCGGAAACGCGTCTTCGCTGCCTCGCAGTCCCAGTCGCAATCTCAATCGCAGCCCCCGTCCACGTACTTGCACCCATTAGCCTTTGGCCCGGACGAGGACGTGCAACACAGCGGTGACGAAGATGGGCTGAGGATCCATGCGGACGTGAAGCAGGGCGGGGAGTTTAAGGTTAATTATAGATACCGACCTAGCGAGGCAGTGAGGAGGAGGCAGTTCTGTGAGATCAGTCGCGTGTGGGGGTTTGAAGACCCGGCGGAGTTTGCGCTATTGGTGGAGGGATGGACGCAAGAGGAGAGGAGGAGGGCGCTGGAGAGGTTCTATCGTGTGAGACGGAAGGAGATTTTGACGGAGTTTGGAGGAAAGTAAAATGTTGGGGACTGGGTAGGGAGGATACGGATGGCGTTTGATACCCTGGGCTTTGGATTTTGGATTTTGGATTTAATGAGTGACGTGGGTTAAACAGAGTTAGAAGCCCCGGTGGCAAAAAGCGAGGAGGTGGATGATAATGCATCCGTGCTAGAGTTTACGGAGACGAGCGGAACCCATTCACAGCCCTGGTAGAGGAAGCCGCGAAGTTGCCGAAGGAGCGCGCAAAAGGGATAGAACAGAGAGCGACAAGAATCCCTCTTGGCTCTATCGGCTTCAGATCCCTTGTCAAACCGTGCATCCAGAACAGCACTTTCATATGCTTGCGGAGAGCTCTTGAATGTCAGCGGTGCGAATGAACAGGCAGGACGTCTTGCAGCAGTTCGCAGATTGCAAATTGCTTTTCCGGAGGAAACATTGATCAACCCTGCCAACCCTACAGTCCGACATCCCCGTGTTTAAGAGCAGGAGTGCCTTACTCCAGTATGCTCATCGTTGCGGTCGCTGGCGGTATAGGGAACGTGCGCCGCACCGTAGTCGAAGAGATACTGCAGCGTATGGAGCAGAGATGTAGTAGCGCCTCGCTTGACTCCTACATCCACGTTAGTACGCCTATTCCCCTGTTAGCAGCAGGCGCTGATACACGGAGTAGCACAAGCCAGGCTCTCGACCTAAGAACATCCCACCCACTTTCCCAGAAGTAAGTGGAGTGGAGTATTCTGCACCTTCGTCCATACGCGACATGCTGCAGCAGCGCAACATAAACACCGTCATCTCGGCTCTGAATCTGCCCCAGCCGAGCGTCGCAGACGCATAACTCAACCCCCTGCGCGGTAGCCGAGTCCGACGTCGTGAAGCGCTTTATCTCAAGTGAGTTCAACATTGACTATAACTGTTCCTCCTTGTACGTCCCTCTTCAACTTTGACCACCAACAGCACCCATAATACGCCAACGCAACGCACAGACACACGCACCCGCCGCGGGTCCTGTACCAACAAACCGCAGCAGAGCCGCGTAAGTACACCAATCTAATATACACCCTGTCCCCGAACTCGAGCCGATTCGGCTCGATACTTTTCTGAGAGAGTGTTGGGCGAAGGCGAGGTAATCTATCTTATAATTTGAGTAGATCGGTCTCCCCCCCTACCTTCGCCGAAGGCCTTAAAATACCACCGTTACAACCGTCAAATCCGCCTCTAACTTTACTTACTACTCCGTATATTTTCCGCCTTCTGTATACCTTGCCGTCGCCGTGCAAAGTTAACGCTTTTTGTCCGTGCAGCGCACCTTTTTTATCTCACGGGCCTCCTCACGGGCCCCCCTACGGCCTCCTTACGGGTTGAAGATATCCCGCTCCGTAGTGCTCCTTTTCTATAAAACTCTTCTCTTTACTCTCTCTTCTCTTTCTCTACTCTGTGCGAACAAGCTCCGCAGGAAAGGGGGGTCCTAGGGGGTCTCCCCCTAGTAGGATTATATCCTACCTCTATTACTCGTAGGCGCTGGCTCTGCTGGCTTGTTAACGGTAGGCTGCGCTGGCTCCGCTGGCTGGTTAACGGTAAGCTGCGCTGGCTTGTTAACGGCAGAGGCAATTCACAGGCCCTGGCTGCGCTAGCTCGTTAACGCGCCTAGCCCCTCTACCCCCTATACAACTCCACCCCCTACACAAGAAATCCTTCGCTGGCCGATCGACTGGCATTAAGTAGAATGGATGGGGCCTCAATTTGGCTGGCATTGTATTCGTAGTATGCTAGTGTCTTCTTTGTCATAGTCAGGTCGAGCCAATTGATAACCGCGCCATGCATTAGAAATCGCTCCCTGAACGTGATCATGCTTCCATGGTAGAATTATGAGGGATGTAAACCGTGGTATCTATCAGTACGAACGACAACCTATAGAAAGGATCACCGCCGAAATCCCTCGCGCTTCTTCACAGCTGTGACCCGACTCTCCAGCAATCACGCCGTTGGAGAGCTGGAGGCCAATTGGCAAACCCTTGATGAAAGGACCCCTAAAAGGGAACGTTCCTCCGCCGCGCAAAAGCCTCGTCAATATCCTTGTACATATCGTACCTGGTGGCAGTATTAGTAATTAACCGCGGTCCCCAACTTTAGGGGCTCGGGGACTCACGCATTCATTTCTTCGATCGTCAACTTCTTCTTCTCGTCTTCGACTTTGTAGTTGGGATTGTTGGTGTCGCTTGGAAAACCTGCCGAACGTGTGCAATTCAGTGCTCGTCATCATTTAGATGTTACTTGGGGCGAGCTTACCTATGCGCTCATTGATGTTGGTGGCAGCCTTCGCCACAGCTGCTTGAATCTTTGTGACCCGGGGAAGGCGGACTTCCTCATAGACGGAGGGGGCCTCCTTGATGTCTCCCCTAAAGTAGTTCGGGCTGAACAGGATGCCGAGAGCAGCCGCATCCTCGATAGCTGCACAGGCTCCCTGAGATTGGTGTGGCATCATCTCTGTTGCGTTAGCCAGGTCGCAACACGTGTAGCGGAAAAATACGTACGGGATGACCAGCATCGCCCAGCGAGCAAGCGTTGGCCTTAGTGATGTATGGATATTGCTGGCTGAAGACAGTATGTCAGCGCGAGATCCATGAGGCTCTGTAACTTAGCTTGAGCTGCGATGGACGTACTGAACCCATAATCTCCATGGCTGGATTTCAGTGCCTCTAGCGAGATGAGCCTTCACCTGAGCATCCAGCTCGGGGTACGGAGCGAGCAGTTCTTCGACCGGCCGGTTCTCGCCGCCCCAGGCGTGATTGATGCACTCGCCCTGAGTGCGCGGAAAGAAGCAGTAGTAGGACAGTAGCTTGCCGCCGTTGCAAGGGGAGAGGACGATCTTATCCCACTTGCCCTCCTGGCCGCCCCAGTACTCCAGAGCGCTGTCCTGCGAGTAGTCGACCAAGCCTAGGCGTACTGTGTCCTCGGTGCGAACATTAGCGTGGAGGCAACTTGAATCTGAAGCCCGCTTTTCGGTGTTGAGCCCGATGATCTTGCGAACTATGGAGCCGATGCCGTCTGCTCCAACTACGAGGTCGTGCTGAGCCATGTATCCATTGGAGAATGTTATGACTCCATTCTCGAGCTTGATATCCTTGCACTACACACTGAGTGTGAGCGATACATAAGTGAGAAGCGCTGGTTCATGCCACTTACAGAGTGATTAACCAGCAGCTCGGCCGGGCTACCCTGCAGTGCACAATCTTTGAGCATACGGTGCATGTGCTGGCGTTGGAACATATTGTAGACGTAACTCCAGCGTTATTCGTAGCCATCGAGCGTGTAGATGCTGATCGGTTCGCCTTTCTTCCAGTCACGGTTGATGAGCTTGCGCAGCACCACGGGATCCCCTTTCTCGATATCAACACCCCATTCGTGAAGCCAGCGTGTTAAGTTGGCAGCGCATGACACAGAGGCGCCCACCTCACCGGCGAAGTCGTTGCGCTCATAGATGGCTACGTCGTGGCCGGCGCGGCGGAGGGAGATAGCAGTCGACATGCCACCGATACCACCGCCTACAACGGCGACGCTCAGTTGTCTCCACTGGGATGCAGGATGAGAGCCCATTGCGATAGTTGGGTGCTGTGTGGTGATGTATCAATTGATGTTAAACCTGCAAAGAGGGAGAGGGGAGATGAAGGCGCGGTGGAAGGTCTAAATAGAGGAAGTCGCTCTAGCGGTCCGCAAACCCAAATAAGGACGGGTACCCTAGCGCGATGTAAAGCCTCAAATCTCTCATTTCTGGGTTCTTACTACGCATCTTTGACATCAATAACAGTATCCTTACTCGTTCTCTCATCCTCACCCTTCACCGACTCCGCCTTACTCTCCGGCACGGCCTGCATAGTGCCCAGCCGCACCAGTCCACTCTGCCTCCCTTCTCCCATAGCCTCCACCATCTTCTTGATATTCGGATGGCTCATCTCCCTCTCCCTCTCCCTCTCCCTTCTCTTCTCTCTATGCCCATCTCTACCTTGCTGCCCCATCCGCAGCCGCATTCCTTCTTCAGTCGACAGCGTCCGATTGACAGGGTTCGGATCGATGTCACTCTCGACGACCGATTTCGGTTTGGGCTTCGGTCGTATCCACCGCCAAAAGGCTTTGGTCTTTGCAGCCCAGATGCGGTAGCCGAAGTCTGTGGAAAGGAAGCCAATGAGTGAGAAGCAGGGGATGCATACGGCGGCAAGGGTTATGCCAAAGGGCCACCATGGCGTGGGGTCGGCGGGCATGTTGGTCATTCCGAAGACAGAGGTGACGAAAGTGAGCGGCCTGTAGTTCATCAGTATGTCACAGAGGAGACGCTGGATATGGCGGAGAAGGTGGGGTCCCTGCATACATAAAGAACAAGTTTACAATGGTCAGAAGCTAGAAGCTTGTCAGTGCACGTATGCTTATCCTTGCTTGGGGTGCACACCTTGATGTTTCGTCCCTGCTGCACAGTGATGTCCGAGAGCTCGACTGACTTCCGAGATTCCTGAATACTAGTCCCCGAGAACAAATGATCTTGCAGGGACTTGATCTCATGCCGCCGTTCGTTATTTTCGCGCTGGAGAATCCTCAACTCTTTCATCTCTCGTTCAAACTCCAATCGGAGGTGTCGTAGTCGCCTCTTCCAATGATCGTTCCGCGGCGACTCCTCAAATAGAGGCCACAGGGTCTTACTCTTGCCTTCCCAGACTTCGTCGGTAAAACAGTCTTCAAATGCGTCAATCATCGCTTTTATGCTATCGTTGACGTTACCGAGCTACCGAAAGTAAGAAAGATATCTTGCGCTACATTCCGTTTAGGCACGCTTACCGTCTGATGTGCATAGAAATAGCGTCGTGTCCAAGTGAAGGCCGCGTCCTCGAAAAGCCTCTGATCGCGGAGCTCCTTGTCGAAAATGAAGCCCAGTGGAGGCGTTATGAGCCTGGTGATCCTCTTGTAAATTTCATCGTATCTCTTCCTAGCATCTCTGTATTCGGTGAGCAGTGCATAGAGGAAGGCTTCAGGACCATTGAGATAGCGGTGACCTGATTCGAATGTATCCGGGGTGGCTTTCCAATCGGGGAAACATTCAATTTGAAGGACCTGTCCATGCTTAGCGCTCGGCAAGCAAACTACCACAGAGTCAAACGCACCTGCCACGGAGACCAAATATCTTGCACCCAGCCGTACTTTGTCCGCGCTCGCCTATGCCGATTCCGGAGACGCCGTGGTTTGTCATCATAAAGGGCCAAAGCGACAACTGCACTGCAACGCGACATTGGGATATGGTTTTCATCAGAACGTCCATCTTTATCCGCCCGCTGCCATTCCATAGGTTTGCATTCATCGCCGATAATAGTGTAGTACTCGAAGTTGAAGAAGAAGGTTTTCTGGTGCTTCCGGTCCTCGTGGAATGCGCGATGCATGTGAGCCTGCAAGGTCAGTCCCGTATATACTATAGGCCGACATGCGGGGCTTACGGATGATGCCTCGGTTTGAACCAGGTGTTTAAACAGTTCATCCACATCGAATGTCTGGTGCATTGTGAGGTGTAAAGCACCAAATAGGATCGGCGATGGTTCGCGTGCAATCCTATACGCCGTGAGAATAGTTCATGAATGATGTATTGGTAGGCCTACGTGATGCGCCCAACGACCGTCCCGTCAGTGCTTTTGCCGATATCCTAGAGTTCAATCAGACTGGGCTCCGCATTACCAAACCTCCTTCCGCGCAATACACTACATACTCTTATAGAGTGCCAGATCTCTGTGGCCCTAGACATCTCGTTTTGGGGACCACCGCTTGTCTCAACCAATTGCGCAAGCCCATCAGGTCCAACGTCGTAGACCTGGAAATGAGAGTAATGGCTTCTGTCATCAGCAGGCCCAGGATCCAAGTGGAAGAGGTGAGGCTGTTTCGTAAGTTTCGCAGGATCCGTAATCACAGGCGCTAGTATCTGCCGTCCATGCTCTTCGAAGTCATACTTTTTCAGGTGCTCACGCAGGTGTTCGTGGTCAAAGGACTGCGACGGTAATTGGTCCTGGACGAAGTATGACCCATCTTCTTCATCGCTGTCATCGGAGAGTGTGGAAGAGTCGGCGAAAACAGCATTGACGCCTCGATCATCCCGAGTTGATGCTCGGCGGAAGTTCGGGTTCGGATCTTCCGCGGGGCCGAAGGATCCATTCGATAAGGATAATGTCTTCAGCAGTGTGTCGTGGGAGCGGTGGAGGGACTCCAGTTGCTTGCGGAGCTCTTCCACTTCGTTCGTCGCCATCTGAATGGGAAGTTGGACGGCGCCAGGCTGGAAATCATCACAGGAAAAGTTGGCAAGGAAGGCTGAAGCAACGGGATCCGCGTGAGGCTCTTCGCCTACTTTTAAGCGGACAACGCATTCCCATCCCAAGGTTCTGGCCCCCAAACTAGCCTAACACGGCGACGAGTCTTGTGCTTATTGAGCAGGGGAGATATTCTGCTCCAATGTGCGTCTCTGGCCAAGGCGTCTCGATTGCAAGTTGACGCAGGCGTTGATGGGGTTGAACGGCTGCTATCGAGATGATGGGGCCGAGCCAGAGAAGGCCAGACTCCAGCAACACTACCTACTGGGTAAGCCCACTCACCGCCTTTTGCTCGACCGCCCGCCGAGGATCTGAATGCCCATAGACCGTCCATATGAGGCGCACAAGCTCGCCAGGCTACCGATACCGACCTGGCAGACAGTGTGGCCCAAGCAGCGGGGTTCCCAGCCTCACGCTTGCACGTCCCGGTTCGTGGCATGCTGTAACACATAGATGCCGGCCATGTAGCAGCCTCTGTTGAGAACACATTGAAGACGTGAAGCTCGCGGTGGAAGGCGAGAGAAGGCACAAGATGGACGTTGGCGGCCAACGGACGGTTCGCGGAGGTCCATTATCGCACCTTCCCCATTCGTCCAAACCGCGGTTCCCGATTCCGTATCGATAAGCGCGACGTCTTCGCCCTCAAGAAATTCTCACGTCCCCATCATCCCCCCTTCCGCTCGTCATTGCCAATACTAGGGCCTAGAGGCATCATGCCTTCCCTTTCGACGCTCCTCTTTGCCTCGTTTCCCCTGCTGCTCATCGCCATCATTTGGCAGAACCCAGACCCCATCATCAAGCCAATCACCGGACACATCGCCTTCAAAATAATCCGGCAGTTCTTCGAGACAACGCACTGCTACGTCTCTGTCAAGACCAATTCAGCGCGTCTTCCACATGCGGAGTGCTTCAGTGTTTCGAACGGCAAGTTCTCGAGGGTCTTCATCGACGAGACATCCTTTCCGGTCGTGAAGGAGGCACGGAAGGGGCACGTGATTCCTGGTTTGTGGGATGGTCATGGACATTTGCTCCCATATGGCGAGTTGATGGACTCTGTCAATCTTTTCGGGGCCCAGACCATGGATGGGGTGAAGGAGAGACTTGTCCGGTACAAAGCGAGCCGTCCCGAAGCCGGGACCGCAGAGCAATGGCTGCGAGGCATGGGATGGGACCAAGCCAATTTTGAGGGGAAATGGCCCGTGGCAGTGAGTGGACTCTCTCCTGGCCTAACCCGTAGCCCTACACATTTCCAGGCGCGTTTTCGCTTTTCGAGAAGTTCCTTGCTAATATAGGTGCAGAAAGACCTGGAGATCGGAGATCAGTTCAAGGATATGTATGTCATGCTTGATCGTGTAGACGTGCATTGCATCTGGGTATCCGAGAAAGTACTGTCTCTTCTGCCAAACCCTCTTCCAGAAGTATCAGGCGGAGAGACCCCCGCGAAAGGAGTCTTCTGCGATAATGCAATGGACATTGTCATGAAGTATTACCCGAAGCCGAGCAAAGAGCGCAAAACCAAGTTCATCAAGGACGCCATGTGGGAACTGAACAAGCTTGGCATTGTTGGCGTGCACGATGCCGGAGTGTTTCCCTCGGAGCTCGAACTCTACGAAGAGCTGTCAGCAGACGAAAACTGGAATGTCCGGGTCTACGCGATGATGGAATGCGAGACGCGCAATACATTTTGTCCGCAAGATATTGCTAAGATCAGCACGACAAACGGGATGCTGCACGTAAGGAGCGTCAAGCTTTTCGCAGGTGGGTGTTGCCACTATTGTTGTGCAACGACATGCTAACTCCATTAGATGGCGCTCTCGGGAGCTGGGGTAGTGCTATGATCGAGCCATACAGCGACAAGCAGAGCTCCTCCGGATCGCTTCTCATCAACGCCACCACACTCTCCAAGCTGACGCATGAGTGGGCAACCGCGGGATATCAAGTAAACATCCACGCGATCGGCGACCTGGCCAATCGCCTCGCCGTTGACGCCTTCGAGGAGGCCCTCAAAGGTCTGTGCCCCGGATCTACACTCCGGGAGTGCCAGTCCCAGCATCGATTTCGCATCGAACACGCTCAAATCATCCATCCGGATGACCAGCGCCGAATGGCAGAGCTCGGCATTATCCCGTCCATACAACCCACGCACGCGACCTCGGACATGCCGTATGCAGAGACTAGACTCGGCAAGCCGCGCACCGAAAAAGAGGCCTATCGCATGCGGTCGCTCTTACCACTCAACCCCGTCTTCGGAAGCGATTTCCCCGTGGAGCCGGCCGATATCTTCGAAGGCATCTACGCCGCAGTCACGCGGCGCAGCCCGCGGACAGGCCTTGACGCAGAAGGTGGGACCAAAGGCTGGTATTCGTCGGAGACAGTCACAATTGAGGACGCACTAGAGGGCTTCACCGTCAATCCCGCGTATGCTGCATTCCTCGAAGGAAAAGCCGGTGTCATCGAAACGGGGGCATATGCAGACTGGATCGTCCTCGAAGAACCATTGGAGGCTGTCGACCTAGAATCCCTACGGAAACTCAAGGTGAAGGAGACGTGGGTAGGTGGCAAGCGAGTGTACAAACGGGCTGGCCCGGAGGAAGCCCCATGGGTGCAGAACTGAACGTCAGAGAACCCTGCGATACCCCACGCTGCACGGCATAGGCCTCCAAACCGCGATATCCGCTGAGGCCTACATGAAATCCTGTAGGCTGCTGCCGTACTAGGCCTACAGTAGCTACAGGATTTCGCTTCTGCGCTTCTTGGGCTGCATGCCACACCCCCATCCTAGCTCCAATACAGTCAAGTCTTCCCACCCCTTAAGTATCTATACCGCATTTGCAATTTACGCCATGGTGTCACTGCTCTCTCGGGCTAGTTCCCGCCTGTCGGCCAAATTCCACGGACCATATGCCATCACGGTGCTCATCCAACCACTTGTACGCAATTACCGTGCAACGGTTGGACGTGCATCTGTGGGGTGCAGTGACGGAGATTGACTGCAGACTTTTCTCCCCTACTCCGACTTTCCTCTTCCAGCCTACTCACCACCCCGCGTTTCGTCTATAAGAAGCCTTCGATATGTTGAGTTGGGGAAGGACCAGCGCAGCATGCCCCACACTCGAAAAGCACTCTTTCACAAAGAAACGAGAGCTTTCATGTCGGATAAGGATGGATAGCAAGACCAAAACAAGTTTCGCTTCGTCGAAAGAGTCGGTCGTGTGCGCACGATCTGGTGTTTGCGCGGATACCGCTACGCCGCCTGCTACACCTACACCAATGTCAACCTCTGCACAGCAGCTGCTCTCGGAAATACGCAACATCTACCGCACTCTCAGCAGCCTGCCAACTCTGGCTCCCGGGAATCAAGTCAACGCGCTGCTCACGCGCTTGGTCCATCTCTGCATCGCACCGCATGGCTCTGAATTCACCCACTACTTTCTCGGACTCGAGGGCGTAGACGCGCTGTGTCACTCACTCCGGCCTCTCTGCGCAGCCGCAGAAGGCGAATTGGAAAGGTACTGGGTGGACAGAATTTTGAACGAGTCGGCAGCGTCAAAAGGTAACCTCTGATGCGTTCCCAACATTCTCTATCTTCGATCAGCATTATTCAAAGCATTCCCTCCTCACACTCCTCTGTATCTCTATCTTTCTCCGTCCTGCAAGGAAGCTAACTGTGGAAACCAGCAACCGCTTCGCAAACCCGCCAGCTCCTTCGAAATTTCCCGTACTACACTAACTACCTCGACCTCTCACGTCTCGAGACCTCCGTCATCGTCGCCTTCCTGTCTTCCTCTGTATCTCTCAGTAAAGTCGCCTTCATAGGTTCCGGCCCTTTACCGCTAACCTCCATATGTCTGCTAGAAGCGTATCCGAAGGCAATCGTGCATAACATCGATCGCGACAACGCCGCTCTCCATGTCTCGCAATCTCTCGCAGCAAACCTGGGATACCATGACCGCATGACGTTCGCCTGTGAAGACGTCAGCATCGAGCAAGTTTCGGGTGCGCATACGAATTGGGCATCTTTCGATGTTGTTTTTCTAGCTGCGCTGGTGGGTATGAACACAGCGGAAAAGGTGTCCATACTCGAAATTCTTGCAGGGAAAATGCGGCCTGGGACGCTGGTAGTAGTGCGTAGTGCGCAGGGGTTGAGGAGCGTGTTATATCCGGTGAGTATGGTGATCTAAACATGAGATAGAGCGGACGCTAACTTTTACACGGGTCCTCGAGATATCGGATGAGCTCAGCCTAGCTGGTTATGAGGTGCTGGTCGAAGTGCACCCGTGGACGAGCGTGGTGAACTCAGCGGTTGTTCTGAGGGTTAAGGAAAGATGAGCCGGCTAGTCTAAATTTCCTCTTTCGAAGCATGGCGGCATCGGGAGTTGAATGCATGGGGCCTTCACAGGGTGGCGTGGAAAAAAGTGCGTCCGAATAGCATTGGCCGAGAAGGTAGATGGTGCATCCAGAACACAAGGTACCTTTGAACTAAGCAGAGGTACGAAGGGTTCCCATTTCAATCACACATGGCTCCCAGCATAGATTGAAAAGTCCGGATATCGGATTCCTTATCTTCGCTCATCTATAGAAACGCGCCCATAGACACACGCACTATCTTGTGAGTGCAGAGACATCCTGTGCAAATGGAAGCCCGGCCCTTTCCCACCGCGCTCCCCACTATCCTTTTCCCGTTCTACAGCATCAATCTATATAGCCTTAGCACGGCAATCCTTATAGTCCTCTAACTTGAACAGCCTCTTCGCATTCTTCCCCCCAATCATCGCCCTCGTACCCGTACTCATCTCCGCCCCATCAAACCACTCACACGCATCGCTGAAATTCTCAAATGGATAGTCCACCGAAAACAGGATGCGCTCCGCGCCCACCTCCGCCAAGCAGAAGTTGAGCGTCGTTGTAGAGAAATGGCCCGACGTCGTAATCCAGATGTTCTCGTTGAAGTACTCGCGGATCGTCTTCTTGCACGCCAGGCCGAGCGCTTTTTCCGGTCTTCGAACCAGTGGTTAATGCGCCACATGTCGAAGGGCATGTGTTCGCCGAGGTGGCCCAGGATGATTTGCAGAGACGGGTGTCGGTCGAAGACACCGTTGGTTACCATGCCGAGGGCATGCAGGCTGACACCGTGAGCGAAGGAGAGTGGAGGCCCGATTAGCCACTGAGTGCATGATTGTAAGCCCCCCATACCATACTAATGCAAGTTTTCTCGTAGACACGTCGTTCGGATAATTTACACTTACCTACCGGTCCTTCCATAGCTTTTCGAAAATCACGCCGGTGGGGTTGCGGGGGTGCAGATAGAGCGGTACGTCCAGCTCGACGCATGTCTGCCAGAAGATGTCCCATTCGGGCTTGCCATAGAAGATGAGGTCTTCGCCGTCCGGGCCCGCACGCTGGGTGTCGTTGACGAGAGCCCCCTTGAAGCCATACTGCGTGATGGTGCGACGCGGTTCTGTGGCCGCCTCAGCAGGATCACGCGTCGAGAGAGTCCTACATCAACACATCACTATCAATACCCATTCCAGATTTCAGGGGGGAAAGACCGGAACTGGCAGAAGACGTACGCGAACGCTCCCAGACGGTCTGGAAAAGCCCGGATCTTCTCCGCAATATAATCGTTGATTTCAACAGCGAGCGCCTGTGCCTCCTTCGCGTCGAATATGTCTTGCACGCCGGGCGCCGTGTATGACAGAATGGTGTAGCCCACGCCGTGCTTGTCGGCATGGCGAAGCCGGATGTCGGTGATGTCTTGTATCTCTTTGACATGCGTTTCCGGGTCGGTGCTGAAGAGGCCGTCCTACCTGCGGGTTTTATCTTCTAGGCGCGGCAGCGCGATGGCTTCTTCAAGGATGACTTTGCCGAGCATGACGAGGTGGACTTGAGTTTAAAGATGGAAATGGAAAAGAGGGGTGCGTGGGAGCTTGGGAGAGAGGGTTGATATTTCAATCCAATGACCTGTGCGGATAGTAGGGTGCTCGCGTCGAAGAAGCTGTTCTGATGGAGTAAAGGAGGTACCTGTAGCAGTGCGGTTCCGCTTTCCGCCGTAAGGGCGTTTGTAAGGCCCTCTACAGCAAGAGCAGCCCGCTAATGTGGAGTACAGGGCATGTACGCGTTCGGTGCCTACCTTAGTACCCCAAGACACTCCGAATTACCGGTCATGAGGATTTCTTCATTCCCGTGTCAGATTTCAGGCATGAACCCTTTCACGCGCTAACCCTCATTAGTAGCATGTCCAGCCAGATTCCTCAGACACCATTTCTAGATCCACGGAAGAAGCCTGAGAGCATTGCTAGAACTTATTAGCCACTACTAGCCCCGCTTGCTCTAAACTAAAACCTACCAGACGACTTATCTCACTACGCTCCACCTTCCCTACCCTCCCCGTTCAGCACCCACGATCTTTTGTCCCCTTGGAACACCCATTACCACCATCACCACCACCACCCTCAGTCATTCCCTCATCCCCATCTAACAGTAAATCTGATACGAATACAAGTTCTTCGCATCCCAGCACTTCCCAATCTCATTCGTCTCAATAAAACCCCCCGTGCAATCCCCACTATAGAACAAATACACTGCACGCTCGTTTGCCCCTTCTCTTCCCATCACTCCATGCCAAGCTGGGTTCGGGCACGTGAGGGTTGCGCGAGCTGAGGCTAGCTGCAGCCCGCCAAGCACCCGCAAAACTCGGTGGAGCCCCAAAATCGCCTGATGTATTGTTAGGAATTGCAAGTCTTGCGGTGTGTGTAGGAGCTAAAGTTGAACTTCGTGCGTAGTGTCCGCGATGCTACATCTACGCTGTCGTTATCTCGACCACCATCGTTTCTTACCATAATATCTAGCCCGGATCAGGGAAGAGAAGAACACTAGATCGGATCTACGCAGTGAAAAGGTACTGTATTCGGCAATAGAGTGAGTTAGCCCAATGAGTCTGATACGGATACAGCTAAAAGTGCAAAGTGCCAGCACAAACCCCCAACGCTGGTCAACATCACAATCCGTGATGTTCGGCGTCTATGCCGCACGCTCGTCAGCCTCGTTCTCTGCTTGCCCCAAGTTCAAATGTGCCAAACTATCCACCTCACTCCTGTCGTCCCCCGTACCAAACAGGCCCTCTGGCACCCTCACCCCATACGCCTCGATCTCCTTCCTAATCCCCTTCTGCTCTTGCTTCTTAAGATATTTCGCCGCTAGCCCAAATAGTCGTTCACTACTTGCAAAATCGGTGGATGCATACTCCAGCATCTCATCGCGCACTCTCTCGTCCTGCTGCTTCTCCTGCGCCTCTTCTATCTTCTTAAACGCAATAGCAGTTCGTAGGTAGATAAGCCCAACGTCCGCAGAACCGACGAACTCGGAGATGAAGTCTTCGAATTCTGTGTCCATGGCTTCCCGCATGATGCGGATGCTACGCATACCCCAGAACGCTGCTTCAGTCCAGTCCTGGAGCTTGAGGTAGGCAGCAATGGTGCGCGCTACGAGACGGATGCGTAGGATGATGCGGACCGTGGTTCCTGTCTGGCCAGAGTAGCGTCCGGACTCGATGCCCTCGTGGAAGAAACTATCGGCTAGGACGCTCCGTGTACGGCCTTCGATAATGATATGAATAGCGTGGAAGGATTTAACGTAAAGCCGCAACGCCTCTTCCACCTTTCCCTCTGTGAGAGTCCTGTCCCCCTCTATCATCAAATCCGTGCTCTTCTCACAGCACTCCCTTACACTCGGATGCGGAACCGCCATCCTCCCCCTCAACTCCTCCACCAGCCTCTCATCAAACCCGTCAAACTCCGTATCATACAACCCCTTCACTCTATCAAATCCCTCCAAAATCCTCCTCTGCAGAGCTACCGGTATCGGTTTCGGATCCGCGGGGTAATAAGGATCTCGTAGCGCGAAGCCCGTGCACAGCTGTGCATTGAGCTCGGGGAAGGACAGGCTCGAGTAGTACCATACTTGTGTGAAGAGCGGAAGGTCGTTCAGGTGTAAGATGATAATGTGTTCGGGGATGGCGCCGTGGCGGGGGGAGGATATGCTGATTGTTGCGTGGTGGTGCCGGAAGAGCTCGGCGCGGTGGCTAGAAGCGACGATGGGGACGCCGCCCTCGAGGGAGATGTGTTGGACTAAAACTCCAGCGCTCTAGTTAGTATTCTATCGTATCTCTCTATTGAAAAAGCTTTCGGGTCGTGTTCTGCAGTGAGAAAGGCGAACCGAGGGAGTCTCCCAATCATCTGGCGCATGCGGGTCATATACCCTGAGTACATACCTGCAGTCGGCCACGGCGTCTCAATCCTTACGAAAACATTTTCCCTGCGGAACATCGTCTGCGCCTCAAGATAGATCTGCTTGCTCGCTCTATACAGCGCGAAGTCGAAGTCGTATCTTCCACCGCCGTCGCATCCGCCGGTGTCTAGATGAGTCGTGGGGTCGAAATAGTGAGCGTAAATCTGCTCACGCAGCTCTAGAGGAAGCTGCAGTAAGGGGAATGTTTTACCCATCGTGAAGGCGTAGTCTGGAGAGAATATTGGGGGTGGATGGAACCTTGATGTAGACGATGACGGCCGCCGGGAATGAACCCCGCTAGGCTCGGTTAACTCCGCTTAACCCCGACTTATAATGCTCCATTGCATTTCATATACAGACAGAAGTCGCATTCCACAAGGTTTCCAACAGGGCTGCATAGAGCCACCATATAGTACAAGTTCGTTCTCATCTTACCGCCGCTTAGATATGCCAATTGCTTACACAAGAGTGGAAAAGGTATAATTGCTCACAGTCCCAAACCAGATCATTTGTTTTCCTGCTGTGGCGGCGGAGCACCGCTACCTAACCAGCTGAAAGCACTGCTCTTCATGCTCTTCATCTGCTCCTCCTGGAACTTCTTTTCCTCATCCGCCATCTCCTTCAGCCACTTCTCGCCGTTCTCGCGGATCTCCTTGTCCATCGCTTCGTAATTCTTCCGGCCGATTTCCCGGAACATATCGATCATCATCTTTCCTTGCGCCATGCCTTCCGAGGCATTCGTCCCATCAGCCAGGATCAGCTTGCCCTGGCCGCCACCCATGCCTAGCGCCCCCATTAAGAAGCCGCCGGCACTATGCTTTCCCCTCTTTGCCTTTTCCGCTTCGAGCTCCTTCCTGAACTCTTCTCGCAGTCTAGCTTCCCGCCGTGCAAACTCGGCTGGGATGTCTTTACCCTCCATTGACTTGAGAGCACTCCGCACGTCTATGTTACCGCCTTGTTGTAGCATGGCAATGTATTCGAGGAAGGGGATGAGGCCTACGAGGCCTTTGTCTCCAGGCTGCCCCTTCCACTTGGGAAGTATAATGGCGTTCTCGGGTTGTAATTTTACGTGGGCCGGGTCGGTGTCGATGATGATGGTTTTAGAGAGGTCGCGGTTGAGGCAGGACAGATCCTACAACATGTTAGCGGAGATCGGCGCCTCAGGAACAATTTCCATACTTTAACATACTCGCCCTTCTCGTAGCGCGTCGCCTCACGGAATAATGGCCACATTACGATGCGGAAGGGATCGAGTTTTCGGATGATAGGATCGGCGTCCATTGATTTGACAGAGGTGAAGATGACCAGCTCGTAGTACTGGCTCAGGTAGCGAAGGAAGTAGTCCACGCCAGGCCGTTTCGCTGTTCGCCAGCCATGCTTCGTTGACCATTCCGAATGAACTAGCAAATCCTCCAAGCTCAAGACGAGGGTCAGCGGCGGCGCTGGCTCGATGTCCGGGAGCAGCTTTGGGAACGTCGGCTCGGTGTAGTAGCCCATTTGGTTGTTGATCCGGGCTTTGGCGCGCTTGTACATCAGGCCGAGTGCCCATCCTGACGGCGCGTCTGGATTCGCCTTCTCTTCCTCTTCCGACTCCCAGTTCCGGCCCATGTATACCGCGCCTGTAGCTCCGAATAGAAGCGTTATAAGGTAGGACCAGTTGGCCACACGGTTCCGCCGCCTGTCCGTGCTCGTCTCGTAGGCTGACTTCGGTAGCTCTCCGCCTTCGCGGCCTGCTCCTCCCGATCCAGGCTCCTTTGCGGGATCATCTGTGACGTTGTTTGGGTCGTGAGTGCCGGTCTTGTGCTTTGCTTCGGCTTCGCCAAACTCGGCGCCGAAGGTGGAGGGAATGCCTTGTCGCAGGTCTGGCAGAGGTTTCTGTGGCTGTTGGGGGCTCTCGGTCGTGGGGTCTGCGTTCTCTTGTGGTGATTTGGGTCCTGCAAACTCTTCCTGCTCCGGAGCGTAGTCCCTCGCCGCATCGGGCCTTGCTGCTTCAGATACACCAGGCCCCGGTGCCTCTGACGGCGTTGTGTTGCGCTCTGGTGTTGCTGCCGCATCGAACTCGGGCTGCGCTTGAGGGTTGACGGGATTCGGACGCGACTTGTTCGATTCATCAAACTTTATCGGGTCGGAGGGCCTCCATGAGTTATTCCGGCCGGGCTTGTTTGCGTAGAAGCGTAACCGCTGCGATGTGGAAGCTATGGGAGCTATGCGAGGGACGGACAGGACCGGGGGGGTGCGCAGCGCGCGGAAGGCTGCCCGCGACAGCATTGTGGCCGTAAAGGAGAGATTGGACTACAAATTAAGAGAGAATGCAAATCTACAAGACATGGATTGGGAACGAATTGGAGCCGGTGCAGGAGCTCGATGAAGCGGCGGGCGCTGCTGCGGTCTTCCGATGAAATAATTGATGGGAGCTTTGCTTGGCGACGTGCACCGTGCTCACGCGCCTGCCGAAGGACAAGGTGTCCGTCTTTGACCACCCCGGCGAGAGCGTCATGCTCTCCATTGCGTCCTTCTGCGACGTGCGCACTCCGTTCTCTGGCCTCTTCGCCCCTCTCCACTAGTCCCATGTCGTCAGAAAGGGACCATCTTGGGCATGCACTCGACTGGAAGGCCTCTGCGGCGAGATGCGCCGGCGCCCGGAGGAGCCACCTTTCAGCTGATATGGCTCTTTCTGCTGTGGATATGCTGCTGGGCGCCCGTCGGACATGGCATGACCGATGAAGCCATATCAATCCTTAGGTAAATCTTCCAGAGCGTTGTCAAAATTTCGAGGCGCATACTGATCAGTCACAGACAAGAAACTCGAGACATATTTTACCATGGCTACGACAACTACATGAAGCATGCCTTTCCCGAAGACGAATTGCGCCCACTCACTTGTGGGCCTCTCACGCGCGATCGCCAGAATCCCGCGCATATTGAGGTCAACGATGTCTTGGGAAACTATTCCCTGACGCTGATTGACAGCCTCTCTACGCTCGCTATCCTGGCATCCTCCCCACCGCTATCCAAACGAGGTCATAATAAAGCGTTGGGGGATTTCCAGGATGGTGTCAAGTTGCTGGTGGAGCATTACGGAGACGGATCAGAGAGCCCGACGGGGCAAGGGACAAGAGCGCGGGGATTCGATCTGGACAGCAAGGTGCAAGTCTTCGAGACGGTCATTCGCGGCGTCGGAGGACTGCTAAGCGCACACGAATTCGCGGTAGGAGATTTGCCGATTCGAGGCTACGACGCCAGGGTGCAAAAGAAGAAGGGAAGACGAGGCATTTTCTGGCGCAATGGGCTGGTGTACAATGGCCAATTACTCCGACTGGCTACGGATCTCGCTGAAAGGCTGATGCCTGCTTTCCACACTCCGACTGGTCTCCCGTACCCGCGCGTGAACCTGCGCCACGGCGTTCCCTTCTACGCCAATTCCCCGTATAATACTGACGCGGAGCACGGCCAATGCAACAAGGATCCGAACGAGAAGGGAACCGAGATCACGGAGACATGCAGTGCTGGAGCGGGAAGCCTTGTCCTGGAGTTCACTACCCTCAGCCGCCTGACTGGAGACCCCCGTTTCGAGATTGCCGCGAAAGAGGCTTTCTGGGCCGTGTGGCAGCGCAGGAGCAGCATTGGGTTGATTGGCGCGGGCATTGACGCGGAAACAGGGCAATGGGTGTCTCCATACACAGGCATCGGTGCCGGCATAGACAGTTTCTTCGAATACTCCCTCAAGTCGCACATCTTGCTCTCCGGATTACCCTATAATCCTGAGAAACTAGAGACGGATTCTCCACAAGCATTCCTCCGGGCATGGGAGGATGCGCACGATGGGATCAAGCGACACGTTTATCGCGGCGCACAGCATCAACATCCGCACTACATCCAGGTCGACCTTTACACGGGCGCAATGCGGGCATTCTGGATCGACAGCCTCAGTGCATACTACCAGGGCCTCCTCGCTTTGGCTGGAGAGCTTGAGGAAGCAATTGAGACTCATCTACTCTATACCGCCCTTTGGACACGTTATTCCGCAATGCCTGAGAGATGGTCAACCGCGACCGGCAACATCGAGAGCGGTCTCCGATGGTGGGGTGGCCGGCCGGAATTCATCGAATCGACTTGGTACTTGTATCGAGCGACCAAGGACCCATGGTATCTCCACGTTGGAGAAATGGCTCTCCGAGACATCAAACGGCGATGCTGGACCAAATGCGGCTGGGCCGGGCTACACGACGTCCGCACGGGAGAGCTGAGCGATCGCATGGAAAGTTTCTTTCTCGGTGAAACTGCAAAGTACCTCTTCCTGCTGTTCGATCCGTCTCATCCGCTCAACACCTGGGACGCGCCATTTGTCTTCACCACTGAAGGTCACCCTTTGATAATACCCAAACGCCTGCGGCCCTCTAAGTTCGTCCAAAGCAGTGCACCCACTCCTGACTGGGAACCTGCTCCTGGGGTGTGCCCTCTTCCACCGGCCCCTGTGCCTTTCAGCATATCGGCCACCGCTGCTCGACCCGACATCTTCCACGCCGCAAGCCTTGCGAAACTGCACCTCATGCCAACGATCGAGACGCTTGAATCGCCTCTCGTAGAGTTCAGCGCTGATCACCCTAGTATATCCGTTTCGGATATCCGCTCCCCTTCCAATTATACCTATTATCCGTGGACTCTTCCCCCGGAGCTGGTCCCTTACAACGCGATGAGCTCGAAGATGGCAGTACGCACTACCTTTGACCTCTCATTCCCTAATATGCCGAACACCTTACAAATGGGCACCCTACAAAGGGTGCAGGAAGGAATCCTCGTAAATTCTATGAGCGGGCTTAGGCTCGGCATGGTGCGTGAGCCGGAAGCTTTTCCGGATGAGCAAGAGGTCACACTTGACGACCAATTCCGCATCTATGCAATCTCAAACGTTGCTCTTGGCCGTGATGAGAAAGTATACATGTCGCGCTCGACCATCGAAAGCTTTAACCCTCTAGATCCTTTCTTTACTCGCACGCGTGATCCCTCGACTTTGGATCTCGTCATTGACGTCCCTCCTCAGCCAGTGATGAGCTCGTCTTCAGGAGCGCTTTCCGACCTTCTCGAAGATGCTCTTGGAGGAATGGGTAATTTGTCTAATATGGAAGTCTTCGAGATGGAGGTAGGGCCGGAGGCGCTAGAAGATGGTTCGTCTTACCTGTCCTCACTACTTGCCTCGCTACAGTCACTCCTCTCCGCGCCATCTTCGACAACCTCCCCCTCATCGTCTTCTACCCCAAAACCGAAAGAGCAGCAAACACAGCGTCTTTCTATCCAGGCCACGCTTCCTATCGGCCCTGGCTCCGCACCGCTTCCAGATGTGCCTGATCCGGACCTCACATACAGTGCGTCGGATCCCCTTATGTGGTCGGGCATTTACATCCACCCTAACACTCTATGCGATGAGCGTTTGCACATAGACATTCCCCGCAACCACCAGGTTATCGTCATCCCACGCGGTGGCTGTTCTTTCTCGACTAAGCTACGAAACATCCCGGCGTATCCGCCGAAGGGTGGATCACTGCAGCTCGTGGTTGTTGTGAGCTATCCGGAGCATGAAGAACTACGATACGACTTCGCTACCCGTGAGAGTACGGAGGATGAAGAAGTGATCGATGAAGATCCGAAGGAAGGGAGCAGGAACAGCAGGATGGGCAAGCGGGCAGATAAAGAAAACACCGTGGATCCTGCCGCCGAGCAGCCCCAGAGTGACACTCAAAAGGAGAGCACCTCGGATACGCAACCTCGCTCAAAAATGTCTTCTAGGAAAACGCCACACTTTGCACAACGGCACGAAATGAACCCCCTCGTCCAACCTCTGCTGGACGAGCAGCAGTTTACTCCGTCCGGCCTGCCTCGTCCAAACCCAATACCGCTCATTATGATCAGCGGCGGCGAAGAAACAATGGCGCTCTTGAGGAGAGCGAATGGCATAGGCGTGCGGCGGAGATACTATTTCCTTAGCCAAGGAGTGAAGATAAGCAACCTGATCGTTCTATAGACGACTTTAACCAGCAGGGATGGTATCTGTACGAGCTATGTATATACAAAGAAAGCAGGCGTTTCTTGGAACTCGCATTGGGATAGATAGAGGGCATGGGTGGGCTCTTTGTCGATACCTTAGGAATGCTCCATTTAAATGTGCATTGTTCTGCTATAGTTCGCGTTGATTTATTAGGTGCTCCATTTCCAATCAGGATGTGCGCCAAGGCTCACGTGCAATGGGCTGATTGATTGATTTCTGTCGTTGTAAGTCACCAACCTATAGAGGTTATACTGACTACGCCTACGCATAAAAGGACTTAAAAGACGCTAATATTAAGAGAAGAGAACAGGGTATTATAGAACTACAGGCAAGTAGCATAAGTTAACAGAAAATAACAGTTTAGGCGCCGATAATAAGGGCGTAGCCTACTACGCGCTACGAACCATGGCACGAAGCTGCCAACGAAAAAGGAGCCCAGAAAGCCCCTCAACAACAACGATGGTCAACGGAAAGGGCGCAAACAGCACCAGCAAAAGGGTTGGATCTGGAGAGGAGGTAGAGCAACAACGGCAGACAACTTAGGTAGCAATACACTGTCAACTCATGCCTATACACACCATGTGCAAAGACTCTATATGTGAGACACTACGGGTCTGCGTCGAAGATCCTGCGATGGGCTGCATAGTGACCTCCATCCATGGATCAACATGGACATATCCTTCATTCTTGCCTGAAGGCTGCCGCCTCGAACTCCTTAACTCTATATCAATTCTTCTAGTCAACACCGGCGCTTACGGTTCTGCGGTCTTTGGATTGCCCGCATTTCCTAGACCGTCGATCCTCAGCCTCGTTATTTCGAACAACAGCGTCTAGACAGCGACTTCGAGAACCATCATCACTAAGCGTCACTATACCCCTTCTCTACGGCAATACTACTCTCGTTCCCGTACACCACGCCGAATCTAGCGTCGACGCCGTCGCTTGACGGGGTTAAAGCCCTGGTTTGTGACCGATGCTGGACCGATTTCTTCGATACTGAGGGTTTCGAACAACTTATGCGACATATGTAAGTCACAGTAGTGCTTTACGAATCCGAGCTCTCATTTTCTAGAACATTACTAACTAAATCGCTGTCAGGTGGACGCTCTCTGCATATTGCAGGACTGTGATTACGATAAGACTCACGAGATAGCTTTGATGGCACAAATCTACGGAAACCCGTTTGTTACCATTCTAGCCTCCCACTGCAGAAAGTGCCACGGATGGTTTTTTTCACCGGCGCCAGGTATGCTCGGAGGAAGGATATACTGTGCCCTTCCGCATATTAGACGGGACATTCGGAACCGTGACGTTCCAAACCGGCTACAGCCGCCCGCCAGAAAAAAGAGAACCAATTCAGGAACGGGAGTGGACATTGCAGGAACAATTTCTGCCCAAACGCCTTCTGATGTACACTTCGCGCACCTTACAATGACAGTGCGCTGCTGGCACAATGAACCTTGGGCAGTCGCTATGCATGGGATACAGGCTATCGCCGGATTTAGTCAGCCACATCAGCTCAGAGAAGAAGAAAGCGTTGATACAGTGGCTAAAAGTAGTGGAAGACTATTGTTCCAGAACCGCTACTTTTCCGAGCGATAAACTTCTCGCTATTGCAGCGCTCGCGAAGGAGTTCCCTGTGACTCTAGGCTCCGGGTATCACGCCGGACTCCGGCATTATGGATTTTTCTGGCAAATGTAATGAGAAAGAGCGTCGCAAAGAACTAGGCACCCTCGAAAGATCCCATATATAGGGCGCCGTCCTGGTCCTGAGCATCTGTTGAAGGTGACGTGCTTTTCTCCACACTCCGCATGCGGAAAATATATGACTGCTTCGAACTCGCCTCTGCACTCACGGTGATTAAAGATGAGGTAATACCTCATGGTGAGGTTAACGCGGCCTCCATCACAGCTCGTGCCCGATTGCTACTATGCTGGATGCCTCACGTTGACGAAACATATGCGTGGCCAGCCCCTCGTCATCGCTTTGACGGGGCGTATAAAATTCCCGTGGACTATGGAGTTTCGCAAATGCCGTCGAGATTTCTCAACGCTTATTTTCGCTACCTGTCCCAAATTGCGCTACCAACTAGGACTATAGAAGTTCTGATGGGTATTAATTTCGACGAGCCTCCTATTTGCAAAGTCGGACTTGTATATTGCATGCCACTCGGCTGGGACCTCATCCACGTGGGTGTAGCGCCGAATTACTGGCGTTATAGGTCGGAGCGAGTGCGATTGTATTCGGGTGTCTTGTTGGTTCTAGCTACATAGAGCACTTTCCGACGGATTGGAGTTTTCAGCGGACTACATGCGGAGGAGTTCGTGATGATTCTGGGATCAGAGATCACACTTGTGTAGTAATCTTTTGGTGTCGGCTTTCCAGCAGCTGGTATGTTCACTAACAAACAAACTACGCGGCCCCTGAACCCGCACTTTGTACTGCAACTAAGTTTCTACTAGCCTCTCCGAGACATGCTGTTGCTATCGGCACAGATGTTTCAGCCTTTATAGGCTAATTGCTCCGCCATATTTCACTCTTCGAGGCGTGCAAAGCATTATCGATGCCTTGTCATGATCGAGAGCAGCGTTAAGATCATCCAATACAAACACCCCAAGCCTGGCTCGTCGAGCTCAAAATTTCGGAGAAGTATCTAGTTGACCACATAGAGTTCGACCCCGGCTCGTTCACTGGTTTCTTCGGCTCAAAGCCACTCATCATCGCCACCTCGCCACCACCCAATGGGGGTAGAGGACGTATGTTTGACCGTTCGCAACACACTCGTAGAAGACGCCGGCCTGCGTGTCGCCCCGGCACGACCCTCAGAGACACAAATGGCGCCATCGAACTAACTCTCACCGTCGGAGGCGAAAAGCCATACCCCTCACGGTCCACGCAATAGTCAGCCCGGGCGGCCCGGCATCTACAACTTTCGAAAGAACGTGGTACACCAACAACCACCAATGGGACTTCGCCTTCTGCGCCGACTGGAGCTTGCTCGCTCCGGCCCATGCGATAAACCGCCTCACGCACCTCATCTTCCTGGACGTCCACGCAGGCTACCTTGTCGACCTGCGGTAACTCTGCGCATACCCAGTTCAGGTCTTCGGTTATAACTAGCGCGAGACCGGCCAGCCCGCTTGCCCTAGCAGAATTCGTTCTGAGGTGTCCTTTGGTCCGCCGCAGGTCGGGTTTGTGAACCTGACGAAATTCCTGACGTAACATCTTCACTAAACGGGGCTGGCTCAAGATACCACAGTAGTCCGGAGGCGTGGCTGATGGACCATCATGGGGTAGCACTCGAGAACTTCGTTCCGTTGTATCGGGGATTGTATTGCCAGGAGCGACATTGGCAAGGGAAGAGGTTCTTTCAGCCCACGGCTTCGGGATACGGACCGCAGGGTTGGTACAGAGTGTCAGAATGAAAGGCGAAAGAGCACAGATCCCATAGTATATGGTTATGAAGCACGCAGGAAAAGGGGTAGCTAGGACCGAAAGTTCACTAGCGCTGTCTTGGCGAACCCGGCTTTCCTTTTCGTCGAAAGTTCGTCTAATTCTCTAACTCCACATTTCCTTTTTCTATCACCGCATTCTACAAAAGAGATTACACGCTTTATGTAAGCCCGCTTGTAAGATTTCGGCTTTCAAACGGACGAAGACAGGCCGATGAAGGCAAGATGGAGCGCTCCGAACGGAAGATCACGTATTCCCTCTTTTTTCCGGACGAGCATCTCGCAGGCCTCCTGCATTTTGCGCATACGTTCCAGTCATGAGAGTCTCCAATGCTTAGTACCGCTCCGTTATCGCAATCCTTAGACCCTTTGTCCAAATTCGGAAGGTCGAATCCGCCTCGCCAAGCAAAATTCCATATCTCTATAGTGCCCAGCCAGCGGAGATCCAGGGTCCGAAAGCTTCACTTTCCTAATACACAGTTTGGCCAAGCTCTCCGCGAGTTATAAGGGAGCTACATGGAAGAATATGGAGGAGATTTGTCTGCGAAAGGCAGCTCAGGACGAGCTGACTTGCATAGATACTCCGAGGAACGGGGTCAGCTGCCATTCCCAGTGTACGAGCGCAGGAGGTGATGTCTAGATGGCAGTCTGTGGATGGCGCAGGTGAGCGAATATGGGGCCATGAAGAAATACGAGGGTTATAAGAAGCGGGAGAAAAGTAGGAATTCCGTGAGACTGGGTGAGTGGCTCGTTCTTTTGCAACCCAGTTCCCGAAGTTCCTCTAAGGGGTGTTTTTTGATCCCTTCAATAATGCGGCCATTCCTTCTCGCATCCTTGGCGTCGCTAGTCGCGGTACAGAGCAGCAATGCCCATCCGCTATCGCTGAAGTCGCGAATGCTCGCTAGGAGAGCCGTCGACCTGAACGCCTTTCGAATGGTTCTGGATACTGAGTATACGAACGCAACAACTGTACAATCAGACCCGTCGATTTCTTCCCTGGCGAAAAGGGCCGATCCTCAAGATACCGCTACGGAACTTGTAAAGACAACTGTACCAGGTGCTACCTTTCGGCTCGTTGAGGATCACTACGTCGGAGGCAACGGTGTAGCTCACTTCAATTTCAAGCAGACCGCGAGTGGGCTTGATATTGATAACGCGGACTTCAACGTGAATGTAAGTCACTTCTTAAAAGCCTAGTGAATCGGACTACCCGAGCAGGTTCACTGATTAAGCGTAGATTGGCCGCAACGGAGAGGTTTTCTCGTTCGGTAGCTCATTCTTCAAGGAAGATGTGCCTTCATCTCCAGACTTTGACAAACGCGACACTGTCGACCCGGCTGAAGCCCTCAAGGCGGCAGTCAACACACTCCAACTTCCGATTACGGCCGGCAATGCGAAGGCGGAGCCAAAGGGTGACACAGACACGTTCATAATCACACAAACTACCGGGACCGTTTCCGAGCCAGAAGCTCGCCTCGTCTACGTCCAGACAGCCGATGGAAGCCTTGCGCTCTCTTGGAAAGTAGAGACTGACATCGACACCAATTGGCTCCTTACATACGTGGATGCGAAGAGCGGCGAGAAAATTCACCATGTAGTCGACTACGCTGCGGACGCAACCTACGAAGTCTATCCTTGGGGTCTCAACGACCCAACCGAAGGCCAGCGCGTCATCCTTGAAGACCCATTTGACCCTAAATCAAGCGAATTTGGCTGGCACAGCACCGGCTCCGAAAGCTTCAAGACAACGAGAGGCAACAACGGCGTGGCGCAAAGTAATTGGGACAACAGACAAGACTACCTGAATCTGCCGAGGCCGACAAGTCCATCGCTCGACTTCGAGTATCCGTACGGTTTGAACCAAAGCGATTGGAAATCCTACATCAACGCATCAATTACCCAGCTCTTCTACACGGCAAACACGTACCACGACCTGCTGTACAAACTCGGCTTCACTGAGGAAGCCGGCAACTTCGAGATGAACAATAATGGTGGAGCGGGCGTAGAAAACGACTTTGTGTATCTCAACGCGCAAGATGGCGCTGGATTGAACAACGCAAACTTCTTGACCCGGCCGGATGGCCAACCAGGCCGCATGAGGATGTATATGTGGAACCTCACCGAGCCGTGGCGCGATGGCGCCTTCGACGCTGGTGTAGTCATCCACGAGTACACTCACGGGCTTTCAAACCGCCTCACCGGCGGCCCTGCGAATGCTAATTGCTTGAACATTCTCGAAGCAGGCGGTATGGGCGAAGGCTGGAGCGATTTCTTCGCCACGACTATCCGGCTCAAGCCCGGCGACACTCGCGCAACGAACTACGCAATGGGTGCCTGGGTCTTTGGCGACCCTGCAGGCCTCCGACCTTATCTCTACTCTACGGATATGAACGTCAACCCGCACATCTACACGGACGTTGACCCGCTCACCAAGGTCCACTACATTGGCACGGTTTGGGCCACAATGCTCTATGAAGTGCTCTGGAACTTGATCGACAAACACGGCAAGAACGACGCGGGCACACCATCCTTTGACTCCAGCGGCGTGCCCACGGATGGCAAGTATCTAGCGCTGAAGCTCGTTATGGACGGAATGGCCTTACAGCCATGCAACCCCAACTTTGTGAGCGCGCGCGATGCGATTATTGATGCGGATGAGGCGTTGACGGGTGGAGAGAATGCGTGTGAGATCTGGAAAGGCTTTGCGAAGAGAGGTTTGGGCGAGGGTGCGACATATAGTACGATGGGGAGGACGAATAGTTTTGTTCTACCGGAAGGGGTGTGCTGAGGTGCGGTAAGGAGTTACGATACCTCATTGCAGTGGCTCTCGTAGGAGGTATTGAATAGACGACCTGAGAATTTTGAATGTCTCAAACCACATCTAATTCGGGCGGCATGTTCGGGTAAGGCGTTAGGAACTCCATGCACCTCGTCCATTTTAGGAAAGAGATACACTTCATCCAAAAGGAAGGATTGAGACATCTGTCCGTCTACGTACACCCTCATCCCTTCGGCGTGCCCCTGAGCATAGGAAACAGTTCTTTGGCACAGCAAGGCAGACCATGCACTCGCGCGAACCTGCTCTCGCGACCTCATCACGCCCTTCAAATTTCCGGCCACAACCCTCAGCTTTTTCTCACTTCGATGCAACGCGTCCAGAAAAAGCAGAGCCTCGCAGCCAAGTCCCACGCATTCTCGGAACCCGCGCCCGAACCATCTCTCAGACAAAAATAAATCCAAAAACTCTACTCAAAACAGCATAGTACACGCTTCAACCCCCTTCTCCTTCCCCATCCATACCCCTACCTACCCATCTCGCCAACCTTCCAGAAGGCCCGCTAGAAGCCTTCCATGCATCAGAACCACTTCGCGTGCATCGGCAACGCACGTGGGACCCTTCCCTCAATATATCCGCCGCAAGAAACGAGTATGGGCCGGCAAGGTTAGTGACGTGAAGTCGCGTGGCTAGCCGTCCACCGGCTTATCTTAGAGGCTGATCTGACATCAGCAGGCTTTTCGCTTGGAACCCCGAAGTTGAGGTCACGATATAGTGAGTTGCCTAATGCGGACTAGCGTGGAGCTACGTTCGGAATCCGGGGATTAATGATGAGTGAGGGGGCTGGGATATGGCTTTCCCATTGGGTGAGGAGGAGAAAACGTGGATCTGGGATGGGAGGTAGTGGTGAGTGAGGCGAGTGGAATTTTCTGGAAGGAATGGGATGGGAGGGTTTACCCTGGGGAAAGATAGGCGGCGTGGATGTGTACTGTACATACATGGGATGGAGATGGGATCATCGAGGGATGCGCATGAGATGAGGCTCCTCCCTCGTACAATGTACGTCAATTCCGATGATTGGCGAACGAACTCGGTCACGGAACGGATGCTTCCATGGATTGGTTGCCTGAGATCATGAGTGAATCTCACCTCAGCGCTCGCTCTGCTCAGAACCGTTCTCCTTCGCTCCCATCTCGCCCAGCTGTCTGTGTACGTCTTCCCCATAGCGGTCCGTTCTGCGCAAGGCAAGCTCTCCCATATGTGTCTCGGGGAGTACAAACCAGCTTGCCTTTAAACATACACGCAGGAAACCAGCGCGCCTTATCTGCACGATACTGCAAATATCGAGCGCACGCTTTTGAAACCTCAACGACCCATCTCTCCGGGTCAAGTCAGTTCTCTCCTCGTGCAGCTGCAATGCGTACATAGTAGAGACGCACCCAATCGGACACCAGCCCTCCGTACAAAAAACGTGCTTTCGTACTACCCTCGTCCTTGACACCGGAAATCAATATGGGGAAAACGCGCTCGCTCGTCAAGCCCACGAACGTACGGCTAATCTATGCCACATGCTCACTGCATACACACCCCAGCCATTCAGTCAATCGCTGCATGCAATCCTTCCCTATCCTATCGCGCTGCCCTCCATCCCGGCGCTGTACCACGCACGCCTGCAAGCCCTCTGCGGCCAGCTTACCATACCCTTCCAGAAGGCCGCTAGAAGCCCATTTAGCCCGCAAGGCACGTGCTGGCCCCACACCACCTCAGCGCCGCGCCAGCCTTCCCGGAGCGTGGGAACACGGACCCCGAACGTGCCGCGGAACGAAGTGCATCCCCAAAACGATCGAAAAGGCCGTTAATTTGCTTTTCTGTGGAGTATTAGTGGACTTTCCTTGCGGACAGGGGAGTCTAGCGCTAGCGCGCGCCAGGACGTTAGGCTATGATGCTTTCGGACTAGCGTAACCATGCGGGTGTGAATGAGATTCGGGCCCGGTGATTGGTTGCAAGCGTCAGTGACCTGAGAAGCCATTTTGAGTTTGGAATAATCGTACGATGTGTTGTACCAAGCCGCTATGGGAGATTTGGAATCTTGCCATACATGCAAGGTACCGGTGCGGAATCTGCTAGCGGGATGATCAGACAGAAACATTCCGTCTTTGGGTCAAACAGCCCTTGCTTGCACTAGGCGCACCGTGTGTTCGAAGCCAGATACGAGCGCGATTAGCTCGTCATGCAACAAGAAGTTATAAAGGGAAAAAGATATCAAAAAGATGTATCTGGCCTTCGGCGGAGGTAGATAGGGCAGATAGTGAGACACGGGATGAGTGGGATTGAGTGGGATGGGTTTGGGGGTAAGCGGAATACGGAATACACCACCACCAAGTCACTCCGCAGTCTTGATCTTCCGTTGCGAATTGTCCGCGCTTTGGTAAGATGAGTGAACGTCGTTAACAATGATGCTACCAGAGTATGCGAGCCGTGCGTCCGTGGGAGCAAAGACCGAACGTCGTTGATGCTGATGATATGAAAGTATGCAATATGCCGGTCGTATAAGCAAGGATCCACCGTACGCCCACAGACCTCCCTACACCCTAGAAGACCATGGGATATCCACACAGTAACATAATGATGATCGAAACACCTATATCAACACATTTCAAGCGCGCAGTAAAGCTCACCTCGGAGCTCCGTCGTGCTCCCGCGCATCGGCGTCAATATCATCAGTCCACTCGTCCCCGCCCCGAACACCGCTGGCATGGCTGGCGGATGCGGCTGGGGGAAGGCCCTCATCGTCGCTCTCGTCATCTTCGAAAGCTGCCGGGTCGGTTAGAGGTTGCGATTCAGGTTCAGCATGGCCGTTGCCGGGGCTCTTCCGTCGCGGCGCGTCACGCACGCCTTCATCAGCTGAGACTGAGATACCCCTCCTTCCCCAGGTGTTCTTCGGTCGCGCATCTTGGTCATCATGCCTTGTCCCAGCTTCCTCCTCGTCAAAGTCAAAGTCCACGCTCTTCCTTCCGACGAAGCGGCCCACGAGCCAGCCTCGTCCAAAGTCTTCTGAGTCCACAACTCCGCCTCGCCTTAGCTTCACTCGCTGTCGGCTCCAGTACACCCACGCGAAGTCGATCATGAGGGCTGTTTGAATGGTGCCCCAAACCCACGACGTGGGATCACGATAGTCTTTCTCTTTCGCTCCGCGGACGATCCAATTGAGGATATACAAGAAGCGGTAGGTGCCGAGCGTAACGAGGTAGAATGAGTCGATGACGGTGGGGACTGTGGTCTGGCGGAGGAGGAGTAGCTGAGGGATGACACAGACAGATTCCAGTATCTCCGAGAACACCCAAAGCATCTACACCAAATTAGTGAGCTCTATTATTCTAGATAAACCTTGCGCGAGGCATGAGTCCAACTTACCTTCAAGAAAGTGTTAGGCCCAATGACCCATTTTTGGAATATCAGGTACCAGAAAGGCGAAATAAGCAAGGCGCCAAGCAGACAGTACATGCCGAATTTCCACGCCTTCTCCCTTTCTCTTGTGCGCGCATACACGCTCGTCATGAGAAAGATGATATAGAACGATGAGAGGGTGTAGAATATCTGTTACACATTAGCCAAGACATAACAGCGAGCATCCGGCTCTTCCCACCTTCAACGAGAAGTTCCATGTATGCCAGAGGTCTTTTGTCGCCGACGACTTGAAGATGTCTAGGTAGCGGGTGCAGAAGACAAGCGCGTAGAGGGCCTGGGTTATGAGGGAGACACCTGGGAACGGTGTTGTCAGCTCGGAGCTCTGCGGGATGCGTCGCAAGGAGCTCACCTTCAGCGCTGCTATTGGAGTGTATCGCCCATATCAGAATGAGCTTAGATGAGGTATGCGATACATCGCCGAGGATGTGGAACACGTTGAACCCCATGCTGGGGAGCGATGGCTACACAGCACGAGGCCGGCAGCCTAGCTGGTTCGCTGCGGTTTCTGTCGTTGCGAAGATGCGAAACGCGCCGGGAAGCTTTCGAACTTGTAACCCCGGATGGCGTGAACAGCTGGGCAGTATCGCGCGATGTTGGGTAGGGGAAACGCGGGGTGGTAATGGCTGTAGGGTTGTTAGCTGACGTTGTGCTGTTGACGTTTGAAGCTCCAGATGTCCCCAGCCGGGCTTGGCCTGCGCGTCACGCTAGTCTGCTCTCGGCTGCTAGCGTGTAAGGCTGATCCATAGATCAAGACCACTCCACGGTCGCCACTCCATCATACATGAATGGGTTGAATATTGCACCTGCAGAGCACAAATACAACGAAAGCGGAGATATCACTTCAGAACATAATATCAATGTACCTCGCACTTTTGGGGACTCTTAGAGCTTCTTTGGTTCTTGAAGAGGGAAGACGCGTGACGCATATCTCCCCAGGACACATGCTCCCGAACCTAGTGCCCTCCTTATCTACATCGAACCCAGATACTCTCGGTCGCTCGAGGGGACCGAAATCCCTGAGAATGACTACTTCAGGGAGCAAGAAATAGCAGAGCATGCTGCGCAAATCTCCATGGCTCCATTACAGCGGCCAGAAGCTGTTGCTCTTGTGGTCCAATTTGTGGTAGAAGCAAAACTGCTAGCGTAAACGTTGATGGTGTCTCCCATTCGAAACGTTCAATTGATAAAGGGTGCAGTCTAACTATCATGGGCAATCGCACGTAGCCGAGAAGCTATCGCATCGAAGATATAGGGGAACATAAAAAAAGAAAGGCAGAAGCGGTCCTCGGAATCACTCTGATTTCATGCCTTCTCGATCATTGCGTCATTGAGGCACAGCCAGAAAGTGATAGTGAGACCATAGGCCGGATCGTCAAAATTAACCCGAGCAACAGAGACAAGTTGAGGTCATCCAACGCGATCTTCAGGGAGATCTTTGAGATTTCCGCATCCCGCAGCTCACCGCATGCCCTGACTGGCCTCAAGATCAAGGTCGCCGAAGTTCTGTACAACTTCACGCTTTTTCAGACGGTCTCTCCCTGCCTTGCGCTAAGGCTGTAAGTTTAGAGAATTGATGCCGCTGCTTAGATCCTTCCGCATTCGCCATGAGTAAAACCCTTGAACGCACCGCGGCATTTGTTGCGGTCGGATTCTTTTGTGTGGATTCGCAGCGCGGAGGCGATAGCAAGCAAATCCAGATTTCTCAGGCCGCCAGCCAGGAGGGTCCTCCCGGCGGTATGGCGCGTCAATTATTTTTGGCGCATCCTTCAAGACAATTGAAATGTGCGCTCTGACTCCGACGCGGTCCCGTAGGTTTTGGGGAACTCTGTCGGGCCGCTCTTAGCTCCGTGGTTCCCCGTGTGGTAGATGGAGAAACGGCTTGACGGTGCGACATTTTCGAGCTTCAAGTGCGCTGTTGAAGCTGAGGCTGCTATACGATACTCGAATGAAGCGTTTACAGCAAGGATTTTTGGGGTGAAACACGTGGAATAGATAGCGAGAATCGTCATAAACACCCGAACTCGTGGAAGTGCATATAGAAGGATCTTCGATTCTCGACTATCCATGTCCGTGGCTGAGGCTCCCACCAGTAGCGGTAGGGTTTATACTCGCCCGAGTATAGCGGCCGGTCGAATCAGAGAGTGGTGTTCAGCTTAACCGCCCAGATCGTAAAATCTCGGGCCTAGGAAGGCAGGCCCGTGCTAGATGCCGTATCTGTCGAGGACTGAAAGATCTGAAAGGTATAACAATCCCGGCCGTTACGACTGTAATTGCCGCCTTCAATCTTCCAGAAGCTGACATGCGTGGGCGCTCAGGACTCCTGGGCCGTCCTCGGGCCCCGGCCGCAGACTGAGGCGATGAGCGGCCTATCATTTCCCGCCGGACCTATCTCACGAGGCGGGAGAGGCTGACGGTAGGACTCGTGAGAGATGCGCGAGTGGCCCCTGCACAACGCCCGGTGGAGAGATGAAGAGTAGATTGCGGCATACAGCGGACTGGCAGTGCCCATGAAGATGAAAACGCGGCTGAGACGTGAGTGAAAGGCGCAGCAGGGCCAAAAGCCGTGCGGGTCAGTATAGGCTAGATGGTGCTCCCTGGCGCGACGTGGTCGGAGTCCGGCAGTATACAAGCTGACAAGGCACGGCGACGAGCAGAGGGCAAAGCGTGGTCGCACAAGCCCCTGCGCTCAGGCGGCCGCGCGAGAGGCGAGAGGTGAAGCCGCTGGAGGACGGGCGACGACGCTCGGGAGGTTGAGCAGGAGCTGGCGGCTTGGCGCGGCTGAGCGATGCCGCTAGCGTAGCCCCACTCGCAGGCATAACGGTACAGAGGGACATGCGGCCAGGCGGTGGGCGACGCCATTTGTCGGCGCGGGCACTGCTTGAGGCAGATTTGCCTGGGCAGTCACTGCTGGAGGAGGCCAGCCGGAAGGCAAGGGCGACGGACGGGCGACGACGGAAGGCATGTGAGGAGGGCGCGGTGCGGGGTACCGCATTGGGCGAATTAGCTGGCATTTCATCCCGCGGCACAGCATTTAGTCTTTATTATCTCCTCACCGATTGCCCCATCGGTCGCATTTACGCGCCCATGCAGCCCGTGTTTCAACCCCGATGCCGCTTCGAGGCGTTTTGCAGCATTTACGCGCCCGCGCCCCGCCCCTAATGCGCCGAATGGGAGCACTGGCGGCCCCTTAGCGGCGCCATGACGGCCGCCTCGTCGAGCCAGCTGCCACAAATTGGCGTGCGCGAAGCGGCGAAGGAAGCGCATCCATGCCCTTACGGCGGCTCACAGACATGCTAGCAACCTCGCGCTCCCGGCACAGACACACAGACACGTTCGTCACAATCATGCTGCAGCGCGAGAGTCTCCCATGGCTCGCTGCGAGGGAGCCGCACCGCGTCGACCTCATCTACGATGCGGCACCGTCGACCCGCGACGTCAGCGTGAACAGCGCGACCGCCAATAACGACGCCTCCTCGGGGCCATCATGACACGGCTCGAGTGGCTCCCGCGCCCGTTGGCGATCACCACGCCCCGCGCCTCTGCGACGGCCTGGCCGCGAGGCTGTTCTGCTCCTCCACGCTCTCCCGGCCCTGCATCTCCCTGCGCCCAGCCTGCGTCCCAGCAGTCCGTTCCTGGCAGGTGTACAGCCCGCCATTGGGCCGGGCGCAACCGTCGTCCCCCCAGGACTGGCTGGCCAGCACGCGGCTCAAGCGCGACCAGCATGTCCTGGGTCCGCTGGGGGTCATGGGTGAGCTGCTGGCGCTAAGCTGCATGGCCCGGCCTGCCAGTGCGTCCTCATCCTTCGAAATCCGCGAACCGGGGGCTTCGATAGAGTTGTCGCACTAGAGCCTGTCTCGAAAGGTGCCCAGCTCCACCTGCGCCGGTGCTGGTGCGTGAGCCTGCGAGCATCGCCTTGCCTTGATAAATATGTCTGCGGCGCTCCTTTCCGTCATCACCTTTTAAGCTCAAAGCATCCTTTTACGACCACGGCCAATATCCTGTGCCCGGCTATTGTTGGCTCCTTTGTGCCCGCACTCCCTTTTAGTTCGCACAACCACCGGCACTCTCTAGCAGTCCTCATGCCGGCCGTACTTGAGGGTGCTGTGCCCCCACCCCATCTGCATCTGGCTGCCACCTCGCCGTGGCCAACCTACAACTCTCACCACTACCCGGCCGCTCCCTGCTCCTCGCCCACTCCAATGACTCCTGAATCGATGCACTCGTACATCCCCCGCCTTCACGACAGCCCGCTGCCTGCTCAGGACCAAAGTGGCGCACCCGCGTCTGGCTGGTTTGGCCCCTCCATTCCGGCCCCAGACCCTCAGAACGAGGTATGTCAGATAACCGGTTCCTCCGCATGCGACGCTGACTCTGTGGCTGCCCAGGCTGCCTACGGCCCATTCAGCTACGACCATTCCTATGTGACCCCACATACAGCTTCTGGGCCCTTCTCACCACACCCTCCATTCTCACATGCCACAGACGTGCCAGGCACGGCGCCCGCCAACGTTGAGAACGTGGCAGGTACTTTCTCTCCAGTTTCACAATATTCAAAAACTTCCGAGGTCCCACAGCCCGAGTTTGTCCGCCATTCCGAGGAGCCATACGCAGAGCCCAAGCCTGCCACAGAAGCACCAGGATCCCATCTGCAGTCCGACTCCAACACCCCAAACCGGCCCCGGAGCAGTCCCAGCACTTTTGTGCCGAACCAGCAAACTGCCGGGCCCGTTGAGTATCCGTGGACGATGAATCCCCTAGGAATTTCTACTCCTGGCATGCACGAACACTACTACTCAAGCCCAACTTATCCTCCGCTCCGAGACCGCAGTCCCCGCTTCAGTGAGCCGGCCATGGACCTCCATGGCGACATGATCGCGCCACAGCCACGGCGCATGTACGCGCCCATCGCTCCCCATCCCTCGGGGCCTAGGACGAGCGCGCCAAAGCGCTCCAGGGACGATGACGAGGATCCTTCAGAGCACGCTAAGAGGAGGAAGCGTTCGGATTCCAACACCAACATGACCATAGAGTTGGGCGAGGAAGACCGGTTGCTTATCAAACTAAAGGACGAGGAGAGCATGCCGTGGAAAGACATCGCAGCCCGCTTCCAGTCAGACCTCGGGAAGACGTATCAGATTCCGGCATTGCAAATGCGTCTCAAGCGACTCAGAGAACGCATGCGCGTGTGGACGGAGGCCGACGTCAAAGCACTCCGAATGGCGCACGAGTACTGGGTCCAGAGCAAGTTCGACATCATCAGCCAAAAGGTATGCAGTATACTCGGCACACCCAGGGCCTATGCTAACCCGTACAGATGCTAGAGTTTGGCGCAGCCGAGAAATGGACCGCTCGTCAGTGTGCGCGAAAATGGGCTGAGATTGACCCGGGCCCAACTCCATACACTACGTACGACCACCACGTTCCCGGACCAACCTATGCACCCTACACGATGAGCCCTGTAGAAGCGCCTCATTTCATGCCTTTCGTGCACATACAATGAGCTGTCACCCATATGACGGCTCGTTTCTTTTTTGGGTTTCTTTGGAACTTCGGTCGAGGGCGGTGGCTCTCCCCAGGCATTGGAGTTACGGCGCAGGGTAACATGGACGACAGCAATGGCGGCAGCGGATCGATACCTTTGCTCCATACCCAAGAGTATATCTTCTTTTCATTTTACTACAGATTCTTGTATATCATTTGCCCCTCTTTGGGCTACCCGGTGCGACTGCTTCTTATTTTCAGCGGACCGGCTGCTCCCACATAGGGAAGCGCAAAAATCGAACATGCCCCAGCTCCGCTGCCATGAAGGAGGCGCGGCAAGGCTGAGGCAATGTCAATATTATCACTTTTCACGACATTTGTCTTCTGTCTGGCTTGGGCACCCTTTCTGGCCTTCCCATTCAGTGCTGGACATCTCTGCCTTGTTTTTTTATTGCATTGTGGGGCAACGGTGAGCGGCTGGATATTATCCAATGGTCGCCGCTTCTCACTGAGCTAATTCCGCTGCATGTATAGCAGGACATTCTGTGCTAATCAGCCCAGCTTTGCCGTTATGGCTCAAACAATGCGGTGGCACAGCAGCTTTTCCCGCGTTTCGCACACTACAGCAAACTCTGTTTCAATTAAGGAGTGCGGGACGACATCACGAAGCTCATCGCAGGGTGGCATGCCATTTCGGGACACGTCACTGAAGCGGTGGAGCGGACCCTTCTTCTACCGTCGCTGGCCATTGCCGGCAACTTCCCTCAACCAAGAGCGCAGTCATGCGGTCGGCCTCTGCGGCATTAGGCCGCTCATTGCCCCTAGCCGGCTAGCCATCCGAGAGCGGAGTCGTGGGAGGGTCAGGCTGCAGCACGCTTCCTATCGCCCTAGTGCCTTTGCCGTCGCGCGCACACTCGAAACCTCGACCAAGATAAGAAATGTGCCACGTTCTGAGACAGTGGTCAGATGTATTCACCGTTTGAGCGGGGCCATTGAGTTGAGTCGGACGCCCATCACCGTCAGAATGACCGCCTGTGTAACACAGTTCGAGGCGACATAGCGACTGGCATGCGCACGCTTGAATCCTGTAGGGCCTTTTTCTTACAGGCGGGCAGAACCTGTAAAGGCGGCGGTGCCACGTGGATTATGGCTGCTGACGCCTTCCTTCGAACGCTTGTTTGGGAAGGAAGGATCCGCGCACCGGCCAACCTCACGTCTACACTCCGTACTTCCCACTCCCTCGAGAACCTGAGAACAGCACCGTCATACGACATCACCTATTCCATTCATTCTCCCGCCCTCGCGCCGCCCGTGCAAAGCACACTGCCTGAATGGACCGGCGCTTAGCTATGCCAGCTCACAGCCCACGGAGGCACCCGTTTCCCCTTCACTGGACAGGTTTCAACGCGGCTCGAAGATTTGAAGCTAGAGGGCTGCATCTCCCCATTCGGTGCTCATCGCAGTGTAGGGCGCCGCCTCTTCGGGCCGCGTTAGCTGCGGCTTATTGGCCCAGGCGGCACAGTCAGTCATCCTCAGTGTTGGTGCGCCGCTCACCTTCGCCCCTCATTCGTCCAAGTTACCTCATACGTACGACGCCCAGGAGTGACGTGCAGGCTAGATTCCCTTTTACAGCCGGCTCGAGTCGGAGGTAGGGGAGTGGGCCGTTGATTTTCACGCCCGCGAGGGAAGAGGCGGGAGACTGCCCTAGCTGCCGTGCCACACAGATCTGGCGGCGATTGATCATCGATTTACTTACGCCGCAATCGTACCTTCATCGGTCTGTCAAGGGAGATCATCTGCTCACCACGAAAGAGAAGGGGAATACCTAGACGCCACCGCCAATTTCCGAGCGGCGTTCAACGACTTCGCAGCCCGCAGCCTGAGCCACAGCGATGAACCGCGCTGCATGCCGACATCTTCACTTGTCCCCAATTCACCGAGTTCAAGATCCCGGCCTCACCGCGCCACTCGAGCTATTGCTCCTATCATTTCCCGTCTGCCGCTCATCTCGACAAACCCTTTTAAAACCCCTTTGGTGAATTAGGATTTACCCGGTGAATAGACCCGCATCGAGGCTACGTTGAGTCAATGGCCAACCAACAGGAACTTTTCTCTGCAGCTGCTGCAGAACGTGGCGCTCCTTCCGTCGGGAGATAGACCGCCTCATGGCTCGCGATCCAATAGTCCATATCTTTCCGCATAGTGCCTATTCCTCCTTTTCTAAGCACGGCGTCGGACTTCTCGGCGAACCTAACTCATTCTCCTTATCTTCAGTAGGGAGAGTGGACGGAGGACCACTGGTTCTGTAGGGACGATGTCGTGCAATAGGGGTGGACTGACACTGTCAGACCCGACGGCCTTTTGAGACTCTGCGCAACGAGGGTCGCCACTATCAAGTGACGCCACAAACGCCTCTTCCGTTCGTTGCGAACCTCTAGTCACGCTGTCCGGGAATTTACAACTTCTTTCCATATACCCTTACACACCTCCTTCCGAAGGGGAGAGAGGTACGAATTGATTGGGCCAGCCGGAAGTAAGTATAGCGAGACATTGGATATGAACGTCTCATCTGAAGCGACTCTGGATAACGTGTTCAGCGACTCGAGACGACGGAAACAGGTGGCAGCAGCCCGTCTTGTCCGTAATCGTCATCATTAACTTGCGTCTTCGGCGGGCCGACACGTTAGGTCACGATTCTTTCCTGGGTTCTTCGCATTTCTCCCGGACTTCGCGAAAGCTTTGCGAGCATATGGCAACCCCTACAGTCGAAGTGGCATACTTGTACCCATCCGGACGCCGACTTGAGGTTGGTATTGGATGCCTAAAGTCAGGGCACTTCAACGAATGAAGCATTACAGTACCAGAATGAGGGAATGCAGTTAACACCTTCGGACTGCTTTCCTCAACCGTTAAGAGCTAGTACACGTCATATCGAGGTGGGAAGCGTCTACGCTACTCCGCAAGAATAGCATCTCTTGCATACCGAATTCTCTACGCGAAAGATCCACGCATGAATGACGTCCCCAGCCCCAAACCATGAGTTAAGTACGCATGAACGATCTTCTTACCCACATGTTTCAAACGTCCGCGTAGATCAACTGCGGGCGCACCCAAAATAAACGGCACATGATCGCGCTTTAACCGTAAGGTGTTTAGCGTGGCGCAGCAGCCGACCTTGCAGCCTCGCACTTAGGTTGCCGTATTCGCTCCGCATTAGTTATAGTGTACGCTCCAAAGCTCCAGGGCTCGCTTGGACGTACTCACGTGTGCACTACCATAATGCAGCTCGAATGAAGACGCGCGCGCTCGAAAATTGAAAAGTAGCATGCTGCCGCGAAAACCCCGAAGGACAACACACCGATAATCGGCACTTTTGTCGCGTTTCAACGGTTGCGGGAGGGGCGCTCCTTCGCAAGCCAGATCCTGCACCGTAACTCACCGAGCTGCCCCAGATTCGTGGACCTTGAGGTTTGAGATTTAACGGTTTGTGTGACTTACCTACGTCAGGGGACCATACATTTCTCTATGCGCTCTGCAGTCAGACTGTACCTTTATCGAACGCCGCGAGCTGAAAACCTCTTTACGAAAGTCGACAGGCCTTGGGTTTCTCGGTACTTCTAGCGCAGCACTCTCGTCCCGAAAGTTCCTTCCCCAATTCCAGGTAACTTTCGCCATCCCATCGCCTGTATCTTCAAGCAAGTGTTACGGGTCGATCCCTGAGCTAGAAGTGAGTAACCCTCGCATACCCATCCATAGGCCGTCCTCCAGGCCTCTGCAAGTCTGTGGCTGACTGATGTACCCCAGCCATTATCCCTATCCCCAGAACGTAAGATCCGTGCCTTGAACCCGCGCTGGACCCCAAACCCCAGCACCTAATCTAGATATATGGCGTGAGCCTCGTGTCGCTGCTTCCACGCTCTTTCCAGAAGCCTGTTGCTTTTCGATAAAGTCCGTGGCTGGAGGCCTGACGGCGCGAGTCAGCAGAAGATCCCCATGCGGAAGGGAGCATGGGGGAGAAAGATGGGTTCGTCGGCGCATCTTCGGTGCGAGGTCGATATAACAAGGCTGGGAACTCGTTATTGGCGTTTCGTTGAGGGGACTCCGTGTAACTCTGGGCTCGCTAAAAGGGTACCTGTTTAAGGGGGAATTCGCGCGCAGGCGACGTTTTGGGAAACATCGGCAAAATAGCTGACTAGCGGGTGAAAGCCGCTAATATGACCATTTTGAGAGATGCGCATTTAGATATCTGCGAGGTGTTAAGAGGAAACATTGGGGCTCGGAGATGATGCGACCTCCGCCCCGACAACGCTAGCGTATCGATAAGCACACTCGGAGATTTCTTAACTCCGCTCTGTGACTCCATTTCCTAAACTCCTTGTACCACATTCCACATTTCACTAATCATCGTCAGAGTTGAGAGCCGCCTCCGTCTCAACTTTTCTCTCTTTTTCACCGCCCGCGAAGAGATATAATGCGAAGTGCGCTCTCACGTCTTTCCTTCCTACAGAGACAACTCCCACGCAAGCAACCTTCCTCCAGGCTTTTCCATACGTCATCCCCCATCATGGCCAAACTCACGATCGACTCGACATACCGCATGCCCTCGGGTTACGATATCCCAGTCCTAGGTTATGGCGTCTATCAGACGCCCGCTGATGTCGCGTCGGATGTCGTCGCGCATGCCCTTAAAACGGGGTACCGCCATGTCGACAGTGCGGTTGGGTATCGCAACGAGGCCGCGTCCGCAGACGGCATGAGGAAATCTGGCATCCCGCGCTCAGAACTATTCTTCACTACCAAGGTTCCGCCAAGGCAGCTAGGGTATGAGTCCGCAAAACAGCACATTGCGAACTCACTCAAAGAAACCGGCTTCGACTACATCGATCTGTACCTCCTACACGCGCCGTATGGTGGTAAGGAAGCGCGACTGGGAGCATGGAAAGCGCTTGTCGAGGGGGTAGAGACTGGAAAGATTCGCTCTATTGGCGTGAGTAATTATGGAGTGCATCATATGGAAGAGCTGGAGAGCTGGATCAAGAGCACGGAGGAAAAAGAGGGTAAGGGGAAGGGTGGAGTGTTGTCAGTCAATCAGGTGGAGTTGCATCCATGGCTGGCGCGCAAGGATATCGTCGACTGGTGTAAGAAGAGGGGGGTCATTCTCGAGGCATATAGTCCGCTTGTGAGGGCGACCAAGAGTGACGACCCTTTACTGGTTCCCCTCGCCAAGAAGTACAACAAGACCACGTCCCAAATTCTCCTCCGGTGGAGCTTGCAGATGGTGAGTATATCTCCGCCCCCGTTCCATTCACTTCTTATCATAATCTTACGAGTACATCAGGGCTTCGTGCCGCTCCCGAAATCCGTGACGAAGTCGAGAATCGAAGAGAATGCGGACCTGTATGACTTCGAGTTGACGGCGGAGGATATGAAGAGTCTGGATACTGGGGTATATGAGCCTTGCGCCTGGGATCCGACGACGAGCACAGATTAAGTGGTTTATAGGAATGCGAACCCTTGTTTCGGAAGTGCTTTTACTACAAGGGGTGAACGAAGACGCATTAGCACCCGTATCTTACCAGTCTCGTAGCAAATGCGGGGATGGACCGTCAACGGGAAAAGAGCGCTAGGCTCTGCCTTGGAGCTCCGGACACCATTATGGAGTTATGCACGGCATTTCTGTTTCACGCCGGGGAAATCGGGAAAGCGGGCCAATCTATCCCAATTAAGGCAGCCTGTGCGACATTTGACGACAACAAACCCCTCGACACATACCCCACGGTGTAGTTCCCGTCCCGTTGTCCTACCTGTGTAGACGGTGGAACTGTGACGGTGTGACCCCGCATGAGACAAACACAGGGGCAGTATGCATAGACCAGAGCTGTTCGCTCCTGGCGTTCAAAGGTCTCATCGCTAGGTTGACTCCTGCCGCAAGCTACAAAGCAGAGTGGTTAACCAATTGACAGGCGTGGCGCCCATGTTTGAGCAACGTCGCTCCTGTAACTCCCCCCTTTGTCCAACACTGCCTTTACGTGTAGCCTCGCTACCACCCCCCAAAGGTGCCTGGAGTTATTAGTGTGCGGTTCGTTCCTGCTCTGAAGGCACTGCGCGGTTTCGGGAAGGGTCAGCCACGTGATAGGCTCACCGGAACTTCCAACTTTGGAAGCCAAAACCCTTAGTTTGACTGGAAAACTACTCTTATGGAGACGCGCTTTTCAATACGCGCTCCATTACCAAAGGTAGAGCGTCCTGAGAGCTCATTATACCACTACCTCTAGCAGTGCCCCGGTGCCTGTCTTCTTGCCAAGCGTAGAGATGGGTGCGGCGCGGATCCACTAAATGCATCGGCCCGTTCCAAGATACAACGCAGAGGTTGAGGCTACTAGGATTGCGGTGGCGCAGAAGTCCCAACGCGTCTCTGATTGGTGATCAACATGTTACATGGCTCGGCGCGAACCCTAGAGTGCTCAATTTTCACTCTGCCACCGTGTCGGGTCAGTAAGGATGGTTCCGCGGTTCATGCGAGTCATACGGAATGGACAGGAAGTAAGGGACTAAGCACCGTCCCACCAGTCTGATGGCAGGCAACTGTGGGTCTCACACAGCAGCTGCCAAATCCAAGGGGGCGGTGCTAGCAAGGTGTGAAGCGGAAAATCGGTCGCTTTACACTGCCCCAGCCAGATACCAGACGGTGAAATCTTGAAGCATCCTCACAGTATAAAACTGCAATTGTCTTCTTCCTCATAGAAGCGTCGGTTCTTCAGCAGGATTCAAAGAAGACATCGAGACGTCTGTTTATCGCCCAGAAACCGCCCTGAGCATGGTCAATCTCTCCATCGAAGTCATCACCACGATCGTCATTGGCGGTCCCTCTCTCGTCGTAGCCATCCTCACTTGGCTGGAGGCCAGAAGGAGGAGAAGTGCCCCAGGTACCTTGAAAGAATCATGTCGGTGTATTACCATGGCGAGTCTCATTGCTGGCAGGTGTTGAAGATATCGAAAGGGGTATCAGGCGCCAGCCGTCGTACAGTGATACCACTGCCGCACTTCCCCGCTTTCGCGTACCACCGACCGAAGGCTGGCCTGCCTTTATGCATGACTCGCCGCGGCGAAGCGCGAGCATGGTTTCCATCTTTCTGGACGGTGGGCGGAATGCTCAGGTTTGGGCACAGCACGTGGACGGCTAGCTTGGGTGGGCGTCTGGTCCGCACTCTCTACCTGCAATTGCGGGATATAGTGGCGATGCAATAAGCAGGACCTTCCTGGCGGAATAGGTTAGATCCTACCCACACTCCCTGGACGGCGAAGCGGGACGGAATACTGACGAGATGCAGATAGCAATCACGAAAGGGACAACGGCAGCATTATTACTTAAAAGGAAGAGATATAATAGCAGGGAGACATCCAGAGGAGCGCCTGCTTTGAGGAAAAGACTAGGAACTGGTTCTCCATCCAGCGAGGAGATAGAAAGGCCTCTTCACATTCGATATCCAGATAGCATGTCGTTAGCTAGACCTTTTTTCCTTTTTCTTTATCACGATCATCATTCTTAGCATTACATCGGTCGGTGGCTCATCGCATCTGTCGGCAAGTTCCATGACTCCACGTCATGAACGTCCATGAGAAAACTCAATCAAATATATTAGGTACTCCACACTACTCTTCCAACTCCGCCACAAAAAAAGGGCTCACTGCCATGCCGTTGAAAGCGTTATACTCCCAGTACTCCGTCGTGCCATGCAGAGCCTCGTAGCTGGTGTAATTCCCACATCCACTCTCGATATTCAAACAATCCCGAGTAATCATCCCCGCGATCCGTTCTCCAGCCTCGCGTCCCTCAAACCATGCGCCGTGGAGGAAGCCGAAGTACTCCGCCGACGTATGCTCGCCGGCGAAATACAACCTCTCTACATTCGCTCGGAGATTCTGATGGTTTTCCAGCGTCGTGCCGACGGGCCAGTTGGAGTAGCTGCCGTACACCCAGGGTACAAGGCTCCAGCGCGGATACATGATCGCGAGGGGCTCGGGAATGGAGACGTCAGGGAACATCTGCTGCAGGACTTGCATGAGCTCTGCTTTTGTGACGTCGTCGTCTTGCGCTTCGATGCGGTAGGATTGCTCGCCCACGACGGTGGCGAAGATGATGTTAGAGCCGGGCATGAAACCCTCGGTTGACAGCGACTGCCAGACGGGATAGTAGCCGCGCGTTGTGGGGTGTGCGTAGAGGAAGAACTGCGTATCCGGATCCCAGAACGTTTCGTTGAACTGCAGGAAGATCTTCGTGTAGGTGCCCATTTGGAAGGTAGCGAGTGCAGTGTCTTTCCAGTCCGGGAGCGCGGGGGAGAAAGTAACAGCGTCGTTCTGCAGGACGCCGAGCGAGAAGGTGCAGAGTGCGTAGTCGGCTTCGATGCAGCTGCCGTCTTCCATGGTGACTTTGACGCCGTCGCTAGAGTACGCGATGTCAGCGATGATGGTGTTGAGTAGTAGGCGCGTGTCGTTGGGCTTGAGGAACGTGGATGCGACGCTCTTGAGCCAGGTGTTGAAGCCACGCTGGTCGGTGACGAAGTTGTTTTCTTCTGAGTACTGGTAGAAGGTGAGATTGTAGCCTGTTATGCCGAAGACGAAAGACGACTCTTCGGGGCTGTAGGACGTTTCCCAGTCCCACATCCACCATTCGACTGCTTGCCGCGCCATGTCTTTTTGGGGTTTCCAGCCGGATTGGTAGAGGCCGGCGCGCATGCTGCGGTCCTGGAGGTTCTCGGTGAGGATGTAGCCAGCTGCTTGCTCAAAGTCGCCCCAGTACTCGTCGAACTCGTCGAGCAGGTCGGTGTAGTTGACGTATCCGGTTTCGTTGTACGTTAGGATGGAGTCGTAGTCGGAATACGTATTCTCAATTTCGTACTGCTTTGCGAAGGTCCAGATAGGATTCTCCGGCCCGCTTTCAGTGCCTAGGCCCTGGACCTAGCAAAGCATGTAAGAGTTGATGGGTTGCAGCGCGGCCGAAGGAGCCTTACCCAATTGGCTCCAAGCTCGACCGTGTATGGATTACCATCTGGGTCTTCGCCGAAGGTTGTAGAGACCATTCGCCCCCCGATATCTCCATTGTACTCAATTATGAGGAAGTCGGTCACGGACTGGTTGGACAGGGCTTGCTGTAGTAAATGATTAGCGTGCGAGGACGCTTAAGGGACGACTATCACCTACAGCAGCGGTAACTCCAGCAACTCCTGCACCCCTGCATAAATCACCGCGTTAGAATGCCGTCTCTCACAGTGAAGTCACTTACAATATTGCTACCTTCGTCTTCCGGCACGTGCTGTAATCCCTAGACTGATAAGCCGGCGCAGCGAAGATGCGCAAGGGCAAAAGCCCCGTGACCACGGCGACCCTCAAACCCAACATCTCAACGGCTCAATTGGCCCGCACGAATCTTTGAGGTTCAAAGAGAGTTGCTCGAAGCTCATGCAGCAATATAAACACTGCGGGTAGTCACGTCTCCCCCGCAGGTACGGGACCCATCCATCCAGGATCGTTCCCCTGCCCGGCGGCCATCGCGATAAGCAGGGGAAAGAGATCCCTAGCGCTAGGCGAAATCGAGGAGCTCGTAGCTACAAACCTGCATGTGGAGGCAGATCCGACGGGCAGGTACGACGCTGAGCAACCCATGCGGTGCGGATGTGGGATGATAAGAGGAACCGTGTCGCGTGGACTTGCTGGATATGTCGTGGCCCGGGATGCACGGAGACCATGAGGCTGGCATCTGTGGACAAGAAGTACGAATTTGTAAAACGAACGAAAAGGCAGGACGAAAGCCTACTTGGAAAGACATTGTTGCAGAATGATTGGAAGCTAGAAAGTCGAGTGGTTGATGCTGGTTGTGATTTGAAGCTTCGCCGGGTTCCCACCGAGAGTGGACAAGAGTCGAGAGGTCTGCACTGATGCTTCAACGCTGGCTATTCGACCGTGGTTGAATTCCGTTTGCACGCTAAAATAAATCAGTTTCCATAAAGCTGATGTATTCTTCTAGGACAGGAGGAGCTGCAAACGCTTGGATAAGCTGACGCAGATGGCACGTGATCAGGCGCTACCACGAGCTCTGACCCCTCTCGGCGCTCAAGATTCGATTCGGATGCCAACGCGTCAGCCGCAAGGCGCGTCCTCACTCTTCTCATTCTTCCCATTCTTCCGTCCTGGCGATTCAAACGGTGGCAGAAGCTCCGGAGATGGGGGAAAGGCCAGAGTCAAAAATTTTCGCCATGGCGCCAACCGCGGGGCCAACCCATCGCCTATTGGCGAATTTTCACGCCATCCATCAGTCATCACCCTGCGAATCGCTGATAAAGGCCGTGTCCCCAAATTCGAACTCCTTGGCCTTTTGTTGTCCTACTACATATCAATTGAGTCACCTCAAGGGCTCTTTTAGCTGAATAGCATCGTCGAGCACTCAGAGCGCATCATCAAGTACGACATCATCTAACAACATGCAGCTGAGTAGCAGAGTATCACCCGATCAAGGTATTGACGAAAGCAATTGCATGGGACCGGTGTTCGCCAGCTTTTCCATCGTGCCGCCGCCGAGCGGGTTGCACGGTGGGCTAGCTGGCGATCTGAGAAATACGGTCTGAACTTGATCAGGTTCAAGCCTGCGAAAGGACCTCATGCTTTGCTTCCCCCGCCAAAGACGCTACTAATAATTCCAGGTTTCCAGAATGGAGTCCGATCGCCAGCCCTCCGTCTCGAACGATGAAAAGACCTCGCGCATGGTCCTCGCCCCGAACGCAGGCCTACCGATCAGCGACGCGGATGCACAGCGCAATAATTCGACCGTTTCTGGGAGAGTGCAGTCGAAGTGGAAAAGCTTCGAGAGACAGCTGGTGGCGTACAATCTGGAAGCGCGTGGAATACAGCGTGTGGAGCCGGACGAGCGTCATGACCTGCGCTCGTTGGGATATGCCCAAGCCGCCATCCTGTGGTTCTCCATCAACCTAGCCGCCAACAACATCACCCTTGGTATGCTAGGCCCGGCGGTGTTCTATCTAGGATTTCTGGACTCGTGCCTGTGTGCTGTGTTCGGCATGCTGGTTGGATGCCTCGCTGTGGCTTACATCGCGACCTTCGGACCCAGAAGCGGGAACAGGACCATGATCTTCTCTCGGTATGCCTCTATGGAGTAAACTCCAGGATCCTTACTAATTGCTTGTGTAGGTACATCATGGGTTGGTGGCCCTCGAAGCTTGTGGTGATCCTCAACATCATCGTACTCCTTGGCTACTCCTTGATCGATTGCGTGGTAGCCGGCCAGATCCTGTCAGCGGTATCGACGAATAACATGTCCGTCGTGGTCGGTATCGTTATAGTGGCTGTCATCGCGTGGGCCATCACCACCTTCGGCTACCAAGTTTTCCACTACTACGAGCGATATGCCTGGTTTCCGCAATTGATTGTTCTCAGCATCCTAGCCGGTGTAGCCGGCCCACACTTCAACACTTCGTCTCAATCAGAGGGACAAGGGGCGACCCTGGCAGGGAATAGACTCTCTTTCTTTGGCTTGAATCTAGCAGCTGCTATTACGTACGGCGGTGGAGCTGCCGACTATTTTGTGTACTATCCAGAGCACACCGCGAGATGGAAAATCTTTACTGTTACTCTGGTCGGCCTCACGACAAGCTTTACCTTCGCTTTCATCCTAGGCATCGGACTCGCTAGCGGATTGGCCACCAATGCCGCATGGGAGGCGTCTTACGGCGTTTCTCAAGGCGCGCTCATAGTTGAGGGTTTTAGACCCCTGGGGAGCTTCGGCAGCTTCTGCGGCGTCGTTGTAGCTCTCGGACTGGTTGCGAACCTCATCGTGCCTACCTACTCATCGGGCATCGATGCACAGATTCTGGGACGCTGGGCAGCCGTGATTCCACGCGTCATCTGGAATACCGTCGGCGTCGTCATCTATACCGTTTGTGCCCTTGCCGGCCGCGAACACCTAGCCGAGATCTTCACCAACTTCCTCGCACTCATGGGATACTGGGTGTCTATCTGGATGGCCATTATACTACAAGAGCACCTCATGTTCCGCCGCAAGACGGGCTTCAACTGGGCTGTGTGGAATGAGCAGAAAAAGCTGCCTTTGGGCATTGCTGCGTTGACTGCGTTTATCATAGGATGGATTGGCGCCATTCTGTCTATGGCCCAGGTATGGTACATTGGGCCGATCGCGAGGCTAGTGGGCGACTATGGCGCTGATGTAAGTGGACCCGGGTGTTTACTCGTCACGTGGTGAGGCCATTCTAATGAGTTCTAGATGGGCAACTACGTCGGCTTCGCGTGGGCCGCGGTAGTTTACCCACCGATCCGGTTTTGGGAGCTCAAGAGGTTCGGAAGATAATGCGGTCTGGCATTTCTTCAATACGCGATCCAGCACATACGAAACGTCACCGCTCGCCGGCTAGACGTTCACCCGCTACATCTGCAATGCTTTTCAACAACGCCTGCCCAAATTCCTCTTTCAACGACAATCAGGCTAGCGCAAGTCAAGTCCTGTCCTTTCAATAACTAAACATAGACCGGCGCCTCATAGAAAGATGGCAATGTTTCTCAAGCTCTCGTACGACGACGTGTCTTCTTTCGCAATTGTGCACACCAATCAATCCTTGATCCTCGATTATCACGGTAATCTCCTTCATCTATCAATCTCTCTTTGAGGTAGATGATGACTTGCCCATCCCATTATTCCTAGTCGCTATGCTTTTTTGGGCCAAATAAGGAGTCCTTGTTGAGAGTTATCGCGAAGCCATCGTGAACCCCACCAGAGAGTTCTGTCCAAGAGAAGAGCTATCCACCTTCACTTCCCCCCGCTATATTTGCCCGACTGCTGTTGCCGTTGCTCTTTCCTTGATAGCGTGGCTCAAGTCTTGGCATTGTTTTCCTCCCGTCCTTCACCTCGACCCCCTCGTCCACCACTTCACCTGTATTTTTCCACTCGCTTTTCGCCCTTCGTCTGCCGATCGCCGGCTTTGCCTCGCTGATGAGAGATGGCCAATTGTGAATTCTCCCACACCTTCCATCAATCCGTTACTGATCTGATAGACACCGAGGACGACCTCATCAGCTTCGCCAGCGCCGACAGCCCTCCTGCGGCCAACCAGGCGGTAGAGCAAATTCCGTCACTTCCATTAACCAAGGCAGCCGACAGAATGGGCGAGTTCAAGCGAAACCAGTTGCCGCACGATAGCTTCGCCGATCTGACTGGTCTCATGCGCGCCAGAAAGCCTTGGGCCCCGGTTCAGTCCGTGCCACCATCTACAAACGGTATGATACCTTTATCTTTGAAGTATCTCTCACTAACGTCTGTCTCAGCCTCAAGAAACCGCTCCAACGGCAGTTCCCTCGCACCGCAGGCGAAACCGTTTGTACTCCAACGCGCACCACCTATCGAGTCTTACCTTCGTGAGAGTGGCTTCAGCACACCGACGCCAGTCCAGCAGTATCACACTCCAGAACCGGAAATTGGGCCTTATCAGTCCACCGGCTCCGCTACCCTCGTCAACTCAGAGCACAATGATCCGGTTATAGAACGCCTGGAAGCTCTCCGTGCGGAGATTGCAGAGTTGGACTCATGCGATAATGAAGACACTGCTCAAGCAGCGAACTTGGCCGAGATCGACGACGCGCAGCTGGCGAACAACCGGATGCTAATGGAAGACTCTCATCTGATGACAAACTCCTTCGTGATCGGAAGTGAGTTCGAGGATACTCCTCCGATGGTGCAATCCCCATCGCCAGTCTCGCAGCCGTCGCTTCCGCCGCAAGCGCTCATTGATGTTGACGAGCTTCAATCAACCGCGGATGTTGACACTACTACGCTCGCTTCGCCCACCTTTCGATTCAACGACCCCGTCGAGGACGAGCCAGTTGTGCGACTAACGCAAGCCGCCTGGAATTCCGTCACGGAGCAGGTTGCCACTCTTCAGAAGGAGCTCTCGAACGCACTCAAACAAAATGCTCAGCTACAGCGGGAGAAGAATCAAGTCAACAGTAGCGATCGGGATGTCAGTACCAAGATCGGAAAGCTTCAGTATCAGCTTGAGACTAACAAGAATCACAAGGCTGCGATGGGCCGTGAGATCAAACAGAAGGATATGGAGCTCTACAAAAAGGAGATGGAGATTGACGCCCTCAAAGCTCAATTAAAAGACGCGGACTCAATCCGGAAGCAGCTGGAGAGAGTTTCGGCGGAGCTCGGCTATCTTCGCACTTCCAAAGCTACCGACGAGGAGGCTCAGACACGTTCTATTGCCAACATCACAGCGAGCAAGGACAAAGAGATCGCAGAGCTGAAGGCTGCTGCCAGCAGGAACCAGAGCGCCGGCGCTGATCACGCTACTCGAGCCCGAAACAACGCTGAGGCCCTTGCAAAGCAACAGAAGATCATCCAGGACTACAAGGAGAAACTCTTCAACGAGCAAGATACAGTCAACAAGCTTAGGGATAGGCTTGATGACCTACAGAAGAGCATCCCTTTGCGAAAGGAGCTTGAAGACCTCCAGGCCAAGCTTCGCGAAAAGTCTTCTCTAACCGATAAGCAGCGCAATGAGCTCAAGCTCATGACGCGACGTTTGGAGCTGTTGCAGCAATCCCTCCATAAGGTCAAGGATGGCGCCGCCGCTCTCAGGGGCGCGGCGCACCTTATCAACCCGAAGGCGAATGCGAAGCTACCAAAGCTTGTATTCCCCTGCATGGAGTGCTTCATCAGGAACATCGACTGCGATTCCAACTCTCAGTGCGAAAACTGCGCACTGAGGGGCGACAAATGCTCGCGCTGGAGGTGCTCCATGAGGCAGGTGATGCAGGAGTGCAAGGAGGTCCCATGTCGGTTCACCCATGATATCAATGGATGGCTCACAACTACAAAGCCGCGTCCTCAGTGGTGATTGGTCAATAAGGCGTGGCAATGTGCGGGTGCCGTTTGGAGTAATGGGAATTTGCAAGGGCATGAGGGGTCCTCGAGGAACTTCAGGGTCGGTAATGTGGAGTGGCTCTGAGTCATAGGGTGACTTAAGTAAGTGATAATCTAGTTCTATGGCCCTCCCCCTGGCGAACTACAAGCACGCATGCCTTTCATGGATGAGTAAGTTGCGCACTCCTTGGCTATGCAAGTCCGGATCTTGCAGAGCCAAGGAGTGAACACCAAAGTAGGCCTCGTGCGCTCATTAGTTTCATCAAAATCTCGGCAGAGACAGTCGTCGCTTCCCGAAGGTCTGTATTTGAATTTGTTCCCGCATCCACGGCTCAGCTAGCCACTATGGTGACCTCAACAGCACTGGTACTTTCGCAGCAACAGGTCTCCTTCCCAGCGGCCTCGGATCGAACGAACTTGGTCTCAACGTCGAAGGCATTGGACAGATTAAACTACCGCTACCGACACCGCGAAATCCTCGTCAACAAGAGCCTGCTGGCGCCCTTTGAGCACAGCGGGAGAACAGTCCTCGACAAGAGTGTTCGCAGCACGTGGGAAATCGATTTAAACGCGCAGCATGTCTCCTTCGCGGACGAAGAAACCTGGTAGGCATGTCTAGACGCGGTGGCTTGGCTCGAGCAAAGAGCTGGACGTCGTGGCCGAACCGTACAAGCTGCTCATCTATGAGTAGGGCGCCAGTCCGAGCCTCGTAAAGAGTAAGCGTTGTCATTATTTTTATGCGATAATATCACTAACAGTAGCACTGATGAAAAGGATTCCAATCATAGCAAGAAGCAACAACGTACGGCCACCAGGGTGAAGATGTACTACATCACCTCCCCAGCTGCCTTCCGAATCACTCTCGCTGTCGCTTCAGGCCGACTAACAAACGGCGAATGATCTCCATCGCACCTCTCAATCTCAAACTTATGTCCCTTCGCTTCGGCCAACATGGCTTCCTGCCACGCCATTGGAATCGCCTGATCCTTCTCAGTCATCAAATACACGCCCGGGATCTCGCGCCAGGCTGCATGCTCCACCTTCGACATGAACGCCTTCCACGCCTGGCTCTGCAGACCGTGAGCGAGTTTCGCCTGGTCTTCTGGACTACATTCGTTGTAGAACCAAGGAACCGCGGCGACCTTGTCGACGTAGCTGAGGTCGCCACGAACGACGGTAGTTTCCTCGTTTATGGGCTTCCCGCCTGAGGCTTCCCACACGTAGTGGCCGACATCCATCAGGAGTGCTGCGAGATAGACGAGCTTGGTTACGCCGCCTGGCAGGCCTTGGGCTTCGCGATACGCCTTTCCGAGCTCACGACACGCTTCTGAGCCGACGGTGCCGCTGTACGAGTGCGATATTAGAACGACATCGGAGCCGGCCTCAACGTGCTTCAACAGTTCGTCGCGGATTGCTGCGACGTCGTCTTCCCAGCCTTGCTGAGGGGTGAGATCCCTGAGCTCGGGGCCGATTGTTGGGAGCGCAACGCCAACGGTGGTGTATCCGGCCTTTTCTAGGAGAGAGGTTGTGGGCTTGAAAGAGGAAGGCGTGTGCCAGCCGCCAGGAGTGAAGACAAGGACCGGTTTCGAGGGGGGCATTTGGCGATTGATGCGTACCTAGGTACGTGTGAATGATCCTGCTGAGAAGGGGTGATATCGCTGGATGGACTCAAATGCAGAGCGGCTGCGCCTTTTCTGAAGCTTGAATGTTCGACACTCGTAGCCTTGCGCTTACGTCGTTGGTGTTGGGTATGTCGTCCCCGCATGAGCTCACCCCACTATCTGACGTCGGAAAACGGAATCCCGCCCTCTAGGATCTACCTCAAACTCCATTGTTACACGGCATAGATTGCACGCCCATAAATATGCCTATACGCCACTACCTCTCGTCCGACTGTCACGATTCGAGGTGGAGTTCCCACCGGTCTCTGGAATAAACGATTAACCACGCCGCAGCCAACTGATAACGTTGCATACCACTCAAAACGGTGCAAAACGATTACATGCTGACTTCCGTCGGGTGCTGGCTCGATTTCATGGGCGAGATGAATACTCCTCTAAGAGTATCGTAGGACCCATCCTGGCGGATTCCTTCGGGTCGCTTCACTGCGCGACACGACCCGATTCGAGGACGGCGCATTTTTACCCGATGGACGTAGAAGGTTGCTGCAAACAGAGATAGCCGTGCGGGGCAAACCCGATACTTTGGTCACTTACTTCTTCTCTAACACCTCCGCCAAGACAAGAAAATGAGCCGACCCGACAACAGCAAAGATTCTCCTTGTAAGGAATCCAAGGCGAATTGGGGCTTCTACTTCACATTGACGAGGGAGTTCCACGGGGAGCCTTCTCTACCTCTTTGCTGCCAGCTCCCACATGAGAAATCATGGCAACCGCTACGAATCTGTCAGTAGTAAATCTCCGGCAGAACCATCAAGTTCCAATACCCCTCAAAATCCAACGTCTGCGTATCTCCCACGCTCTTCTTCCCTTCTGCCTCCCTAACCGTCAATCCGTTCCCCAACCAACTAAACCGATTCCGGCCCTCGCCCTTAAACCACTCCAACTTGTAGTCCTCCCAGCGCGGCTCCCTCAGCGCTTCGATAAAATGGTAGCAACTTCCTGCATAAACGGCGACGACGCGCCCATCAACGGTCCCGCGCTTGTACCAGCTGCGACATGGTGCTACCCAGACAGTCTTGGAAAGCCAGGCTTGGGTGTAGGCGTCGTAGTCTGCGAGCGCGGAGGAGGTAACTTCGAGGGATTTTATGCATTGCGTTTGCAGTTTGGTGATACATTTGTAGATGTAGATTCCGGTCATTTGGATGGCTTGGACGAGAGAGCCGTTGGAGATGGGGCTGTTGGGGCCGATGAAACCTACAATTTCCCTCGACGTTAGTACAGCACCTCATTTTAATGCCCAAAAGCTTGTGAATGCACTCACAAAAGTAGTTCGGGAAATCAGGCACCGCAATGCTGAAATACGCCTTCGGATCCTCCCTCTCCCACTTCTCGGCCATGTCAACACCCTTGCGTCCGATAAGCTGGAACTGCGGTTTGAATGTAGTATTGAACCCCGTCGCGCAGAAAATAGCATCTAGCTCCGCCAGCGTCCCGTCTTTCTTCTGTATCCCGCGTTCGCTAATCGTCTCAATACCATCCCAATGACTGTCCACATTCTCCCGCATCAGCGCCTCCAGAAAGCCCGGCCCGGGCGTAAGCCGTCTACACCCCACTGGGAAATTCGGCACTAGCCACTTCGCGATTTCCAGTGCCTTCGGGGAGTCGCCGAGCCGGGAGAGCATGGATTCCCGGAAGAGGGCGTTGACGCGGGAGTGGGAGGTGGAGTCGGTTTTGTGCGCTTTGAACTCCTCGATGCGTTTATCGCTGAGGTCGCGGCGGTGGGCGAGGAGGTAGTCTGGCTCGCTCGCGAAGCGATCTAGTTCTTCGGGCGCGTAGTTGAAAGAAGAGTCCATTTTGGGACCGGAATGATCGTCGGGTTTGGGCGAGAGGATGCCAGTGCCGGGGGTTATCCAAGTCGGGGAGCGGGCGAAGAAGTCTACGTGTGCGGCATCTACGCATGTTTAGTATTCCTAAAAGGAGAAAGGAAGGGGGACCGCACCTTTGGCAACGTTGGGGAGGATCTGGATTCCGGAGGAGCCGATGCCGATGACTGCTACTCTTTTTCCACTCCAATCGTACGAAGTGTCCCAATCCGCTGAGTGTAGGAGTTTTCCGCAGAAGGTCTCGATGCCGGGTATGGAGGGCCACTCCCAGTTACTATCATCACGTCAGCGTCAGTGTCTTCCCTCAAGGTACTTCGTTCATAAACGTACCTTAGGACCCCGCCAGCGTTGATCAGAATATCGCACACGTCGACGAAGCTCCTTCCATCAGCTTCGACCGTGAGACGCCACTTCCCAGCCTCCTCTTGCCACACCGCGCTCCGCACGGTATGCTTATAGCTGATATACTTCTCACAGCTATACTGCGCCGCGACATCCTTCATATACTCCTGTATCTGCTGCGAGGTCGCGTAGTAATTGGGCCATTTAGGATTCGGCGCAAAACTATACGCGTAGTTGTGCGCTGGGATATCGCATTGGCAGCCCGGATATCTAACCATTTATCTTCAGCATTACCGCCTCCCACGATATCAAATGAATAAAGGGATTGAACTGGAGAGAAGAGCTTACCTGTTCACCAGCCACGTCCCGCCGAGGTCGTGGTTCTTCTCGTAGATCTGGAAGTCGACGTTATGGCTTTTCATTTTCTGCTCTTGGATGATGGCCATCATTAGACCGGAGTAACCAGCCCCGATGCATACTACGCGGATTGGGCGATGGGCACCCATCGGCGTGTTTTGCAGTCGGAAGGGTGAGGGGTCGAGCGGCATGGAACCCATTGTTGCTACTGTTCACGAGGGCGTGGTTTAAGTTGGAGAAAGTGATGGGCGGGAGTGGTATTTCGGGGGTTAAGATTTGGATCGAGCATTTCAAGTTCATGCTCAAATACTGTATACCCATTCATAGTGGCGATGTCGACACCTACTTCGAGAGCTTTCCGTACGGACTTCGCATCCGGTCGTACGATCCGGCGCCGATCAGATGCGACGTGCTCGGGAGTTTCCTCCAACTTCTCATGGGACGGAGTGCGGGCACCAGCAGCTGCATTCGAGACTCTTCGGGACGTATGGAGAAGGAATATCCGTTGGTAGTGAGGTCGTTGAGGGGGATATCCGAGCCGGAGATGTGACCTCCGGCGCTAAGTGGAAGCCGAGGAAACGACAGCGAAAACACCCTGCCATCTTAACTCGAGCGACTCATGAAAGCGGGCAGAGTGCGGGGTTTGCAAGCAACCCTTGATTATGGAACCAATGATGCACAAGTCCGAGACATACGGAGAACAGAAGCAGGAGAGAGAATGACATTGACATGAACGACTGAACGGCTACGTCGTCGGAACCCTCAACCAACAACCTTCCACGTCCTCCGATGATTCGGCTCCACACAGTTCTTCTGCACCCTCTTCGTATACTGCGAATCCACACTCTTCCTCCACTCGGGCCCTCCCAGCCCATTAACCTCATCATACAAATGAGCCGCTAAGAACGGCCTTACAATCTCCGCTTTATCGCCCACCGCTCGCACGAACTCGTACCTGTTCCCCACCTGCCAGCCCGGGACTTGGGCTAGGAATGGCATGTGCTCAGTCTTGTACCAGTTGTGGTAGTCAGCGATGTTGTCTGGATCGTTGCGAGGCGCCATGCCCACTTGCACGAGCTGCATGTTGAGGGGCGGTGTGACGGAAGCATCGAAGTCGGGCTTCTTGTCGAAGGAAATGCTGCGGAAGAGGTTCCAGTCTGAGCGGGTGAGGAGGTCTTTCGCGGATGCGCGGAGAGATTCGATGGTGCTGTCCTGGATGTTGTCGATGTCGGCGACTTGAAGGAGATATTCCAGGCGGTAAGGGCGCTCTGATTCGTCCACTGTATCGGTCGCTTCAAGCTTCATTGTGACTTGTACACCGGGGATGGCGGTGCGTACGGTAGCCAGCCATTTCTCGAGGCTCTTGAAGCCAGAGGAGTCCTTGGCGTCGAGATAGACGACGATGCAGCCTGGGGCCATGGTGGGATAATTGCAACAGTGATTGAAGGGGAGAATGAGCTGCGCTTGGAGATGAGCTCGAGGGCTTCTGTTGCGTCTTGTTGGAGTGCTCTGCCGAATTTGTATCGCGAGTTGTCTTCTTTCCTTTCGCTCAAACTCCGCTTCCCCCGCATTTGGCGGTCTTCGTTCTCCGCGCGCGATGAGGATGCCATTCCGACTCCACTTCCGATGATCGACAGTCCATAACATAAAGTAGTACAGCTAGAAGACAAACCCAAGCCCTGCTGTTAGTCTGCGCAGTACCACCATGACCACTCAACCAGTACCTCGCTTCGAAGACTTGCCACTGCGCGAAGGTGACCCGCCGTTCTCTGCGTGGGGTCTTTGGGAAAACTCGCAACTGGGCGCTTTGAACTACCTGACCGATGAGAATGTTCTCAAGGCCGCGAAAGAGATACAGACTGGCCAGCGTGTCGGATTGAAGTGAGCATCCTCGTTTAGTCAAGTGCAGGCCTAGTTAACGCGTCGTCGCCTCCCGCTTGACTTCATCAGCCCGGCGTTACTCGGGCGTGCCGGTTTCGAAAAGAAAATGGTGAACAAAGCCCCGAGAATCGTGAATGACGACGTCATCACCTTCAATACACAGGGGAGCGCGCAATGGGATTCGTTCAGACATTTTGGGTACCAACAGGAAAAGAAATTCTACAACGGGTAAAGTCCCGTCTTCGGGAGGAGAGACGTTAAGGTGCTAACGTGCTGGTTACAGAGTGACGCAGGCCGACATCCACAGCGCGAACGACACTACTATCAACGGAATAGATGCTTGGGCTGAGCGAGGTATTGCAGGTCGCGGCGTCCTAGTCGACTATTTCAGCTGGGCGCAGGAGAAGGGAATCCAGTACGATACGACCCAAAGGCATCCGATCAGTCTCGACCACGTGAAGACGATCTTGGAAGAGAAGAGTGTCCAGATACGCGCTGGTGACATTCTTTTCCTCCGTACAGGTAGGCGAAGGGTTTCACCCTAGAGAGACTTGAGGAGGCGCTGACCATGGCCAGGATTCGTCCAAGGCTATTCCAAGCTTGAGGCTAGAGCTCGCGAAGAGTACAAGTCCGGACACAGTTGGCCTGGGCTGGCACAGTCCAAGGATACGCTGAAGTGGCTCTGGGAGCAGCAGTTTGCAGCAGTCGCAGCAGATAACCCTGCCTTTGAAGTTTTCCGTAAGTGACCAGATCCGGAGCCTGGCGAGCAAGGGCAGCCCAACTGACGTGTTTCTTTCAAGCACCCGTCGAGCCAGACTTCTTGTGCCATCCCGTGTTATTATCTGGCTGGGGCACTCCGATTGGCGAGCTGTTCGATCTTGAGGGCCTGTCTAAGATCTGCAAGCGGTTGGGTCGTTGGACTTTTTTCCTTTCAAGCGCGCCGTTAAATTATAGGGGAGTGGTGGCGAGTCCACCAAATATCATAGCGTTCTTCTAGGACATAGGGCGGAGATACGAATACCACTGGTGGTGCAAGCGATCCTTTAATGAATGGGGATACAATACATGGTTCATCATACCGGAGGAGCTGCCCAAGTCTCTTGCGGCAGGGAATTCTCTGTACCGAAGGGCTCGCCGTACATGTAAGTAAGATTGGCTCGTCTATTGCACGCACCCGCGAAGGCCTCCAGGGTAGCTGTTGCGCACGTCGTTCTATCCGGAGAATTCCACAACGTGAGAGTACTTGGGACGCTGTCTGCTTGAAGAGGTGCCTTATCGATAACGCTAGCGCGTCGCGCACACGCGTCGCGTCATCCCATCGAACTCTCTCTGTGTCCCCTTCAACCCATATCCGTCACATTGGCTTCCATCAACCACGGTGCGGAAACGCGCATTCATTCATCTATCAGTCTAGATTTTAGCGCCTGCCGGCACATCTGGCACTGGAATCGGCTCGCTCTTGAACTGCACGCCTAATTTCTCTGCTAGCCTCAACACCACGTTCCGAAACGCTTCGATCTCCTTCCTTTCCACGCCATTGAGCTGCATGCCAATCATGTGGTTCCTCACTTGCTCCTGGCAGTCGATGCCCAGCAGAGCCGATATGATGCAATGGCCCGTTTCTAGGTCGTCGAGGATGTCATCGAACGAGAAGATGTAACCATAGAAGAGATCTGCTCCTGTCAGCCAGCGCTCTTTCTTCACTCCGCCGTCGTGTTTACTGGTCACGATCCAATAGTAATCGGGCGCCGCTCTCAGGGTCTTCTTGTCATCAAAGGTCGGGTTGCGTGAATAGATCTTTGTATGGAGGGTGCGACCCCGCTTTGCCGCTTCCTCGAAAGTCTCATTCCGCCGATAGCAGGTATCGTCCTTCAAGTGCTCGGGGATGACGAGACTCAGCGGACGAACTGCATTTCCCGTCTACGATGGCATCATCAGAGCAATGTTCTCGTAGATTTGAGACGACTCACCTTGGCTGCTCCAACAATCCCCGACGCTTTCGTAAGGCCCTCGAGGATCTTCCTCGTCTCCAGCTTCTTGTCCTTCTCTGGAATGTAGTGTTCCAGCAGATGCGTGTAAAGAGGAGGAATTTCTTCAGGATAATTGAGGGCACCGAGGCCAATGATTGCCCCTCTATACCACGGGAACCGCGAACCCGCAGCCTTGCCTGTCTCTGCCAGGGAGGCGAGGAATTCAGCGTCGAGGCGTGGCGACATATCGACTGTTCCGACCAAGTGAGGAGAGGAGTCAACTACAGAGCTGTCATTATTTCGAGGATGCGCAACCGTAAACATACTCTCGGAGAATTCCGCGACTGTTGCGGTGGTTCAGAACTCCGACCGCTGATCCCGCGAACTCGGCGCTCCAAGTCTCCGTTATCCTACAATCACAAGTATGGGCTTCGGGTTAGCGGGATGTGAACTCGAACGTGCACATTTGTGGTACCAGTCTGCCTGCCGTCACGCGGATTTCTAGCATTCAGCTCCCACCGTCCTTCCGCAGTTCTACAACGTCGACCCTCGCGCTCCACACCTTATACTCCATCAGCATGGTTTTTGCGCTTATTCCAAAACCAGTTCACGAGTCGCAGGAGAAACTCGAGAAGGTACGCAGCCTTCCAGCGATATAATCGCACCTCAGCCTGATACTTTGCTCAGTTTCTCGGTCTCATAAGTGATATCGCAGATGTCACATACGCCCACGAACCGGAGAACAGAACCTATTGCTGGTTTCGAAAGAGTCCTCTGGATCAGCGGGATGGGTTTCGTTGCTGTGGGTTCGAAGTCTACGCCAACGAGCAAGCCCTGACCCAGACCCATCGCGCGAGCCCGGAATACAAGAAAATGCGCTCAGCGGGCGCGGATGAGAACCTGTTCCTACGACCCACCGACCTCATCTTCCTCGAACCTGCTTGCGAGAGCGGATATATTACGAAGGAAGGGCACGATGTCAGGTTCTGCAGCGCTGAAGCTCGAGACACCCTTATCGTCGTGCGCATATATAGCACCAAGAACATGGAGGCTACGCAAATGCTTCTGGCTCAGTTGAATGCACTCGCCCAGCGTGCCAACGAAGATGGTATCTTGACGTACATGCCGTTCAAGCGACGGGACAGTGTTGATACTGAAGTATCGGTACTTGAGCGGTACAGCTCAAAGGCCGCGTTTGAACAGGCAGAGAAGAGTCTCCATGAGCTGAGGTACGAAAGCAGCGTTCCGCATTGGGAAGAAACGCTAAGAGGTCCTATAGCATCAAAGCGCGCGCTGCCGCGGAACACGTAGATGTCTCGATTTGGGAGAATGGGATTGGGCATATCCGCAGCCCCGGGTCAAACCAAGCGCCGTGACGATGAGCGCCTGGTTGCTGGTACCCGGTAACGATAGCACATGCACCACTCCGCAGCTTCGTGTTAGCCTAGGGCACCCGCTAGCTGGATGACGGAAGATACGGCCTTCGCAAATAGCTAGATGAACTTCTTCAACTTCGCTTAGACCGTCTCAGAGCGCGCTCGCGCTCCTCTCCACCGTCCGTTTTCAAGGCCTGGACGGAGAATGTTTCTCAAAGTAGATTGCATGCTCGAAGTACTCGTCCTTGTGCGACAGGTCATCCACAGCTACTATCCTGGATGCAGCCGTCGATGGGTACAGTGACCAGACCAAACAGCCGCCTCCGCATGGCAACACTGCACCAGCAGCCAGCATGGACAAACGCCAGTCCTCGGATCGAGTGCTTTGCCTAGACGCGGGGAAGTGTCCAGCATTGTTGCACTACCCCATGGGTACACAGTATCCATGGGGTTGGATCAGCGAAGTGGAGTCGGCCCAGGGCCATAGCGCCGGTGTTCCATTCGCCGTCCCGGTCAGCGTCTCCTAGCTCGCTTTAGAACACCACGAGTCAGGATCGGTCATTTCTATATAGCTACTGCCGGGAATAATCCTATCAAACCAACTTCGTCGTCCTGCCGCTTCCTGAGGCACCCTTCCAAACTGATTTACAAAATCTCGCGAACCCGCCATGGCTGAAGTCATTAAATCTGAAGCCGTCTTTGTCGAAGACGCAGAGGCACGATCCAACAACATGCCCGCGAGTAAGGAAGACGTCGAAGTGCAGACTCGTTTCACGCCTGAAGAGATCAAGCGCATCCTCCGTCGCGTCGACTACCGCGTCGTGCCCATCCTGGGGCTCATGCTAGGCGTTGCACTCATGGACCGCAGCAATGTTGCCAACGCCGCCATCGCCGGTATGCGCGATGATTTGGATCTCAAGGTCGGATATCGCTACGCTTTGATGACTTCCTGCTTCTTCATCACCTACGTGCTCTGTCAGGCTCCCATGACCTGGCTTACCAGAGCCGCCGGACCAAGGATTGTCATCCCAGGTGTAGTATTCGCCTGGGGTGTTCTCATTATTGGGTTTGGTTTTGCGACCACCTGGACGACGCTTGTGGGGTTGAGATTGATACTGGGGATATTGGAGGCTGGCTTCTTCGGTGGTGGCGTTTACCTTCTGCAGACTTGGTTTAAGAGGAGTAAGTGTTCAATGTTGTTCCTCAATTGAACATTACTGACTGACGTAGATGAGCTCTCAATGCGCTTCTCGATATACTACTTCATCGGTGCTGTTGTTTCGTCCTTCTCCGGTATCCTGGCGTACGCCTTCATGCAGATGGATGGACTCAGTGGTGTGAAGGGGTGGGAATGGTACGCACCCGCCTGATTTCCTTTACAACAATGACTAATATCCATGGACAGGATCTTCATTTTGGAAGGAATTGTATGTTTTATCAACATTTTGCGACCCTTGGCTGACGTCCTATAGGTCACAATCATAATCGCAGTCATAGGCTACTATTGCCTTCCCAAATTCCCCGACCAAGAGATTCGAAAGCCATCGTTCCTCTTCCTCAAACAGGATGAGTGCCAATTCGTCGTTGACCGCCTCGCTGCTGATCGAGACGATTACCAAGCGGAGAAGTTCTCGTGGAGACTTTACTTCGCGGCGGCCCGTCGGCCTGAAATTTGGGCTTTCGGCATCAGCCAATTGTGAGCTCCTGCAGTCGTACAATCACTTCAAAAATCTGGTCGGCTAATGCTTGCGACAGTTGCACTTGCACTGCTTCATATGCCTACATCTTCTATCTCCCAATCATTCTTCGCGACACCCTCAAGTTCAGTCTAGCCGCCTCTCAATGCCTGATTGCTCCCCCATACGCAGCTGCTGGTATCCTCATGATGGGATGCGCATGGTACGCTGATAAATACCGCACCAGGGCCCCGGTCCTCATCTTTAATTGCTGCATCGCAATGATAGGGCTTCCGATGGTCGGCTTTGCGGCTAACCCATGGGTTCGGTACGCTGGTGTCTTCCTTGCAGTTGCGGCTATCAATTCCAACATTCCTCTGATTATTGCTTATCAGGTATGATTACATTCCTTTGTCGAAAGTATAATTCAAGGCTGACGCGCGCCAGGCGACCAATATCAGAGGGCAGTGGCAGCGCGCATTCTGCTCAGCGATCATGACGGGCCTGGGAGCTATTGGTGGTATTTCCGGCAGCCTCGTGTATCGGACACAGGACGCTCCGGAATACGTTCCAGGAACGGTGGCAGTCATCGTGTAAGTGTGATAAAGCGAGTCTCTTGACTAGTGATGTTACTGACACGTTTTCTAGTTGCATTGGTGCCGTCATGGTAATCTGCACTGGTCTGCTTTTCTACCTCAAGAGGTGCAACAAGCAAGCCGACGCGGGCAAGCGCATCATCCATGGACTTCCGGAGTTCAGGTACACTCCCTAGATGCTGTCCGGTGGTAGTTCGAACGAGCGGGGATTTTGTTGATCGGACCTCTCACAGCCTCACATTGTTGCCGAATATCATGGATGGGCGGTTCTCGGAAAATAGAAACTGGTTTCGAAGTTTCTACCCTTGCATCCGTTCGAACGGAAAACTGCATCCTACGCTAAATTAGACCGCTCGGTGGCGTGCGGGGCCCCGCGGGGTCATAACTCACTTGTCGGAGAATGCACTTCCTACATCTCCGGTGCCAGCATAAATCTCCGGCTGAGATCCATTGTCCGCCTCAGACCATTCCACGGCCATGAATCACCGTGTTGCCCGCAAGTGCAAAGCATGCGAGCCTTGTCGCGCTCGCAAGGTGCTTATCCCAGCGAGCCCTGCGAACATACAAACAATCTAACAAATGAATAGGTGAAATGTAATGGACTGCGTCCCGTATGTTCGCTCTGTCAAGCCCAGCGGCGGCAATGCGAGTACGGAGAGGATCGCCGTCAGAATCACGCAGTTTCGCGCCAGACGGTCCAGCTTATGAAAGACAAGATGGCGGCGTTGGAAGCTACTATCGAGGCTATGGCAGCTCAGCCTGGAGCACAATCGCGGTCGACACCAACACTCGAAGATCCCATGCTGCGGGAGAACAGCAATGCAGGCACTAGTCCGACCTCGACCATGCCTCCTCCTTCCAGCCCACAGCGCGTTCGACATGGTTCCGTGAGCTCGGGCGTCATCCGACGAAACAGCGGCCACGTTGTTGAAGCAAGCGAAATGCATACAATCGTCCGAAGCGAGATCGGTTATTCGATTCACGGACCAACTTCCGCCTTTCGGGACTTACCATCTCCTGCCTCCCTCTCTCGGACTTCTATCTCCGACGCCGCGGGCAGCCCAACACGTACTCACGCCGCGAACGCATTGCCTTTGACGTCCGAGGAGGACAAGAGAAAGCAGCTGGAGCAATGGCGGCTCGAGCTGTTCGCACATTCAGCTCGGCAGCAGCAGTTGGAGCCTCTGCTTATTTCGCAGTGCAAGATGGATCTAGACGGCGTCGATGGGCACACTGCCAAACACCTTCTCGATCTGTACTTCAATCATCAGTACAACACATATCTGTGCATGTACCGGCCAGCTGTCATGGATAGCCTCGCGACGAATGGGCCGTATGCGAATAAGCTCATCCTGAATGCCATGCTTTACACTGGGGCTTTGCAGAGCGGAAGGGAAGACTTGATGGACGAACCTGGTGACGCACAGACATTAGGAAACCGCTTCTTCCGGCGTTTCGAGGAACTTTTACCATTATTCATGCGATCCTCTAGCATACCGACTATAAGCGCGCTGATCGTTATGGGGTCTTCGCTGCTCACGCGCGGTTACCAGACGCTTGCGTGGCTCTACTACGGTATCTCGTATCGCATGATCTTAGATCTGGGCTTCGACATCAACCCAGCCAAGGTCAATACATCGAGCCTTCTCGCCAAGGAATCCGCGTACTCGCAAAATGCCATGGAAGCAGAACTACAGCGCCGTGTCTTCTGGGGCGCATACATGAACGACCGCTTCAACTCTCTCTACTTCGGTCGGCCGCCTTCCCTCACCATACTCCATGGCTTCGAGCCAGATCGCGAGTGCCTCGACACCCACGACGAAATGGACATGTGGTCGCCCCGCTACGACATGCTCAAGCCGCCCTCTGTCCACATCACCGCGCCGCGCTATAACGTCTCGAACCGGAACTCCCTGCTCAAGCTCGCCGACATCACCTCCGTTATAATCGACAAATTCTACCGCCCTGGGCTAGAGTATCCCTCCGCCGAAGCAGCGCGCGAACAAGTCCAGTCCGTACAAGCGCAGCTCGATGAATGGGCAGAAACTCTCCCTGCTCATCTGTACTACACGCCCGAAAAGGATACGCCTATCCCACCGCACCGCTTCTACCCGCACACTACGTACCACACACTGCATATCCTGCTGTACAGACCCTTCCTTCCCGAAGGTCATTTGAGGTCCATCCAACCCCTCCCACAGCCCGCCATCCGCGAACGCTGCATCACTGCTGCACTCCGTATATACGCGCTCGCACAAGCATACCGCGCAGCGTTTACGCTCACTCGCGCCCCGTATCTCTTCTCATACGCGCTATTCTCCGCAGCAACAGTGATCCCGCTCCTGCACTGGGAAGACGGGAAAAAGCGACTAGACGTAATCCGCTTCTTCCTCGACGCACTAAAAGAGCAGCAGCGTGGCGCGAACTCCGGCCTCAAGAAACCCATCATGATCATCAGAGGCATGTTTGAGCGCGCTGGCTTGGATCTTAGCTCCTCCACCCACCCCAACCACGTACATAGTAATGAGCGAGCCGGTAATGGTGGAAGTAGCACAACTGCTGGTGCTACGACGTCAAACGCGACGCCGGGACGAGGCTTCGATGCAGCGATGGAGGGATGGGAGGGCTGGGCCGATGGCCAGGATTATAGAGATTTGTTTCAAGACTTTTTGATGGAGAATGAGGCGTTTTGGCCGGGGTTGGATAGTGTGGTGGCGGGGGAGGAGCAGCCTGAGATGCTGTTTGGGATGTTTGGATGAGGATTTGTGGGTACGTGGGAAGGAGCCAAACACAAATCTGAGTCGGCGGACATTTTCTAGAGCTATGGAAGCGGATTCCATGGTACAGGGAAGACATAACGAATTGAAATAGCTTATGCTAACGCTGCCAGGGCACATCGACCGCGAAATGGGCTGCCTATACACGCCGAGCAGCGAAAAAAGAGACTCACGCCCATTTCTTTACTTGCCTTCCATCCTAATCTTCCGGCGCTTCGAGGAACTTTTACCATCACCTTCACTTTAACGCGCCACCTCTCTCACTTCCACGCCACACGGGCTGCTTCCGCTCGCGCCTGCCCAAAATTGCGGCAAGCTTAATTTAAAATTGTGCGCAAATTTCTCTTACCTTACTATTCGCTAGTCTATCTTACACTTTCCTTATAAACTATATTAGGTTAGCTTAGGCGCCTCTATTTCTAGAGAGGTTTACCTCTAAAAATAAAGGTCTCTAAGCTAGTAATTTTAGAAGCCTAGGCACAGGTCATTGCGTGTTGTCCTGTGGTGTTTGGCGCTTTTGTCGGTGGGATTTTCCCTTGATGCTGGGACCGGGAATGGGGATACGGTAAGTCGTATTGCGGATAGCGAAATTTTCGGCGGACTGTACGGGCTCACCGTTACACCATTCTAATCATCGCCTCCCTCAACACTGAACACTTCCCGCTCCGTAACAACAAACACGCTCTCGCCGCCCGACGCCCCCAAACCCCTCGACCGCACCACCAGATCCCTTCCATCAAGCCAGAACAGATACCCTGCGCCTTCAACCCCACATCTTAGCGGGAACCAAACCGGATCGCCATCCATGAACGACTCCAGCAGCGGAAGATACAAGCCGCTCGTATCCAGCAAGAGCCCAGCCTCCTGGCGAATAAGGTTGTGAAACCGCGCTTCAAGATTAGCGAGCGCACTGGCCGGGACTGGGTTGCGGAGTAGGGACAGAGAACGTCGTTGAGTTTTGTCTCGTTGAGCATGTGAGCGAGTTCGAGGGGCGTGACGTTGAGGTGGGGAAACTCGGTCCATTGGGTGCGGAGGGTTCCTGTTTTGCGAAGTTTGTTAGTCAGAATGCACAGCCTTGATACGGAAAGGCGGGCACCTACGGAAACCGCCTAGCTGGATTAGTCGTTCTACTACGTCGACTGGAGCGCTCATGTACACTGCTTGATGCATGGGCGTCCAGTACGACAGGGGCATGCCACGCGGCTCTACCCACCGTTCCTCATTAGCATGGCTCTTCGCAGAGTGAACTAAGGGTATGTTAGGGTTGGTAACGTACTCATTCTCGTTGCGTGTGCCCAGTTTTCGCTAAAACACTGCTTCGCATGCTCTAAGAGCTCAAAGACCTTAGGCCACTGCCCGAAAAACACGCTGCATCGGCGAGTTCATTGCGCATGCGGCAGTACGAGTTACTGAGCTGGCCGACATCCGTGTGCACATGGCCGATCCATGTGCGTATCAATTTCCCACTATCCGTTTCGTTCGTCTTACTGTTGACCAGTGTGAGGTTGGAGAAGGAATCCAGAGACGCCGCGGGGTCTGCTGCTTCTTTGAGCATTCTTTCGATACTGCTTTGAGAACGTAGATTGGAAATTCTAATTATTTGATAGTTACCGTTAGCTCTCTCCACCCAACCCATATCAGAAGCATAGAAGAACCACACAGCCGTACCGAAGGTACGGTTTAATTTCCATGCACTTACATACTAATCGTCTGCAACACACTTATCAGCTGTAGCTGATGCTGCCGCAACCTACTTCCTAACTACAGCGCCCTCGACCTCTCCAGCGACCAAATCATCCTGCGCCAGAACCGTATCCGACTGCTATTCCTATACACCTCGTCCGCCATGGCGAGCAGCAGGGTCAGCGTTTCCTTCAGCCCGTCGAGCGTTACCGCAATGTCGAACTCGCGCACATTGCTCTCTTTAAGCTCGATGAGCAGCTCGCGGATCAATTCCAGGAGTCTGTAGGAGCAGCGCACGCCGGTGAGGACTTCGCGCAGGTCGTCTTCGGCGCTGCGCACGCCATGCGCGAACCTTTTGAGGCTGTCAAGCGCTTTGATGCAGAGGGAGGCAGCGCCCGCGGCGAAGGATATCGCGGTGATGATGTCGGCCATTGTGGCGGTTGTCGTCCGCCATGATGCGGATTGGACAGTGGGCCTTACCTAGGTTATGGAGTTTGAGGAGAGTGGTTGATAGATATCGCGTCTTTTTCGTAGGTGTCGCGTTTTGGCTAGGTGGCCGGGAACCCTATGTAGCCGGGAACTATATAGCCGAGCTTATTCTACACATGAGCCGGAATGCCTCGGTCCCGTTAAATGTGGGATTCGCCAACCGCACCGCAACTTTGCCCAGTGCGAACAGATCGTTTCCCGCGGTGCCAGAGGCAAGTAGGCGCTTCCTGGGGGGCTGGCAAGAACCGAAGTTAAAGGAGAATCGGCATAATAAGTGTGTAACAAACTGATTATGATCACTACGTCTAATTATGATATCAGGCTGTTGGCTCTTAACCCACAAATAAAGACGTACCTCGACCTGCTCATTCGCAGAAGGCGGAATGTATGCCGACGAGGTAGAGCAACTAGCGCTCCCACAGTCATAAGAGACGACCGTGTACACGGTTTTCGTCGAGCCGTCCTTTAGGGTTTTGGATTTCGTGACTGTTTCGGGGGGTTTACACCTAAACCACATATTTAGCAATTTCACTTCGTGTGCTAGAGACCAAATACAAACATTATGAGCTCTGACTGTCGCTTGTGTATTTACTCCGAAGGGGAAATATTATGAGGTCCTCTGTGAATGTTGAGGCACAGCTTCGAAATAGGTTCGGGCTGTGATGTTGTTCTAGATCGAGAGCTCGACACGTCTGCTTTATCCTATTGCGCCTCAAAGGAGGGGCAATAGCGTGACCAGTCGAACCCTTAAGGCGGAAATGAAGGACTTGCCAAGAGTCTTACCTACAGGTGGGGGGCGTGTACGATCCGCTCGAGGGGGTGTGTTATCTACGCCAGGCAGACAATGATTGTATTCCCGGAGCCTGGGAGTGTTCGAATACGACGAAAATGAAATGTTGAGGCTCAAGGGAACCAATAGTGGACGTATTCATGACACCATACTGCTAACCTTATGCGTCTGCATTGACTGGCCAAGAAAGTGGCTGAAGCGTCCCACCGGAGAACCGCGCACCTCACATTCACGTATATGCACATACTCTGATTCGTAGATTAAGACAGTAGCAATTTGTGTTTAGAATGATATTCACTGCCCCGCGAACTGCGTCCCCTAAACCGTGGGATTCTCCAACCACACCGCAATTTTGCCCAGTGCGAACAGATCGTTTTTCTGGTCAGAATAGAGAAAATTGTCCCACACCCATCCTAGAGTGCCAGCCGTGAGTAGACGCTTCCCAGGGGGCTGGCAAGAACCAAAGTCAATGAGAATTGGCATATCTTGCTCATCCACCATAACATTCTCCGGATTGATGTCGTTGTGAGCGAGACAGATCGAGTGCAGATAGGCAACTGCTGACGCAAGGGCTTGCATAAAAGCACCCTTGTTGATTGCTCGTCCTCCGCGGAGATGGTTCAGAAGGGTGTCCTTGTGCCTGTTCAGAACCATGCCAGTGATTCGCCCACGCCGCACACGCACACCGTGATATCCAATAATATTGGGGTGGGGGTGTTTGGCGATGACCTCCATAATGCGAACTTCGCGGTAGAGAAGATCTGAGAGGTATTCAGGGTATGAGTCTTGAACCTCATCGTAAATTATTAAGCTAGGGCCTTTGGTGTAGAATTCGTCCATCTGTTCCCCGATGCGTTCCGGAGCAACGGTTACGGTAGTGTCTGCAGGCATCGGAGGATAGATCCGCTCGCCTGGGATATACGCTAGGGCAGAGTTGATGTCCTGTACGGTGATGTCCTTTTTGGGCTTGAAGACGGTGCCGAAAAAGGCGAAATCATCATCGTCGACGATGTAGAAGGTCGTGAATCGGGCCTTGCGGGTGTCCGGGTCTAGGTCCTCTGAGAAACCGAGGCCCTTGGTCGACACAACCTTTGGTGGGCTTGGGGGATCTGCTGTCGAGAGGCTACCAGTCGTTGGCTGGATTGTCACCTGCAGACCTCCCACCGAGGAGGAAGAGGGTAGAGTTTCGCGAGGAGAGGGTACGCCAAGTGCAGCCATTGCAGACGAGGAATGGCTGGGTAGCTCTACGTCACTTTGTGGGCGCAGGCAAACGCAAGAGGGAGGGGACCACAAGAGAGAGGAGTAAATGGTGCCTAATTCCTTCAGCGCAAGTGGTTGCGGACGAGAAATGAGACGCCTGGAACGGGTTCTGGAGGACTGAAAACCGGGGAGCTGCCCATGCTTTATATACTGCGTGGTTTCACAAGCCACGCCCTGTTTCGTGGCAGCGCGCCTTGATTTTCCGTTCTTTGTTTTCGCGTTTCGCAACCGGGAATTTTGCGATCGCGATTTTCGAATTTTGAAAATTACCAAATCTAGTTAGTCGCACCAGCGAATCTATCGTGTGCATAAATCCGTAGAAATCTTGGCGGCTTCCTCACGAATTTGCGCGCGCCGCGAAAAATCAACTTCTTTAAACTTTGATATTTTCTCTTCAAATTTTCAAGAAAAGTTCTTCAAGATATAAAGAAGAGTTCTTGAAATTTTGAAGACAATCCTTTACGGCGTTGAAGAGAAATTCAAAGAAATGAAGAAACCTCCTTCATGAAGGGTGCACAAAACACCACCCCTTCGATTCTCTTTAAAATTTGAAGGATCGTTCTTCAACATATGGAGAAGAGTTCTTTAAAATTTGAAGAGAATTCTTTAACCGTGTCAAGGAAGACCCTTAGGCAAGCGGAAATGGGTTGTCTCTGTTTCTCTCCGTTCCTTCTTTCCGGACCAAAAAAGAGTACCTAAGAGCAGATGTCTGGCTCCGCGCCTTCCTTCCTCTATCTTTTGTCACCGAAATTTGTTCTACCTGTGGTTGATGTGAGGAGGTAGTGAGCACTGAAACAGCAGGCTGGTACTTTATATGGGTCCTGCACCAAAAGACCATATCAAAAGTATTAATGGGATCGCGCCCTCTCTTCGGCCAGCTTCTATCTCCGCATAGTCATGAGACTACGTACACCAGGACGCACGATCAGAACATGACTTCGGTCTTCCAGTTCACTCTCTCGCTACCCCAGGATCAAAATCGAGGCTGGAAAGAAAAGTACCTTTACGCATTAAAAAGGGGTACTCTCCTCTATGTTGCCCCATATCTACCATAGCGGACCTGGGAGAAGGATCTCGTGGAAATGAGAACCCAAACAACGAAAATCATTCATTATGACCTTGTCCTCACAGCCTGCTTAAAGTCCCGAAAATGGCAAATATAAAGGGGACTGTGTGGAACCTAGGAGAACCCGTGGGAAGTGAAACACCACAGACGCAAATGAAGAACTGGCGCCGCGTTTCGCAACCCAGAAATACCAACCCGAAAGCGACATAGAGTCTGGGGCAGGATTGTGAGCTGAGAAAAAAAAAGCAGTGGGGTGCGATGCTATGCGCCCTGCTCACTTCTAGCCTTGTATTTAAACGGCTATCCAATCCTATTATGCGTTGGTCACCGAGTGAGCCTCTGAGACCGAAACAGAGCCTACGGACTGATTGTGTCTTCCATCACGCTCTCTCAGACCCAGGCTGAATCATTGACGCCAGTATGTATGTGAAGAAAGGGATTCCGGGAACAAATTTGAGAAATGATTGGCACATGTCTCGCAACGCCTTTTCCCCAGGCCAAAGGGCTTCTTCGAGCAGGCCTATGCAGTCCCAGAGGGACCGTGGGATCTAAGTTTCTATCACTACGGCCTCATGTCCAGCACGGCTTCAGCCACTTCAAAGCGAGTAGCGGTGATTCTGATGCTTCTTGGTCTTCTGCAACTTCAATCAAGTTCGGCAGCTCTTGATGCCGGGAGGGTTTCCTCTGCGTTGCCTTCTTCCGTGGACAAAACCTCAACCAACCGCAATCATGCGGGTCGTGACACGGGCGCAGGGCTAAAATTTCGACTCTATTATCTCTATGGACCGCGACGCGTTCCTTTCTTCCAGAAACGACATTCTGGTGTGCGGATGCCAAGAGAGGGACTCGCGAGGCTCAAGATTCAATATACAGCATGTGATGTCTGGCGCTCTCGCTTCCCGCTAAAGGCAGGTTATTTCGGTGTCGAGACACTATCCGAACACAGAACGAAAACTTGTATATCTATGTCTCGCGAGAGAGCCACCAGTTTTTTCACAGGCCACTACCAAACCTATTATGCCCCCTCTATCCTCGTAGTCTAAAGCGTTCTATCCCACCCAGCTTTTCCGACCCCTCAGAGACACTCGCCAGAGCCAAAAGCTCGACTTCGCTCTCCATGGTCTCTGTTCTGTTCCTCTACCACGAAAAAAAGGGGAGAACTCGACCACGGGAAGACGAGGAAAGAGAACGTGAAGACGGAAAAGTACAAGACGCCGACTGGAAAGTACCATGCAGATCCCAAGAGCTAGAAGCCAGTGGAGAATGAACGGCGGCAAGTTCATAACTGATCAGAAGGCCTTGGATGCTGCTGGGGCAGAACTAGAAAATCTACTCGAGAACGTCATGCTCCTAAATGGGGCTACCTACACTCGCATGGCTGTGCCCGGCACAGCATCCATACGGCTTATACTTCATGCGGGCTACCAGGCAAGCTGCAAAGGGTGTGGAACTTCAAAGTTCTCCGCCAAAGCAAAACCCATAACAAATATGTCCTTTTTCTTGCCGCCACGCTCAAAGGATCGTACCTAGAGCTCATGGGAGCCTGGAGGGCAGCACAAGTTCCCAAAACTCGTGGAGCTGTTCAAGGACTTAAAGGAGGAGAAGAACCAGTCAATGAGTCCAGGAATGAAAGCTTCACCGACAACCAGAGTGCATACTTTCGATGTCTGGTCTTCCGGGATGAACCACCGAACTACAGCACCGCCAGGACCATTCATGGCCGTACTGCATGGCGGGAACGCCGGCGGATTTCGAGTCAGAATGGCACCGTATGTATGTGCCTGTCTTGCCTCGAGCACTAAAACGTGCACTAAAAACTCCATCGATCGCTGTCTGTCGACATCCCGGATGTGAAAAAAAAAAAGCATTCATGTTTCTGGCATGGACGTCTGTTGGAAGTGAATGAATCTACGACCTCGACCCACTTATGTCTGCGCGTTATCTCACCCAGCTGAGATATCAAAACCAGCCTCGAGATTCTTCCATGGGAAGCACAGAAAGGAGAATGACAAATCTCGAACTCAACACCAAATTCGACGCACGCGCTCATATGTCCGTCCAATCCGGCGCCGCACTGCTTTCCCAGCTTCCAAAACAGAACCGCCATCACTACATATGTGGGTCCCGCGCAGGAAAACGCGGCTGGAGCTCACTGTCCCTTGGGAAACTAAACGAAACACCACCTGCCGCATCCTATCTCTCGTGCAGCGCACTAAAAATGGGTTCACCCATCTCTAATGCTTGCCGGAGACTTTAGGGAACTATACTATAGCCTTACCCAGTTCTTATTGGATTAGCCTACCACACCTCCTTCCTTTCGTACTAAGCAAAGCATTGTATGAACGATCACATGTTCCGCGAGCAGACCCTTCCTTCGGTCTTAAAGCGGACCGTCAAAGCAGCACGCATGATCCGCGCCGTCCTCGGCAATAAAACGATACGTGAAAAAAACTCATGCTTTCGGAGAATCGCCTCCCAGTGTACGGTCCCTGACATCTATGTCCCACCCCGGTCCGCCCCGCGTTCTCTCCACCAAAACCAAAAACACACATTCCACATGTGTCCCGCGGGTCGACGGCAAGACTGCTTACTCGCTCAAGCTCAAGCTGCTGCAACCAACCATAATTCTGCGCCTCCCTCCCTAACTCCCTTCTTCACGACAACCCAACGCAACCAACTCCTCCTCCTTTATACATTTCTCTTCTCTTCAGGGGAACTCGAACTCGCACAGAAACTCGTCGCGCACTAAAAACCACCGCGCGTCTTCCATATGCGTTTCGCGCGAGACTCATGCACACACATAGATCCCCCTCGCGGCGCGAGCGGAAGACGACATGAGTGCGCAGAGATTGTCAGGAAGGTGCTGCGTCGCACTTCTATGTGCTAGCATCCTGCACACTCCTCTACAAGTGAAGGGAGAGAGGGAAGAAGGGTGTGTTTTCGGACGGACGACAAAATCCGGCACCCGAGCGCGTCATGTTGAGCTATGTCGCGCGCGGGAGCTCGGTGATGGGAAGAAAGGTGGTGGTGGTTCGGGGACCGCTGGGAGCCAGGGTGTGAGGAACGATGCAAACGATGGTGATGAGCATTAGCGAAGCGCGGCGATGACGGCTCAAGAGAAAAAAAAAAAAAAAGAGACACGAGAGGAACACCGGCATTCCACTTTCGATCCTCTTTTCGTTTGCACTTCCTACCTACTCCCCCGCTCCCTCATCCCGAGTGATATCGTACCCAGCCCCCAGGCTCCACCGATGCAATGCAGAAGCAACAAAAAAGAGAAAACAATCTGGTGCAATCCCATCCTACCATGGTCCCCAACTGTGCATGCGCCGAAACGCCATCAACCCTAACCCCTAGCTCCACTCCTGTCGGAGAAGCCCCAGCTCCATATAATGCCATGCTAGCTAACATATTCGAATCCAGCCTATGAAAATAGTTTGAGTCAACAAAGGAAACAAGATATTGAGGGACGAGCCCGGTTTCGATAAGAGGAGACTATGAGTCCAGAAATTGTTGCTCCAGAATGAAAAGTAGTGGGTATATCGGTGTGCCGTATTCCTTATTTTTCGACCGGGCGATGTACTACGGACAGCTCCAAGAAATTGGTATCGCTTAGATCTTTCTTCGAATGGTGAGACCGCGCGAGACTTGCGTCGCAGCCGGAAGCGCTTCGGCAAAGCGATCACGCGCTAGGACACTGTTAGCTAGATATTCCCCATCTCCCAGCCTACAACACTTACTCTCCGCGCTGTCAAACGCAATGACAATATCATCATGCTCGCCCGGATACTCGATCTGATCCAGGCACACAAACTTTCTTTTCATGCCTGCCCAGCCTGTGAGCCTGCCCTCCTCCTTCTGCATCTTGCCTTCGCCTCTCCGCTCGTCAACCGGCAGAGCAAACTTGCAGTCCACCAGCCTGACGCACGCTTTCCCGCCCTTGTCGGTCTTCTCAAACACGTCCATCGGGCGGAGCTGGAAGTTCATGGCGTCGGCGTGAGAGAACTCCTCGAAGAAAGCGAGGAGCTGGACGATGTTGTCTTGTTCTACAATCTGGATGCGGATGGTGTTGGCGGTCCATTGCTTGTAGATCGGGACCACCATGCGGCGACGGGAGATGGAGAAGGTGGAGGCGATGCTGTGAGGGTCGGTAAGCAAAGCCCCTAACGAGTAAGGAGAAATAGGAGAATGGCAGAGAGATGAAGTTGAGAGGGGATCTTACCCGTCAAATCTGACGCGAAAGCCGGTAACAGCGAGTTGGAAAGCATGAAGATCCTTGAACGAATTGAACGTCAGGCGTCTGATAGTCGAAGCATTTGTGAGCGTCCTAAGTAGTTCGGCTAGCGCGTCTGGAATGTCTTTGCCTATGCGCGAACCATCAATAGCAATAGACATGTCGTGCTGTGGATTACGGAGGAGTGTGAGTTCTGCTGCGCCATCGATCGGCAGACGAACGAGGAGTTCACCCGGGCCTGCCTAGGTTAGTATGTATTTGCGCAGTTATAGAAGCTTGCCTACCCAAGTTCATCCGATCCGAAATAACGCCAGCAGTATGTCTACACAGAATTCTCAGGCTCTCGCTCATAACGGTCGGCGCCGACTCTAGACCGGCTGCTTCTGGATCCTGGTTCATCGTCTTCGCTTCCTGCCACTGCAGCCTCTTGAGAACGTCATGGCCACTCTGGCTGAACCCCTCTGCCTGATCCGCACTTTCAATGCTGAAAGCCTTCAAGGGAACCTGCGCGAAGACCGCCTCATCTGAAGCAATGTTCATCGAGGTGAGGGTTCCAAAAAGGTGATTCCTATCCTTGTTGTCATTGAAGACGAGATGCATAGTGCAAAGCTTCTGCTTCTTCTCCGGTGTCTCTTCCTTGAACCGGAGCGTCATACTCGGGGCTTGATCCGGTTCAGTACCGTACTCGAAGTTCATGGGCTCGTTCTTCGTCCCCAGCTCGTGATTGACGTAGCTCACGGTCCGGTTTTTCGGATGCGTAACCATGACTATTCTGTAGCCGCGATGCAGCTTCCTCTTGCCCGTGCCCTCGCTGCTCAGTTCAAACTTTTCAAAGACGTATAGCTTGCAACCCGGAACGCGCGTCGGAGGGAAAGCACCGCTATTGGCCGAATCCTTATACCCGGCTTCGCGGAGCGTCAATCTAGTAGCATATCGCTCGCCGCTTCGTTCTCGAAGATGGCTCTCGACTCTGTTCGTGTGATCTACGATGTTCCAAAGGGTGCGGAAGTCGGGCTCGGTGAGGTCCGCATTGAGGGTGAATCCGTGACGCAATTCAATGCTAAAACCTCTGGACTTGGTCTTCCAGTGCACATCCCTCCACGTCGGGCCTATATCTGGAGTTGAGCCCACCATGAGATTGACAAGGTCGTGCTGGGTGCAGATCGCGAGCCTGACTTTGAAGTCCTCCCGGGAGCGAAGTATCGAGATCACGGCGGGTAGTGGCACGCGGTCCGTATCCGGATCATCCGTCGATACAGAAACCTGAACGAACATTCTGAAATAACAGAAGTCGGTCTTAGTATCGCCAACGGGAATGAAGTTTGCTGCATTGATCTGCTGCACGGATTTCGATGCAGGGCCCGAAAGGACACTCTTTGCTTCCGGGCGGAATTTCGGATACTCTTCCCATATCTTCTGGTCTTGGCCCTGAATGAGCGCTTGGGTGGGAGGCATACTCTGATGTCTCTTCATCGAACCGAGCAACATCTTTAACGATGAGAGAACAGCATCGTGAACCTCATACACTTCCGCACTAGCAAGGTCTCCTGCATCTCTTGCTGCTCTCGCCTGTGTTTCCATCCGTTGATCACCATATCTTCTTAGACCAGGATGTTTCTGGACAACTTCAGAGAGGATCCACCAGGTCTTCGCAAGATCGACGTGAGGCTGGGTGAGCCGTTCCATTTGAGGCGCTGCGTCCTGCGATCGGCTCCTGATCAAAGCTTCCATCCCGGTGCGCCCTTTCAGAAACCACCAAATAGCGACTCGTAGCCATTCCATCGGTGTGCGGTCGAATATCTGGCCAGGCAACTGCGCCATGAGTTGAAACACCCCCCGCATATGTTCGACTCGCTCGCCAAAGTCTGTATACGCCATATCCGCTTGGACCTTCGTATCCGAGCGAGCAAGAGAAGCAGGGCCGGCGGATTCTTGTCGGGGCCTTGTCGGCACTTTGTTGCTATGAGGAGCGGCGGGCGCGCTCACGCCTTTAACATGTGGAGGAGGTGGTGGGGGCACAGTCTGCGGAGGGGAGATGAATTCGCGTCGCTCGAACTGAGGCGGTGTTGGCAGTATGGAGCTCTGGCTATCCGTTGAAGCTGAAAATGGCGCCTTCTCTGCTGTGGCAGGTGTCTGCTGAACGGAGCCGGTGGTAGCTGCTGACTGTGGCTCTACTGTCCCGGTAGGCGATCGCCGAGTCCGGGAGGCTGCGGAGGGCATGGTATACTGAGAAGAGGATGACGAGGGTGGCCGCGGATCAGTGTCCAAAGGATAGGTTCCCGGGGGCATTGGAGGTCTTCCAGGTGATGGTCCACGAGCTCTCGAGCGATGAGGATCTTCCGCACCTAGGCCATGTTGCGGGGAGGTGGATGGTGGAGGTGGCTCGCGGGAGGGTATTCGTGGCGGGGTCTTGCCAATTAGACTGCTGGGAGCTGACGGGGGGGTTCCTACTTGGAAAGCACTCGACTGCATTGAGCCGGGCTGGAAAGAGCTAGAGCTGGATGCTGAATCTGGCCTCGACTCGTCCGCTGCCCTTCGAGCAGCCTCGTGCAGCGCTTTCCCTTCTTCGGACCTCATCCTGTGCATGACTCTCGCGGAAAACGACTCTGGATCCGTTGGTTCGCTCTGCAGGAAGCGCTCCGCAAGCATTGCCTTCATATGCAGAGGCGAATCATCTTCGGCCAATTCTACTTCTGGCAACTGCGGGACCGCTGGCCTTACAGGCGCCGGCTCTTCGTCCGAGTCGCCTGTATGCTCGCTCCATCCGGTCTGCGATCGCTTGAGCGATTTCGGCTGGAAATCTTCCTCCTCTTCCTGCATCGGTGCCAGACTTGGCGCCTTCATTGAGGTGACAGGCGATAGGTTATCCGACTCGTACGAGTATGTAGAGTCCATGCTCGGTCTTGCGGGAGTATCGTCCTGCACGTCGAAGCCGGTGGGCGCTCGCTGGAGGACCCGAGGTCGCTCGCCCAGGCCCATCGGACCCAGTCGCTGCGGGGGCGGCAGTGGTGGGCTTGCATGGGTGTTGATGCTTCCCACTTCCAATTTTTGTCGCAGCGGCGACGAAATCTCCCCGCCCGAGGTCAAAGTCCTTGTGACGATGCCCCTCTGCGCGGCTTGCTGATTCGTGCTGGTAGTCATGCCGTTGAACTTGGGGCTGCGGGTGCCCAGGTTCATGTCGTCCTGGTACGATTGTGAGCCCAGCTTGTCCAGGTCCGACATGCTGTTCGACTTCTTCCGCCTGTAGACCTCAATGGACGGCTCCTCGCACTCGTCGCCGCCCTCGCCGATCACGATGGGCTGCGTGCGCACGAAGCTCACGGTGAGGCCCTTCTTTCTGCCATTGCCCGTCTTCAGGCCGCCAATGCCCGGGCTCTTGCCCGCTGCGCTGTTCAATATGTCGCTCGCGCCGGGCCACCGCTGGGCCTTGGCGACGTCGATGCGGGGCTTGTTCGCGTTCGCGAGGAAGGCTGCGGCGGCATCGTGCTGGCGCGCCTGGGCTTTGTCGGTCGAGGGCTTGAGGAAGTCGTTCACGTCGTCGTCGAGCTTGAACGAGCCCTGCTTCGCCGGCTTCGTGTCTTTCGGCGGCGCATCGTCGTCCTTTTTGAATACCTTGGCCCGCCAGCGGTTCATGGAGGCAGGAGCAACGGGCGCGGACGGTGAATAGAACGGGTTGGGGGCGGATTCGGCGTGGATGCTCGCGGCAATGTGGCACGCGAGCGTGGTGGTCTACACGGTACGAGTATCGGCGGCGGAGGCGGAGGCGGAGGCGGAGGTGAAGCGGACAGCGCGCACATGAAACCGCAATGCGCAGATCCAATGGCCAACAATCATGGGCGGCCGGCGCGCAGTAATAATGCCGGGCGCTGGAGGAGACAGGAGAGGAGACGGGCGAGGAGACAGGACCACTGGACCAGCCGTTATCGCGGACGGAGGCTCTCAGTAGTGCAACCCTGAGTACTGAATGCAGGCGGAGCGGAGCCCAAATTGCGACCAGCTAGTGCGCTTGTGGCAGTCTGGCAGGGAACCGCGTATCGCAATCAAGGCGAGGCTGAGATTCTAGACCAGAATGCAGCTGGGGAAGCGTTCAAACGAGTAGTGTCTTGGGCTGGAGCCAGCTCCCGTGCATCTTTTGTCTACGTTTACTGCGCCGTCAAATGGCGTTTGTGTCGCGCGCCCGCCTTTCTTCCCTGCTGCCACCACCGGCCAACAACCCCCCATGCCCCCCTCCCCAGCTTCGTCATACCTTCGTCCCAAGCAGCTACTCTTCGCCGTCCACCGTCAACACTCGATCAAAACACTGGCCGCTCTCGAGCAACGAATGCCGCCGTGCAACGTAGCCATTTGTTTCATCCTCCCCGATGACTAAGGGGTCTAAAAATATGGAGAAGGGTCTTCCCGCGCAGTAGTGAGAGTAGTCTTGCCAGCCGCGGCTCCAGATCCATGCGCGCCCCACGCCCGTCGTCGCCGCCTGAGGCTATGACGTGCCTGCTGGTCCCCTCCAGGGCTCTCTCTACAGCTCTCAGTCTCGCTGTCCCAGAAGTTCACCAACGAAGAACTACTGCCGCTTGAAGAACAGACAAAAGAAGAATCTGAGATAAGAGGGCCCTTCCAGACGGGGACGCCGCCCCCAGCGCTCTGCTAAGCGATCCGCGAACCGCTCATTGCCAAGCAACGCTCCGCCGTATCAGACTGGCGATAGCACGGTCCAGCCAGCCTCGAGCCTAAACGAATGCAACTCGACGCGGAGGGCAACAATATATGCCGACTCGGGTCCCCCTGCCCCGCGAGGCGTTCTCTCGTTTGCCTCGTGGGAAGAGAATGCGCCTGAGGCATTCGAAGAACGGCTTTGTCGCCTGGAGAACTGCGGATCGAAGAGCATAAATTGGAGGAGAGCGATGTGCGGCTAGAAGGTTTCGGGAATCGTCCCCATCGCGGAGGGCGGGCGATCACCAATATGATTGGTCGGCTTCTCTGTCGGCTAAGGGTCGAGGTGAGCTGACCATATCCTCACCCGCTGAAGTGAGGGACGAATCTGCACAGTCGTGAAGGGAATCTCTCAGCTTGATGGCCACTACTGAATCTTCAAAGAAGCACCTGAGAAGGTATGAGAGCTCTGATTCCGCTTCCGACAGAGGTGTCCCCGAAATAGCAGAATCGCAAAAGGCAAAGCGCCTGGAAAGGTCCACGGAAGCCCTCGAGAGCCAGGATAAAAGGCCTCGACGAAGGGAGAATTCCAGAGGACGGGTAATCCGCCTCTTCCCTGGCATGCCACGTGGAGTGAGCGTCACGCCTGACGGCGAGCCGACATGGTTGATTCATCGGAACTAAGGGAGACTTAACATCTGTTTGTGAGGGCAGGCGTGAACGCATCTAGGTTCACGGTCCCCTCCGTACAATGGAAGCGGGCCGCGGTCAATAGAGCTGCATATCAAAACACTTCACAAGCCCACTTCGCGCAACAGGAGCTATGCATTTTCGAATAGGATACCAGAGGTGAATGTCACCTCAAAAGCAATTCCATCGCTCCCCGGACATCGTTCAAGACATTCGGTCCGCAGTCCGCAGTAGTCTCCGTGTAACCGTGGAGTGAGATGTCAGCCCGTTGAATCGGCTCGAGCATACCGTCCAGTCCAAGCTTATGTGGTGACCTGTCTCTCCTCACGCCTCAACGTAGCTCGAGTCAGCCTTGCACTACACTCTGAGTTGTCTCTTGTACTACTGTACATCTCCAAAGCACATCAGAGCTCCGCCACTGCGGCTGAACTCCAATCGAACAGTCTCATTCGGCCTCAGCGATCGGCGGCGATCCGAGGATGAGGCAAAGCGCCGCCGCTGTGGTCCAATGCCCGAGATGTGCTCCTACAGGCGGCCAAAGTCCTCCAAATTCGGGCCGAGGCGCGAATAGAGGAGTACAGTAAAGCACATGATCACAAACGAATGCGTGCTCGTCACAGTCGTGCGTGCAGCGAAAAGAGGGGTTCTCTGCGAGAAGAGGGACGCTGCAGGTGCGGACGAGGAAGGACTGGAGCAGGAAAAGCATCGAAGATGGCGCGGCATCGTGATTGGCTGCGGCGTCGACGAATAATGACGAAACTGGCCGCGAACCTGATCCCAGCCCCAGCCCGCCCTCCCGCGTCTCCTCACATCCGCTCTATCACCGTGCAGACCACTCCCGATCGTGCGCGGTATTCGAGCATATACGGCCCAGCAAGTGCTGAACTATTGTCGCGGCGACACCAGCGACGCATCGGACGGCCAGCTGCCCGCCAGCCAATCCCGTCGATTGCGCAAGCGACCTGCTCTACTTTGGAAAGCGGCGCACCCAACCACCTCCAGCTCCGTGAGAGATACCGCCCGGTCACAAGACTGCGGGGAGCCACCATCAATCACACCGAACGCCTGCACCCTCAGCGCGACGACGACCATCTATTCTTCCGCTCACTATCTATCGCGACATCGACCGTGAAGCCTGCTTCGGCCCGCTGAAGGCTGCCTGCGTCACCGTCTGTTGCGCAGCATCGCCGGAAAGCTACATACAACCTCGAAGACGCGGCCAGACCGAACCATCAATTCCGCCATCGCATGAATCAGCCTCCTGCGGTTCCGCGCTCGTAGGGGATGGCGCGCTAAAGACATCACCAGAGAGAGAGCCCAGCCTATTGCGATCAGAGGACCGGCGACGATAGAGGAGGATCACGCTGAGGCACGACTCGAGAGTTTGCTCGCACGCTCACAAGCATGCCCGGACCACGGCGCGACGCATACGCTTTGCTCGAGTCGTCATTCCAAGCGTCCCCCAACCTGCGATCTCACAAAGCACTCCCGCGCCGACGAGACGACTCTGGCAGCTTTCATCCCGCTGCAGAGCCGCTCAAGGACGCCATATCGTATCCCGACGATGAAACCGAGCCGCAAATCAGCACCCACCATCGCTCGCCGCTCGCATCATCGGGTGCTCCGACCGGAGCAGATACAGGTCTGCCGCCCACTCCCCCTTCGAACTCGCAAGACGGCATACATCCAACAGAGTACAACCCACCGCCACATGCCGACGGCCTAGTCGCATCGTTGGCGTCGAAGAAGTCGACCGTACGGACCCCTGTCAACCAGCGCAGTCCTCCCACACCCGATCCGAGTCCGCCGCGGACTACCGAATCCATGAGCACGCCCGAGCGCCCACCCCTGTTCGCATACCCGTCGTCGAGAGCGGAATCATTCACGACTGCAAGAGAAGACCTTTCCACGGAGGGAGATAGTCGATCGGCTACACCATTGGGACATCGGCTGAGCACCGTGGAGGAGGACCGAGGACTGGGTCTCGCATTTGAGAGGGATGATAATGACCCGACGCCGACGAACAGGATAGAGACTACATATCCAGAGAATCATGCGACCACGAGTGAGCAGGCGGGAGACAAGGATGCCCTGGATGTGGAGGATATACCGAATAGGGAATGGGATACAAATTTGATGCGGAATGTCACAGTTCGCAGGAAACGAAGCCCGAAACCTTCCCCACAGAAGAATCTGGATTCCATAGATACCTCATCCCAAGCAACCCGGTCAACACGGCGCCGAAGTAACAGCCTGCGCGAGCGCATAGACGCGAGCAAAAACAGCCCGCAGACGCCGTCCATGGAGGATTTCGCGAAATCAATTGGTTGGCCGACCGAGCCCAAGGACATCCCCGACGGCAAGCCGAATGATGCCAACGATAGACGTCTCTCCGGGTCGTCCATGTCTTCAACGGTTGTGGAAGCCATGGTTATCGTGACGCCTCCGCAGAAGCGACGGACGCTTCGCCATTCCGGAAAGAATTTGGCTTTTAGGAGGGATACTGATTCGCCAACGGAATTTGGTTCAGTAACCTATTCCAACCGCAACTCGATGCACTCGGACGATGTTCCGCTTCACAAGTTGGTCCACAAGAGAGCGAGCATCAGCGAAAGGAAGAAGAGGGCTAGCACGGATTCCGACACTCTAGGGGATAGGACCGCTTCTCCGCTATCAGTCCGAAAGCGAAGCCAAGACAGTGCAGCGTTCACGCTTGCTCATCAAGAATCCGTGAGGCGAGTGCTACAACCCGCCGCGGAGATCATGAGCAGATCCAATTCAGTGGCGCGACCTACTGCGCCGGAGAGGAGCTACCACAAACGCATCTCTTCCGCGCCCGAACCTACAAGAAGACGGGAAGCTTCTCCTACTCCGCAGACGTTCCTTGAAGCTTCTCCGCCAGATAGTCCGAGCCCAAGAAGACCGAGAAACGCCCCAACGAAGCTACGCTACGTCGAGCGGACTTCATCTCCTACTCCCGCGGACGCGCCTCAGGAAGCGTCGCAGAGCTCGCCGAAATCACCGAAAGTGCTCTCACCAATACGGAGATTTACCGAGCCAATGAGTCCAATCAATCTGAACAAGTCCCTCCCCGAGCTTCCTATGGAACTTCCCATCCAAACAACGAATGAGTTGGCACCGCAGGAGGATGGCAAGGATCAGGTCATCGGGACAGATCCGGAGCACCGACCTCCTTCTCCCCTTCTCGAACGGGTGCGAAATCTGCTTGCCGAACGTGAAGCCGCGGAAGCGCCGCAACAAGCTGGTGCTGAGCCTCGTCAACCAACAGAGTCGTCAAGACCGCGTGCTTCTTCGGCAGAGTCGGTACCAACGATTCGTCGAGGTTCTGTTTCGACACGCGGGCGGTCGGAGGAGAGGAGACGAAGCTCCCACAGTCAGGATCGTAGTTCGACCTCACCCCAGACTCTTCCTCGCTTTAGCTTGGACCGCGCGCCCACAGAAGAGATTCCGCGTACCAGCCATGAATGGCACTCTTTCCACACGGATGAGCACGGGCGCTTAAGCTTCGACAGGTCGACCTCAAGAGCAGAGGAACATGCCATGGCGCGACATCTTTTCGCGCAGACGACGCCGTTCTCACAATTCTCACAATTATCAGACACGCCAATCGAGGTCAGCGAGGCAACGGCAGTCAGCATCTATCCGCACAACAACCACTCCCTGCTTGTAGTACAGCAAGTTGCAAGGCCTCCACAAGCTCCGGAGCAGCGACAGGTTGCGAATGAGCCTCACTTTACATCATCTCATTTCCAAGAATCAGATGCGCTGCCAACACCACCATTCGTCGACGCGCGCGAGGACCCACATGATCAATTGCCAAAGCCGACGCTGACGTTCGAGCCGTCTACGCCTCCAATGCAAATTGCACTTCCCAATCCCAATGTAGTCGACTCACCTCTCAAGAACCCGCGGAAACCGCCCGAACCGCCAGTCGTTCAGCTCATCCCGCCGACACCAATGGAAGAACTAGAGCGCCAGCTCCCGCCCGGTCCGCCGAAGCGCTCGGATTCGCACCCCCAACGTCGGTTGTCACTGAAGCAACGGGCGCGCCGCTACTCTGACAACTTGATAACGCCGTTCCTCGCACGCGCAACCAGCATACGCGGTCGACATGCCAGTAATTCGCACGCCGAACCCAAAAGCCCTCGCATACCCACAGTGAATGACGAGGATGGCAGCCTGCATCCGTTTTGGCGGCCTCGTGGTTTCTGGGATGGATTCGAGGACAGTGAGTCGGATGAAGAGGATGATGCTATCCTGCCCCAGGGCGGCGATACAAGCGATGTGGCAGAGCCGGAGCCCGAACCGCACAGCCCGCGCAAACTGGGTGTATTAGGAAGAAGACTTACGAATGGATTCAAAGGCTCTGGCGGCTTCTTGATCGGGAACTCCCTCGGTGTCGAACGCTCCGGTACGAACCGCCGTCGCCACCACGTCGAACTACCCGTGCACTCCCGCCGCACCTCCAAATCTACCACCCGTACCAACGCCAGCGCACCGAAGGTCCTCATCCAGCCGCCCACCTTACCGATTCGCACTCGCTCTCCACGCATCGAGCAACGAGGTAGCGGAACCAGCATGCGCAGCTCTGGCTCTTACGAGCGTGGCGTCAGGAAAAGAGGGAGATGGAGGGATGGGAAGAGGATTCCGGGCTTCAAGGGCGTGCAGGTTCAATACATCGGGCTCAGCGGGGTCAAGGAGCGATTCCGAGAGAAGAAGGCGGAGAAGAGGAGAGAGGAGATTAGGAAGAGCATCGGGAGTAGGTACTATGTGGAGCCTGCCTCGCCGGGTGTAGGTGGAAGTGCGACGTAAACACGGTCCGAACGGAGACGACTTCCCTTCGAGTTTCAGCAGCAATGAGCAGGAGAAAATTTTCGCCGAAGGTTCGAGATTTCAACGGTTTTTCGCATTTCTCAGGTGTTTCCAGCTTTGGTTCTGGACAGGATCGGGCTAACTGCGGTTTCCCTTCTTCCTCTTTTTTTTTGCCTCTCATCGTCCTCTTGCGGAGATTTATAGCTGTTCTTGACGAACGAACGGGTCGAACGTGTGGCACTACGATTTTACGGCTGGTACCCCTTTTTTCACGTATACCACGACTTTCTCTTCGCTTAGTTTCCGCGATGTTGTCGGATTTCTTGGGGGTGATTTAACTTTTGGTTGTGTATATTATTCTGGGGAGTGAGGCGAGGTAGGGAGGAGTGGATGGATGGGGAGGTTGACGAGGGCAACTGGTGTGCCTTATGAATGAATTTAAATATGATGACGTTTTGACGAGTTTGTTCGACTACATTTTTTTTTAATTTCTTTTTTTTGTGGATGGGCATGAGATGGGGCGGGCGTGACACAGGGTGCTAGTGAAGGATGGAGTTAATTCTGTTATTGGTGGCGGTGAGCACTTTCTCCTGGAATCTGACATCTGCGCAGAGTATATAAACCCGCCCTCCCCCATTCTCCTTTTTGCTTTCTTTCCCCACACAACCTCATTCGTCTTCTCCACTAGGGTCACTAAAAACAAGCAAGTGGCCGGGTATGGAGATTTGGGCTGCTCGTGCGTGAGAACGACTAAAGCCATGGGGGAAGGAGGATTGGGCGCGTGGACTAAAACTCTTGTCCAGACCCACCCATGGGGAGGAAGGTTGGGAGACTAAGATTGGTTGGAGATGTAGGCGTGGATGGATGGGTGGGGGTATTGGGGGAAACGCGGATGCTGGTGGTGGTGGTGGTGGTGGTAGTAGTGGTAAGCAATATCGCCTTTAAAAGCTAGCTAGCTGGTTGAAGCGTATGGTTAATAAGTAAAAGGACAGACTTTTCCGACGTCGTCTGGAGCCCTGTAAGCTTACGGAGGGGTATATATACCCCTCCATCCCTTCTCCTCTCCCCTCACTCCGTCCTCACAACCACGTCTCCAGCGGCGCTCCAGCTCTACTAAAAGCCGGTGGGCATCTACGGTATGGAGACCTCCACCGCGGGCGTGAGCAGCGTGGGACTAAAACCCGAAGACTGAGTTTTGATGGGGGAGGATTTAGGGTTAGGACTAAAGTTCTGTCTCCCCCGCGAAATGAAGGTGGAGATTGGCGAGTTGAGGAGCTGGGACTAAAATTACCGTTCCGGCTGCTCATGGAGAGGGTGTGGAGGGAATGGCTTTGGGGATGTCTGTTTGGATGGGGATGATGGTTGGAGTGTGCGTGGGAGTGGTGGGGAGTAACGGTGGTGGTGGTGGTGAGAAGCATCGTTGATGCGGATGCGGGCTGGGGGTTTGGTGGTATTGTGTGCCGCTGTGCGGAATGGCGTATATAAACACCCCTCTCCTCTCGCTCCTCTTGTGCTTCTTGCTTCACGCTTTCACGCAACCGCGTCTTTGGCAGCTCTACTAAAATAGCCAGGGGGGTTCTAATGGAGACTTGCTCTGCTCTGCTCCGTGTAGCAGGCAGTGCCGCTAAAACCTTCCAGAGCCAATCCACCCACCAGTATAAGCAAAGCGGACTATCCACACGGGTAGTCCTAAAACACCTACCGAGGGCCCCTCATGAAGCAGATTGGCAACTTGGAACAGGTGTGCATAAGCTGTGGCAGTGGTGCACTATGCGTACACCTAGCGAGACACGACACGCACAAGGCATCGGCCTTGCAGCGACGTACATCCGAGCTCTCGTCGCACGGCGACGAGGTATATAAAACCCGAGTCCCGCCGCTGTTTCTCTTCTTCACTGATCTTCTCCGGCTCTGGCGGGTTTACTAAAAGCAGCGGGCGATGGACACATGGGTGTCGTTCTTTTTTTCGGGCGAGACTAGAAGAACAGTACGAGGCTTGGCATGGGGAGAGCGTGTCTGGTGTGAGAAGCGGAAGGGAAGCGAAGAGAAGAGAGTCTGAGGTAAGGCAAGGCTGCACCGGCGTGCGTGCGGTTGTGGATAAATAGCGATGCGCAGTACCACCATCGCAGAAGAGACAGTTTATCCTCGCACGTCGTGAAGTATAGTTCGCAGCCACCCTCGAATCACTTTGTGGGTGGTGGAATAGGGCATATAATCCTCCCCTCCCTGCGCTCTTTTGCTGTTCTTTACACTTCCGCTTCTCCGTCGGCATTACTAAAACTCCCAGAAGAGCTAATGGATGGAGCGACTTTGCCGTGGGGGCGAGGATGGAACTAAAGGGACCTCAAGAGTCTTCTCATGGAGAGAGAGTGAGCCCGCCTGGGACTGAAATGCCTGGGTGGCGCGGAGGATGGAAGGAGCTAAGGCGGTAGGAGAAGGAGTCCTGATCCAGTGTGAGGTGTTGGATGGGTAGTGATGGCCCACAGCATGTTTTATTGCAGGCGGCCGAATTGCATACTTCAGGAAGGAGAACCCGCGGCGGTGTGAGGTAGCGGCGCGAAAGGGTATATAAATCCCTTTCGCTTGAGCTCTGTGCTGCTTCTCTTCTTCACACTTCTGTGTCCTCAATGCGTAGACTAAAGGAGATATCATCTACACACATGAGGATCATCATCTAGGTGGGGATTGAGATAGGACTGAAACCACCTCGCGAACAAACATGTGGAGAGAGTGCCTTTAGCTCCTAGAATAAAGTGGAAGGGGGATGAGGAGACCTTAGGTCGGTGCATGTGTGCGTATAGTGCGCTGAGGGAGATGGTGAGAATCAGCACCTCCTCCTGCTTTTCCCGTTGCGCAAAGATGCCAACCAGGCACCGCGCCGTCTGAAGCACTTCGAATCCAAGACAAAGGTATACAAGCACTCCTTCTCTTCCCTATTTTACTTGTCTCGCGCACTTAGCCTTGCGGTGGCATTGCTAAATCCCACGAGGAAGTTGCGAATGGAGAGTGGATTTGCGGCCGTGGCGGCAGTGATAATTAAAATCAATTGGCGGTCAATACATGGGAGAGCATTCGATACCTAGGACAAAAAGCACTTATCTTCCACACATGGGGAGACCAGTCCGGAAGGCCAGTCGCTGAAGGAGTGAGAATGTTCTTCGCCAAGTGGTATATTTCTGCTATGTTTGTGGTGCACTGAGATAGTGACGGTGGTCGGCATCAACTTCCCATACCACGTTTCTTCAGCCAAAGGCCGTTCTTCATCCAACCATCCTTTCTAAATGGTCCGACGCCTTCGAAGCGCAGGGAAGGTATATAAACCCTCCCTTTGTATTCTTCTTTCTCTCGTCGCACACTTCTATTCTAGTATTCACCAAAATCCTAAGAGGCAAGTCGATATGGGGCCGCCCTCCGCGGCACCGCGGTGTGTCCAAAAGACGAGCGGCTTCGCCACGATGGGGAGACCGTAGGAGAGCGAGATAACTAAGAATTGCGGCAGTCATGCATCATGGTGGAGGGGTGACAGAGAAAAAAGGTTCGAGATTCAGTGAGTGGTAGGTGTAGTTAAGAAGCCCGATTCACGCTGGTGATGCTCAACATTACGATCCATCCCTCAATCCCTGGGGAGCGCCACGGATCATGGACTGAGTACCGACGTCATCTGAAGGGCTTGCCGATCAGACGAGAGTACATGAAAGGCCCCCTTCCTTCCTATTTCCGTTTCTTCTTCACACACACAGATGTCTCGGGGTTTCTACTAAAACGGGTGCTGACATGCCCCATGGTGAGCGTCCTCTGTGGGGCCGAGCCACAGCGACTAAAAGGGATGGGCCACGCGTTGTATGTAGAGAAGATTTCGGAGTCTGGAGGCCAGAAACATCGTCTGGCCCACAGCATGGTTTCGCCAACGGCGATCGATACCATCACTGCTGCTACTCTCAATTCAACGGGAACGTCGTCCTCGTTTTCGGAAGTTATGCTCGTGTTCTCCGTCCGATGAGCCTTGAAGCTAGAGGAAAAGTATATAAATACTCTCTCCTTCCGCGCTTTCTTGTTTCCCTCGCACAACCACAACTCGCAGTGTTCACTAAAAGCATCGCGACCGCACTTGCATGGAGGAGTGCCGTGGCTGCGAGCCGGAGCAACTAAAAAACCAAGCTTCGTCCATCTATGGAAACCCTCTTAGAGGCTGGCGATTAAAAGCTTCATCGACATCCGCTACTGGTGGGGTGCCCATAGGACTACCCGCTTAGCGGATGGTAAAAGGATCGAGAAACAGAGACGTTGATGAGCATGAATGTAATGATAGTGACATCGGTCATCATTTGCGTCTTCGTCACTGGCGGAAATATGAAGGAGTTTGGTGATCTGAAGAAGCTCCACACAGCCTGAAAAACTATATTTATAGTGCGTGTTATAATCATAATCACCTTCCCGAAAGCCATCCAGGAAGAGCCTCAAAGACCGCGACACCTTCTCTGCCCACCATCTTGCCGCAGCGCAGGGGGCAATGCAACCAGGAGAGGAAGAGGAGCTTCCAAAAGAATAAGGGCGGCTTGCGGTCATTCCCGCGTCGAGGGGCATAGAGTAGAGGTGGTGATAGTTATCTTCACCAGCAGGGAATCCGCCGGGGCCCAAGTGGATATGGTGGCACAATGTTGAGCTTCTTTTCTCCACGCCCCTACCAGCATTTCCGAAAACCAAGTTCCTACAACCCGCACGTGCACAAACCCATTATGAGCTGCAGCACACTACTAAAAGTCGTAGAAATTCTTTTCAGCTGCCCACTGCGTCGGGGGTTTATACCCGCTGTCTCGCGCCGGTTCCAGCGAATACGTAGCATTCTCATCCCTATAGGTGAACCGCCGGCGAAAAGTAGCGACGTCCTTTTTCGAATGCTTGCTCGGACCATTCCGCCGCTCACCTCTCCACAGCAGCTCCACAGCAGCTCCACACTCACGGAGCGCCTCAATCCGCCTGGGTTCAACGGTCTGCTTGAAGAAATCGTACTCCCGCACTGTCGTAGGCTCCCAGAAGAGCGCGAAATTCGCGCTAGACGTTGTGCTCACCCAGCGTTGGCATAGATCGTATAGTTTGCCCATGCGTAGGCCGCTTGGAAACTCTAGGATCTTGAACATCCAGGTAGTGTCGTCACCAAGGCTACCACGTTCGTATTCGGACGTCCAGCAGCCCAGTCTCTCGATCGGTATTTGGGTCAACAGCATGCGGCGCCAAGTCGCCCCAGGAAACATAAAGGCCTTCGATGAGGACGTTCTGCACATATCCGAGTCGAAAAAGACTTGATCGCAGCCGATCGGGTTGTGGTAGAAACAAGCAGGGGAGGCTTCCACCAGCAACGGGTTAGGCACTCGGTGTCCGTTTCGCTGTTGCTCGGGTTCAAGATACAGAAGGCGCTGGAGCAATGGTGAACCAGTGACAGTAGCACGCCAACGTCGACTGACGCGTTGAGCGGAGGTGAGGAGAGTTCGCAGGTCTAGGTTGGAGAGAATGTTCTCGAGAAGTTCCGGGACGTTGAAGACGGATGCGGCTGCAGCATATCCAAGCGCACGCTGCTGCAGGCGTGCTGACTTCATTGTGGGAGGTTTATTGTGGGAGGTTTGATGAGGGAGAGACGTGTGTCGGGGGAAGGAAATGGGAGGTTGGGAACTGACCGCTCAGCGATGACGCCGCTTGGCAACCAACAGCCGAGGGGTGTGCTGAATGAGGCATAGCTTGCGTAGGACCTGCTACGCTAAGTGTCATCTTAGACTTGGCGGAACATCGACATCCTCGTGAGCCTCAATCCTTTGTCTTCCCCTCTCCTCACGAATACACTTGCCGTGTAGCCTTCCGTTCAGTCTCATGGATACTCGGCCGATTTTGCTTCCTAGAGCTACCTCAAAGACGTCCTGCATCTCCCGGTGTCGGTTGAGGTAAAGTTAAAGCAGCATCACGTAGAGCGCGTCTAGAGAACGAGGGCAGCGACGACGAGGGCTACGGATTATCACAAGAACCTTTGGGAGATATTATTGGACGCTAACTAGAGGTATCAGGACTGGGCGCCGGAGGGATCTCGTCAAGGGAAGAGCATGTTACGGCGCTCTCTTCCACAACTACCATACCTTCGCACAACTACATTCTCGAGAAATGATATTGAACGTAGACGTGCAGGAAATCCAGCTCGACCAAACCAGATGCTCGTCCCATCCTCCAAATCGGTGCACTGTGCGCCGGACCCCGCGTTGGCGGACTGAGCACCGTGCCATAGGTACCACCCAGTCAACTCTTCCACCACAGCGCTACGCCTCCCGCAACACGGATCCAGCTCCCGAGTCGCGGATCTGCTAAGCCGCCAACATGGCCAGTAATGCCAGCACATCAGCAACCTCAGCCACCCCAACCACATCGGAAGCCGGTACCTCCCCAGTTATCCGAAATCGCGACGACCATCTATATTGGCCGCAGATAGCGACGAAAGATGAAATACCAGAGTGGCTTCGCGACAACGGCTACATCATCGGAGGGCATCCAATGCCGACGTATTCATACAAGCGCTCCTTTCGGCTCTGGCGTTGCCTACATATGGAAACGATGAATATCTGGACGCATCTCGTGGGTAGCGCAGCGTTTATAGCGACCGGAATCACCCTGTACAATTATGCCGTCTATTCAAAAGCACTCAGTTTGACCGCTGGCGACAAATTCGCATTCGGAATATCCATCACTTCCGCAGCCCTCTGCTTCGGTCTGAGTACCACATTCCATACTTTGAGGAGCCACTCATATCACGTCCACCATTTCTGGGGCCGCTTGGACATCTTCGGCATCGCCCTACTCGCTCTCGGAGGCGGGATGTCGGCGACGTATTACGCCTTCTTTTGCAGTCCCACGACCCAACGCATATATTGGTCCCTCAACGCATGTGCGGCCCTCGCCGCAGCTATCGTGCTCTTCGACACCGGCGGTGGAGGGAGTACGATGCGCACTCTCCGTGGCGGAGTGTTCGTCGGGCTTGCACTTACTGCGATGCTGCCTATATTCCATGGTATTGGGAAACTAGGCTGGGCGCAGGCGTGCAAGCAACTCGGCGCCCAGTGGTATCTTACCGAAGGATTAGTTCTTTTGTTTGGGGTTACCCTGTTCGTGGGGAGGTTGCCCGAGAGACTGAGTCCGGGGGCGTTTGATGTCTGGGGCCATTCGCATCAGATTCATCATATATGTGCCGTGGTTGCGATGGGGCTCCATGTTGTTGCGCTGGTGACGGGGTTTAGATATCGACAAGCACATCCTCGGTGTTAGCCCAGCACGTAATCTCCATCCATTTCGTATTATGTCAATTATTCATAATCTATATACATCGCAATTTGTACATATCTCAAATAAATGATGTTGTGACTTTTACACAATCCTGCTCAAGGGAAATCTTAATCTGTCATCGAAGCTCAAACCGGCCTGCGGATTTGCTATGTCCTACAAATGAATGTTCGGTTCGCAACGTGAAAGAACGCGGAGCATAGAAAGTGCGATAACCAGATAAAAGGCGGGGCAAGCGCTGCTAGCTCGATGAAGGGGCAGGAAATCGGAGAGCCTGGAGCGTTAGAATCTATGTGGGTTGGAGTGTCGCCATCTAGCCAGAAGTTACAACAGACTTGGGAAATGAAGCTATGGGACCTGTTGATCGTGTGGGGACCTCCGAGAACCCAAGAATTTGAGAGGCTGGCCATGGATATAGGAGATGGCCAAGAAATAGATGGATCGATGAGTAGGAATGCCATCCATCCTGGGGAAGAATGAGGGAGTCATCATTATTACATGATGAAGACCTGTGGCAAGTGACGACGTTTCTCCTCATCCTCATCGTCCGGTTCAAGAGAGAGCACGGTCTCATCCGATTCATAGCCGTCAGCGTCGTCGATACTCCGCAATTCATCTTGAGCCGTCAGCTTCATTGGAGGTGCTCCTGACAAGGAATTTGTGGCTGCCATCTCTGCTAGCCCTTCCACCGTCAGAGGCTCTGCACCCTCCTCTAATTCCGGAGACCCCAGAGAACCGGCACTGTCAGAATCTTCAGACTCGTCGGAATCGTGATCCGAGCCATCGTCATCGTCCTTGTTGATGCATGGGTCATATTCCTCTTCGCAACAAACGGCTTTGCTCGATCTGAGTATCGTGTCTTGTCTCCACCCCCATTTCTTCCTACAAGCGCAGTGCCAGCACACCGCCTTTGTCGGGTTTATAACCGTGCGATAGCCTTTCTGCACGGACACACAAGCTGCCGCAAGACGAGCTAGCCAATTGTCGTAAGCTCTGACAACGCCGATATTGGATTTTCCGAGGCCTTCAGGAACATCTAGTAGCTCCTCCCAGTTGTCCACAGATAGGAGTCGATGAGGTAGGTTGTGGTGGTTGGAACAGCCTGCGCATGAGACTTGATTGCGTCGAATAAGGTCATTGGACGGGTTGAACAAAGGGAGCACATCGATGTCGGCGACCCATCTATCGCGTTCATAGACCTGTACGAGCGTCTCAACCAGACTCAAATCCTTATCAATAGCACCTCGCTCCCCGATATTGAAGGCCATTTCAAATTCAGTGAACCTCAGATGGAGAGAGGTAGCCTTGAAACTGTCTTCCAATTTCCAATCGAAGGGCGCATGCGTTACTAATCGAAAGTCGTCTAGGCCTGCCTTGCGCAAGCGCGGCGCCTGCGGAGCGACCATCAGGATCATACCGGTTTTCCCCACATTACCAACCACGCGACTGATATCGTTGATGTGTTCTAGTGAAGCCGGATCGTCTAGGAGCAGTCTGGAGACAAATATGCTGTTCCGAGATGAGATGGCTATAACATCCTTCAGTTCTTCTGGACGTATATTGTAGGATCCGGACTCGAACATTGCTATGCAAGCAAGCTTCTGCTGGCGGGTAAGGGATCTAGCTTCAAAACTAGGCAACCAGCAGGCATTATGGAGCGGTGAAGATATCAATTGAAGACTGATTGTCGACCCTGGAAGTTCGACGTATGTCTTCGTTGCCAATGAGAGCGCATGTAACGATCGGAGATGGGGCCTGGTATTGAAAAGTTGGACGCCAATTTCCTTACGAAAGGAGGGAAGAGAAATAGGCCGACCCTGGTAGAGATACTCGAGATAGTCTACCAGCGATAGGGAATCGATCTGTCCTGCTTTCAACATTTGAGTGACCTCCAAGAGGGAGCTCGGGGCCTCTTTATGTGCAAGTTGAAGCGCTTGGCGGAATATCTGTTGCTCGGATCGCGCGCCTATATCAGTTCTGATATAAAGCCCCACGTCTTCCCGAGAGCCCGCTACCAGCACGAATGTTGGTCTAGTCATGCTATGGGTCGCGTAGAAGCATTCGCAAAGTTCGCGATTTAGCCCGGACTGTGAAGCTGAGTTGAGTCTGATAGCGCACGTGGAAGCGGCCTGATATTGACCACCGGTCTTTGACTGGATCAGCTTCGAGCGTTTGGCCTCAGGTTTGAATCCCCAGTCACGCAGCTTAGAAGCCTTTTCTGGAGGCAGAAATTCAAATAGAGGCGCATTGACGTAGCGAAAGGATTGTCCCCGGACCACGTTATCGCATCCGTACGCTTCGAGAGCCTCCGCCTCGCTAAAGGAGGGTCCCTTCCCCCTTTGACATCCTGGACATGCCTGACTCGTGATGTCTTCTCTGTGGCAGTCGTTGGAGCAAATGAAGCCCCGGCGTATGCAAGTACACCTGCCAGCATGGCAGGAGTGGCCAAACTCATGGCAATTACATGCTATTGGCTCAAGGGAATTCCATGTCGTCTCGACCCAATTGATGTGGTACATACGGGGTGGTTGCCCATCCGAGCCCCTCTTTACAACATGTCGTACCGCGGTCACGTAACCCGGGTATTCCTTTACGCTGATAATACACCGATCGTGGCGAAGTTCCAGCTTCCTTGCAATGAATCTCATCATTTCCACCTTCTCGTCGGTTCCGTGTCTCACGGAACGATTAATCAGATGGCGTATCCATGGGTAACACAGTCCCATCATCGGGGGTATTTTGTCGGCGCTGTTGGCTAAGAGCGCGCGCCCACGTCTGTGACCAAGAGCGATGATGCTTGAAGCGAGGCCTCTTTCTGTATCATTGAGGGCTAGAAAATCTCGGGAGGCGTTGCCGAGGAGCCTGATCCACCCAAACTCCCATTCCAAGCAGGATCTTTCATGAGTCTGTCGTGAAGTCTTTCGACGCTTATATCCATTGGTGACGCACTCGTCCAGTGCTGCAAAAAACTCTGCGGCATGAGCAAAATCGGAAGTAAAAAGGGCGCCCCAGTCCGAGATCATACTACCAAGAACAAGTAGATGAAACTCGCCAATGCTCAACCTAGACGCATCCCGTGTGGTGAAACTGGTAACTTTGACAGGTTCGCCGTAGAACTTGAGGTGGGCCAATGAAAGTGACCAGTACACCCCTTCGTCCTTGTCGGGATCAGGATTTCGAAGACCAATGGTCAACTGACCGCTGCCTTCAACGGCTGGATCGTTAAAGTCGATTGTGGTAATTTTCTCCCCAAGTACGAGAAGATTAGGATACAAATGCCAGGATGCAAGCCCGAGCAAAATGGATCCTTTTGAGATGCTTTCAGACTGTCCACTGAAGAGCTTCTCAAGAGCCTCTAAAGCTGTCTTCCAGGCCTCAGTGACGCGGGCATATGTCGAAACTGAGGAATTACCCTGGTTCACCGGGATGTTGACGTTGTTGATGATGAGCATCAGTTGCTTCTGGCGGCGAATTTGATTATCGTCGGCCACCTGGAGCCAAGCTCTAGTCGAAGCATCCCACTGAGCAAGATCGTTTCTGGAGAGGTCCTCCGATACGGCCAGCCCAAGTTGTACGGAACTATCGTAGAGGCCATCGCTTATCTGCTTCCTTAGCATTCTTCTCCTCTCCTCCACGATCTCGACCCATATTGATGTCGCTTGAGGACCTGACCAGGCTCGAGCAAGCATACAAGCCAGTAGGTGAACAGCAATGGCCGACATTCCAGAGGTCGCCGCGGCCCATACTGACGTTCCATCGACTCCTGCACACTGGGCGAAAACTCCGTGTCGTTGTGGAATGTCTTCATTGGTGCTCCCTTGCGATATTTCCGAAACTCTGGATCCATAGGCCCGGATCAGGTTGGGGCTCTTAGGTGCGGAATTCTCAAAAAGAGCCCCGAGACGCCGAGCCGTCCGATGCACAGAGCCCTCTTCGGCGACTTCCCGTCGTTGTTGCGTGAGTGACAGGCCGAGGCCCGCAAACTCTCGAGGTGGTTCGAGTTTAAGGAGCGAAAAGTCGATATTGAAGTTGACGAGAGCTAAGGTATTCTCGTTCGTGCCGGACACCAAAGAGTTGGATATACGGCTGATGGACATTGCGCGAAGGTCGTCAGAAGCGGGAGAGCTAGCTGCCGCGCTTATTGAACTTGATACAGAGAGGAAATATAGCGGCTCAGGCCATCAGGAAGGGAAGAAGGTTTTCTGAATTCTTAGCTTTAGCGGAGAGGGCTGAGGCTGAGAGATTACGCTGCCTTCCAATTTCGGCTGCACATAGCGTTTATTGGCTGAGATGTTGTCCTGTGTAGCTCTGGCGGGAGCTAGATTCACCGGTGCGGGGTAGACCGCTTCACTTCCAGGAAGGCCAACACACAAGTGCAACGACCTAGATAGATCCGGTGAGAGTATGCGCCAAGAAACTCGTGGCTGTTGGGAGAGAGAGGATGACAAAACAGCTAAGGAAGAGTGGTAGCAAGAAGGAATTTTCGAGCGGCATCGACTTGCTTTCTTATCAACATCAATTCCATCGAATACCCTTCAACCAGCCGATGTTGCATATTTTTGGAGACCATGGCGACGCTGCTGTTAGTTGTACTGCTTCTGTTTGGTGTTACTCCCGCCCAGAAATTGGGGTTTAACCACGATCTCCTCCTCAACCTTTCCCACCTCTGGAGCTTCTTTCACCTTTTCGCCTTGATAATCGGTCTGCCATTCGACTCCTACTGTGGACCCATCCTTATGCTGCCGCCAGGACTGGTCGAGATAACCATTGCCGACCCAGCATCTTCCTTTCTTTCACCGTCGTCGCCGTTGCCTTTTTCACTCAATCGTCCACGCCATGTAGTCACAGTCTACCAATGTCACCGTCATTGGGAACTATCTGAGCTCAAGTTCCCCGTCTCTACGACCATCCGTGCAGCGTATCCGACTGCAACAACTTTGAAACACGTCGCATCTCAAACAATTGATCCTTGCTTAATTTACCCGATTCGTCATGGTCATCGACTGCACCGTCTTCGTGCACCTCAGCTTAAACAGACAGGTTATTGATCTTCACAGTCAGGATCTGTGGGATGATTGCGCATCTTCTCGGCACTCTTCCTCAGGAGGAGCAACCGGAAGGCGTTGCGCAGCACCATCCGCTCACTCCTTTGCACTTCATGCGATCAGCGCCCATTCATGCAAGCCTCAGGCACCAAAATGATGCGACTTTCTCGCTCATGACGCTCTCGATCGATTCCTTCTTTCAATCCGTCATGCGTCTCGATCATTTCGACCCCGTTATCCCATCGGAGGTGGATGCCGGAATCTCGCGCACGCATGAGGTTGCCCTCAGCGACCCACTGTCCTCTTCATGCTTTTGGATTCCAAGGCATGAAGTATCTTGTTCACTCAATCAGCATGCTGATACCAATCTCAATAGTCTTACGAAGCCCTAGGAAGATGCCACCTCAGGTTTCCTTTCAGTGTACAAGCTTCGAGAAGGTACAGCGAAGCTTGCGAAACCCATCTTGAACACTGATATCCAAATCATCGCTCACTGAGCCACTGTTGCTCTGCGTATGTCACATACCGCCCAGAGCTGTTTATGCATAATCGTATAAGACCAACTGAGGGCCCTCGCGGGGACTCGCCCTCCTACCATCCATTTTTTCTTCCCTTCTCATTCACCCTCCCACCCTCCTCGGCCGATGGTGTCGCGCTTTGATCACTCTGACCCACCACGGATGAAAGTGATGAACAACCCGAGTTCAATGCGACCCATGCCTGGGTTCGACTCTCCCGTGGAGGCGGAGCGATGCGCCATGGCGGTGGAGATCATTCGGACGGCCCCGGACCTGAGGAGTGTCAGTTCTCTGCATACTTCCGTTCCGACCCAGGCTTTCGGCTCCCACGCGGGATATGGCCTGCATGATTCTCGAGGCACCTCACAATGTCTCACCGGTAGCATGAGGGCATCGCAATGCTTCTGGATCCTCGCCCCGACAACGCCGTCACTGCCATGGAACTTCCACTCGCCAAGTGTAGCCCGTCTGGGCCTTTCCCAACGCATAATGGTATCTCTTGGAGATTGACTCGGAGTATCTCGTCGCCCAGATGAGCCTAAGTTCCGCATCCAATGTCTCGCCCTCCGACTACGTCCGATCTACTCGCATTCCGTCAATGGGCTCGGCTTTGGGTTCGACGCTCCGGCGGTTACCAGCATGATGAAAGAGATGGCGTCGGTGAGGCTTGCTTCAGCGATGGACTCGTGGGTGGGTAGTATTGGGTCTAATCACGGATGAGAACGAGACCGAAGTGCATACTCATTGCTTCGTTTGTATCCGCTGGGCAAGAGAGCCTGTTCGCCTTTGATCTGGCGAGGGAGTCGTTTGGAAGGTGGAACCCCGCCCTGTGGATACGGTAAGTGCCGCCCACCAGGCGCATTCTGTTCTGAACGCTCTTCTGATAATGCGCAAACATGACGTACCGAGATTCTTGCTGGTAGGAAGGCTTCTTGCTTGAACTCTTGCGGTATTTCTCCCTCCCGGCCTGGTCCACTACGAACTCATCGCCCGCTTTCGAAGGCGAGTCCTTGGTTTGTGGTACCATTAGACACACGACGACCCATTGCGGTGCTCCATTAGGGCAACGCATGAGGGGCTCAAGGAGGAGGTGTGAGAACGTCCGATGGCGCCTCCAACGCGAACGCTGAGATGAGGAGTCTATGAGCTGGCGCGACGAGCCTCGGGCGTCCAGCGGACCTCCCTCACGGCCGCTAATGCTGACAGTGCTCCCCTATACCAAGGGTGTCGGACTGCGCCCTCCATACGGCTATATCATATCCACTCACAAACAAGGAGGCCTCTGTCTATAGCAGCGACACGCTACTCTAGTGGAGGGAGAACCCGAATAGCCACCGCCATCCTCGATGTCCAGTCAATCTTTCGCGACGGGCGCTTCTGCAGGCTTCGGTTGCAGCATCCTGTCTATAGCAGAAGCACCACATGCATAGCAAAGCCGACAAGACCCGGTCAGCGGCTTCACTATCGCCTCAACTACCAGGAGGCGCTCATTCGGACGGCCTTCGTGACCGGAACCCCTTGTCTATGAAGTGGCAATATCGAGTGCTCCTGAATGCTAGCGGGCCTGCCGGCCCACCTCCGGGCAGAGAGGTCGCCATTCGTGCTGTCTCGCCCCCTCAGTCTCCACTGCAGGGTCCCCTTGAAGGGGGAGTTGACTGTGACAAAACGCACCTCTTAGCGCGTTTGCTGCAATTGAGGATCTCCGAAGCGCAAAGGGAGCGGCAACGGCTCTGCAGCTCACCATGTACCGCACTCCAAGTAGTTGCCTCGGCCGGCCCTTGATCCACCCGCTCGCCTTCGCGTCCGCACGCTCGACCGCCTTCACGAGCATCCCGGCCATCCACGCGCTAGTTAGCGACAACCCCAGCCCCCCATCAAGTGAGCTCTCAGACTTGTGTATGCCACGCAACCTCGTGCGCATAACCTCAGTCCACCGACAAGGCTCTGTCGCCTCGCGACTCGGCCATGGCTCAACACTGTCGTACCAGGATGCACACACTCAGTCCACATACCAAGGGGCATGTCGCATCGCCACGTCCGTTCGTGTCCTTGCTGGGGACTGGGAAATGAGCCACCTTGATGCTATCAAATGGTGCTGCGAATTTGGACACTTGGGCACAGGGTCTACGTTTTCCAAAAGGCAGGCGCTCTGGGAGACGTATTCGTCCTCCCTCCGGCTCTGAGCCCTTGAAGCCCCCGGCTTTGGCCCAGTGCTCCAATTTGCATCGCCCCTTGAAGATGGAGAGCAGGCTTTATTCCTCGAGGTCCACGTCTGCGATCGTTGCAGCAGTTATTCATGGAGGCATGTCGATTGAGAGAGAGGATGAAGTGCGGCACTTCCGTATGCACGATGCTGCCTGGAAGAGTTAATTCAAGGGCCACTGTGTATCGTCGTCACCTTCTTTACCGTCGAACTCGCGATCCGGGTCACACAGGTCTGGGAGCCATCGATCGTGACCTCTCTGCAGTCGACACTGATATAGCATCCGAGCCAACCTGGAATATCTATATATCAGTGCGCCAGTTAATGCGACTATGGTATATCTCATGTATAAATCAGATTTTCGTCACAACCTTCACCGGAACCGACGTGAGCTGTACCCGATGTCAACGATACAAATCATCGTCTTCGACTGTGGGTACACTGGAGACACGATTACTTCTTTACTGGCATTTCGTCTTCCTGTTCCTGCTTCCATATGACGGCCCTGCGAGTCATACACCATCGACCAGCAACTGCATGGGAGTTCTCCTTTTCACTCCGTAGCGGACATTTTTCACTCATCTGAAGTTTCGTTTCCCGATCAATCGCTCTGCATATCATTTATCCAACGCATAACCACGCTACTGCCGGTACGCCGGTACCTCGCTCTCCCAACCTCCTCAATCCCCCGCATCATCCTTTTTCGAAAATCTCTCCAAATCAGTTTTCCATTCGCACTCATTCCCATCCGCACCTCCAAAGACGGCCCCCGGAGCGCCTAGCGCCGGATTGCTGCATTCGACGCCCACGCATCCCAAAGCGGAAGCCTATATCAGCGTCGCATATAGCCTGAAATGCAGCCTCACATGACCGCGAAAACGACGCAAAATGGCTCCCTGCCATTGGCTCTGTTCCACGCAGTCGCATTTTCGAAGCCCAGCCAATGAAAATTTTGCAACGGGCTTTCGCCCCCGGCGTTGGTCTCGCACCGAAGCATCAGGAGGAACTCGTGATGTCACTACTGCGAGCTTCGGGCGACTTTTGCGGTGTGCGGATACCGGCACGTCGAAGCTACTGCGATAGACGCTCTCTTCCTCGTTCCCGGTTCGCGGTGCGAGGCTTTTCTCTCCGAGCACTGAGCTCTGCGCTTTGATGAGGGCCGGCTGGTGAGGTCGGAGGTTTACAGAACAGGGCCACTGCGCGCCCGCATTGGGCGAGTACGTACCTACGCGGTCGTGAGATTGTTGCTGTAAGGGTGCCTGTGCTTCTGAGCCTGCAGACGGCGAATGTCCTGTGCTTGCTTGCTGCAGCTGCATTCCTTCGTGCGGGCGGCCGCAGATGCGGTCAGACTCGCATGGGTACTTTGATGGCGGTATGCAGCCTATTGTGCTAACTGCGCCCCGGGTACATGTCGAGTGCGTCAATTTGCTTTCCGAATTGGAGGGCCGTGGGCGAATGTTGGTGGTGGTGGTGGTGGCCGTGTTGCGAGAATTAAGGAGTGCATACAGCTGCTCGTGCAGGTAGGACTTCATGGTTCTAGAAAAAGATCTGTTTCGATGGACATGAGTACGGTTGGGGTGATCCAGGAACACGCATGCCGAAGGAGCAGGCAAGCGCAGGCGACTTCAACACGAGGTGGTGGTGAGGGGGGACGGATGGCGTTATGGGAGCGGGATATGGTGCTAAGATTTTCATATGCTGATCTTGTTATAGCGACACGTTTTTCTGCAGTGTCCGTCACTCCGTTACTGTACCCTTCCTGCGATGTGCGGAAACAAAGTTTGTACCGTAGTTGGTGACTTGTCTCGCGGGTACACGTGGAGTGATTGTCGCTGCGATCCGGGATTTGGGATCTAGGGTGTGGAAATCGTGAAGTGGAAGGAATGAGGGGGCGGCGAAAGTCGTTGGTGGAGCTGGAATGTGGGTACGGTACTGCGGCGCGAGCGAGCGGATGTAGGAGCGTTTGGCTAGCGTTGACCGGCGTGAAAGTCTACTGCAATAGCTGACTGAGGTACATACTGTGAACATACCTAGGTACATACATTCGCATCTACAGTGGACTCTAGCGTCCGAATCTGGAAGTCGTCTCTGATGTAGTCACGATATCCAACTCCGCGACTGACAACCACAGCGGAACCAAGAGGGCATGTTTGAGGCAAGGACGTCAAATTCATTCGGCGACTTCCATACCCTCTCACCACCCTCAATTTATCCATCCCGCCTCTTGCAGCATCGCCATAAACCTTACAATATGCCTCCCGCACACACATACACCCCAGCACGCCAGAACCACAGTTCACTCGTTTCCACTATATGAAACCTATCTATTCGTCTCATTTGCCACCACCCAATCCTGACGTCTGGGTCGACTTTCGCAAGAAAACGTGGGCGAGGCGAAAATGTCTCGCCGAAGGAAAACGTGGGTGCGGGAGGGGTTCCAGTTCGCCACTGCCACATGGCCAACGGGGATGCATGGACGAAGGGAGAGTTTCTGGATGGAGGCAGCGGGAGCTGATGATCTTGTTTCACGGTGCCGGTCTCCGGTGATCTGGGGCGGAGTACTCCTCCGTTCCTTTTCTTCAAGGGTCTCGACAAGAGTACACACGATAGCCGTATACGGAAAGAGGGGTGGAAAGGGAAGGGAAGGGGATGCAGGGGAAGAGCCAATACAACCCACGAACGGTGAGTGCGCCTACAACCCGGGTGGCGGAACAGCACGGCACAGCGCACTCATCCACTAACTTCTCCCTCCCTTCCCTCGCGTATATGCCGACGCTGCTCGCAAACCAACTCACTTCGCTGCTTTTGCGCGCTACACGAACCAGGCGCGGAGGGGAAACGAAGCCAGTCGCGTTCTCTCTCCGCACGCGCCGCTCTCGCACCCGACGCGCGCGTGCTGGCCAAGGGGCCCCGCTCCATGGCCACATTCGATATTAAGAACCGGGATAGGGCTGGTACACGAGCCTGGCGAGGGCGAGCGACAGCGGATGGGACGAGGGTAAGCAAATACTTCGGTACCATAGATTGGGAAAGAGAGCTAGCCTGTGTGTGCTGGACTGGACTGGGCAGGAGGACAGGACTGGGGCGGGCAAGGCGGAAGTGGATGCGGATGCCGACTGGACGCCAGCTTGACGTGTCTCGCTCTGACCGGAAGTCGGCTCGCTCACTGGCTGTCGCCCACGAGTCCCAGGCGATGATGGGGGAAGGCGCGCCCACTTTCACCGCGCTGCGCGCTCTCGTCGCGCCCGCTTCCGCTATCGATACATCTCCCCGCTGCGCTGACTGACCTTGCATCCCGCCTGTGCATCTCTCTGCTTCGCGCGAGGCTCGCCGAGCGTGCGCGTGTGCGGCGAGCCAGGCCCAACTCGGGTATTATAGAAAGGATGATAATAGCAGCGGCGCCGCTATATTGAACGGCACTGGCCAACGATAAGATCTGAGCCACTTCGCAAGCAAGCCAGCCAGCAGCCGAGCCCCGACCTTGCGCTCCATAATGGAAGCGTCATAACATAACGCGGGAAGCCACATCCATAGGTAGAATCTGGAAGCTTCTTCGGTGGAATGTGGGGGAATTTTAGAAACACAAGGGTAATTCCGACATCAGTTCGACATTGAAGAAAAATAACGAGCATGAAAATTCGGGGGCGATGGAAAGGAGAGAGTTCGGAAATTAAATAAATGAATAGAGAACCTCAGTGGCGGCGATTGTCCAAATGGCGACTCTGCACACGTCCTGCTCCTTCAGCAAAGGAGCGTCGTCCTCCGAAAGCGCATCAAGCGCCCCGTGTGCTGACAGCCCTCGCACGACTGGTACCGAAAACACTCCAAGGCAACAGCGCATGCTACAGTACCATGTGAGCGTCTCGTCGTCGCTGATGTGGAGGCGAGTTTGGGGGTTGTGTGGTTCGCGAAGGACGCGAGCATCGCGAACCGGTCCCTGCCAAGCCTGTGAACGGTGTCAGCCCTCGCGGCGCGCGTGATGTATCGCACCTGATGTCGCCTGCCAATACAGCGAGCACGGAGCGGCCGGGTAGAGGGCGTGTGTGCCCGCGGTGGTGAGATGCGGGAGTGGAAAGGGAGTTTGAAGATTTGAAGTGCTGTGAATGCGCGGGACGCCTCAGGCGTGCTCAGGACACTCGCGGGCGCTTCGCAAAACCACATCGACGGAATGGCTATTGCGCGACGGCCTCGGTTCCGGCAATAAGGGTAGAAGCAAAGGCAAAAAAAAAGATTCCTCAAACCTGGTTCTAAGGCAAGACAGTCTTAAGACAGGAGCGACGGTTTCAGATCTCTGTGGAGCGCAGGCAGCGTGTCTGAGGGAGTCTGTGCGCTCAGCGGGACAACGAACAACATGCGAACCACCATCCGTTCTTCTCTTCTCGAAGACACGTCTTAGGAACACAAATTATGATAATTGCACGTCTTATGCGGAGACGATGAGTGTATTACAATCGAAATATAGATCTAAAAGGGTTTCAAATGAAGATATGCGAACCGTTGCGATTGCCAAGAAAGGAACCGCGGGAAAGGAGATGGGTTTGTAACGAATGTGATGTGCAATGCGCGCGGGGCCTACGCGGCCTCCAAATGCGTTTCTGAAGGGAGAAAAGGGAAAAGGAGACTATTTCATGTAATAGGAAAAGAGAAAAATGCATGAAAACAAAAAGATGAAGTACAGCTGAGACCACCTCAATGTGCGCACGAGTCGTTGAAAGTAGACAGATAGAACGAAAATAGATGGGAATGACGAAACACTTGCCGACCAAAAGAGGTCACTTCCCAGGGTATCTATCCTCCTTTTTTTCAACGATCAATTTGACATTCCGAAACATAGGAAATGCAAGATGCCAGCTGCATTCTTGTCGCTTGCTGCTGCTGCTCCGTCCGTTCTATCCTTCAATCCCGGCCCGCTGTCTTCCACGTAAGAAAGACGAATGTTTGTTAATGCTCCTGCCCAGATGCCCCATCCCCAATGGCTCCAAAGTGATCCCGAAACCCCGCGTAAGCTGCTCCCAACGCCGCCCGCTATGCTTTGTCGAAACCGACCCCGAATGGTGTGCTCGAAACGTGTTGGGCGCTCCGCTCCTGGACGAAGAGAATGGGCCTAGGATGCGGATATCGCCAAGCGAATGTGTTGAAGCGTATACCGTGGAAATTCGTTGTACGTCGTGAAGTAAGAGGCGCGATTACAATGTTATTCTCCCTAGTAAATAGAACCGAAAATGTACGCGGGAAAGCGTGTAGTGTGTAGATCGTGACCAGCACAACCCGTCAGATCCCAAACTCCAGCCCATTAGAACTTAAAATTACCACGCATGAAGACCTTCGAACTGTTCGGCGAGTCATTGAAAGGACGGATTCGGATCGCTTGACTGGAATGACGGTCCTGGATCGCTCGAGCCGGCTGTCATTTGCGCTTGCGTGTACCCGCTCTGCTCCTCTTCCTCGCCCTCTTGGTCCAGTTCTTGCGCCTTGTCTCTGCATGCGGCCGGAGAAAAGCCGCTCCCAACTTTTGAGGCAATGATGCGCCAACGATCGTTCTCGTACTCCTGCATGGCGTTGCGAAGCTTTTGGACCTGTTCGGCCCCCATTCGGTTAGCACCTCCGAGGTTGTGGCCGCACGACTCGACGTCTTGCGTTTCAGATAGTAGCACTCACCATTTCGTCTGTCCAAACCGTCGTCTTTGCCTTGAGCTTCGTGCAATAGCGAACCTGTAGAGTACCGGAGCTGCGACCGGGGAAAAAGTCGGCGATCTGCTTCCACGCGAGGTTCTTCTTCTCCTTGAGGTCGATGAGTAGTTGGTCGTCTTCGGGCGTGAACTTGAGCTTGGGGCCGCGTGGTCGCGGAGCTGGCGCGGGCATTCCCTCCTGACCGACGACGTTGGGCGGACCATGGGCCTGGACGGGGGAGGAGGGGCCGCCTTCCATGTGTAGTCGCTTAGCAGGACGTTGGTTGGGGAGGTGGTGGTGATGTTGCTGAGGGAGGTGCGGTTGCGGGGTCGCGGGCGGTGGATATGGTTGCAAAGGATATCCCTGTGAAGGTCCGACTTGCGCGGGTCCTGGTACCTGGCCGTAGGCGTCCTGTTGCTGCGCCAGAGGATTTGGAAGGTCTAGCTGCTGGAGATGCTGCTCCTCGGGACGACTGCGCTTGAGACTGCCCTGTTGTGGGGTCTGGGCATAGCCCACGTCGTAGGGCGATTGCGACGGGTGGGACATGGAGGGATGGCGTAAGAGGTGCGGATGCGACTGATGTAACGACGGATGTGCCTCGATATCTGTGTATGGGGGATGGGCGGCGCCAGCATGTTGAAGCGTTTGAGAAGGGTGTGGCTGCAGGAAGGGGTGGTGGTAGCCCGGAGGCAGGCCGCCATAAGGATGATGGAGGACATTGTGTGGATGTTCGACGTTTGATGTCGGAATGTGATGTTCTTCGCCGGAATCGCCTGGGACGCTGTAGTCGAGGAAACCGCCTCGAGAGGGACTCGCCAGCGTTGCGAATATGCATGGAGACTACCAGAGCTAGCTTGCTCTGGCAGGCCGCCGCAGTGAGCCCTGAACCAGAAAGGATGCCCAGTTTGAGGTGCGTGGCCGACTCGAGGAGAATGTGTCGCACGTGTTTGGGATTGCTCGTGTTTTGTTATATTGACAAATGTTGCAGCAAGAAAGGCCTGGAGGGACGCGCCATCAGCCAGAAGAATCTTATCGGCCGCGGGTTAAGCTTGGGATGTTCGGATATAGCCTTTTCGAAAACCAGACTGGGAGGTACTCGATGGGAGCGCGTTGCATTATAAGATGTTGTTCGCGCAAGATAGGGATGGAAGCATTGAAAAATTTCGGGCACTATGTCCCTTCAAAAGCCCGGTCCTGTGCAATTGCCACACGGACTTCTGTGTCCAAGCACCAGAGGCGATGGGCCTTCCCACGAGACGGGCTTTGTTCCTGAAGGGTAGGGAATTAGCTGAGTAGGGCAAGCCCAGGGACGAATTCTACGTCAAGCATAATGCGGTGATCATGACCGGGGAGGGGTGCCAGGACAAGATCTCGAGGGTAATCGCAGGTCATTTGCGCACGTCGCAATGCCGCTGGCTCGTGTCGTGAGTGGCTGACGGCGCAAAATGAGGGCCGCAGTGAGGTACTTTGCCTGCACTCCCGGGGGGGTTCCAATCGACAGCGGGCGGCGGGGCGGTGGTCCATGCCACCGTGGCCCTATTTCTAGAATGCCCACAGAAGATCTCCAGCGCCGTTACAGCTTCTGCAGGCGCGATCCCGGTGCAGAGAGCTCCAAGCGTGGTGGCCAGGAGCAGGCGCATGAAGAGCGCTCCGAACAGGCTAGGCGGGCGCGGCGAGAGTGCAGGGGAGGCGATGGGCAGTTCCCAAAGCGGCGCCGCCACCTGCTCGACACCTGAGCGCCAGATTTGATGAGACAGCAGGATGAGCAGAGCGGCGGAGCCAGGGCCACGGACGGAACAGCGGGGGTTCATGCTGGGAGCAGCGCATCGCAGCGGCTTGAGCGGAAGCTGAGAGACGGGCTCATGGCGCCTTATGGCATGGCACGCCATGAAGCCGGCGGGGGCATTGGCAATGCCTGGAAGACGCTGGCCCGCGGCAGGCCGTTATGGGCCCTCATGCTGCCCTGCTGCAGTGGTTCTCGGGTCAGGCAGAGAAATGCCGGCACTGGAAGCGGTCTTGCCGGCCGTAGCACCCGCCTGAAAGCCGTGAGCGGCGGCTGCCAGCCAGGCCATGTTCGCGGTTCTGTGACGCATGGGCATGGATGGGCTCAGATTGGCCCGTCAGCTCATGCAAAAGCGGTTTCAAGAGCTCTTAAGAGAGTACCTGGCCTATATGCGGCTGGCTATCCCCGCCCGGAGGGCCCAGCGTCAGGATCGCCCAGCCACAGGAATGTTCCGAGGACGGGCAATATGACGCACGAGAGGGCACTGCAGGCGTGCGGACGTACGGAGGGATGCGTGCATGCTGCGGTGGCGATGGGGGTGCGCGCAGCGGAGAATATTGGACGTTCTACATGAGACACCGCGCGGTGGATGAGAAGGGCGCGCTGGTGTTCGTTGGGCGGGGGTGGCATCTGGGCGGAAGCGAGATGGCGAAGGTGGCGGTGACGGGCTTGCTGAGCTAACGCGGGAGAACACCTGCAGCGGCCGATAGCAGGCAGGGCGAGCAGAAGCACACTCAAAGCACGAAATGAATGAATGCCACCTCACGCTGCAGGCGCGCCACGCAGGAACGCAGTCGTTCGCCGACCGCTTGCATGCGCCGGGGCTGCATCCAGATGAGCAGCGACGTCGTGCCCTCCCCCAAGACTCACCACCCAGGGTACGTGGCGCACGTGATCCAGCGCGACCAGGCGACGTTCAGGGGGCCCCCTACCAGTTGACCGTCGTCATTTCATATCGCGGCGCTGTCGTCGTGATACCTGCTCAAGCCTCGTAGATACGCATTGCCAACTCGCACGTCCTCGACCACCTGCTCTATTAGCCATTTAGGCTGTAGCACGCGCGCACACCCACAGGCCTGCCTGGACGTGAGATGGAGGTCACTCGCCGTTTGTCATCGGAGACGCTCTCTATTCGAGTCACGCTTCGCAATTCGACCTGCCCATTGCCCACGCGCCCACTAGCTGGCGTGGCAGATACATACGGCCGTCGCGCCGCTTCAGGTAAAGACGATGGAGCTGGAGTCTGCCCGCCGCGCTCTCGCGCGCTGCTTTCTGCTTTCGACGCGGTGACTCCAAGCCGTAGTTGGCGCGCCTTCCTCCAGCTCGTCGTTCACACTCTGCTCGCCCAGCCAGCACAAGCCCCATCGGCTCGGTTCGGTAGCGCCGCCGCGATGTCCCAGTCCGTTCCCAAAGCTTCATCATTACGCGAGGTCCCTTGCGACCAGATCTCAGCATCGACTCCGCTACTGATGGCGCGAGCGCGAGCGCGGGATGTGGTCCTGTCAACGGCGTCCCGAATGCGTCGCTAGGTATCGCCACACAACGGCAGGCTGCAGGTGCCACCGGCGGCGATGGGGGTGATCGGCGAACGACCAGTACGAGGGAGGAAAAGCAATGTTTCTGGTGGAGTCGACGTTGAAACGGATCCGTAAACTGCAGCAAAGCCCCGAAACAAACGCCAGATCGTGAAACGAGAGACTTATTAGGATCCGACCAATGACCGCCATGACCCGCCCCAGAATCCGGGAAGCTGTCCGCATCCCTCGAGAGGCCGGATTCGCCACGGTGAGGCGGTCAGGTCTCGCTATATCAAGCATGTGGTTATTACGCCCAGATAAACCTCCCTCGACCGAAGGCCAAGCCCATGGAAAGAAGATATAAAAGAAGAGCAATTAAAGAGGAGAGACGAAAGCGACGAAGGTGTGACCGACATGACCAGGCATTTTGACCCAAAAGAAGAACCGCATATGCCTCGTATACTCCATCGCCGGGACCCATGGCCGAAGACTCCAAGAAAGACGAGCGGCTGCCGACAGAAGCTCTGCACATGCAATGCTCTATGGAGAAAAGGAACCAAGAGAGCTGGTATCATAAAGTAAGCCCAACGCGCTAAACCCGGAAAGATGCAGACTGTGTTCGTGAACGGCATCAAGTACTCAATACTTCCCACCGAAGTGTTCCTTCGCGTACTGTTCGCATGCCTGCTACCCGTCAGCTGGAATACCATCGACGAAGGGAGGAGACACAGAAACACAGGAGGTTCCTACTTTTGCAGGTTTGCCGACTTTCTGTCCGATGACCTTCCATTTGTTCTGCTCGTACTCCTTGATCGCGGCAAGCAGCGCAGCGCTCTGTTTCTTTTCGTCAGCGTGTGTACACTGAGAGATGCACCAGATGCTCCAAACTCAGCAGGAGACCCACCTCGTCTTCCCCGAACTCGGCATAGTGCATGTCCTGTTGCGGTCGTGGTCAGCCAACGGGCGGTACAAAACGGCCAACAGCGACGGCGTACCTTGTACCAGTGCTTTTTCACGCTCCCCTCCGTCCGCTGCGGAAATGTCTGCCGTGAACGAAACGCGTCAGCCAACACAGTCTTTGCAATTTTTTATCCCGTTCGGGCAAGATGCGCGTCGAGACTGGTGTTTCATGGATTTGTGTTTCTCTACCTTTGCGATCTCGCTCCAGCTGTTCCCCGCGTCTCTCATCTGCTTGAGCCTCTGCTCCTCCGCCGGGGTCCACGGCGTATTTGTCCGACTCTTCTTTGCCTTGGGCTCCTGGGCGGGCGGCTCGACTTCGGCGGCAGAAGCAGTGGCCGTCGCGCCGCCCGCCGGGGCGCCTGCGCTGGTCGCGGTGCTCGCCATGTGCTCCTGCTGCTGGAGGCTCACAGACTTGCGCTTCCGCGCGTTGCCCGGCGTCGGCGGCTGCGGGGCGTTTGCGAAGGGCTCTTGACCTGACGTGGTGGCGGGCTGGAGCGCGGGCAGATCGCTCGACGCGGCGAACGGCGAGCTCTGCGGCGGATTCGCTGCGAGAGGTGAGGGTTTCAGATTGCGTTTAGAGGCGGGTGAAGAACTGTGAAACACAGGGTACTACGTCAGCGTGCCCAGCGTGAAGGCGTGGAGGCGAGCGAGCTCAGTGCGCAGCGGAAGCGAGGGCGACGCGCTCAAGACGTGAAGACGGGACTCACGACATGGCGGGCGGGCGTTATAACCACAGCGTGAGGGCAGAGGGGCAAGCAGCTTCACTGGAGAGCCTGAGTGCGCCTATGGAGTGAGGTCATGCTCTGGGGCATGGGCAACGCAAATTCAGGACCGCACTCAATGGAGAGGACAGCCAGCGTGAAGGCGGTAGATCATCATGATATCCAAGAAGGCCGATCGCCTGGCCGGGTGCGGACGCTGATCCTGTACATGGGATACAAGAAGGGTCAGGTTCGCAGGGAGCGAGCGAATGGGAGGGCGCGAGGGGGCATGAGTGTGGAGGACGACCGGGATACTCTGGGGAGAAAGCAGCCAAGTGCCGGCGGGGGCAGCCGCCAGAACGGGGAAGAGGCGGTACCGATACGGGGCGGGCGGTGAATGTGCTGCGGGGGAGGAGGTAGAGGTACTTGGGAGGGAGCTGCAGACAAGAAGCGGGGTAATAGCCTCCTCGACGGGCCAGTATGAATTAGGTGGCTTCAAGTTACGGCGACGACGAGACCAGACGTAGAGGCGGGGGAGATGCAGCCAGCGCGTGACGGCCTTCATGCATGAAAGCATGAACTGCAGCGCGACTGATGCAGCCATAGGACGATGCGCGCCAGCCGGTGCAGTCCGCGGCACGCAGTCGTCTGGGCCGGCCGCGCTCGTCCTGTCGCGCAGCGGGCCTTGTGTAGACGATAGCTGGACCGCTCGCCGGCCGCCTGTTCACGCTGGCGGCGGCGGTGGTGGTGAGGAGTGCGGTGTGGTGGTGTCGTTGCTGGACGGCGGGGTAGTAGTAGTAGTAGTGCGTGTGGTGCGTGCGCCCGGTCGGTGCTTCCTGCTCTCGAGCGCGTGCCTTCCGCGGCGTCATCGGTGAGGCAGTCGCGACGCCGACCAGCGCGCTTCCCCAAGCACCCCGCCGTCGCACAAACTCCAACCTCGACCACGTCGCGCGCCGCAGCATCAATCAACGCCCACGAGAGAAACAAGTCCCGCCAATGGCACGCCCGCCGCGGTAGATTGTCTCTAATTAACCCACGCTCTCAGGAAGCCAGAACCAAGCGATCCCTGCCCTTCTCCGCTCGACGGTTGCAGCGGCGGCCGGCCTGCAGCACTGCGAAACGGCCAGCTCACGAGCAGCTGCAGCAGCGCCCGCCGCGAGTGGACGACGTCTCCGCTGGCCGAGGGGCCGTCGAACAGCTCGAGTCCAGCCTTTTGCCGCTCGCTCTCGGGGCGCCCCTCCTCTTAAGAGTCGCTGCCGCCCTGGCCTCCGCTCGTCGCCCGCCGCCAAGACCCGCTCCAGCCACCTGACACAGGGAGCGTGAGAGCCCAAGCCTCAGGCGTTTGAGCGAGCCGCCTGCCGCACACCTCGCACTCACCGCCAGCGCGCCGCCCATGATCCGCCACCGGGCCCGCCTGGAGAAGGCTGCCTTATGCCTTATCGTCATGCCTCACGGGCGGATCGCAGCCCTTCCGAGTGCTGCCGTTTCGACTGTCTCACGACGCCAGCAACACCCCGTCGTACGAGCGGATTTGCGTTTGCGTTGCGCGTCGTTTTCTAGCTTCACTTCGTGCGCAGTTTCGCAGCCCTGGCGCTGCCATTTCTCTCCCGTATTCTCTGTTGCTCATTCTTCTCGTCAAGGCCCGCGCGACTCAGAAACACGAATAACCTTAACGCGCACTGTTCCCTCCCGTGCCTGTCACCGCGTCTTTGCAGTTAGCGCCCGCCGCTGACGGACCTCCGGGTGAGCTTGTTTGCTCCTCCAAACACTGTCAAACGTCTCGCTTCCCCAAAGCTGCAGCACGTCCCGCCCTCTAACACGCCGAGTTTTGAAACTGCCTCTGCTTAACCCCAAAGAGTCCGCCAGATTCATGCAGGTGCCCTCTCGATCAACCGCGTTCCGGGCGTCCAGATCTCGTTCAAACTATCGTCCCATCCCCTTCAGGCTTAGCATGTCTCGTGTCAGGGTTTTTCCAAACATTTTGGCTTCGAACGCCGACGACGACCATGACGACGATCAAAACTTAGCTGCAGGACTGAGGTTTGAAAACGCTGTCAACATCAGGTCCTGCCACTCCAATCAGCCATGCTGTCGTTGTGGCCCGTGAACCCACCTGTTTCGTCTGCCTCTCCAAACTCTATATCTTTCTCGATGCCCCAAGTTTTCCAGGCCTCAACCGCGACTGTTCAATCGGCACCGTCTTTTGTTCTCTTAGCAGCCTTGTAATTACTTTCTTTTACTCCCCACTGGTTGGGCTGCATTACATTCCTTAATTCACATTGCTGAGCAATTACTTTGTGTGGTCCTACACACCCTGTAATACAGTACATTCTTTCACGAGCCAGCCTCGACGACGACCAACGGACATCCTCGGCGGACCACAGTTTGACGATATTCACGAACTATTCACACCATACCACACCACTCTCTAGTATCACTACGCCGCACCAGGCTCTTGCATATCCAGAATTACAATGGCCTACCACCAGCCCCAGGTTCTTTCTCCCCTCGCTGAGATGGACACCTCTGCTCCTTCCAGCCTTCGTGCTCGGAAGATGTCCGCCGGAGGCAACAGGTCCTGGTCCGAAGAAGAGGTACGACTCCATCGACCCAATGAACTGACCATACTCTAACATGCCCCAGGAGAACTACCTCCTCCAGACCCGCATGCAGAAGATGCCGTACAAGCACATTGCGGCCCACCTCAAGAAGACCGAGTTGGCTTGCCGCCTGCACTACCACCAATTGTCGCACGGAAGCCACCGCCGTAAGCGAACCTCCTCCGTCTCCTCGTCGACGTCTTGCAGCTCCGCCGGCCAGTCCCCGGCTTATTCAATGGCAGTGGACCATGATGAGTATTCTCAGTCATCCCGCCATGGCTCGCCTATGAGCTACACCGGCGGCAGCCCGCACGTCAGGCATGCTACGGTCACCAACTCTCCTGGCCGTAACCAGCACAAGATCCTTCTTCCCAAGCCGCGTCCGCTCACTCCCCGGGAGTCCCCTGAACCACACAATGCCCTTCGCATCAACACCGAGGTCGCACATCAGCCCAAGGTCGTCGACACCGACCGCCTTCGTGCTATCTACGAGGCTCGTCGCCAGCAGTTCTGGGCTACTGTCGCTGCTGACTATGGCACTGATGTCTCCCCGGCTCAGCTTGAGGAGATCTGGCGCACCGGTTCCAGCGCCGTCCGTCCTCCGACTCCCGACGCCTCTCCCGACGGTAGCATCATGCACAACCCTATCCTGAAGCCGTCGCCCTTCCCGTACGCCTCCCCGATCAGCAGCGACCCGAGCAAGCACTTCAGCCCCATGAACATCAGCGCCGTGTCTGCTCCGGAACGGATGCCGTATATGCTGCCCATGCCTGTTCCGTCTGCTGGACGCCAACGTGCGGGTACCTGGAGCTCTGCCCCTCGCGATAACGTCCCCATCGCGAGCCTGCTGACCGAGGACAAGAACCCGCGGAACTAGAGGACGCATAGCTTACTTCCAATCTCTATTGCCAATACAACGGAGATACCCGTGTTTTTCTCTCAAATATTTGATCTCTTCTCTGCTATGCTTCAATTTTCTTTCTTACTTTCGTTTACTCCACTTCTACCCCAACTTTATTTATTGTATGCACGTTTATTTGGCTGGCGAATTTGAACTGGTCACAGACGGGCGGTCGCCAATTGGCTTGACCTTGCGATATCGACTTTTCATAACTACAAATGTTCGAGGGAGGCACTTGTACGATACCCGAGCAGTGGAGGAACACGGAGAGCGGTACTACGTGCGCCGTGCATAGAACACTTAGACGCAACGACAAGCGAACAAACGAATATCGATATGGCCGTTGTGTGCCACCCTTGACAACGACATTCCTTTCATTTCGCTTTCTGTTTTGCAAGTTTGGTTTCGGCTGATTGTGACGGGGTCGCAGCCGGGGTCTCTTCGCTTGGCGCGCGGCTCATATTCATGCACTTCCTTGGATCTGCAGCAGCTCCGATCCACCAACCAAGACTTCTGGGACGTCGGATTAAGCTCAACGCTACGAAAACGCTCATCATCCACTGGCTACGCGCGACTTCGGTCCGACGGTGAGTGACCTGTCGACCGCGCTCCCGACAGCAAGTAACCTCAACGCCTACAGATGTCGAAACGGCTCAACGAATTCACCAAAATCCAAACACGTCAAAGTGCAGAAACCTGACAAAACAAGCCAGGAGGTTTTGATGTGCACTCGTGACCTGATGGTCCCTCGCTCCTTCCCCTTGAAGTGTCAACCGAGGCCCGCGATTACCTCTTTCGGCAACCTCAAACGCGACCTCGAGGATGCCTTGGAACATGACTCGTCGCACGTGCGCGCCAAAAAGGGAGACGTGAAACAGGATGTGCATCGCAAGCAGCGTCTATATTTATGCCCTGTCTGTCCTCTCCGCTTCAAAGCAGTGCTGAAGGTGATGTTGAAGCCCGAAGTGGTGCTCGAAAAGCGTTGGCGAATCATCGCCCAACGGGCTAACTTGATTCGGATGATAGTGGAGAAGGGGAGATGTCGAGCCTCACGAGTCAGCATCTCCACTCCTTCCCAACGAAGCCTCAATCAGGCCATCAATCACAGCCTCAGACTCAGCCTCAGTCTAACCGCTCCGCTGCATACCATCGACCTCGTCATCACAGCCGATGGTGCGCGACTGGTGTGACGCCACGTCTTCAGCCCTACCCCCATGCGCTCGCCCTTTCATAAACCAGCTCGTTGATGCCGGTCCGTCGATCAAAGCTTGTTCACACCACAGCGCGCAGGGTAATCCGCCCCTTTATCGTTCCCCTGACGCACATCACGTGGAAGCTTGAGCTGATGCCGAGGTGCAAGTGCGTCGTCGCCTGGACGCGTGCGCATCCTGAAATGATCATGCTACTCTCGGACGACGGAGTGTTCCTGCAGGCATGGCATGGCATAGAAAGCTCACTCAGGTGCCGAAATGAAGCCCTCGGTATTTGGAATCCGGCGACTGTGCGCCGTGACCGGTTTTCCAGCTCGCTTTCCCATGTTACGCAAACAGCTCATTTTACGCACACAGCGCGTAAGATGAGGGATTCATGCTTTATCACGCCCGCATCCTCAGGGGGAGGGCCCTCGTGACCGGTTGTTGGGTCGGTGATCCTTCGGGAGGGGTGCAGGGCTTTCCATGCGTAGTGGGCGAGTGGAAGCAATGCTTGAGGGCTGGGTTGGCGGGAGGAATACGAAGGAGGCGGGTATATGGCAGCTGCAGGGCTGATATGATCGATGGGGGATCTGAGCGTGTGGTCTGTGGGTGGACTTTCCGGTGTCGTAATGTGCGTTCCGTCCTTGCTTGTTGGTGGTTGCGGCGTGGGGCGAGCGGATTGATGCCTGGCTGATTGCCGCTTGGGGCAATGGACGATGCGAGGTGCGGTAGCGAGGTTGCTTCGTTGCCAGCTTATGCCGGCCGGGCAATGGGTAAGCGAGAGATGCGCAACCTCCCGGGGCGGCAGACTGTGCGCTTTCTCTGTCTGCTCGCCGTATGCACGTTGAACTACCGTAGTTACACGTGGCCGTAGTTCCGTGGCCGTAGTTCCATAGTGCCTTGCTTTTTCCCATTCCTTCGTTCCTGTCCGCGTACTCATGACTCGCGCTACTAGCTCGCCCAATGCACGTTGCGCTCGACCACGCGGGTATTCATGACTCGTCTCGTTCGCTCTCCACCAACCAGTCCACCAACAAACCAACAATTAAACAATACCGCCACGCGTTTCCCCTTTCCACACGTCACCTACCTAACCTACTTCCGTTCTGAGCGGATGCGATGGGACACCCCCACGGCGCGTCGTTTCCTCAGCCCTACCCAAATTGCCGTGGCGCACGATTTCCATACGACGGGCGGCTTATGCTGATCCCGAACAGAACGCGTTCTGTTCTGGAAGCGAGATGAACTGCGTCATTGTTTGGTCGAGTAGAACGATCGGTGTCTCCGGGCGCATGCATTGTGTTGTGGGTGGCGCGATCGAGTGTGGATTTGTGATGGATTTGTAATAGGTGTGGAATAGGTTTACTTCATTTGGAATGGTCGACGAGTTGCGCCATCTTCCTTGGTCTTATGGGGGGATCTTTGGGACGGGAGGGGGGTAGGGTGCAGGATGGATGGAGTAAGGGTGGATGACGTCTTCGTGAGATGGTGTGGAGTAGGGAAATGCGCGCGGGAATGGAAGTGCTCGCGAGGGCGGAAGATGCAGCTTCACACATTCCCGTTTGGGTCATGCCTCGCGGCATGTGGGGAGGAGTGTGGTTCTTAGCCCCGCGGACATTGTCGCATCAGAGAGGAGAACTTCAAGCGCGGAGGAGAGATAGCTAGTGCCGATTGCTATTGTAGTTAAGCTAGCTGTCAAGGCTGAGAACGGACTTCGGCGTGTAGGCGATGGCACGCTATTGAATATGACTCCATCGCTGTTTCGATTCTCGCGCACACTCTGGGATAAGATACCGTGTTATCATAGATCCGATTTGTTTGCTGCCCAGCATGACCACCCGACTTCACAATCCCTTGAGCTCCCACCGCCAGTTCTACTTTCAAGACTTTGCTATGTTTCTAACACGCTCGATGGCGTTTGCATCGACAAAGTAGTCACCCGTTTGTTTGGAATTTGTGCCTACCGACGCCCCTGCTCATATTGTGAAATAAGATAGCCATTTAGTCAGGCAAAGCATGATAGGCCGCATCCCTCTTTTACAGTGCGATTCGGATAACGGGGTAGCAAATAGAGGGGACATTATCAGTCCTAATCTCCCGGAAACGGAGAACGTGCTTTCGCCGTGGACTTCCCAACGGAATGTTCACGTGTTCTCTAAATCCCGATACTCCGTACATCATCGTTCGCCCAATCGTGAAGTGTGCAAGCGCGCGCCTTTAGAGCTTGCCGACATGGCGATGCTCCGAAGTAATTTTGAAGCGTGTTGAAGATATCCCAAAGTCTCCGGCGCGCAGGCATCAGTGGGTTCCCAAGCCATTTTAGAGTGGTTGGCATGGCGGCGAGTGGAAGTGAGGAAGAGGCGGAGGAGCAGTGGAAGATATTTAAACATGGACGCTGAACCCACGTGCTCGCTATGTCCGTCAAACCGTGACTTTAAGTGGATGGTGATGGGCTCCATTCCCCGCTGATTACTCGTGGAATCCGTCCAGGACGTGCATGTCCTTTGCTCTCTTTCTTTCACGGACCTCGGCTTGCCGAGGTGCAGAAACGTACATAGGGTGTTCGTGTGATTTTAGTTTTTCCCATTATAAAGCTAGTGTACCAGTTTTATGCGTAAAGTAAACAGGGAGATGGACATAAAGAAGCTCTGTGTAGGCTGGGAGGGTATTATATAGAAATTCGCGGAGGTGGTGGTCCTTGGTTTCGGAGCGTGTATAGCCCCATGACGACGAGTTCATCCTCTACTTTGCACTACACACTCCATCAGACCTACATACCCCATACCAGTATCCCCTACACAATTCTGCACCATTTTATAGTTCAGCGACACTATGTGCGCGTTGAAAACAAGCTCGAGATCTTGGAGACATCGCGCGAACAAACCACGACTTTTAGCGAAGGGATTGCTACCGGTAAGGAGGGAGTCAAGCTTGAAGAGATATATTTATACTAGGTAACGAATGGAAAAGAAGACAATTATAGGAACATGATGGTATGGTGGGGAAAGCAGAAGGGCAAAGGAGACACAGAGCGACGGTGATGCTTATCGTCACTTCGCGATTTCTGTATCTCAGCCCATAATCCACAACCCCAAAGCAAGACAGTCTAATTCTCTCCCTGGCGGGTTGCTTTTCTACACACAGTCCATGGAATCTAAGCTTCGAGTGCCTCGAAAGCACATGGAAAGAAGTAAGTAGGATTTTAGTTCCACAACATGTCATGGGATTCCATAAGTTTTAATGATTTGGAAGCCAAACGCGCCCGTGTAGAAAAGAGGAGAATGAGGGCAAAGGGAGGCTTATATATCTGCCTCCAGCGAAGCACGCGCATAGTACACGTCACGATTGGGGATGATGAATCATTTATATGACACTGTAAGATGTTGAGCTCCATCATCGCATAATAGCCATCTCTCCAATGCCCGGCGGTCTTCCGTCCCGGTCTCGATGGTAAACCTCCCGTTGTTTCCCATTTGCGACTTCCCAGCTTCCCCAGCCCGCACATAAGCGAGTTCGGTTCTTCTTTACAACATTCGCCGGAGGTAGGTTGGTTTTTAGGATTGGCCGTAGTGAGATGCGGAGCGAACGAAGGCACGGTGAGGCTTACTTATATATGCGCATTATAGTCGTAGCATGACCAAACGGTTCGTGGACATAGTAGTGCGCGACGATGCTTCAAAGTGCATAGCGCTTCACCCAAAGCGGGGACGCAAGTCAGCCGCATCGTTATCTTGTCCATTCGGCTATCGGTATCAGTCCATATAAATCTCATCGTCATTCCCGAAGGCATGCAAAGGGTATTCATTCATCTCCACCATACCAGGCCTCTCTTTGGCATTCGTTCACTCCCAAGCACACATGGAACTGCGATTCCATAATTTTTAGCTAACTCCGTTATCTCGGCATTCCGACGCTTACTCATAAGGCATAGCATCCAGACCTTTTAGAGCAATAAATGCTAGAGAGTGTGTGAATGTAAAGGGCTGGAATAAGAGCGACAGGGTAAACTTTTATACTCCTACTGAAGCCATCATAACGAGAAAGTGATGCCCAGGGGTCATGCGCGGGACCATTGAGATGTTGCGTCTGCCGTGCAGCGTATATGCCTCGTTCACTGTCCACGTCCTCTCTCTCCACATATCGTTGTGGATTGTAGTTTTAGTGGTTCATATAGAGATAGAACGTTATCTTTATTCGGTAAGACCCAGGCTACACCTGAGAGGTTGAGGAGTCTGCTTCTAACAGTCCGCATGGTTTTCCCTCGTCGCCATTTTAGAGGTTGGCTTGATGCCTGCCCAACATGGAATTCCTCCCGCATGGCTTTTAGTGGTCGAAGCAGAAGTGCAGTACAGAGCGCAGAGGACAGAGCCAGGAGAGACCTATATAGACCACCAGCTGCAAGCTGAACTAGACCCACAAGAGAAAGATCAACGTAATCCAAGGGAGACATGAAGGCCCAACGGGAGACGCCAGGCACCTCAGGGTTTGCGAGGACTTTTTTTCGACCCAACATCGCACCTTCCGTTGGCAAATTTTAGTTGCTTGAGCGCAGCTCCACGGAGTCCAGCAGCATCTGTTGGCGGAACTTTCTTTTTGGTGTGGGGATGTAGAGTTCTGTGAGAGAGGAAACAAAGGAGATCCATTTAAGCTTTATATAGACCGTTGCTAGCTGGAATGGCGTCTGCGATGACGAAGAAGCAGATTCGGTGGCAACCATGTATGCTTCCACGGAGGACTCCAGACGCACATAGCAACCTTTGTTGCGGTGATTTAGAGAATCCCATGTAGCAGTCCAGAAGTGCTTTTGAGTGATTACATTGAGTCGACGCCCTCGCAGGCTCGCACCACATTGCGCTTTCCCAGGGTGTGTTTTAGTGACTAGAGAAGTGGAAGTGTAGGAGAGAAAGAAATAAAAGAGCGCATACAGGATTTATATAATCCACCATGATTGGGACTAGGGTCGGGTGAAGAAGAGAAGATACCAAAATCTCAGCGGACAACGCATCTTCCTCCAAAAGGCTGTGAACCACCAGAGCCTGACGAGAGACCAGGGACACCCACAAATGGGGAATATGGGACTGGTATTTTGGACTGTGTGAGAAAGAAACCAAAGCTGCTTCGCACATACTTGTCGTTTGTCCCTCGTTTTAGTAGCCTAACGATGCAAGCTGTGGTGGTAAGAAAGAAAGAAGAAAGGATGCACCGAGGCAGCTTATATAGGCAACTGAGAGCTAATTCGAAGTTGGATGACGGAGAAAACGAATCAAGTCCGGCGAGGTTACGTGTTTTCCTTCAGAGAGCACCAGCGACACATGTTCATCGAACACATTTTAGCATCCCACGCATGCAAAGGAATTGGGTGCGATTTAAGACTCTATAAGGGCGGCACAAAACTCCCTCCGCCATGGAGCTATTCCGTGCCGTCTTTTAGTGACAGAAGAAGAGGCTTGTAGGTTGAAAAAGAAGAGGGAGGTATTGAAGGAGGTTATATAGGCCACTAGGAACTGAGAGAGATCCGGATGGGATGATGGGGTGTCCGACAGCCGTTCTAAAATGCTTTCGTACTCCTTCCATCATGGAAAGAAGCCGCCCAAATTTTGTATCCAATGGTGATTTCTGACTCTCATTTCCCCTTCTGGTTCACCCCTCCTATTCCTCCATCACCACGAGATTGAAGCAGTCATGCACTTCTCTTTCCCAGCGCAGACACATCCATAGCGTCGATCGTGCCTTTTAGACGCCTACATGAGGGTAATTTTACTGACTGTATGAAACAGACTGGAGCTGCTTCTCACCATGACGTTTGCCATGGTAGATTTTAGCGGCCGAGGAAAGACAAGTGTGGTGTAAGAAGATGAAAACGGAGGGAGAGGAAAGATTATATCCCCTGGAAGGGACGGAAGGGAGGTCGAGATTTGAACACGCTCACGTAGTTTTCTTCCTACTCGAAGCCTGAGGCAGTGGTAAGAATCATCACCCCTGCACAACCTCTCAGCCTCAATCCTCCCACTTTCCCAACCTCACGCAAATCCCATGCACCTTCCATCCACTTGTCCCATCCACCATTCTCATTTTCAACCTCCCTCCCCTAACTCGCAATCTATCGCGCACGCATCCCACAATCAAGCGCGCACACGTCGCATCTCCGGATCCTCTCCGAAGATCCACATAGAATCGACGTTGTCCCATTTTTAGACCCCCTGATGGGAAGCTCATCAGCTCATCCACACATGATCTGTTTTGGATGGCATTTTATTAGAGGCGAGAGAAAGCAGTGGTGGAGAGAAGACGAACCGGCAAGAAGGGGTTGGGTTTATATAGACGTTGAGTGGACTAGATGAAGATGGGACAAGGGCATGGGGAGGAATGAGCAACGGCGGCGCCATACGGCTGGCTATTTTATCAGAAATTTTCTGCTCGCGTGCTACGAATATACCGGAAGCCTTTATGGTTTGTTTTCCGTTTGTTACGTCCTGAGGAGAAGATCCGATGTGACGGAAGGAGGGCTGACGGAGCTCCTCGCGTGATGCTTTAGGAAGGGCGGTTTCTTTATCTCGCTCTACATGAGAATGTACGGCTTCGGGTTTTAGACTTGCACAAATGGTTAGCTAATGTATAGGGACGAGTCCTTTTCTTATCTTGGCAACGATCCTGGGAAGCCAGTTGTAAGCTCCTTGCCTGCAGTGGCCCCCCACTCCTTGGCTCCCGGCTGCCCCGCGGGTTGATATGATTGGTTGATATTGGTGTCTCGCCGTTGAACCCCTCTTGCCGCGCCGCTCTTGAGCTTTAGGCTTCGTCTCTCGAAAATGGCTTTGCTCTCCCTCGCCCTTGCTCCGCCAGCGCGACATCGGACCACCGCCGCATGGACAGCGACCTCTCGAAAAAAACGTAGGATGCAACGAGTCCGCCCAGTTCTTCGCAGCGTATCGTCGCCGCTGCTGTGAAACTACGACGCTGCCCAGGTGCCTGCACGAGGTGCATCAACCACATTGCTTTGGTGCGAACAGCCAAAGACTGGTAACGAACACTCCTGCTCACCTCTCGAAATGGGCTCTATTGCGATCACTGGGAAGGTTCGAACCCGCTTTATCCAAGCTGCGGTACTCCTCTACATGCTCGATCCCGTGCGCGGAGAGTCTACCATACACGGTCTCGATCAAGATCCACATGAAATAGAGACGCCACGGGAGCGCCTGCTCAAGCGCAAATTTCTGGACTCGTTCGCCCTCCTATGCGCTGTCCGCAAGGATTGCGATAGCGTCTCCGCGGCATGTATGGAAGAAGGCGCACCACAAGGAACCATTATTCGGGTCGCCAGCAACGCTGGTGTAGGCCAGAGCACTCTATCTCAATTGCGACAGATCTTAGGCTTTTTGAATAGTGCCGCAGGTGCAGGCAAGTCACCGCCCTCATACGTCAACCGCCAGACCGGTCTAATGGTAGCCAGTTTCCGACCCATCTGGCGCAGAAGCAGAGCTCTTACTGCAGATCATCAAACTCGACATTACAAAGATTCGGCACTATCTTAACAACATCCGCGACGCGAAGGGCCTTTTTGAGGATCCTATGTCAGCTATCGAGCAACGTGCGAGGGAATCTTGTGGTTCGAACCCGCATTTCGACCTGCCAGCTCTTCAGCGGTTCCTAGTATGGTTTGGGAACATCTCCGCGATTAAGGATCTCCCCTCGAATGCGGGCCCTGAGGAACTCATCATCCATGTCCAATGGGCTAGAGAAGCAAAACGACACTACCTCGAGTTCTTGAAGGGTGCATTTTCCTTCCAATCACAACTGCCTGGTTGGGTGCGCGCGGTTTTCAAGCTGGGCCGGTATAGCATTGCTTCTAGAGTGTTCGTGCAACTCGCCTCCGAGTTTCCTGGGCTTTTCAACCCGATGACTGTGGAATGTGTAACCGCGCCGGCACCCACGAGATTCGCTATCGATAGCCAAGAGTTGTCCCTGGCCTGCGTCTTGCGGAGGGTGGTCGGGGCAAGCGCCGATGGATACCTCGCTCGGCTTGCAAGTATCTGGAATACAGTTGAGCCAGAGGCTCACTTCCGAAAGGCTTGCACCCTTAACCTGAAGGCCCATGCCGAAATTCAACTTGTCGGCTTCTACGATCACCACCCTCAGTTCAAACCGTCATTTCGTTTTATTGGTGTGAGTAAGAAATCATGCTATCTCTGCCGCATGTTTCTCACAGCACACCCCGATTCCTTTACGACATCCTCCTGCCATTAGAAGCTGTATACGTCTTGGATACCTCCGCCTGCGGCCGATGCGACGGTTTATCGAAGATACAAGGCCCTTGCAGCTGAATTGAGCAAGATAATGGAGGCAACAGCGAAGCAAGAATTAGAAAGCCGCCTAGGCAGTCCAAAGAGACCGATCCCCGCGGATTCGACGGCAGGAGTGTCCCTTTCTGGGTTGACGAGTTCCGACTCAGCCAGAGTGAAGGGTAAGACTCCTGTTGGCTCTTGGGTCGGTTCTTTACGACCCGAGACTGTTGCCGGCGCAGGGATGACAGTGGCGGATGAGGTTCGAGTCGAATCCGAGCAAGCGCCCTCTCCTATCGAGGTTGTCCATCTCACTGCAGACAGCGAACAGGTGTGCTTTGACTTCGACAGCACACCGCCAATCACCGACATGGCCATTCTATTCACAAGAGCCGAGGATACCACTAGGCAAGATATAGTGCGCATGAGTGATATCCTCGACCTTTGCACTAACGACCTGTCCTGGTCTGAGTTGGTTAAGATCTTGAACGTTGATGACGGGCTTGGCGTAGGGTTCACTCCCGGACGGGACTTCTTCATTGTCAACTCACAAATCCGAGTGAGGAATGAGCGGCAGTTCTTCGCCTGTTTACAATATCTTTATAATTTCGGAATCATGAGCTCAGATGCGTATGTTTATCGCTGCTAAGAGGTATTTTTTCTAATGCTCTTGCTCTTCTGTCTCTCTTATATCGGATTTTACTCTATTTCCACTATGACGGCGCTTCTGTTGGCGATGATAGGCCGTTTGTATGAAGTCACGACATCTCCATCACCCACTGCGACTTCGCCAGCTTGCTCGCGAAAGCGGAGAAATTCGAGCGAGAGGCACTTAGCCACAAACATAATGGCGTCGATGGCCGAAGCCAGCAGCATACCGTACGAGTCGAAAAGGAGGCGATCACCCACATCAGCTTTCACAGCGGAGGAAGAGGAACGGCGGAGGAGCCTGGAGGGTGGACGAGCAACATGCACAAGAAGGCAGCTCCTTTAGGTGGGATTCTTCGTTCAAAGGGTTGCCAGTTGCAGTAGCAACGAGTTCGACAAAAAAGAGAAGGCTGTACCTGCAATGAAATCAGTTTGATACGTCAAATTCTCTTTTCTTCTCCCCCAAGAGTTTTTCCTTGATATAGCTCTCTGAGTCCGCAGATTTGCGATCCATGTTGAGTTCATTGCTGTCGCCAAGATGCCGTTCCACTAAACTGAGCCTCTCCTAATGATCCTTAAGTTCTCTGCGGTGAATCGAACCTAACAACGGGGTACAATCCAGCATTCCGGACAGCAGATCGAGAACCTCCAAAGAGAAGGGAATGTGAGTCGCTGTTCCAACATAGTTCAGTATCGCAGGCACTTACAAGCTGAGCAGAAACCTTGCTCATTCATAAATTGAACTACCGCCGGGGCCTGATGGCAAACATGACATGAGTCTATTCGTTCCTTTCTTTGAGCGGGTGTACTTTTTGTAAGAGGCAAGTTAAACTCACGCTGGTCACAGTAATCTTGTGCTTTGTATGGTCCAGACACAGCTAAGCGCTCACACCCCCTCTGACGACATCTGTCGGTAAGCTTGGTTGCCTCGTCGCCCCAGGTCGTAACACTGCCGGTTTTTGAGGTCGTTTCGTTCGACATGGAGTACAATAGTGAAGTAAAGTCCACCTTTGCGCGATGATTTTTAGGTGAGGCCGTAGAGTGTTGATTCCAACGGCACCAATGCGGGGCACGAGCAATGATAAGGCGCAGGGATGGAGCGGTGGCGCTATTAGAGCGGGGCAAGAGCTGCTTCAGAACCTTTCTGTCCTGTGGTAGTCCCCCGCCAGATCCCTTCGTCATTTTATATTCCCATTCTGATTGACTCTGTCCCGGGACGGGGTCTGATGTGAGGAAAAAGAGGGCTGAAGGAGCGCCGCGCGTGTGGGCGAAGATGTGTGTTTTTTGTATTTTTCTGCCTTCGCATGAGGATGTGCGGCTTTAGATTTTAGACGCATACGCGCGTCGAATCGGGGTTTTTGGCACATCGTATTGGGCTTCGTCTTATTTTAGAAGGCCGGAGGCGAGCGGGTGGGAAGAGAAAGAAGAAGAAAAGGAGCGAGGAGGGGTATATATAGGCGTGCGGATGCCTGGCGTGGGTTAGGACGACGGAAAAATGATAGAGGAGATATCGAACCGAACGAGGTTTAAATATTCAATTACCATAATGTATCCGCATTCCCATCCTCTACATGTGCCCACATTCCTCTCCCCACCTCCTACACCCTCCAATGATACCCCTTCCCCCCCTTCCACGGATTCCTCCACGGCTTCCCCTTTCCGCCCTTCGGCTTAAAGCACCCCAGCCACTTCGTCAACGCATCCGAAAAGTACTTCCTACTCACCGCACCGCCCTCAAACGTGGTCCTGAAATCGTAGCAATGCTGCGCGCCCTTGATGACATACCCAAAGATATCATCCACGTCCTGCCCCTGGCCACACTGCGGCGGTTTCTGGAACGCGTCGGGCTGCGGGGCCTCCGGTTCGCTGGAGAGCGGCGAGAGCGTGCGCCAGGGGTCGAATTCGCCGCCGGACCAGTAGACCTGGCTGGGCCGAAGGTCCCAGCCGCCGAAGACGCGGTTGGTGGCGGCGGTGTTGGGCCAGTCGGGGAGGAGGGACTTGGGCGCAGTGGGGAATTGGCGGTGGCAGATGTCGCGTTGGTGGGCGAGGGAGTTGTATTTTGAGACGAGTTGGGTGGGGCCGAGATTGGCGGATTGAAAGTATCCTGAGTCTTTGTTAGCAAAATTCCTTCCAAATCTTTTCAAGGTAGTGGGTATAAAAGAGACAAGAGGCGGAGAGACTCACCCCACTGCGTGCAGTACTGCCAGGTCCACGAAATACTCGCGGGATCCGTGAACCTGAGATTCAGATTGCAATCCCCCGTCACATTCACCTTCCCGCTGCAATCCGTCGTCATATACGTATTCACCATATCGACAAAGTACTGGTAGCTCGCCCACCGATCCACCGTGAAGCTTGCGCCTTTGCTCTTCGCCCAGCCCTCCGCTGGAGCCGTCTTGTTCGTCTTGGGATCCGTCTCGATCCAATCGCAAAAGGCGCGCAGGCCGAAGGTTCCGCCTTCGACGCCGTAGCTCTGCCACTGGTAGAAGGGCGTTGTGAGCGCATCGGCGAAGGTCGGGTTTGTGTTGTTGCCGGCGCCCAGGCCGAGGAATTGCTCCTTGAGGGCGGCGGATTTCTTAGGGTTCTCCATCACTTTATCCATGTACTGAATCGCGGCGTGGATGTCCTTGGTGCAGTTTCCGAAGCCGTATGTGTTCAAGCCGCGGTAGACCGGCTCGAAGTAAACCGACATGTCGACGCGGGCTTCCGTAGGCGCCGAAGAAGCGTAGCTGGCGAAGATGGTGTCTGGGTACTTGTCCCGCATGAAGGCTGCGCGCATGGCAGGGTATGAGCCGCCGACGAAGACCCAGGGTGTGACGTCCGGCGTGAGCGTATAGTTGATGCTCGGCCTGCTGAACTGCTTTGCGAAGCGGTCGACGTCCGCGAGCGACTGCTCCGTGGTGAGGAACTTGAACACATCGGGCGGAGTGTTCAGGTCGATAGGGCCGGGAGTCGAATTGCCATCTGCAGCACGTGTCAGTCACACATGGCACCAGACCTCACTCCCACCAACTGCCTCGATCACGGCCCACAAATCGAAAAAGGAAGCAAGGAAACCCACAGTATCGATGCTCCCAAACAATTCCAATCCCCCCAAACATATCCACAAGCTGCTTAAAGAAGCTCGTATCATTCTGCAGCCGAAACAGCGCATTCGGCTCCGCATTCGCCTCGCCCACATCATAAATAAACACCGGTCCGCCCGGCTTATACGCCGCCTCTCTGACCCAGAACCGATTGTAAAAGGTCCCCTGGTAGCTGTAGTCCATGTTCCTGGCGAAATTGTCGATGGGCAGCTCGACGTATTCCGCCTCAATGGTGTCGTTTGGCGGCGGTGGAGGAGGCTCGGATGACGTCGTCGCCATGAGGGAGGTCATGATCTCTGGCGAGGCGATGTCGGTCATGGGGCTGCCGTCGGGGTTGAGGCCCATTTCCGCCATGTCGAGGTATTTGCGCATTTTGGCGAGGTTCATGGCGGACGCGCTGCCCTGGAGCAGCGCGAGGGCCGCGACAAACGTGGAAGACCGCATGATTCAGCTCTTCGAAGGGTCTCTGAGCTGGAAGCAGAAAAAGAAGGGAAAGGGTATCCTGTGCCAAAAGACTCGACGAAAAGACGTGCCCTCCTCTAAAGACCAGATGAAGACGAGAGAGACCACAAACCCTCAGCGACAGCAACGAAACAGCCCACACTTTCTTTGCCCAGTCGCTCCCAGAGAAAAGAAAGCGACAAAGCTGCGCGCGCTCGCCCAAGCTCCGGGTCCGCCTCATATACACTCTCTGCGCGCAATCCGCCTCGCTCGTCCACGCAGGCCCGTCCCACCCATGCGTGACGGCGATCTCCCCAAACCATGATAAATTGCGCCGCAGTCTAGTTCCACAGGCCGTGGAAAGCTTCTCTAGTCGCGTCCACGGATCGGGAGGCACGGCTGCACGAGGAAGGTAGGACACGCCGCGTTCCGCGAAGCTTATCATCGCCTGCCATTCGCGGGGCAGCACACGCTCGTGCCTGCCAAGCGGGCTAGTGCCTGCCTGTTTCGTCCTAGCGCATAGACTTTAATCTGAGAGCACACCGTTTGCGTGGATAAATGGCGGGCTGGTTAGATTAAGATGGGGTGCGCAATGTGGAAGAGTGGCGATGCGAGTAGCCGCGTATCTGTGAGAGTGTGAGGGGATTTGGATGTGCCTGGAATATATGTGATGCGCGGCGGGAGTGATCTTGCTGCGACCACCCCGCGGATAGAGTCGAGCGAGCCTTACCATGCACGATTTTCGAGGTGCATTTCAATCGCTACACCCGTAGATTCCGCAGTCTCTGGGATACAAGGCAATGCCAGCAGGACAAGTGTCCCCCGTCACGTTCCTGCCGAACTAACATTATCCTCTTCGCCTGGCTTACTACAGCTCCTTTCAATACTCTCCAGATGACCCAGTTCCAAACATAGTATCATACAAGGAAGCTTAACAGAGTCGCTAGAGCCTCATCCACATTTCCATATTACCCCAAGAAACTCCTCCCCAAGCGAATACGAGCGAAGCCGCGCAGAAGAAAACTGGGGTGATGAGAACCGTGATATCCAACGCCAATCCAGACACCATTTCTTTTACCCTTGAAAATACCCTTAGCAAAATCTTTCAATGTACCAAGTGGCACAGAGACGCTTGATCGAACCCTCACTGCTGGCCACCGTGGCCACTAGCCTGCAGGCCGAACTGAACACCCGGCCACTGGAAATTGCTGGGGCCTGAGCCTTGCATTACCGAACCATCCACTGCACCCTGTCCCTCTTGACCTGGGCCCTGGGAGCCGCCTTCTCGACCGCCCAGCGCCATGAGCGTTGTTGCTGTATTTAGATATTCTCCTTGTGGTGCCAGCTGCTGCATGTACGTTCTTCCCCACTGGCGCCAATCCTGATTGGCCGAGTAGGTAGGCTGGTGGCCGTTGCTGGCCACCTGGGCGTTGGGGTAGGCATAGGTGTCGTTTGGACGTTGAGCGGCTGTGCCTGATGCCGTTGCTGCCGCGAGAGCTGCTGCATGGGAGGCGGTCATACCTACATCTTGGCTTGTTCCATAAGCTGGCTGATCGAAAGTGCTAGTCGTTTGCTGTGCTACAGATGCCGGAGTGCCGTTGCTATAGGGGTAGGTAGCACCCGCAGGCATATTAGTGTAGGATGAGCCTGAAGCGGTGAGAGCAGGATCAGTGGTTGTGGTAGCCGTATTCTGGTACTGCTCTTGGTAATTGCCGTTGCTGTACATAGGGGCGGATGACGTCGTTGCTGGCGGAGCTTGCATGACGACTCGAGCAAGCGACTCGGTTGCTGTTCTCTTGACAATGCTATCGTTGATGCTGGTCAAAGAGCGCTCGACAATCTTCTGGATCGCGTTTTTCAACTTGTCGTCGGAACCTATCGTGGATCAGTGATACGCCGCGCAAACTGCGGGAAAAACTTACCCAAAAGCCGGCCACATTCGCCCATAAGGTTTACCCATTCTTCCATGTCTTCTCTGAGCTTAGTCATATCCACAGAAGATATCTCGTCTTTCCGCTGGAAGTAGATGAATAGCGTCGTAAAGATGGCTGCGATATAAACAACTGCATTGATCCAAGGGATATCCAGGCTCATGATTTTCCTCATTTCTTTGCAGGTTTGAAGCATCTGCTGGGAAGCGATGAGACATTTGTCTAGGTTCGAATTTGTGACTTCCGGGTCCGTCGACCTACAGACGGCCGGGTGGTGGAGTAACAACCGATATTCCTGATGCCAATATTCCAGATAGAGGGCGAAGATGTAGTCCTCCTGCGAGGCTCGCGTAGGATCCCTCACTTCGGGCGGAAGCTCGTCTTTCCACTGCCGAATGCCAGCTTCTAGACGTTTTAAAGCATCTTCGTAAGCGCGTGGAGACTGCCGGACCGCGTAGATGCTCCGATATAACTGCGCGGACCACACAGTGTACTTCGCAATCTGGATGCCGACTTGGAAGGAGCATTTGCGGTAGGGGGTCAAGTCCGTGTCTTCTCCTGGTAAGCAGTCGTTGACCGGCTCGGGAAATTCGACATCAATATCATCTAGGCCAATAGGCATAGGCCGCCCTAGCCTTCCGCTCAGATTCGTTGCGAGCGCGTGGAGGGTCCAGAAAATCCGCTTCCTCATCTCAATTTCCAGTTCGTCCATCTTGCCAGTAGGATCAGACCAGGCCTTCGTGGATCGGTGGAAGCCAAGCTCGACAGCAAGCAGAAAGGTTGTCGACGTCATTATCCACGCCGCACCGGGCTTGGGAAAGTTACGCAAGTGGTGGCATATCAAAGCCAAGGCTTGTATGTCTTGCCAGGTGTGCGAACGGAGGAGGGCCCCAATAAAGCGTAGCGAGTAGCGATAGTGTTGGTGCGACTCTTCCATCAGTGCCGCCTGCCCGTTTCTGATCGATATCTGGTATTTCAACGTCGCAAGCATCATGTGGACGCACACGGTTTCGGCGGCGGAGGGAGCAAAGTGCGGTTCGTTTCCAATGTGCCAAACCTGGAGAGAATTAGTTTTGGTCTAGTGACATTTGTGTGATGAGTCTATACCAGTTGCATCAAAGTGGGCTTGTCCAGGAGCATGGTATATGGATTCATAGATCGCAGATACCAGCTTGAGTACTCGGCCAGGATCAGATAGGGCGGCAAGGGCACCGGCTCGACCTGCTCTTCGGCCAGGACGACCTTCAAGAAATGGTTGTAGGACATGACCGACTTGTCGTAGTCTTCTTCATTTTGTATGAAGTCGGTGATGTCCACTTCTGTGCCGAATACTGAGAGCGATGTCCCCTTGATGTTACTCAACACAGTGTCTGCCAGTGACACCCCAAGGTAGTTGTCGCCAAAGGAGCCCTGCTTGAACTGAGGCAACGATGGCTTGTTCTCCAGCCCACTGGCGGGGGCGTAGCCGGGAAGAGGCGACGCACTCGACGGTCGGCGCTGGGAGGCCTCTCCCCACTCGGTTCCTAGACTCGATGACGACCACGGCGTACTAGGAGGAGGGAAGCTATTGAAATCAGGCACGACGCGTGGCTCGACTCCTACTTCTTTCAACTGCGCTTGTAGCGCGGCGACCTGGGCTCGTAGGTAGGCATTCTCAGACTCCATGGCTTCGGCGTGGCCTCGCGTCGTCGCACGCCCGGTGATGCGGTCGGTGGTCTTGCATGGCGTCCGGTTCTGCGCGCAGGGCGAGCAGCCCTCTGGTCGTGGGTCGCATCGTATCTTCCGTACCTGCAAGGGAAAACGGTCAGGAGCGCGTCTCTCGACGGACGGAGCGCCGCAGCGCCAATTCCACCAGCAGTCGCAGCGCGCGCATCGTTTTCAACTCAGACATCAAATGCGACGCGAAATACGAGCGGAATGGGCGTTGCGGCACCATGAGGAGTACGCACCTTGCACCGGTCGCACGCCTGGCCCGTACGCGACGAGCTGGCTAGCTTCTTCTTGACCGAGCCTGAGAAATCACTGTTCGGCAGGCGCTGCTGCTGCGGCGTCGTCAATGGGCTCACCGCAACGCCAGGCTCGAGTTTGGGAATCTTGGTGGCCTGGGGAAGGTCGCCTTCCGAAGGCCTCTTGGGTGCCATCATGCGTCCTGACGTGGAAAGGGAATCGCCGTGGAAGAAGCCGCTGCAGATTCCCGCTCTCGGGCTGGGCGGTCGCTCAAGGATGTGTCAGCTCGAGCTCATGGCAGGTACCGGGCACACGAGACAGCGCCGCGAGGGCGCCAGCTGTGCGATGTTCGGGGTCCTTTGCGATGCGTGTCTGAACTGTGGAAGATGTTGGAGACGGAGGGGACTCGTCACGGGGCGATTCAGCTGTCACTGCCATGCCAATATTTCTACCCAGCCGAACCTTGGAAGAGGCTGCACCCAAACCACATCCGTCCATGACGTCTCTGCTGCCCAGGGTACGGCCGACACATCTGAATCCCGACGCTACCAGAGAGCCCGCATACACGGTCGAGATCGCTCACAGTCAGCGTCTCCCATTTGGACCTCGCCGCGAACTGCTGGACCGAGCGCCGCGCCAAGCCCGCTATTGCCCAAAACGGCGACCTTGATGAAAGGACCTTGCCCAGAGTCTCTACAACAATCCCCACGTATTCGGCGAAAGGTCTTCATCCTTATTGGAATCCCTCTAGAACTTTGAGTTCTCCCCGAGCTGCTGAAAGGAAAAGAAAGACGCCGGCCCGACGGCACAATTTCCGAGCCTAGCCATGGCCAAAGTGCGGACCTTTCGCCTTCCGCACTACGATGCGTACCCGATCCAGGTGGCCATGTTCAAGGATGTGAAAAATGCCGCCTTCCTGCGGAGCCAGCTACTAGCAGCGAATCCGGAATTCGACTACGCTTTTCTAGATGCTACAATGGTGAGTAATGTCTAAGTTGTTGAGTTCGTTTCTTTGGCCTACTCGCTTCGTAAAAAGTCTTCGCAGTTCTAGTTCCTCTCGCACTCGGATTCTTTTGTCCCTTCTTGTATGCGATCATCGAAGGCCCATTACAAGACCCGTGTCTTTGAGGAGTCACCTTCCCTTTATACCCATTCGGCGAGCCCTTCGTCGACCATCTCACCCATTTCCGTATTGGGTCTCAGTTCGCAAATTCTCGAATATTTCCTATTATGTACCTGAATATTTACAGCGAGGTATAACGTCGTCTCGTCGCACCACAAGTTCCTCCTCATCAGGCCAATCAAAGGGGTGAGCACCCAGGTGCTAGAATCCACCGCTCTATTTCCCCCTTTCCTATCAATTAAGTCTTCTAATCTTCCCCGACCTAATAACATCTCCATCAAACCATACCCTCCCCCCAGCTCAGCTAACACCACGCAGATCCTCACGCCCCAACACCTCCTCCTCGCAACCTTCCAAGCCCTCCACAACAGCCGGACATCGCGCCTAAAAGCCCGCACCGCCCACTCCGAACTAGTCTTCCGCTTGCACCCCAACAACAACATCGGCGAGTCATATCGCACATTCGGCATATCCGATTCCACAACCCGGGTATGCGTCTCTCTCTCGTTTTCTGGCATACCTTGCTAATATATACGACCACGTCCGCAGCTCCTCGCAGTGAAGCTCAGCCTTACGCCAGACGTCACTTCTGAAAGTGTGAGTAGGCATCTGGGCGAGGTGGTGGAAGGCGAGAGCGTGGAGATAGGAGAAGCGGGAGAGGAGTTGGGTGGCTGGGCCGACGAGGGCAAGATACGGAAGGTGTATAAGTTGAATGGGAATGGGAACGGAAAGACGGGCGTGGTAAAGAATGGGCAGGCAAGGGATGAGAGGAAGGAGATGGAAAGTGTGATACTGGGCATGATGACTGTGAAGGGATCATGAATCAATCCCAGCGCTTTCACACGTGGGCATTGGATAGGATTTAGCGCGCATAGCTTCCAATATCCCTAGATAGTGGGGGTTGGCTCGGTTAGTACGAGTTCACGAATACACGACGTAGACGAATAATATGCAAGTGGCACAGGCAAAAGAAATCCCTCCGTTCGACTATGCTACACATTTGCAGTTGACTGCATGCCCATATAGATACACCGCCGATTCTATCATAGCTGTCCACCTTTATGCGTGCAGGTATTCGGGCTTGATGAAATCGGCCATGTTCTTCGGCCTGGGATATGGGTTCTCTGTGACGCACGTTAGCAGGGACGAGTAACAACAGGCAAAGAACAAACGCACCGTGGTGACCGTGGTCATGGCCATGTGCATCATCGGGCGGACCAACGTAGTGCATCTTGTATGCAGAGCCGCATTCCATGCATCGGGCGACGGGCTCCTCGCGGGTGAGCTGATATGTATTAGCTTCCAACCGAACAAATAGGAATAAGGGCGTGTCTCACAGTGATCCAGAGGACATTGTGCGAGTCAGCGGGGTAGCCCGTGCAGCCGAGGTACTGCTCGTTGCCGGCGGAGTTGACGACGATGGGGTCCTCGAGGGTGCCTGCAATGCCATCAGCCATCAGCCATCACGCCATCCTTATCCCAATTATTCCCAGACACTCCGGTTTCAATCTTCGCTCATCGTAGTGACGTACCAAGGCGGCTAGCATCCAGCGGCTTCATGTCGAAAACATCAACGCCCTGCATCTTTCCCAGGATTTCGAGACGTTCCAGACCGGTAGCTTGTTCGAGGTCGGTGGGCACGGTACCGGGCTTCGCGCCAGGTGGGAGAAGGTCCTCCTCGGTCTTGATCTCTGCATCATCTATCGTATTAGCAATTGACCTCATGTTGCATCCACACCACCATAACCGGGGTCGAGCTCGGCAGCGCGGAAGTAGGGACGGCGGGGACCACACGTACGGTCAAGCTTCTTGAAACCCTCGACAACACTCGGGGCAGATGATGAGTGGCCGGCCTCCTTGTCCGACGTGGCCTTCTCGTTCACATCGCCTGCAATTGGGGTTAGCGATACATCGTACGATAGCGAGCTCCTTGCGGGACTTACGGCGGACAAAGGTGGTGGTGAAAGTGCGGCGGGCCAGGGCGCGGGGGGCTGCTCGCCGTGCGGCTGCGAAGGCGGAGCGCTGGAGAAACATGGCGGGCGCAATTGGGGCGGAGGGGAGAGGGGGTGCGGTGGTGTCGAGCTGCAAAGATGGAAGCGTTGACGTTCAGACGATGCTCACCCGAGCTTTTGCCAAGCTTTGCTTTGCTGACACGCGAGCTTGTGCCTGCATGCGCCACAGTCGTACCGGAGCACCGCCACGTTCTGTGAATGGCTGTGATCTATCAGTGGATCATTCGTTCAAGCTCTGAGCTAGGTAGCTCCACGCGCAAACACGAAGGCCACTTCTTATGCCCATGTTCTGGTTGCCTACCTTTTACACTCAAACCTCCTCCTTTCAACTACTTCAAGAACCATGACCTTCAAGCCAGCCCTTATTATCGTGGACGTCCAAGAGGACTTCTGCCCCCCTGTAAGTCGCATACGCATGTTTCAATGCCCCTCTAACAAGCTTGCAGAATGGGTCGCTCGCTGTCGCAGGTGGTCGAGACATCGTCCCTACGCTCAACGAGCTCCTCGCCCTCCCGTTCCCCGTCAAGATCGCAACCAAAGACTTCCACCCGCAAGACCACATCTCCTTCGCTTCGAACCACGAACCACCGAACAACAAACCCTTCGAATCCACGATAACTATCGAAAACCCGCTCAATCCCTCAGAGACCCAGGAAACGCGCCTATGGCCGGATCATTGCGTGCAAGGCACAAAGGGCTCGGAGCTAGTCCCGGAGCTGGATGTTAGCCTGGTACACGCGATCGTGGAAAAGGGCCAGGATAAGCGCGTAGAGATGTACTCTGCGTTTGCGGATCCGTTCAAGAATCCATGTGTGAGCAAGAGCAACCTAGCGAAGATACTGCACGATGAGGGGGTCACGGACGTGTATGTTGCGGGGTTAGCTGCGGACTACTGCGTCCGGTATACGGCAATAGATTCCAGTAACGAGGGCTTCAAGACGTGGGTGGTGGGCGAGGCGACCAAGGCTGTGGATCCCTCTGCTATGGACCAAGTGCATGAGGAGTACAGCAAGGTGGGCGTGAAAGTGATCAGCAAGGATGCTCAGGAGATTGAGAAGGTTAAGGAGTACAGCTGAGAAAGCTCAACAACTTTCGATTGGGTGGATTTATTGGCCGGAAAGTGGTCTGCATGATGCGCTTCGACACCGGTCAATGTATGCTCCGTATTTAGGGAATGGCGGTTACGGCAGATACCCGTGGGATCAGGGTTGGCGTTACATAGAGGATTCACTAACTCAACACCCACGAATTGATCTAGTCATGTAAGCTCCATATTTTCTCCAACTTTCCCTCGCCAACCGCGTCTACATGTCTCGCTGTATCTGTATTCGGATGCGCTGGAGTGCCGATTCCGACCATGCCGAGCTCAACGTGGGGCAGCTGTGAATTGCTTTTAAGGAGCTTGAACACCCAAGTGAAAGGCGCCAGTGGCAATTATGTCTATGGTCAGGCGTGCGACAGGAGCCCTCCGGGGTAAGTTTACAAGTGTTTCATTCAGCATTGTTTATCCAGCACCGCGGGGCTGTCCAGGTGTGGCTCTCGCGAGGTCCACGCCGCCAAATTTTCCCCGCGCCCGCGCGTTCCGTCATCGCTCCGCGGCCAGGGTCGTTGGCTGTGCAGCTGCCACACCTCCTTCACTCCGTCACCGACCGCCTAGTCACCAGAGCTGCCGCCTGACGCCGGAACCACTGGAATTCCCGCTTACTTCCTTTATAAACTCTTTCTTCTTGTCTTGCTGCGTATATTTCGAGCGAATAGATACCCCACCATGGTTCTGGGACACGGGCATAGGCGGCACTCGTTAGCCAGTGCGTCATTCCCTTGGCTTCCCCTTTCGGCATCTACTGAGGGGCTATTGGGAGAGAGTGAAGGCTAATGCTGAATTTGTGGATTGCAGGCAGCAGATCCTCGACCGACGAGACCCGAGGCGATGAAGCCGCGAAAGAGGACGAGACTGTGGTGGATGCGGACCAGGGCAACAGTACGTCTTGCGCGCTATCCTAGAACCGCTTCGAGGAGTATGAAGAGCTGGCTAACATGGACTTCTTGGGCAGTGCTCATGCACATCATATCACAGCTACGGCCCGGCGCGGACCTGAGTCGAGTAACGCTACCCACCTTCATATTGGAGCCGCGCTCGATGCTGGAAAGAATAACAAAGTGCGCTTGCGCGGACCCGGGCATGTACAAGGCAGCAGCAGTACTGACCGCTGGAATAGTTTCATGGCGCACCCCGAGACACTCCTCCCCATGACCAAGATCGAAGACCCCGTCCAACGATTCGTAGCAGTAGTGAAGTTCTATCTCAGCGGCTGGCACATCAGACCTGCGTACGCACACTCGGCCCTCCCCCACAGCCCATAAGCAGCAGCTGATGTCAGTGCAGAGGCGTCAAGAAGCCGCTGAATCCGATATTAGGCGAGATATTCACTTGCTATTGGGACTACCCCGACAAGACGCGGGGATACTACATAGCCGAGCAGACGTCGCATCACCCGCCGAAATCGAGCTACTTCTTCATGGCACCCGAACATCACATTCGGATCGACGGTACGCTGAAGCCGAGGAGTAAATTTTTGGGAAACTCGGCCGCGAGTATGATGGAAGGAATAGCTGTGATGAGGTTCTTGAATACTGGCGAACGATTGTGGGTGCAGGAAACAGAGGGTATACAGGCGGCTGCTAACGCATCTCTAGCTTCGTCACGCAACCTAACATGTACGCCCGAGGAATTCTATTCGGCAAGATGAGGTACGAACTTGGGGACCACAGCTATGTCCGATGCCCCGAATCCGGCATGGTAGCAGATCTTGAGTTCAAAACAAAAGGATACTTTGGTGGGACGTATAACGCCATTGGCGGCTACATAAAAGACAAGAACGACAAACAGCTCTATGAACTTTCCGGGCTTTGGAACGAGGAGATGTACATCAAAGACCTAACGGTACGTACCACGTCTTGCCCTTATAGATGCTACCCCAGGAGGACTTTAGTCGCAAGGTAGTAGCCGCTAATGCGCTCGTAGACTGGCAAGAAGGAGTTGCTTTTCGATGCAACACACGCGAAGCACACCCCGCCAAAGGCCCGACCGTTAGGAGAACAGGAGGAGCGGGAATCACAGCGGCTATGGCATATCGTGACTGAAGCTGTGAAGCGGAGAGATCAGGAAACGGCATCGGAAGAAAAGGCGCGAATCGAAGACATGCAAAGAGATGAAGCCGCGAGACGAATGAATGAGGGTGTTGATTGGCATCCACAGCTCTTCAGACGTGTGCATGGAGGCCACGGCGGAAGTGAAGAGGGTGAAGAGGATCTGGATTGGATCATCAATGCCAGAATGTCAGCCCTCCCATTTGTCCAAGAAGCGGCTTTTGCTGACCCTCCAACAGCGACGCCAAGACACCAGAGGAACAGGTGAAGCAGATTCTGCATATTGCGCCAATACTCCCCGGACAGACCCCGGATCGGAGATTCAGTATCCCCTCACGGTCACGGAACCCTAGCTTAGAGCGAATGCCCACCCGCCACAGCCACAAAGCTCATGAAATTCCCCACAAGAACCCCGAGGTGATGAAATCCGAGCCTGAACTCCCTCAGCAGCCGCCAAAGCAGCACCAGCAGACATTCGGCGACCTAATCGATCTAAGCGACCCTGTTCCCCAGCCGCCAGCAGCTAGAAAGCCAAATCCGAGCAACCCAGCGAATCCACCACTCGCGCCGATACACAAGCCAAAGTCGCAACCTGAGAATCACGTCATCAATCACCAAGAGCATGCCTTTGCGAAATCGATGCCGCCGTCGAAACTCCTCAATTCGGTAGAGGGAGAGTCGGGGAAACAGCATGCGATTCGGAGGACCGATTCAGAGACTCACGAGGAGGATGAGTTTCATGATGCGCATTCGTAAGCTAAGGCGATGCTGAGTCTTGATTGTTCAACACGGCGGATTGATGCTTGTGCTTAGGGATCTCATGAGAAGGAGGTGCGAGTGCGGTCCCAGATGTGCCGTGCTTTGAGGGCTTCCTCTCTATTCTCAATAGGTGGACACTATATACCAACTTTAGGGCATGATTCTTTCTGGGATTGTGGCAGTTAAAAGGGCAGCACTTCAGGCATGAAATGCGCCCACGTAGTAATAAATGAGGTCTGCGTATCACCGTTGCGACTGCAATCTGTTACATTCGCGCGTCATAAGTGACTACACGCCTAAGTCTTGCTTTTCCGATCCTCTTCCCCTGTCCTCTCCTCCCCGCTTCTCCGCATCGTCACGTGCCATTCAGCGGCGAGATCTAGAATCAGCAGAGAGGTCTCCTGCCTATATAAATGGGACCGACGCTCTTTCTCCTTTCTTTCTCCTCACACCTCGTGTGCTGGCTCGTTTTGCTAAAAGGACTTCGAAAGGAAAATATGGTGGAGATGGTTGTGCGCGCGGTCAAAAACCAACAAAATACGATAAAATGTGGTGGCTGTCCGCCTGGCATATGTCACACGCTTGAGGCTGGAGGGAGTATGATGAAATGAAAATGATTGAACTTGTATGGGTGGATGAGATATGTGGTTTCGAACGCCCTGTCTCTCTCTTTTCTTTTGGCCATCTGTCTATAAAAACCCGTCTGGTCGTTCCTGATTCCTTCCTCTTCACGCACAGTGATCTCTGATAGTTTCGGTTAAAGGACGGTGTTGAGGTGATTGTGGGCTAGATTGAGATGATAGCGTGCTCAAGACCGCTATGGAGGAATATTGAGCGGAATGAGTAAGAATGGCTGCAAATGTGGTCTTTGGGTGGTGCGCTTGGGAAGACATTTTGTGGCAAGGTATCCCGGGGTGGTTGGTGGTGATGGTGGGGAGAGTCATCGCACCTTTCTTACCTCCTCTGGGTATATAAACACCTCCCGCCACGCTAAGCCCTACCTTCTTACGCCTCGCGTTACAGTTGCATTTACTAAAATACCGCATGCAAAAAAGACATTGGGGAGTCTAAAATGACGAATTCCTTAATAACATCGGATTTCTGGTCGGTGCGGTGCTTCAAGAAGGGCGTTGCAGCATCAGCATGGAAGACGGAGGCAGAGGTCGTCTTCCGCACGTGGGGCATTGGGAGCGGTGACGGGGATGCCTCAAGAAGCGGAGTAGATGATGGCCGAGGACTGGATGACGATGATGCATTTCCTCACCACCGAAGATAACACTTATTCCGAACTAGCGTTGGGGGGGAGTCGCCTGAGAGGTCGAAAGGAGCTGCGGACCCTGGCTAAAGGTATAAAAACCTTCCGTACCTCGCTCTTTCTTGCTATCTCCATACTCAGTTCTAGCGGCATTCGCAAAAATCCCCAAAGGTCAGGCGACATGGGTGAGACTAAAAGCTTCAAAAATGGAAGGCATGTGGCTGGTTTGACGTTGCATCTCAAAATTGACGAGCAGTCAACTAGCGGGGAAGTAGGAGATGTCTGGACTTCGCTCCATGGGAGTTCAATGCATGCCCGGAGAAACATGGTATCTTGCTGTGGTGTTGTTTATAATCAGCTTTCAACGCCCTTGGTTCGTTTACCATTGTTTCTTCTCTTGTCTGGCATGGAAAATTGTGCAATGTTCGAGGTCTCGAGCGTGGGTATATATACCACTCCCCCTTCTGCGTTCTTTCTTCTTCACACCTCGCATCTCAGTTGCTTTTACTAAAAGCAGCAGGGATGTCAGGCGATAATGGGTAGAAACAAAATTGCCCTCTAGAACGATGATGTGCTTGCGCGCCTGGGTCGGGGCCTGAACATTGCAGGAAAGAAGGGGGCCATGGTAGTCCATGGAGACGGTCGATGCGATGGTGAGCATCATCGATAGCCGTGACGCTGCGCATCTCGGAAGCCCACAGCTTCAGATTTACGAAATTTCCGGCCCTAGCAAAAGTCAGTCTCTGGCGAAAGGTTTATAAACCTCTCGCGATCGCTCTTCCCTATTCCACCCAACACCACTCTGTCCCCTCCACTAAAACGGATCAGGGGCACCGGGCATGGTGGGACTAAAAACCAGGAGTGTGCTGCTACATGCCTGGGAGATGAAGCAGGGCTTGAAAATGATGGTGAAATTTGGGGGATGGAGCGGATGGTTGAACATTCCAGAAATATGTGCCCAATATGGGGTGGTACGACACAGTTGCTTCAGGAGCCTCCAGGCGTTGAGAAAGGTACATAAATCCCTTTCGCATCCACTTTTCTTTCCTCTTTGCGCTACGATGTTCGGCTCTGCTGCACTAATATCTGTGGTCGACAAACTCCATGGAGGACTAAAAGCGCTCTTGACTCGATGTATGCGTTTGGGAGCGCGGAGAAGAGGTTCCACCAAACCACCTGCAGTCCCCCGATAAAATCATCCCTAGAGAACGCGCTTCTCGAAACACCGCCTGCGGTGGACGAGAAGGGCCAGGAGTCATCAATGGCTTGGAAGTGGGTGTGCTGGGGTTGATGAGCATTGAAGCCTTGTACTCTCAGCAGTCTCGGAATTTGGGCCCGCGTCCTATCAAATCCCTCGACCTGTCCAACGCTTGGGGAAGGGTACAAAAGCCAAATCTTCTACGGTCTCCCTTCTCTCTTATTAACACTTAATTCTCACCCCTTTTTTTGTGTTAAACGAAAGAGTTTGGTAGTAGTTCTATGTGGCACTAAAAGTGAGAGGCCGTCAGACCATGTTCCGGGGAGACGGGGGGGGGTCTTCTAAAATTGCCTACGGAAATGCAGATGGGAACTTGGGAAAGAGGAATTGGTGTATGGATATGACAAGAGCTCGATGGTGGCAATAGAAGTAACTTGATGAGGATCCGTTATTTCTAGGTTCTTCGATTTCTATCTTCGAGTGATTAGGCTAAGATCCGTGATCTATCGTGTCATCATTGAAAACACATCATACTACGAGCGTCAGACGACGGGCTTATAAGTCCTTCAGCAGCCTACTTTCTTTCCTCTTCACACTCCAGCACTCAATTTTCTGCACTAGATAGATGATATGGCGAATGGGAACATGGTGAAAAAAATAAAATCGAACTTTACATCACGCCATGTTCTTTGGATCTGGCGGCTGTGAGAAGAGGAAAAAGAGAGGCAACCACTAGGACCTGAAGGTATGAAACGTGGCAAGCAACATGAGACATGGCATTCAGAACCGAGGGGATACTGCCACCATAGAGCACTTTAATCAGGTCCTTTGAGCGGAGGCCTAGATTGGTGGTAAGCATCACCACTCTCCCCTTGGTCTCCAGATTCGAGCCTTCTTCCCACTGGTTGCGAGACATTCGAGGCTCAGGGCACACGTATATAGCATCTTTTACGGCGATGGATTTCCCTTTTTACGCTTACAGCCCTGGTCGCCCTTACTAAAAAGCGATACGTGCGTCATGCATGGTCTTCTGAAAAGATGCTATCTAGATATATACATGACGGCCTTCACGGGTTCGCAGAGTCGACGAATGACCCAAACCGATATGCAGACAAAAGTTCAACATCATGCAGTCCGGTGTCCTCGTTCCCGTCGAGCAGTGGGATATGAAGGAAGAAGGCGTCTAAACCTCGGACCGAAGAGCACCGAAGTGCGAGAAATCTCCAGAGAGAAGACTCCAGGCTCCAGCGAAAGGTATATAAACGTCTTCCACCGGCTAGCTACCTTCTCTCTTCACAATGCTTCTGGCGGTCTCCCGCTCTAAGAGGGGGGACGTTGGCGACTATGGAGGAACTAAAAATCGTCGGCCTCCACTGCATGGTTCTGCTGCTTGCAGCAACGGAAACTCATAAGTTGGGTGGAGTGGAGTCTAAAAATGGGGGAAGTTATCCATGATGCGAGAGTTTTGGGGAGAGGCGAGCGTCCAATCTCGGGGATGCAGTCCGATATGCTGTAAGACGAGGACCGAATGCATGGTACTGCATCGATCCGATTGAGTATTACGGTTCCTGGAGTTTTTCATGGCGCTCCACATCAGCACGACACGGTTCCGCTTTCCTTATGATTGGGCAAACCAAACTGACATCCGCACTACTCAAGTCCGCGGATCTATATAAACCCCCTACCTTTTTCTTTAGACTTCTCTTCACGCATCCTGTGCAGGTATTGTAGATTAAAATCAAAAGATTCGATATCATGGCTGTTTCGAAAGCTGATGCGCACTTAACATGTACCTGAGTTCTGTAGGAAAGGAAAGGACGAAGAAATCGCGAAATAGGGAGGCAGATTGTTGTCCTAGAATCATGAATTTATTGAATCGTGCGCAAGCGCAATGGTGGTGATACTCACCACGAATCTCCTTGGAATTGAGTATGTAGTCATGTCTGGTAGCTAGGACAGAAGGTGAACGAAGGTCCTCCAAGTCTCCTCAGCCGCTCTAAATTGGAAGGTCGTCTCATCTTGAACTCCGAAATCGATCCCACAAGGGAGAATAAACGTGCATCATAATGCGTGTACCTCATCTCGTCCTTAACTTCACCATACAAGATCGCCGTTCCTACATCCTATGCAGAGCGGGACGCTCCGCCATGATCCCCAAACAAATCAGAATGCCCAGGACAGCCATCAGCACCCCAAGCGGCACCGTCATCGCCGCAACCGCAAGCCAAACCGGCACCACTTGCGTCAGATTCTGGACAAAGAACGCAAGCGGCACATTCCAGAGCACCATCTTCAGCTGACGCCGATTCGGACCCTGCGCGAATTCCTGAAAGTGTATGGAGACGACGATCAAAATAGGAAACAGAGCGATGGTGTTCAGGATGGGAACACACAATCCGGCGTCCATGCCAGACAGGTAGGCCAGATACTTCGGGAAGGCCCACGTGTCAGGCAAGTGGGGGAGGAACCATTCAAGGATCGCAAAGGGAAGCAGCATGGTGAGAAACTTGCCGATTTCTTCGAAGTGAAGGAAGAGCGGGTCGTAGATGTAGTACAACCAGAGCTCGACGCCATCGGCAATTGTGAGTGTACCCTCAAGCAAGCCTGCATTCAGCGCATCGAAGCGCCATATGTGTTCCGACTGCGTCCCACAAGTGTTAATTAACTCCTCCCGCGCGCTTTCTATCCAGCACGTGGGCGAAAGATCGTTTTCCATTTCCAGCAGCCAGTTGACCCACCGCGGCACTGGCGAGGTCTTGCGAATGGGCTGGCGGCATAGCGTACAGGCCAATCGACCGTCGCGAACGAGCCGAGCAAGGCATTCGGAGCCTACGAGATGCTTGCAGGGCAGGATCCGAACAGGCTGGCAGACGACTTCGTGAGGGTCGGCGGGGTCGTTTTTCTCGCCATAGTCGCGCCAGCAAGTGTTGCAGCGCATGTCTTCGCATGGGATGGAGGAGATGGGAAGGGTGCTGGTGTTCATTTTCGAGAGGAGGCCCGGGAGCGCGCGGATGTCGGTAGGAGGAGCGCCGGGTGCCATGGCGGTTGGACGCTGTTTAGCGTTTGGCTTGGAGGGAGATGAGATTGAGAGAACGCTATGGGTATAATATAGCGGAGTGTAAAGGGAGCTGTGGCCGTCAGAGCGGCATTGAAAGTGCACGTTGGTTCCACTGTACTGAAACGAAGGTATAGCGGTGAATGTCAAAACGAGACATCTTACGGTGGTTCAATTCGCTCAATGAGCCCACAATGCTGGTCAACGAGGACTCATGCGTGTTCTTGAATTTGTGAGTACAATGGAGGCACGGAGGACGTCCTGGAAATTAGTGCGAAAAGAGAGTTCTACTAGCTTGTTAGCGAATGTAAGACATTGTATGGATGTAAGACATTAAGTATACATGTATTGTATATTGAGTATATACAAGACCCTTTCGAGATTGTGCAGCTAGGTTGCCATATCCGGCGCTCCTACAAATTGAAGCAGCTGGCGTAGTACGTTACCGTAGCCGGCCAATCTGAGAACATGGCTTTGATCCCAACTTGCTTGGCGAGAACATCCAGAACGGTATACATATCGCCGTCGTTATTGACAGCATCGGCGACATACTGGTAATAATAGTCGCCTCCATGGTTTAGCCATCCCGATCGCTCAAAGCTCCATGTCACAATGTCCAGCTTGGCCTTCTTCGCCGCGATAGCATACTCAGAGGGTATAATCTTTCCGCTGGCATCGAGCTTGGTGAGAGCGAAGAATGCAGGCGCTACAATCTTGACACCCTTCTTGGCGAGCTCGGGAAGGCTCGCAGTCGCGTTGATGTAGCCTTCTTCGGTGTCGACGCGCTCATCGAGATAAACAGCTTGCTTTCCAAAGGCGGGCTCGTTCTTGATCCAGTAAAAGATGTCATCTGGAAGAAATGACTGCGGCCAGACACGGCTGGGCTTGATACCGGCCTTCTTATAAGCATTGATCATGTCCTGCGCGTACTGCTCCTGCGTGTAGCCGTCGAAAGGCATATCTACCTCGGGTGTCTTCAGTTCGGGCGTGAACTTCAAGCTCCAGCTGTTGACAAGGCCGATGTACTCATCATGCGTCATCACGGTGCCGCACGTAGCGTACAAATCGGTGCGGAAATATGGTGTGCCGTCCATGTATTCTTCAACGGTCGTCGCGTTAGGATTGAAGCCATCCATTTTGCCGCACAGGGATTTAAACTCCTCCATAGTGATATCGCTCGTACAGCACTTTGCCGTCGCCGGCTCCCCGTTCGCCGCAGGTGTGAACGGGGTCGTGCATTTCGCGGCCAAGTCGGTGCGGTTCAGGATGTTGGTCGTGGTGTGCAGATCGCACTGTGCATGGCGGCACACGAGTTTCTTGTCCTTAGTAAAAGCGACGTCGCACTCGATAACACCAGCTCCTTCTCTTCGCGCGGCCGTGTAGCTTTCCTTCGTATGTTCGGGGAATTGAAGCGGCGCGCCGCGGTGCGCGAAGACAAATTCGGAGGGCTTGAACGGGCCTTCTGAGCAGCTCTGCAGCTTCTTCTTCAATGGCCCTTCGTCCATGTTGTCGACAAGATAGAAAGGGCGCGGTCCGAGCTGGACGTTGAGCTTTCCATACCCATTGCCGTAGCTGCTCTTGGGCACCACGGCGGCGGAAGCCAGGCCGATAAGCACCGTCAACGCGAGGAAAGAGCGCATCGTAAAAGCTTGACAAGAGCGTCGTGCTCAAAGGTTGGGGATCTGGAAGGTATCGTTCCTGCAGCACGAGCCGCAGTGCCCTGGGCTGTCATCCTACTTATTCTCCACGCGTCGGCCTAGAGCTCTCCCAGCTACCAGGAACGCGACCAGGGAAGCTCCATAGCTCCTGCACGTGTAGGTGTTCTCGGGATGACAGCTCTTGGGACCGTAAACGAAGTTGACGTCGTGCAGGGCTAGAGACTTGAGATACGAACTGCAACGCAGGATGAGGTTAGCTTGCCGAGATGCCAAGTGCACGTTGTCGAATGGCAGGACGATAATCTCTCGATAAGAGGTGAATATCTTATATCTTTGCTGATGGACCTGCGGCCACAAGCTTAGCATTGAGTAAACGGAAGGTGCAAGAGTGAGTTCTTGGGGTTGCGTCATGCACAGCAGAGGGAAGCTAGGGTGGCGGTATGAGCGTGTTTAGACTCGAGAGTAGACTCAAGAGTAAATACGATCGAGGTGAAGATGCTCTTTGGCAAATCTTTGTGACAATAAATGCCCTATTGACGCCTGGCGCTATAGCGATGTGTAGGCGAGAGGTTATCGTTGGGTTGTTGAGAACAGAGGTATTGGATTAGTTAGATCCGAACAGTAGCCGAAGTCGGATCTAGATCGGGTCAGCACTCCCTCCAGTAACACCTGGCATAACCACTGACACTCTTCCCGGATGCTTACGCACCCACCCTTCGCACACGAACTGTCTTCCCATCGCTTTTATAGACAGAAAATCTGCCACTTCAAAGCGGGCAAGGAAGTCGGAGCCGTTCACCGCGACCTCACCGTCCATCACGTTGATGACGTCTCGGTCAATTCCAGTAGCCTTCCTAGTCAATTTCGAGGTGCTACTCTGAATGCCGGGCTCATGGCTTGTCCTGGTATAAGAATACAAGGGCAGCCATATTCAAAGGAAATGAACTTTGACAGTAGCCCAATTCGCGGTTCATTCACAGTTGTCCGGTGAATGGTCCATGAAGCGGACCATGAGACGCTAGAAATTCGATTCAACACTACAATCCTATAACTCATAAAGCTTTCCCCAGGATGAATCGACGAATATATAAAACGATCGATGGGCAACATTCATATCTTCGTAAACTCCCGCACACCGCCATACGCTATCAAGTCAATTCGAATTACCTATTAGCTGAAGAACTCTACCATGGAGCCACAACCATTTCGCTTCCTCGACCTCCCCACGGAGCTGCGTGTCATGGTGTACGAGCGACTGCCGCGTCGAGTCAAGAACGACAGGATTCGAACCGGAACTCCACCTCAGGATTATGCCTCAACAATAACCCTGATCACCAAGTCGGTCTGCCTATCCATCCTTCGGGTCAACAAATTAGTCAACGAAGAAGCGCGCCCTGTCATTGAGACCATCGCCCGGAAGTATATACTAGAGTCTCCGCCGAGGATCATATCTGCTGCATCCAATTGCAGCCGTCTCACCGCCGTCGAGGATATCTTTAAGGTGATTACCGGGTCGCTTGAGATTGCTTTAGCCGAAGGAAAAGATGCCGTAACGCGTGACCAGATTGAAGATAAGTGGCACCCTGACAACCCTCTACAGCTTTACGCTGACTTGGAAAGAGTTCACGCTTACTCAGGCAACGACCCCTGATCAACCTGGCGGCCCCGCCCGGTTCTAATGTAACTGCATGTGGCGTTCATTTCACCCGCATACATTCCGAAACTGCGGGCCAGGGTGTGGAAAATGCCCTCTACAAATTCGTCCTCCAAGCCGCGCACCAGCTCCTTTATGCCGCTAGCCGCAACAGGCCACGCCTCGCCCAAATGGTCATTGGAACACCGTGCATCGATGATTTGCGAGCCACTTTGCAGATGATAGTTGATCTGTGGGATATCAACCGATGGCATTACAGACATACGCAAGTTCAAATTGGCTTGGCTGGCCGGCTCGCCGGTCCGCGTGCAGATACTAAGCTTGGCGTTGATTCTGTCCTGAAATGGTTTCCGCAGGGAGTGACGCATTTGTGGAATGTTCGGGACGGAGAAAAGGTTTGCGAACCCATAGACAAAGAGAGCTGGAAAGAGTGGGTGGAAGAGTAATCCTCTCCAAACTGTTCTGCGAGGATGGTGGTCACACAGTACGGATTAAAAAAGGCACACAACTCCTCTGTCCGCTTCCCCTATACTTGGAGAACTGCTGTGACTTAGAGGAACTGCCATGAAGTTGCTGGAGGACTAGGATATTGAAATGTTCTTTGAACGATGAACGATCAATAGTACACAGATAGAATGGAATGAGTCGCCCTACTTATACGTCTCTCCTCCATGATGGACTGGAGCTTCGCAGTGCTGCTAAACGGAAGCTCATCGACAGCGAAGCGCGAGCCAAGTCTATCTAGGTAAAGATGTCGTCTCAAGCGTCATAATCGGAATGGCGGTCGCGGATATATCGACTTCCATCTCTGAGGCCACAGGCACCGATCGATGTTCATAGGGTTCGGTGAGGTCTCGTAGGTGGAAGGCTTCGACATTGTCACGTGATAACGGAGACTGTCCCCGGGTGGGCTCTAGAATGGCTCGATTCTCGCGTCGATGTTCTACACCAGTATCCGCGATAGCTCAAGCTCGTCACCACCGACGTCTAGGTGGGCAGCGCTGGGCGACATTACAGAGAAATACATTACAGTGCGAATGCCACTGAACGATAGCGACAGTACACTCATGACGCATGCACGCAGCTCTACCGCCTATCCCCGCTACTCCTCGCACTAGCACTCGTCGAGACACTGTGCTCCTTCTTCTCAAACTCGCCCATCTCAATCGCACTCGTAATAAACCCCTGACCACCACCCGTCAAGGTCCCACTGCCCTGGTAGATCTCCTCCTCGCTCTCCGTCCTTCTCAAATCCCTCGTGTATATGTTCGGCGCTGGCGAGACCTTCGAGTTCGTTATTGTGATCGTGGTATGCGTCCTGATGCCGGATCGTGTGCCGGAGAGAGGGTGGGAATTGGTGCGGACGTGGCCGGACCTATCGTAGGAATTATAGCTCCAGTTTCTGAGCCGGAATATGCGTTGGATGAGCGGGTAGGTGAGGGGCAGGTTGGCGCAGAGGATGGCGGTGTAGGATTCGCGCAGGTACCAGACGGTCCATTCGCTGCCGAAGGGGAACCTGAAGGAATAGTACTTGTTGAGGACGGCAGCGACGATCTAATCTGGGTTAGGGATAATCGGGATGATGAGTTGATACTGCTTACCGTGAAGGTTCCAATCAAAAATATTCCGCATAAGACTGCCTTGTTCTTCTTTGGTAGCTTCACCTTGAAGAGGAGGGGTATTGGAATGGAGATGATCATCAAATCTGAGGAGATATTGAGAACGGCATTTGTGATCAAGTGGTTCGTTGCCGCAGAACATTGGAGGGACGACGTCGGGACTGCCCAGTATTGGTTGAACGGACGGCACCACACTCCGAGATAGAGAACCTCCATGATGACCTAAGATCACGATTAGATAGATACCATGACATTGTGCACGGCATCAAACTTACAAACCCCAGTGCGACGTATATGGCTACAACCAGCACAATCTTATGCTGTGGTAATAGCAACCTAGGGATTGAATTAGTGACGCTCAGCGAGGCAGGCTTGGATACTTACGTCATGCGGCTGTACATTAAGAGAAAACATGTCTTCACGAGCCAGATGGTAACAATCTGCATCTGCTCGACGACAAGAACGAGCTTGGAGCCATAGATCCGGGAATCAATCTCCTGCTGGGAGAATTGAGATACGTCATCTCCCGGAGCAATTAGGTTGCTACTCGTATTGACGATTACGTGCATGACTGCCATGACTATTGTGTCGGTGGCCTGAGGCTCCTATTAACGTTCCGCTTTACGCGTATTAGGGGAGAGCTCCTACCATCGCCGCAACAATGAGGTAGTCGTCCAATTGAAGATGCTTCCATGCTCCTCGGTGTATTCTCCTCGAGGCAAGTCGGGTGATGAGTACCAGCCAACATAGCGCGTACCAGATACCAGACTCAGGTTCGAGGGGGGACATCGCCATCCTGTACGTTGTAGGTTGTGCTTAATTAAGCCGACGAAAGCATCGAAGACCGAGAGTTGCGTAAGGACGATGTCGGTGCGCCTTCCCGCGCTTGGATTGGCATCAACCAGCAATACACAGTAGAATAGTGTCCGCGATACAGATAACGTCGTTCAAGGCGCTTAGGCAAGCATTCGAAGCCGCGTTGGGTTATGGCTCTGAAGATCGTCCCGCTCGTTGCACAACCTTGACGCCCAAGGGTGATCTTAGCGAAACCGCTGCGGAAACTCTTGACTGTGCTGCGGATGCGGACGATCGTCGACTGCGGGGCTCTGTAGATGTCAAATAGCTCGGTGAAGCTTCCAGGATATTGCGTGTAGTCGTTGGATGTCAGAGCAAAAGCCAGGAATAGCTTGTGTTGTCACTCTGTGTGTGTGGAGTAGACGACAGAGCGATCGAAGCTCCCACTTGGAGGGTACACTGCTGTAAATCACACGTGGAAGTCCCTAGGGGTTGGCAGATCCGATTTTGCGATTTTTATTTTGGGCTCGGTGACAAGTCGGTGGGACTCCTGCGACAGTCTCGCGACTATAAGGCGGGTAAAAGGTCTAGCGAAGCCGTGTTGGGGACTAACCTGCCTTTTCCGTACAAGCCGTTCGTCCTTATACGCGTTGATAAATCTCGGATCGGAGCGCCTTCACGGAGAGATATGTCTGAAACGGAAGAGAGGCAAGTTAAGAAGTCCCCAGCCACTTACAGGCCAGGTTGATTTTTACGAGTCGCAGAAAGTCTCGGTGCCGACAGGGCCGTTCCTGGACTCTTTTCGCTTGTTGCAGACCAATGGCTCCTGCGAAGCGACATCGCCTGCGATCGCAATGTGCTTTCGCGAACATGATTGATCGTCGTGAGAACGAGTGGGTCGACTATTCATGATCGTCTCAAGCAATGCCGCGAACGCTAGCGACTAGTCAAGCAGGTCCCTGACTCGACGGGAAGTCTCCCTGCAACTTGCCATGGACAGGAGACATCTGAACGGCAAGCGGCAAGCAATGCCCCTAGAACTGTCAAGGAAAGATTTGAAATTGATTAGATGAAGAGAGGTTCGCGGCGCTCAGAGTGAGGAGAAGTGCTCAGAGGTTGCTGACACTCGCATCAAGGCGGCCGCACTATTGTACAGATACAATCTACGGTGCTTCGTACTATCGCACGACAATCAGGAGGAGTGCGCCCTGACATTATGCGCCCCGAGGCGAGGAGTTTTCTGGAAGTGCCGAGGTGCAGTTGGTGGTGGCGGCCACGAGGCCCAGGCCAGCTTCCGACGTCTTCCGCCCCGGAGCTGCTGACTAAGGCGTCGGTCCGATGGCGCCTTCCGACATTTGCCGTCTTCGTCCACCACCAACCTCTATTTGCCTGACTCGCCGTCTTTACGAGCACTACCACGATACCGCAAATCGACTCTTCTTCCGCAATGTTGCTCCATAGAAATAGATCAGATAAATGCCAACCACACAGAGCACGGTCAACCCGGCTAGCAACGAAACGCCACCGTCCACACCCAATGTATCGAACATCGGCCTAGCAAAGAGAATTGCGCCCGATGCGAAGGCGCCGCGCGCGAACCCGTTAGCCGCGAAAAGGGAGCCGGTGTATTGCGCGTATGTGAACGGGAGGTAGATGAAGATGCATTGGGTGATGATGAAGATGCCGAACATGCTGATAGCGACGCCGAGAAGACTGACAAGCCAATGGATAGAAGGACGCGCGGTCCAAGCTGTGTGGAGGAGAACAACGTCAGCTTTTGACTAGCGACTGTGTAGGTCGGCGTATTGAGCTTACCGAAGAGAAACAGCCCGACCGGAATGCAAAAGGACGCGAAGAGACCTGGAACTAGGCGCATCTCCGGGGTGATGGACCCCGGCTCCATCTTTGCAAACCTTGGGTCAGCCACGAAATAGAAGTATGCCATATACGCCACCATAGCCGTGAGGAGGCCTGCCAGAACAGCGAGAAATGCGAGTCCAAGCTCGCCAAGGTCGAATCCATATACCCCCTGGAATACTATTGGAAATGACTCAAAAAACGAGTAGTATATCCCGTACGTGATAGCGATGTATACCGTCGTAAAGAGCAGCGCCGGATCCAACGCATTTATCTCCCATGGCTTTATCAGCGCGTCGAAAGCGATCTGCCCAGGTCTCATCTGCGCCTGTCTGATCTCGGAGCGTGACTTGAACATTTCACGACCAGTAGCTCGTCGAAGTCGTTTGGCGCGATGATGAAGAATCGCATCGGTTGATGTTTCGGGCAGAGAGAGGAACATAGCAATACAGGTCGGGCCTGCCAGCCACAGAAGCTCCCAGGCAGGCCATCGCCAGTTCTCTTCTTGTACTGCAAAGCCACCAACCAGTGGGCCCAGAGCCTGTTCTCAGTCAGTGGTAGAAAGAGGTGGAGTTGAAGGACGTACAGGGCCAAGCGTTGCACCACCACCCCACAACGCAATGACATATGGCAGTACTCGTGCCCCAAAGAAGTCCGCATAGCTCGCCCCAGCAGTCGCCAAACACGGACTGCACATGAGCCCCAACAAAAATCTCAACACGAGCAACCCCGCGAAATTGTCGACCAGCGCTGTGGGAACGCACAGGACCACAAAAAGCATATATGTAATGATATACTGCGGGTTTCGTCCAACAGCCGGGATCTCGGAAAGCGGAGTCCATATCAGGGGCCCGATGCTGTATGCGAGGACGTATAGGGACAGCCCCAACGACGCAGCTATCTCGCTGACCCCAAATTTCTGGACGACGGACGGAATGCTTGAAGTGTAGATGGAGGATCCGATGTATGCGGAGAAGCTGTAAATCAAGAGGAGAAAGCTGACCCAGGTCTTCTTCAGGGTACTCCAGTTGTGGGGATTGTCCTGGTCGTCGGCGCTGTACCAGTCTACGACGACAGTGGCATCAGCGGTGCCGTTCGTCGAGATGGAATCCGGCGTAGGTATTTGCTCTTCTTTGGCCCGCATGTGTGATAGTAGCTCGAAGGTTGGGAGCTGCTCTGGGTATGGGGCGGTGCGATTCTTCGTCAAGAGACGAAGGACGGTGCCAACAGGCGAGTCTCTGAATATTTCGAGCATCGTTGGAGTGTAGGGGAGCGAATAGGGCTTGGAGCATACACATGTTTGCGAAGCAGTCTATATATACAGGTATGATAGCTAACATATCCGTGCAGAGCAAAATCATCAACACGGTTAGCGTTGCGCGGCGCTCAACGCTAGCCATGTCCACTCTAGCGCGTTCATGGATGCTAAAGTCCGTTTCGCCCAAGCTATGTCCGCCGACCTTCTCACCTTCCCTTCCACGTTTGCAATCTCGCAAGGACGCCTTTCCCGCTGTCACGCAAAAACTACTTCATTTGTCATGGTCAATTATGGCCCCTCAAGAGCATGTGGGACATGCAAACGGAGGCGGAAGAAGGTAACGTCTATATCCTGACATGCCTGTTCACTGCTTATGCAATTCCCGTCCACAGTGCGATCTGTCGCGTCCTGTAAGTGGTTAGCTTTCCGCGCGCATGTACTGCAAGCCACGGTAACGGCGTTGCTTACGGAATTCTGCAGACCTGCACCAGGTGCAGAAACGCGAACATCGCATGTTTAGGCTATAAAGACGAGACCGATATCGTCTTTCGCTATCATGCTCCGCCACAGCGCGTCAGTCCGGCGGAAGTGCATGCTGCTCGCTTTCCCCGGACGGACTTGAGTGATCTAAAGGATGACCAACCGGAAGATCCCGATATCAAGGCATTCCTCGATGACTTTACCGTACGGTCCACAGACAGAACAATATCGCGCGGCTTCCTCGATGGCCTCGATGGGCTCATTGCAGCCGCCGGCCCATCATCCGATCTAGCTCTCGCCATGCGCATCATATCCCTTGCTCGGACGAAGCAAACGCTGTCCGCCGCCCACACCCTCTACAACGGCCTCCTACAATCTCTGCGCGCGCAACTGACAGCATCTTCTCACCTATCAATCCGCTCATTAATTCTCATTGTGCTCCTGGGCATCTACGAACTAATAGTCTGCTCTGACACTGACTCCGGCTACTGCAGCGTCCACGTCAAAGGCATAACCGCCATCCTCTCTTCCGCCAACCCACCCTTGAATCTCCGCGCCGCAACTGAACTCTTCCAAATGAGCGACCCTCTCATCCTGCGGAAGCCCCTCGAGCCTTCAGAGAGTCCCGGCGTCCTGTGCGCGCCGGTGTCGAATCACTCCGTGGTATCGCTCGACAGGATACTTATTAAAGTGCACCCTTTGTGGTCGCGCTCTCTTGCTCTGTTTGCCGATCCGTCAGCATCAGTATCGAGCCTACGAGAATTGGAAATTGAGGCAGAAGAGTTGGACCTTTATTTCACGTCGTGGTCAGAGAGTCAGCCGAATACGTGGCTTCCTTCCCGTATTGGCTTCTTCGAGTCTATACAGGCGGCAAAGAGCGCAGTTCCGGTTTGCCCTGGTCCGGTGGACGCGTACTTTGACTTGTACGTCGCTGCTGTTTGGAACACATATCGCAAAACACATCTCATGATTCTCGACATCGTCGTTACATGCGAGCAGCGCCTAGGTGAACGCCTTCCTGCTCAGGAACAGCGAACTGCCGGATACGCTTCCCAAGCCGAAGCTCTCGCGGAGGGGATTGCGGCCTCTATTCCCTTCCACTTGACGTCCAATCTCGCGGGTCACATGCATGCATCGCCCATGGAGATCGGGAGACCGATCGGAGGGCTGCTGTTGCTGCATCCACTCAACGTGCTGGTGAATTCGACGAGTATTTCGCAGGAGATGAGGGACTACGCGGGTCGGTGTTTGAAATGGATCGGGGAGAATATGGGGATTGGGCAGGCGAGTGTGTTGGCGAAGGTTAGGCAGTCCTTTTAAGGGTACTTGGCAGAGACAACCACGTATGCTTGCTAATCTGTGATAGCCGGAAAACAATTTACCCTTCCAATTCGTGGGCGAAGGACACATCCTCCTTTGGGCTGGTATGTTGACTAGTCCTGCTTAGCTGTAGAGGAAATGGACAGTCGAGAACTAAGCAGTACCATACGCAAAGACCATTGCTGTTGCCACCTCATGTCGTATTGCATCGTCCTATTCGTTCGTCTTTCGTATAAATACCGCGCCTGTCCTTCCCCCCACTCTCTACGCACTCTGTCCTGATACTCCGCTGACTAAAACCATAACGCTCATGAGATATGGAGCAAAAGCGTCAAAGAAGGCGACTGATGGAGACCGTTCGGTGGAGGCTCCAGGCCCTTGCCAAAAGCCGCCGATATCTCCAAGTAATGGAGGAGACTGGGAGTTATCGCGCTTGCATGGCGACTGCACGATCCGGCCGCGCTAGGACGGTGAAGTGGTAGATGCGGCCGAGCCTCGAATATCACTTCTTGGACGTATTGTTTCGCATCGCCAGTCTCGTGCCAAATCACCATGCTAGTTGGCTGAGCCCTTGGAACCAGGGAGATGGTTCACGAGTATATAAATCTCCTCCGGGCACGTTCTTTCTCCTACTCTACGGTACAACTATTTCCCTATCGGCCGCTCTAAAATATTAAACAACCACCAAATGCACGGCTAAAGGTCCTGGAAGCATCTCGTCTAAAATGCGACTCAGTCGGCGATTATGTCTCCGGCAACTGAACACAGCGGACTATACTGCAGCCCGTCAAGTTTCTGGAAAATAAAGAGGATTAGCAAAGATACTTGACAGAAAGGACATGCCGTACGCGATCAGAAAAGAATAAGAAAGTGACCATGGAGTCCAGTTGTGGCGGTGGATTAGGAACGAGACTTGTAGACTTGCGGGCGTCTCTCTCGTCCTCCTATATAAACCTTCCGCTAGTCGTATCTACGACCCCTACAACATTCCTCAACGCAGGACTCGCGGTCTAAAAGCACCAGCAACCGGTATTCATGGACTAAAATCTCTTCGACGTGCTCTACGAAGACGAGGCCCAGAAACGGGCAATGACCAAGAGAGTCCCCAAAACAGCAGGTTTGGCACGCATGATGAAGGCCATGGACGCGCCCGTTCGGTGCTACGCAAAAGAGACGGCACCAAAACAGGCAGAGATATAAACTCTTTTGCGATCGACGTATGACGAGAAGTGCGGGTCCCGCGAACTATCTGGTCGCAGGTGGAGCGGTTGATTACCCGCTGAAGTATATAAAGCCTCATATTCCAACTCTTTGCCTGAACCCCTACACTTCACAGCGAGGCCGCGCTCTAAAAGCACACTGTGATCCGCTCTCATGTCGCGGTGGAGAACCCGCCGGTCATGGATAGTACTTAAAATTCAAACAACTGTATTCGATGGGGCGGAAGAGCTCGATCTGAAGAAGGATTTAGAACGGGAGGACTAAAAGCCATGGTCGGGGAATCTTATGGATAGAGAGAGAAGAAATGAGGAATGGCGCTATCTCGGAGGGTCCGCAGTGGCTGAGGAATAGACTTTCACCTCGGCGTTCCCAGGTTGCACGTCGCCTCTTGAGGACCTTCGAAATTCGCAATGCGATCAAGGTATGGAGTCGAGGACGAAAAGACTGCACAAACGGTTTCGATGGGTCTCTTCGGGATGGAGAATCAAGCAAACGGCTTTTAAACTGTATGCCACCAATTCTATGTGCGTCTTTGGTTAATTCGGAATCGCTACTTCACTACAGCCGCGGCAGAAGGACCGTATTTCGGAACCACTTCTCCTCGTTTGAGCATCTGAAGTTTCCTGATCACGCTATACGAGTATATAAACACCTATTCATCTTCCGTTCTTACTCTTCACCCTTCCTTGCCTATAACTTGGCAGAGGACTAAAAAAAATAATGGTGTGGTTCAATGGTCTGCCTCTGTTTGGCTCTGCGCTCTCGCCTCTCAAAAATAAAGAAGAGACACCGCATGGTCTCTTGCTCGAGGATTCTGCAAAAATCGCTCGACGGTACGTGCAGGGAGTGCAAGGCTTCCTTATCGAAATGTCACGATGCAACTCCCAATGTTTTTCTCTTGAGAGTCTTCTAAATTATGCACAAGGCAATGTGATAGGCTCGGAAGTCCAAGATCCTCGACATGGCGGACGATGGAGTTGAGCGAAAGGAAGCCTTTATAAAGAGATACGACAACATTCAAATGGGTATGCTTGGGCAACGCGGTTCACGTACAAATATACCAATTTAAATGCTCCTCCTGCCACTATGCAGGACCAAAACATTCCGGAATCCGGAGATATGGCTCGGGTGTGGTTGAAATCCAACGTTAAGCTTCTTCCAGAATTATTGGAAGCTATGTTCATTCTCCCTCTCAGAATTCCCCTCGAAAGGGCCTAACCAGCGACATATGGACTGCAAGGTCTAAAAGATTCACTATCCAGCCGCATGGGCCTTGTCCGAGAGGAGGGACGTTATCTCGCGCTATCTCCAAGCTGGATCCAATACCTTCGATGAGCGTACTCAAAACAGAATTTGGGCTTAGCATGACGCGAGTTCTCAAAGACGCGTATACTAGCAGGCCATATTTTTCTAAGATCCGTCTTTCGGAACCGTTTCTCGGGTAAATAAACTACTTCATCCTCCTTCTTTCCCTTCACACATCCTCGCTTCACTGCTCTGGAGGGGAGTAAAATTGCCCTTTGCCGCTGGACTTGGACCTCAATCTTCCTAAAAGGCCTGATGACAGGGTCATGCTTCCTCGGTCGGGAGTTCGTCGCAGCCCCATATCCAGCATACTCGTTAAGAATGGCGGCCTTCTCTTCCTTCAAGAGTATGTTCCGGCTTCCCTCTAGCCTACAAAATGGCTAACAGTCAAAACTAAGGAGGCGCGTGTGAACAAATCATCTGCGATCGAAATCTAGAACGAGAAGGGCGGCTCTCCGCGCCAATCTTGAAGAAAAGAAAAAGGAGACTCAGAATATCCACTTCCACACTCCGATGAGTGCGCTCGAGAAGAACGGGATTCATATCAGCGTTGAGCTGCAGAAACAGTAGCAATCTCCATCGATGTCTTTGGGACCGCCATCTCCTAGTCACTAGTTGACTATATAACTCCATTCCATTTTCTCACTTCCTTCCCCACAGGCCCAACATATTCTCAACCCACTAAAAAGGCCGTCGAAACTATTCCATGGCCGGAAAAGGATCCGTGACCTTCACGCGTCTAAACGCGCTGCAGTTTACAATGATGGTTCGTCACCATCTATGAAAACCAAAGAACTACAAATCAAGCACAGAAGCGCAATGGAGAGAACTTCGCGCTAGAATCTACGGCCAAGAGGCACTATGGCGGAAGAGAGGAGAGAAAGTTCGTTGGGCTATGCACCCATACTTGCGCATGCATCTGAACATCAGAACGCAAAACCCCATGGCGCGAAAGTGCAATATCGCGATGAGCCATGGCCTGTGGAAGTTGTCGTAAAATCCGGCATGGCTATCAACAAACTGAGAAACTATAACGCCATCGCTCTGTTCCGAGGAAAGTCTCAAAACCTAGCAGCCGGTCATTCTATGTGGACGTGGCTCGTTGGAAAGCCCCTTAAGAAGATGCATTAACAACAGATGGAAGAGAACAGCGGATCTTTTGATAAATGCAACATCTCCAGGACCTCTAGATCTACGAAAAAGAGTCAATGGCGAAGGCATGGAGAACCCAGACCAACGAGATATAAAACCCTCACAGCGCTTCCTAGTTTCCTTCTCTCCACACCAGCTGGGTCAATCTTCCTCCGACTTAAACCTACACGATGGCAAGCTATGTCCTAAGGAACGAGTCGAGGACGATAGCACTAAAAACCGTTACCAACAATTCGAAGCGGAAACCAAAAGGACCCAAACTCCAAGGTAATGTGTCTGGAGAATCTTCCGACAAAAAAACCGCAATCCACCTATTCACTCTTGATCGAGTGCTCGAATGCAAGCACACTCCACACAAAACAGAGGCTAGATGCCCAGCCATCCAAGTTCATGGGATTAAAACATTCGCCACATACTCTCATAGCCGGCACGGCGAGCTCTTCCAGCAAAAACCATGCAGATGGAGGATTTATGCCTGCATCAAGACAACGGCGAACAAGTGCTCATGCCGACCCTAAAATGCGCCGGGGACTCGTGAGAAAGCTTAGATACAGTCCAGAACCCACACCACAGTCGCTGAATGCTTGGCAGCGTAATCGAAACGCTGCACGATAACAAAGACGAAAGTATGAGCACTTATAGATACGCTGTCTGCGACTCCTTCCTGCTCTTGGCCATCATTTTCGTGGTGCCTAGGCATCCGTTCATTCTCCGACTAAAAACGAGAAGGACAGAATCCACGGCCCGAAGCGGAATTCAGCGAGCCAGACACAAAAGCCTGCCGCTTATGACTACATGCTCAGCGCAGGGATTAACACTTCGTAAACTGCTACCCCATTCGGACTCGCGCGCCTAGTGGTAGCGGCGGTAGCTGTGGTGGCTAGAAAACAGACAAGATTGTACGGCATGAACAAGACAAGTGGCTGGCGAAAGCAATGTGATGGACCGGAGTCCTTTATCCAGCAGAAATTACCAATAAGTTCGCGGACTTCCGAGGAGACGAGTATATAAGCCTCCCTGATCCTCTCTCCTCTTACTCTCCACACGATCCTTTCTTTTGCTTGACTAAAAATTGGGAGCAGACCATACTGATGTCTTCCCGAGCGAAACTGTAAAAAAGACAAATTCCCGGCTCAACATGAGGACGTGCGCTTCGAGGCAGAGTCTGAGAAACAAAATGCGTTAGCATATTCTACTCATGAACTTACCTCTCTACTTTGCTTACTCCATTCGCCGATGAAAATCTACTACACACCGTCAGTACGGACTAAAATCACAATGAACACCTTGCGATGCTCTCTTCCTAAGTTCCCCCCGGTACGGTCTCATGGCTCCGGTGTTCTGGCTCCGCTAGCGTTTGTCAAAAACCCGATAGCAAGACATGATATGTGTGCGTTGGCATTGGGAAGGCATCATGGACATGAGTGGTAGGGGCGCAAAGATCATGGAACCGCTTAGTCGTCACAATTCCTGTTTCTTGAAAGCGAGTATATATATATACTTCGCTTGTTGTCCGCCTCTCTTCTTCAAGTCTCTCCTGACACTGGAATGACATGGATACGCTCGATGGGAATTATATCGAGGGTCGGAGCCCTGCATGCCTCTCTGTGAAAAACGAGATGAGTGCTGGGCATGGCGTAAGCCTAGGACGCTTTTCCATACTAGAAGAAAGAAACAAAAATAACGTCAACGACAAGCGTATGTCGGGCCCTTGTGTGGATGTCGGAAAGATCAAACAGCGAGATATGAGCAATATTCAGCGCCATCTTACCGTGCAGCGAAGAACGCGTAGGGAAGTCTATTGCAGATGGCAGCAGCGAGTGGTGGCGGTGATGGTGACGAGCACAATGGGAAAGGAAATTGAGTAATCCAGGATTAATGGAATTTCGAGAATCACAAGAGAAGCCTTCAAGGATCCCTGGAAGAGAGAGAGAGGACAAAGCCGGCTATTAGCTCTTTACGTGGACTTCTGAACCTCTTGAGGCTGCGCGATATCTAGTGAGATGTATATAGGTCAACGGCAGAGGACAGCGAAGGTGCAGGTGTTGAGCTCACGCGTGATTCGTGACGTGCATACGTATCGGACCGGCATCGGAGAGTTGATAAGATAGGTGACAGCGGCACGGATCCAGAACCATGGGAGATCTCGCCTTGGCCTCTGCCGAGCGGGATAAGCTGCAGCGACATGTATGGCGCAGTCAGCCATCACATCCGCGTTCCACATGCCTCCAATGAAGTGGATGCGGATGCGGACCTGAAACGACTGTTGATATTCGCACGATAAGGATCAGCAAGAGATCTCGATGAACTGCCGTGGTGTTCACGAGCTTCGGAGTTCGTATGGGGCCGACGCACAGGCGGACAAGGTTCTCTGCACCGCGGTGATCGACGGTGAGTTCAAGGGTCTGGTTCGTCGTCAGCGGTCGAGGCGGGGGACGTGGCAGCCCGCCTGTTGCTGTTGAGCTTCGGTATGCGAAGGACTCTTCAATCATGGCTCTGGTCACCGAAGGAAACATTGCTGCTGCGGATGAAGCGTTTCAGAAGCAAAATATTCGTGTTGTGGTGCCTTTCGCAATTCCCAAAGACGCGGTCGCAGGCCCGTGCAAAGCCTGCTCCGATCCAGTCGCCAATGGTGACGTTTTACGAGCCCCTCCACGACCTCAGCACCCTCGGAACCCCAGCCTGTCGCAATCCTTAGGAGCATGGCATCAGCGGGCACGCGACGTGCCATTCGCGTGTCTAGGAGCTGTTCCTGGTCTACGGGCCTCCACTCGCCAGACGGACCTTGGCGGGCTTTATTGGAACGCTCGAAATAGCATCGCTGCGCATGCGGCTGAGCTCACTAATGACTTTGCGTGACCGCCCACCTCAACGAGGAGTTGCTCGCTGATCTTCCTCGAATCTTCTTCGAATCTTCTTCTTTGGTGGTGTTTGCGTTGGACTTTGAGTTTGTGGTACAAGATGTTGGCTTTGGAGCAACCGCAAAGCTTGGTGAAGCGAAGTACTTCGATATGGAGACGGCTTTCGAGACGGGAGAGGGAACGGGAGCACAGGCCGCCAGTGCCTGAGAAAGTCGAGGTCGTCCACAAGCTCCAGAGGCGTCGGACCGAGCCCGCGAAGCAGAAGCCGAATAGGCCTGTTATTGCGCACCTCCAGCGGGTCGAAGTCCCAAGAAAGCATCCGGAAACGAAAGTAAACGCAAAGCGAGTCGTCGCAGCCGACATGCGCACAACGCCATTCCCCCCGTCGTCGCAAATTCGCACGGTCTCATGGAATGTCTTCCTGACCCCCGAACAAGTGTACCGGTTGGTCATGGGTTTCTGCCCTCAGGAAATGGAGGACAAGTGGTTCATTTACTCCGAGGGACCCGATCAATCCGGCAAACTGAAGGTGCACTTCCACCGCAGCTGGACAGGGCTGAAGATTGCGGAGCTGTTCGTCGTGATCGACTTGAAAGGAGAAGGAGCTGGCAAGATTGTGGGGATCAAATGGAATGGCACCGAGCAGACGAACGGGATGGACGAGGAAGAGGCGAAGTACATGGTCTCGACCACCTGCTCCTGGGTGCTTGGTGTCAGTCTCGAGACCATGTGGATATGATATGATTGTGGGGAGTAAGATAACAAGTGAAACGACTTATGAGGGGCTCGCACTGTTGATAAGACTGGATGTGGATCAGGGCTGGTGTTCTGGAGTTGTCGAGTTGGGGTTAAGAGACGCGACGTTGGTAGTTCCTTCCTCCTTTTTTTGTTCCACGTACCAATTCCGTAATATCCGGCTTTCGAATCTACAGTATGATTTTTCTTCGATCAATGTTGGGCTCTGTGCATGGAAATGGCGTAATACGAAGCGAGTGGTGTGTCCCTGTAATTTGTAGCGGTGGTGTTGGGGGCATTTATAATATATCCGCCTTCCTTGTCGATAGCTCGTACTCCGAAAGAAGACATCTACGTGAAATTCCATTGCCGAGAAGAATGCTCGCTAGGGTGATGGGCTCGTCCCGTGATTGAAATGGGCAGCACAAGAGCGAGAATGGAAGAAGCGAAGTGTGACAGGGAGGGAGCTAGAGGGACAGGGAACCAGAAATGAGTTGAGGAAAACGAAGGTCAGATGAGTTGGGTGTCGGGTGAAGATGTGATGGTGACGAGGCAAGTCGTACATCACTTCCTGTTTGTTAGTATTCTCGTGATTGGTACATCAACGGTTAGGAGGAGAGAATCTGCTCTCCATTCTTTCCCTGGATTATCTTGCATCTGATTGAGCTGCGTTTCGTCTGAGCGACAAACGATATCTTGCAGTCACATGACATGATCTGTTTCCGCATGCTACGGCAAAGCGTAATCCTTGCGCGGGTATTTCTTGCAAAATCCACGCTGTGGCAGTAATTGTAAGCTCTGAATTGAAGTCGTCGACAAATAGGAGAAAGGGAAGGGAGAGCATGCGGCCGCTGAGGAGGCCGTGGAGATCCGGCCCTACCGCTTCCGGCCAGTAGTGTCTTTTTTAGTGGGACTCCGCGGGCGGGGCAGCTTCCCAACCTCGACATCCACAGTCCGCGCCCTCGCCCTATATATCGGCTAGAGCAAGCTTGCTCTTCTGATTTAACATGTTGAGCCTTCCATCCGACATCCAGTTGCTCATCCTTGACCATGTGAGTTCCAATCGCCCCGCTCAGTGCCGCTGGATTCTTGGACTACCACAGGGCACATTGATTGAAGCATAAATTAACACCAACGCTCATAGATCAAGCTTCCCTCTCACCTTAAAGCGCTCTGCTTAACATGCCGCCACCTCCGCGCCCTTACCACGCCGCGACTGTACAAGAAGATCACCATTGATCTCGCTACCTATGACGACGTACCGAGGTTCTTCAGATGCATGACAGCCGGGGGTGGAGCGCATCTAAAGGACACAAGATGCCTTACTCTGCTGGATGACGCACTCCCTCCCGAGGCGGACTCCTTGCAACCTAACCGCCTGAACTTCGATCAGCCGCCAGGACCTCCCCAAGACGAAGCTACGAATAGAGTAATTTCGCCCGAGATGTCGACGAAAGTAGGCCTGATACTACATGTTCTTCCACGGAATTGCCTGCATACATTTCGGTATGGTCCATACCCTTTGTTATTCCTCGCCATATTTGTCATCTAGTGCTATATGATTGCTTCTCTTTCGTCAACCTTTCACTCGGAATTTCTCTGCGAAGCTGTTCTCGATCCCCGCCGGGCTAGCACCATGCGGTCGGACATTCGACCGGAGTGTACCATAGAAATGCTAATACTTCCCAGGTTCCAGTCCATTAAGTCGCTGGACGCCACACTCATGGGAAAGATCGATGAGTATCAGTCACAATCCTTGCAGTATATACATGTCACATTCGGGTATTCCTACGTCTAGGAAAATTTCACCAACCTGCGGACCGTTGATCTCTACATTCCTAAAATGAGTAGAGGGTCAGCCGTCCTGACGTATCAAAGAGTGTTTCAGTTGCCTGGGCTCGAACGCCTGAGCCTTGCGAATTCGCGATACCACGACTCAGGTCCATCCTTGGAGGTTGCACTGCAATCTATGGATCAGAAGTCTGCCCAACTCGACCAGCTGAGATCGCTCTCGTTATCTCACTTTGTCCTTCCGGAACTTACAAAGCCGTTGTTGAATATGTTGGGCATTTCCTTGCTCACTGAACTCACCCTGTGGAGGTGCGAGGAAACGAACGTCTTCCTCCGCGCGGTGGCTGAGACCCTCAAAGGGACAGAGCTGAACTTGAAGCATTTCGCCGTGGCCCTCCGTTTCCTTGAGGAAGAGGAAGACATCGACCAGCCTTTAGACAAAATTCTCTCATCATGTTCCAAACTCGAGAGCTTGTGTCTGGAATGGAGTGCCGGTCCAGGACATGAGCAACTCCGAGCGCCCCTCTTTGCGAAGATCTCCAAGCTTGGCCAGAGCCTCCGTGTACTCTCTCTCCACTGTAGCGCTTCTGAGGATCTGCGGCGGTTTCCATCTTCGGATACTTTGACACACCAAGAGTTGAAAACTCTCTGCTCGTCATGTCCGCATTTAGAGCAACTGGGTATTGAACTCATAGACGGGAGCCTCGACGAGCCCGACGACCTCACCCTATTCATGGTACTTTCCCTATGCACCAAAGCCCTCTACCCAAAATCCACTAACAATATTCAGGGTGCGCTGGCTGATCTGCCCCAGCTCAAGATACTCCACCTGCGCCAAGGCTTCGGAGAGCCACTTCATGAAGGAAACATCCACGTCTCCAAAAAAGACATGACCTACAAGCTGCAGCGCCTCGCGAATAATCTGTTCGACTTTTCATCCCTCCTCTCGCCCAATCCGTCACTTGAAGCGTTGGTCATCGGCCAGGATAGGCGCTTGAGTCTACAAGGAGAGGTGCAGGGCTTCACCGATTACACGTCCAGGCACTGCTTCATTAGGAGAGAGCAAAAAGACATCCTAGGAAGAACGGCTGCTATTGGTGTTCCTGTACCGTCCTACATCTTGCGGTATGAGAAGGATTACGCTGGAATCATGGACTGGCATTTCAACTGGTGGTGCGAACCTTGTTTCTTCATGCCACGGCTTCCTGGTCGCTTTCACGACGACTAGGCGGTTTCTGAAGCCGTGGCATATCAAAGGGGAATCGCGAGCTGCTTGACAAACAGCGACCGGGTACCGGATGAGCTCTTTGGGACACAACCTCTGCTCGTGGTGTTGGCCGCCGCTAGGGCCGTCCTATTTCAATCCGACAGCTAAACCAGCAGGCATCTAAGTCGGTTCGCTCGAAAGTATGGGACCACCCAAAAAAAAACACCTCGAATAAGGAATACGGAGAGGACAGTGAGCAGATAGAACGGCGCCATGGGCCGTCGTATAAGGTTATGCGGGTGGAGTCGACCATGTTTGACCAAGTGAAATGGGAACCTTTCGTATTAAATTCAAAATCATAAAATCATTTACGTTTCGAGATCTACCTTATCGCATAGAAAGCTTCGCGATGAAAATGTTCCTCGACTCTCGCGCACCGTGTCACCGATCGGGATGAGCTCATCCAACCTCGGCATCTTTCTAGTCCTCCCCGCGCAAACCACCATCGCTCCCCAACCACAGCCATGACGTGCCGACATCCCGCACCGCACCCTCTTATACGGGCTTACTATGCCAGGTCCCGTCCTGTCCCGTCCTTTCTGCCTCCTTAAATCGATCCAATTCAGAGTCTCCATTGCGAGACGTCCTCATTTCTCGACCGCGTCCAGCCGAACCCAAGCTTCCCGCAAACAGCTTCACACACGCACGATTGGGAAGCGATTCGAAAGAGAGACCGCTGTGGACAGGACACAAAGAAGGAGCATGAGTTCGCCCGCAGACCACCAGCCGCTCAAAAAGCCGCCAAAGACGCCAGCAATCCCGCGCCCTTCCTCAAGGCATGTACTTCCCCCCCTCCACTTCCCTACCCTCTATGCCTCTTCCTTCGCGAAACCACCAATACACCGTCCCCTTTCTTCCTATCTATCTGATCAAGGGCTAACCCACCGCCGTACCCCAGCGTCCTCCTCATATCGCCCCAAAACCAAATCCTCCTCCTCCACCGCGTCCGCACAAGCTCCTCCTTCGCCTCCGCGCACGTCTTCCCCGGCGGCGCCCTCTCCTCCACACACGATGGCGAGATCCCGCCTCCCGACCACCCGGGCAGACACTCCGACGGCCCCGCCTACCGCATGGCCGCAATCCGCGAGACCTTCGAAGAAAGCGGGATCCTGCTGGCGAAGAGCAAAAAAACCGGCTCCTTCTTCACCGAGATAAGCGACTCGGAGCGCGAAGAAGGCAGAAAAGCCGTGCACGCGGGGACAACGAAGTTCGCCGAGCTCCTCGCCAAATGGGGCGCGGAGCCCGACACCGCGAGCCTGCTGCCCTTCACGCGCTGGATCACGCCGCCCAACGTGGCCAAGCGCTTCAGCACGCAGATGTACCTGTACTTCCTGCCGCTGGGGTCCGTGTCGCCGACGAAACACGCGGCTCCCGCTTCTACGCCGCCCGGCTCCGGCCTCGCAGAGGAGGATGAGATTGTAATCCCGAACCCCACGCCTGACGGCGGCATCGAGCACACGGCCGCGCGCTTCCTGCCGCCGAATAAGTGGATCGACCTCGCGCGGTCGAACCGCATCATCCTGTTCCCGCCGCAGTTCTTCCTCACGTTGCTGCTCGCGCCGTATCTCTCGCCGACGGTGACATCGCCCAGCTCGCCCATCCCTTCCACCGCAGAACTAGCGCAGGAGAGGGAGCGGCTGATGGATTTCCTGCGGAAGCCGAGGATGTATGACGGCAAGCCGGAGGTGTCGTTCGCAGAGGCGTGTATCAGCCCCGTGGTGCTGGGGAAGGGGCAGTATGGCGAGCGGGAGCAGGACGGGGTAGGACAGGGTGTGGATCGGTATACGGCGGTGTTGCGGCTGGATTACCCCGGGAAGGAGGTCGAGGAGCTGGGGTATGGGCGGAGGAGCGGGATTAGAGAGTGGGTTGTTACGACGCGGTTTAAGGGCGAGGGGCCGCGGGATGTGGATGTCAGGAGGAGGGAGGATGTGCTGGGGAAGGGGGCGGGGAAGCTGTAGATAGACATGTGTTTAGTTAGACTCACGGGCGATAGAAGGTGGGGATTTGGATAGAGATAGTTGCATTTGCATTGCCTTTCATTCTTTTTTTACTTACTCTTGGCTGTACTACCCCATTACATCATGGACTATTCGTTGCATCTGTGTAGATACTGTACTCTTCTAACATGCTCATGCTCCAGCGCAAGTGCAAGCGCGAAAGCCACCCTATCATATGAATCGTGCCCGCAAAAGAAGAGAAGCCGTCATGAACAACATGACATATTCGCACCATGAAACGACGAAGAAACCAGAAACGGAACCGCAACACCGACACCGACACCAATACCGCGGCCACCCTATGCAAGTGAAAACGAAGGTATATTCACCCCACCCCTCGCCATCCAAGCCATCAACACCACCAACCCATTTCCTAGGCTTGTACCCGATTCGCCTGATGACCCAGATGCCCCTACTCATCCCGATAAAACTTCTTAAAAATTAAGTGCAAAAACAAGTTCACATTAACCCTCGCGGCGCCCTCGGCCCCCTTGGACGCATCCCCGAACAGGTTCATAAACTGATGGTTATCGAACTGCGCCTGCAGGAGTCCATCGAGGGGTACTTCTGCGAACGCACCAGGGATCATCATGGAACCCTGGCTGCCCTGGATCTCGAACACGCCGACGGTGTTAGAGCTAATGGTGACGTCCAGGCGATCCCATTGGCGCTCGGGGTAGCCCTGCCAGGAGACCAGGATACCTTTTTCGGCGAGATTGCGCGCCGAGTATTTGAAGCTGCCAAAGCGGTATTCGCGGCCGGAACGCTGGAGCTCGCGCATGTGGTTGTACTGGCGGGTGAAGGGGAGGAGGAACTTCTTCTTCCCGCGCTTGTTTTGCAGCGTTACCATCGCTTGCTCGATGTAGTCATTGTAAGACTTCAGCTGCGAATCCAGGAAATGCGCTTTGTCGTCTAGCGCAGTGAGGGTAGCGCGCACGCCCTCGAGTTCCTTAGTGCGCTGGATGCGCCGCCGGTGCTTGGTGCGGATATCGACAGCGATGGCGTTGAGCAGGTCCTGGTAGTGGTTATGTGGCGAGATGCGGCCGGCGCGCTGAAGAGTGAGGATGTTCTCCAAGGCATAGCGTTTCAGGGTTGGGTAGTCCATGTCGAGGAGAGTGGTAGAGGTCATGTCGGTGGTGTAGGTAGACGCGGCGGAGGAGCGCAGCTTGCGCGAGCGGTCTTTGTTATGGGCGGCGAGTTCTTCGCGCACGAGCGCATCCCAGCGGTCTTCGTCTTCGGGGGTGACAGGTTTGCACATGATTTCTGTGAGGTTGGCGCCTTGTTGGATGCGGATGATGTAGAGGATGTAGCGCTTGGTCTCCATGAAGAGAGCTTTGACTGCTGCGTCGGGATCTGGAGAAGTTAGTGACTGGTGGGATCATATAGACCGACATTACTTACCTTCTTGCTCGTGGAACTTGGGATTGAGAGTCAACGTGATCTCGGTAGAGCTGACGTGCAACAGCTCGCTCTCGTTGTTCTTTGCACTTCCGAGCTCACGAATGACTTCTCGAAGAGGATCGTCCTGACAGGGGCAGAGGATCGGGAGGTCGTCGACGACGAGGCCGTGGATTGCGAAGATATCGGCGAGCTTGATGTAGAGCGTTGGCTTCGTGCGGGCAAACAGATCGTTGAACTCATCGATCTCGAACTGCGCCTCGGCGTCACGAACATTGATCATGTTAGACCAGATGTCCTGCAGCCGATCAATAGCTTCAGTGATGTAGCTATTCAGGGGCTGCAAGTACACATTCTCTCCGCCAAATAACCGGCCAGCGGCCACTTGACCGAGGACTTTGGCAACCTCGCCGAGATTCCGGTTCATGAGTGGCGATAGGCCACGGTCAACAACACCCCAGTGTTGGGGGTGAAGCAGCGCAGGTTGCATGTAGGATTTCCATACCCAATGTCCGGCAATTTGGAGAAGCTGTTCTTGGGCTTCATAGGGGAACTTTTGTCGTAGTTCCTCAAACATCTGCTGAGCGAGATACCGGACGCCGTAAGGCATTCTGTGAAGCACTTCTTCGGTGATCGAGAAGAACTGATCAGCGATATCTCGGAGATCCTGAAGGTGATGGATGAACGTCTCTCGCGTCTCAGGGTCTTTGATCGCTTGGTCTCGGGTGACGTTGGGGTCGCGCCGACTCCGCTGGCCCGTTCGCAGCTCCTCGTTATTGATTGCCGACCGGTATATCTGCATCGGATCGCTTTCTAGGTCAAGGTGTTCATTCTCGACGATATTCTCCTTGATCAACGGACCAAAAAGATCCTTCAAGAACTTCCGGTCCTTAGGAGATCGCACGTAGCTGTTGAAGAGTTTCGTCCAGAAGAAGTTGCCGCGGATGTACTCTTGGAGGGCCCCACAGCCATCCACCTCTTCTTTCAGCGATCGAGCCATAAGCTTCAGGAGATAGTACTCTTCCCTTCGCTTCTGAGCAAGGCCAAACAAGCTCATCGTCAGCTGTTCGATGCGCTTAGTATCTTTGTCAGCGAGGCCCTGCTCCCTGAGACGCTTGAAGAGTCGCGCCATGTACTGTGGCTGAGTCTGAAGAATAAAAAAGAGCTCCTGGTAGTGCTCAAGCTTCCGTCGAGAGTTCTTGTTCAGTGCCTTAAGGTCGAAGGGGTCCTTAGAGGAGATGTCCTTGCTGCTGAGGAGTGTTCCCACATGACCACCGAAGTGCTTCTGGTGCTTCACGACTTCATCGAGGGTGATCTTGTTCTTGACCAGTAGTGCGATCTTGATGTCCAGCTGGTCAATATACTGCTCTGCAAGCTCGTTCTGGCGGACGTGTTGAACCACCGTTTTCCGGAGGCGCTCGAATTCTGTGCTCTGTATTAGCAAAGACTCCCAATAGTACAAAGTGGGACGACTTACCAATCTCTTCATCGAAGTCGATGTCGCTATCGTTGAGCAGATGCACAAAGTTCTTGACGGTTGAGACAGGAGGATTCTTGCCGCTGGTCAAGCTCTTGTACGCCTCGCCCTGCTGACGCCCGCGAACAAAGCTCTGGAGCTTGATGACCTTCTCCATGTTCTCCTTGTAATACTTCTTTTTCTCGGCGAACTTCCTCCTGATCATCATGCCACGAGCGAGCGCTTGCAGCTCGACGATCATTACATCGTGCTCCTCAACCAGGGCCAGAAGGGCGCCGATCTCTAATCGCAGGACCATTGCCCGTGCGAGCGCCTGGAGTTGAACGATCTCAGGCTCCTGGATGTTTAGCTCACATAGGAGCTCGTACGTGCGCTGCCGTTGCATGTAGCCCCGACACGCTGCTTGCAGGTCCAGAATGGTGGGTGTTTGTGCCTGTAGAGCCTTGAGATCAGAGAAGTGCCTCTGGCGCGACATGAATCCGCGCATGTAAGACTGAATAGAAGTAATGAGAGGTTCCTGATCATTCAATTGCGCGAGGATATCCGCAACCTCAGAACGAAGCTGGCCTCCTCTTGCAACAGCCTGGAGATCAGTGATTTGAGGCGCCTCGGCTTGGAGCGCTTCCTGCAATTGCCTGAGGGAGTTTCTCAAGGAGTTGCCTCGAACCGTAGATTGGAAGTCGGACCAATTAACATCGGTACGTACCAGCTTCTCTTGCATTTCGGCATTCTTCTTTCGTTCTATCGCGCCCCTGGCAGCGGCCTGCAGGAGTGTGATGATGGACTCGTGTTGGCGAAGGTTCTCCTGGTCAGCTCGCAGCGACTGACGCACGAGCGTTGCTCGCGATACGGCTTGAACCTGGGAGATCTCGGCTTCATTCTCCTTCAGTTCTGCATATTCCCGGTCGATCTGGTGTCGGATGAGGGCTCCACGGATCATGGACTGGATGTGCAATACGGCGGGTTCCACATCGCGTGTCTGTTCGTATCGCTCGGAGACCCGCAATCGTTCTAAGGCTCCCCGAATGGCGGCCTGGAATTGTCGGATACCGTTCTCGTGACGTTGCATTCTAGACTTGGTGTACTGAACTTGCGTCCGGGCTTTGCGTCCCCTGAATAGATTCTGCACCATCAGGACCTGGGATTGTTTGTCGCGCCAGTATTCCTCCTCGCCCCGTAATCTCGACCGTATTAGGAAGCCGCGAGCGGCGCTCTGGAGATGGATTGCGAATCGTCGCATGTCCATGCGATAGTAGGCGATTTGCCTCGCCCAGTCGCCTCGGATGCGCGACTGAAGGTCAACGATGAGTTCTTCCCTATCCCAGAGAAATTGCATCATGTTTCCGAGCCGCATCCGCAGCAGGGCACCCCGAATCTGTGCCTGGAGATCGGCAATGATGGCTTCGTTCTCGGCGAGTTCGCGGTCGATGCGATCTTCTTCCGATTCCACCGGCTCGGGCTCTGGCTCGACAGCAAACTTGGCTGACATGCCAGAGAAGTTGGGCATGCTAACCCCAGCCTTATCGAGCCCTTTCTGCATGGCTTCCAGCTCGTGATCTTCGAATTGTAGCTTGCCTACAAGGTTCCCGATACGGAAATCGACCATGCCCTTGCGGAACAGGAGCCATGAGAGCGCGTGAATGCAGTAGATGACCTTGGGTATGTTCTTCTTCTCGTATAAGTCGACAAGCTCGAATCGGAAGAGGTCGGGAAGTTCTACGTCGGCCAGGAACTTGAACAAATGGGCGTAGTTGTTGGAATGCCGCCATTGCAGCTTTGGGTCCCGGAATATCCGCAGTGGTCGTCCTTGTATCGCCTGAACCACCTCGGCCAGAGTCACCCCGTCTCTTAATGCTTCTTCAAGCTCCACGACGGGCGGAATGTCTTTGTGGATGATGTCTTCTATCCACTCCTTTGCCTCTCCAATGTGACACAGGTATTCGTACGCCTGCAGGAATTGCCTCTGCTGGTCCATCCAATTCCTGCTCGCCCAACTTGAAGCTGTCTTCTTCCCTCGCGCTGAGTCGGTGCGCTGCAACCTTCTCCGCCCGTGTAGACCAACCACTTCCTGCTCGGGCGATTTGATTGTGAAGTCTTCCTCTGAAGCTGTCTCGGCAAACTTGGACAGCGTCCGGAGATGACCTGTTGCGGACTTTCCGAGCTTTTGCAGGTCTGGTCGCTCGAGATGGGTCGCGTTGTGGGGTCGAGAGGAGTGGTCACGGGCAGGTGCGCGGATCGAGTCGGAGCGGGAAATGGCCATAGAGAGAGGGCGCGGTTTTGCGGGCGGAGAAACGGAGCCATCGAAAGAGTTGTATCGAGCAGGGTCGACGCTCTGCGATCGTGTGTGTGTCCGTGTCGGACTGTTCGTAGGACTGTTCGTCGGACGAGCAGGCGGTTCGGGCACCGGCGAGCTCTGCGGCACCTGTGGGAGCGGACGCAGAGCCTTGCGCATACTTGCATATGCACTGCCCGGGTCAGTATCTTCGGAGCCAAAGTAGCTCTCTGTGCGTGGTTGTGAGAGCGCCGTCGCCTCGCTCAGACCTCGGCGGTGCCCCGTGGTCACCGGAGGATAGCCGTTCGATGCATCGCTTGAGAATGTGCTTGACCGGCTGGGTGTGTATCGGTTCGAGTTGCTCGAATACGTCGACGAGCCATTAGATGCTGTGGATGTCTGGCGCAGCGGTGAGGGCGAAGTCGCCTGGTGGCCGAGTCGTGTGCGCGGGGCGTAGGAGTAGCTCATGGCGAGCGCATATGTCGACAGCAGATGTTGCGTATAAATCGGCGAGGCATACGTCGCACAGCTTGCGGGTGGAAACGTCGGATTGCGGTGCTTCCTTGAGGCTCAAGAGGCCGTTCTCGAGACCGCGATATTACAAGTCGGACGGAGGCGCCTGCCTGCGAAACGAGCCCCAACGGACTCGCAAAAGGATCCGTCAAAAGGGTCGAATTTGACCAGGCCGGCGCAGAGCGACTGCGTGACCAAAGAAAGTAATGAGGAATGTGGGATTGGGATAGTAGCTTGGAGTCGCGGCGGCGTGGAGGCTGGAATTGGAGGTGCTCGGCTATGGCAGGACTTGTTTACCGCGACCGGGGTGTTTGGTGGTTGCCCTTGGTTACGCCTCAACAGCCATCTTCCCCGCCACGAAAACCTCTCCCGCCTCACGTCACACGCCGGGCCAGCGCCAAACAGGGCCAGTGAGGACCCAATTCTTGCTTCCCGCTTGACGAATGCTCTGTTCGCCCAAATGTTCCTGTGACCCCGGCGATTCGCGCAACTAGCAAGGACAACAATGTGCTTCAGGTTCTGGTTTGGCGGCTCAGCTCAGCTCGTTGACGCGACGCGGTCGAAGTGTAACGCGTGCTAGATGCACTCTCTGTCTTCAGCGGGACATCATTCGAACAATACTAGGAACCGAAGAAAAGTCGTGGCCCCGACATCCCAAAGCGCTCCAGGGCTATTTGCGACCAAGCTCCATCTAGCTAGACTCGAGACTGACGAGAAAACGCGCTAGTACACGTGACCGAACGCACAGGCCACATTTCCCCCACACAAAAAGTTTCGCGCTCGTCGAACTCTTCTGCTCTTGGGAAAAGCCCGCCTCTTTTTCCCGGCCATAGTTCCACCACGAACTGCGGTCTATTTCGTTAGTCAAGCCTTTTCTATCACTTCTCTGTTCCTCGAGAAGTCTTTCTGATCATGCCTATCCTTAACGGCGACGCTATGACCAATGGATCCGCGGACGGCCTAGACTTTTCCAAAGCCCTCGAGGTACTCAAGAACGAGTACCCCGAGCGCGATGGGATAGATGTGAAGACGCTCATTGACTCTAAGGTTAACGGTGGTCTGACATACAATGACTTCCTGATGCTTCCTGGCTACATTGGTGCGTTCCTCTCTATGTAGACACGACCGCTCTAACACGCTGCACCTAGGCTTCCCCGCTTCAGAAGTCACACTCGATACACCCGTCACAAAGAGAATTACCCTCAAGACTCCTTTCGTCTCGTCGCCCATGGACACAGTGACGGAACATAGCATGGCCATCCACATTGCGCTTCTGGGTGGCTTGGGTATCATCCACCACAACTGCTCTATGGAGGAGCAGGCGGAGATGGTGCGCAAGGTCAAGCGATTTGAGAACGGCTTCATTCTCGACCCGGTCGTCATCTCGCCGACGACCACGGTCGCAGAGGCAAAGGCGCTGAAGGAGAAGTGGGGCTTTGGAGGGTTCCCAGTCACAGGTCAGTTATCCCCTTCACGAATTGGGCTTTGTGCCGGCCTTTATTATGATGATCAATCTTTGCCCTTTTAACTTTCGTTCATCCGCAACGGTTCCGCCGTGGTGTGGAATTATGGAGATTTCTGTCTGATGCAAATTTTCGCCGCCTTTCCCTTAAAGTGCATAGCGCCACCCAGTTGCTGACGAGATATGTACAGAGGACGGCACCCTGCGCTCTAAGCTCGTCGGTATCATTACCCCGCGCGATGTCCAGTTTCATGCCAACTTGAACGACCCGGTGACCGCCGTTATGTCTACCGACCTGGTCACTGCCCGTCAGGGCATTGACTTGAGGGAGGCTAACGACATCCTCAGCAAGTCCAAGAAGGGCAAGCTTCCGATTGTGGACGAGAACTTTAACCTCATTGCGCTGCTCTCGCGTTCCGATTTGATGAAGAACCTCCACTACCCGCTCGCTTCCAAGCTTCCACACTCAAAGCAGCTCATCTCCGCTGCAGCTATTGGCACTCGTCCGGAGGATAAGATTCGACTCCAGAAGCTTGTTGAGGCAGGCCTTGACATTGTGGTGCTCGACAGCAGCCAGGGTAACAGCTTGTATCAGATCGACATGATCAAGTATGTCAAGGAGAAGTACCCCGGTCTCGACGTAATTGGCGGAAACGTCGTCACCCGAGAGCAGGCTGCTGCTCTGATCGCCGCGGGCGTTGATGGCTTGCGTATTGGTATGGGAAGCGGAAGTGCTTGCATTACCCAGGAGGTCATGGCTGTTGGCCGACCGCAGGCCACCTCAGTCTTCAACATCGCTCAGTTTGCCAGGCGATTCGGCGTACCTTGCATTGCCGATGGTGGCATCCAGAACGTTGGCCATATCGTAAAGGGTCTCGCTCTCGGCGCTTCTACTGTCATGATGGGTGGTCTGCTCGCTGGTACGACCGAATCCCCAGGCGAGTACTTTGTCAGTCATGATGGTCAGCTTGTCAAGGCTTATCGTGGCATGGGCTCTATTGATGCCATGGAAGACAAGAAGGCCGGAGTTGGGAGCAAGAACGCAAAAGCGAGCAATGCCGGTACTGCGCGTTACTTCTCGGAGGGTGACCGCGTCTTGGTTGCTCAAGGTGTTTCAGGATCCGTCCGCGACCGCGGTTCCATTACCAAGTTTGTGCCCTACCTGATGGCAGGTGTCCAGCACTCGCTCCAGGACATTGGTGTGAAGAGCGTGAGGGAATTCCAGGAGGGTGTGCGCAACGGCACGGTTCGGTTTGAGCTAAGAACCGCGAGTGCACAGGCTGAAGGTAACGTCCATGGCCTTCACAGCTTCGACAAGAAGCTCTACTCTTAGACATACCCCCCATGCATGCATCTGGAGCGGCGTTTGGTGAGACTTGGTCTATTTTTATTGATGCAGGTGATTGATGGCTTATGGATTTGGTATGGCAGAAAAGCAATGATACCATGTTTACTATCTTCGCTCAGATTCTCTCCAACTTCTCCATGCCCCTCCGCTCTCTATTCAAGAAACCCTGCAATACCGCAGGAGCTTGCCGTTTACTACGGCAACCCACCTACTCTAGCTTAAACTCCGTCTTCCTCAAGAACTCTTCCAAGTTAGTCAGCTTACCTCTCGCCTGGGCCTTCGCCCACTCAACCTGCTCCTTCATGTTCTCGCCATAGTACCCATAATCCCTGAACAGCAGGTACATTTCGAAAAGCTGCTCCCTGTACCCCTCCGGCAGAAATCCCTTGAACACCTCATCTGGAACATGCTGGAACTTGACCGTCTTGCCAGAGACCTTCGACATGGTGGCGGCCACTTCATCCATAGTGTACAGACCCTCAGCCGCAGCGAAGAACTTCCCCTCGTACTTCTCCGGCTCAGCGAGGATAGCAGACACCCAGGCGCCCGTGTCCGTAATATCGAGCTGAGGCAGGACAGTATCACCACGGCACAGGCTAGCCAGGACATACGTCCCGTCATTAGCAGTCGAAGGTCTCGGTTTCTGACTCGTGTAGTAGTTCTGGAAAAACCCCGCCGGCGCAAAGAACGCGCTCTTCACCGGCAATCCGCGGATATACGTCTCGATCTCCGCCTTGACGTCGAAGTGCTCCACCCGCTTCAGCTTCCCGCCCGAGATCTCGACCGGGTGCGACATCGAGCTCCAGATTATGTACTGCGCGCCCTGCCTCAGCGCCTCGGAACACAGCGCTTGGGCCTGCGCCGTCTCGATGGCTTTCGTGTCGCGGCCGTAGTGCGTGTTGGTTACGGCGAAGATGAAGGATGCGTTTTTCAGGGCGCCGGGGAGCGTGGACGGGTCGTCCATGTCCGCGCGGACGACTTCTGCGCCTGCGGAGGCGAGGGCTTGCGCTGCGGGCGTGTTGGGGTTGCGTGTTATGGCGCGCACGGAGTAGCGCTGGGAGAGGTCCGGGGAGGAGAGGACGGCGTGGGCGACCGAGCCGCCTTGGTTGCCGGTGGCGCCGAAGACGACGAGGAGGTGCTTTCCTCCGGACATTTTGGCCAGGTTGTTTGGTTGTTGTAGATGAGTCTGGAGAAGAGAAGATGGTATACGATACTCAGATGCCTTCGTTGATATGAAGGGAGTTGACAAAGCTGGTATGGTATCGGAGATGCGATCTCGCTCTGTAATAGCTCTCTCCTCTATACCTGGGTATCGACATTTTGGAACCCATTTTATACCTCACTTCCCTCCAACGCATTCCCAACGTTCTGGTTCGGGCCCTACGACTTCTCCTCTTGCCATCTCCGCAGCCTTGCGGAGAAGACGGAGTTAACGCCTGGTCGTCCAATCAGATTGATCTAATCCGGGCCGGAGCCGAGAGTACGCCTAGGCCCGAAGCGTGCATACGAGCAGAGGAATGGTAGGTTCTTGGCCGGTGTGGTTGATGGTTGTTTGGTATTTTGGAAATTCGTGGGAGGACTAGAGAGGGCTTGCTATTGGCTCTGTGTTTGGGTGGTTTATTTAAGAAGAGATTTGATTGGTGGACGCGTTGGAATTGGGAGTCGTTGACGAAGTGGCGTAAACAGAGCATCATAGCATTCCTGCTAAGTCCAATCTATTCTCCGATATTTTTGACGTCGGTGGGTCGGTTGTAGAACCGCACGAGAGAATGGATATATCCATGAGCGTCGGGGATAGGAGGTTGGCTTGGAGGTGGAGAGGTGCGGTACGGCCATGCTGTTTTCCTAAGAACGCAAACGCGAAGCATGCAATGCGTAACGTACGCCGCAAATAAGGCCATCCCAATTTCTCAGAGACTCATATGCCATCTATATCTCGCGCGATCGAGCTCCTTGAGTGTTCAGCTGGGAACCACTCAGTTTGACAGAGCTCACGCTCGGAATGATGGGCATGAAGGTATTTGGTCTCTTTGTCTTCTATTTAGAGGGTAGTGTGATAATCTTTCTAGATAGCACAAGAGATATGTAGAAAACATCTAATAATACATTTACCATGCAGAGAGGACAACACGAAGAAACGAAACCGAAATCCTAGGGTTTTATACAAGAAACGCACGACCCGTCTAACAAACAACGTGTAACAACTATCCAATGTGGGTCTCTCCTCCTACAGTTACTTCTTATATATTTACACACCAGCCTCCTTCTCTGCGCCACCCGATTTCGCGTTCGCGGCGCGGTTCTCCGCCTGCGCAGCAGCCTCCTTCTTAACGCTCTTCCACTCCAAAGCAACCGAGCCGAGGATAGTAAGACACGACACGATCAACCCAACCTGGAACACCACGCGGAGCGCCTCATTATAAGCCGTGAGAACCGTTCCCCGCATGCTCGCAGGCAGTGAGCTGAGCAATGACGTGGCGCCGCCCGATGTGACAAGGCTAGGATCAAACCCAGGCAAGCCAGAAAGTCGTTTCAGAAGCTGATTATCCAGTACGTTCTCCCCAATAGAGATGAACACAGTTGCCCCGATAAGCTGCCCGAAGAACATGAGCGCCGAGCCGATCGCCACATCCTGCTTAGGTAGAACGGTTTGCGCGGCGAGATTTGGTGCTTGGAAAGCGAGGCCCATGCCGAATCCGTAGAGGATTTGGTATCCGATCCACTTGCCTTCGGTCGTGTCGACTTGGAGGGTCGTCAGGAGTCCTGAGCCGACGGACATGAGGAACGCTCCGAGAATCGCGAATGGTGTGTAGTATCCGATCTTCTGAGTCGCGATTCCACCGAAGATAGATGCGGCGACCATTGATAGCATCAGAGGCAGTAGTCGGATGCCTGAGTCTACGGCAGAGGATCCGGTTATTGATTGGAACCAGATCGGGAGGAAGTACGCTGTTTTAGGTCGGCCGACAGTACCCAAAGTATCAGGGAATGCGGTGCTCTTACTATAGATGTACATCGAAGCCCCGATACATGTTGTTGCCCAGCAGCCAGCCGCGATGCTGCGCTGCTTGAAGATTCTCGGCGGGATTGTGGCAGTGCCGGGAAGGAGTATCTGAACGGCAACAAAAGCAATGCCCAATACTCCCATAAGAGTAAGCAATGCTATGATTCGCCCATTGCTCCACTGGAGATAGTTAGCAAACCTGAACTTTAAGACTGCGCTTCGAGTGACGCACAGCATACGTCTGGCCACCCCACTGGAGTGCTAACAGAAGACAGACCACACAAGGTATCAAAGCCGAGGTTCCAAGGAAATCCAGCTGTGTCAGTTTTTTCGTCCAAGGGAGCTTGGTTGTATCTCGGTCGGGGACCTTTAGACACAAAGCAATGACGGCCATTGCCACCGCTCCGAAAGGCAGATTGATGTAAAAGCACCATCTCCATGATATCTTTGAAGTAAAGGCGCCACCAATCAAGGGACCGACAATTGAAGCAATGCCGAAGAGGGCGCCGAACAGGCCTTGTATTTGGGGCCGCTTCTCCAGAGGAACAGCGTAGACTATAGTTACGATCTGCGGCACGCGGCCGGTCAGTACTATTAATGAGTGGCGGAAGGCCAACTCACGGATCCTGAAAAGATCCCAGCCGCGCCAACTCCGGCGAGTGCTCTTCCCACGATGAAGGCGGTTGAGTTCGAAGCGGCCCCACAGACAACGGAGCCGAGTTCGAATAGCAGGACGTTCGCGAGGAAGACGCCTTTGACGGCATAGAGCGTGTAGAGCTTTCCGAGCAGGAGTTGAAACGAGCAGGATGACAACGTGTATGCACTCCCGTACCAGCCAACATCAGGAAGGGAGTGGAAGTCATTCGTGATTTGGGGTATGGCCTGGCCCGGGTTAGTCCACCGTGGTCTCGCACCGCTAAGCGCTGTTTGTGAGGTCATGCTCATACCGTTGAAATAATGGTCCTATCTAGACCAACTAGAAACATGCTGAGGAGGACCGAGGTCAGCAAGAGCACAACCCTTGGGGCCGATTGCTCCTGATAGGTGTCGCCCAGTTTGCTCGAGTCGCTCGGAGTCGCCACATCGAGAGAGACCTTTTCTGTCGCACCCGAATTGCCGCTTTGTGAAGTCGTAGGTCGTCCAGTCGCCATGGCCATGATGAAAGCCGTTGATATCCTTCGACCCGAAGAACCTATCACGAACCCCTGGAAGCCGGGTTCAGAAATGTTGGTGTGAGCGACAGGCAACAAAGGTTTGAGGTAAAGAATTGTGTCTTATTTATTAGGAACGAAGAGATCCTCTGACTTCGGAATGGAAAGAGTGAAGTGGAACTTGAGATTTAGGAAGAAATCGAGCTCCCATATATCCACGAACCGAAAAGGACTAGGCCACGACGTAGACATTTTGTCGGGTTCTAACAAAGCCCGGGTGTAGAAAGGGCTTGCGGGTGCTTTCCGGGGGTTGGACACACGGCTCGCCATTGTGGATGGTGCCGTCGACCGAGCGTTGGCGAGATGGGCTTGTGGTGTTGTTGCGGACGTTAGTAGAGCCCGGCGGACTTTACAAAAGCCCGAGATGCGCTAGCTGTTTTAGGATAGCTACGTGAAAGTTGGAGGTGGACCAACCCCTCACTCTCATCTTTCACGCCTCAACGCTCGCCTCTTCCATATCTCCCAGCTTAGGAGGCTCCCTGATTTCATCCTATCGGTGCCTACGAACCCTGGATCTTTACTTGTTATATTGCGTCCAAAGGGTTCTGCATCCTGGTCCTACAGCCATGTCAACGGGACCCATTCAAGAACAAAATAAACCGGACCCGTCTCGGTCTTTACATCCCCCGCTCTCCCAAGCATCGAAGCCACAGCGAGTCCTCTCGTGCGTGCTCTGTCAGCAGCGTAAAGTCAGGTGTGACCGCAAGTTTCCCTGCACAAACTGCATTAAGCACCAGACGCAATGTGTGCCTGCGACGCAGGTGCGTCGGCGAAGACGCCGGCTCCCGGAACGAGAGCTTCTGGATCGTCTCCGCAAGTATGAAGAGCTTCTTCGTCAGAACAATGTCCAGTTCAAGCAGCTCCATGGGGATCCCGTTGGTGGAGAGGATGAGTCTCCTGCCGGCAGCTATGTATCAGACGATGAACAGCTGGAAGCTGAAGGCTCGATTTCGTCTTCCACTTCTACCAATTTCAAGTCTGGAAGAGGATATGAGCCTAGGTACGTCGTTTCTACTTCGCTTCTCTCTTCTCTTTGTACCCTCCCCGGCGCGCTTTCAACCTATCACTGGCGCCTTAATATAACTAACTCTCTGCAGAAACTACTACAACGTCATGAGCCAAGGGGTGAGACGACTTCACAGGGAACTGAGACCCTCTGTTGACATCTAAGCTAGTTAAAAGACCCGAACATAGACAACGATCACCAGAACAATGGTGCGCGCGAGAACTACAAGAAGGCGTTTGACCAAATATTCGATAATGATGACCACCTCCTGTTTGGTCTGCGAAAGACAGCCGTCGACCTCTCTACTTTTCATCCCGAACCAGTCCACATCTTCCGGCTCTGGCAGGTATACCTTGACAACGTCAATCCGCTGCTCAAGGTCACACATACACCGAGCCTTCAAGGACGCATCATCGAAGCTGCCGGCAACATGGTGGACATCAGACCAGCCCTGGAAGCGCTGATGTTCAGCATATATTGCATGGCTATCCTAAGTCTTGACATGGACGACTGCCAGGCCATGTTCGGTTTGCCGAGAGAGGATCTCTTGACCAAGTATCGGTTCGGCTGCCAGCAGGCTCTTTCGAATTGTGGCTTCTTACGGTCCGATGATCGGGACTGCTTGACTGCTTTGTACCTCTATCTGGTGAGTTTGTCGCAGGGATACGCTGATCCTTGCCAACGATGCCTAGGTCTCGGTTCGCTCCGGCAACGATCCACGATCTCTCCACTCCATGCTCGGTGTGGCGATCCGCATTGCGCAGCGCATGGGCATCGACAACGAGTCCACAAACACTAGATGCACAGTCCTCGAGGCCGAAATGCGCCGAAGACTATGGTGGTCGCTCATGCTATTCGATGCTCGCATTGGCGAGATGCCCGACCACAAGGCCCCGACGCTGAATCCCATCTGGGACTGTAAAATCCCGCTCAATGTGAATGATTCTGATCTCCGGCCGGAGATGAAGGAACCGCCATTAGTTGTCCATGGGAAAGCTACCGAAGCCATTTTCGCCGTTGTGCGCAGTGAGTTAGCAGAGGTTGTCCGGAACTCTCCGTTCCATCTCGACTCTACCAACCCGGCTTTGAAGCTCCTTGCTAAGAAGCCGCAAGAGGGTGGTGACCTGGCCACCCTGGAGAAGAAGATAGAGGAAGAATACCTCAGGTTCTGTGACCCAGAGAACCCCCTCCACTTCATGACGATCTGGACGTCGCGAGCTTACCTAGCAAAATGCCGCCTCGTGGAGCACTATTCGAGGTACCCGAGCTCATCCGCGCAGCAGACGGAGTCGCAGCGCGACGCTGCCCTGTCACATGCATTCAGCATGCTCGAATGTGATACAACCGTCATGGCCTCACCTCTTACGAAAGGATACCTCTGGCACCTTCAGTTCCACTTCCCACTCCCCGCGTATATACACATCGTTCAGGACCTGAGGACCCGGCCGGTCAGCAAGCAAGCCGAAGCCGCTTGGGAGATCATGAGCGACAACTACGAGGCTCGGTTCGGCTCCCTCTTCCGGATCGACAGTCCGCTCTTCAGAATGTTCACCAGGATCGTTCTGCAGGCATGGGAGGCTCTTGAAGCAGCGTTCAAGCAGTCCGGAGAGCTGCCGCCTCTACCCAGGATTGTGGCGAGCATCAGACAGCAGGGAGCCGAGATGGCGCAAAATGCACCAAACGCACAGCATGCAGGAACAGAACAGCCTACCTATGTTGTGGACACTGCTATCGATGCGTTTCCTATGCCAATCCCGATGATGCCGATGGGCTTTGGTTATCACAACGCTTTATATAGTATGGGTGGACAGGACGGCTTCACAGAAACCGCCTCGGTCTCTGGGGTATACCCCAACATGCCCGGACAGGCTGCGTTAACTCCTGGGATGAATCAGTTCAACTGGCCGTCAATGGACTGGGGTTGGGGCTTATATAGGTGAACGCCGCGTTCGGTGACGCGGACTCCACAATTGCCCGATTATTGAGGCCGAGGCGCGATTCAAATCAACAGGTCAAAGTCACTGCTGCTGGCGACCCGTGGGGGTTATCGTTCAGTCATGACCATATCCGCACGCAACGCCGAGGGATAAAGCTTGAAGTCAGTTTGTGCTGTGCAAAGCCTCAACGCTGTCTAACTTGCATCTCGTAGTACCATCACCGTTCTCATTAGTTCGTTCTGCCCAGTATCTCAGATCCTGGGTCTTCTCGGTGCACAACCGGGTGATAGGGAGGCCGCATACCGGGTATAATGAGCATCGGGCCGCGGCATCCATATTGCGGGTGCGTCTTCTTAAGTCTGGACCCGCCGGTATCACATGCGGGCACGACACGGCATCTCCCAACGATAGGTTGGCCGCCCGCAAGATGGGGCCAGGCTCGATGAACTGCCAGAATGCCGGGTTTCTTGCCGCCGTACAGTCGTCAAACCCGTCACCTATCACGCGAGTACCATTTCTCCCCCAAGCACGTCGGAGGGAATCTGCGCCCCTTTGTTTCCACGCCCACGAATCCGTTGAACGGGACGCCAGGCCGCGTAAACATTCCGGGCTTTTGCATCAAACCGGCTAGACATCAACGCCCGAATGCGTCCTCGATTCAGGGGCACGACCGCCGAATAGCCGCCAAGCCAAAAGCTTAGCGATGCTTATCTCGCGCCAAGCTTTCTGGGACTCGTCATCTCTCCCCTCTTCCCAATCAACCTCACACGCGATCTTCCGAAATACATGTCGCGTGCGCAATCCTCGCCGCGAACAGAAATTGCTCTCGTGCGAGGCTTCAGAAAGGAGGGAGGGCTGGGTGGTGTGCTAAGTGCGGGCTTGCTGCAGTGCGTATTTTGGCATCCAGGAACCACAGTTCCACAACGCAAGCTTATCATCACCGCCGTCCCGGTTCGTTTCGCTGCACACGCATGCCCAATATGCCTCAGCCTGGCTGGCTGGCGAGCACGGTGCACCGCCACTTGTCTCTCTGCTTTGCTCCAGAGGTACTTCGGATCCAATCAGCCTTTCTGCGTTATCCTCCGCCTCTTCCCTCTGGATCCAGTGTGCGGCCTCGACGCGGGAATAAACCCAGCTGCAGTAGCCGTAACCGCTGGTGAGATCGGAAAGAGAGTTGTACAGTACGAGGGATGGGCAAGATTAGTCTGACGGGTGGGGATATGAAGGGCCCTGGGAGGACCTGGACAGAAGTGAGGGGTCTACGTAAGTCAAGATGCACGCTAGGCTAGTGGGCTGCGCAGAGGTGCGCATCACTACTTAACAGGGCAAATAGCCCCCAGAGTGCTCACGCGATACATAGCCTTCGCGGATATCTTATTGTTGCTGTCTGTCTACCTCTATACCCCATTTCCCTCGTGTTGTTCGCCTCTACCAGTTTTCCATATCGTCAATCAGCCTTACGTACGGTGGACTGCGTCCGCGTCCTATATTGATATCAAGTATCCACACCGTACTTACCGTCTCTTTTTATCATACTATGCCTCTGCGATTCCGGAGGTGACATCCAGCCTTTCTCTCCAAAAACCGCCATCATGCGCCTCCAATTCGACATCCTTCTCCTCGCCTTCTCAGTCCTCACATCCGCCCTCCCACCACAGCGCCGCTCAGTCCCCCTCGCCAGCTTCGAAGGCCTAACACACAACACCCGCGACCGTTCCGGACGAAGAGGCGATCCCCCCAGGAAATACTTCCACGAATCCACCGTAAGTCCTCCTTCTCCCCTAAAACCCCCTCCCTCCATCTTCACCCACCCCACCCCAAAACCTCGCCCAGTCCTAACCCCCAGCCCAGTTCGACGCCCACTACGACGGCCGCTTCGCGTCGACCCCGCTCCCCTCCTCCCAGCGCCAGCCCCACCTGCGCGCCCTCGTGAAAACCTACCTCAGCACCATGCACGCCCTCGGCGCCGAGACGTGGATCATGCACGGCAGCCTGCTGGGCTGGTGGTGGAACCGGCGCATCATGCCGTGGGACTCTGACATCGACGTGCAGGTCAGCGAGGCGTCGCTGGCGTTCCTGGCGCAGTATTATAACATGACTGTGCATACGTTTAGGGATCTCGAGGTGCCGGTGCTGGATGATGGTAGCGGCAAAGAGGAAGAGCAGGAAGAGCAGGAAGGCAGAAAAAAGGTGGATGGAGAGGCAAAGTCCTACCTCTTAGAAATCAACCCGCACTGGACGAACGGCGACGTCCGCGACACGCACAACGTCATCGACGCGCGCTGGATCGACACTGCAACGGGGCTGTTCATCGACATCACCGCCCTACGCGTGAACCACTCCTCCCCCGCCCCACTATCCCTCTACTGCAAAGACACCCACCGTTACCTCTCCACGCAAATCTTCCCCCTGCGCACCAGCGTCTTCGAGCACGTCCCCGTGCGCATCCCGTACGCGTACCAGGCGCTGCTGGCCGCGGAGTACGGCGAGGACGCGCTGGTGAACACGGAGTTCCAGCGGCATCGCTTTGACCAGGCGAGTATGGAGTGGCGGCCCGTCGGGAAGCTCGGCGGCAGCGAGCAGGAGAAGCTGGAGGAGGAGAAGTGGAGGGCGAGGGGCAGGAAACCTGGTCGTAGACCGCTGGCTGTTGTGGATGTGGATAAGGAGGAGGTAGAGGCTGGAGAGGGAGAGGTCGGCGGGGGTAGTGGTGCGTTTGAGCAGTTTGGGAGCTGAGCATGCGTTTGGATAGTGGTATTCTTTTTTTTTTTGCATCGTACAACCGGGTTGGTTCGTTGTTACTACCTAGGTAGCAAGCGCGGGATTAGCGCGGCGTTTTTGGTTCGGGTCAGTTCTGGGTTTGGAGTTGGCGGGACACTGGCTGGTAGATTCTTGGCTGGGCATTTACAGCATTTTGATAGCGATAGCGACGTATAGCGCATGTGGAAGTATGATGTCGAGTGTCGGAGACTACTATGTCGCGCGGGTAGCCGGGTGTACGAGGAGGTTGAAGCACGAAAGCTGATTCGCGCACGAGCAACCAATATACCCCTTTTTGAATGAGCAGACTGCTGCTGGACGTGAGAATCAGGTGAAAATCACCACAGGATACATCGCGAAGACAAGAAGTAGAAGGTGTATCTATATTATTACCTGGCCTGATATCATAATCTACAACCAGCGTCGAGAGCAAGACTCCCATCATTTACACATATCTGCCATGCGCCATGACGTTCCTCGCTCGCTCGGGATCAACCCTCCAGCTCTCTCGAACGTGCCAACCCCCCAACTTTCCAAAAAAGGGCTGGAGGCATAGATCCCTCCATCAATCCATCCAAAAAGGTTGCGCCGGCCGATACGTGTTGTTGCTCCGTGTGGTGTGTGCTCTCCAAAGGAATGAGGCGTCGCCATAACGGCTAATTACATCTCCCCCGACTTTTTTGTGTCCTTGCTCGTGACTGATGAGGCCAAAAGGTATACGCTGATAGAAACGACAAGAAAAAGTGAAAGAGGCAGAAAATGTACAATGCGGTTCAAGAACTCCGACTCAGCTCAACCTCGTAAACGCCGTAAAACGCCGCCCGATGATGGTAGACAATGGTGGACGAAAGCACAGGGGAATGGTAACAACGCTGAGTATGCCAAAAGTGCTGGTGTTTAAAAGGTTGAAGTGTCAAGTCTATAACGCTCAACGTGGCGCCAGAGAGAAACGAAAAAGAACACGACGATTAAAAGGGCGCATCGGAGATAGAAGGGAAGTCAATCAGCCAGGTTCTCGTGCTTGATCGGGTGGAAGAGTGTCGGGCGGAGGCAGAGTCGGCCGGTGCCAGCCTCCTCTTCTGCGGGCCCGCCCTGGTCGAACTCTTTCCCTCCTAGCCATCGCCGCCACAGCTCCGAAGAGAAGCCAGCGTTGTAGTAGAAGCTGTTGCCCAGCTGGTTGTGCTCGCCCCAGCCGAAGACACTGTCTGTTGGCTTGGGCGGGTGGTTGAAGGTGCCGTCAATTGCCTCGAGCGGCCAGTTGTGGTCGAAGTAGACCGCGTGCGGGGCATAGACAGCCTTCAGCCCGTGGTGGAAGGCAACCGAAGGTGGCCACATCTCCGGGAACATGTGGTGCTTCATCAGATAGGTTTCGCGGTGCATGAGATCGAGCAAGCGCTTCGACAGGCGCGAGACGGTTATGATAGCGCAGCGGCGGGGTGGCTCCGGAAGCTCGAGGTCATAGCCAGAAACATCATCGCGAAAGACCCAATTCGTCTTGGCCGGGTCAAAGATGGGATTGAAGGTGATTAGATCGGCGTCTTCGCCGACACCCCACTCGTACTGGTCGGCAAGATATGTCCTCGAATGCTTAACCTCAGGCGGGCTCGGAAGCATGCCCGTGTTCTCAAACTGGGGCGGACCCCAGACGGGCTTCTCGTCGCTGTTGTACATCTCCTCTTCGACCATCTCGGTGAAGTTCTTCCAGGATCCGTGAAGCTCGGGGATGTAGTAGCGAGACGAGCGTTCCCAAAGGCCCTTGCGTGGCTGCCTCCGGGCCCAGTCACCAATCTTAGTGTTGAACTCGTAGTAGTGGCCGGTGAGGCGGAGATCCATCTCCCAATTCCAGTAGAAGTCGTACTCGGGACGCGCCTGGGCAAACCATTGCATCGCAAAGTGAGCGCTACGATAGACGGAATGTACGGGAGCCTTGGCGTGATTGTAGACGTTGTTGGGGAAGGGTTCCGGGTAGTACATCCGCATCTGCTGCTCAGACCACAGGGTCGCCATGCCCCAGAACTCCTCGGGGAGGTTGTCCTGGATCGTCTTCTGGTAAACTTCTTCCGAAGACCAGATGGGAATGCTGTCATCTTTGACGTGGAGCAGGAAGTGGACGTCGTATTCGCCGCCCGACTTGAGAGCGAGCTCATTGATCATGGCGCGGATGGTCAGGATCTGGTAGTCGCTGTACTTGTAACCAGTCCAGGTGCGGAGGATGTAGGCGTGACGAGGGACCTTCTTCTTGGCGGGCTGGGTGTTCTCACTGGCAGTCGTGTCGTTCTTCTGGAAGCGAGCCTTGTTCTTCTCATAGCATCGCTTCTGGGCCTTGCCCCAGTTCACGTGGCGGTAGTCGATCTTCTTCTCCCAGCTCCAGATCTTGTCTGCGCCGGCCTTCTCTGACTTTGCGGCCAGGTCGAAGCCACCCTGGTCGCGCGAGTAGGAGTAGCCATAGGGGCCGAAGCGACCGAAGCGGTCGAAGCAGACCTTTTCGTTTATGCCGAGCTCTTCGTAGGAGCCAAAGAAGGGGGCAGTCTGGTTCTGGGGAATGCCGGGGTAGGCATAGATGTCAGGCAGATCGAGCTTGTCCTCGGCGTCAAGGTAGCACGTCTCGACTGGGGCGTGGGTCTTGAGGTACTCGACGCTGGTGTAGTCGGGGTAGGGATTGAAGGGCACGGGGTCGAGCGGCGGCTCCTTGTGCTCCTTGGACATGGGCGGCCACTTAGGCTTGATGTTGTCCTCCGGGTTGGGGCTCTGAGAGTACTTGACGTAGTTCTGCTCGGAGACCCAGTCGGCGTAGGGCACCAGGGTGCGCACGCCATTGAACAGCCCGCGTAACCTGAGGGAATTATTGTCAGCTATGCCATGGTGCTGGCACCAATTCGTGCATGCTTACCGCGGGTAGTGCTCCCAGTGGTACAGCTTGCGGTCCTCGCCCTTTCGCTGCTGGGCGTTCCATCTGTGCTTCCTGTAGATGCCCGTGCCCAGCATCGAGACCAGCAGCACGGCGGTCACGACGAGCATGACAAGGCGCGCGAAGGACATGCGCGGACGCTGCAGGCGGTTTGCCCATGTGTGGTTGCGGTACGACTTGGACCACGACTTGCTGGTGAAGAGCGGCAGGGGGGAGGAGCTCTGGCTGTCGGCGCCAGGCAGCTTCTCGTAGTTGAAGCGCGTCCGTATGAACATCTTGCGCGGGTTGAGATTGAAGCGCGACGACATGGCGGGTGGTGCGTGTGCGTGTGCGTGTCTTGTCTGGCTTGGGAGCGCGGCTTATGTCTGCATCTGCGGCGAGGGGGCTGCTGAAGGGGCGCTGCTCACGGAGTTGGGGCTGAGGCTGGCTGGATTATGTGAGTGCGGCCTGGCGTGTACACGGCCGCAGCGGGGGGGGGATGGGCGAGGGAGCGGTGGTGGTGAATGCAGAGGCAACGACGAGGGAATGTAACGAGCGACAGGAGTCCCGAGGACGCGACTGAGGGCAGAATGCCGTGGGTTGGAAGAGGGAGGGATGGGCGGCCGGCGGGAGGATAAGGGTTGGGCCCAGGAGGGACTAGCGGCGCGCTCGTTGCTGCCGAGTGCGCTAACGTTGTAATATAAACGAATTTTTTGCAGCGCGACGGGCGCCGTCAATCGGCTCAGGCGAACGACGTACGGATGCGAGCAGCTAGGGGCGCCGTGTCGCTCCAGTGCAGCGGCGAGATTCTGGCAGGCGGGCGTCGCAATGGGTGCGCAGGCGTCTGGCAGCGTTATCGCGCCGAGTTTTGCGCTGTCTTGGGGAGAGCGCGCCCAGCCATCACAGCTCACTCTGGCCTAGCCCTCCCCCCGCTGCAGCATCAGCACCACCCGGGCAACCCTCCGCCGCCGCACACACGCTCTGTCGCAACACTTTTGAGCAGCCGTTGCAAAGGCGGCATCGTCCCATCACTCTCGCGCCGACAATGCACACTCTTGACGTCGATGAGCCCGCCGGCTGTCCGTTTCCAGAAGGTGACGAGGCTCCGCGACCCCTGACCGTTTCTCCCATCCTGCCACCCACCGGACCCCCTGCTGGTTCGCATCAATTTTACCGTACCACCATCCGCCTCCGCGCCTCTAGTGGTGCCTCGCCTGCTCAGTCAGCGTAACGAAGTGGCAAGCTCGGTGCGCGATAATCGAGTAGCGGCCTGACCCCTTCTCCGGCCCTTCGATTGGTTCTAGCCGGCTGGCCCGCGGGCGGCCTTTGGTGGGACACATTGCATGAGATTGCATTGCCTCCTCCGGCCCTAAAAATACGACCTCACGAGATATGCAGCGACGTTGCCAGCACCACCACGGCCTGACTGCTTGGCCGTCACTCTTGCAAAAAAAGTTTATCATCGGCTTCCTCCCTTCCGCGTGCTCGTCGTCGCGACATCATCAATACTCAGTTCCCACAGTTCGACGCCCCTCGCCCACGAATGGTACGCTGGCATGCTTCAATAGCGCCCCATGCTCCCGCATCGTCAACAATCAGTTTCCAAGGGGGTCCCGCATTATTGAAACGTCCGTCTGCCGCTCCGAGCATCTTCAAGTTCGCCGGAAGATTTGACGTCACTCGCGATGCATAACAATCTATCTCAATTCCAGCTCACGTTAGACGGTGGAATCCCCACACTCACGAGACAAGCCTCTGTTTCCACGTCCGCATCTTCCTGATCACAGCTTTCGCATCTTGTAACGGACGGTACGGACTGTGGCTGGCATGCTGCTGTCTACGCCGTGGACCTGCTACAAGTCGTCGTCAGCTGCGCTAAAATAGGGCCGCTAGCAGTGTCGATTACAACTTCTCCAAGTACATTCTCACTTCCAAGCCGTTCAAACTCACGCCAAGTTTTGCGTCTTCTCCATATTTCCCCTGCCTCGCCGTTCGGAATTGCGCTCGGCTTGCTTTTTGGGTCTTTGCATCGCATGAACCAAGATGGATCCCTACAGCCACCTGTCAGGTTTTCATACAAAGGTACCGTGCGGGGCAAACCGTCAGCTCTCGGATCCTCTGTCGCAGCATGAGACTCGACGTATGAGCCTGGCGGGGTTGCCTTGCTTCTCAATACCAGCAGTTTTCACCCCACCAACACGCCTGAATCTTCGCCGCGGGGCTGCATTTGCGGAAGAGATATCTGCCACGAAGGCGCCTCGCTGCCATCAGGCTCTCTACGAGTGCTGCATGCACAGACGACGTTTCAAACACTGGCTGCGTGCTGGGACTAGCCGCGACCTCGATCTACACGGATGTTCGATGCTCATTTCCAACTGGCATCGACTAAATCTCCATGCCTTCCTGTCATTCAGTAAGCGATAGGCACATTGATATCCAGAAAATTCAAGAGTAACGAAGAGGTGCAGTAAGTTGATTCAAATTACAAGTAAATCAGAGGTTCCTTCCCAGAACTCCATAACCCCACACCACGTTCCGCCCAGAACGTCTGGTGACCCAGGTATCAATTTGTCAGTTCATAGCATCATTCCCTCTCCCTTCACCCTCGTTTCCCTTTCACTTTGACTCCTCCTTTAATTGCTCTTTTGACGGCTTTTTCTTGCTCATCTCTTTCTGCGCATGATGAGGGTCCTCGTGGATGGGGAAGTCGGGGTTCGGGAAGTCGGGGTGAGGGTGCTCTGTCATGCCGGTCAGCCACAGCCAGCGTATGCGAAAGAGTAGAGATGGGATGCGTGGACTTGCCTTTGATCGGGCTGTCGAGCGGCGCAATGTGCGTGTGTTCGACATCGAAGTCCTCGCCAATGGAGCCGCGGCGGTCACGAGGGAAGTGGTGCTTTGTCGGCGACTCAAGAGGCTCGATTTTTGAGCTCGACAGCTGGAAGTCCCAGTCTCCTTTACTGCATTGCCTGTCAGCTTCTCCCGCATCTCCACTGGGATACCTCGCTTCCTGATCCAGAAAGCCGGCCGGACAGAGGACGCGAAGCAGGCGAGCCGACTCACCTCGTCATGTTGGTTGGTATCGCAGGATTTGTTGCTTCTGGTAAGCTTTCGAGTGTTGTCGCAGATGCTTGATCGGTATTCAGAGCTGTAGCAATGGGCTTTGCGGAGTGCTTGGGGGGGGCAGCTGCAAGCCGCTTTATGAGGAGTGGGGAGCTATGACCGCAGCTCGCATGACCGTGTTCTGCCGTTCGCGAGACCCTTCGCTCAAAGGCGGGGCATGACAAAGATCGCGAGATCTCAAGAGACATACCCCTCGCGCTACACGGGCCCGGCGAATAGCATCGCCGAAGCCCAAGAGTGGTGTGATGCTCGAATGCCCCGGCTGCGGTGATTCGTAGACGGCGGTCGGGAGATGGTGCGTGACTGGGGAGGGTGGTGCGGAATGGTCACGTGGTGGGGGCAGAGCATCGAGTACGTAGTGCTGGTAGTGGGAGGTGTAGGCGTGGCATTGAACTGTTGGTATGTAGGTATGGGTATGGCTATTCACTACGCACTTGCTCTCAGGTACGCAACCAATCATATCGCGTATCGCCTTGGTATCTGTGATGCTTCATACGGCTTCCGGCTACGGTGCCCTTGCGACGGTTGAAGGCGTCGCCCCCCCAGTGTAATAGAAGCCAATCCCCAGCGCATAGCTTGCGCTACGATCTCCACGAAGTTTCTCGCAGGGCGCGGGTCATTTCTCCTACTCTCCGCCCAGCATAGTAACGCTGGGCACACTGTAGTGCTATACCTAGTTCTGTAAGCCTCAAGTGCCATTTTAGATTTCCCTAAGAGTGGAGAGCTGAGATCTCTCAACTCGACCTCATTTCCTCGCTGCTCCCTACTCTTCCGCATCCATTCTGCTCTCCTCATTCTTCCTATTCCTCGCCCCCTTATTCACCCAACTCTCCTCCCCCTCCCCATACCCTCCCATCCTCCCCCTCACCCACACCAACCCATCCTGCGCAACCCCATACCCCAACCCGGCCAACAACCCCAACCGAATCGTCCTGGCGGCCGTAACCATCGGAAACCCACTCCACACACTCCACAAACCCCCCGTCACCATACCCGCGACCGCACTACTCCAAAAATCCCTACTCCCCTCCACCCCGCGATCCACGCGCCTTAAATCCAGCTCGTCCACGCCCTCCATCTCCGCCAGCGTGCGCCCCGCGCGCCACGTGCCGCGGAACACATCCAAGCTCTCCTCGAGCACGAAGAACACGCCGCTCCACGCCGCGAGATACGCGCCCGAACGTAAGCCAGCCGGGATGCCTTGTTGTAGCTTGTAGTAGTTCTTCGACTTGTGGTACAGGTACCAGCCCGGGTTGGAGACGGGCAGGCGGTGCGCGTTTTCGGCGCGGAAGCGCAGCGCGGCGAGGCGTGCGGTTGTGGTGTAGCCCAAAGTTGTGCCGACGGTGAAGGAGGTGAAGGCTGCGAGGAGGAGGCGTCGGTCGAAGGGCATGCCTAGGCGGTGGGGGTTGTGGGCGGGCTGGGGGGCTGGGGACGGCGGGGCGTCGGTGGGTTCGTTGGATGGTGGGTCTGGAGGTAGGTCGATTGTTGGGGTGGCCATTGTGGGGTATGTGCGTGAAGGACGCTTTTCGAGAGAGCAATTGATGCTGGGTGGAGCCCTGTGAGGTGGTGCGGGGAGCGGTTGAAGGGGTTGTGACGTGTGCGGCTTGGGTAAGAAGGTGCCGGCGACAGAGGGCTTCGACTAGATAGATAGGCCAGGAAGGCAATTGAAGGAAATTGGCCGAACTGGCTGTGCACTGATGAAGTGCAGCGTGGATGAGGAGGGGAGCTTAAGCTTCGATCACACGAGGAAAGCTTCAAAAGGTGCCAAGAGTTCGGAACTAGGATGCTTTCCGATTCGACAGCGGCCCTCTTCTTTTCTATGTTGAACCCCGCGCGCGGCTGCCTAAGCTTTTTCTCCACTCAACGCGTTCTCCAGCTCTGCACTTCTCTAACGTCCCACTCCCTCCCTCCCAAGAGCACTTTCGACGCGTTCAAACCCATTGAGAACGCGCCAACGTCATAACTCACCTCCTCTCAAACCTCCCACCTACCTAACACCCTCCCACCTCCCAACCATGACCTCCCCCTTCCCCACCCCACAAACCTGGACCCTCCGCCTGAAATCACGCAAGACAACCGTCCTCCTGTACACCGACCCACTACACACCTTCGCAACCATAAAAGCGCACCTCTACACCGCGCTGCAAGAAACCGGCCTACGCGACCCCGACACAGGCGAAAACATCCCGCTCCCGGCCTCGCCGTCAGACATCCAGTTCGGCCGCCCCGTCGACGTCAACAATGCGGAGAAGGGATTCCAGCTGGGGGAGTGGGAATACGACGCGCTGCTGCTAGAAGATGAGGACGACAATGGCGGGAAGGGTAAAGGGAAGGCGAAGGCGAAAGCGGGGAGGCCGAGGAAGAGCGAGCCAGGGACGGGGACTGTGGGAGCGGAGAATGTGAGGGATTGTCCGAAGGGGGCAGGGCTGCATAATGGGTCTGTGTTAGCGTTTCGGTGGCGGGGCGATGGGAGGGAAGAACAGGGCGAGGAGGAGGATTTCGAGATGGTTGGTGGTGCTGTGGACAAGCCGGATATGTGGGATGTGACGTTGGCGAGCTTTGAGGATAGCTATGGGGTGGAGAATGAGATTGATGTTGGGGGAGGGAGGGAGTTTGAGGAATGAGTTGATGGTGAAGAGCGGGCGGCGGGAGAGATGTGATGTGCATTACGGGCGTTTCTCATGGCTGGGCGGCGTTGTGAGGCTTCGGTCTTTGGCATATACTGGGATAGAATGAAGTAGGTAGGAATGCCGCATCTGAGCATATGCTTACGTTAACATAACCTAAATATGTACTCTTTCAATGACGGGCATTCCCGGGTGCTCCAATTACTACACCGAAGCGTCAAACCGCAGCTCCATGAACACACTGGCCATCACTCCATCCCGCACGCAACCGACGACCGCCAACCCATCCTACAGCTGCGCGCCCTTAACCCCCGGCGTCTCCCCAATCCTAAAAACATACTTAACCGCACTCGCCCTGCCCTCCCTCAAATTCGTCAACGCGCCCTCCAAGCCCTCCAACCCCCCCTTCACCACCTCACACGGATGCGGCATAAACCAGCCCTCATCCAGCCCCCGTGCCATATACCTAAACCACACATACGCAAAGTCCTTATTCCCCTTATGCGCCTCGCCCACACTCGTCATGCTCTTCTGCACCGTCTCGGGAACGCCCTCGTACTGCTTCCCGGGAAGCACCAGCGTCATCTTCCCCTGCGGATCTAGCACCTTCGCAATGTTGACGTACGAGTTGTGGTCGCTGGTGGCGTCGAAGGCGTGGTGGAGCGGTGTGCCACCCAGCGCGTCTTTCAGGCCTTGCACGACGGCGGCGTCGCCGCCGCGGTAGTCGACGATGGTGTCGCCTTTGGAGCGGTCGATCAGCGTCTCTACGAAGGGGATGCCGCGGCCCGCGACGGCGATGATGGGGTGGATGCCGGCGTGCGAGGCGAGCTTGATGGCGTAGGCGCCGACGGCCGAGGCGCCGCCGTAGATGACGAGCGGGATGGGCTCTGCGGCTGGGATGAAGGGCATGGGGAGTCCCAGGCGGATGTGTAGGCCGAGAGCGGCGGTCATGGCGGCGAGGGGGATGGTCGCTGCATCTATACACGCCGTTTATCAGCACCAAGTCCCACTTCTATGTTCCTCGCTACAGAGGGGAGATACGCACCTTCGAAGCTCGTCTTCTTCGGAATATGAAACGTCGTATGCTGCCAGCCCACGGCATACTCTGCATAACTGCCGCCCGGCGTGCGCATCTCATGAAAGCTCGCGACGCGATCACCAGGTTTGAACTCCCAGACGTTGGAGCCGACGCTGTGCACGAAGCCCGCAATGTCGTCGCCCGTGTTCATCGTTTCGTTAAGCCATTCGGGGATTTTCCTATAGGTTGACTGTCAGCTTGTGCTCTGGCTAAGTTGAATTGGCTTCTAAGACGGAAACAAAAGTCGGGAATACACCTACCAGTCCTTAGGATTACTCCCACTAACCACCACCTGGATAACGACCTGCTCGGGCCCAGGTTCCGGAATCGGACTATCCACAATCTTGACCTTCGGGCCCAGGCTCACAATAGCTTCTTTCATCATGGGGTTGCTTGCTTGCTGCAATGTATGAACCACTGCAATTCAATTCAGATCTTCAGTTCGTATATGTGAACTCCTTCCAAGCTCTTTTGCAACATATGGAGGGGTAGTTATACAGCCTGGTCACACTACCCCACATCTACTGCATTATTAATGACGTCCAATTGCGCGATGTGTGCACTTCCTCGGGCGACTCGAACCATGATGTGAGATGGAGAAAGCGGTAAGGCTTAACCGAGCATGGCCTTGCGTCATTCGGTGTTTGGATAAGTAAACTCCGTGGTCCCTCACCTTACGCATATCAAAGATGGCCTGACGGTGCTCGGGTGCGAAACAGCTTTGTAATAGTGCAGAAAAGTTGCGCAAGCCAATAGATCGTGGAGGGAGAAGGCGACGGACGGGCGATGAAGGTCACGAGAGTAAATATGCTACCCGATTAAAGTATCAACACCACAAGCAATACGGGCAGACAAAGTACACCCCCAAATGCCTAGCTCAGCATACCATCTAACGCCAAACGAAACTGCCATAGGCAAGCGAGGTACCAAAAAACGCCAACCGGCCGACCGACAATGCTTCGAGACATGATAGTTTTGATCTGATAGTTGCAAAGGAGACGGACTATCCAACGCTCCGCTCGAACGCCGCATCGTCAACGCTCTGTAGCGGATAAACGCCGATATCCGGAAGAAGAAACAACAACTAGATCGAGACAAGTTAAAAAGCCCAGCGCCCTGATGAAATTGTCAGCCGTTAGGAAAAGAAAGCTCATCAGCGCCAAACACTCTTCGTCGCAGGGTTAAAGCTACCTCTTGAGCCAGTCGAAGAGCCGCTGGTCAACCGCATAGGCGCACGATTCAAGCTCCCCGCCTCTCGTGCCCGCTCTTCTCCCGAAACAGCCATCGTTGTTCGTCGAGCTGCTCCCTTGACTATGGGCGCAGTCCGCGGGCTCAGGACGCTATTCTTCCAGTCAGCATCACGATCGCCCTTGACCATTCGACGTGCCGCACTAGCAGAGAACAGGGTATTCTCGTTGGGAGGGCTGCATGAGGTGGCCGCGGTAGGGCTACGGCGACGATGCGTCTTACTCATCGGAACGGAGCCTCGAGTCGTAGACGAACGTCGCTTGACAGCGGAACCAATCTTGCGGGCATCGGAGTTGTCCATGGTCCACTTCTCTTCGTCGGAGCCCGAAGCGCTGCTACAGCTGTCCGCTGGAGTCGCGTCCGAGGAAGCAGTTTCAACCATGTTTAGTGGCGACGGGCGGACTGTGTTGGTTCCGATCTCTCGCAGCGGGGAGGTATCAGAGTCCGACGAGAAGGCTGTCAACTGAGGAGCCGGGGAGCCATCCGCCTTCTTGGACAGAAAACCGGCCTGGAACCGGCTCGACCGCTTGAGGTCCATGGATGCTTTCGGAGGCGTCGGAATTGGTGACGAGCCATTATGCCGCCCTTCAGACGTGAGGACGGGTGCTGAGAATGTGGGTGCAGCAGGAATCTCGATCGAAGAGTTGGTAGGCGTCGACTCCAAATGCTCTATATGCTCCGGTGTCTTCTGGAACTCCGCCAGGGTACCGTTCTCGGTATCGTCTCGCCAGCGAACCACACGCTTCGCTTTTGAGGGCGACTTCTTCTTCGGCGAGAACTGCACGCCCTTCTTGACCCCGCCCATCTTTCGCCGTCGCGGTGACGCCTTCATTGGAGATGACGTGAGATGAGCTGCCTCTGTGAGTGTAGGCATTGCGAGCGGTCGCATTGGCGATGGTCCCATGATGTTTACCGGCTTCCTACGCTTCGGGGTTCCTTTGCTCCTAGGAGCGAAGAACTCAGTAACCGGCAGGCCACCGTCCGGTCGGATGGCCTGCGAAGTGGCGTTTGTGCAGGAGGTCATGATCTTGGTGAGAACATTCCTCGCTGCCTGAACGGCTCCCTCCTCGTCCATCTGGGTGATTTGGTTCAGAATTGCGACCGTCTCAATATGTGCTTGCACAAGCACCTGCACAATCGCAGCATCACCTCCCTTCTCCTGCTCCAAAAGGACGCTTATGGCCTCGCGTTCGGCGTTGGATTTCAGCAATTCGTACTCTCGGGCAAGATTGGCCGCCTCATGGCTGTCGGTAGATCCGTCAACATCGCCTAGTTGCCTTAGGCCGACTTGCAGAGCAGTGTCCAGCTTGCTGACCCAGTGTGTGCGTTCTAGTCTCCGGTGGCAGTGCTGACGGGTCTGCTCGAGCTCGACCGAAATTCCGACAGCAGAGTCCCTCATCGCGGCCACTTGCGAGGGCAGATCTTCGTTTTCACGGGTGTCTTGGATCTGGTCAAACGCAGCGATCCATGCTGAGATGAGAGAGATCCGCTTCTCCGCCTGCTTCAACGTCTTCATCGTTCCTAGCCTTTCCCGTCGCTCTGCCTCGGAATCCGCGTATGCTTGTCGCAGGCGAGCGACAGCGTCGCGGATAATGCCCTCCTTCTTGTCGCTCTGCTTCTGGAACTTGACAAATGCACTTCCTTCAAAGTCCTTTTGCCTCTTCAACAACTCGTCGATCATTGCCCGCTGCTCGTCGATCTTCTTCAGGTAATCCTTCACATGGCGATTGACATTGAATACGTTCTTCGTCACCTTCGTCTGGATGTTCTTCGCCCTGTTCGCGTATCGCAGCGTGTTCTGGGTCTCGTCGAAATGTGCGCTTGAAGGACTTACGCAGACAATCATAACAGTCTTACAATTGCCGCCGAGTGAGAACTTGAGTAGCCGGGTGAGCTTCGAGTTTCGGTATGGGACGTGGTTCCTTTTTCGCGGGTCGCACAAGGCGTTGATGCAGCTTCCTAAAGCAAGCAGCGACTTGTTGATGTTCGCACCTTCCATCAAGCGCTCTCCTCGGTTCTTGGTTGCGCTGGCACGCTCACTACCTGCCAGGTCGATGATGCTGAGGGTGGCCATCGTATGCGGTTCGTTGACGGAAGCATTTCGATCTTTCGATGACACATTGATTTGAAGGACGGCGTGCGATCGGGATGAGGTAGCATTGGCCTCGGTAGGCGACATCGTACGATACTCGTTGCCGCGCACGATGATGTCCATGACCTCTTGGACCTGCCACGTGTAAGTATATACCTTCCGACTGAGAGCGCTTCTTCACTTACGTTCTGCGGTCGATGGCTAGAGAGGCCTGCGACCGACACCGCCTGGTTCGCATCCTCTCGCAGCATCAGCGACGTTTTACTTCCACCCTCTACGAGCAAATCGCGAATCGTCTCATTGTAGATTTCTAGGTAAGAGAGCGTAATCTCAGTAACCCTCTCCTCTTGCAAATCTTGTATCTTCTCGAACAGCTCCTGCATGGTCAGGAAGATGATTCCAGGTTGTTGTGAGGTTCCCCTATAGTCGGTTAGATTCCCGAATAACACGACGGTTGGCTTCTCCACGACGTACGTAATAGTGTGTGTCTTTCCACAGCCTGTCGCTCCGTATGCGAATACCGTAGCATTATACCCATCCAACACGCTGTCCAGCAGGGGCTTTGTCGTAGCTTCATAAACATCGCCCTGGGAAGTATTCTCATCGAACACCCGATCGAACGCAAACGTCTGGTCCTTTACTCGCTTTCCCTGCGGCACGACTGATCGCGAAAAGCGCTGCACGGGATTGTCTTCTGGCGGGTCGAATATTCTGCCTCCACGTTAGCTTTCATCCCGTAGCTAAATCGCGGGTCAAGCGTCCGTACAAGCACTTCTCGTCAACGACCTTAAGAACAGGCCGTATCCCCTTCTGATGCAACTTGGGCGTCGGCGCTGCAGCCAGCGATCCATCCCCCAGAAACAGCGTCTGATCGTCGCATTTCGACAATTGCGCCGCCTCTCTTATAGTAAACGGGCGGACTCGGACGGTAACGTTGATGCTGGACGCGCCATCGGCGGCCATGATTGCGCGCTAGGAAATCGTGGAGAAGGTGACTGAATATCCGCCGCAGCTGCTGTAATGGTATGCAAGAAAGGATCCCTGAGCGAAGGTAGGGTGGGTGAGGATGCGGAGTTGCGGAATGGTAGAGGTCCAGCTTCGGAAAGTTGTGTTTACGCGCACGGACCCGCAAAACAGACAGGGGCGTGAAACTAGCAACCGCGACCCGCTAACTTGCCAGCGCACGTGAAGAACCTCGTTATGCATCTCGTACCTCGAAACCTCTCCCCAGCAACGGCATCTCTCACCCAGTCACTGACGGCCTTGGGTCTTTCGTACTTTTTACTACCGCACTGAGGTTCGGACATTGAATCCGCCGCTGTTCATGGGCTACATCTGGAATATTGTGGCTCCCCAGCAAGCAGGCCGCTCTCGGTCCATAACCATATGTTCGACCTCCTCCGCTTTCCCGGCACGGTTGGAACGACGATCAAGAGATGAATCTAGAAGCACAGAAGCGTTGGTACAGATGACTCCATTCTCGTATTCGGCTGTCGACAATGCACATCGGAAGGGGCGCCTTTGTATACGTAATGGAAGAGGGCTTCTAACACTACTAGCGAAGGAGGTATGATGGGGAATGGGTGTACAGCTCATATGGCTCGATGCAGTGGTCCAGTGTGATGCATGACATGATCAGCTACCCGGCTGGCGGTTATGCAGGCCAGGTAGCTCCCATGACTTGGCGCAGGACCAAACGTCACTTGATCACGAAGACTGCACTTCATCAGGAGGCAGAGGATACATCAAGCACGACTCATCATTCCTTCAACCCGCATAGCTACAAAAACTCCCCGAAAGAGCGAAAGCGACATCCATCAACAGCGTTTCCACCTGAGATTCTCCCCGAAAGGAATCTTCCATTCCGTCATGGTAACCAAACCAGTATTCCTTTAATCCGGATCAGCTCTCGCGGATTATTTACTTGGTGCACTTCTGCCACTGGACGTACACGACCTGGGTAAACTTCAAATCCGTGGAGTCGGTGGTGAGCATGCCGGTGGCGGAGGTGTTGCTCGACGTCAGGCGGACCTGCGAGTTGATGTTGAGCATGCCGTTGGCGCCGCACGGCGACCAGACGATCGAGGTGCTGTCGGCCTCGTCGTGCTTGAGGTAGTCGCCGTTCACGGGGCCGACAAAGTTGTACTCGGTGCTGGACTATAAGAACGTCAGGATATTTTGTTGCAGAAGATATGGAATTGCATGTCTGCTGGGTTGCAACTGCGCGTATGATCATACCTGCTGAGTCTGGCCGGAGAAGTAGTAGGTAGACTTCAGGGTGCCGGTGACGCCCTTCTGGACGGCAGCGTAGCCGCGGTAGTCGGCGCTGAGGACGGAGTACTGGAAGCCGCCGGGGTACTGGAGGTCGACGTTGATCTGGCAGTTCTTGCGCTGCTCGGTGACGGCAATGCCGGGGCCAATGGACGCGATGTACTCATCGAAGATGAGGGTCATGGTGGTCCTGTCAGAGGAGACCTGGGAGCTCATGGAGCCCTGAGGGCATCCAGTTCCGCCATAAGTGACGCCGCGGATTTGGACCTGAAAGTGTTAACCGGTACTTTCGAAGGAAGAATTGCAAGGATTTACCTGGCCGGCTGGGGGAGCATCACCGAGCTCAATAGGAGAGATGCCGATCGGGTTGGCCGCGATGAGGGGAGCGAGAGCGAGGAGCCACTTCATGGTGAATGTGTTGGATAGATGATTGAGCGATGTAGAGCGCTGATCTTAAGTGTGTAGTACCCGGGTTGACTGTGAATGGCAACTTGATGAAGATCAATCTGGGGGATATGGGCGAGGTTATATACCAGGCCCTCGGCAACTCCGCATCTCGACCACGTCTGTAGAGCCAGTGCTGCTGCACTACCTATCGCTCAATACGACCACTCGACTAGGCTCGATAGCTTGCGCCAAGCCACGCTTCCAATATGCAGTACGGATGGTCCGGCGGGCCGGGAAAGCTCATAGGTCCAAAGTCTGGTTGCACTCATCAGGTGAACTCGTGTTTACCACGAGCTATGATGATACTTCCACAAACTGAGTCGTAGACTATCCCCAATGTTGAGGGGTAATCTCTCCAGTGTGCAATAGGATAAAGTTGCAGCTGGCAAATATGTCTCCCGGCATTGAACCATGCGGCATGAAGCCCTTACGATGGTAGTTGCCATCGGTTGTCCCGGTCAAGAAAGTGCCAGATCCCGGCTCAAGGTAACTGCACTGCGGGCGGCGTACTCGTTTACCATCTATCGACCAGGAAATCCGGATGTTTGAAGCTTTTTCGGTGCTCTAACGTCTACGTTTGAGCGGGTCGACGTGGGCTACAATATCAAATACGAAGCTTGAAGGTTGAATTCTTTCCAAGCCATCGCCATCGATGTATCAGATGACTCCAGATCACTCGTTACTTGCGCCGACTTTGTCCCGCGGGTTCGCTTGTCGTTCGAGTTTGAGGTGTCGAGAGGTCAGCACGGTGACTGTATATTGAGGTGGAATTGAACGAATATACAATCCTGGGACGTTGATCCTGAAATAGAACATCTGGACAGGATGGCGGGCGGAAGCGAAGAGGAAGGAGCTAGAGCGGCTCCACAAACTCAGGAAGCCTCATCTATGTCTCTCGTATGGTGATGCAGTTGTATATTGTGATGGTAGCGAGTGCTGAAAATAGGATTCTGGTTCAGTCGAAGAAAAGAGATGAGCGTGGCCGTTTGAGCTTCCCATGTCGTGGATCTCGAAACGGGATGCAGAAATTGATCTGTAGATTAACCTTAAATTAATGCTTGTCAGTCCACCGCTGTTAAGAGCCCGTACAAACAACCTTAGCGAGAACTCGAACCTGCAAGGGCACTCTGTGGATCTGAAGACGCAGGATAAAAATAACAGCTTGGGCTGCAGCCCGTTTCTGGGCCAGAGAAAGTTCGGGTGTATCCTGCGACTTGGGATGGCGACGTACCAAAGGCCTCGCGGCGATTCCAGGCCGGGTCTTTGCCAGCCGACGAACGCTGGTGATCCAACCGATGTCGAGAACTTGGGTGCGATAGATTGAATATTGATTACACACACGCCGTCACGAAGGCGCGACGAGCGCCGCATGCCGAACAGCGGCTTGGCAACGCAAAGTCGTGAAGCTGTGCGAGGAAGTTGACCTCGGAGAACATCCAGAAGGAATCAAGAGGGACGAATATGGAACAGAGACAGGAGGGGATACGAGGACGAGACGTCGGCTGGAAGATTGAAAAGGACAGTTTGCACCAAGTCCAAGTCGAAGTCGCCGTATCTGCAGCACGGTGCAGAAGCAGAATCCTCACTACGTCGGCCGAAGAGAAAGAAGAGAAGGACAGCATTCAGGGTCAGCGAGCACCTCCGAGAAACGCGATGAGATCAGGTCGACGGTCGTTCGAGATGACCAACGGGGCTGGTGTCCGTTCGAGCCGGATAAACAAAGGTGGCTTTGCGCGAGGCTGCACTTGAAGCTCCACGTTTTCACTCGGGCGAGCTTCCTTCGAGAAAGGCAGAACGGGCACCCGCTGGAGAATGCCAGAGAAGCGTGGACGGGATGGAAAGGTGATGGAAACGTTTCGAGGTGGACGATGCGGAATCCAGCTGCCGTAGGAGGAAAGAGGGGTGACACACGTGGCGCAGTCTCTTCGTCCAAGTTCTGTGGAGACGAAAGCTTCCAATGCTATTTCGCCAACTCCATACAGTACGCTTATCCGCAATCTTCTCAAAAGGAAGTACGCGCAGCTGGCGCAGCAGCGAAAAGAACATGGCCGATGAGGTAGAGATTCGGAATCACACTGCCTAAAGAGGAAACCAGCCTGCGCCACCCGTGGCGATTAGTCAATTGCGTCAGTCGAATCTCAAATACCCATTGTACATAAAACAGCGTCAAAATACCCTTCAAACGCGCATCAAACACCTCCAAAGCATACCAATCTGACGCTCTTCACTGCATTCTTTCTCATTTCCGTCTTCTACCTCTCTATGTCCTTTCTCTCACGATTCATTCGCCAATTCTCGATGAACTCCGCACCTGCGACTCCGATGAACGTTCCGGCGGGCGCGCAGACCGCGACGGTGGCAGCTGGATGCTTCTGGGGCGTCGAGCACATGTACAGGAAAGCCTTTGCGAATAAAGGCCTGCTGGATGCGCGGGTAGGATACATCGGCAGCGACATGAAGAACCCCAGCTACCGGGCAGTATGCAGTGGGCGCACAGGACGTACGGACCCTCCGTTCCCTCACGTCAAACGCTACTAACAATGCGATACAGACGCCGAAGCCCTCCAAGTAGTCTACGACCCCGAAAAAGTGTCCTACCGCAGCCTCCTCGAATTTTTCTACAAGATGCACGACCCCACGACGGCGAACCGCCAGGGCCCGGACGCTGGCTCGCAGTACCGCAGCGCGATCTTTTATCATAATGAGGAGCAGGAGAAGATTGCGAGGGATGTCACGGAGAAGGTGAACAAGCAGTGGTGGAAGGGCGGCGTGGTGACGGAGGTGCTGCCTGCGGGAGAGTGGTGGGACGCGGAGGCGTACCATCAATTGTATTTGGATAAGAGTGAGTGGCTTCCTGGGGTGCGAGAAGGGATACGTGCTAATTCATAACAGATCCGGCTGGATACGAGTGCCCTAGTCACTTCTTGCGGAAGTTCCCTCCACTGACGGATTGAGTGCATGGAGCGAGAGGGTGGATAATTGTCGACGCTATGTACGAATGAATGACGGAGATGTACGAATGGTCACAACATGAGCACTAGCTCATATCTACAAAACTACACAACACTTCTTGCCCAGGTGACATATCTTCGGTGCGTCAACGCTGCTAATCTCGACCCCGAGGTATAACACGAATACGACCGACGAACCCGCTGATGGAGGACCAACATCGATGACTTTACAGTTTTGCTTTCTCGTCTCTAAATACAGATGAAGAATCAGCCAATGACCATTTCCAAGCCATCCTATGTATCATCCCTACATCGTACCAATACACAAATAACCTTTACTCATCCCCTTCGGCCGTCCGCGCCAGTCTTCCTCTCAACGGTAAGGGGAACGGGCTTACGATGGAGGCATAGTATCAAACGTCTGCGCGACCTCCTTCTCCCACGGCAACTTCGCCTTGCCAAAGATTTCCGCCGCCGGCTTGAAGTTCTTAATGCCCTCGGTGAGCAAGCCCGTCCGCAGGACAATCTTGTCCGGGCCCATGACTTCCTGCTGGTGGTACACGTGCGAGGTGCAGTTGGGGCAGAAGTAGCAGTGGACGCCCTTGCCTGGTTCCGAGCGTTAGCGAGGATTGAGGTAGAGGGGAGAAGAGGAGACGTACCAGACTCGCCGTAGTAGGTGTATTTGCCAAGCTTAGACGCGCCCTTCGTGATGTTCAGGGAGGACGTAGGAATGATTTGGTTGAGGGTGAAGGTCGACCCGGAGAGGTACTTGCAAGTATCGCAATGGCTGTCCCAAATCAGCAACCATTCATCCAATTGGAAACCTCCCCCAAGCTCCCCATATACCAATCGGCAACAAAACGCGCCAGCGAGTCAAAAGGGGAGGTTTACCAAAGAATATGCCCCTGCTGCTCCGGCTCCAGCTTCGCCGTCCACTCCGTCTGACCGCAATGGCAGTGTGCGTCGAAGCTCGTCATCTCGTTCGTCAAATCAAGCCTTCAATTTCCAAAAGCGATTACTATCAGTCGATCCAAGCGGTTAGAAAGCAGACATCAAGGTCCTCAGCAGCCACGGGTGGGTAGCTTATATAGCCTGCCGCATTCTCCCCCCTCCTCCTCTCGGGCTCCACCAATTTCCTCGGGGGCTGCTCTAAAGGCGCGAACCCATTCCAGCGGGTACCTAGTACATACATGCATCCGATATGACCCCTCTCGCTCAGCGGCGGCCGGCCGGCATGACGTGCGCGCCGTCATCTTTCCCAGCCAATCTATCCGATAAATACGTCGATTCTCTATGTGTTGAGCCCGCCCATCCCGCGGTTCCAGCACCGTTCGTCTTCCTTATTCGCTGTTTCCGTTCACAAAGGTCGTGAGCCCCGTCTCAAAACCCAATGGATCGCATTTCCACATCAGGATATCCAATTGGTCTTTTCGTCGATGAACATTTTGCCCTCTTTCAGGTCACGTCGTGCCGGGTGGGTTTGGTGGGGTAGCTGGGGAGCTTGGGCGCCGAATTGGGGCAAGCGGATGACGATGGTGGGGCTAGAGCTTCCGAGCTGCAGGTGCTGGAGTGCGGATCCGCGAAGGGGCTTGATGAGGCGGAGAAAGTGTGCGGGTGCCGTGTTTGGTGAGGAAGAGTGCGGACCGGGAGAGTTGGGATATTCCCAGGAAGGGGCGCGTAGTGCGATTGCGGACACGATTGGGGATGTTGAAGCTCAATGCGGTTCAGGAGGAAGAATTGCATGAGCTTTCTTCTGGTATTTCCGGCGCCTATATACACGATCACCAGATACTAATCACGCTCTCGGATTCCTCATCATAGCTGTCGCTAGATCTTCACCCGGCACAAGCTCTCTGGCAAGCTCTACATCACTCAGTCCACCTCCAGCAACTGATATCGCCCGCCGTGCTTATCGAGCGCATCCTCGATCCGCTCCATGACCGCAAGTACCTTCTCTTCTTCTAAACGACGGCCAACGACTTGCACGCCAACGGGTAGTCCTGCCATCTTATCGGCATCGTAGTGCTTGTACGCTCCCTTGGCGACGCCATTCAGCTTCTTGAAATTGAATGTAGGCGGAAGTTGATCTAATAGTGGGTCGACGTGGGTTACCGGGATGATACCAGCCGAATAGTCCAACTTCGCTATCGTCAGTTGGGTATCGCCATTGGAGCTGAAGGTGCTTACAAGATTGAACAAAAATGTGTACCCGCAGCTGCTCACCGCATCGTGCATCCCATCATGCGGGACAGCAGGAGTAGCATTGGGCGGCGCAATCAAAACGTCCATCTTCCCTTCGTCATTCCACCACCTAAAGAACTTATCCTTGTATGCCTCACGCTTGCCAGCCAATTGCCAGTATTCGAGTGCCGTCTTCGGATGCCAGTCTCGTAAGAGGCCAGCCCAAATACTGTCGCGCTTGATGTATTTCACCCACAGGTAGTAAAGGTACTTGATCGGTCGCGGAAGTCGCATGTAGGAGACCATCTGGGCCGCTCCAGGGTCGTTCCACTCGCCGGTGCGGAAAAAGGACAGAAATGTCTTGCCGCCGTCGCTGAGGAGGAGCTGGGATGCTAGGTAGAGAGCTTCGTATGGGGATGGCGGGGTGATGTCGTAGACGTCGTGCCCTTCAGCGGTTAGGGCCGATGCTACTTTGTCTAACGCGCGAGCACAGGCTGGAGAGGGATCTACAACTCCATCCGTTCGCAAGACGCCGACTCGAAGCTGCCTTTTCTCCTTGTACTCGGTCTCCATGTTTTCTCTCCACTCGAGCGGATGTACGGTGTAGTCGTATCTCCAGGGTTTCATCTGAATCAGGCTTCGGGTGAAGTAGGTCAAGTCATTCAATGTCCGCGCCATAGGACTGAAAACGCTAGGAATAGCTTCCTGTCCGGGCATGCTAGTATTCATGCCCATTTTAGGCCACCGACCAGTTGAGCACCGTATTGAATAGCAACCGGAGAAGTGAGCAGGAACTCGGACTGAACCGGCAACATCCGAGCCAATGCCAATGCGGCTTCCGCCAAATGCCAGCAGAGCTGATTCTCCTCCCGTAGATCCTCCGGGCGAGTACTTGCTGTTATGAGGGTTGGTGCACCGGCCCCACACATCGTTCGTGGACTCGAAGGATAGAAGGGTGGTCGGGAGGTTCGTCTTGACGAAGGGTACAGCACCTAGCACAATCAGCCAGTGTCACATTTTCGACCTTCAGATAGCTTACCAGCCTCCTTCAGTAGCTTCACCATAGGCCCATCCTCAGCGTACGGCTTCCCGGTGTTACGTGAATAACCGACGCTGATATCAAAGCCCTTGACTTGAATCGAGTCTTTCAGCGACACAGGTATGCCCGCCAGAGGGCCCTCCAGATTGATCTCGTTCTTCGCCCACTCCTCCGCCTCCGGGAACAGTATCTCTGTCAAGCAATTGGTCTTCTTCTGTGCCTCAAGGGCTACCTTTCCGTATGCGCGAAGGATGTCCACTGGACTGGTGATCTGCTTGTGGACATCTTGGACGAGCTCTTGGATTGGCTTGCCGAGGATCGTGCGCTCTTGCGGCGAGAGCGGGTAGAGGTACGGCTGGGGTAGTGTCGCGATCTTGGAGGCGCGTTCGGCCTGCTTGCGCTGGCTGCGATAAGGTCAGCTTTTCGCTTGAGGTGCGAGCGGGGTTGGAAGGTGGTTACCAGTCGCGCCTGTGCTGTCGGTACTCCACGAGACCCATCTTGGCTATCCAGAAGGGAGAGGAGGAGAGATTGGAGTATCACACGTCCAGAAAGAGGACGCTGAGGAGTCCCCGCAGCAGGACGCAGCAGTCATATCGTCGGAAGCTGGTTGTGAGAGCGCATATCTCCGGCCCAAACAAACCTCGGGAGGCGTGGGGTCGTCGGCTGCACCTGCCTGATCGAGCCGCGATATCTAGGCCAGAAGTACTCCGAGTACTCCGCAACCTGTACCGAACCCAGCTTTCCCACCTGGGCATGCTCCGTTCTCTTTCTCTTCCCTTTGCTGCTCCATAGAGAGAGGTTGCTGTTGAATGCTGAGGGTATATGCCTTCAGCAAACACATCAATCCCGCGACGGACCAGTGCACGGCGTTTCACCGCCGGCCTTCTTTGCTGCAACAACACCAACGGCTCATACTCGCACTACCCTCGGTCAAGTAGCCTGTACTTTCCTCTGGAAAACCCTCACGACTCAGAAGTGCGAAAGAACGCGCCAATACACACGAGAAGCAGCCTGCTCAATCGTCGAGCATTGACGGCCATCCTGCAGCTGCCCTGTTATCTTCCCAGCGTTCCTTGAGCAACACGTACCTGAGCGCCAAGTCGAACAGTCTACGGTGCTTCAGAGGCTCTGATTGAGCCTCAACACTTCCAGGCGTACTAAGCATAGCTCCCGCGCGCGATGCTAGTCGGAGAGCTGAAGTGGGACCGCGGAAGCAAACACAGGAGCCGCATCGACAACTCTCGTCCACCGGATTCATGAAGCGATCTGTGGCTTCAGATCCTTCAGGCCCGTTTGAGATCTCTTGTTCCTGAGTGGCTTCGGTCGAACTGCAGTTGCCGTTTGACAGGGCCGTGTCATGCTGTAGCCGCCGCTATACGTCCGTGCCACATCTCGCCTATTTCGGACATTTTCTGAAGCATCGCGCTTCTCGCCTCTCATTGGCACGACGAGCGACTACTCGAGATCCCATGAAACGAATGAAGTTCAGACAGACGGATGGCGAGAATAGCAATGCGCTTCAGCCATCTGATTAACGAATGATCTGGTTGACGCAGAGAGCAAGATCTCAGGTATTTAAGAGGCGCTGGAGGTACCGTCAAGGTCATCATCAAACATCTCAGCATCCAACCTACCTACAACTCCACTTCACGAGTTTCCTTTTCTCTTTTCCTTTATTTCATTGTCTCCTTGTCTCCTGGTCGGGCCTCATTCATTCAATCAAAAGTCATCTGTCCACAAGCGTTCTTTTCATCTGCTGGCAGACCACGGTCCATTCATTGCTACATCACGCACTTCAGCCGACCTTTACGACAGTCCATTCTTAACGACCGTCTTTCCAGCCTCAGCGTTCTTCAGCAGCCAGAAAACAAACCATCAGCCATCATGCCTGTCCCAAGCTACGGAGCTATGCCCTTGAGCAAGACCTTCCTGCTGGTCCGGATCATGCAGGTCATCTCCATGATTGTTATCATCGGCATCACCTCCAACTTCATTTCCAACATCGTTGCGACTGGTATCGAGGCTCCTAAGGAGTTCGTCGGAACTCTCAGCGTGGTACGTGCAATTATCTGAAGCGCTTCAGCTTCGCTAACCACATGGTAGACTTGCATCGCCACTCTCTACGTCCTTGTCAGCGTTGCCTATTTCTGGTCGGAGGCAAACCTGGGCCTTCTCATCATGACGGGTGCGGACGGCCTCCTGCTCATCGCCTTCATCGTTGTTGCGGTCACGGTTGGCAAGCCCATCTCCTTCCTCAACTGCTATGTCATTGGGAAGGCATCCAGCCAGGTCGATTCCGCGTACGCCTATGCCTTTACCAGCTCGGTCAAGGACAACCTCAACGTCATGGGCGACAGGCTTGGTTACACGCACTGGGCCGGCGTGACCAAGAGCAACTGCTTCCAAGCAAAGGCTGTGTGGGGGCTCAGCATTGCTCTTTGGTAAGCCATTCACCGCACCTTTCTACTTTCTCGTAAGCTAATACCATGTAGCATCCTGTTCACCACGTCTTGCGCCCTGCTCCCGACGCTCTTCTACAAGAGCAAGAAGGCCAACGCGGCCCCCAAGGCTGTTGAGGCCTAGACGTCCGCACCCGGAGCAATACCCGCACACCGCACACCATTCTCGAGAAGGACTCGAGGATGAGCGATCCGCCAACCACGGTCATTTGCTAGCCGTTCATTCACACAAACACACAAAAACATGCATTGGGAGGAGTTCCTGCGTTTTCACTGTTCATTCCTTTGGCGTCCTGTTCCGCTTTCAGACATTGAATGTCTCTAATCCTAATGGATCATAATCGGGTAGCATGCAAACCCCTACAATCAATAGAAAATTTTTGCAGTCGCAGATGGTCTGGAAGATCTTGATAGTGATGTACCATGAGTACGAACGGCAATGGTTGGTCCGTCGCTGAGAACCGCAGTGGTTCGTTTCGTCGTGCATCGGCGGCTAGCGAACCTGCGGGAGCCCGCAAAAAGGAACTGAAAATTTGTCGGATATGCAGTGTGGCCAGAGCTTCTGGAGCTCCCTGGTGCCGCCGTGCGATTGGTGGGGCCGCAGAAGGGGACAACAATCAAGAGGGTGGTGGCGGAGGGCGAGGCAGTGTGTGACGGATAGGCATGAATGCCTACGATAACATCGATTGCGTCTACAGAGCGTGGAGATGATGAGACTTGATCCGCCGGCATGAATTCCGCGAGTTATCTTCCATCCATTATTCGCGATGGAAGAGTTTGAGGGACCGTGCTAACCTAGGGCCATAGCTCCCTGCGCCGCTCGAGCACGCAATTGGCGGGGATGCTGGAGGCTATCTGTGGCGGCCGCGAACCCGATAGTGGAATCTCTCAACACAATTGGAGGTGCTTCGAGGAACACTCGAAGACTTCGAGTAAATGCTCGAGTAAGCTGCGATACATGATGCCATCGCCTGGGTGTGAGGGGCGCAGGGCCTGCCGTTCCGGTCGTGCAGTGCGTAATTCGACTACCTTGTGATCACGCGGGCCGGGGGTTCCAATGGTCCGGACACCAGCCGCACGGGCAGCTCGACGATGTCGGCCAGGCCAAGCAGCCTCCATCATCGCACCCCGCTCCTGATAATTCGCCGCCATGTATATAGACCCTGACCCTAACGCTCCCTCTAAATCTCATCGGCGCCCGTCATCTGCGTCTCTACATTCTCTTCGCCAATTAGACGGCTGCGCCAATCGTGCGACGTCATTGTCCGTCCTAACGGTCTTTTCGAGCTAACGCCGCGGACTACCGTGGTCTATCATCGAGGGCATCAGCTGCCGCTATCGACTCGCCGCACATACGTCTGCTAGCGGAAAATTCTATTTGAAAGAGGGGTTAAGGAAGAGGGTCGCCCAGCATGTCTTTGACGGAGCGTTTGACGACAATGGAGGAGTACCAGCCGTGGAGTAGAGAGGCGAGCCCGGACAGCAGGCATCGCAAGATGAGCTTCAATCCCGTGGGGACCTGGACGGAGCCTGCGTATGAGGAGCCGGTGGGCGCATTTGAGGTGCCCAAGTGGAAGAGATTGCGTGAGTACACCGTCGTTCCGCCTGTGGAAAGGAAGTGCTAATATCCGCAGTCCAGGTCCTCTTCGCCGTGATATACTGCCTCCTCGCCGCCGGTGTCGTCTTCGGATACGCTGCGATAAAACCCGTGCTGCTGCAGGAAGGGGTATACAGGGATCAATGCACAGAGAAAGAGCTGGATGAGGACGTGCCGGTGTGCTACGGGCAGGAGATAAGGTCAGGAAGCTGCAATGTCGGGAGGACCATAGCTGATATCATGGCAGGCTCAACCTCATGTTCACCGTCGCGGCCGTCTCCACGAACGTCGTTGCGCTCCCCGTCGGCACGATATTGGATCGCTTCGGGCCCCGCGTTAGCGGTATAATAGGTGCTATCTTCATCACGATCGGCTCGGTGCTGTTCGCATTCGCAGAGGACATGTCTTTCGATGGACACATACCCGGTTACCTGTTCCTCGCGTTGGGAGGCCCTTTCATATTCATCTCGTCCTTCCAGCTCAGCAATACGTTTCCGCAGTACTCCGGACTCATCCTCGCTCTGCTCACGGGAGCATTCGACACTTCCAGCGCCGTGTTCCTCGGTTACCGCCTGATATATCAAGGTAGCAATGGGGCTTTCTCGCCCAAGAAGTTCTTTCTATGCTATCTCATAGTACCGGCGTATATCCTGATAGTTCAGATCTTCGTCATGCCTGGTTCATCCTACAAGACCGTTGGCGAATTGGTCCAGGGTGTCGAAGACCTGAGCGTGAACGATGCCATCCACGACAGCGATGACGAAATCGAAGACGAGAGCGTTGTGCGCCGACTCCGCGACGCACGCCGTTTGCACCGGGAAAGCGTTGTTAGCCAGATCACGGAGCTACTTGGCACCAAAGATGCAACGGAGCAGACGAAAAAAGAGGAGAAGAAGAAGAACATTTCAGGAGTGTGGGGCGCGCTTCACGGACGTACTGCTGCACAGCAAATGCGGACGCCTTGGTTTATTTTCATTACGCTCTTCACCGTCATCCAGATGCTGAGGATCAACTACTTTGTCGCCACCATTCGGTCCCAGTATGTGTACCTCTTCCATAGCTTACCGAAAGCGGTGGAGATCAACAACTTCTTCGATGTGGCGCTGCCTCTTGGGGGTGTGATCTCCGTTCCTTTCATCGGCCTGTTACTCGATAACACAAGCACCACCCTCTGCCTGTCCCTTCTAGTTGCCATTGCAACAACCATTGGGGTCCTTGGCGTCATTCCGCAGACATGGGCTGCATACGCAAATGTCTGCCTCTTCGTCATCTACCGGCCCCTCTACTACACCGCCGTCTCGTAAGTCCTACCCATCTATCTAGATAGGCATGTACTCTGACATCTATGCAGTGACTACTCTGCCAAAGTCTTCGGCTTCGCGACCTTCGGCAAGGTCTACGGCCTCATCATCTGTCTCGCCGGCCTCTTCAACTTTGTGCAGTCCGCCCTCGACGCCATAACCCACAAGGGCTTCCACAACAACCCTTTGCCCGTCAACATAATTCTACTCGGTCTCGCGCTATTCGTCGGCATCCTGTTGGTTGGCTTTGTGGCGCGCAAGAGCCACAAGATCCACCGGGAGAATATTGAAGAGGAGGCTGAGGGCGCAAGGGAGGTGCTTATGCCGGGCGCGAATGGAAGTGGCGTGGTGGACTACGGGAGTATGCAGAGGGCGAATGGGAACACTGGGGAAGAGGAGGAGCAGAGGGGTAGGAGACAGAGTATGACGAGGGGTTATTGAGAGCGGGAGGGCCGGTGCGTAAAAGTCATTTCTGGAGTTCTTTTGCTTCCTGCCGATTTCATGTACTTTTTTTTGTTGCCGTTTTTGTCTGGTCTTCGGCATGGCATGGTGCTCTTGGTGTTTCGTTTCTCCTTTTACTTTTAACACTATGTTCAATCTTTTCGTATTGTTCTTATTCCTCCGCGATTTCCATTGGTTCAGATTGCATAGTACCTGCGTGCGCGGCATTGGTGGTCTTCTGCTGTCTAGTTTATCAAGCATGAGGAGATGGGCGGTTAAGACAAGAGCAAGGAATATGACAAGATCAGATGAGCGACGAATAGTATTTCTACATACATACATAGCGCTGAGCTGGCCGCCGCCATGTTTATACTTCGGAATGCAAATCTATCACATCAGAGTAGCAGCAACAGCAGCGGCTTCTTTCGCAGCACAGCGTTTTGTGATATCTGGCGTTTTGTACTAATATTACTATAGAGCGATGAGCAGCATCACCGTCAGTTAATTCATCACACGACTTGGGCTTCACGGTCCCGCCTCGCCCTGCTGTCGGAAATGAACAAATGAACTTCCCTCCTGCGCAGAGATGTCTAATTCGCCCGGTCCCGGTCCGCTTGCCGTTTGGGATCCATCCGACAGTTCATTCCCACGCGCGGGTTTTGGAAGCATGTCCTCGGAGGCGGAGGCGGAGATAGATAGGAGCAGGGGAAAAGCTGGACGCGCTTATATCATTGCTAGATTGCTGTTTTTGATCGAATGGCTTCTTCGTTGCTGCGCCTCACACATTATTTGCTTCGCCCTTGTTTTCGAGGTTCTGGATCCCATCATTGGTGCTAATGCGCTTGCTGTTCGTCCTCAGTCGCGAATGGGTAGTGGTAGAGCGGGTTTTGATCGAATGACTTCCTCGTTGCTGCGCCGCACACATTGTACCTTTCGTTGTGGATTTTGGATCCTGCGCCTCCATCGCCATAAAGCGGATGTTGGCGGGGAGGGCACATGGTGAATTGCAAGATCTGTTTCTGTTTCCGTCTCGCTTGGAAGGAAGGAATCTGGCACGGCGGCATGATTCTGTAAGGGTGTTTTTTATAGTGGTAGTTGCACATAGATCCGGTGCTGGATGTTTTTTTTTTGGATCTCTGAGTGCGAGGATAGTGGGATGGGTGTGGGTGGGAGAGTTTCGCTGAAGAGGGGAGACGAGGAGGCCTGTGAAAGTGTTTGGATGGGGATTTGTTCCATGTCGCGCTGTCAGAACATGGAGGCGAGTTTCCGCCAATTCAGCAAGGCAGGTAAGATGCTATAGATCGGTGTCTATTTCCTTGCTCTCGGCACATCTCGTCGCTCTGACGCCTTTCTTGCTGCTTGAACAGTTGGTTCGTTATGTGGGCGCGTTGGGCATTTAGCTCTGGAGTGCTCTGCTCTGCTCTGCTCCATGGCGGCTTGGGACTTTCGCTTTGAATGGAAAGGGCGACCGCGCGGAACTCCACATACGCATTTCTTTTAGGCGATTTTGATTCAACGGGTACTTCGCTTTGAATGAAGGAACCACCGCGCGGAACTCCACATGTATCTTCTCTCAGGGTGATTTTATTTCCACAGCTCCACCGCACACATGATCTGCATTTGTGCTTTATTTTGGCGTCGGTAGTCCGGCTTTTGGGACCTTGGGAACAACACTGCAAGTCTTTTGTTCTAAGCATAGGCTCTCGCTCTGCTGCCGCATTCAAAGTTCGTCCAGTGCTTTTTAGTTTCGTGTGAGAGCTGTGCGAGGGTAGTGGAGTGTGAGTGTGAGGATGGGGGAAGGAGATGAGAGTGGTTTTATATGTCGAGAGTCGTCTGTAGGGCGTCCGTAGCTCAGCGGTGGAGACACGATCCCTGAACGGAGAGATCTGCGTGCTGGGGCAGAGAGGCGGAGGAGCGAGGCCATGATTCGCGGCATATTCGAGTTTGTTCCGAGGGGAGCAGTTTGGGGGGGGAGGTGGGAGAGAGACGCTGCTGCGGCTAGAACTGAAGGTTGCGTCACACCATTTCTGATGCTGGGGCGTCTCGAGAGATTCCGACGCATGTCTAAGACAGAGGCTCGATTATAGTCCACACTCCCCATCGCAAGATTCCGAGAATGCTTTAGCCCAGCCACATCGCACCGCGTGAAAACTCAAGAGCCACAAGCCCCATGAACAGTTGGTCCAGGGCATTGGAAATTCCGAGACCGAGAGCCAAAATCTTCCATCAGGAATAATGGTAGGGTATTTGATCTCGCAGCTCGGTCATCTCCGTGATACCATGCACACAGCCCTTGAAGCATACCGACTCCATACGGCGGTATCAGACGCTTTTCCCAAGACCCTGGTCCATCGAGCTGGTGGTGCTTTCTTTGAGCGCCCCTTCCCTATGCCGAGGTGAAAAGGCGCCTTTAGCCTACTTATGCAGTGAAGAAAGACAGAGAAGGGACGCGCACATAGCCCACAGGTATCATCACTTGGGAGCCACAAGTCTCATTCGCCAGTCCCTCAAATGATTGTAGACTTTGAGGAGATGAGAAAGACAGGGCAGAGAAGTCCCATAGCTTGATTGATTGATTTTTTCTCGTTTTAAGTCACCAACCTATAGAGGTTATGCTGATCCTATAGCTTGGTGGCCGTGGAGATTTGAGTGTCGCGAGCGCGGTTGTGTGTTGAGGAGGTGTTTGAGGAGCCTGTGGGAGTGCACTTTTCCAATTGTCGAATTGGAGAGGTCGGAAAAGCATCGAGAAGGGCGTGGTTGGTTTTAGTCTTGGTTTCCATGCGGTTGGGGTCAATCTATTTTAGACCGGTTGGGAAGGAAGTGAGGCCAAAGGAGTAGGAGGTATAGTAGATTAAAGACCGTGGATTTTAAGGCTGCGGGTTCCATGAATGGCGTCGTTGCCATCTTGCGAGTAGAGAAAGAAGAGGAGAGAGCGCGAAGGAGACACATGGGAATGTACTTGCTTGGATTACGGCTCGTAAGATTGGTCGTTACCGGGAAGAAGGATTTCTCGGCCTTATGAAGTTTGTCGTCCGCTTCTTGTGGAGTCGCTGCGCCATTTACCTCGGCCTTGGGAAGATCCTAAGCATGAAGACGGTGCATTGTAACTTCTGATACTACTTCTCATCGCAGCATCTTCCTGATCCTTTGGTCCACGGGGTGGAGAGAGTGGAAAGGAGGAGCAGCACACGCAGGCTTCCTTTAAATTACTCAAATTGATCCACCGCAGTTCCGATATAATTGCATTGGCCTGGGTTGTAGAGATACGAAGGAGGGAGAGAGGGGAGAATAGGAGTCCCATCGTAAGCGTGCTCGTATCTTTTAATCCGTGGGTCGGCCGGGCGCTAAGACGGACAGAAGGTGCCAGCACTACGCATACTTCTTGAGTAGGATTGGAGACGCTGCCCCATGGGCGTCTGAGGAGTTGATTTTCGATAGGGAGCATGGTCTCTGGTCTCGAGAGCTTCTGGCCATCACCAGCCACGACCATCGCAGTCGGTAACTTTAGTTCCATCTGTCAGGCGTAGGAGAGTCGTGAGAGCATATATCTCGTCCTTTAAAGATATAGCGCTTTCGAGACGCTAGGGTATCCATGCTCGTTCTTGGTTAGATGCCTCTCGGTCACCCCGGACAATCTTCCACATTAGTCGACATGGTGTGTGATTCTCGCCAATTCCGAAAGTCACATGCATCTTCTCCATGACCAATTCAGAGTCAGACCCGGTTCTTCCCCATTCCGTCGTTTCAGTGGAGTTTATAGACATTCAGACCCCGGTAGAACCCACTGTGGGGGAGAGAGAAACCATGCGATTGAGTTCCGCCACTTCTAATCATGAGCTTGCCGAAAGCAGCGCCCCACGAGGGAGTGTTGAGTGTGGTTCTCGACGCTAAAGGCGCATGGATGTCGGACGCTGGAGTTTCGGTCCAAAGAAGGCATGGATATTGCGAATGGCGTTTGAAGAATGAAGAAGACACATCGCAGAGCAGTCTCGGTGCTTGCAGTTGAGCAGATGACTCCGACCTCCTCAGACAAGTCATCCAGCCGCAGATGATCCACTTCTCGTCCTCAGCATGCCTGCTTCCGCATACGGAGCCGGGTACGCGGCTTTCGCTTCAGGCATGGCTGCAGAGCTCGCTCTAGGCCGGACATATGACCGCGATATCCATATGTATTGCGCTGTCATGGTTTGCCTTGAACTGCGTTTTGAAAGCCACGAAACGCGGTTCTCATTACCGATGTCGTTGGCGAACTTTGATGCGTACGGTGCTGGGTTGGTCCGTGGAAGAGAATAAAGAATGAGGGTGGATGGGAAGGTCGGAAGTCCATAAGCTGGGCTGAGGGGAGACTTCGCTCCACGTACCACTTCCTCTATTCCTTTTGGAACGGCGAGGGACATATACTCGGGATTGGGGCTTTTCGTCGAATGAATTCAGATTGTGTAGATCTAAGGACCTTGGGAATACGGAGGGGCGGAGGGGAAAGCACACCAAGTCCATGTTTCGTCTTTCGGTTCTTTTTGGAGAGGTCACGCCACGATGCGCGCGCGAATGCATCATCAGTGCTGCTCAGTTTTTCCACTACATGAATGTATTCCTTCGTTGCCTTTATCTCCCAAGGTTGTTTTTAATATATTTCCTTGCAGGTCTCTCCCCAACATCGGATGTTCGCTACGCCATTTTGGAAGACGCCATGTTTGCCTGCGAAGCTAGTCTCAGAATCCCGCGACGACAAAGCCATCAAGGGTCTTGACTGCCCTTTTGATCGCGTGCGGTGCCGCGTGCAGTCCAGTCCAGAGGAAACGAGGAGGAGAGAGCGCAAACATCAACGCCTTCTCCCACTTCCCATCGCCACCCCATTAACTACGTCTTCCTTCTGTTTTCAAAGCGACCGCCATCGGAAGCATCATAAAGGACTTCCGACCGTCGTGGCCATAAGAGTATGCTGTGTAACTTTCGCGTCGTCTTTGGATAGGGGGAAAAGAGAACCAATGAGATAGCAATAGCTGCGTTTTGGGAGCCGCAGAACACCCCATCGTGAAGTCATCTTGTCCACTCGGGATCCAGGACACTGCTCGACACCTGAGAAATTTGCTTCTCGGATTTTGGGAAAGCCATGTCTATTCAAAGATCGCGCTGCTGCCATAGCATGTTCGTACCCTCCTCTTAATCTTTAGGGGCCCCATCAGTCAGGCGGCAAGTCGTTTTGAAGGGCTTCGACAGTGGAGCCCACATCATTCTGGTGTACATATCTTTTAGAGATGACTTCCCTGCTTTGTGTGGAGAAGAAGAAGAGAAAAGCACGAAGCCGGAGGATGCATTTATACTATAGACCCTGCTGATGAGGGGCTGCTGACTCCACATTAATGACTGGACAAGGAATGGGGAGCGGACTGAAATGATTCCGGATGGCTCTTCCACGTGCATATACAATCATAGAAGAACTAGAATGAGATGGGATGTAGAGAATCAAAGTGGAGTCGAGGCATGACAACAGATGGGTTGAAATTGACTCTAGAGGCATCGTGCCGCTTCTTCCAAGTAAGGCATCCAAGTCTTTATAAGTTGCTCGTACAATTTCATTTGACAGCATATCATACGACAAACCTATTCTTGATAAGTAATCGTCTTCAACCTCAGGAACTCCTCGATTCCCCAGCTGCCGTTGAAGCGACCCCAGCCGCTCATCTTCGCGCCACCATGCGGAAGGTTCGTCTCGTCGTGAACAGTCATCGCGTTGATATGAACAGCACTTTACTGTTGTCAGTTCTCCGACTCTCTCTCAGGTTACGCTCTGAACTTACCCGCTCTCGATCTGCCTAGCAATCCTAATCCCCCTCGCCAAATTCTCCGTAAACACAGCCCCAGTCAACCCATAGTCGGTGTCATTCGCAATCTGTATCGCCTCCTCCTCACTCGCAACCTCAATAACCGATACCGACGGCCCAAACGACTCCGTGTGATACAGCTCCATGTCCTTGTTCACACCATCTACGATGATAGGCCTCATCCTCGTCTTCGAAACCTCGTTGGTCTCTGGATGCGGTTCGTGCTTCTCGTGGTCACCGTGTACGACCTTGGCGCCGGCCTTGACGGCTTCCGTGATCAAGCGCTTGTTCTTGTCGACGCCCGCGGATTGTACGAGGACCGGCGCGGGCTTGTCGTCGCCGAAGATGGCTTCTGAGGCGCCTTTGAAAGCTTCGATGAATTGCGCCTTGACGTCTTTGTGTACGAGGATGCGCTCGGTAGCCATGCAGATCTGTCCGGAGTGAAGGAACGAGCCTAGCGCACATTGGGTCGCGGCTTTCTTCAGGTCTGCGTCATCGAGAATGATTGCACTGGCTTTGCCTCCAAGCTCCATCAGCACGGGCTTGAGGTGTTTGCCCGCTGTCTGCGCGATGATGCGGCCCACTGCCGTAGAGCCGGTGAAGTTGACCTTCTTTATCGCGGGGTGTTCGATGAGAGCTGTGGTGATCTGCGCCGCATCTTCTGGGCGGTGATATAGCACGTTCAATGCACCTGCCGGAAGGCCAGCCTCGTTCAAGATTGTACCAATCGCCCAGAAACAGCGTGGCGAGAGCTCCGAGCCTTTCAGGATGCATGTATTGCCAGCGGCGAGGGCGTAGAGAACGGCGCGCAGGCCGAGTATGTACGGGGCATTCCTTCGATTGTCAGCTGCGCTTCGAGAAAGACCGCCGTGGTCTACTCACCAAGGTGCAATGCCCAGCACAACACCAAACGGCTCCTTGACCACCAGCGCACTGGTTCCGTCCTCCGCACAAGTCGGTATGTTGCCCATAATCGTACTGCACCTCCCAGCCACATCCCTGAACATCTCTGCCGCGAGCGGCACATTGAATCCTGCGCTGAATGCGGGCGCTGCTCCGGTCTCCTGCATCATATATCCTCCAAATTCTTCCCCGCGTGCCTGGAAGAGCTCGGCGGCCTTGAGCAGGATGTCCCGACGCTTGGCCGGCTTCATCTTCGCCCATGCTGGGAACGCGCCTTGGGCAGCCGAGATTGCGGATTTGACATCTCCGAGAGAGGCAGACGAGGCGCTCCATATCTGCTGGTGCGAGGAAGGCGAGGTTACGGGGAAGGTGGTCGAGGTGATTACCTCTTTGCCGTTGATGAGGAGCGGGACGGTGTAGGATGTGTCGGTGGCCATCTCGTTGATCTGCTATTCCGTCAAGAATTTGAAGAATTCAACAACTGAGAGTTTGGAAGGCTCAATGTGAATTTGTATGCGCGGGGCGTAGGACTGGTGCGGGGTTGAACGCTGTCGCGTCTTCCTGCCGGCGCAAAGAACGAGGATGACGAAAGATTCGAGGCGAAAGGAGTCTGGCCATTGCGGTCCTACCTCCTAGAGACAGGGCTAGTTGAGGCACTCCCGACGCTGCCTGTCGCATCGCAAGGACGGCAGTTGGAGACCGGGCCGATGTGGAGATCTCGGGAGGGATCTCGAGGGTTGAAGAGGGGAAGCTTGCGCTCGGACCATGTTCCGATTCCAGTCCCCTCTTCGGATGGGAGAGTCGGAGACTTCTGCTTGGCCGGAGATTCCCCCGCCGTCATTATTGATGACACCCCCGAATGGCAGAGGACCTACAAAGTTGATTAGCGTGGATATTCAACTGCTTTCGTTCCTAGGGCCTTGAACAGCGAGCACCAGCAACGGTGGCCATAGTGTTCGAACTACAACTCCTGAACCTCATCGATCCAAACCATTTGGATTCGCAGATGGCGTCCAATTGGTACCTGCTAACATGGGGGTGTTGGGATGACCAATCGCCTTGACCGACGAGATGTGAGGCTGAAATTTCAGCCTTGTCCGTTCCTGCCACTAACTCAGCCTTTGCTCTTCCCATCGTCACGACCCATATCCAATTCATTCTGCGCTCCGTGTAGCAGACGCAAGCGCTGTTAGCGAGCCTGAAATCCTCCCTTTTGTGTCCGGCCCTGCGGTCAGCGGCCCTGTTTGCTTCCTACCCTGTCAAAGAATCACCCAATATGAGCAGCCTACCGACATACCGCTACCAGCCTCTGGAAAGCGCGAGTACCGTCCGAATTCTAGTCCTACATCCCGCTGAAGACTTTGCGGCCCCCATACGGGTCAGGATTGTCCATGCAGACCAGGAGGCGCTGCTCTTCGGGGAGACCGAGACGCAAGGCTACGAGGCAGTTTCCTACTGCTGGGGCGATCCGACGCCGACCCATTCAATCATCTGTGACGATGCCTTCACCAGGGGGGTTACTCGAAACGTCGACACCATGCTTCGATATCTCAGGAGGGCCGGCAGACCTCGTCGAATCTGGGTGGATGCTCTCTGTCTGAATCAGCAGGATCTGGAAGAGAAAACTGAGCAGGTGCGGCGAATGGGAAGAGTGTACCAATGCGCTATGAAAGTGCATGTCTGGCTGGGGGAGACAGATAAGGCTGATCCTGAAGTCAGGCTCTTCGCCGGGCTCAGAGCAATTGCAGCGCTGCGACTGCACCCAACAGAGGAGTATGAACCGGTCCTGGACATCCTGGGGCGAGTTTTTGGCGGGAACTACGAAGCTTATATCGACTCCTTCTTCTCCCGCAAATGGTTTAGCCGTCGTTGGATCGTTCAGGAATGCGCATTGAACCATCAGGTTGTCGTTCGCTGCGGCAGGCACAAGATCCTCTGGGCTTGGTTTAAGCGCGGTGTCTTTCTCCTTGATCGTGCTCGCGTACGTTTTTGCCAAGAGGCACGCGATGCGCTGTCCATGGTGATGTCTTTCGACTCGCCGACCATGAATGCTGCGACTCTAAGTAAGCTGCTCTGGTCCTTCCACGCTTCAGAATGCTCCCTACCGGAAGACCGTATCTTTTCTCTACTTGGTCTCGCACAGGACACGGGATTGAATCTTGACTACGAGTCTAGCTGGCCAGAGACCTATACCCGAGTCACTTCGGCGTACTATGACGATTTTCTTGGACGACCACTGGAGATGTTCACGCATCTAGCCGGCTTTGGCCCTATCAAACAGGAAGGATATCCATCCTGGGTGCCAGATTGGACGACACGCCGGCAAGAATTCAAATTCTTACGCCGGGTGGCCCGTGGTGGAGGGCCTAGTGACGACTTTTCCCTAACAAAGGAACGTAAGTTACGGATTAGAAGCTACTACAGAGGCTCCGTGGACGCACCAAACTCCACACTAGCGAGTGTGGCCGAGAAGGTATCTTTGGTTCTTGGAAAGCTCAAGGAGTCGGGTCAAGGCTTGGACTCCCTTATCAGCGTCCTGTGGGCTTGTGTCGATGATTACGGAGAGAAGCTGCCTGAAGACCCGGATCTAGATTTTGTAGAGAAACGACGAAGATCGCGCGTGTCGGTCGAGACGGCTTTGAAACCCTTGATCGCGAACTCGTCCAACACAACGGCAGCTTTTGAACAAGAACCCACGGCGCAGAAGATCTATTCTGTTCTCGAGACCCATTCTCTTTTCTCCATCAACCTCCCTTGGCAGGCGTCTGCGATAGGCCCGAAGGAGACCCAATCTGGAGACTTGGTCTTGTACTACCCTGGCATGTGCCTGCCAGATCGCGGTTACCCGCTGATGTTTTACAACACGTATCTTGGATTCGTAACTCGGCCCTTGGGAAAGTGCGTTCCGAAGCAGGCTTCGGACGGATTCTTCGCGAATTGTCGATTCATTGGGCTGTGTTTCTTCTCTGGATCGGCGGAGGGTATGGTTGGAGATAGGGTCATCGTGGAACTCGTCTGATCGGGTTTGGTAAACGCAATGCTGTCGGCTTCGGCAAGGGTACCTGGCTTTGGCGGATGTATGCTGTTGTATCCTCAAGAAAAGGAGGAGAAGAGATTGTGACGCACTATAAGGAGTGCCATAATCGGGGACTTCGTTCACTTTTCTGTGTCTTGCTGGGGATGGCCGGGTCGGCGCGGTGTGAACTGGAGGTACGCTCGACAGCGGCGGGACAGAACATGGCGCGAATCTCGGATAGCGTCGGTGGAAACTTCGAAGAATGCGCGACTATGGCATGCTTGCGCTCGTTAGCAATCGGGAACGAAGGTCGGGTGCGTGGCACCGCGCCAGAACCGGTCAACGCGAGACTGCACCAATGCAGGCCGAGTACCACGCCGCCTAGAGAACGCCTCTGCGTACCTAACCTTGGCCTTGAAACCGACGGTGTTCGACGATGCTGGGAATACCTAGGTATAGCACATGGGCGAGTGTCGGTCAAGAGGAGGCAACCTGGTGCTCGACGGCGGCGACGGCGCTCTTGCTTTATTTCGGGCGGGACGACATTCGTAGGCTTCTCGTCGGCGGTATTGAAGAGCTTTCGCTGGCGCGTAGGTAGAGCATCTCTTCGTGATTGCTTCGAATGTTTTCTGCTCCTGCTTTGACCCAGCTCGCTCTTTCCCTTTTCGCGTGTGTCAAAGTTTGCGTGACGTCACAGCTCTCACTGAGCAAGTCGCGCTCCTCACTGACCTCAGCGGCATCATGGGCACCGAGAGCATGAGAGTGGACAAGAGTGGCATGAAGGTGAATAGAAGGATGTATGTATTCGCTGAGGACGCGCAGTCGCGCCGCCACTTCTCACCCGCGCGAACCAGACGCGTCCTGAACGCGCCCAAGACCCAACCTGCCTTCACCTCACCTCACATCACCTCACCAACAGCCTCTTGAACAGCTCCTTCCTCGACTCATCAGCAGCGCCGACTGAGTCAATGAAAGTGCACAAGAAGGAAAAAGGATAAAATGAAATACTGAACTTCGATGCACGCCCCTCGCTCGCGTGACACGGTGGTTCCCTCCAGCTCTCACTCTAGCTTTCGCTGGAACCTCCCTTCAGTAAAACATTATAAAACAAGAAACAGACAAAAGAAAGAAATGACAGGAAAGAAAAGAAGGAAAGGAAAGAAAAGAAGGAAAGGAAAGAAAAGAAGGAAAGGAAAGAAGGAAAGGAAAGAAGGAAAGGAAAGAAGTAGGAAAGAGATGATACAAAGGAAAGAAGGTACAGGAGGAGACAAGTAGGAAAGAGAGTACAGGAGAAAAGAAGATACAAAGGAAAGAGAGTACAGAAGAAGACAGGAAAGACAAGAGAAGAGAAGATACAAAGGAAAGAAGGTACAGGAGGAGACAGATAGGAAAGAGAGTACAGGAAGAGGAAAGAAGAAACAAAGGAAAGAGAGTACAGAAGAGAAGAAAAGAAAAGAGAAGAGAGGAGAAGAAGAGAAGAGAGAAGATACAAAGGAAAGAAAGTACAGGTAAAAGCAAACGCGAGCGAACATGCATACATACGTACGTACATACAGACAAAAAGGACAAAAAGCAAAACAGAACGCAGGACAAAAACAAGAACGCAGCAAACAAAAGACAAGAAGAGCAAGGACAGAAAGGAAAGAAAGAAACCCTGCTGTCATTAGCTACCTGTGGGTGTTATTGGTGGATCAAACAGACACCCGCAGGTCATGAAGGAAAAAAAAGTTCAGGTTGGGGGGCGGCGGCAGGTTTATATACCCTGGGGGCGCCAGCAGCACGGGCCCTCAGCCAAGGCTCGCTTACTAGCGTAGATGAGGCCATAGGTGAGAGTGAGGGCATGGTGAGAGCAAGTGAGAGAGACCTGATGACTCAAGTGGGTCCGGCAGCGGCGTCGTACGAGGTGAGAGAGGAACGAGCAGGGGTTAGTGGCAGATTAGCTGGCATGTGAGCGCGGCTGAGCAAATTACGGCCTGGTTTTGCGTTTCAGGTTCGAGAGTGAAGGCAGGTGAAAGACGCGTCACGTGATCGCACCTCCGCGGAAGGCGCGATCCCGGGCAGTGATTGGCGGATTGCGACGCCGAGCTCGAAGCTGGAGGACGGAGCTCGCAGGTATGGCTGCTCACGGGATGCTGAAGGCCCGTGCTGCCTGGCGATCGACCCACTTGTTGAGTACCTGTCGACGTCCGTCAGGGCGAAATTGCGCGGCACATGCCCAGATGCGGTCGTCATTTGCCTCCGAGACGGCTAGCGTACCGTACTTGAGCTGATAGTGGGAGTCATACCTGAGCATGGACCGCGTAGGTGAAGGTAGACCGAGCCGCTGGGACCAGAGCGCGCTATCGTGTGATCCAACTTGAGGAAGGAGCTCGCTGTCTCTGCTCGGCGATCTCCGGGCACCGGCTGGCCACGGCCTAGGACGGAGAGGAAGCAGTAGGTGGCCGATGAGGCATTTGGGTGTGGATGGGACGACGGAGTTTTGCCTCCAGCTCGAGATTCGTATATCCAGTTCACGGTGACGAAGAAGACCTCATGAAAGAGTGCCTGCTGCCTCACCTCCAGCTTGTTACTCTTCGGCATCTTCATCTACGCCTCGGATGGGCGCGACCGGGGCAGAGGTGGACTACAGAGTTGGCCGGTGTCACTGTTTGCTTCCAATACGATGAGGACCTCACGCTTGAAATTGTTAACAACACGCCTAGATCACCATTGTTTCTAACGCCCTCGCGCCCAAAGTAGCCGCCGAAACGAGCGACGCATAGAATAAACCAGCCGCCTTCTCTAGAATCGACACAAGCGCTCAGGAGTTGAAGAGTCAGAGGAAGCGGCCAGGACTGAATGCGGAGGGATTGTCGCCTTTAGCCTGAGCTGTATATCTTGGGGAAGGTTAATCCGCGTTGGTATATGATGGCGAACGGTATATCGGTTGGTCTGCCTTATTTTTAGTTCAACTCTGCCGCTCGACTGTGCCGTAGGCTGGGCGTGCTAATTATACCCAAACATACCTATATAACTTGTTGGATCCTCCCTCGCCTTCCTGCTCCGTATTCTCACATCCCCCTCTTCAGCAATTCCGTTATGAGTTGCGAACCCGAATACCGTCGAAAAAATCGTTGACAGTGGCAGCCACAGTTTGGCCACCTATACACCTCTTCAGCAATGTCACCGCTCCTCGCACTACCCATAGAGGCCCTCCACGAGATTACCGCCAAATTGTTGTACAAACAACTAGACGATTCCGTCCCGCCAGCTTATTATACCTGCGTCGAGGAAGAAGCCCTCAGAGCCCTCTGCCTCACCTGCCGTAGGTTACGGGACGTCGCTCAGCCTATCCTCTTCAGCGTTTTCCTGTCCCAGCAAAGTAGAAGGGAGGAGAATCTGGTGAAGAGATTTGCAAGATTTGCCAGGACAATTGCGATAAGGGGCGACTTGAGGAAGTCTGTCCGGATATTCGATATGTCGACGCACTATGCCTCGAATAGCGACTCTCTTGAGCTTCCGTCAGGATCTGGACTGCAGGAATTACAAGAGGCGGCGCCCGCTTACTTTCAGAGTCGAGAGGTGCGGGACAATGGAGTCATGCTGCATGTGGGCGAACACGTCATGGGCATTCTCTCCCTCCTGCCCAACCTACGCGTCCTCAAAATTGAAGGCCAAGTCGATGACGCTCCGGACTTCTGCCGCCTCGTCGACCTGATGGATAACTTCCAGAAATTGGAAGAATTGCAGCTTGTATGCGAAGAATTGGAAGATCTTCCTTGGCTCCGTGTGTCGGACCTAGCACCACTCCTGCGACTACCGGAGCTGAAGAAGTTCAGCGTGAAGACAGCGGCGGTCTACGACATCGAGAGCGCTGTTCATCTGTCGACATTTGAGGAGAAGTCGCTGAGTGTAGAGGAGGTGTCGATGGAAAATTGCGTGACTACGAATGCCTCGATGCACCGGCTGATCAGGGCCTTCCGCCAATTGACTCGTTTCAAATACACCAATTGGACTGAAGCCGACGAAGAAGCGCAGAAACTCGACACCCTGGTCTGGCATTCAGCACTATCCGAGCACAAAGACACCCTTCAGGAACTAGAGATAGACGATCTCTGCCCCACTACAGAAGACGACCTCAGCCTGCCTACCTCCTGGCCGTCCTTTTGCAATTTTGCGTCCCTTAAGGTTCTCCGGATTGAGTACGACCTGCTGGATTACAACGGATTACCCGAGAGTCTCTGGACGCTGCATCTTTTCGACTGTGAAGTCATCCAGAGCGACGAGGAGCTCGACAGCCTGTGCCGGATAAAAGCGCGCTCGTGCCCAGATATCGAAGATGTGGAAATTAGGGTTACCCGCAATAAGTAGATGATATTTCACTAGCTGGAATGCTATGGGTTCCAGTATTCGGCGGGAAGATGCATGGAGAATGCTAGGTTGGATTTCAATCTCAAGTTTATCGCCTGAGTGAGACTAAAGGTCTGGATGACGGGTTGTATTGAAGAGACGAAGACGAATTAATGCAAGAACAGCAAGAGCCTCATGAACAAGATGGAGAAAGAACAGGCCGATAGCGAATGAGGAAGGATGGAACCATGGGGAGTGGGGAAGCAACGTTGCGCTCGTAGGCGAGAAATACAGGTGCTCTGGCTGCCCCAGAACGCAGGGTTATTGCGGCGGTCTTGCACACACTGGCCTCAACAAGTCCTCTGACTGCAAGCAGAAGAGGATGGACTCATCCGCACTGGGCACAGACCATGACGAGTCTCCCCATGACGCCAACGGCCCGCCTACCAGGACTGTTTCGCCAAAGTCCTTTGGCCCACCCGTCAAGTCTGAACGCCACGATTCTGTCTGTCCCGCGTCTCAGTCGCTGGCACCTCTTCTCGACCCTACGGCTTCCGGCTCACGAGCACCGGATTGGGGCTTTTTCAACTCCGAGCTCATGCCATTCATGACTTCCAAGCACGGTAAACAAGCTGCACAGCGCGCCGACGAGACCGGAAAATGGGGTTTGCAGTATTACCGCGCCGGTTTACTCGCTGACGCTTTGGTATGCTGTCCCACAACCTTTCATGACTTGCGTAGTACTTACGGACCCTCAGCGCGGAGCTCAAGACAACCCCGCCGACTTCCTGCAGCACTACATCGGCGCAGTCGACCCTGGTGATGGATCCAAGCCAGTGGACTACTCCCGGCCGTTCTACAACGAATTAGCGGCCCACGACGCCGACTTTACTATTTTCCTCCTCACTATGCTGAAACATCAATACCCGAATATGCGCCTTCTGCGCGAGCCCGGCCTCCATCTATGACGGAGTCGCGCCACAGGAAATATTCCCGGCACAGGAATCTGAATCGGACACCGCTATAACAGAACGCGAGGATTACGACGATGGCGCGAAGAGTGTGGAGACGCTTGACCCAGGCCCGGATATTCTTCTTCCATTTCAGGGATCGCCATACAAGATGCCGACCCATAGAAAAGGGAAGGGCATCACCGATCCAAGCATGTATCTGAGCAAATAGGACGGAGGAGTGGGCTATGCGCTGTGAACGCTGTCCTCGTATGGGACAGGTCCTAGTGTACCCTGAAGCACTTCGGATTCATGAATAGCTAGTGTATTATTCGTATCCCTTCACGCAATGAGCCACTGCGTGACCCTTGACCCGCTTTCCCACCCATCCAACTAGCACCAACCAAACAATAGGTCTCTACAGCGGACGCCGCTCGATCCTGTGCCGCCTCCTTGAGTTCGGTATTTCGGACTTGGACTTGCAGTAGGCACCCAAGCTACCCTTCACGACTCAGCCACAAGCATGCAAGTAGCCGCAAGCAGCCAGCGACATCTGTACCCCAATGCACCGTGACTGCGGCTTGATAGGCTGCCTCGGCTACTAGGCGCCCTACACCCTGGCTTTGAAGAACGTACTCGCTAGCCGCTGATAAGACACTGTGTCGGATACTGCGCTCTCCACGTGTGCTACCGAGGAAAGCCATAGGGCTGCATATCTTCGCGTCACTCATCCTCCCTTATATGTTAACCTCGATGCAACGGCCAACTGTAGCCATCACGTGATTGACTATTCACTCGACCCCTATGGATCTAGGTGGGCTTCTGTATCATCGTAGGAGCACAGCGGATGTCTTAATATCTAGGGCATCTATTATATTAAGTTATTATCTTTCCGGAGGGCTTTGCGTGGAGTCTGTGGCACAGCAATAGGCTGCCGCTCAAACAACCCTGGAAAGGCAACGTGCGAGGCGTAGTGGTGGGTAAGAAGGGGCGGAAGGGGATCTCATCGCACGCCTCTACAAGGGTTGTCCTAAGCGACGGCGTGGCATCAGTTGACGCTTTAGAGCGGGTATGTATGCCAGTCGACGGGCCGGAGCGTGTACCCGAGGGGCGGCCTCCCCGTTTCCAGACCCCTGGGTGAGACATATTCGAGTGCGTTTATTGATAGGTGGGTTGTGAGGTATCGGAGTACGGATTTGAGAGGTGATAGGGGCTGGAAGGGGGTTTCGTACGACTGATTTTCTCGTTTTGAGTCACCTACCTGTAGAGGTCATGTTGACTAACAGCAAAGCAGAAACTTCTGCCTACACACAAAAGGACTTAAAAGACGCTAAAATGAAGAGAAGAGAACAGGGTATCACAGAACCACGGGGAGGCGTTTCCACTCACTGCCTGGAAATATGGCAGTCGAGGCTGCTCCATAGAGTTCGTGGTTGGCTCCAGCGAGATTGTATGGATAAGAAAAGCATTGCGCTGTACACCACTACTTTCGTGAAGGGGAGATGGATTCATAGCCTCCTTTTTCGCACATATCTTGTTTGGATGGAAGTGTATGATAGGTTTGAAACCGCTGGGACAGTCCGTGATAGCATACCTGGCTTCTTTCTGCGACCATCGAGATTCGGGGGGAGGGGGTGGGAAGTCTTGAGGGTTCTCGACCCATCCTCTCGCCAGCCCGGCATCTCCGTTTGGAGGGATGTGCTGGGCGCTGTCAAGGCACCCATCCACACTGGTCCTTCACGGAGTCGAATACCGTATCCTACGCCGCGTGATAGATCCTCCTGCGTCTCGTCACACTGCTTCTTCCACTTATCCATCCGCTCTGGTCCTCCTTGGAGCTGAAGACCCCATATTACGCCGCCGGAGATGGGATCATTCTGCTGCTCATCACACCTCTCTTCGACTCATAGACCACTTGAAGTCGCGTAACACTGAATCCTCCTGCGCCATTCATGCTCCTTCATCGACTTATCTAATCATACATCAGGGATAGCGCCGTCCCTGGGGCACTTACATGAAAGTGGTGGCTTCAACTGTGCCTCGAAGTGTGATAGCTGAAAGCACCCAATGTTGCACCTTATGAAAATGCTGCTCCATTCGACTTCGGATCCCATCTTCGCTCTTCTTGTTCTTCGTCTTGTGTTCCCTGTAGCACCATTGTACGTTACAAGCACCGTTGTACGTCGCGGAAATGGGCAGTAGCACGAAGGCCGACTCGCTATACATCACAGGCCTGGCCCACGAATACCCGCCGTATTCATTCAAACAAGACCAATTCGAAGATGTTCTCAGGAGACTGCGTCCAGATGACGTAACCTCGGCGGGGTAAGCCATAGCCCACACAGTCACTACCTTGATTCCTCCTTTTGAGCCCTTTCCCATCTGACAGCGAACCAAACACAACAGCATCCAGAAACTGATCGACTTCAACCGCAAAACGGGAATCTCCTCCCGCCCAACAATCTTCGACTACACCACGTGGGACAAAGAAAGTTCCATACCCCCACCCATCGATGAGCTCTCGCGACTCTTTCGAACTGTCGGCGTAGACCTCACTGCGTCCGCGTGCAGAAAAGCAATGTTCGAAGCAGGCGTATCCAGGGAAGATATAACGCACGTTGTTGCAGTGACATGCACGGATACCGGAAACCCTGGCTACGACCTCCTAGTCTGCCAAAGCCTGCGCCTACATTCAGGTGTAGCGCGGACTCTTCTCCACGGTGTGGGCTGTGCGGGCGGTCTTTCGGCGCTCCGTGCAGCTGCGGATCTTGCGGCAGCGGCAACGCATCGGGGACGGCCGGCGAGGATCCTGGTCTTTGCGTGCGAGCTCTGCAGTCTGTTTCTAAGGTGTGAGGTGGAGCTGGCTTGCCGGGATAGCGAGCGGCTGCATATTGCTCCCGCGCTGTTCTCGGATGCTGCTGCGGCGGTGGTGGTTTGCAATGGGCTTGCGGTTGGGGAGATGGGGAGGCCGCCGGTGTTCGAGCTGCTGGAGTGGGGGAGTATGGTTGTGTCGGGGACGGTGGAGTGTATGTCTTATTTGACGGAGCCAAATGGTATGTTTTCGGAAACTTTTACTTCTTGTTGAGCGCATGCATTGTGGATTCGCTGATCTGTAATGTCAGGTATGATAGCGAACATCACCAAAGACGTCCCGAAGACGGCGATTGGCGCTATACGTCCCATGTTCGACCAGCTCCGTCACACCCTTGGCATGACATACAAGCATCGTTCCTGGATGCATGCTCCACCTTCGAAGTTCGACTGGGCGATCCATCCAGGCGGCGCCGCAATCTTGCAGGGCGCACAACGGACTCTGCATCTTACAGACGACCACATACGTGCCTCTCTCGAGGTCTACCGCTCGTACGGGAATTCTTCTAGTCCGACGGTTCTCATCGTGCTCGACAAGCTGAGGCAGATGGGCGAGGGCAGAGATCATGTCGTGGCGACGAGCTTTGGGCCTGGATTGGCGATTGAGATGTGTGTGATGAAACGGTGCCGTCGATCTCATGAAGGAGAGGCTTTGGGTTTGAGTGTTGTGCGGAAGGGTAATAGGTTCTTGTCGTCTTTGCTGTCGAGGTTGGTGACTGGATGGGCTTAGCGGCTTGGCATTGTGGCGTCTCTCCCCAGGTTCAAGGTTCTAAAGTCTTCAGCTCATCACTCTGACCAGGATACAACACTCTTTATACAACACCTTGGTTGCTGTCTTGCGGGCCCTGAGGAATACCAAGAAATGCGGCAGGACCTTGGGGTCGGCGGCTCGCGATGATGCCTCGTTGCTTGTGCTACAGGGCAGTTTGGAACAATTGGTGAGGTATTTAGCCTTTCGATCTACACTGATCTCGCTGCAAGCTTTCTAGATTACCAATTTATGCACGTCAAATATAGCCACTCGAGTGGCGAAGCACTCCTGTGCTGTGTCGCGCGTCGTTTGGTGCGAAATCGCCCCCATCTGAAACGATGTCAGCATCGCTTATCCCGCATTTTCGCCCCCCAGCCGCGCGGACGTCGTGATCTATATCAACGGCCAGGCATCCAGTTCATGCTTTCCTTTCACAAGTACGGAGTGTGGCCGAAGCGTCACTACTCATAATTCAAGATTCGACACCATGGCGGATCCAGAGCGCTTCAGGATTCCGGCGAGACCTACCAATACGCAACCTCTGACCCCCGAACGTTCCGGTAGGTCTCGGTCGCCACTACCGAGACATGTGGTGCTACAGTCAACACAGAACGATACTTCGCCGTGGGATCAACCTTCTACCAGATCTCTAGAGGCCGATGGTCTCGCTGCCAGTCAACACCCCAGGAGGAGTTCTTCGGCCTCCGCGGGCAGCGATCCCTCAGAGACCGTAAAGTCACTCAGCGTGGATGGCAGTCAAATTAACCTTTCTGGTTTGAAGTCCACCGGAAACGTGTTCAAACAACTGTTCAAGAATGTACCGAGCAAACTTATTGGCGTCGGGGAGGACATCTCCGAGATGGCCATAGAAGTCAAAGGCGACACCATGGATCTCTCAAAGACTGCTCTTCGTGAGATCGGGCAAGGATCCAAGAAGCTCTGCAGCGAGTGTGCCAAGATGCGGTTCGATGAGTGCATACCAGGCGGCGCACGACCGAGTGTCTCGACATACGAATACCTTCGACCGCTAGAACGCATCATTCTGCAGCGAGACATGTGCTTGTTTTGCAACGTTCTCTATCAAGCTATGTGCAGGGAAGAGAATGACCCACTCAAAAGCAAGCATATTCAAGACCACATCCAGAATCGACTAAAAGGGAAATCGTTCAAAGAATGGACTGAGGATGCTCATCTGTGGAAGAGGATATTCAAGAGCGGCTCTGTGTGGCCATTTGGGCATAGTCGGGACGACACCGATGATGGCGAAGATATACAGCAGGCCATCGAACCTAGTTCTGGAAAGGATCGGACGAGAATAGCGAGCAACATGCCCAAGAACCTTCGCACTCCGGATATCGCGCCTGAAGCCGTGCTCGTAGGAGGGATGGCTGGTTTGAAGGGTGTAAAGATGGTCGGTAACTTCTCCAAACGGGACCGTAATATTATCGAAGTAGCGGACGCCACGATTGTTGCGGCGCTGCTCTCCACCGCAAAACGGACAAAACCGCTACCATGCTGGGTACTCGTCAAGCTCCATACGGAATCGAGCAACAAGTCCGGTCTACTCGTTGTTCATGTCGCCGCTCGTAATCGGGAACCGCGCTCATCACTCAAGGAAATCAGCAGGTTCCACCTGCGTGTGGCATCTACCCCGAAGTACCCTACCAAGGGTCAGCCCCTCCGCTACGGTAAGATCCTGTCCCACCACATCGATGTCCGGATGTCTAGCCTATGGCTAGACGTTTGCAAGGACCACCACCCCCGATGCCAAACCCGGGTCAATGCGCCTGTAAACCACTTTCGTGTCATCAACCTCGAGCATTATTGTCTAGAAGACATTACCGGCGGATCCTCCGTCGAATACGCAGCTCTAAGTTATGTCTGGGGGCGATTTGAATACCCAGTGACTACCCAACGAACAGCAAAGAAATATTATTCGACTGGAGGTCTGCGGCCGGAGAATGTTACATTACCCCGGTCAATTCAAGATGCGATGGTAGTTGCAAGGCAAGCCGGATTGAGATATTTATGGGTCGACGCTTTGTGCATTCTGCAAGACTCTCCAGCCGACTTGGATATACAACTCGGGCACATGGACAAGATATACAAGAATGCTACCCTCACCGTCGTAGCAGCGGATGGCGAAAACGCGAATTCGGAGTTCAAAGGTGTTTTAACGCCCCGAAAAGCCGATCAATTCGTCGCCGAGGAGGTGCGGCCGAACGTGCAGATTCTTATGCCTCTACGCGGAAGCACGAATCTCGAGCCCTGGCAGACACGGGCATGGACGCTTCAGGAGAAAATGCTCTCGAACCGCCTTCTCGTTTTCAGCGGCGGATACATGATGTGGCATTGCCGCGAGTCTGTCCACTATGAAGATATGACGGCTTCGGATGCGAAGACAGTCCCTGGGAGTGATCGCACAGTGCCACTACTTTCGGCTGGCTTACGCGAGGATGACCTACCTGCGTCAGCGCCGCTCTCTTATTCGACGCTAAATGGAAATGTCTCGGTTACTCGTTCACCGGCTTTCGAGAAGTACGCTTCGCTGGTTGCCGACTATACCCATAGACGGATGTCGTACTCGTCAGACGTTTTGCGCGCCTTGTCCGGAATACTCCCTACACTTAGCAAAACGTTCGCGCGGCGATCGAAGGAAGACCACGAAGTTTTCCGCTATGGACTGCCGGAGACCCTCATAGATGTTGCCCTCCTATGGCAACCAGTAGGCCCGCTTAAACGACGCAGACACTGCACCAAGCCAACCTGCACTGAACCCTACATGCCATCGTGGAGCTGGGCAGGCTGGGAAGGAGATGTGGAATACGATCCCACTTACAAGGTTCGCACTGACGTCTCCGGCGCATTAGTGCAACTAATTGAGCCAAACGGACTGGAGCGGATACGTCCCTTAGTTCGGTTCTATACCAAAGGTACGCAGAAGCTATCAGAATGGGCGGAATCTGGATGTCCGGGTTCGATCCCAAAGAGTCCTGGTATGCCACCTCCGTCACCAAAACGACCTGCTCCTCCTCCAAAGAAGCCTAGTCTTAGTATTTCTGGCCCCCTTACTCCTCCGATAATGAGCAACGCCGCGAGTAGACCGAGGACCCCTCCTGCGCCGAAATCGCCTCTCCTACAACCAGACGTTGTCCCAATCGGCATCCTCAACACCTTCGACTCGCACAATTCACACAACTTATGGGCGAACACGGATCCCCCGGCATGGCTACCTCACGGTACTCTACCCTGGACATGGGAAGCCGCATCTCCAACTGCATTTTCTCGCAAGCTCACTGGGAAGGACGTCACCGCCGGTAAACAATACCTCATCTTCCAGACCCAGATCGCCCAGTTCCGGCTTGGATCGACCTTCTCCCTAGCTGTCACGGAAAAGGTCCTCGAGGCTGACGACGTTGATAATTTCACGGCCGCTTCCGCCTCACCTCCCACTCTGCGCAGACTCCGTCCCGTGCAGTCTAACCCTTCGAATTCAGATCTTGGCTGGACGCTCAAATCACACAGCTCGTACAGGCAGATTATTGACCAGCAAAACCAAGAGATTGGACGCGTGCGAGTACACGATTCCGCAGCCTCTAGCGGAAAAGGCGCTTTTGATTTCATAGTCCTTTCAGAAGCTCAGTTTTTCGGCGACGAGCAGAGCTTGGATGAGGCCATGGGCTTTTCGCTGTATAATGTCATGCTTGTGAGTAAGCCGCAGGGAAGTAGGGGTGTGAGATATCGGATGGGAGTGGGCAAGCTGTGGAAGCATGCTTGGAGGCTGGTAGGGGCGCGTGAAGAGGTTGTTGTGCTTGGGTAGGGTAGATTGAGCAAATGGGATTGGAGGAGAATTAGCACTATGCTTTTGATGCCATTTTTTGCATACCCCATTGGTAGCAATCTAGCTGTTACCTGCAAAGAAGGTTGTGGAATTTTGTTGAGAGTTCTGAGTATGGCTGTGCTATCTTGGCACGCTAACGTCCTCGGCCGAGGGTTTCCACAGCCCCGCTCCCTTCACTCAGCCGCACAGGCAATCGCGTTCCTAATCTCACCATGGTCTTCTACTATTTCGCTACAGCTCGTTGCCGCTACTCCCGTCTTTTTTTACTCAAAGATTCCGCTTTCACGGCATTGGACCTTCCAATAAGAGTTTAGCGCGAGAAAGTGAGTGACATCTCAGCTGACGATCGTGTCTTTACCCAATGCCGCGGAAATATGACTATGATGGCTCGGATGAGTGGCGCTATATAGAACGAGAAGTTGAATCGTCCCTATCGGATTTTGACCCGCGGTACGATCGGTTTAGACGTAGTCGAAGCCCTGTTGTTTTGCCTGCCCCACGCGTTCCTTCTCCTGTATCAAGAGAATACAGAGGACACAGAAGAGGGAGACATCACCGGTATACTCCACCAAAAGATTATAGGGGCAATGCTCTTTCTCTGGACGTCAGGCTGTACGGATTCGAGGACAATGAGTCTCCGGAAACCAATTTCCCAGGGTTGTGGCCGTGGCCTACGACACCGGGGCCGGGCGGGTCTCAGAAGCAACCGCATCACATGCTAAGTATCACCGCAGCGAGGAGATGGTTCGATTCATCGAAGCAGCATAGATTGGACCTCACTTGCTCGCCTTCTCTTCTCGAGATCGACATGGGGAAGGAGTACCCGATAAAGTGGCTGTATGTTCTTACGCTATAACTCGATGCTACCAGCTAACTCTCGCCGCAGTCATGTAGAAAGGCAGGTTCCGGACTTCGATGAGTTTGAGGTGTGCCCCTTCAAGTCTATGAGTCCCTTCATAATGCTAACAGTCCCTAGACTATCGCTATGAATATGCCCGAACTGACTGGTGACTGGAAACTGGTCGCTAGCGGTTTGTTCAAACGACTCACGGAGCTTGCACATAGGAAAGGCGACGACTACCCTGGTCCATGGATGCTGCGGGCTGATGGTCGAAAGTCAGACTGGGCAGGAAAACGGAACGTTCCTCCTTCAGTCACATCACTGAGCTTCCCTTGTTTTGAGCTTGGTCCGATCCAAGGACATGGGAAGAAGAATACACAGCATCAGTATCCGCTGATGAGTCTGTATCAGTGGTCGGATTGTACTCATGCTGCAAGGCAGTGGGATAAGGAGCAAAGCTATCCTAAAATGGCCGATGTCGAGAATGCAAAGGGCCAGATCATCTATATGCCACACATATGGTGTGTGATAGCAGGAAACGGTATGGCTTTCAACGCATCATGGTACCTGATGCTAAACTTTCGTAGTGCTCTTGACTTACGGCCCAATCGCCTTTGAGGCTTTACTTGGAGACTCTATAAAGCAGGTTTCCCCGAAGGCAGAAGTCAGGAAAGGGCCGAGCTCGGTACAAGTCACTGATGTGCTTGGATCCACCCATGTGTTCGACATGAAAGAGTGTCGCACCTTTTTCGTAAGTTTTGATGATCCTTGCCTTCCCGATCTTCGAATGTCGTATCTTACTATTATCGTTAGGAGCTCCAACGCACCATCACCCGCAAATGCATCCAAAATCCATATGCAACGATTGATGACATCGACATTCTGCTCTCAGATGGCTCGGTCCTCACTGGTGCGTCGTGGGTCGCCGCGGTTCAAACAGAGGAGACTACGACTGTTAATCTTTTGCTTGCCCGAAAGAAGGCTTCCTTAGCACAGGAGCATCAGCGAGAGCCTAGGAGACGGTTTGGGGATGCACCTCACTTCGTACCGCCACCACGACATCGGTCACGATCACGACCACGACTACGATATACAAAGTACGAACCGTACAGAACTCGCGAGCGTCATAGGGAGGATGAGGACTATCCACCGAGAGGCCGAGGGGTGTACGTCGACATTCCAATGCGAAGAATGCCCGAAGACACGTTTACGTACACCTTTAGGCCTCCAGCCGCTTTAGACGGAGATGCCGCTAACCAGACCGATGCTACTGCGAGCAACGATTCGAAAAAGTCCGGAAGTGGTGCAAGCAGCCGTGTGATCTTGTCGGACAGCGACGGAAGCGATGATTCGAGCAACTCCGACAGCGATGAGAGCGACATCTCGGCCAAGCCTGAGAACACTTGTCGTGCTGTTGTCCTATACCATGGGGATATCGGACGGGCTACGAGGTAATCCACCAAACCCTCAATGGGTCCATTATTGAACAGCGAGCTGACCGCAAGGGCATAGACCGAGTTTGAAGAATGGTGGGGTTACCGAAGTGGGTTATCCTACTTCGCTAATTCTCTCGAACGCTGGTGGACCGGAAAACATTCGAATCAACCACAGCGTAGAGGCACATCCACTTCGACAAGAGCTCTTCGTTAGAAGGGACCTAGAGCGTGCCATGGACAGCATGCGAGCAACACAGGGGCAGAGTCGCATTCAGCGCGAGGAGCAAGCCGACTCAGAAGAACAACGACCTGGCGTGTTAGTCTTCAAAAAATCATCGGCATATTTGCCTTCCATGTACGTTCCTTTGCAGGAGTCCAGCCACCCACAAGAGCCAGAGACCTCCCGAAGACACCGTTCAACTCGAAACCCTATCGAGAATGGCAATATTGGTCCATCAAATTCAAGGGAAAGAGCTTCTGGGAGCGAAAATCCCCAACCCTCTGCAAATCAACCACATAGAAGACCCGCTGGACCGAGCATGCCGAAAGTCAACGTGAACTTGAAGATCCGTATCCCGCCTTTCTTAAGCTGGGCGACACATACGGGTTTCGATGCCCGCCGCACTATGGAGAGATCGGAACACATTGAACGCATCCTGGAGTCAATTCATATTACATTGAGGGAGCAACCTTCCGAGAGTAACCGAAAACTCTACCGCTTAGCACTTGAGCTACGTAGGGATGCGCTAGAAGAGACCTACCCATTCCTCAAACGTCTGGATACGGGGATCCGCGAGCGGCCAAGCTCTCCAGAAAATGGCGAGCCGATTGATGCTGAGGGTGGACATTCGACCACTGCAAGTTTCGATTTTGGCGCAGTTGATTCTCAGGATTCTATTCACGTGGACCTACTGAAGAAGTGCAACAAAGCCATCACGGAGTTCTTGCAGACCGTCGAGGAATTCTTCTCGTACTATGTGCCGACCTCGTCGAATCATGCGACAGTGCAAAAATGCTGGGGTGCTTTTGAGACAATTTTGTCGGTGAGTGTAGCCCTTCTTTCCTACAATTGACCGAGCTGCGGTATCTGACTCGAATGTTTCAGATCACAAAAAAAGGGCTGGAGCAAGAGCAGAAGAAGAGAGAAGAATCCGAGGCCACCTTCTGGCTGGTGCGAGACATTTCAAATGATCCGTTAGCCTCCCAACATATCAAGCCGTCGCTTCCGTGGCAAGAATGTCGACAGTGTCGGGTTGGACACATCTACCGAGACTACGATGAGGCCGTTCGCCACGTAAGGAATGCGCACTTCAAGTTCTCAAGCCGGACCGGCAAAGACCCCGAAATAGCTGCGGATACGCTCGCCAACTGGGTTCGGAGTGATCATCAATATCGTGTCGACCAACGCCTCGAATTGTTTACAACTTATCTCAACCTCTCTCTAGGCCATATGTGTACGGTCCTCGCAAGAGCCAAGTATATTCGCGAAGGCGTCATCAACACCCACGCCCCTCAAACTACCCGTTACATGTTGCCTAGCTCACTAGTCAGTTCTCTCGAATGCGTAGTCATGCTTGTGCTCTTTACTGCCCGTTCGTTCGAAATCGTCAATCGCTATTGCAACGATTTCATGAAGAACCAGGGGGACAAAGACAAAGAAACGGAAGGTCTGCTTCGATTGACGCGCGTCAAGAACGAGCTTGAAGCAGCGGGCCACGTTGCGTTAGAGTCTATGGAGAAGGCTAAACTGGATATTATGCTTATGACATTCACGAATGTCGATACGGGAACCGTGAGCTATGATGCTGTCGGCCCGGAGTACATTATTCTCACCGTCATGCAAAACCTATTCACCCGGCCACTGCACGGCAAGGAACGGATCGACCAAGTTTACAGCTCGTTTGTTCGCAAAGTGGTACGCCCTATCCCTTTCCTACTTCCCCTGTATTACCGCTGACAAAACGATGTAGTACCTCGACGCAAAGAACCACCCACGAACACGCGTGATACGCGACATCTGGCGGTTGCGTGAAGAATTAGACCTCATAAACGCAGTCATCTACGCGCAAGACGTCAGCCTCGACATGTTTTGGGAGATCCTCTGTCCATCTAGATTCCGCGTCACGACCCAGACACGCGACAATCATTTTGACGTCGAATGGCAATTCATCGCGCACGCGCAAGACGAGTGCGTGGAGACGAGCAGGAAAGTCGACGCCATGGTGTCACGTCTCCGCAGTATAAACACCCACGTCGTCCAGATGCTGGAAATCCAGCAAGAAAACAACGGAAATGCGCTCATTGTTTTCACCCTCGTTACTATCATCTTCCTCCCGCTTTCGTGGGCGACGTCGTATTTGGGCATGAATACGTCGGATATTAGGGCTATGCGGAGCTCCCAATGGCTGTTTTGGGCGATTGCGGTGCCGGTTGCGAGTGTGGTGATTGGGCTGAGTCTGCTTGTGGTGCTCAAAGGAGAGGCCATTAGGGAGTTCCTTATTCGGAAACAGTCGGGGATGGAGAGGCGTCTCGCGAGTAGGCGTGCGCCGAAGAGAACGGCTTCGAAGTCGTTTACGATGGTGTCGACACACAAGACCGGCGAGGAGGAGAAGGGTGCGTGGAATAGGTTTAGGAGGAGGAAGAACGGCGGTGCGCTTTCTAACGTCTAGGGAGATGGTGGGACTCATTGGGGATGCGAGGAAATGGGCGTAGCAGTCCACCGCTGCCTAGGACTAGTGGGTCCTACGCGAGCAGGACACACATTGCCAAGCCGCCCGCCAGTGCCACAATCCCTAGAAGCACGGCCAGCGGCTTGGCCTCTCTATATTAACCCACAACACCCTTGGAATCCACCCTCGCATATCACATTCCAAGCCCACGATGCCTACGCTCACAGACCTCCCCAACGAGATACTCATCGCCATCGCCTCCCATCTGCGCTACAAGGTCGGCATCCCCTCCCACAAAACAACCTACGAGCTCGCCCTCGCAACCCTCTGCCTCACATGCCGCCGCTTCCGCGCCGTCATCCAACCCATTCTCTTCGGGAGCATCCACCTCCCGCTGCGTCCTCTCGTAAGCGATCCGACGAAGCCGTTTCTGCGCCTCGTGCGCACGCTCACTGCAACACCGAAGCTCAGGCAAGCGGCCGCAGCGCTAGATATCGAGCTCCCGTCCGGGTACTATGTGCCTAAATTCCCGAAGGACTTTGATTGGGGGAGAGTGAGGGAGGATGCAGTGGGTATCGACGCGGGTGTTTTCGGAAGGGACGAGGAGTGGAGGGATGGTATGAAGCTCCGTGTGTGGCCGCATGTCGTCTTCCTCGTGTCGCTGCTGCCGCAGCTGCAGACACTGAGGGTGATATCGATTACGGGTGGTACGGCAGAGCCGCGGCAGATGCATGAGTTTCTGGGCGCGTCTGAGCGGCGCAAAGAGGTGGTGCTTGAGCTGACTAAGTCCGGGCATGCCGAGCAGCGCCAGGGGATCGAGGATCTCGCGCCGCTGATGGGAGTCCCGACACTGCGGAGAACTACGATTGACAACGTAGCCCTGCTTGGATCGGAGGAGCTCGTGAGGACGTGCTTCCCGCTGCGGTCCTCGCTCATCGAGCAGCTCGACTTGCGCGATTGCCCAATGACCGGTAGTTGCATCGGCGGCTTTCTGGCTGGTTTCCGCGGCCTGAAAAGCTTCTCGTACAGCGCGTGGAAGCCCATCGAGCAGGACCTTTTCGGCGTGGACGAGAAAGTCTGGCATGCTGCACTTCTTCCCCACGCTTCCACACTCGAGGAACTGCACCTAGACTGCGTAACCGAAAAGTCGCTCTACGGCTACAATTTCCACACCGTCCCCGAATACGAACTCTACGCCTGGCCGTCTTTCGCCCCCTTCACGCGCCTCAAGAAGCTGGAGATCGAGTACCGGCGTCTGGACATGCGCGACGAGCAGCTCGGACTCCCCGCGTCATTGGAGAAGCTGAGGCTGCTCGATTGTCGGAACATCGGTGGCGCTGCGGAGTTGCAGTACTTGTGCGGGATCCCGGCTGGCTCCTTCTACCCGGGGCTGCGCAAGGTCGTGGTTAACATGTCAAGGAACTGTTTGGTTGCCGAGAAGTTACTCACTGAACATGGGTTTGAGTGGGAGAGGGGGATGGCACGGGGAGAGAGGATGGAGGCTGTTGTGGAGAGGGGGTGCAAGGTCGCGTTCGTGCTAGAGTATACGGGGTACTATGAGGAGGAAAGTGCGTGAGGTTAGGGGCGGAGCGCGATGGGGTGCGGGGATTGGGGCTTATTGGTTGGGCTAGGACGCTTGAGATGGGCGACGGTTAGATGACGATGATGAGATTGCCAGAGGTGGAGGAAAGGAATGGCGAGGACGGCGAATGCCAGATAGTTAGAGATGAAGAGTCAGGAGTGATACCAAGCACTGGCATCGACCACTCGAGCATACGAATAAGACAACATTAAATTACCTAATCCTACGAAAACAAAATCACACAAAAGCAACCAGGGACCCAAACTTTTTTCTTCCCCAGGCGCCCAGAACGCCTACCTTCCACGCCCTCGATCCGAGTTTCGAAAAGAAGCCGGCGGGAAGAAGTGAGTCGGCCATCAGACCAAGTCCAGACAGCATCTGCAATTCTCGAGTCAGCACCAACCTATCAGCCACTACGCTAGCACATACCTGCTCAACCTAGTCATCCCAGCTCCACTTAAACTTGACCGTTTTGTCCTCCTTGTTGATATTCCACTCAAACGGCTGGTCATCCCAATGCACCTCCTGCTCCCACTTCGCCCTCCACCCATTATCCTCGTTGCGCCACCTCGTATCCTCCTCGCTCCCATCGACGTTCTCGATCTCCTGCTCGCCCGTCTCGATCCTGTTGTCGTACTCCATCTGCCCGTTGTCCTTGGCGCTGCCTTTGCCTGGCGCGGTAGGAGCGGACGGCATGTTCCATGGAAACTCGTCGTCGTGCTCCCAGAGGGCGTTAGAGCCCGGGCGGAAGGGGAACGGGATTGGTGCGTGGGTAGAAGGGCCTCCCAATGTGCAGCTACTACAGGTCGAGCTGGGACCGGGCGTGGTAGTCGTGCTAACGGTCTGCGATGAAGAAGTGGAAGAGCGGGCTGCCGAACTCGAAACCGCGGACGTGGTTGTCGACGTAACCACAGTGGTAGAACCCGGGGCCGTGCTCGTGGAAGTAACCACAGAGGTGGACGCGGGGAGAGTGCGCGTTAAGGTAATCACGGCGGTAGCTCTTCCGGCCGTGATCGTGGACGTGATCGTAGTGGTAGATGCCGGAGCAGTGCTTGTCGACGTAATCACAACGGTAGAGCCTGGAAGCGTCCTCGTTGAAGTAACCGTGAAGGTAAAAGCGGTCGGGACAGTAGTAGCTGTGACATGAACGGTAGAAGTAGACGAAGTAGTAGTAGTCGCCTCGAACCCGCTCTCCAGCGTGAGCGTCGGGACGGGATCAATGTTGACAGTAAAAGCGGGCCCCGTGGCCTCGACGAGAATGAAATCAGGGAAAGTAGAAGCACCACCGGCGGAGGTGGTGGAGCTCGATGATGAAGTCTGGGATGACGAAGTCCGGGATGACGAAGTTCGGGTAGACGAAGTCTGGGCAGACAAAGTGGTAGAGGAAGCGGTAGAGGAAGCGGTAGAGGAAGCGGTAGAGGAAGCGATAGAGGAAGCGATAGAGGAAGTGGCAGGGGAGACACTGACACCCGTGGCCGTAGTAGAAGCAGCCTGGGCAGCTAGGGCAGCCTTGAGCTTCTGAAGCATCTTCCAAGCCTTCAAGAACTTCACGCGGGCCGGGACGTTAGCATTGACTGGCGTGGGACCCTTCCCGAAATCAGGCCTTCGCTGATTGGCCGCATCCGGGAACCAAACAGTTTCCATCGGTCGCTCTTCGGCTACAGGAGATGCTTCTGGCTCCGGAGAAGGCCTGGTCGGTGCCGCGGTCGGCTTGGACTCACGTTCTGCTTTAGCAGCGAAGTATTCGTACCAGGGATTTGAGTCCTGCCGCGCAACGAAGCTGTGAGTCCTGTGATAAGTGATTAGCTTGTCTTTGCGACGTGTGGAAGGCATGAGAATATGAAGCAAAGAGAAGGAATCGCGATGAGGGATAAGGAGAGAACAGAGCAATGGGACACTTACTCCTGGGTCTCCTCATGCTCGACAGGAGTGCTGTTGCTGCTCGGAGAGATGCCGCCGCAATTTCCGAAGCCCTCCTGGCATCCAGCGCCGCAGAAAAGGTCAGAGCCTCCGCACCAGTTATACGAGCTGCAGCACTCGCCGAAACGGAAGCCGATGCACGAATAGCCCTTATCACCGCCACAGGTGCCATCGCGGGTTGGACCGCCCGTGGTAGGGGTATAGCTCGGTGCAGCAGGCTTGACGGATGACGATGGGCTGGGGACGGGATGTGTCTTGTATAGAGTCTTGGCGGAGCTAAGGGATGGAGCCGGGTCGGACGTGTGATCAGCGACGTAGCTGGATGCATTAGTCATGTATTGCAAGCGGAACGAGTGCCAGAGGGAGATGTTCGACAACAGAACGGTTGAAGACGTAAGAAGGGAAGGGGAACTTCTTACCTAGCGGTAGCGGTGGGCCAATCGGCAAGCCACTCCGTACTAGTGACGTACTCAGTAAATATAGCGGGCAGGTTCGTATCCACCGGCTGCTCAATCACCACCGAATCGACCACCGTCGTCGTCACCGTGTTGAGCTCACCGTCCTGCCAGTACTTGAATGTCAGCGTCTCTGTCTGATAGAGAGTAGTCGGCGCCGTGAAATGCGGGGAACCAGCCTCAGAGGCAGGCTCGGTGATCAGCGTGGTGCTGGGCTTGACGAATGATGGCTCGGTGATCAGCGTGCTGCTGAGCTCGACAGGACTGCTTTCCTCGACGCTTGATGGAGAAGCAGAGCTAGTCGCCTCAATGGTGCTTGAGAAGACTTCATCAGGGGAGTATACGGAGTAGACTGGCGAGGGCTCTGCAGTGGTGCCGGCATCTTCGTAGTCAACGTATATTTCATCTGGATGGACCGGTTCGTTGCAGAACCATTCGCTGGGCGGGCATTGACGCAGCGGGGCGCTCAAAGCGACACCAGCGACGCCGGCAATGGCAACAAAGCTCTTCATACTGGGAGTTCGTTAGATACGTTTGCTAGGTAAGGGGAGGCCTAGAAGCCTTCATGGAAGATATACTTCACTGTAGTGATTCTGCTCGAGACCAGATGAATCTCTGTAGCACAGGTGAGCAAGGAGAGTGGGTGTGGAAAACGAGGAGAACTGGGAGAGAAGAGAGGCCGGAGGTCGAATATATTTCAAGCTCAATATTGGAGCCCTGCCACGTTCTTGACACCAGAGAGGCCTTTAACGTGGTTGCGGTGGAGCCCATCGTGGCATCCCAACGTGCCGGTGAACGGATCAGGCGCAGATCTCCGCCGTGGTTAAGTTCAAAACTCCTCCAATTGTCCAATGAGAGCGCAGAGTCGATGCACGGAGTTGATAGTTTTTCGGTACGGCGGTAACCAGATGTACTAGGTAAACATATATTTGTGGTAAGTACTAGCCCCTGGCCGCAAGCGCACCAAGGGGCACTATCTCACATCCTGCAGGGCGGCCGCTGGTAGGGTGAAAATTTCAGATCACGAATTTCCACGGAGCCAGATTGTTGAACGAACAACGGACGTGATGGGACTCCGTCGGAAGTTGGCTCAAGACTAGGCCACACCGTGACTAGCGCACCACACGCCAAGGGGTGGTATTGTACCCTTAAGATGTGATATCGCTGCACACTCTAAACCCATTCATAGTCTCGCCGTGTAGTTGAAGCTCGCCTTCCTGTGCTGGGAGCTAGTACCTGCCTCGCCCTTCGCATGCGCTGTTGCACCCTCTTCCTCAACGAGCTTCAGTGGGCGGTACTCAGGATCCCACATCTGCTCGCGGATCCATTCTTCCAAATCGTCATCGTCGGTTGGGATATCCTGCTCTTGGGCTAGATCTTCTTTGATCGCTTGCTGGATGACATTCTTGGCGATATGGACGCTGATTTCGCGCACTTCTGTTACGTCAGGCAGAAGGCCAGCGCCGGTTCCCTTGAGGATGGGTGCAGTCGATGCCAGCGCTCGGACGGCAGCGACGATAAGGGACGGTGGGAGGAGCTTTGTCCGACTGAGGACGGCACCAAGCCCGATCCCCGGGAACGTTACCGAATTATTGCACTCAGCTTCGTGTGTTTAGCGCAGATTTTGCCGGGCGTCGACTGTGGAACTTACAAATATCGTACTCTTTCCCGTTATACTTCACCGGAGGGAAGGGCGAGCCGGTAGCTACTAGCGCTTTGCCATCAGTCCAATCGAACAGGTCTTGCGGCTTCGCTTCGTGAAGTCGAGTGGGGTTTGACAGTGGAAAGATGACGGGTCGCTCCACGTGCTTCGCCATTTCCCGAACGATTTCCTCGGTAAAGGACCCAGGGACTGTGGAGGTTCCGATCAGTACGTGTGGCTTGACCTCCTTGACTACGGAGAGCAGATCGTCATGCTGCTTCCCTTCCCACTCTTTGTCATTACGAGCATACTGAATTTGTGCTGGAGTAAGCTTGTCTTTCTTCGACTCCAGCAAAAGACCAGGCTTGTCCACACACCTGCCGCATGGTTAGCGAGCTCATGGTGGCGTTGGGCTAACGACGTACCAGATTTGGCGCCCAGCATCCTCCTTCGATTTGCCGGTCTCTTGGGCCATCGCGTCCTTGACTTGGTCCGCAATCCCAGTACCGGCGGTCCCTGAGCCAAACATAACGAACCGTGCATCGTCCCATTTCGTGCCGCTGGCCTTGAATGCAGCCATTATAGCGGCCAAGGTGACGGCGCCAGTTCCCTGCACGTCGTCATTGAAGCACGCGATTTTCGGTGTGTACTTTTCAAGGATGCGTCGGGCGTTATTCAGGCCGAAATCTTCGAAGTGGATGTAGGCCTTTGGGTACCGTTTTCTACAGGCTTGGACGAATTTGTCCACGAACTCGTCGTATTTCTCGCCTCGCGCCCGTGGTTGCCTCAAGCCGAGATAGAGCTCGTCGTTGAGAAGCTCCTCGTTCTGCCACTGGTCAGTCTTTGGTTACCGTAACGCCCGCGGAAGGAATGCCCACGTTTGTGCCGCAGTCAAGCACCACAGGCAGCGTCCGCGAGGGATGGATGCCAGCACAAAGCGTGTAAATGACAAGCTTCGCAACGCTTATAAGAATGGCGCCGACGCCCTGGTCCCCTATGCCCAGGATTTGCTCTCCATCGCTGACCACGATTAGGTCAATGTCGTGCGGGCCTCCAAACTGATCAATGTCATCCTCCACGCGTTCCATGTCCTTGATATTCAGATAGCACCCTTCTGGTCGCCGGAATATTCCCGAGTAGTTCGCTATCGCGTCGCCTTCGGTCGGGGTATAGATGACAGAGAACATCTCCTTGAGATGTTCGAGGATGAGCTGGTGCGCCCTGTCAGCCGCCGTTGCGCATACCGCCGCCGAAGGACGCTTACCTTGTAGTATAGCACCTCATTCTGCTCCTTCATGCTCGTCATGAAGGTATTCTTCGCGAGATCGTTGTCCCGCGAGGTGTACTGGGCGTAAGCGCGCTTGACCTGTTCCTCCAGCGTCTGGACGTTTGCGGGCAGAAGGCCATGGAGCTTGAAGGTCTCGCGTTCTTCCTTGGTGAAGGCAGAGCCCTTGTTGAAGTAGGGGGTTCGAAGGAGCGCATTGCCCTGTTGACGCGTGAGCTCATCGGGACGTGATGCTAGGTGGGGCTACGGTACCGTCAAGGTCGTTTCCTGCGGCCCTGAAGTTGACAGCGGGAGGTGGCCGAACTTGGGGTGCTTCTGGTGCTGTTTTGACGACATATTGGCTGTATGCTGTAGCTGGGCACTCGGCGGATGCGACAAGAGGGGTCGTCGAGGCAGGACCCTGGCAGGCGTTCGCCCTGATATGGCTCTGAGCTGCCGCTGCATGTGCATCAGTCCACTATCACGAGCTTGGGCTCCTACGAGCTCCCCTTATGTGCCAGACTCGCATCTGGTGCCCTGTTTCGCGAGCACCCGTTCGTAGAGGTTTGCGGAAACGCGTCTGTCAGCATTATGACGTCGCCGTCGTGTTAGTCAGAAATCAAAAGTCGTCTCTCTTCATGAGCAATGGATCAACCTCCTCCGAAGCCGCTCGATTGGCTGCCTCCGTTGAAGAATGCGAATATGGATCGATCACTGAGGCATACATGCGATGAGTAAGGCTGACGAGCTGTTGGTGTGCGATGAAGCGCACCAGCGGCTGGGCCAGCACGCGGCATCCTGCGGCATGTGCGACGCATGCCGGGATCCTCCGTCTCCGCACATCTACGAGGTGGTAGTAAGAATTTATCTGATATCTTGTATGTGCGCACTGCTAACGGCTCTTACACTACAGTATCTATTATTCTAGAAGAATTAGAGCTGCGCTTGCGTAAGCCTTGCTACGCCCTTGGTAGACATTGCGAGCTCCGTGGCGCGGAATCAAGCGGACGTTTCGGGAGAGGGGAGGGAATGGCTTCAAGCGTCCAAAATACCCAATCACAATAGTCTCGTCTTTGAGGCCGTTGGCGTGTGCCGTGGCCAGGCGTCGGAGGTGGCCGCATACTACCCAGGTATTTATCAAGCATCTTAGGCATCTGAGATCCCTCCAAGGTAGCTTCGCTCCAAGCGCACTTTAATGGCTATCGCCCATCGTCGAATGCCTACGCCTAGAGGTTCGACCATAGCAGGCCGACATCCTCTTTTGGCTTTCCTAATGGCTCGTTTCCTGCGTGCAGACTACGTGGTGGTGGCTGAGCGCATCTGAGGCTGAGGTGCATGACGGGTATTTTGAAGGCAACCTCAGCCTTGTCACGGCCAAAGGCCCATTCCTCGCTCTCCCCTCACCATAACAGATCTCTTACTTTCAAAGAGACGCTTCAATTCTCATCTCATCTTAGCGTCGTTCTTTCGTCTTCAGTGCTTCCTTTCAAAACTAGCGCTAGGCTGAGGCACAAGACAGCATGTCGGACCCGTTGAGCGTCACCGCTAGCGTTCTCGCAGTGGCCACTGCCGCATTCCAGGTCGCCAAAGCTTTGAATGAGCTCGCGGAGGGCATAGGATCAGCCGGCGCAGAAGTCCGATTCTACGCCAACGAGCTGGATTCCTTTGCCAAATTACTCCGAGTAATAGAGACTCACGTATCCGATCGAGAGGACGAAGCGAGTGCCGTAGAGCACGGTCTACTCCTGGAAATCGTGGGCGTTTGCAAACGCACTCTGGAGCCGATCAAGTCTGTGCAAACGAAATTGAGCCCGCTTCTTGAGCGGTACCGAGACAGCCACAGCAAACTCCGGAGCTTTGGACTTCGTATCTGGTGGATCTTCAGCAAGAAGGGAGAAATGTTGTTCTACCGCGGTGCTTTACGCCGACAACATGAGCTGCTTGACACGACGCTCAGTTCCATGATCCTGAAGGCGACGTCGACGAGGGACAAAAGCCCTCGCAACATTCAAAACATCTAGTATGTACTTCTACCTCCCGTGTTCATATACACGTACGGAGCCGCGTACCGACGTCCGTCGGCACATAGCGGCATCCCCCATATTCTCGCGACCGATCTAATACGGAACTACCGGCTAACGTAACAGTGTGCTACAACTTTCTGTGGAAAACTCCGTCACCAACATCAAGGCTACCTTGCGTGAGCCGGCACAGTTACGTATTGAGATGGAGTCACAGCCCATCAGTTCATCCGAACGTCTTCTCACCGCAGACGGGGGACATCAAGACAGAGCCATGGCTGAAACGGAACCCCCACAGTCGCCCGTGGCAGCAGGCCCGGGTGATCAGAACGGGCCTGAGACGACAATAGCGAATCCGCCCATCAGGAGGGACACAATTCTGGGCTTGGTAGTCAGGGCTCCTCAGGCGCCCGAAACAGACCCCGAAGTAGATCCCGAAGTTGACGCAGCACTGGAGGGCCTGGGCGTTGAAGAGACTCTTGACGCGCACTTTCAAGAATCTGCCCAAGAGTTCTGGGAGGATATGAGAGCGGTATCTCGGAAAGTGCTCCGCTATGCTTCTGAGGTACTCAAGCGCGAGCCAAGATGAACAACACGGCGCTGCGAGCGAGGCACCGAACACCAGTGGATCCCCTTCGGGAAAAGATGGGGCCCCCACAGCCGACTCTCGGGCGAATATAGCCAAGAGAAGTGAGGCAGTGTCGTCTGGGAATATTTCCTTCACGAGTGCGGATGGAAAAAAGTATGATATCCCTTATGAAGAGATCCGAGATTGGGAAGTAGGCACATCCTTTTCATGCTGGAAGCCACGAAAGGTCTGCCAACGCTCGATAGGATATGGTCAAGTTCCTCAGCAAGGTGTCGCCAAAGACCGAAGTCTACGACTTCGACATCATCGGACCGCAAGGCCAAATCCTCATGCCGCAATACTGGTCGCGGGTCGTCCAGCCTGGCTGGTCTATTGAACTGCTGTTCCATGAAAGCAATTTGAACCTATCGAGCATGACAAAGCGCAGGCTCCGACTGAAAGAGGAACTCGAGGACCTACAACAGGAGCTGGAATACAAGAAAGCGATGGATGCTCTCAACGGCGGTATATGGGTTAATTTTATAAGGAGATTAAGGAGATTAAAGGGAGACAGGGGACTGGTAATGCCCTGGTACGACAATAGAGTTCGGACGTTGCGCTGAGAGAATAGGGAAGTGGTCCGTAGAATCCGTGTTAGCGGATATATAAGGTGTCATAACTGAAAAGAGCAGAAGGATTGATCCTTTTGCTCCGGAAAATCCGTTGCTTCCGCGGTTGCTGCAAAGTTCGGAGTTGGTGTCTATTCTTATTATGTTTTTCTTACGATCGCTTGCTCCTAGTTATTGCTTAAGTCAAACCGAATCTCCCAAGGAAAAACGTGTCGAAGCTCGCGGCCCGATCGTGCGCCCGTTAAATCATATACCGATAATCCGAACCCCAAATTTCCTTCAGCTCCTCGACATTCAGCTCTTTTCAGTATCCGGCTTCTCCTCCACCTTCTCGCTCGCCTCCACGAGTTCTTGGACCTGCTCGTCCGCCCATGCCTCCTCCAAAAACCGCAGGACGTCATCATCGTAGAACGACCAGCTCTCCGGTAACTCAAACCGCCCACACAGCTCCTCAGCCTCCATCTGACCATCCCGCAGAGGCGCGTATACCGAGGGCCGCTTATCCTTCGGGATCTTGACGAGTTCGATCATCGTAAGCTCGCGCAGCCGGTCTATCAAGCTGTCGACCTTATCCCTGTACTTCGAGTGCGGGATGTTTTCATCCCCGATGGAGTCGTCAACCGCCACGTATCCGTGCTTCAGAACAGGACACCGTAACCACCACATTGGCCCCATCATGTATCGCGGTACTGGGACCATCTCGTGTGCGTCAGGCCACTGCTTTCCCGGGAGCTGCAGCTTGAAAGTTGTCTGCTCCAGGACCTTGGCTGGAGTTTCGGATACCACGCCGTTAGTATCGAGGTCGATCGTCCACGTATATTTATCCCCTACGCGCCGCAAACGAGTCATGATGTCAGAGTTGCCGGCAAACAGCGCACACCACGCGTTGCCTTCCCGTTCTCGCTGATTCCAGTGCACGCTCTTCGTATGCAACCCGTGCTCGGCGAGCTGAGCGAGATGTTCTCCCATAGCGTCGTCTAGCTTGAGCAGCAGATACACGTCTTTCTGGATGAAAGTGGTAGATGGAAACAGCGCGTATGCCCTATTCCACGAGAGGAAGTTGAGCGCCGCGGTCGTAGGCGCCTCGGTAAGCAGCTTGTAGATCGGCGGGTTGCCGCTCCAGTTCAGCTGCATATGGACCTGCTTTCCGGCTGCGGTGTCTTTCTTGAAATGCTTCCCGGGGCTTTTGTCGGGATCCTCTGAGTCTTCTTCTTCTTCCTCGGCGTTGAAGTGGGAATCTGGATCGGGCTCGGACTCGCTGCCCTCGGGTTTGGCCATGGCCGGAACAGTGTCCTTGTAGCCTTCGGCTATGAGGTAGTCGCGCAGAAGGCGAACCTTGTTCGTCTGGACGTAGATCTCGATTTTGTCCGGAAGTTCCTTGTCCCGAGCGAAGAAGCGCTGCGCGAAGAGGCCGCCGAGAAGTGCGTTGCAATTCGCTTGCACTGAACGGAAGGCCTTGGGATCGCTGAAGAACTTCTTCAGCTTGGTGTTGATGTTGTAGTCTGTCGCATTGAGCGTGCTCGACATGTCGGCGAAGGCCTTCGAGGTCTGCTTTAGTGCCGCGATCTCGGCGATTGAGAGGTGGGAGAGCAGCCTTTTCTGGATTGGGACGAAGCGCGAACTCAGGAGGTCGGCTGGCGTGGTTTTGGGGTGTTGGGGTGGGAGGAGAGGGACAGGCATTTAAGTCTGGGTAAGTTTGTCGAATTGGATTGTTGAGAAAGCGGTCATGGGTAGTGACGGTCTGTGGAGTTGTATCAACGTTTTGAAGAAGAGATAAACGCCTTGTATGAGTGCGCGGAGGCGCCTAGGACGGGGTTACGAGTGAGCAATGCGCTTCTGAATGGTAAGTAAGCGCCCTGTGGAGGACCCGGCTACCGAGAGGATGCGGGTAGTCGAAGGCGGCTCGAGCGGCGAGTCGAGCGGCGAGTGACTTCCTTCAATCGTTTCGCTAGATTGAAAGTGACTGACTCAGGGGATCTTGGGAGTACATATGCGGAGGACAAAGGTCAGTTCGTTGTGAAAGCGATTTTACTGGATCGATAGTGAATGTTTTTCGCCTAGCAACGGCAGCTCCGCACGGGCTCACGAATTATGTTATACTTTCGGTTTCGGTATTGCAAGTAATCTTATCCCCCAAGACCACACCACACACAACTCGGGATACAATCACTCGTGGGACGACGGCGAACTCTAGCAATCCCAGCTGAAATGGCGGTCCACACTAGGCCAACAAGTCGGCTGCTAGAGTTTCTCATTCCTCCCGGTTCATACTATCCCGTATATCAACTTCTCTGCAGCTTCCTCGACATCAACGGCATCATAACCTTGACTCGGACTTCGAAGCAACTATCGCACCTCTATCGTGAGCTGCTTCACACTGAATGGAATATCAACACCCGGCTGTCTAAGTTCTTCCCAAACCCTGAGGAATTTCGGGCGGTGCAGGGAGAGGCAGACGCATTGATTGTTGGAGGTCTGGCGCAGGCTTTCTTTTGGCGAGACTCGCAGGATGAGGGCACCGCGGTGATTGCTGTGCGTCATGGCGAGGGCTCGGAGACTATGAGGAAGTATCTGGTGAGCGCTGGGTATACTGCCTCAGGGGTGCGAGAGGGTGCCGTTCAGAACAACAACGGAAATACCTACGTCAAGGTATGTTCTAACTCACAATGCTATCTGCTGTCCGCGTTTCTCGGGCTTAAGCTAACCTTCCTGCCTACATATCACGTCTTACGCTCGCTTCACATCCACCGGAGGGGCCGGTCCAACAATCGAGGTGTACGAAACACGTCAGTCGCCCCTTCTAGCAACACTGGCCTTATACCACGCGACCCACGACGTGTGCATAATCTCCTGGAACAAAGCGTTCTGCCTCTTCCCCAATAACACCTTCGTCAAGCGCGAAACCTACCTCCTCGACGTAGTCCGCCCCGACGGCACGCCAGGAATCCGTGCAAGTTTCCTCCGGAAAACCGCGAAATACGGGTTAAGAGTAAAGCTCCGGCACTGGGACCGCTTCGCCCCCAAGACTGCAGCGAATGCTGCTCGGGAAGATCGCAGCTTCAACGAGCTCGAGCATCGACGCCGCCTCGCCGACAAGCACTCCTGGACCATCGACCTGCCGACGTCCGGCATCACCGCCCCACGAACCCCCGATTTCATACTCGACTCAGCATCCTTCAAGCTCTGTGGCGACATCCCTCGTGGCCGCAACCCGTACGAGAGACATCAGGGCTATATCCTGCGCTCCAAGGCGCTCGAATCTCCCATACTGCAGCATACATACCTTTACGTGCCCGAGGGCGACGGTACAGGGTGGGGCGAGCTGCAAAAGGAGTTAGATATCCTGACGCTACTGGAGCTGAAGAAGCTGAGGGAAGAAGAGCGTCCGGCTTTCTATGGTCGACTTAGTGCCCAACCGCAGTTGGTGAATGACTTGATGAGGGGATGGAAGGTGCCGAGCTCGTGGGCATTTTATGACGATGATATGAGGCAGTTGGTCGGGCGGGTGTTGGGGACTGAAGAGTAGAGGGTGCGCAGGGCATGGGGATATTCTGTTCCTCTTCGTCTTCTTCTTCCTACCTAGCTAGGGCGGTGTTGATGGTTTAGACCTAGTGAGAAGTGAATTCGTTATGCTCAACCTAAAGTCCTTTGGACCCTAATTTGAGGCTCGTGCCTCGCACACATAGGTAGGGTGTGTTGAGGTCGTTCAGGGGAAACTTTGAGCGAGTCTAAGCTTGATTCGTGATGCTATATACGGAGTGTCTAACGGGATGAGGAAACAAAGTCACGTTATACGTCTCGAGCTAATCTTATAGCAATAAATCATGGCCGAGTCGTGTCTTGCGAGGATGTGTCGTGAAGGGGAGGGAAAAGACGCGAGGAATGACGTTGATTGTGGAGTGGTCTGTGCGCGATAGCTGATCTCTCCCTTCGACACGCGTTTTCGGAGAGCGAAGCGTGCTGACAGGATCCTAGAGATATCTGCCGCCATGCCTGCCTGACAACTGCTCACTCACACAGTCTCTTCTCACATACACAGCCTGCCATGGATCCTCTCGTTGCAACGGCCAACGACATAGCCTCCGACGAAAGCTCTACCCCTCCTCTCCCGGCATCCCCTCCAGATCTCCCAGGCCGCTTATGGGCCATTAGCGACCTCCACCTCTCGTACAAGTCGAATCGCGAAGCCCTCGAGAAGCTTCAGCCGCGGCCGAACGATGGGCTGATACTCTGCGGAGACGTTGGGGAGTCGCATGAGCACCTCCGGCTAGCCTTCACCCAGGCTACGGCTTGCTTCAGGCAGGTCTTCTGGGTACCGGGGAACCATGAGCTGTACACTCTGCCCACACAGAAGGAGCACGGTGCAAGAGGAGAGGCGAAATACATGGAGTGCGTCGAGATCGCCAGGGAATTTGGCGTGCTCACACCTGAAGATGAATTCATCCTATGGGAGGGCGAGGGCGGGCCTTGCCTGATTGCGCCCATATTCACGCTATACGACTATTCCTTTCGGCCTGTCCACGTCAAGCTAGAGGATGCGCTCGACTGGGCAAAAGAGGAGAACATCGAGGCCACGGACGAGCATCTGTTGCACCCGGATCCGTACTCCTCGCGCATCGAATGGTGCAATGCTTTGCTGAAGAGAACCGAAGACAAGCTTTCGACTGCAGTGACGGCGAATCCAGGACTAAAGTTGATCATCGTGGGACATTGGCCGCTGCGAGAGGATCTGGTCAAGCTGATGCTGGTCCCAAGATTCTGTCTCTGGTGCGGGACAAAGAAGACCGAGGACTGGCATAAGAAATACAACGCGAAGGTGGTCGTGAGTGGCCATTTGCATATCAGACGCACAGACTGGAGAGATGACACTCGCTTTGAGGAGGTCAGTGTAGGCTACCCGAAGCAGTGGCAGGAGTGTCAAGATCGCGGCATGGACATCAACGATCTCTTGCGAGAGATTCTGCCAGGGCCCGAGATACCCCCTCCGGACCAGCGAGCTACTATTTGGAGACGCTACGGGTGAAGAAGAGTATTGCGCGAGCTGCAGCTGTTATCTGTCGCTGGGACCTTGTCTATTTCTCTCTTTTCTTGTAGCCAGGTAGGTGCGACTGTTCCTATCATCGTCTTTTCTCTCCCACATGGCATGTTACCTCTATATCCATCTGTTGTTTCTCAGTGACATGCAAGCCTCCTTCCTAATCCGTCCCAGCTCGGTTCGTCTGATGGGCCAATCCTCCCGCGCCTCGACGCCACGCCCCTGGCCTTACCCCTCACCGGCCCGCCATGGGCATGCATGAATGGGAAATATTGATCCCTGAAGATCTGGGCGGAAACATACTCGAACAGGAGTTCTGCCCGGTACACATGACGCTAATATCTATTGTTTCTCAAGCTGCGATCGGCCGTTGTCCTGAAAACCGGATAGTAAGCTCAAGGACGCGTCGTCGATACAAAAGACGGCCTACCGTCGCACGGAAACATGGCCAATTGCTCCGACACTCCAGGCCATGTGCTCACACGCGATGCAATAACGTGTATTGTAGAACTACCGACGCAGCGGTGACATCGGGGAACACGAAGATTTGGGACAAACATATCACAGGGACGAAACGCATCTTTCGCGCGACCGAGGCACCTCGATATTAGGTTTACTATAAGACGAGCATATTGAGCAACTCTGAACATCGCAGTCCCTTTGATCAGGTCGTTTCTCCTCCAGCGGTCGCATCTTCGAGAAGCTAAGAGCTTGCACGCCAGCCATTGACTGCTTCATTGCACAATGTCTTCCAAGCTCAGTGCATTTGTCTTCGGACTGCTATCCCTCACAACATCTGTCGCGGCGCTTCCTTTCGGCCTTGATCTCTCACGTCGCGCTGTCATCGCCCACGATGCCGTCGTTGGATTCCCGCAGACAGTTCCGTCTGGCATCGTAGGGACGCTCATGCTGAAGTACAAACCGTGGCTCGATGTTTACAACGGCTGCGTACCGTTTCCGGCTGTCGACTCTGCCGGTAACACTGGGTCAGTCCTGCACGTCCCGCACACCCAGGAACAAGAGCTAACTACCAGCAGCGGCGGTCTCGCACCCTCAGGTGGCTCCAGCTCCGGCTGCTCCAGCTCAACCGGTCAAGTCTACGCCCGCGCCGCAACTTACAATGGGGCATACGCCATCATGTACTCCTGGTATGCATCCTTGGGGTATACGACGTCATTCCGAACCTTCGCTAATTGCACTCTACCATTGCAGGTATATGCCGAAAGACTCTCCATCAGACGGCCTCGGTCACCGCCACGACTGGGAGAACATTGTTGTCTGGCTCTCCTCGCAGTCAGAAACTGCGACGGTCCGCGGCGTCGCCATCTCGGCCCACGGAGAGTATCAAAAGGAGAGTTCCCCGCCATTCGATGGGACTCGTCCCAAGATCGGTTACATTAGCTACTGGCCGGTGAACCATCAGCTTATTGCGACGGATGACAAGGGCGGGGAGCAGCCGCTTATTGCGTGGGAGAGCATGACGCAAGCTGCGAGGACTGCGATTGAGAATACAGACTTCGGGGATGCGACGCCGAGCTTCCGGGATAGCAACTTCCAGACCTATCTGGCGGACGCTTATTTCTAGGTTGGCGGCCTTGTTTGTGGAAGCGGGCTTGGGGCATAAGACGATTAGGAGATTCTATACTGATAATGTGTAGGAATGGAAGCACGAGTTTGGATCAGACGGAATCATTGAATAATCTTAATCAAATTCAGCATGGACAGCCTGTTGCACATTCCGTACTTATTGCTTAAACAGCCCTCTATGGTATAACTTTCGTGTTCGGAACTTCACCTCGGCCTGCCCCGCAATGCTCTTCACTGTGGGGAAAGTTTCAGGGTGTGGGGAAGCCGACAACCGCCGACAACCGTTTCTAATGTCCAGGTCATATTGCGCTCCACCGTTACCGTGGGCGAGGTATTAGGAGATGTGCATACCATTACCATGGACCCAGAAGGAAGTTCCACATACGACATCGCCATTATCGGTGGTGGTCCCGTCGGCCTAACGACCTCGATCCTGCTCTCCCTCCGCGGCATCAAAAACGTCCTCTTCGAGCGGCATTCAGACACTTCAATCCACCCTAAAGCATGCGGAATAAACCAGCGCACCACAGAGATCTTCCGCATCGCGGGCATAGAAAAGGAAGTCTACGGGCACGCTGCACCGGCCGAGATCGCAAGCCGGACCGCTTGGTATACTTCCCTCGGCCCTTCGGGCAGCGAGATCGCCTCGAGGGACGCGTGGGGTGGTGGTGTTTACGAGGAAGAGTATAAGCGGAATTCGCCGAGCAGGTATTGCATTCTGCCGCAGATAAGACTGGAGCCGATTTTGAAGCGCCGCGCAATCGAGCTCAACCCCACGGGCATCAAATACAGCTCCGAAGTAACCGGAATCACTCAACACAAAGACCACGTCATGCTCATCGTGCAGCAAGGCTCTAGCTCGGTCAAACACGCCGCAAAATACGCCATCGTAGCAGACGGCGGCCGTTCCTTCACAGACGCCCTCGGCGTGCAATGGCTCGGCGAACGCAACATCTTCAACATGGTCACCTCGCACTTCAAATCCCCCCTCCTCCGCAGCCTACACCCGGACCCGCGCAACTTCATCACCTGGTTCATCAACCCCTCCATGGGCGGCAGCACAGGCACAGGCTTCCTGTACCAAATCGGGCCATGGCCCAGCGCCTCCCCCAGCGACGAAGAATGGGTCTTCGTCTGCGCGCTCACGGCGCAGGACCCCGAGCGCTTCACCCAGGACACCATGACGCGCCGGCTGCGCCAGACGCTGCAGATCCCGGACCTCGAGGTCGAAATGCAGAGCTTCAGCCACTGGAACGTTAATGCTATATACGCAGAGCGGTACCGCGTGGATCGCGTGTTCCTCGTCGGCGACGCCGCGCATCGCATTCCGCCCTGGGGCGCGCTGGGCATGAATACGGGCATCCAGGATGCGCAGAATCTAGTGTGGAAACTGCAGTTCGCGCTGGAAGACGAGGCGAAGTACGCTGGGCTGCTGGATACATACGACGACGAGCGCAAGCCGGTCGGGAAACGCGTCGGTCTGTCCAGTCTGCATAATCTGCGCAGTCACGCGGGGGTTATGGATGTAGCGTTGGGCCTGGGCCCGGAGAACTCGGTGGATGAAAATAGGAGGAATATGGAGAGCGCGTTTGATAAGGGGCATCCAGAGTATGCGGCGAAGCGGGCTGCGATTGAGAGGGCGCAGAAGACGCTGGATTTGGAGTTTAAGGCGCCTGGCGCTGAGGTCGGCTGGTTTTATCCGTGTATGGATACGCAGGATGAGGGAGGGCCGACGTTGCATCAGGGCCAGTTGCTGGGTGATGGGGAGCTTAACTCGGAGTTTTATGTGCCGTCGACGATTCCGGGACATTTTGTGCCGCATGCATGGCTGCGGAGGGGCGGGGAACGGTGCGCCGTGTTGGATCTTGTGCCGCTTGATCGGTTGTTGTTGATAGCGCGGAGTTGTAGAGAGGCCTGGGAGGAGTTGGGCGATAAACGCGTTCGGGTGGAGGTTATTGGGGAAGATGGCTGGATAGATGTGGATGGAGCTTGGGAGAGACTGTGTGGTGTCTCCCAGGACGGTGCTGTGCTTGTGAGACCAGATGGGATGGTGGCTTGGAGGGGCGAGCGGGGAGAAATGGATTCTGAGGTGTGGAGGCGTCTGATTGATAGTATTTTGCATGCTGGATAAGTTTACACTGCGTAAAAGGGAGGATAGAGATAGACTCGTCCAGATTGGGAGCAGATCACGTGGACACCATAGAGCTGGAGCTTGTGAACCAGGGGCCGTCCCTACGGACAGCAACATCATCGCGTATCTGGTTGGCTAGCTCCCTGACCCGAGGAGAATGTCGATGTTGAAAAGAAGTTCCCATCCCTTTTCTATGGTCCCGTGGAGAAGGCTGTGGCTTAGAGGGAAGGTGCGCCACAGGTGTGCCATCGTATCCGCTAAGCCTTCCTTGGCTGACGCAGACCACCCATCCTCCTCTCAACCTTGGAACACCTTCCAGTCGTGCACCGTCAAGGATCCAATAGCCTTTTGTTTGGAGCCGGGGACCCGAAAAGGACGAGGCTGTGTCGACCGCAATTTCCGAGCCTGAGAAAGACGGCAGGCGAAGGCAACTACAAGGCATCTTTAAGAGTGGGCTGCTGCCTTCATTCTTGAGCCTACTTCTGAGGATTTGATCGAATCCATTTCTCTTACACCAGTCTTCTCTCACTATAAGGCCTTGCAAACCTCTCTACTTACTGCCAATCTTTGTCTTTCTTGCTGTGGCCGGCAAGTCAATCCGCATCAGAACCATGGCTTCCATCGAAGAGAAGATCCGGAACGCAGCCTCGCGCAACGCCGAGCTGCTCGAAGGCATTCACGAAACCGACTCCGCTCCTTCCCAGCTTTATCAGCAGATCCAGTACATCCAAGACCTGGAATCTCAAGTCAAGAAGACGGAAAAACATGCCGCCGATCTCCAGAAGAAGACCGCATCCGAACTAAAAGACCACAAGAAGTACTCCGAGTCTACATTCCGACGCTTCGCACACAAAGCAAGCGGAAGGAAGGACCGCTTCGATGAGAAGGCCGCGAAAGAAGAGCGCGAGTACTTTAATGCCATCCAGGCGCAGAAGACTGCTGAGGATGGACTGGGCTACGTCAGGCAGCTGCGAGCAGAGGCAGAGACGACAAAGGACAAGTATGAGGCGCAGGCCAGGCGGCACGACGAGCTCCAGCACGAACTCGATGCCCTCTACAATTCCATCTTCGCAGGCCACACTCCCGGTTTCCCCGAGGAAGACACTAAAGAGAACGCATGTAACGAGGCGCACCGGCACGTGCAGGACGTGAATCGCGCACTCGAGAGAGAACGCCACGTCGTCTTCCTCCTCCGCCAAACCATCGGCAAACTCAACGAAGCGCGCAGGCACTTGGATAACGCACACCAAATGTCACAGATGGACCTGTTCGGCGGCGGCACCATGTGGAGCATGCAGAAGCGCAACCACCTCGAGCACGCCGAGTCCGCCATCTCGCAGGTCAAAATGCTGCAAGGCCAGATCCGCCAAATCGCGCCTCAGCTCGCGGATCTAGGGCCCATGAACATCGCCAGCGGATCGATCTGGACGGACGTCGTTTTCGATAACATCTTCACGGACATGGAAATGCACGACAAGATCAAAGCGTCCGAGGCGCAGATCGATCGTGCGGGGGATAAGTGCGCGCAGCAGGTGCGGCAGGCGGAGGAGCGAGAGAAGCGGGCCATGGACGATTTGAGGGAAGCGAACGAGCAGTTGAGGCGCGCGAGGCTGGAGTTGCAGAAGGCTAGGGAGGAGGCGTTTAGGAGGGTTGCGGGCGGAGAGCGGATTCTTAGCGGCGGTGGAGCGCAGCAAGTTCCTGATGATGCGCCGCCGGCGTATTCAGCTTAGGCGTAGGGGATACTGGGGTGGCTCGTGGGAGCACATTCGGGTCTAGATAGCCATATCGACATCTGAATCCTTCATCAAAATCTGAAGCATGGCAAAGTGCATCCGGAACCAACTAGGGCAAGAATAGCCGAGCCCGCCGAAAACGGTAAGGCGTGCCTAACCACCCCGCTTTCGTCTCACCTCACCGCCCCCTCATTTTGGGACGGAACCACTTGCATGCACAAGGCTAATCTTCGGTCTCCTGATTGTACCACTGCGTGCTACCAACTCGTCCAACCTCCTCTCAACAACATGAAAACACCAATTCATCCTCTCTCCCCGCCCCCTCTCTGCCCCTCTTACCCTGCAACACTCGTCCCGTGAACATGGCGACCTCCAAGCTGCAAACTTTCACAAGCAAACCCCGCATCTTCATCCTGTCCGACATATCGAACGAGCCGGATGACGCGGAGTCGCTATGTCGGTACCTTCTCTATGCGAACCAGTTCGAGACGGAGGGACTGGTGGCGTGCACGAGCACGTGGATGAAGAATCGGGTGTGCCCGCAGGATATGGAGAAGATTGTTGATGCGTATGCGGGCGCGGTCGACAATCTGAATCAGCATGTGCATCCGGACTGGCAGTATCCGAGTGCGGAGCATTTGAGGGGTTTGATTAGGAAGGGAGCCGAGGTATGCGAGTTACAAGCCTGGAGGACGGGGATCACGTGGCACTAGCGATGCTAACAATATTGTAGGTCTACGGTATGGCAGCCGTCGGCGACGACATCCCCCTCTCCCCCGGCGGCGAACTCCTCTACTCGCGAATCTTGGCGCCCTCCGCCCAACCCCTCTGGATCCTCTGCTGGGGTGGAACAAACGTGCTAGCCTCCGTCCTCTACGCTATCGACAGCAAGTTCACGCCCGAGGACTCCCAGCGTCTGCTCTCCCGCATCCGGGTCTACGCCATATCCGACCAGGACGACACAGGCGCCTGGATCCGCAACAGCTTCCCGGATATCTTCTACATCACGTCCGTGCACGGCTGGAACCAGTACGGGATGGCGGCCTGGACGGGAATCTCAGGGGAGAAGTACTACGGGTTCGACCAGGGCGGGCCCGACTTCAGCAAGATGGAGAAACAGTGGCTTAAGGAGAATGTGCAGATTGGCCCGTTGGGGAAGGCCTATCCGGACTATATGTTTATTCCAGAGGGCGATACTCCGACCTTCTTGTACTTGATCCAGAATGGGCTGGGTGTGCCCGAGAGTCCGGAGTATGGAGGTTGGGGTGGGAGGTATGCGAGGACCGATGTTAGTGATAAGGGCCTGAACAGCAATCATTACAGCGATGCAGTGGATCGAGTCAAGGGCATGGATGGACGGATTCACACGAGCAATCACGCGACTATCTGGCGCTGGAGGGATGCGTTTCAGAACGACTTCGCCGCACGCATACAGTGGACGATGACAACCGACTTCGGCAAAGCGAATCACCACCCCGTGATCAACATCAACGACTCCGCAGGCCTGCAGGCGCTGAGGGTGGAGGCCGAAGCAGGGTCCAGTATCGTCCTAGATGCGAGCAAGACGTACGATCCGGACAAGGGCGATAAGTTGACGTTCAAGTGGTGGCACTACCGGGAGCCCTCCGCGACGCAGTGGTGGGTCGACGCCGAAGTTGCCGAACTGTCCGTCAAGCCACTCGACAACGAGAACCGCAAAGTCGAAGTCACGCTTCCGCCACCCGAGAAGTGCGCGGTAGAGCTGATGAGCCGGCAGCCGGTCGAGAGGGGCCAGTTGCTGCACTTGATCCTGGAGGTTACGGATAGCGGTAGCCCGCCGTTGACGACGTACAGGAGGGTGTTGATTCAGGCGACGAACAAGGAGTTGAAGGGTGGGGGCAAGGCGGCGGAGGCGATTGGCGAGGTGATGAAGGCCGAGGCTGAGAGGGAGGCTTGTCCGCTGTTGGACGGGTCGTAGACTAGAGTTTGAGGAGCACTGGAGGTGGGTATAGTCTATCATTTTTTTCAATCCGCAAAACCGCCCCCGAGGCACCTCAGCACCTCACGCGGAGTCTATCCTGCTACCGTATCAATCCCTCTCCCTCCTCCAGCCCCTCATACGAAGCCAGGGCGCCCCTCTCCCCCATCCCCCCTTCAAACCCCGTACCACTTCCTCGCCGCCCTCACCATCCCGAAGAACTCCGGGACTCCCGCCCCCTCTTCCTCCTCCAACACACCCCCCTCAAGCCCCTCCTCCACAAACGCCTTAATCCCCTCCCAAACCCCCACATTCTCCTTGCCCTTGCCCTCCAGCCACGCCCGAAACGCCTCTCCATCCGCCTCCCCGTTTCCGGGGAGCCACTTCTTCACCTCGTCGCTCTCGGCCTGGTTCTTCCACGCCCACGCCTCGAGGCAGTCCATCGTGTCGAAGAACGCCCATGCCAGCTGCGGGCTGCCGCGCAAGATGCCTTCGAAGGCGAGGAGGAGCGCACGTGCCCAGGTGTGCAGGGGCTTGGTGATGCTGCTGTGGTCTTGGGCGTGGGCTTGGGCGAGCGTGCGGGATGCGTAGGCGGCGAAGAAGGCGGCCTTGCGGTCGAGGTCCGCGGCGGGGATGAAGTTCGTGAGGAGTGGCATTGTGGATGTGCTGTTGGCGGCGAGTGGGCTTCGAATAGCGTTGGGAATGTGTGCGGTGCAGATGCGTGTGTGGTAGTGTGTCTGCGGTGCGGTTTCGTGGAGGTGACTTGCGGGAGAGTGAGGATTTCAGCGGGAGATTTGAATTTGGGAAATTTGGCGCGGTGTGAGCCGCGGTGCTTTCACTTCACTGAGGCAGCAGGGGCTCATTTCGCTTCAGATTTGCTGCTCTCTGCGTCTTTACTCTTCTGCTCTAGATGAACCTTCATTTTAGAGAGGTAAGCCACTGCGTCTTCCTCTTTCTCTTCACTACCTACATCTACACCTCTTCACAGCCGGCGGATTGGAATATGGCAGCGACGCTCGAGAAGCAAGCCCAGAACTACGACCACTACATCGTCAAACTCCAAGAGTCACGGGACCAGAACCTCGCCCAAATGTTCCGCGAGTTCTCGCTGAGACGGCCACGTACACAGGACGACTACCTCTCTTTCAACGATCTCGCCCAAGCAACCAGTCGGCACCTCCAGAATTTCCACAGCCTCGTAGTGGCGTACTCCGCCAACAGGAACGCTTGGAAGATGAGTTCAGAAGAATTCGAGAGACGTCTGCGGGACATGCAGCAGAACCTCTTTACAAGCCGAGCAGAGGTCCACCGCCTCAATCAAAGTGCTGCCATCCTGCAAAAATACTTGGACGTGGCAGAGCAAAGCGCGAGCGACCTACTCGCCCGATATAATATCGACACTCGCCGGATGCTGGGAATTATCAAGGAGCAGAATCAGATGTGAGCATTCCGATCAGCACACGTCTGCTGTGATGAAGCACATCAGGGCTTCAGATACACGCTCCGCTCGTCTAAGAATATAAACCCCTAACCATCCTCTTTCGTCTTCGCTCACACACGTGAGAGGCGCTCTGGAGCATTTCATCGATTCCAATCAGCGTACGCATAGGACGGCGAAGTACATCAAGACTATATCTGCACGACTCAAAGACCTCTGGAACTAAATCGATACCGAGGTGCCCAGCACCAACACTACATTGCATCAAGTCACATAAAGCATACGAAGTGCAGGGGTGCAACAGCGAATACCATTAGAACAGCACCAAATTGTACCTAGACACAACCAGTGCCCAGCTCCAAATCCTTCTCTGCTCACAGCTTCCCTGAAAAAGAACATCCGAAGAGGAAGACAAGAACCCTGAGTTCATTCCTCTCTAGTCATCATGCATTACTCTACTCTACTCCTAAGTATCGATGAGAAATCCAAAAGTACAGACATTGTGACAGCGCAGCCGAAAATATCACGCCCGCCATCCTTCTAACCAAGGAACCCATCCATCCATAAACTAATTAGGTACAGTACAGCCGAAATATAGGTCGTCGACCGAGAGAACAAAGTCGCAGCGTGCAGCGAACAGTCGTGTAATTCGCCGAAGCATCGCCAGCAACTCTGTCGCGCGTCGGTGTGCGGGGTATGTAGAAAGGAAACGCCTGGGTATCTCGAATGGTGGTGGGTAGGATGGTAGATTCCCAAGCCTGCTGTTATGCCGGAGGCTTCGTGATCTCTTTTTGAACCCGCTTTTTGGTGTCCTGGTGCAAATGAAGCAAGGCCGGCTGATGCAGAGTATAACAAACGAAACCGCCTGGTGAGAGGTGTTCGAGCCGGTATTAGGAGGTAGACCGGAGGAGGAGGAGGGAGTGCACAGAGCAGTCGGTCGAGGTGGAGAAGGGCTGCTCGTGCCGTGGGTGTCGGGTATGCAGGGTATTATGCGGCGGCAGAAGTACAGCCAAAAGAGGTGTAACGATTTCTAACGCCGAGAATGCGCCGGGCGCCGTTTCGTCTATACGTTTTGCTCCCCGCGGGGAGCATGTCGTGGTTGGGGAAGCAGGGTATTGAGTTCATGTCCGTTGTTGACGCTGTTATCTTCACCGCCGCGATGCGGGGGATAACCGAGAAGGAAGTCCAGGAGATCTCGGAGAATGCCACGGTCCGCACCGGTGTACGCAGCCCTGGTGCCGACGCTGAGGACGATACCCAAGTCTACGGCGAGCGGGCCCCAGACGTGCAGAGAGGTCGGCTCGAAGCGCAAGTACGAGGCGAAGAAACCTAGTACGACAAAGATAGCGACCAAGTGCCCCAGAGCGTAGCTACCATTGGTCAGAATGAGCAGCGATGGTAGGGCTATGGTGACTTACATGGCATGGCCGTTAGCATTGTACAGTGAGATGGCGAAAAGAAGGGCTGTGAAGCAGGTCCATACGCCGAGGCAACTGCAGCATTATGTCAGCATCGTCTGCACAGATGCCTGGCGGTTGAATGTTGAGCTCTCACACGTTGCGGATCATAGCCATGGGGACGCCAGCGATAGTGTGGATAGCTTCAGCGTTGCCCAGCATCAGGCCGAGTACAAGGATGAAGATTGCCGCAATGAGCATCATTGTGAAGCTAATGAGCTTTAGAGCTCCTTGCACCCTCATGTTGTAGGTGGTGTAACGGAGGTACCGAATTTTCCGCTGCGGATTCGTTCGATGGACCTCGCAGCGCGCAGCGGGGGGTAGATAATCGTGGGGTTCGCGCTGGTGTGACTTGACTCTCGAAATCGGCCAGGTCGAGAAACAGTTTGAAAGGCGGAAGGGCAGGTGGGCGACACGGTCTTGCTGGAGTCTCGCAGTGCAGCGAATTATGATTTCTGCGCGGCGACACGTCGAAATCAACAGAGGCGGTGGAGATGAGGGTCGAAGATAACGAGCGTATGGGGCGGAGGGCAGGTATATATACCAGTGCTCTGAGTCGAAGCCGCGAGTTCGCACAGACGTCGACATGCAACGGTGTTGCGCTAAATGGAGGACAGGCTCGAGCTTTATGAGGACCTACAGACGACATTGGTTGGCTCCTAACATACTGGCCCACCTTCCGTAACCCGCTCGTTCGCCACGCCACCCTGGCAGGTTGGAGTCGGCCAAGTATGCCTTGCGGAAATGTTTACCACCCACTGCCGGATTACGTTGTGCCAGAGCAATACCTATTGGTCTTGGGCTGGAGAGCAAGCCACTGTCAGCAAAAATACATCGTATGCGTACATGCCCAACGGAGACGTTGCACCGAGTGTTTGGCGGACCTATAGAAGGCTGGGTTGGTGGAGGAGGACTGCAGATGCCCAAACGTGATGAATGCCCGCGTGCGCCGATCCATCCGTGGGTCAAACATGAAGTCTTGTCTCTATGAACAAGTCCATTGTCATACTGTCGCCGATGCTGGAGGAGCGCATCCGTCCGCGGTGCTGAGCTGGTGTCACTCAACGTGGCGTCGTGTATGACCTATTCGCGCGGATCTCTTGGCGGTTCCTCGTCCCTCAACAGCAAGCTGAAGGCACACAGGGCACAGCCTCCCAACCCCACAGCCTCCTTCATGGTATAAAGCCGTGCGGTGGTTTCGATGCTGGAAGTAGGCTTCATTTTCTGAATGATATCAAAAGATCTTTCCGAGCACGTTAATAGAGGTGAGACGGCGCCGAGAGAACGGTGTTCTTGCTTACTTTGAGAAGGGTCATCACGTCATGGAGACTGATCGAGGAACCTCCCACTCCAAAATATCCGACACCGAGCCCTGCCAGGATGCAAAACACTGTTATCATCGAAAGATATGCGATGCCGTATGTGGCTGTGGAGTATGGATCTGTAGCCTTGCGATGAGCGGGACCTATCTGGGTCTACAAGTCGAACCCAGCATAAACGCCGCCTTCAGACGATGGCAGAACGTAAGTAATCTGAGAATGCAGTGTACGCCAGGCATATGCTAATAGATGGTGAGCAGATGGTCGCTGCGCGACAGACTGATCCCCAACGCTCCGTTCTCTTCGGGGGATTTGTGTTTTCGACGGTCGGATACGCTATCTCATGCATAGCGTTATATCGAAGGGCTCCGAATGTCGTAGTGGCGATAGTGATGCCTTGTATATTGTTGGTTCTCTTGGAAGGGTGGTGGAATTACCTTAGGGTAACACCTGCGGAAAGGGTCCTCGTTATAATGCCAACGGTGGTAGATGTCGGTATGACTTGGGTCCTTCTGTGCGGGGCGGCGAGGCTGAGGAATCTCTCCTCAAAGCCAGGCTTCTGTGTGTAACGAGCAAATTGCGGATGCGTAATCCAGGAGAGACAGGGCCGATTACCAGGCAGAGGTCAGGAAGAGATGAAGAGCTCTGAGCTTGTATACGTTGAATTAAAACCCGGGCGGGCATGTTACGTTGATATAAAGATGTACAGAATCGCGAGAACGTTCATGTCGAACATTCGAGTGTAAACCTTCCTAGATGCAGATTCAAATCAGCAGGTGTGTGTATGGTAGAAAAAAGATATGATTACTTACCTTTTCTATCTCTGGCCTGGGTCTGCGTACGGGGTATTGTGCTGCGCCGAGCATAGTGGTACACAGGTGACTCGCTATGCCTGCGCCACGCTGGGGCTGGAGCCGGCAAGAGCGGAGCTGCCTGCATCGCCGGCCTGCATCATCGTCTTGGTGTTTATCGACCACCATTGTCACCTCAGGCACCGCAGGCTCCGACACGGACGATCCCAAAGACCAGATTGACCACTGATGCACACCTCGCAAAGCATTTCCTCAGAGGTGGGTCTTCTTCTGCAGGCCCTCCCGCGGCGGAAGCGTTTTCTGATCGTCTAGGACTTCTCATGGGTGGCAGCTAACCCGAACGTCAGTGCAGCATCGCAATTCTTCTAGAAGCGGACCGTGACCTCGATCTCTTCTCGCAATGGCACAAACGGAGAACACCGCGCTCCGGCGAATATTCACCCAAGGGAAGGGACTGTGGGTGCTGTTCTGGTTGTTGCGAGAGACCATACCCACCGTATGGCCATGGGGCTGGATCTCCTTCCTCTCCTTGTCATCGTACAGAGAGCAGAAATTGCTACCAATCCCGTGCGGGACGATCTGGTTGCTGGTGGCGGGATTGTCCATGGTAGCTGTAGCACTTGGGTGGGGATATTTACAGCACACGCGTGAAATCGCTCAGCTGAAACGAGGCTCTGGCGACCTAGATGGATCTCGTAAGTTCCTGTGCCGCGATATCGCAGAAAGTTGGAAGCTCACTCCGGGTAGAAAAATACTATGCCGGTTCTTCGGCAACGTGTCGGAATCGTCTCACCGAACGAACCGTCCCGGAACCCAGATCCCCTGCTGAGGAGCATACTCCATGCCCTAGACTGAATGTCGAAGAGCAAGATCAAGCGCCCAAGCCGCCAATCCATAGCCATAATACGCAGTCTGAAAAGGCCACTGACGAGCATACTCCGCGCTGCGAATCGAGCGACGAGGAGCATATAACACGCTCCGAGCCGGCTCCTAACGAGCACACACCGTGCATGGCATCAACTGTCAATAGTGATTTGTCTCAGCCTAGAGCTACCGTCGATGACGACATTCCGCGCCCCGAATCAACTACCGACCAGCACTCACCAAACTCCGAATCCACCGTCGATGAACACATCACACATAAGAAAAAGAAGGCAGATTGGCTGGCTGGAAAGAAAGAAGCCAAGAAGAAGTTAAAAGAGCAGAAAAGAAGCCAAACGGCGGACGAGCATAAGAATGTAGAGGCGGAGAGACCCCAGCACGGGACTAGGCGCGGGCAAGAGGTACGGGGAGCCGGTAGAGGCCGCCAGGGGCAAAGGAATCGAGGGACTTACCCAACCCGCCGTCGTTCTGACATGCCCTCCATTCTGAACGCAACGTCAAGCCACATAGTCATAAACCACAACCATCTATCGCCAATGCCAAGCACGTACCGATCAGCGCCTTCGGCACTATGCCACTTTCTCAATGAGCCTCGGCCAACGTGGGGTAACGGACAGTACGGCATACCTCCTATGACTTCAGATTATCATGCGGAATATCTTCGGTTTGATTGGCCTTATTTGCCTTCTTCTCACCACCCAAATCCCATCGAGTCGCTCCTGGGCACTCCAGTCCCGCGAGATACCTACCGGATGCAACCTTTTCGGCCACTGGGAATTGGCCAGGATTATCCGTCATCGCCTCCAATATCTCAGTCGAGCTGGACGCCATGGACGCCATCACCAGCTGAACGAGCCTTGGTGAATGCGGCGAACCGAACAGACATACGAGCACAAGCGTCTCCGGTGAAGCGGCCTGGATATCCCATGATTGGTGGGCTTGGCCAAATATCTTCGCCATCGCCTAGTCTCTCTCAGCCTTCTTCTAGTCATCTAGTTCCGTCAGAGGCCGCTCCCTCCAGTGCCAAAGAACAGCGAGAAGAGGCAATGGGCCACCTGGAAGATGGTGAGGCGAAGGTCAGATCCGAAGAAGGCGATTGTACGCCGAAGGCCGTGGCAAAGAGCATTAACCAATGCGACGCCGTTCCAGAGGTCCCGGAATTAGAGCAGAATGCTCTTGCAGACAGCCCCTCCGCTGACTGCGTGCCGATCAACTATGAATCCGCCCCGGAAAAGGGCTACAACCTTCCGCGTTCGAGGACCTGGTAAGTACCTTTCTTCCCTATGAATGAACGGAAGAGACGCTGATGCCTTCCCAGGTCTTATCTTTCAGAAGACTCCGATGACGGGCGCAGTCTAACCTAGAAGACGTGGTGACGCGTTGCGAGGGGACGACGAGGCGTAAGCCCGAAGCGTTCCTCCAAGGCTTTTGGATGGATTCCGGTATAAGATTCCCAACAATGGGCGTTCTTTCTTCATGGAGGATTTTGTCGTATTAGTTCGGTCGGGCGATTCTTCCTGGAACGATGGGTTGGCTACAGCCAGCAGAGGCGCACGGCGTTCTTGTTTTGTTTCCTTGAGCAATACGAAGGGAGAGGTTACGAACATATGAAGAACAAGGGCGGGCAACCCTAGGTTATATGACAAGTGGTCTGACGGCACTCGCGGAGGCTTGTCCCTAAATGTGGAGCTTACTAACGAAGGCCAAAGGCTTGGCGCCACTCCTTGCGTGTCGGGCACGCGATAACGGTTAGCGTGTTCCACAACGACACCCCGTTCCAGGGTTTGCTCTTCAAATCACAATCAACCTCTAAAATGATGCTCGCGCACCTCTGAGTTCTGAAGAGTTCTTCAGAAAAGCTTGTATCCAAGATCGGCCAAGTAGACCAGATCTCTCGGCTGAACACGGGCCCACGTCATAGCGCTGGCACAGCACTACTGGCTCAGCATAAGTCAACCATAATTCGGCGGCCAAATATTCCCGAAGAATACCGTATCTGGACTGCGCCCGGATGCTTATTATGCCGGTGCCGACTTCACGAGCTGCAGCCATCCGAAAGGGCACGCCCGCCCTACGGATTGAAACCAATCGGGAATCACGAGGCGCACCACTATACAGAGGCTCGAAAGATGGCGCCTATCTAGTCATTGAGCTCATATGTCCAAGTGAGATGGGATATCTAAATCATAGAAGAGGTTAAGCTCGCCGAGAGTACTTCGTATGTGCCAAGCCACCGACGGGCAAAGTACTGTTTCGCCATCTCATGAATTGACTAAGCGGACAGGCACATATCTCCTCGCATCAAGAGCTCGAAATAGCGGCGCTTCGCAACCCCTCTCCTTTCCCATACCGTCGTTCGCCTGCCTGGATATATAAGCCTTACTTCCATCCTCTCCCCCCTCACGCCTAACACTCAGAGCCGGACATATTTATGGACTGGTTTATTCTAAAAACTCTCTAAGCGAAGGAATATGGTTCGCCGGTGGGTAGCAGGTCGTTATTAAAAGAGGTTAGCAAAACATCCGATGTTTTGAGTGGGGGAGAGAGAAAACTTTGCATGGGCCGACGTACGTGAGCGATGGGCGCAGAAAGGTTCCAGAGACAGGTCGGCATGAAGTCGATCGTGTGCGGTTTTTTAGACCCTTTCGAGCATCCGCCGCTCGGGTTTCTGAACGCGATCTTTCATGGTCGCTGACTGTGACAGCTTTTTAGGACAATGCCTAACAGAACAGCCATGAGTACGCGCTCTCGTAATTTTAGTCTAGGCCAAGAAGGGGGTGTGTAAAGAAGAAAGGAATAGGGAGACGAGGGAGTGGTTTATATACTTCACGTGCGATCTCGGCATGAGGAAATCCGCACGCTCATGAGGTACTCTAACACGCTCGGAAGAGCCACATCAGCTTACGCATCAACCTTCCGGATTGCCTTACGCCTCACTTTTCTATATAAACCTCCCTCTCCGCTCTTCCCTCTCTCTCCTTACTTCCACACCTCTCCATCCTTGGACTAAAACAGTCACGACTATTCGCGAATGGGAATCTGCTGCTTCTCCAAAAGATTAAAAGCAGGAGTAGTATTCGTCACGGCGGTGGACCCGCTTCTCCCAAAAGCCTTGCTCAAGCAACCAATGCGTCTTCGAACAAACCCATGTGTGACGGCTCGGTCCAGGGCACGAAACACCCTTGGCGGGAATTTCATGCGCACAGCATTCAGCACGCCTCAAGCGTGATTCATTCACGTTGCTGGGTGGGCTATAAAACCCCCTCAATTTCCTCCTTTACCTTTCCTCTCCACAGCAGACATCTCTTTATGGGACTAAAACAATGCCAAAGCGACCAAATGTTCTGGCCGGGTCGTTCCGCCCCAGCATGTGCACTCCAAAACCTATCGAAATACTCGGACATGGAGTTCTCTTCCGGGCAGCTGGGTCCAAAAAGAGCTAAGGGAGGTCGTGATGCGTCGGACGAAAAGTCGTTCACACGTCCATTATGGAGAACGCGAGAGACTCATGTCCACTCCAAAACCCGTCGAAGGCCTCGAGCATGGAGTTCTCTTCCGGGCAGCTGGGTCCAAAAAAGCTAAGAGAGGGGGTGATGTGCTGGTCGAAAAGCCATGGCACATAATGCATGATGGAGAAAGCAAGACCTCGCCTCCTTCACGCGCTTTTACTCATGCTCTTCTCTACCCGAGTATATAAACCCCTCCCTTCTCTCTTCCCTTCCTCCTTCACATCTTGGGAACTGCACTCATCCTGGGACTAAAAGTCTCCACCTCAAGATCTATGGTTGCCGTGCATCTACCCGGTTCCACGGGCATTTCTTCTAAAACTAAAGACGGCTGGAATATGGAGTCCTCGTGGCGGAAGAGTAGCTCTAAAAGCTTGAGCGAGTCTTTGCATGGCCTGGACGAAAAGCGGGCCGACATGCCAGCTATGAGCGACGAGAGTAGAGAAGAACGTCCGCCGCACAAGGTCTTCACTCCAGATGTTTATATAAACCCCTCTCCGCCTTCGCTCTGGCTCTTCTTCTCCACATCTCCGCAGGGCGGCCCAAGGGACTAAAAAGGACGATCGCCGACGTTATGGCTGCGGAACGTCTGCCCCTCCAAACCCAAAAGCCAGACACATCCGTCGATAGACTTCTCCTGCGCCAGAAGAAGCCGCTCCAAAACGCCCATCGCTTGTCCATATGCGCCGACCAAAACCCACCAGTACTAGCACACATTGGCTACGAGAGAAGAATGTCCGTCTGTCCATCATACAAGCCCTCTACTCCTGTGGGCGGGCTATATAAACCCCTTCTCTACATCTCCCCAGCGCCACCTCAGCCTAAAAGAATAGCATCCACCTGCATGCCATTTGCGCGCCGGCCATGCCGGCCCCATCTCCTTGAAAAATCAACTAGTGCAATCTGATGGCCGTCGCCTGCGGTGAAGACGTGCATCGAAAAGAGAACGGTAGAAAATGATGGGCTGGACCACCCAGGCAAAAGCCGTCTATTACATCTCTTACGGAAAGCCGCGAGAGAAGCTCAACACAAGAGCAAGGCTAAAACCAGAAGAGGACTTGAATCATGGCAGCGTCGCTTCCTCGTCCCATCCCATCCCACCTCTTCAAGCGCTCGTGTATAAAACCCAATTTTCTCACGCTCTCGTCGTTCTTCTTTCTCTCTACACCACGCCTCTGCTCTAGGACACTAAAAAAAGCGAAAAGAACTACTCATGGTGCCGTGCGCTTCCCCGCTCCAGCGCATTCCGCTCAGAAATCGGATTTCTCAAGAACAATGGGGTGTTCCCGGCGAGAAAAACGGAGCGCAATACCGCGATGTGGGGGTCGAAAAGCGTGGACGGACAACACCATGAGGAGACGAATGGAGAGAAAGTGCACCTCTCCCACCGCGCACCAAAATGTCGATATCGCCCTTAAAATGGAGCGAGTCCTTCCTTTCCAACCATCTCGGAGCGCCACTGGCGCTATAAAACCCGGACACTCTTCACTATCCTCTGATTCCCACAACTCCCGGCATCTAAGCTGGACTAAAAGCGTGAATTGCATCAGCGATGGCGTTCCCGCCGCTTCAAAACGCATACGCGAAGGGCCTATGTGCGTTCCGTTCCCGCCGCGCCAAAACCCATGCAACGATGTCCGTCCCGTTCCTCTCTGCTCGTCTCAAAGAACTACAAGACAACACAAAATCAACGCCGTGGCCGTTGTATTTAAAACTCTATCAATGGCGACTATGGGCAAGGTCGTGGGAAGAGCGCGAGGCTGGCTGCAGACTCACATGCAACAGACAAATGGAGGAGAGAGCGAACGAACTGCACTGCGCGATGATACTCATCACCACCTTCCCTTCCCTCTCTTCCCTCTCTTCTCGCTTACCGCCCTCCCCTCCTCTCCGCTCATATAAATACTCCCTCCAGCACTCCTCCCTCCCTTCACTTCTCACCTCACGCACCCCGCCAGAGCATCCATTGCACTAAAAGAACGATGCAAGCAAAGAATGGCGCTGCTGTTCGTCTAAAACTCAGTTTAGTCCTTCTAATGCCTGCTCCTCGGACGGTGCTTCCAAAGGGAGAAATAAAACAGGAGTACCAACCCGTGATGCCGTGTGCGCCACCTCCCGGGGACTAAAAACCGCGAAATGGGGAACACATGCGTGCGCACTAGGGAGAGGGAGGCGGAGGCGAAGCGGGGACCTAGACAAAACGAAAAGCATGCGAATGTCGTCGATGCGGCCATGGGGTAGGGGAAGGGCGGGGAGCCTATCCCGTCGGTCTCTCCTACCCCAATCAATAAGTCTTCGTCGGCAATGGTATAGAGTCATGTGCTCTGCCTGTAGAAGCCTATTTCCTTTGTTCTTCAACACAGACTTATCGAGAAGGGGGACGGCAACGGCGATGTCACGGTCACACATAAACACTATGAAGTCTCTGATAAGAAATGGGAGAACCACTGCCGGCGCCGGGGGCACGACGTATGGGTATATGCCAGTCACGTGCGGGACAGTCGGGTGCGGTGATGTTGATATTGCAGAAGCGGTTTGTAAGCCGACCGGGACACTGGAAGTGATGGCTTGGCCGCCGCTTGTAGAGTAGAACATGATATTCCAAGACTGGACTCGTAGCGGTCCCGAAGTGATGATTCCTGTTGCGCCTTGCTAATTCTGGGTATCAAAGTGACCTATGACTGTGAAGAAAATCAGTCAAACCTACGCCATGCCGTGACACGAAACAGTTCGTTAGAACCACGCCAAACTCCACAGGGCAGGGAGATTCGGCCACCTCTCCTGCCAGGCCGCCAGAATCTCCGGCACGCGCTCGTCGAAGCCTTGTCGGGCTGAGCCGCCGCCTCGGCCCCAGCCATTGTCGCCATGGATTTCCCTCTCTTTGCCGGCGGCTTCGTTCAAGCTGAGGGCCAGATCGAGGATGGCTTTACCGCCAACGAGCGCCTCTTCGTGGTTGTCGCGGATATCCACGTTGAAGACATGGACAGGCCGGTTCAATCTCCCTCCCTTGTTGTGGAGGTCGTCCAGGACGGCGTCGAAGCACCGCTCCTCGCACGTAATGATAACGTCAACAACGCCGGACTCAGTTCCCGGTGCACCCTTGTCCTCGGCATGATCGAGCCTCGGCTTGCCTGGTATCCAATCTTGAAACCTCTCCGGATATGACTTGATCTGGAGGTTGCGACCGAGCATGTTGAGCAGGCCGTTCGCCGTGTACAGCTGGGTATTCTGCTGGGCCAGCTCCTCGTGAATGGCGCGGTAGGTGGTGCTGTTGAAGTGATAGACGTTCGGGCGGTCGACGCTGGGTCCCGGTAGACGGACTAGGGAGCCGGTACCAAAGGAGACGGTGGGGAGGTTCGCTGAGGCGAGCTGCAGATGTGCCTCCATGGACCTAGCGGGTCAGCTTGCGGGGCTGGAAGGTGCAAAATTTGACATACCGATTCTGGTTGCTCGCACACACAGTGCAGAACTTCAGCTTGAAATGGTCGCTCGGGACGACTTCCGTCGGAGGGCCGGAGTGGTCGCTTGTGCCGTCCATGCCCATCGGTTGCGGCTCCATGGGGGGCGGTGGAGGTGGTGGGGGAGCGGGCGTGGGCTGCTGTTGCTGGGCCCTTGACCTAAGCCGCGGATCGGCCGACATGGTGAAAGAGGGTATCACGAAGGCGGGGTGAGACAGGAGCGCCGACGCCTGCTGTGAGCGTCTCCACGCCCGGTCTGTAGAATCTTCACCACGGTCAGCAGCGGCTCCTCGCTTGGCACGTATCAAGGCAGCAGGATTTGGGCGAGCGGGTCAGAATTTTCAGTGCGTAATGTTAGATGTCCTCACGAACAATAGGACAGCTCCAATAAAGGTGTTCATCATCTCGCGGGCTGGCGTGGGCAACGCGGAGGCAGCAACTTACTCGGTACGGCAGCAGTGAGCTATTAAGGAGCTCGTCGGATTCGGGTGGTGAGAGAAGGGGTCACGAGAGCAGCGATGACACCGGGTATATGGTTGTTTGTTCGAGGATGGAGGCGAGCAGGAGCGAGCGATGGGCATTGTGGGCGCGCGAAGACGAATGTTGGAATGTCGGCAGCTGACTAATTCTCCGAGCGAAAGATAACGCCTAATGCGGGGTAGCCCGATCTCAGCCTCAAGCACACCAGATGGCATTCGAGAAGGCAGCGAGCGCCTTCTGGCACGCTTCGATGCCGTCCGCGTTTCCAGTCGGGCCCATTTCCTGTTCCTGACGGGCGATGTCGCCATAGCATTGCCGTTATGGGCCTCCTGGGCCCTTAAGATGAGGTGTATCCGCGCGGACAGGACCGCCCGGCTCTACCTGCTCTCCCGGCCGCGATCCTGGCCTGGGCTTGTCAGATGGACGCGGGTTGTCGAGCAGAGCATCGCTGGGCGCGAACTGACGCCGCACGATGCGGCATTGCGGTCAGCACCGGCCACGCGTACTGTCATACCACGGCGGCGGAGAATTCATGCGGTGCGCCTCGCGAGGGCATTGCACGGCGCCGCACCCTCTCGCGCAATAATAATAATCCTCGGGCCCTCACCGCCGAGGCGTTCGTTGTTGTTCGCTGCAGGCGGGGCGCGCGCATCCTCTTCGGGCTAGCGTGTTTCAGGTCGGGAGGTGGTTCTGGCTGCTAGAGCGCAAGCAGCAAAGCCTCAACCGCAACGCCGTCCACCGGCCGGCCGTGGGAAGAAGCCCCCGTCGCTGCCCCGGGGCGCTGTGTCCTCAGCATCTCTGCCTTTCGAGACGCCCTCACCGTTGTTGCGCGTCGCGATGCCATGCGCGCCCTCGCCGGCTGCCTGCGCCATTCGAATCTGAAACGTCGAATCGGCCTCTAGTGCCATCGACTCCCCTCGCCGTGCTGAGTTAAAAATAGCCGCCTGCATCCCGTCCACCACTGCGACCGCTGCCACCACCGCGACGACAAACCACCGCAAACCGCCCTCACCACCGCGCACACAGCGACCACCACCTCACCGCAATTGTGCTCGCCCCCGCCCGCCGCATTCTGCCGCCGCTCCCTTCCTGCTGGATTGCGCCCAGCTCTCACCACAGCCCGCGCCTGCTCGAATCCTTTGGCCGTTCACTGGGTAAGTCTTAGCGCCAGGCCTGCTCCCCACGCACCCCCAGCAGCGCTTCCCCCAGCCGCTGCACTGCAAATATCTTCAGTCGTCGCCTCTCAGCTCCCAATCGCCGGGTTCGTCACCCACGCCGACGCCGCTTCCAGAAGCCTGCAAGCGCTCCCCGCAGACCCATTGGCCGCCGGTTTCCTCGAAACACCCACCAAAACATCGCATCGCGGCGGCACCAGCCAGATCAGCCTTCCCGAGCCGCCGTCAGGTACCAGTCCTCTACCATTTGATAGAGGCATTCGCGGCCTTTGCGCCGGCCCCCGACGACCTGTCACTGGCGGTGCTGTCATCCGCCCTGCGCACTGGATCCGCACATCTCACCTGCATTGCGCGGCGCCTGGAAGACGAGCCCTGTTTACCACCACCTCACAGCGGCCTTGGGCACCTCGCTAGTTCACTGCTGACCTTCCAAAGCCCCTAAATAGAAGAGAGACCACCTCGCATGACCGACACAAAAACGACCGCCCCCACCGACTCGCGACGGCTGGACGACATCACAGAGGGGGTCGTCGTTCGAGGGCGGCAGAGATATTCAGACATGGCCGCCGACGTGCTGTCGCCCAGGAGCGAGCCTGGCTCCCTCACATCGCCGAGCGCAAACCGCACCTCGCTTCCTCCGCTCGTCACATCGCCGCCTTCGAACGCAAAGCTACAACGGGCAAGCTCATATGCCAGCAAGCGCCTCTCCACCTTCTCGAACGCGTCGAACCCGCAATCGATACGCTCACGGCCGCAGTCGACGGCATTCCCCATCTTCCACTCCAGCCTCCCGTATACGCTTGTGCGAGACTTCGCTTACGGTCCCCTGCATCCGCTGTTCTACGGACCGCTTCCCGAACAACCCTCCGATATCTCTACACCCGCGAGCGAAGTCAGCAGGAGGCTATCGGATCCTCCAGCAGTCCCATGGCACCCTGACCGAGGAGGGTGGTCGGCAGGGCCTTGGGAACCTGGTGAGCAGCTGCCTCCAACCTCATACGGCGATGGTCCGCCATGGAGCGAGGATGACGACATCTCGAGTCCGGTGGTGACGAGCCACACGCGACACAAGAAGCACAAATCCAACATTGTCGATTTCGATCAAACACGCGGCCGGAAAGCATACCTAGAAGAGCCTCGGCGGGGCTCATACTCTGGCACGAATGGCGACGGCAGCCAGGTGTATTACGTGAGCGAGATGAATGAAGATGCCAACGGACCAGGCGGCGAGTACATCACCTATCCCCCGGAGCCATCGTCATCACTCGAGGTTCCGACCGGATCTTCACGGCGGGATTCACACTTCGCGACGACCCTTCCGCAGCGCGCCTACGCAGACGCGGACGGCCCACCATACGACTCGGACGAAGAAATGTCGGAGCCGGACGACTTCCTCAACGACGAAAGCCGCTTTTCGCGAGACTACCAGTTCACCATCGCCTCGCCGGAGGAGGAGATGCACGGCAAGGCTGTGGCGCTCTTCGACTTCGAACGCGAAAACGACAACGAGTTGCCGCTAGTGGAGGGCCAGATCATTCTGATCTCATATCGACACGGCCAAGGATGGCTTGTTGCACAGGACCCCAAATCCGGCGAGAGTGGCTTGGTCCCTGAGGAGTACGTCCGGCTGCTTCGCGACATCGAAGGCGGTTGGAACGGTCTGATGAACGGCACGGCTGTGCAGCAGGAGTTAAACAACCCCGAAGGACTCCTCTCGCCCGTGTCCGCTGGACCAGAGGCCAAGACGCCTACCCAGGCCGACCACAAGCCCTACACTCCCGTCATTTCGACCTTCTCCACGAGCACGAAGGATCTCGAGCCATATCCCAAGGAGATGCTTGGCACGCCGACTGCGCCAGACGGTGCCTTCCCGAGACCACGGGACGGCTCGAAGGAGAGGGCAGATGCGGCGGAGAAATCCGAGGGGGCGCCGATGGAGGGTGTTGAGGCGAGCCCTGAGCCCACTAGTCGACCGCAGAGCCAAGACGCACGGTCTTGAGTACCAAATCAAATCCTGGTTTGGCAAGCCTCTTCACATCCGCCTCGGCGGCAGTTTTTGGATACCTTCACCGTCCACTTTCGATTATCTATCACCGCATCGGCGGCGTCCCGGATTTCGAATGTCAACGAGCATACCAGCCCGGACTGGAGCCCTTACGCTTCTTCATGACGTTCGCTTCATTACCATGTTTTAACTGACACTTTATCATTGCATCTGTTCGATTCTTCTTACATTCCCGCTTCTCGCTCACGGCTTGTCCGACCTTCAAGCGCGCCAGCCTTCAGCCGGAGCTGGCCAACACCAACACCCGCTTCGACTTGGATATGCCAGGTCCCGATCTATCTACGAACTTACACGCCATTTACGCGAATGATCAACGACTCGGGCTATTCTATTCTAAACTATCGTTTAGCGAGTTTGGAGAAGAGAAGGAAGAGGCGACGTCGCTTCGAAGAGAACTGCGCCGAGGAGAGGAGAATGCAGATCTAGAATAGGAGGGCAAGGATTTTTTCGGGAGGATGCTATGCTTTGCTTGCAGAGGGGATTCGTCCCCTCTTTGTAGTTGTACGTTTTCGATGACGATGCATGTCTTGCATAGGGGCAGGGACTACGGGTGGGGAACTGACCCCAACCAACCCATACCGGTGGGTGGATCGGTGCATGGCGGGACAGTCAGGTCGCGTCGGTTCTACGTGGTTAATGAAATGGCAAAAGATAATTATTCTGTTCATTACTGGCTTCTGACGCTGTGGCTGCCGCTGCCCTTTTAAAGCCGACTCTGAGTCTGCCTTATAAACGGATCATCCTGCGCTTTATGTACGGCGTACCTGCGCCTTGCATGGGAGGCTTGGCGCGTGCGTGTGTATATAAACTCCGCTCCGCTCCCTTCCTTCCTCCCTTCACAACCTTACTTCCTCCCCCGCAGACCCGCTACTAAAACGCAGCAAGCATGTCACGCATGTGCAGCAGTCTAAAAGCGTCTTCGGGAATCATCTATGGAGTGTGTGTGGCTGAGGACGTTTTTTCGGCTGGAAAAGACACGACCACTGCATTCTATGGCGCCGGGAAATGCTGTGCTAGACAGTTATGAGACGGGCTGGTGTGGGTGTATAAGCTCCCTGTCCTTCTCTTTCCTTCCTCCCTTCTTTCCCTTCCTTACACACTTTCGCGCGGTGCCTGGGTGGGATGGAACTAAAACCAGGACCCAATCGGAATGATGGAGTGCGCTGGTCGCGCCTGCTGGGTGTTGAGGACTAAAGGAAAGACTTCAACGAGATGATGGAGGGAGGGCGCTGCGCAGCTCGCGGCCGGCGGGTTGTTGGGTTGTTGAGGACTAAAAGCTAGCCTTCGCAGTATGATGGCGGGCGCTGCGGTGCGGTGCGCTGCTCGCCACACTCCGTACGTACAGAGCAAGGACCATAGCTTCGCGACCTCGGAGTTTTAGGCTGGTTTGTGCACCCTTGGGAAGGAGAACCTGGGTCTCCTCCGGAGATGGCGCGCGTCTGTGGGACGAAGCGAAGGGTGTTGTTGGAGGCAGTTGTGGTGACGAGCAGCGCTATCTGCAGGCATGTGAGTGAACGTGACAAGGTAGGATGTGGAAACCGGATCCTGGATTGATGGGTATATAAACCTCTTCTCTCGCTGCTGCTCCTTCTGCTTTCTCTTTCCACACGCGCTTTCTGCGGTCCGCGGCAGTACTAAAATCCCCTCACAGACTATATGATGGAGTGCGCTGCTCGCGCCGCTCGACTAAAATTCAACATGTCTCCTACGCATGGTTGGCCGGTCAGAGTCCGTTGCAGCGCTTTTCGGCTCTTGGGGTCCTTGCTTTGGAGATTTCGGTTTTGATTCTTCTCGACGCAGCACGTGCTGAGGGTGGTGTGTGGCGTTGGGTGGTGGAGATTGTAGGTAGATGATGGTGGTGGTGAGCGTCAAGGTTCGCGAGCTAGCAGAGCGGTTGTTAGCGTAGGTAGCAGATGGAAGTGGGACAGGATGAAGGGAAGGGAAGGGTATATAAACACCCTTCCTCTTGCGATCTCTTTTCCTCTTTACACTTTTCCTCTGGGTCGTAGGAGCGACTAAATACATGATAAGACGTGATTATGGCGTGCGGTCCGTGGGAGGCTTCGGAGGCTAAAGAAAGGACTCGACCCATAACATGGGCGTACTTAAGTGGATCGGGCCATCGTTGGTGAATAGAAACTTGGAAAAATTCGTTCTATGTACTACGCAGTGGACGAGGCATCGATGATGTCCGCCACCACCCTTCGCCAATCGTTTTCTGTCAGTCCGCTGCCGGTGAAGGAGAGATGCGGGGCGTGGATATATAAACCTTTCTTCTTCTACGCTCACCCTTTCTCTACATTTATTCTCCGGCTCGTTGGGGTGACTAAAATGTATAAAGATTTCACAATATGGGGCGCTTCGGGACTAAAACAGTGGTCGAAGAGTACGCATGGGCGAAATGGAGGAGAGGAGCTCGCGATACGCGCCGGTGGAAGAGGAGTAGCAAAAAGAGGCTCTATGTGTGAGTTCGGTGGTGATGATGATGATGATCATCATCATCATGTGGACTGGATGCTTCTTCTTCGATATGTCCTCCGGAGATGGACTAAAGGGTGTGAGGATATAAACCCATCTTCCTCCCTCGTTCACTCTTCTTCATGAATCTTGCAATGGCTCCCTGGGCAACTAAAAGCATAGAGAGTGTTGAATATGGACAGCGGGTTGTGGGCGATTGAGGACTAAACCTTGTCAAGAGCATGTTCATGGAGGGTTGGAAGCGAGGGGCGATACGGCTGAGGCTTTGAGGGTTCTGAAATTCGGTGATTTTCATCATCTATCAGTAAATAGGCAAGTAGGGAGGCTTGAGTTAATTGTCGGAGCTGCGGTGAAAAAGGCTGTATCAGAACCCTGAAGGTCACGTGAGTGGAACCAGACCAGGTAACCATCGTTTCTTCACTCGTCCTAGACTCGGAGTTGCGGGTATAAATACCATCTTCTCAACCACTACCTTGAAGTTTCTCCTCACGGCGTCCCCTTCGCCCCTACAAGGAGCGACTAACACCCTATGTTCAAGAAGCATGGTGTGCGGCATCCGACAGCTTGGCTACATAAAACTCAAACGGATGAGTTTGAACAGTAGTCTAGAGCGGAAAGAAGTAATACCGCGAGTGTCTGCGCTTCTGTGGTTTTATGGCTGCTGACTTTCGGCGATCCTTACTATGACTTCCAAGGTTCGCAACACTTTTCGTCGGCCGGCGGTTCTGATCTGGGTGCCTTGGTATATAACCCTCTTCTCTCACTCTTCCTTTCTTCCACTCATGTCTGGCTTGCTCCCTCACGGCGATGATAAAAATCCGTCAACTTCCACATCATGGAGGGCGTTATGCACGCTACTCAGGCCAAGAGTCCGCCGGTCGTCCATCCCATGATTGAGCCGGAGCTGACAGCCGAGACGGAGCAACTTTTGTTTTGTTAAGTCCACGGCATTATTCCGAACACGAATGACTAAATGGCGCAATACATGGGCATAAGGGCTCATCGCGGCATATGTATGCCGTGAGAGGCTGTGGGTATTTAAACCTCTCCCTTGCGCTACTTCCATTCTCTCCAGGGATCTTCTATATTCACGAAAACGACTAAAAAGATCTATGCTTTAACATATGGAGTGTGGCGCGTGGACTGCTCACGCATTAAAAATGCTGCCACTTCTCTTGATGGCTGGACCGAAACTCATTGCTCGTGGTACATGGAACACACTCCAGCCATCTGCTACCGTGGGTCTACGACGCCACCCCGAACACGTCGCTCAGCATCATCTTTGGCATCCGTCTACAAACTGCTTGGGTGAGCGGATCTTACTAAGCATGGTTCTAGGGCTGTGGATATTCAAACCTCTCTTCCGTTGTCCTCTCCATCCTCTTTCTATCGCGTTTCTTCTAACCTTCACAGGCGACTAAAACGAGATGGGTCCAGGATTATGGGGTGCGCTGCTCTGGCCTGCTTGAGCTCTAAAAACAAGGCACATGTCTTCTGATGGCTCGGCTTGGCCAGCTTTCACCATTTCACGTCGAACGCTTCGCTCTTCAATGGCCAAAAAGCTATGATGTTCAGCAATCTTCAACGCTGCATCAAGTCCCGCGATGTGAGTAAGCCGGCTACGGAGTTCGTGGGTATATAAACGCCTTTCTAAAGGCTTTCTTTCACTCCACAATTCTTCCGGCTTTCCATCGATACTAAAAATTGACCGAGACAAACTCCACGGAAGGGCGGTGCGTGGCAGATCTGGAGAACTAAATCATCAACCGAAGGCCTCCATGGCGTAGAGTAGAGTCCAAACGCACCTTTTGCTCTCTTCACCGGAACATGCCCATCCGTCAATGGCGCTAAAATTCCGAAGCTACTTTTCTATCGCCTCTTCAAAGACACACAACGCTCCATTTTGTCAGCATCACCCTTTGTTATATGAGAGTAGATTCGCTAGGGATTGAAGCTCGAGGTATATAAACACCTCTCCCAGACCACCTTCTTTCTCTCCACAATCCTCTTCAAGCGGTCTTATGAATCTAAAAACAAGCTTTTCGGACCGGAATGGAGCGCGCTGGTCGGGCCCGCTTGAAACACTAAAATATTCCAGGCTATATCGATGTGCTAAGCGTGTCCCAGCGCGTTATCTGTCACTTCGTACCCAAACCCCACTCCGTGGTGGGGTCCGAGCATTCTATGATGCACAAAACTACCCCTTCCCGCGCTATCTAACGGAAATGGGGCTGAACTCACGGAGTAGCTCGCAGGTCATAGGTATATAAGCCCACCAGCCTCCCAAACCTCTCTTTCTCCACACTCCACCAGAAACGTCTTGTGAACTTAAAAAGAGATGGTAGAGCTAAGGATGTTTCCACGTTCGTGGCGTGAGTGAAACTAAAAATGAGAGAGCTTGTGCGTATATGAGGAGTGGAGCCCGGACTCCCTACTCGTGGCTGCATGGTAGCAATGTGGCGGCTTGTCATGGTTCAGGGAGTGTGCTAGGAATGAAAGCGCGCTGCGGGACATGATGAGGTATAAAACCCATTGTTTCCCCTCCTCTCAACACTCCACAATTGCCCTTGAGCTAGTCTCCGTTACTAAAATGACCTCTGGCGGTGGCAGATGGAGTCGGGCTGGCTGCTTCTGCCTCTTAAGCACTAATTGATTGGTTGATTTCTCTCGTTTTAAGTCACCAACCTATAGAGGTTATGCTGACTACGCCTACGCACAAAAGGACTCAAAAGACGCCAAAATTAAGAGAAGGGAACAGGGTATCACAGAACCACGGGCAGGTGGCATAAGTCGACAGAAAAGAACGGTTCGGGCGCGGATGAGGGCGTAGCCCACCGCGAACCATGGCACGAAGATGCCAACGAAAAAGGAGCCCCAGAAAGCTCCTCAACAATGACGATGGTCATCGAAAAGGGCGCAAACAACACCAGCAAAAGGGCTGCCATCCAGTGAGGGCGGTCAGCCATGAACGCTGCACGCGAGGCCCACAGGTATAAAACGGAGTCTCTTGCCTGTCCCAGTCCACCACATCTTGCACAATAGTCGATCGAGCAGCTCACACTACACACGAACGATGGCACCTCCGATTCTCCTCTCCGTCGAAGGACCGGCGAACTCTTTCTACAACACCAAGGTGAAGAAGACCATTGAGGGCATCAGCGAGTGGAAAGAGGACTGGATACAAGACCTCTTGGATCTGGAGAGGAGGTAGAGCACTAGGGAACAAGGGCAGACAACTTAGGTAGCAATACACTGTCAACTCATGCCTATACACCATGTGCAAAGACTCTATATGTGAGACACTACGGATCTGCGTCGAAGATCCGCTTAAGCACTAAAAGCCTCTGGCACCCTTGTCCATGAGCGAGTGCACTGCATCAAAAGACATCATTCCTCAGAGAGCAAGTCAGCTGTTGGGCACGTTCGAATATTCGGCGATGCACGCATGACCACACATCTCCCTCTCCGTGCTCAGATGCCTTACCCGAGAAATAGGTAGGTATATAAACCCCATCCTGCCCCTATTCCGCCTTCCCTCTCCACGCTTCTCTTCCAACGTGCTCCCATCTAAAAAATTCCGGACCCCACGGTCATGGGGTGCGCGGCTCCGGCGGCGTGAGCACTAAAAAAATTGGCACCACCGGACGATGAGCTAGCAGGCCGGACCCCAAGTGCATATTGTCAGTATTTCCTCGGGAGTACCGTCTGCGATAGCTCTAGGCCTTAGCCGATGTTCTTATCGTAGCTCCCTTCCCTTAGCGTTCGATGTTTCGGTCGTGCAGGGGTGTATAAACCCCTCTGTGCTCTACTGACTGCTTGCTCTCTATGATTTCCTTGGAGCGGTTCGGCGAGTCTAAAATCCCTCCTCCTCATGTACCATGCGGAGCAGCGCGCTTCGAGTTCGGAACTCCAAAAAAGCGAGACGAAACCCACTCATGGCTAGCCCGAAGTCGAGTGCTGCAATACGCAGCATGAGCCAGAGCAGCTCGATTATCGAAGGCGGGAAGCATCGAGAAGATGTATGCATGGCTGGCCTGGAGTCCTGTGCTCCTCGCTACCCGAACTGTATAAAATCACACTCCACGGATCCATAGTCAAGTACATGGAATATTTTAATACCATCCCTATCATCCATCTCCCCCACCAGTCTCCGCGTCACCTGATGATCCAGAGCCGGGGCTGGTATATATAACCCTCCCCCTTCTTCCATTCCTCTCCTGCTCTCTCCACAATACTCAGCCCCATTCTAAAAAGACGGACACCTCCTTGTGATGGGATAGCACTGTGCGGGGATTAAAAAAAGGGGGGGGAGTACGGTTGCATGGGCGTTGTGGACTGCCTGGGCTGCAGCGCTATACTGACTATGCTTGCGCGGACCACGTGTATAAGCACATGGGCGGTTCGCTGCTGTCTGCGGATCACATTACATTTCTCTCTCCTCTTCTCCAATTTTTCGTCCCTTGCATCAGCCTGCGGGTATATAAACCGCTCTTCCTTCTATTTACGTTCTCTCCACACCTCACTTAAAGCGATATCACGACTCTAAAATCGAGGCCCAACTCTTCGATGGCGTCGGTGTGGCCGCGGCCGTAGTCCGAGAACAAAAACACCGCCGCTGTGCTTGCCATGGGTGGTGGCGAGGGCAGGAGTCCCAGGCGACTCAACAAAGGGAGGAAGTCGCGCTCCAGGCCGCTACACTCTCTCTCTCTCCACCTCCCTTCTTCAAGCACAGCACGGAGCGAGTCTAAAAGCAAAACACCAGCGCATCATGGTGTGCAGGAGGGAGACTCGGAACAAAAGGTGCTTCGACGCCCTTCATGGGCGAGCGCCTCGACGAGCGAGACATGAAAGACCTGCTCGTTCATCTTACCAGCAACATATCGTCTGACAGCACCCCATCATCGCCCACACTCCCCTTCCTTCCTCAGTATCTACGCCCGCCCCACGCTTCACGTGACGCCCCATTCGGAGTATATAAACCCTCCCTTCTTCCACCTCGTTCTTTCTCTACACGCCTCATCCTTCTCCCAAAACGACTCAAGGCCTCACTAAAACGCCTAAGAAACAAGAGCATGGGGCACTAAAAATACGCACTTACACATCAATGTGCTCCGCAGGTGCGGGCGCGGGAAGACGTACTGTACAACCGAAGGGAAAGCTCGGAGAATAAAATTGAAGATAGTATGACGTATGCTCGGCGAGGTGGGCGAGACGGACCTTTACGCCTCCCTCCAGGAAAGCGGATATGTCGAGTGTCCAGCGCTCAAAAGCTCCGCACTCGCTCATCCCGTATCCAACTCTCCCCCTCCCTCGCGCTTTCCTCCCCTCTCCGCGTGTATATAAACCCCTCTTCTTCCCTCCCTCTCTTTCTCACTTCCCTAGCTGGGGACTAAAACGCTGAGTACAAGCTCGCCATGCGGCACTAAAAATCAAAAAACCAGTTTCCGATGGGATTCTGGGGTTGAGAGGGAAGGGGAAGAGCCGAGACGAAGAGGACTAAAAACAACCAGACGTCCATGCAAGGTCGGCGGAGCGGAGTGGAGAGGCGGATTGAAATACTTCGACCAGGCAGGGCAGATGGGTTTGGAGAGAGTGTTATGCTGTGCCTGTGTCTGTGGGGGAAAGAAGATGGAGGAGTGTGACGAGGTTTACTCGCCATTGCTGCTGCACTTCCTCCCCGACGAGCGAGCCAGAAATCTTTCTCTCTCAATGACACATCCTTCATCCTCTCCGGGTATATAAGCCCCCCTCCTCTCTCCTCTCCCCTTCTTCTCCCCTTCTTCTCCCCACGCTCATCCACTTCCCCTGCAAGGAAGACAAAAAATCCTCCTAGCACCACCCTTGGAGCACCAAAAATTTCACCTCCTCAATTTCGATGTGTTTCCTAGCCGACCGGTCCAAAAAAGAACAAGCCGGGACAGCAGATGCTCACGCACGCCGCAGCATCTCCACCGCCTCCTACATCCTCACTGCAAAGACAAAACTGCGCACCATGTCGTTCCCAACACGTGAAAAGCTGAAACGTGTCATATCCTGGCTCAAGAACTGCGAACTTGCCCCACGAGGCTCTCGAGTGCCGACCTCACGCCCCAGCTAATTCATCTTGCCATTCCGCTTCCCTTTTCGAGCCACATGTCTTCATTTCTTTGTGCTTTTAGTGGAGCAAGGAACGCAGCCTGCGAAGCAGAGAACGCGGCAGCAGAATACGGCGGGCATTTATAGACAGACTAGGAATGCAAGGGGGATGAGATAGAATAGTCTAAGAAGACGGCCGTCTCATTGCTAAGCAAGACCATGCGAGTAATCCAATCTCTTCCCATAGCGTACACGTATGCCTACCAATGACAGACTAATCAAAACGCCAGACGCAGACGCTTACTGATTAAAAAGAATCGCTAATGGAAAAGAAGGGGAAGAATATCGTACAACAAAAGTGAGCGAGCGGTATACAAGTGCTACCAGGCCATGTATCCTATCCACGTCCGGCTCCACGCTGCTTCAGCCAAGGAAGGTTACAGCGTAGGTGCTTTCTTCAGCCCGCTGCAATATCGCACATGCAGCTCGTCGATAAAGTGATCGTGTCGAATCCCGGGTGGCCGCGCTTGCTGGAAGGTGTCGATCGCATCCTGGACCTTGTATCCAAGCCTCTCGATGAGATACGAAACAACGAAGAAGCCGGTGCGATTGAAGCCGTAGTGGCAATGAACGCCAATCATTCCTTTCGCCCCATCCGGTTGTTCACCCCGGATCTTGTCGATGAGCTCGATGAAGGACTTCACCTCGTCTTTGGTTGGCGGTTGCTTCGAGACGGTCGGAAACTTGTAGTACGCAATGCCACCTTCCTCAAGTCCCTTCGGATCGTAAACCGGCGAGTCGTGGCTGATGTCGACGACAGCGCGCAGCTTCCCTGCCCACTCTTGGACGAATATCTTAGGCGAGTGCTTCTCATCGACTTCGCGGAGCGTCTTCATAGCGCGGAAGACGTCGGCAATGGGAAGCGAGACGGGCTGAACAGCCTTCCATTTTTCCAAATTCTTGACGTCCCATTTCCCTTCCGTAGAAAGGTATTGTAGCTGCCAGGCTAGTGAGAGGCGGCGATCGATGTGGTCAGCGAGGAAGTTGCCAATGAGGCCGGAGATGATTCGAGAGCTGGATGGGGAGAAGAGGAGCGAATGGGCGGCGGGCTTCGGCATGATCGCGGTCTTGACGACCAAGCGGCGGGGATAGGGCGTAGGGGCCCTCGGGCTACGTGCTGCCTCGTCAGAAGCGCGCGGTGCGTCTGTGATCGTCATACTTTCGCCGGCCGAAGATATACCCTCCGAATAAACTGAGCTTCCATCAGCAGTGGTTGCAGCCGATGAATCGGGCACTGTAGCCTCGTCTGCAAGAGCTGCGAGATCGCTTGCGTCGACACCGGAGTCTTGATGCTTGCGTTCCATCATCTCAGGATCGATGATAGCTGGATCAAAGGGAGCAGCCGCAATGGGCAAGCTAGCCTTCTCACTCGGGGGCTCGATAGCAGAAACGTCCCTGCCCAGGAAGCTGACAATCCGCCGAACATTCTCACTGGGTGTGATATGATCGGCTTCGCCAACAGCAAGGAAGACGGGGAGGTCCACGCCAGCCCAGACCTCTTTCCCGGGGAGACCGCCTCGTGGGGCGCCTTTCGAGTAATCGGGGCACATGCCTCGCGCCATTCGTCCCCATACCTCGGTCCGGCTCTGCTTGTTAAACCGAAGCTGCAGCCTCTTAGTTTCCTCATCAGCATCTGGGCCGGTCATGCGGAGCACGCTCGCGCTGTTGAGCCCTCCCCTGCGATCCCATTTCCTATACAGGTCGAAGAAGGAAGCCGGTACCGCACTCATTATTCTTAACGAGCGACATTGCTTCGGAGTCGGCGGATCCGCTTTCGGGCAGATGGCGACAAGTCCGCCGACATGCTCCGAGATGAGGTGCGCGTAGGGCGAAGCGGGAGAGGCAAGCATGGCGGCGAGGGAGCAACCCATGCTATGGCCGATCAAGACGACGGTTTGGCCGTCACTGCGGTCTCTGTGCGCTTCTATGATGACAGCCAGGAGCCGTACCAGGGCTTCGGTAGTGTAGGCGTCCCAAGCTTTCGGTTCGAATGTAGAAAGGCCGCATCCAGGGAGATCAATGGCCAGGCACGAGGCGAGGTTGGACAGACTGATCAGGATGGGGTGGAACTGCGCTGCGGAACCACCCAAGCCATGGATGAAGACCAGAAGCGGGACGGGATAGGGCTTCTGCGGAAGTTTACTCTCTTGAGGATGTGGCCGATAAAAGGTACGGATCCCGGGGTAGGTGAAGCCGGTAGACGGGACCGTGTACGATCGGATAGTAGAATGTTTCTTAAGCAATCCAGGGTCAGTGGAAGCAGCATCTGTACCATATTAGCCAAGGTTGGGATGGCTTGGGACGACAGGCGGCGCTAAGGCTGTAGTGGGGGTGCGGCTTCACGACAGCACGTGATTGAGAGGCGCGCGGTCCGCAGATCATGATGCGGCAAAAGATACTCACCAGCGCCAACAGCATCTGATGCATGGATAGAGCCGCCCGAGGAAGAGGCGGCCTTTCCTTTCTTGTTGTTTTGGCGCCATATCCAGAGCGCAGAACCGATACCGCAGAGTGCCGTCAGCTTAACCATGCCCACCAAGATGGAAGTGCTGCTGTCTCCTCGGCCAACGAAGGGATTAAGGAGTGAGATCAGACGATAGAGGGGGCGTCTTATATTCTGCCAGAGAGAAAGGTCGGTGTAATGCTGTGTCGGTGCGTGGTCTGGCTCGCCAGCAAGGGCCGTCCTCAGCAGATGGACGAGGGCCTGTGGAAGACGAAACGTGCCATTCTGGGAGAAGCAGAGACGCGAATGAGGCTCCATTCTGGCTTGCGTGCTGGATCGCTGAATGTATATTCAACGGGGCGTGGAGGCGTGGGCGGGCGGTATGCCGATGCGTGCAGCCCCCGCGATGTGTGCGGACCAATGGTAGGTGCAAAAGCGAACCGTGGGCCCGTCTCTGGCGTACAGGTGTCGGTGCCTGGGGACGGCTGTTACGGCACGAAGCGGGCACGTTGGGGGACGCAGCGGATATGCTGCTACGATGGAAAATACCTTGAATGCGCCCGCACAGTGTTTGTTGGAGTCAGAGCGCGCGGCATTTTGGGGAGCAGCAGCGACGGAGCGGTGAGGCCAAAGAAACAACTACTGACGAACAGGCGACACAACGCTGGCGGGCTGGGACTGCCCGTGGGAAAATACAAAAGGAGCGACGGGTTGAAGCCCAACGCGTCCGTAGCCCGAGCAGGTTCGTCTGGTGTGGAGTTGGCGTAGATGATGTCAAGCGTGCCCACCCCCTCTAGCGCGGAAGGGGCGTCCCGCAGACAGCCCTATCGTGAATTGCTTGGCGGTGCCACCAGCTTCGTGGAGCTCCCGCATCGTCTCCCCGACTCCAACATAACTTCTTCGCTTCTCCTGGGTCTATGTTTCTGCGGCTGCGATGCTAGAGCGACGCGTTGGAGCTTCTTCTTGGCTCTGGCGTCGTATCGCTCCTTCCTCCTCTTCTGCGACACGTCTGGACAATCAGCACTCTACTGGACTTCTGAAGCATCCACACTCTCCCCTCCTCTCCAGTTCGGTCGCTGTTAACATGCAGAGCAGTGCCTAGCAACACGCAAAAGTTACGCGAATATGATCCGGCTCCCCCAGCGCCCGTTCCGCTCCAGAATCCTGGAGACCGATACCGTTCTTTTCGCACTCCTTTGGCAGGCTTGCCGCATCTGCTCCCCCATCGCCATATTGCATGCGCATTATACTGGAGCACAGTGGACATCCTTCGCAGACCCTAGGGTGATCGTGATGACGAAGACACAGACAGGGTTGTGCAGAAGAGTGGTCCGCGAGTGGGAGCTCCTGTCCGGGGATGCACCACGGCACCATCCATCGCAGTCGAGGAACAGCCTCTCCGAACGCTCTTTCAAACCATCTTCGATCGGGCTAGCCATGTTGCGTGGCTGCCATGTCGTGTCCAACCTTCATGGGTGCGATATTCAGCTTCTGTCCGAGTCTAGAGCTCTCGACGCTACGAGTCTTTGCCCATTGCGGATACAATATTCACGCTGAGCGGAGTATTATCAGATCTCCACTCCAGGCCATGCCGGCTCTCAGCGCTATCAGCACCATGATGGCCCGGAAGCCTTCCGGCCAATCGCCAGAGGGCCCGTAGAAGCCAGATTCTTCAGCGTCGAAAATTTGCCCTCGCGTGGCCTGCCTTTTTGGCTGCTTTCGAGTAAGTCGTATCGTCGCGCATGCGCACATGGCCGCGTCTTACAGGGTCCCGTGCATCCGCCGTTGACGCTATCGCTTGAGTTGCGGGTTTCTCGCCGAAGCCGTCGCTAGGCGTCCTCCCGCAACTTTTTTTCTGCCCGCGAAAACGGTTCAACGCCAACCTCTGCGCTATCTGCTGGCTCCAATTGCCTTGGCCCGGTCTTGCAATCGGGGTACTTCACATTGGCTCCCCGCCATGACCGATACAGCACTAACGCACATAGCTGACTTCGCTTGAGCGGCAGTTTTTACGGCGCCTTTGCACCCCTCATTCCAGAGACGGCTGCTCCGAGGTCAAAGAAGACTCCTCGAACAAGCGCGTCGCCCCACCTCTCTTATCCTCATACAAGCATCCGTCAGGCCATGTTCCTCTATCCAGAGGTACCCAATGGGGTGGCTAGCTAGCAATCCCGGTATCGATCCACCTGCACATCGTGGCACCGTCCATATCTAAGCTACTTTGTCCACTCACCTTCGACGTCAAAATTCAGCGTGTGCATCACTTTCTCTCACCTCACATCCTTTACCTACCGTCCATCTGCCGAGTTTTCCATTCATGCCACAGACACATTTGCTCTTCTGAAATCGATATATCCTCCTTTGTCCCTGCAATCAATTCCTCCCAAATTTCCACCATGGACCCGCGCAACCAGGAGAAACAGGGTGAGCCGGTGGAGCCGCGCTATCTCGATTTTCGCCATCTCCCGGACGGTACGATGCGAGACGGCAAGCCTGCATTGAATAAGTACTCATCAACCCTTACCAATGCACATGACTTCCCAGGAGCTCAGGTACGCTATGCTACTTCGAGAGCTGCAAAGTTCCACAAATGCTTGCCTGAATACTCAGTGGCCTAGGCAATGCTATACGCCGCTGGCGTGCCGTCGAAAGAGGCCATGAAGACACAACCGCACGTAGGGATCGCAAGCGTGTGGTGGGAGGGCAATCCTTGCAAGTAAGTGCAATCCCACGCTCAACGTCATACCGATATTGACAGTTATGCAGCATGCATCGTAAGTTTCCGAATCCGGCAGTTTGGATCGCTTGTCATTCGCCAACGTGCAATAAGCATCCGAAGAGCCTCCCATGTAGCGTGGGGTAACCCGCTAACATAATGCAAGTTCTCGATCTGGGGAAGGAGATCAAGGCAAGCTGCCAGAAAGATGGAATGTTGGCTTGGCAGTACAACACCATTGGCGTATCCGATGGTATCACCATGGGCGGCGAGGGTACGTTGCTGTCGCTTCGAGGACAGAAGCTTGCTGACCGTTCCAGGAATGCGCTTCTCTCTGCAAACCCGAGAAATAATTGCCGACAGCATTGAGACTGTGACATGCGCTCAACACCATGACGCCTGTATCGCAATTCCGGGCTGCGACAAGAATATGCCGGGCGTTGTCATGGCCTTCGCGAGGCACAACCGTCCTTCGATCATGGTCTACGGCGGATCCATCAAGCCTGGCTATAGTGAAACGCTGCGCAAACCGATCAACATCAGCACCGCTTACGAGATCCACGGAGCCTACATCTACAAGACGCTAAAAAGTGCTCAAGAGGGAGAGTTCAATGCAGATCAGATCATGGAGGATATCGAGAAGAATGCTTGTCCTGGAGCCGGAGCATGCGGTGGCATGTACACTGCGAATACTATGAGTACTTCAATCGAAGGTGAGCACACACTTCATACTTTTGATCATGTTGCAGCACAGCGCCCGCGCTTCGACTCATACTAACCCTTGCTAGCAATGGGCCTCTCCCTCCCGGGCTCCTCCACCACCCCCGCCGAATCTCCCGCTAAAATGCGCGAATGCGCCAAAGCCGCCGCCGCTATCCGGACGTGCATGGAAAACAACATCACGCCGCACAAACTCCTCACAAAAGCCTCGTTCGAAAACGCCCTCGTCATGATGATGGCCCTCGGCGGCTCCACGAACGCGGTTCTACATCTCCTCGCTATGGCTGGCACCGCTGGCGTCCCCCTGACCCTCGACGACTTCCAGCGCGTCTCCAACAAGATTCCGTTCCTGGCGGACCTTGCGCCTTCCGGGAAGTACTTCGTCGCAGACCTCTTCGACGTCGGCGGCATGCCCTCCGTCATGAAACTGCTCGTCGCCGCCGGGTTATTGGATGGCTCCATCCTCACCGTAACCGGCAAGACGCTCGCCGAAAACATCGCGCCCTACCCCTCCCTCCCGCAAGACCAAGCCATCATCCGCCCGCTCTCCAACCCTATCAAAGCTACCGGCCACATCGAGATTCTCCGCGGCAATCTAGCGCCCGCGGGCGCCGTCGCCAAAATCACCGGAAAAGAAGGCCTCAAGTTCACCGGCAAAGCCATGGTCTTCAACAAAGAGCGCGAGCTCGACGCCGCCCTCAACGCCGGCAAGATCCCGCGCGGCGGAAACCTCGTCCTCGTCGTGCGCTACGAGGGTCCGAAAGGCGGGCCGGGCATGCCCGAGCAACTCAAAGCTAGCGCTGCAATCATGGGCGCGAATCTGAAGAACGTGGCCCTCATCACGGACGGGCGCTACTCAGGCGCGAGCCACGGCTTCATCGTCGGGCATATTTGCCCAGAAGCGGTGGTCGGGGGACCGGTTGCCGTGGTGCAGGACGGCGATATGATCACGATTGATGCGGAGAAGAACCGGATTGATATGGACGTTAGCGAGGAGGAAGTGAAGCGGAGGTTGAGCGAGTGGAAGGCGCCGAAGCCCGCGGTTACGCGGGGCGTGCTAGCCAAGTATGCGCGGTTGGTCGGCGATGCGAGTCATGGCGCGATGACTGATCTCTTCTGAGAAAGGATAAATGGGTCGTGCTTGGGCAGGCATGCTTGAGATTGGTATTCGAGGGGGGGAAATGGGATGTGACGGCGGATGGGGCGCCTTTGAGGAGGGCAGGAGTTGGGATAGACTGCGGCATGGGCTTCGGCGTTCGTAGAGGGGTGCGCTATCTTGCATCGGAGGTTGCTTGATACGGCGAGTTTGGGTTGCTCATTGGGGTAGAAAAGTGCTTCTCTGCTTCGATTTCACGTGTTTTTCTGCTGGAGGCGGAAAATGCAAAATTAGTGCTTCACAACGAAGAGAACCAAATGATGCATTCAGGCCGAGCCCATTTTCATTTTCGCTATCCTAGGCTCTCACGCCTCAGCGAACTCATGATGAACGCCATAAGCCGTAAACCATAGGAGATGAGACCCATAACCGCCCGCAGCGAAATGCCAAGCAGCCCAGTCCAGTCCAGCTCAGATCAATCCCGCTATGCGAACGCGCCCGCCTACTCGTCATCCTCTTCTTCCTCCTCAGCCTCGAGCGTCGTCTGGGCGATCCGGTCCAAGTCACGCTGGCCGGCTTGTGTGATGCGTCGTCCGCCCTTCTCCTCGTCCTGCTCCAGCACGCCGATCTTCTCGAGGGCCTGCATGACCTTGCGGTCGACAGAGCCGGACGCGTCGACGTGGTGCGAGGGGCGCGAGCCGCGGTTCTTGGTAGAGCTGTCGTCGTATTAATATCATGTCTGCACCTCTGTGTGTAGGATAGCGTAGCGTACCCGTGAGCTTTCCTCAGACGACCGACACCAACCGTCTTCCGCATGTACACATGGCGCGCGACCGCGGCGGCGCGGACGTAGAACCAGTCGATGTCCTGGGGCGGGAGTTCCTTGGAGTCTGTCGCGATGCCGTTAGCGGAACGATGTTCGCTAGTTTTTTGTCCCACAGAGGGAGGAGATGGCTTACGCGAGGTCTTCACCGTGTCAACCCACCCTTGTAGATAATAGTGTCAGCAGCGTGCGCGGACAGTATGTATCCCCCCGTTACGGGATTCAAGGATTTCCAGCGATGGGCGGCGACGAACCTGGAATGGGCCTGTTCTTTGTGTCAGCGGGGTTGTGAGAATGGCGGAGGGTGGAGGATGGCGTACAGTTTCCCTTGCCGCTTGAGAAAGGCGGCGTAGGCGTTGATGAACTTGTGCGACTGCGAGGATGCTGTTAGTTGCGAATTTACTGACGAAGAATGGGGTGGTTGAAGGCGCATGGCGGGTTTGCACATACCTCGACGTCCTTGACAGAGACACCACCCATGATGACGGTATTGCTGAGGGTTTCTGGGAGAAAGAGAGGCGATGGGGTCGATTGTCGAAGCTGCAGTCTGCTTTGGTGGAGCGCGAAAGTTCGATTTCGGTGCGCCTCGCTTACGCGCCGGAGAAACTGTAACTCCGACGCACCGGCCAACCCAACCTCAGCACCAAGCGCAGGTATCAGCATCCCTTCATAGCGGGAGTCACGGCGGCGCGCAAGCAATGCCCAATTAATCAAATATGTCACATATTAACGCTTCGTCAGCCAGTGCCCAATGGCACCTTCCCATACGAGACACAGCGGGCCGTTGGTGCTGACGAACGAACCGTGCTCCGTTCACACTGCCCGTAGCGTGAATGGGCCCGCGGCTGTTCACTGTCTTCTGTGACTCTTCCCCCAGCGAGTATAAATACATGATGAAGCCATACACTGAGAACCCCATCCTTTATGCACTCCAACAACATGGCTAACACCGATTTCTCGCTCACCGACGTCACCGACGCCGACATCCCCGCCATGGTCGACATGACGCTCGAAGGCTGGGCCGACGACGGCGTCTGGCAGGGCATGATGCGCAACGTAGCACGTAAAGATTCCTATGATCTGCTCGCTAGGATCCACAAGGCTCGCGTGGGGAAGCCGGGGGGCAAGTACTTCGGGATACGGGAGAAGGACACGGGGTAAGCGTGCTTGCTCCTATTCAACGTTCTTCCAAAACTGACGCAGAAGTAGGAAACTAGTCGCCTGGACCGCGCTATTTTATCCGCAGCCGGACCAGCCAGCAGGACAGAAGAAGAGCATGCCCAAACCCGATATTCGGGGCATGGATGAGCATATGGCGACGATATTCTTCGGCACGCTTATGCGGGCATCGGGACGCTATGGATATGATCCCGCGGAGCACTTCCGTTAGTCTTGTCCTCCTCGATCCCTTGTTATTTCTATAACAGCTAACTAATCAATGTACGCCAGACCGTCGAGGCACCTTCACGCACGCGGACTACCAGAGACGCGGTTTCGCCACTTGGCTGACGCAGCACTGCAACGCGATTGCCGATGAGGCTGGGCGCGCTACCTTCGTGGGCTGCAGGCCGGCTTCGAAAGGCGTGTTCGAGAAGTGCGGGTTCCGGGTTGTGGCGGCTATTGATGTCGATGTGAAGGGGGACGGGTCGGAGATGGACGTGCAGTATGTGATGCGGAGAGAGCCGGAGGCTAAGTAGCGGGCTCTTAGAGAGTCCTTTCTCATTCTGGCCATGGCTATCTCCCGAATCTTATTCTCTCCACTGCGCTGGCATGGGAATCATACCTCTTTTGACTTCGAACTTTGGCATACATCACACAGTACATCTCAAGTAATAATTCGAAGAAGTGCCAACCAAATCTTTTCCGTGCGTCCTTTCAAGCACTAATCGCCCTCAGACCCAACCAAAAAGCTATGATACAACAAAAAGTGTAATATATCCACAAAGAAGCGAAGCGTTCGACTACAGCGAACAGAGCTCAGAGGAACCCCCACAATCAAGCCCCCAACACGATCATCCCATCATAAAATCGCCTAAAAGAAAGCGCGAGCGTGCCGGCGAGCCTTACTGGCCGAAATACCAGCCTTCTCCTGCAACCAAGTAATGAACGTCTCCACAGTGAAGGTCTCTGGGAGGTCGGACCCAGCGCCTGATGAAGGGGCCGCAGAAGCAACAGCAGTACCGGAGGGAGTCGACACGTCCTGGACGGCAGTAGCAGTCGGAGTGGCGGACGCAACGACCGAAGATGCGGCAGCGGACGAAGCAACAGGAATAGATGAAGCAGCCGCCGAAGTAGCAGGAGTTGAGCCGGAGCCGCTGCCGCTGCCAGAACCAGAGCCGTAAAGCTCAGGTCCAGGGATGGTGTACTGGATGTCGCTCACATACGGATTGAACAGAATACCCGCCTCATCGGGCGTGTACAGCTCCGTACCCAGCGTGCCCTCCGGGTTATCCGTCCCGCTACCCGTGATCTCAATGTTCAAGCACTGCGGGTAGTTCTGCGCGCCGTTCTCGGAGCCGGCGCCATGGAGGGCGATGATTTCGTGGCGGAAGACGTAGTTGCCAGCGGCAAGCGTCGACGGCACTGTCGTCGTCCAGGTGTTGTTATTCGCAATCATCTTGGTCGCCGCCCACTCTCCGTCCTCGTACCCGCCAGCATCAATCTTAACGAACTTGAGCGTCGACTTATCGACGTCGCCGCAGTCGCCGCCGCAGTTCGCGGCGTACGTGATAACAGGGCCGATATGCGAGTCCGGCCACGTCGTCCATTGGAAGTCGACGCTCCCACCAGCGGCCACCGTCGCCGTGTTGTTGGTCGGCTTCGCGTTCTTGTGGCAGATGATGTCGGCGGTGGTGTACGCGTCGGGGGAGACGAAGCCGTTGTCGAGGTCCTCGGCGTACCAGCCGTACTCGGTGGGGTAGGACTGGCCGTTTTGGATCGCGTAGTAGTACTCGAGGTGCCAGCCGTTGTAGTAGGTGCCGTCGGCGACGATCCCGGAGACAGTGCCGTGGGCAAGGGCGGAGGCCACGAATGCGGTGAGGGTGAGGAGTTTGGACATCTTGATGGATGAACGCGGGCTTTGTTCTGTGAAGCGAATGGGTGGTAGCGGGGTTGAAAAGAATGTCTTGCCTGCTCCACACAGTGAAGTGACTGAAAAGCGAATGAATGAGGAGGAAGAAAGAACGGACTGGTATAGAAACCAAAGAACGGAGCTGAAGACCTGCGATGAGGGTGGCTCTACAGAGGGGCAGCCTCGTCCCTATTTATCTCACCACCTCCAACCCCATTTGCTGAGCTACCCAGGCGCCCATGGCATCCATCCTAGCATTAGAATGAGCAAGACCCAGCACGATGGAAGCCCTCGGAAAGTTCATCCAGTCGTACCATCCTTGGCGAGATGACTTGTCTCGTACCTCCCGATATTGTAGGGGTGCCTGGGGCGTTCCGTGCCGCAGCGTACCGGGGCGTTTACAGAAAGCCTAGAAACACTGACAGCGACTGGTGGACTGCCTACACCGATGTTTCCTCGGCACGTGGTCGGCTGCGAGTCGATAAGATGAGCAAGGGTCTCTTGAAACGCAATGCGTTATCCCCGGCGGAATTTCGATGGGCAACAACCGCCGCCAAGAGGTGTCGTCGTTTCTGACAGAGTGAACAGGAAGCTTCGGAGTGCGGCGTGGCACCTCGTCAAGAGTAGCTGGTGTGATGACGGCGACCGGTGTGGATTGATGTTGATGAAGTGGGATGAACGTGCAGGAGGAGCGTTTATGCCTCGGGTCTGGCGTATGGCATAATCGCGGTCGACGATGAAGGATTGGATTCCCGAGTGCGAAGCCATTGTGAGCATGAAAGTGCAGCAAGCACTCCCCGCCCACTCTCCAACATCTCTCCTTCCCTCATCCGCGCAAAACTCTCCAGGTCTCCCAACACCATTGTCGACATCCACGCCATCCCCGAACCAAAACACCTCGCTACCTGATTGGAGGAAAATTAGTGTTTCACGCCACGTCCCGTCTGAAACAGCCCCGTTCCTGGGCGGCCGACCCGAGGTCCAGGTACCCGCCTCGCTTCCGCACGAGCAAGACCGCCCTCTCGGCGAATTGGACGGAGAAACGCTTCGTCAATGCGTCATCTACGCAAAACGGCGCTACGGAGGCGTGGATGAGATGAGGTGCCGTTCATGCCGTGTGATGTTGGAGCCTGAGAAGTTCAGGCTTCGCGGTGTTTTGAAACGGTTCGACGGCCTGTTGCTTCGTTCTCGCTATTGTATGCTAACGACGAGGGACGTAAAGCGTTACTCACAACGCGAATCTATTGTAGAGAGCGGCTTTAGGAAGTGGGCGAAGGTGGGTCGATCCGCCTTACCCCTTCTTACGCAGTCTGTAGGCGAAAAATATGCTGAGAGAAGATGTTCACTTCAAATAGCAGGAGGGCAAAGCACCTCTTTATCCTCGCCCATTGGCATCGCTCCAGGAAGAGTCGCAATCAATATTGCGTCAGATTGAGCAGATTCGAGCTCGTAGCAACTGGGCCAAGCTCCGCATCCAGGCGGGAATAGCTCTTCAGGTAGGCCCAGCCCAACCGTTGGCTGCTAATGGAAATAAGTCGAGAGACCTATTAGGAGAACAGCATCATTCCAACCACGCCTGCAAGCCTCCGAGCACCAAGCCCGCAAGTGTAACCACCCATCCAGCGACTCCGAATGCGCCCTGCACATCGCCCTTCTTAATCGTCCACAGCACGGCAAACACCGCGCTTCCGATCCCAAAGCACGCCATGATGACCGCCCACACCTTCTGTGCGTGGAAGCCTTCTACTAAGTTGATGCCCCAGCCCATACCAAAATCAAGCCGCTCGCGACGTTTCGGCGCCCGGGCATACGTTATCATCTCGCCGTCGTAATCCTCGGGGTGTTTGAAGAGGTGCAGGAGATAGGCGGAACCCACGGGCGGGATAAGGTCGACTGGTTCGAATGTGTACGGATGCTCGGACGGAGACTTCTCGTTTGACGAGGACGAGGTCGGTGGCATGGAAGGCGTTGCGCGGATATCGGCGAAGCGGTTGCGATGGACCTCGAATTGTACAAACTCGATGGTGGAAAGCGCTCTCAGCCTCGCCCACTTCAGCCACCGCCGGTTCAATCGCTCATAATGCTCTCGCAACGCCAATGCCAGGTCTTTGTCGCTTTTGATTCTACCGGCGTTGACGTCGATATGGACAATCTTTGGCGTGAAGCGGCCCTCGTTTGCGCAAGTGAGCAGCCATGACTCCTCAACAAAACTACCCATAAGTACACTAAACGGGTTGTTGCTTCGTGATCGCGTTGGGCTGTACTTGGACGCATTACCATTCCTGCCCCAGGACGGACCACCGTACGTGGAACCTGGTGTTGCAAGGGTTGATGCTCTGCTGGCGGAGTCAAATATTGATGACATTGAAGTGGATGTGCTCGTTCTGCTGGATGGGCTGCTAGGAGCATGCGTGTGTGGACTGGTGGGAGTACATATGCGTGGGCGGTTGAGATAAGCCTCCAGGAGGCGGGCAGCGCCAGGTCGACGTTCGATAAAGTCGTCGTACAGAGGCTCACCACAGGACTATGGGGTATAAGTTGACGTTTGGCGGAGGAAAGCAGCTGGACTTACACAAATCCACCGAACTCGAACGTGGTTCGGAGGAACAGGAGGCTCGCTTCCATACCTCTCTCGAAGGGCGCGTATACCTTCGGAAGCCTTCTCTGATAAGGCGCTTAGGACTAGACCCCAGAACGTCATCGTTGGACTCCTCGTGTGGGTAGGTGCCGGGCGGATCTCGAGCTCAGGCGGCAGCGGAATCTCTCCCACGTTTTCCTCGCTAATCGGCTCTTCGATCCTCGGGATAGGTCTTGCCTCCCGATTCTGCTTTGTGGTCCCATCATCTGGCACTGGCCCCAAAGCTACCTCAAGAGCTTTACGAAGTTTATCAGATTGATCCACGTCTGACCCGAGAGGAGAAGGCTCCGCCTGCTGATTTTCGTCAACAAAGTGAACCGAAGACGATGAAGTTGTTGGCTTGTGTGTGCGGGGTGAGCGTTTTCGCCTTGTCACTGGGGACGTGTTTGCGGACTTTGGGCGAGGGACATCGGTCTGCAGTCGGAGACGAACTCTCGGTTTGCCAGCCCCGCTGAGCTCATCGGCAGAAGATCGACGCCTGGCTTTCTGCCTTGTGCTGTCGTTCTCTCGAACTGGGTGTTGCCATATATTACACTCATTGGGCTCCTGTTCATCCGAAGATTCATTAAGAGGCACGCGCTCAACGCTCTCCCGTGATCGGAACAACCATTCCCCATGCTCAAGCGCACGGATTGTTGTAAAATCAGAAGCTGACCCCCTTGGCGAGCGACGTTTGACCGATTTATGTGCACCAGATCGGTTGAGGTCTGAACGCGGTGCTTTCCCCTTTCCTCGGACGCGATTGCCTTTGTCAACCCTCTTGACAGGTCCCACAACAGACAAGCCTCGCGTCGGCGTTTTGACTATGCTCGACACTGAAGCAGTTCTGGTGGGAATGACGGAACTGTTCCTCGAAAACGGCTCCAAGTCTGTCTGTTCCTCCAAACGGTCCGCAATCGATCGAACATCTGGTATCAATGTTTCCGCATCACTAAAGCCTTCTTCTGATACAGAGACCCTCGACCTAGCGTCACTGGTTGCTTGGCTCAGCCAGTGAGGAACTGATGGCAGGCGGTTTGCCCGCTGTGGATCGCGTCGCTGAATTCCGGGCTCGTTCGAGGTTCCGATCTCGAATATGGCGGGGTGGTCGTCGACCGTGTCGCTCTGAGGACTCAGTGAGGTCGTGGCAGCTTCGGAGGCGTCGAGCTCTGCCCGGGGATGCGAATCCAGTTCTTGGAGAGCCGGCTCAGCCCCGTTGCCCTGTTGTCCCAGGTGAACCTCCGCGACTTCATTTGTACCAGCGCTCGAGCCCTTCAGAAGCCTGACAACGAATCCCTTTCCACTCTTCTTTATCCGCGCTTTTATATCCGCCAGTTTGCGTGATTGACTGGAAGCCGTTGAGTCACTCCGTGAGAAGGTAACCTGCCAGTCTGGTACGACTTTCTGGAGGAAATCAGGAGGTATAGCGTCCAGATCGGACCATCCCTGCCGTTCCTCCTGCGGGCTCGACGGCGGACTGGATTTCTGCGTCTGGTAGAGTGACGAGACGTCGTAGCCGAGGCTTGGTATTTCCGTCAGGTTTGCGTAGAGCTTCTTCGAAGCCGCCGGTTTCGGAGGGCTACCTTCGGACGGTTTCTGCTGCTGTGGATCGATGTTGACCACCAATTGAAACCGGCCAGGCTTGTCTTTCTCTTCTTGTAGCGTGAGGGTGAACGGTACTGTCTGCGTCTTCTCGTATTGGGGCAGAGGCGTGCCTCGGCCGTCTTCATGTAGCTGGAGGTTCGCGATGTCTTTTCGCATTGACCGGTTGTGGGATTGCGGCGTCGGCGAGGCTATGGTGGAAGCCTGGGGAGAGCAAACATTAGCCATTCACGTCCGGCGGCTATCTGCAGCCTTGCGACAGTAGCAGGCTGCCAAATGGCGCTCTATGAGCGGAGGGGATGCGTGGGGCTACTCACCATGGTGTCCACGGCACGGTCGCGAGAGATGCCTGAGAGGCAGAGGCGCAGATTCGGCCGTTCGAAGAGCAGACATATTGCTCTTATCGATCAGGCCGCAGTCAGCTGCGGGAGGTGATGTGCAGGGCAATCGTCAAGGCTCCCTCGAGCACTGCCACACGCCTGCAGGAGTTCGACCAACGCGGGGTGAACGTGGCTGCAGCTGCGGAGAGTTGCTGAGCCTTGATTGGCTCGAGCTTCCAGCCGAACTCTGCTCGAACCCATGACCGGATGCCTCGTTGCCTCATCGTTCTGCTGCGCCGCATTACATACCTACCACACCGCGCGTCAGGGCCCCGAGCTGTTGTATTCTGGCAGTCCAATCGTCCAGTAGTTGCCGTGAGGCTGCCGCTGGGTCGAAGCTGTTTGACGTCGCCATATCGTGGCTTCGCGGGATCCCAGCATCATGAACCCGGAACTCGTCGCACTTTTCTGCATATTCGCGAGGGGCATTCCGGATCGTGGGCCATGAGACGTGGTGAACGGGGAGGATGAAGTTGGGATAAGGTTTGGTGGTGCTGTAGCTGGCAGGCAGGCGCGTTCCGTGGTTCTTTCTTCCGACTCCTTTCCCACGTGCTCTTCCCTGTACCTGACCAGCTTGACGGACAGAGTGTAGCCATTCCAACAGAGGAAACCATGGATCCCATCTCCGTGTCGTCATTCGATGTACTGACAAATGGCAATGCCACCACAGCCGTCGACCTACACAGTGCCGGCACTAGTCCCTTGTCAATGGGCAGTACGGCATCCGACATTGCCTCCGGAACCCAAGAACAACCATCGTCGACGTCTTCTTCGAACTTTTTTGCCCCTTCGGACTCCTACACAATTCTTCCGCCTATGCGCTGTGGCCTGGAACCGAGGTTCGGCTGGATTGAATGATCGCCCAAGCCGGTAAAACTCATCTGCAGGTACTCTGGCATGCTCTCGGTGTATTGTTCGCACCCATTCCCCGCAATATCGAGGTCCACAATTTCTCCGAACCCATATTCCCCCGCAACATCCCAGTAGACATGCCAGGGACGACATGTTTCCTGGGAGAATGGTGTCGTATTCCAGGATCGAAACGATGCAATAATATCTTCACCTGCCCACTCTTCAAGCTTCTCTCCGTCGCATTATTAGACCTTGTTCATCACGAGCAGGTTTGGCGACGGACTACAAGATGAAGGTCACCAGCTTCCTCACTCTCCTGCCGTTTGTGGCTGCGTTACCCCAGCAAAGCGCTCCGTCTACCTTCTCCCGACGCGTCGTTTTCACACCGCCTTCCAACTACACGGATCCACGTGTTCTCTACGCGCGCACCGCCCAGCTCCCTGACGGAGATCTCCTGGCAACCTGGGAGAACTACAGCCCAGAACCGCCACCAGTGTGGTTCCCCATCTACAAGTCTTCTGATAATGGATACACTTGGAAGGAAATCTCAAAGGTGACAGACCAGGCCTACGGCTACGGTCTGCGATATCAGCCCTTCCTCTACGTCCTACCTGAAGACTTCGCCGGATATCCCGCCGGAACCGTGCTCCTCGCCGGCTCGTCCATCCCCACGGACCTTTCAAGCACGCACATCGAGCTCTACGCATCTCAGGACAAGGGCGTCACTTGGAAGTTCCTCTCGCACATCGCAGCCGGCGGCGTTGCGAAGCCCACCAACGGGCTCACGCCAGTCTGGGAGCCCTTCCTGATGAAGTACAAGAACACGCTCATTTGCTACTACTCCGACCAGAGGGACAACGCAACGCACGGCCAGAAGATGGTTCACCAGACCACCACCGACCTGAAGACCTGGGGCAAGGTCATCGATGATGTCGCGTACCCAAAATACACAGACCGTCCCGGTATGCCCACCGTTGCTGAACTGCCCAACGGCAAGTACATCATGACCTACGAATACGGCGGCGGCCCCGCCCTCTCAGGCTACCAATTCCCCGTGTACTACAAGATCGTTTCCGACCCCGAGAAGTTCGGCCCCGCGACGGGCGTTTCTCTCAAAGCAACCGACGGTACGATTCCTAGCGGTTCGCCATACGTGGTATGGAGCCCCGTTGGTGGAGCGAATGGAACGATCATCGTGTCGGGGCATTCGAATACCGAAATCTTTGTGAATACAGGGCTGGGATCGGGGTCGTGGAGGAAAGTCAGCTCTCCAGAGGTGACGCATTATACGAGGCATTTGAGGGTTTTGGGGGATCCTCCGAAGTTGCTGATCATGGGTGGCGGGCAGCTGCCGCCGTCCACGACGAATAAGGTGCAGCTGAGTGTGATGGATATCAGTAAGCTGTGAATGGTCAGAGGCGCGATGACCGCAGCAGCATATCTAAGTTAGCACCTGTACATGAAATGATTCCATACCAATAACGCCATCGGTGCCCTTAATTATTGGAAATTGCTCCCGACTGAACTGACATTTAAGCTGTTCAGCATGGATGTGGGTCTGCTTCGGGTTTAGCGGAGAAAATGTTCCCTGGCCTTCGGGCTGCCAGTACGACCGTAGCCTTTCCACGACGTCTTCTCGTTCCACAACACGAGAGCGGCATTTAGGACTGTCGTCGAGATTGAGACCGAGCAAAGGAAGGCCAAGACGGGTGCCGTTCGATCGCATTGCTTCGCAGGCGCGTAAGCCTCGCTAGCAAAGTTCTGGAGGCTCGCTCAAGCTTCAATTGGCTGATGCAGGTTCAACTGAATATCTATCTATCAAAGCCTCTTAACTCTCCAAGCTCCATCAAACCCGGCCAACCACCCCTAGCTTCTGAATCTATCTCCGGCCTCGCACCGCACTGTCCCGACGCACACTGCCGAGACCCGCACAAGCTTGACGCGAACAAGCTTCGTGTGGCGGCGATCACAAGCCCTGATAGCGCGGAGCGACACATTCGCGCACGTCACTTTGCTTTTGCAGCGACATCATTGGCGGCCGCCGATGCCCTTATCACGAACACGACGAGTGCGCCCGGCGAGCTGCGCGGTGGTGCCGGCGCTCTCCTTGCGATGTCATCGCAAAAAGGAATGCTGGAGAGATGAGATGAGACGGATGCCGTGCGTTGGGGGACGGGGCGTATGTTGAACCGCGGGCTCGGGATGCGATGGGATGCCTTGCATCTGGGATCTTGTTGCACGCGACGAAAGTATCACGGCTCCAGCGGACCGCGGCATGCCGTGGGTATGTACTCATCAGCATATCTCGGCACCCCCGAACGTGGTCGCATCCCGCCGCTCCAGAGCTTGAGCATGCCTGTCGCATGCGCCCGATCGCATCAGCGAGCGGCCGCTACCGTCTGGATTTTCCTCGCCTAATAGTGGCCAGCGCCGTCCACAGGGAACCAAAAAGTATCGCAGATGCGGACCTGCATTGCCCCAAGCAGCTAGGCTTATCGCCATGCTGCGCTGCTCGTGTGGGCTTAGAACCGGGGGTGGGTCGTTTTCTGGAAGCTCGCACGCTGCAGTCTTGGTATATGTAACCCGGGCTTTGGAACCTTGAATTCGTCTGTTACATCTCTCCTCGAAAGCAGCGCATTTCGCAACGTTCCCACGTGTTTGGTGGAAGACCCTACGACGTCTACCGGCCACAGAGACTTGAAGCTCATGATAGCATCTTGACTTCCTCGCCACCACTTCGGAGATTAAACTCGTTGCAGCTCCGAACCTCCAACGACTGCCGCCGACATGTCTCAAGAGAAGTTCCCAGTGGACGTGGAGAAGGATGCGATCAGGGCGGACTCCTACGCCGAAGGCGCCGTGCCGGGCGAGAGCTTCGAGTACGGAAGCTCCATGTATGCGAAGCTGCAAAGACTCGCCGGAAAATTCCACGTCGAGCAGCGAGGAATCGAACGCGTGCCCGAAGATGAGCGAGACGATACTTCGCTCCTCAATGTGGGCACCATGGTATGATTCCTCCTCCACGCCGACGACGAACGCCCTTAACATGCCCCGCAGTGGCTCTCCGCCAACATGGTCGTCTCTAGCTTTGCCATCGGCTTGCTCGCCCAAAAGCTCTTCTTCCTTGGCTTCGTCGACGCTATTCTCGTATGCCTGTTCTTCAACCTCATCGGCGTGGTCCCCGTGTGCTACTTCTCCACCTTCGGCCCGCGCTTCGGTCTCCGCCAAATGGTGCTCTCGCGCTTCTGGTTCGGGTGGTACGGCGTCAAGCTCATCGCCGTCTTCAACGTGCTTGCCTGCATCGGCTGGAGCTCTGTGAACTCCATCGTCGGCGCGCAGCTCATCAACGCCGTGAACAACGACGTCCCCGGCTTCGCGGGCATCATCATTATCGCTATCTGCACGCTCTTCGTGACCTTCTTCGGGTACAAAGTCGTGCACGCGTACGAGTTCTGGAGCTGGATCCCGACATTCATCGTTTTCCTCATCATTCTTGGAGAATTCGCGCACTCGGGAGCCTTCGTCAACATCCCCATGGGCGTCGGCACCTCGGAGCTCGGCAGCGTGCTCAGCTTCGGCAGCGTCGTGTACGGCTTCGCAACCGGCTGGACGAGCTACGCCGCCGACTACACCGTCTACCAGCCGCGGACGCAGTCCCGCTGGAAAGTCTTCCTCGCCGTCTGGCTCGGCCTGATGATCCCGCTCCTCTTCACCGAGTTCCTCGGCATCGCCATCATGACCGCGACCACCCTCAACGACGGCAACAACCGCTACATGGACGGCTACAACGCGTCGGGCACCGGCGGCCTGCTGGCCGCCGTGCTCCTCCCGCCGCTCGGCACCTTCGGCAAGTTCTGCCTCGTCGTCCTCGCCCTCAGCATCATCGCCAACAACTGCCCCAACATCTACTCCGTCGCCCTCACCATGCAGGTCCTGGGCCGCGGGACCCAGCGCGTCCCCAGGTTCGTCTGGACCGCGCTGGGAACCGCCGTGTATATCGCGATCGCTATCCCCGGGTACTCGCACTTCGAGGAGGTGCTCGAGAACTTTATGAACTTCATCGGTAAGCCGCCCCCACCCCCTCTCTACTATCTATGCTCTTCACAGAATCCCTCACTAACCCGCATCCACAGGCTACTGGCTCGCCATCTACGAAGGCATCGCCTTCGCCGACCACTTCCTCTACAAGCGCAGCATGTCCGCCTACGAGCCCGCCGCCTACGACCAGCCGCGCAAGCTGCCCCCGGGCATGGCCGCCATCTTCGCCTTCTGCTGCGGCATCGCTGGCATGGTCACCGGCATGAGCCAGGTCTGGTTCGTCGGCCCGATTGCCCTGCATGCCGGCGAGGCGCCGTATGGCGGCGATGTCGGGTTCGAGCTGGGCTTTGCGTTTGCGTTTGCGAGTTATGCGGTCGCGAGGCATTTTGAGCTGAGGGTTTTTGGGAGGTAGGGGAGTAAGGGAGATGGGGGACGGGGCTGGGTGTGGGTGGTATACCCGTAGATTGAAGGTGTTGCTGATATATTATTACTTGACTTGATTTGGTTTGATTTCTGTGCTCCAGAATTGAAGGAATGGTCCACAATGTGACGGCTCTAGGATGTCGGACCTCAGGTCATCAGTCGACCCACCACCGCCAAAGACAACATCCCGGCGTCACTGCTCGAGCATTTCTCCATGCATCGCTCCCCCCGACCCTGCGCCTGACATGAGGGCTGCACGTGACAGAGCCGCGCGCGCTGTCCGTCGTGATGGGGTAGTAGTCTATTCGCCAGACGGAGGGCGAGTGAGGAGCGATAAACAGTTCACAGCGAGGACGAGTGGTATAGAGGGGGACGGACAATGTGGAAACAGACTCGATGCCGAACAAGGCTGGCTACTGGGGAGACGGCTGGAGAAGGAAAGGACGAGATTGGCGTGAAGACGCAGCCAAGGATAGTTGCGGGGCGCCTTGTGGTGAAGAATGTGGCGGTGGCGACTGAGAGTTTGACTACTACTTCGAACGGAGGAGTGGTGTCGTGTTCGGTATGTTTCCCAAGAGGATCGAGCAAGCTGCGCGATACTCCATCCAGGCCAGCGGGCTTAACGATAGACAATCCGAATTGTGGGATATATACTTCATTGCCGATGTACAGAGAGGGTATCAAGACCAGAGAATCCAAGAGCTCATCCACGCCACTACTCATCCTCCAAGCTCGCCGCCGCATCCTCCACCAACTTCGCCGCTATATCCACCCATTTCCTCACCCCCTCCTCACTGCCCTCCTCGATACCTTCCACAATGCCTGGGAAAGTAGCTCCAGCGTAGCCAGTCCATTTGCCCGGCGCGAACACAACGTGCTTGAACCAGGGCCGTCCATCGAGCCCATCTGCGTACAGGAACTTGCGCTCCAGCAGCTTGTACTTCGTATTCACGCGGCGGATCGCGTAGTACAGCTTAACCCTCTCCCACCATTTCCACCAGGGGATGTCGTTGTGGTAGAGGTCGTAGAGGAGCGAAGCGGCGAGTCCGTCGTGCACTTTCGAGGCGAAATGGAAGTGCCCAATTGCGCGGTCGAGCGGCGCGAAAACATCATCCGCCTCATCATCCTCCCGCTTTCCAGCACCTCCCGTCTTCATCGTAGCCTCTTTCGCCTTCTCCTTGACACTCTCAACATACTTGCCCAGCCCGAGCGCATACTCCGTAACGTTAAGCTGGATAACCGGCGTCTCGACCAAATTCGCCGCCACTAGCGCCCACAGTTTCGCAATTGTAGCATGGTATTCGAAGGTAGGATCGCCAAAACGCTCCATCCAGTCAAAGCTGTCGTAGTTGGAATGGTAGTGGTAGACGGGCGCCTTGGCGCCGAAGCCGAAGCCCATGTCGAGCGACGGGATGCCAGCAAAGTCTTGGAAGGCGGTGAAGTCGCTGCCCGAGCCCATGGTGCTGATGTGCTTGTTCCAGACGTCGCCAACGGTTTGGCCGGGCGTGGTCTGGTTGGGGGAGGGTATGAGATCGACTGCACTTTGTTAGCCTTTTCCTTGTCACAACTCATTGGCGTTGACTTACGAGTCTCTACTGCAACTTTGTTCAGTAGCGGCGCGGCCGAGAGCCTGAAATGTGGGCCGTTGGTCCCAACGTCGACGTTGAGATATGCGATGGTGGACGAAGATAGCCAGGGAATATATTCCTCCACCCACTCGGTCGATCCAAGCAACCCGTACTCCTCGCCGTCCCAACTCGCGAAAACGATGGTGCGAAGTGGCTTCCAGCCGGCCTGCAGAGCGATACCAAAACTGCGAATGACCTCGTTCAGAGCTGCAGAGCCACTGTTGGGATCCCCAGCGCCGCCGGCAATCCAGGCGTCTCTGTGGTTTCCAAGCACAACTACCTCGTCTGGAATCGTGCCGTTGATGATGCCAATGACGTTCCACATGGGCGTTATCACGTACTCCTGCTCGTTTACAAGATTGAGCCGGAGGTGGTCCGGAGACGGTCCGATGTTGTACTCTACGCCCTTGTAGCCCAATCCACCTCCTTTCCAGTATTTGTTGAATGATGATGCTTTCGGTCCGTGGCCGTTCAGAGCCCTGAGGAGGGGTAAAGCATCTTCATAGGAGATGGGAATCGAGGGGATGGAAGGAATCGCGTGGTCAACGGGCTGTCGGGGAACGCCTGGTTTTGAGGGATAGCCGGGGGTTGTTGGGTCTCCAGGGGCGAAGCCTTTAGGGGTTAGTATATCGCGTGCAAAGAAGAGCAAGAAATAGCTTACTTAAGAATTGGCAACTGCCCCTTTGAACGCTGCTCGGCTGGCGGGCTGGACCATCCGGGTAGGTGGCATTCCCGTTGTATTCCGTGACCTCACCGTCATCTCCAGGATCGGTGTAGATGACAGCTCCAACCATTCCAAGCTCCTGTGCCCTCTTAACTTTGAGACCCCTAAAAATGCCACCATACTTGATCAACGCGATCTTGCCCTCGAGGCTGATGTTCGCTGCCTGCAGCTCCTCGAAGTCCTTGTAGGTCCCATAGTTGACATAGACGTACGGCGCCGTGACATTGCCTGACGCGCTATATCCGTGGAACGTAGGAATGCGGCCGGCAAGACCGCTTGTAGCATCCTCCTTCAACACGTCCTCTTCTAGACTAGCCTCATACTTGATCTTCCATTCCGTCTCGTCGATTGCAGCAGAGCCACCGTTCTCCTCCTGTTCCTTCTCCAACAGCGCCAATCGATGACCCTTTGGATAATTCACATAAATATCGTAATCCACGATTAGGGAATTCTCCACACCAAACTCCATCCACTTCTCTTTCGTCCAAATCGCCTGGCTCAGATTCTTCCCCGCCAAGTGCGGCCCGCTGGTATAGTACTTGCTCCACTCCCTTGCCTTTTCCGGATCCGGAGTCGTTATCAGAATCGCCTGTAGATCTTCGTACTCCAAGCCTGTTGAGTACGGCCAGGAGGCTGGGATGTTGTGCATTTGCGACGGCAGAAGGTGCATCGGCCATTCCGTCTCGTCGCCGTCGTTAAGAGGCGCGAAGTTAAGGACGAGGATTACCGCAGCGAGGCCGAGGAAGAGGACTGCAGTAAGACCAATAGTACAGACATAGCGGAGGGTGTGGTGCGGGTAGCGGTCGCGGTGGGGTCGTGTCTGCACTACGGCGATAAGGGGCGTGCGTTCGTCGGCCATGGTGGGCTTTTCATTGCTCGCCTGGAGCTGCATACAACTCTAGAATGATACGGTACCCCCAGCACGAAAACTTGGGAGGGGATACAGGTGTTTGGAGCTCGGATGGAGCAACGATGGATGACGGGGCGCGCGTGGCGTCATCGGCTGGAGCTACTGGTGTGCATCCCTGCGATCTAATCTTATCACTTGGCATTGACCAGGGTAGCTACAACGTCGTCCCATCACTCATCAAACGACCGAGTCAACCTCAACACCAAATTTGCATCCACATACTGCTCAGACAACGGCTTATTCTGGGACTTTGCAATACCCAGCCTAGAAGTCTCCAGCACAGTATACGCACATCACCAATATAGACACCAGGATCAGGAGAAGATAGCTGTCGCGGCCGGATGCACTCCATTACTCCCCAAGAACTATTCTATAAAGGAGAAGCCCAGAGGTCCCTGTCGTATTGTCTACCTTTGCTCTTGCTGCCCGCCATCCTCCGTCCGGCATTGGATTTGATCAGCTTGGACGGCAAATCCTCGGCTGTCTCTTGTCGCTCGACAAATACGAGCACGGAAGCATTGTCGTTCTGCGAAAACAGGGTACCAATTTCGCGTAGAAGTACTTTGATCTTCGCCTCGTAAGACGGCTTGACCAGCTCGACGACCTGGTTGACTTCGGGGGCCACGACGCTGCGACGATGACCGGCCCTTCCGTGACGGCATACACCGCCCTGGGGTGGCCAGCCCCGGGCTACGATCTACTAGTTGTAACCGCAGCTGACGAATGCGTTATCCACGCGACGAGCGAACTCTTCTCGTTCGCGAGCGACCTCCTCGGGATCGCGAGCGGCGGCGGCGGCGCGACGAGCCTATGGATGTTAGTTGGGAGATGAACTCCGCTAGGTTACCAGATATAGCTTACAGCTTCCTCCCTCTCTTCCTGGAATAACTGGTCTCTGGCCATAGCGAGCCAGGCCAACCAGCAGTTATGCGCAATTGCGCCGAGACGGGGCCTCCCCTCGCGGTCGTGGCGGTCTCGGGCCTCGCGCGCTTCCTGAGCCTGTTTACACCGTTAGTCCTACGGTTCTGCAGCGAACAGCGGAGAGTTAAGGCTTGCCTTGGCGACGAGCTGGCGGACGGTGTACGGCATGGTGGCTCGGAGCGTCGGTCGTGAAGTTGGAGATGGAGAAGGCGGAGGCTTGTTGTCGTTAATCTGGCTTCAGTCAGCACGTCAGCGTGCATTCAAGCAGTTAAGAGACAAGTATAATCGACTGGATACGCGTTATCGAAGAGCAAACGGGGCGTGCTTACGTGTGGTGGTGGATCTGGTGGGTGGGTGAGGAAGTGAACTCGAGGGAGGACAGGCAGTCACGTTGACCAAAACGGCCTCGACGCACGTGCATGCGCAAATGAGCCACCCACGCCCTAACTCGCCCGCCAAAACGCACCGCAAAGCTACGGGAGGGTCGCTACCTGCTCTAGAAGTCGCCCTCGGCCTGCACAGTGCCAGAGAGACATTGTGAGTCTGCGCTCATTGTGTACAGAACTGGTATAAACAGCCATCCTCTTCCATAGGCAAGATCCTCCCCTGATCAGCATCCAGCATGGCTAACATCTCAGCCCCTCCCCATTCCTCCAACGCGCCGCGGGACGGCGAGCCCTGGTGCCAGCTGCTCTGCGACCCAAGCGCCGAATCTCCCCATCCTCCACCCACAGCACCCCTCTACCTCCTCCGCTGCTGCAACCACTACGTCTGCCGCAACTGTCTCACGGCCGATCTTTTCTACGCCCCGCCGGATAACGACATCATCGCTTGCGCCTTCTTCAAGTGTGAGCGCACCCTCGCAATCGTGCTTCGGGATCCTGTCGAAGAACTCGTTCTGAACTCGAAGGCCTACGAGAAAGCGGAGGAATACCGAAAGGATACGGAGAACGTTGTGAATCCGATTATTGTGCTCAATAACGAGGCGGAAGTGTTCATGCGTAAGCTTTGGAACCGAATGGCTCAGCTCAATGCACCTGGTCTTGAAGACCTCGGCGGAGGAGATCCCATGGCTAATTCATGCTTTGCAGCGATCAAAACCTGGTTCGGAGAGCAGGTCGTATACGAGGACATTACACCCGGGCGCTTCCTCCTCTCGCCGCTTGAGATCCTGAAAGAGTTGCAGGAGGTCGTGGACAAACACCTTTTCGACTACGCGCTTGAGGTCGCTCCTGAACTAATTGCAGTTGGGCGTAACCACGACGAGGAGGCGGTTGCGCAGAAGGAGATGCTGAAGGCTGCTATGAAAGACTATACGCAGGTTGAGTGGATGGACCGCGTCTGGACAGACTTCATAGAGGCGCTACAGGTTTTGCTGCTTTGGCGGCACTTGGAGTGGTTCGAGGCTATCAAGCACTTGGAGGTTCCTCGCGACTGAGACTTAGCCGGACGCTGAAGGCCGATACTGATAGACGATGAGACTTTTCTTCGCCTCTAGATCCGCCAATGTAAGTATCCTGTCTCAAGGTCAGCCGTATTATATTCCACCATTCCAGTTTTCTTGAAGAAACCCATTTTTACAACAATTTATTAGACATCAAGCTTCTAAACATGTCAAGATCCCTAGTACTATGTCTCAGTCGCCGCATACGTATATCCTCGTACTTATCCTCTCTTGCCATTCCTTTCGGTATGCTTCATCCGCTGACTTCACGCGTGGTTTTGCAGAGGACGTGCCTCCGTCCCTCCCGCAAATACAACACGTCACGGCATTGTGTAGCAACTTCAGCTGAGTGTGGGTTACCCTATGTCCGGTGCGGTCACTCCCAGGGTCCCAACATTGTGCGTGATGGGAGCGCGATGCTGGAGCCTGCGACTCCACTAGATCTCTACTCGCGGTATATACATCATATTCGGAAGAAGTATATATACGCCGGTATATCTTGTTCCTCGATTTCCCGTCTCTTCGAGACATCCTAGAATTTGGAACGAAAGCTAAACTGACATAGCATTTCTGAAGCCCGAAGCCCTCAACCCCATCGACTGCCTTCGAGCGTGGCGAACACATTTTCTACACCGACATCAGCACCAACTCTAGACACACGAACCTAACCATGTCGGATGTCGAGCGCCCATCTGTGTGGGTGTCTCCGGCGACTAATCCATTTCATGCAAACAAACCGTCTACGACACTCACCACGGCAATCCCGAAGCCCCAGACACATCACCGCTGTACCGCCTCTGTTGTCACACTTCCGACAAGTTCATCGGTCAAACTGCCTCACGAAGGCATGTCAGATGGAGGATCTGTTTGATCCCTTCAGTTTCCAGGGGGGCCAGAATCGCTACACGATGACGCCGACCGAGCTGGAGCAGATGCTGTTGCGCATCCTGCGCAAGTCCATGCTGCACTATGTCTTTGAGCTCTATGCGCCTGCACTTGTGGCTTTAGGCGAGTAGATTGGGTCTGAAGAAGGACAGGCGGCCGCTTTTGAGCGGGCCAAGGTCCCTCTTTTTATCCCTGTGGCTGAAATCAATGCGCTTTGGGGGGGTACAATCTTGAAGTGGGTCAGCCTCCTATGTTGGAGGCACATTGAGCGCGTTGCTGGCGTCGAGGAAGGCGGGGGTGGCGACGATCAGGTGGACGATGAAGATGAGGAGCTTCATCCGGATCGAGCAGGACGGTTCTCTGATTTGACATTTGCCTGTCCACTCCTTTTGGTGTCTCCTACGTATCGGTCGTGGTAGCTGCTAATTATATTAAGTATTCGCAAGTTTTATATCTACGTACATGTGGCCTATTGACACCTTTTTGTACTATGGTGACTTCCTTCATGCCCTTTGATTTCAGAACGCCACACCAACTGTGAGTTGACTCCTAAAGCTCTCCCGACCTCGGGAGCCATAAAGCGTTGTCCAACACAAGGAAGCTTTCCTACTTCTGATCGCCTAACCTCTACCCGCGTCCCGCCTCCACGGGCCTCTATCGTCTATCGATTGTTCAACCCTCGATGGAAATTATGTGGCGTACATCAGTGACGCTGAAAGAGCTCCGAGGGGAGCGACGTGCTGCGTCGAAGTGCGACTCTTTCTGTTCGGGCCTCTTTCCGGGACGACTTAAGAGATCTTTGCCGAGCCAATGAAGACGATGGGCTCCGGCATATACAGCGAGCTCATGATACGGATCAAGGTTGTGTTTGAAGCCACGTACACGGCAAGTCCAAGCATTGTGCATGTTGAGCGTATAATGTCAACCCGCTTCACAATGTCTTAATCGGGTTATATGCATTGTGCATGGACAGTATATATCACGACGGTATGTTTAGCCTCTTAATATCCTCAGCAGAACATCTGGGACAGAAATAGCCAAAGATTCCTTAACTTTCTAACCTCCAGAACCAATTCCGATCAGGATCTCCTCACGTGCTGGACACGAACTCACTCGACTCAAAAGACACCGCAATGCATATCTCGAAAATGGCCAAGACCCAGCCACCGGTGTGCGTCGGCATCACAGGAGACATTTGCATCTCCTGCAAGCAGACGGTGTACGACACCAAATGCGGGGACCCAGAGGCCCCGGCGACCGCACCTCTGTATGACCTGAGTTGTCATTCATCGGACGAGTTCCAGTGCTGCAATTGCTTGACCAAGGCCTGGTTTAATAGCGCTGGAGATGCCGTGCCCTGCCCTTGGAAGTTCTGCCGCCGCGACGCCGGCTTTGCTCAACTCCCGAACATCCACACGATCAATGTGGATCAGGAGCTAGTCGAGAAGACAGAGCTACTCCGTCTGGATAAGAAAACAGCGGAGAACCTGATCGGAATCGACGCAGGTGACGCTAGGGTCTTCTTGACTCAGGTGTACAACTTCTTCGAGGATCATGTTCTGGATCCTACGGCTTTGGGTGGCCTTCCGGGCCAGGTCACAGAGGCTTTGGAGAATTCGGCAATCGCGAGTCTGGCGTCCAACCCTTTCTTTCAGGGGCTGTACAACCACTTCCCGTGGGACGATATGTCTCCGCGTAAGTATATGCTGACTCCAATGGAACTTGAACGGGATTTGCTGAAAATCCTGGAGCAGCGGCTTCGAAACCACGTTATGGAGAATTATGGCGTGGCGCTGTCTAGCATCGGTATGTGTCTTGACACGGAGGATGGCCTGAAAGCTGCTACGGAGATGGCGAAAGAGCAGTTCGTCCCGGTCACGACCATCTACGAGAACTGGCGGTCGATAGTCCAAACGTTGGTTAGCGTCCTTTGTTGGAGACATCTTGAGCGTCTTGCTGGCGCCGAGGATGAGTCCGACACTGACTGAGACGCCGACCTGGGGCCCGGGATCTGATTTATTGGAGCAACTAGACGGTACCATGGGATGCTTAACTGCCGCAGTCCATTGGAGTGTCACGCTCTTGCTTACTCTTTGTCATGTTCCTTCCCTCCCGGATTCGCAAAATCAACGCTGGACGCTGGAAATTAAGTACGTTCGCATTAATCACGTTTTCTTACATTATACCTCTCTCTCTTGCCACTATACATTCTTCGTCCGACTGCATGCCATTTCCTCTCTTCTTCTGAGATCACTCTATGTCCTCAACCTGCATTCAATATCTCTCTCAAGAATTCCTGAAGCTGTGAAATCTAGTTTTATTAGCCTAATCCTTATGTTAATGCAGCTCTACCTTCTTCCGTAGAACTCAGGTCCTCGAACGTCTCTTCCCCTCAAGGCATAGTCCATCGTATGAACACTCCGCTCTGATTCATATTTCGCTAGCGTCTCGGACGAGTGTGCTATTACCAAGCCGCAACTCCATCCCCGGGGTACGTTCTACATGTCTGCAAACATCACGCACGCAGAGAGCAAGAAGAGGGTGATTGCTACCTAAACATGTCTCCACGGTCATCAAGTATTGGCTGTCTACAGGAGGACCTCCCTAAAGAGTAAAGCGAGGCTCCCAATATCAGCGCCAACTCATGCGGGTCATAGCCGGCCCAGGACTGTGTAATAAGGCTGATATTACTTCACACCAGCTTGGGGGGTCGGGTCGTGACTAGAGAGCAGTGAGTGCAGAGAAAGGTCTCAGAGAGAGTAGGGAAGGAGTGTTGAGAAAGATAGGTTGCATTGAAGTCCATGATCTACATAACATATAAGAACAGAAGGTATGTCAGCCCGGCCCCTACGCCCGCGACACAAGAAGCCACTAGCAGTTGGGACAGGCTCATTACTCTACCTCCACATGCCTGCCCACAGGTCATCGAGGAGAAGCCGGTTGATGGTCCCGAAGCCGAAGCCTGGATCCAAAACCCTGGTCAATCCCGTTTCTACTGCGGGCTTATAATGGGAGGGCATAACTGAATCGGGGAGCCGAGGAGGATATCAACATCAAACAACCTACTCGGGGGCGCAAGAGTGTTGCGAATGGGAGCACCTATATGATGTGTCAGCGACCGAGCCGGTAGCGAAGGTGTTGGTATGTATCCCGTTGCCGCGCCGGAGACACGAAGATAAGTCACTGGCATTTTGCATTGACGGCTAGGCGATTCGCGAGACAAAACCGCCGAGGCTTAGCCGTAAGGAGAAGCATGAATGCTCCACGACCCGAACCATCGAGGCTATGACAAGCAGGACCACCTAGGTTTGTTACTCTTCCTCCGTTTGTGCACCCACTGGACAAGGGGGTGAGTCCAGCGAGCTTAATACAAATAGGAGGGTATACCCGGGTCGCAGAGCCGAGATGGATAGGATGTTGTCGATATGGGAGGACTTACCTCTTTAACGGGCGCGTTGGCAGGGGCGGTATGGTGGCGATTCTGGTAGCGGGCTACCGAAGAGCTTGTTCGAGGTCTGGACAAGTCGTCAGGATGGGGCTGGTTGAGAGTATGTGTGGAAAGTGATGGGATTGCGACGGGTATCAGCGTCGAGAATGAAGGAGGGTCGGCGAGGAGTAGAGCACACGAGAGACGGCGCGCGAAAAGCGTTTGAGCTCGAGCTTCGAAGGACCAAGTTGTCTGTAGGATGATTAGCTTCAGTGGCTCTAGCTGTGATGCAATCATAACGGGATGTCCCGCCGAGGTCTGAGACTTTTGACAAGAGTGAAGTCGCAGCCCTTCAGTCACGGCGGGCTGGAATCATCGTAGCGGCAACCATGACATACGGCGCCCCACTGGCTCACATAGCCGCCGCCCTATCCAATTGCTCTTCTCCTGCTCTTGCTCGCCCAAAAGCCATGAGTGTAGGTCAGATGGGCTGAGAGCAGCAGGGGAATCAGAAGACGATATCGGGAGGGTGCTACATACCATGATACTCTGTGGCTGCAGGCGCGGTAATGCGGCCACGGCGGAATGTTCAGGTTGTGTGGGTGTCGTGCTTCGGTTGCGGAACAGAGCCTGTGGTATAGTCGACTGAAGCGGCTGTACTAACAGCCATGTCTTGATTGTGGAATGTCCAACCAGACCAGTTACGCTCACGACAAGGGTCTTGGTCGTAGCGTATCTCTGAGGTGGTAAGAGGGGCTTCACCACGGCTACCATAACATGCTCTCAGCTATGTCAATGGCTTCCAGGAAACGCCGGGCTATCCCACATTACTCTTCCGACGATGCCGAAGGCGGAATGCCACAGGCAAAATCCCATCCGAACATAGAGAGTAGTTCGTAGAGAAAGCTCCGTCGGTTGTGTATGAGCATGAAAGCGGACGGGGATCATGGCTACGGCTGAGGTGTCGGTGTGTGGAAAGTTAGCAGCTGCGATTGAGATGAAGGAAAGGGAAGACGTACCGTAAGAAGAAGAGAGGCTGAAGGGCAGAGCCACTTCCTCGAGCCTTCAGTATACCCAAAGCACTCAATGAAAAAGAAATAAGAGTAGGTGTAAAAAATTCTCTGAAGATCCGAAGACCAGCAGAAGTGGTGCGGCGCCCCTGCACAGAACCGCTGGCAACCTCCGAGAAACCCATCACGGGTTGCCGTATGTAGCCCACGGATGTAGCCCACAAATGTATCCCCCTGCTTTCACTCAGAAGACAAGAGTTTAGTCAACGAGATTCAGTTAGCGTGAGCGTCTACAATTGGCATTGCCGGCTGAGACGCTCGGGGGATTGTTGCTCTCCCGAAGTTGCCGTACACAAGGCAAGTCCCGTCTCGAACCTGGGAGGTGTCGTTCGGACTAAGACGCTCGAAGTGTAGTACGACGGGGCGCTTTGCTGAGGGCGAAGTGCCAAAGTGTTAGGAGTTAGTAGGTGAAGAGATCATGAAGGAAGGAGGAAATACCGTAAACCAGAGGCGCCTTAGTAGACGAGCAGGATCGTATTGTAGAAAGCCGTGATGGTTCTGTGAAGAAATTGGAAGGGGTAGCGGAGAGGGAGGGGCGAGGTGAGAAGAGCGAGGTTGGGACGCCGAGAAAACTCTGCAGAAAGATTAGCGAAGGTCAGAAGTGCCGGTGAGTGACGTACCGTGTAAACAGAAGAGTCGGCCCAAAGCTCGATGGTAGCAGCTGTTTCTGGCAAAGGCAGCAGAGCAGAAATGACATGAGAGAAAAATGTCCGGCCAAGGTAGCACGCCCAGGACAACTGTAAGTCAAGGACGCTTTAGCATGGCCGTATTACTGTGTCCCTCGCTGTTCACACCACTAGACATAAGTCTGTGTCGATTAGCGGCTTCAGCCGAGGGACAGAGCCATTTCACAGGTCGCCGCGGGGTCTCCAACTTCGGCGAAGTTTACTAACCTCTGGGCAGAAGCCTGTGGCCTGGGCCCAACGATAACTGTAATGTGTAGGGCGATTAGCAAACAAGAGACTCTGGGGAGGGGAAACTTAGCAGGAAACTGAAGGTAGAGCGATCGCGAGAGGGCATCGGCATCCTCTGCGTCGTTGAGGTCGTTGAGGTAGAGGAGGAGGGAGAAAAGAGGAAGTAGGTGAGGAAATGGATTTCGGTGAGAGTCGTTGTTTTGATTGTGGGCGTCGGCTGCGGCGGGTCACGTCAGTGTTTAACGAGCTCGAGCTCGGCACGTGACCGGCCGGTAGCGCGCCAGGGCGTCTTCACTTTTGAAAATCTGTCCACCGAAATCTTTTCTCTTCGGCACCCTAACACTTATCCAGCCGCCAGCAAGCTCAGATCCTCAACACACACCTTTCTACAGCTACCACAAGCCAATCAATCATTTTCATACCACCATGTCCTCCTCCGCCGCCACGACGTCCTCCCACGCCGCCGGGGTCAACGTCCCCGCCTACCGCCAGCAGCTCCTCGCCATCTTCCGCTACATGGCGGTCGTCATCGGCGGCCTGTACGCAGAGCGCGCCCGCCTCATCGCCCAGCAGCAGGGCAACACCCACTGCGTGCCCGTCCTCGCCGCGCTCGGCCCTGACGGCTGCAGGGAGCTGGAGAGGCAGCTCTGGGACAATTATGACCTCGGCGCGGACGAGGTTGTCGAGATGCTCGTCGACGACGTCGGCGACCTGCTGGACGCGGAGAAGGAGCTGGCGCTGGTGGAGAAGAAGCTGGCGTTCTGGGTGCGGGAGAGCAAGAAATTGCAAGAAATCTTCCTTCATACGACCATGTGAGTTAACGGCGGCAAATTATGGATTGACCACTAACGTTTCAAGGTTCTTGAAGGAGAAGAGGGAGGCTGAGGCCAGCGGTCAGGAGTGGGACCTGACGTTCGAGCAGTAAGTACATCTCTCCTCTTAAATAGACACATGCTAACAAACGGCCTTTAGGTGGGCGGCGTGGTACCCGAAGATCACGCCGGTGTTGCCCAGCCAGAAGAAATGGGCGAAAGAGGGGGAGAGGCGCCGGGTGGGAGAGTAGAGGGCGATGGCGGCCGCCAACAAAGTCGACGGGCGTCTGGGTAAAAAGAACACTATCCATCACGGCCAGCGTACCGACAGCAAAGGCCCTGATGCTGGCGCGTTCCACTCTACTATAGAGATCAACGACTTCCCACAGAAGGCGCGATGGGCTGTTACCAATCGCACCAACGTCGTCAAGATCTTGGACAGCACCGGAGTCTCTATCACCACCAAAGGCAACTACTATGGGCGTCTGGGCTTGTTTGGCTCTGCGGAGAGATAACCTTTTGGCCACTTTTTTTTTTTATAGACTATGCGACGGCGTAAGGCTGCGGTAATGAATTCGGTTTCGTCACGGAAGACTATTTCCCTTTGCTGTGACGCCGTGAAGCAGATGTGACGAGGATGAGGCATCCCACTTCAGTTTATAACATGACAGTTTGAGGAGCAAACAAATTCATGATGTTGAAAGATTGAGCTATTTACTATCTGTGTGACCTGACGACCCTCCCGTACCAAGAAGCCGCTCTCGAGGATAAGTCCAAGACAACCTGGAGGAATGAACCCAAAGATCTTGACAATGGCTGGCGGGAGCCTGAGACGGAGCTGCTTGGCAGCGTAGATGTGGCACCGCTACGGTCGTTGTCTGAGTGCTGATGGACGGTGATGGCCTTGTCCGTTTCCTTCAAGCCTACCAGCAACGAAACCCAATGGCGCTCCGGCAGCAGTGGCAGCCACCTCAGCGGGGTGGCTTCGTAGGCAATAATCTCGTCCAAGGGCTCGGTCCGATGGTCCAAATACGTACTTGGTATGAGTTCCGCCGCGACCAGCAGGAGAGCGCGATTATTCGCCTCATTCAGGGCAGTGCTGGCCCTGGCGAAGCTGTTCCCACCGATACCGAGCTCTCCTGCTGATCGCGGTGTAGCCTGACTCCTTGTTGGGCGCTAGGAATGCTGTATGCTAGAGCACGATGCCGTCAGCTTAGAGTGTGGTGATTTCTGTGGGAAGACTTACTTACCAGCATCTGCCGGCGAGAGTTACCGATGGGATAGCCTTGTATCTGGCTGGTAGCCACCTCAACGGGGTGGCTGCGTAGGCAATAATCTCGTCCTAGACCAGTTGGCATCGTCGATGGCTTCGTGGATGACGGCCCGGCGGCCCGACATGCGCTCACTGGGAACAGATGGCGGCTGCTCATGAGGCAGAAGAGGCGCCTCATCGTAAGAGCGTTGCCGCGGCCAAGAGCAGGGTCAACTGGGGGAGAGTTGGTCCCAACCAGGGGGCTACATTCACTGTGGTAAGTCCTCGGTCTGGTTTGACGATGTCGAGCCAAAGGAAATACATACCTTGAGGAGCACAACAACGGTGTCCAAGCGGTACTCAAATGTCCACTCCTTGGTCTGGAGGATGCTCCGCGCTAACATGTAGTCGTAGATCGGAGTAGTCCATCCGTGCTGATGGATTTGGACCATATTATGCTGTCTCTAGTTAGCTTAGAACGAAACTGTATTGTTCAGACCGCTTACAGTAAGGCGCCATGCCAGCTTCTAGAAGTAGAGGCTCGGCCCCGAATACCAGCCCCTCTAGCGGGAGGCAGCGTGGCGTCACGGGGCCGATCTCTTGACTGCCCATGTAGTAATCACCGCCACGGTCTCGGTCCCTACGGCCCCGAATACCAGCCCCTCTGGC